ATAATAATAAATATAAATTTTACTAAAAAAAATTATGGCAATAAAAATAAAAGTGATCACATATATTTATCATAGAGAGAGTATTAAATATAGAAATCTGTCATTTTAATTGGAGACGATTGATCATTTAGGGAAAAAAAAAAATGGGAAAGAGAGAGATCAAGGGTAGATGAATACTCCATGTGTCATGTCTGTCTAAGAAAAAAGGCATATATATGGAAATTATATATATATATATATGTATGTATAAAGAGGATGGTATTGTTGTTGTTATGAGGTGGGCACTGGCCATGGAAATGGCAGTGCAGAGAGAGAAAGAAAGAAAGAATAAGTTAGTAGCAGTATTTTTTTATATGGTGTTGGTGTGTTCTAATTCTTTCAACTGTTTTTCAACAGTCCCCACTCCCATGATGCTCAAATATCCAATCAACTGCCTCACATTTGCTCCATGTGCCCCCCTTCCTCTCTCTCTCTCTCTCTCTATATATATATATAATTAAGATAATCCTCTACCTCACTCTGGCCCATTATAGTCTCTCTCTCTCTATACATATATATGTATGCATGTATTTATGAGTGTGGGTGTGAAGCCCACCATTTGCAGATAAACTTTGATTTTGAATTGAATTGAATACATGTCTTTTTCAAAGAGTGGTCACCACATGACATGCCATATCGATGATCCCTCCCTTTATAAATAGTAGTAGTAGTAGTAGTATATGACAATATCAGGTAGGGTTCATCGATGGGATGGGATGGGAATTGGGTTGGCTAGGGTAGGGTAAGGTAGGGTAGTGTGTTCCTTCAATTACCAGATAGATTTGATTGATGGGGTTTATCTGCACACATTGCATTGCTCCTTCCTACTGTTGCATTAGTTTATATGACAATCAATCAAGAAATACTCCTACGATATTAATTAGATCACAGAGACCCATGCATGTTCTTGGATGCTTAGCACATGTAGTTAATTGATTAGTCGAATCCGAACCAATTAATTAATTAATACAAAATAGTTATAATTATCGAATGCCCAATTCAATTTATCAAAAGGGTCGGTTTTCCGACCTAATTTGTTTGTTTTCTTGATCTTGATTTTGAGGTTTGAGCCCTTCAAATTTGGCAGTTAATAATTTAATTGCACGTTGGTAGTTTTTTCTGTTAATGTCGGTTGCTTGTTTTTCGCATTTTTAAATTGCTACTTACAGCAACCCCCAGGTCCATTCCTCCTTACCACCTTAGTTTCTTTTCTTTGAATTAAAATATTGGCAACTTGGCAATCATCATTCAACTGCAGGATTGATTTAATTTAATTTAATATGTATATATACACATATAATATTATATGTAGCCTGATTCTTTGTTAAGGCTCCAGTATGTTGCCTAGAAAATCAGACAATATATAGTATTAAATTGAATATTGAACTAGTTACAAATATTTATTTGCATATAATGCAATATGGTGAAGTATATGTTACATTCATTACTAATTTGGATGGATGTGCACCTATAGATTATTTATTTTTTTAAAAAAAATAATAATAAAATTAATATGTCTGTTCAAAATTAGCTTTGTGTGATTTTGTACACCGCCCAAATCATCTCGATTTAATAATTTATATAATCTTCCTAATTATACAAATTTAACCGTCACTTCATTCAAATGTGCATGCATGTCCTCAATGATCATTAATTAAATAAAATTAGTACTTTAGTTCAGACCCCCTAAATTACATTAAAAACTAAGCTAATTAATTAAAAGATTATAAATATATTTATATATGTGCATTTATTAGAAACTGAGAAGTCGTACAGAGACAAATATTGTCAAGTTGCCAAAAGGTTGGCTGACCATAGGATTTGGTTTTAATTGAAGCAATTAAAGTGGCATTGATTGTTGAAAATAGGCATGTGGCAACATGCTTATGCATCATGGACACTTGATTGCATCGCATTTTAACTCACAATAATATAACAATATCCTGTCAACGAAATAAATACTAGAGTAATAAAGTAATAAATGAGTCATGTATTTGTTAATCTAGTTAGGTTATTATATATCAATCTACAAGAGTAGTTCAACTATAATAAATTTTTTTATTGCAAAACAAAAACAATCACAAACTCTTTCGATCTATTTTCTCTACAATGGCTACTTTTGAAATACCTCTGCAGGTTTTCGTTGTCACAAACGCGTACGGACACCGGTGTCTACAACAGTAACAAAGTAATACAATTTACGAGTTGATCGTTTTCTCCAATTGAATATCCGAAAACTTCGTTCTCTAGCAGCGAGTTTTTGTGTTAAACACAAGTTTATTATACGAAGAAGGAAAGAGACAAGAGTGAGAGTACAAACAATAATTTCTCTTCTTAAAATTAGACTCTCAAATGTGCTTTCCTTCAACACTGATTCTCCCAAGCTAGTTTTGCCGCCACCTTTACTACAAAAAAATAGTATATTAGTAACGGAATTCCGTTCCTAAAGTGTGTGTAGTTAACGCAATTCCTTCTCTAATTCCATCTCTAATGTCTTTAGTAACGGAAAAAAAAAAGATTTAGAGACAAAAAAATTTTGTTACAAAATTGACATTTTTTTGTAGTGCTTGTTGACTATAAAATTGAGGTAGATTAATTACTTTTGTATGGATTTGGAATAAGGGTGATTCTCCATGCATATGCTTGAGTACCTCATTTGTCTAATGTATGTATATGTAAAAAGGAGATAAAATGGACAAGAACAAATATGGTTATAGTTTGTGTCTGTCTACAATTGCCACAGTCAATTTTGTTGTATTTGAATTTGACGACAACAAGAGCAAGAGAGTAGTTTATTCATATGCCGAAGAAAAAAAAAAAAAAGGAGATATTTTCAATTTAACAAATGTATTACATAATAATAATAATAATAATAATAATAGACATTTTATTATTATTATTATTATAGAAAAAAAGGTGAGTGGAGGTTTAAATTAGAGAATGTTCTATGGTTTAGGAAAGTATACCTTTGTGCTCTTGAAGAGCTATTAGTTAGCTATACTAATAGAAATAGGATCCCACTAATTTTGATCGATTTTTTTATGGAGGCTTTTATGTGTTTAAATTGTAAAATTACAAAATAATAAAAATTTTGGGATTCCATGAGTACAAAAAATTATGTGTTATATCCAAAAGATTTTTGGATACTCGTTTATTCTGTAAATTTAATTCATATATATATATGTATATATATTCTCATTAAATAATTAAGGTGTAGTAAAATTACTCTGTCCACACAAGTAGAGTAAAATATTATTGGCTCTTGTACTGAACACAAGACCTAACACCACATAGTGGGACGGTTACGTATTTGGATTTTTTAATCTTAAGAGCTTGAGATTTTTTAAATGAAAATTACTTTTTTTATAATGTTAAAATACAAATAAACACACTTTTTAGATATGAGTCATGCTAACTATACTAAAATAGAAATAATTATTATTTGATTAAGATATGATTCTTGTTAATTTTCCCTCAATTTACCAACCTAATACGTTGATACCTATCCAACTAAAAAAAAAAAAAAAAAAACAGAGATAGTATCTGTTTTGCTATTCATAATTAATTGCCCTAATTATAATTTTTAAAAAAGCTTTCAAAGTTTGATTAATAAACATAAATAAAATTTTAAAAATATTTGGAATATAAAATACTCTAAAAGCACCGAGACAGTTAGGAATCTTGGCTGCTATTCAAAGTGTGTTAGTGTTAGATTTATTTTATCAATCTAATGGTATAATTCTTTTGGGATTGAAGTAAAGTTGTAATTCTTGAATATTTGATAATAGGATATATCAGCAGACCCTAAAATAGTATAGTTGTTAATAACACAAATGTTTTTTTTTTTTTATGGAATTTGTCATTCCAAATTAATCATGCCTCAAGTATATATATGAGATTGTGAATGGAGCACTAGAACAGTGTGAATGATGATGATGATGGAGATAAATTAAATGGGACACTAATAAAATTAAACCAGATAGACCCTAGCTAGCTAGCTTTTAGATATCCCTATATATGCTGAATAATATATTATAAGCCCCCCTTTATTCCTGCTGGTTGGAGTCATTCATGACATGAACAAAATCACTATAACACTCTTTTTCAATATATATAAATTCATTTTATTAATTGTTTGTCTACCTTTTCCATGTTAAATATTATTCTTCCCTTAATCACTTGTTCAGGGTACCTAATTTATTATTTATTAAATATCCAAGCATGCATAATTACATGAAAATAACAACAAGTCATGAGTTGAATCTTTGAATCAAGAATTTCAAATCAAAATAAAATATGATAGACAAAGTTGGATGGAAGAAGTGAGATATAGTTAGGGGAAGGAAAAGCGTGTTAGGCGGATGATGTGACCAAGTGCCACGTGTTGGTGCAAGCAAATAGCATCATCATTTTTTATTTATGAGTATGTTTTTGTCATTCGCAATTAGCTAGAGGTAGAGGGTTGAACGCGGTGGTGGGATTGATTGATTCTTTTTTGTGCACATATACATGAAAAACCAAAATGGGCCAATCACATGTCCTTGTTCTCAAACCCCACTCAATTCACCCTTCACCATTGGTACACATATATTGCAATTGCTTTGGCTTCTACCTACGCAATATACTACTCTACTATTCTTTATTGTTATTATTATCAAAACCCCAAAAATGAAAAAAGATGGAAATAGGAAATAATCAAAAGAAAAGAAAGGAAAGGAAAGGGTGTGTGGAAGTTTGAGGAAGGTATGACTGATCCCACCCCACCACCACCACCACTACTACTAATACTAATACTAATACCCTTCTTCTTTTTATTGTGTATTATCATTCAATTCGTTCTTCTACTCTAATTTTTCGCTTGCGCATACCTTTCCTACACCCAACACGTGGGCTTCTCTTAGATGGTTAAAAGTGGACCTCCATCCCCCATTCTCTCTCCACCCTCCCCCCTATATATACTCACTCACCCATTCTCTCTCTCTCCCCATCACCCACATCCACACCCATTCCTATTACACTTGGGTACTACTACTACTCCTGCTCACTACTAAATAAGCAAGAAAGCTATACCATCCATACATTCAATTTCTCTTACAGACCAAAATAGGGCAATTGGGGAAGAAGCAGCCATGGCTACTCCTCCTCCTACAACCTCATTGGTCAAGCCCAAACAGCTCCGGTCTCCTCCGCTCATTCGCGCCGCCGCCATGGGCTCATTGCGCCACCCCACTGGATCTCTCCCCGCCATAAAATCCTCTCTCCAAACACTGCATTTCCCCAAGCAATCTTCCACCGCACGTCAACCGCCATCGCCGCCGCCCCAAATTGGTATCGCGAAACCACCGAGCTCCCCGTCTTCTCCGGCGAAGCCTCAGTGGAACGTCGTTCAGAAAGCCGCCGCAATGGCGTTGGACGCCATCGAGACCGCCTTGACCGCCCGCGAACTGGAGCAGCCCCTCCCCAAAACCGCCGATCCAAGAGTGCAGATCACCGGAAATTTCTCGCCGGTGCCGGAGCAGCCGGTCAAACACAACCTCCCCTGCGTCGGGAAGATCCCCGACGCCATTCAGGGCGTCTACGTCAGGAACGGCGCCAACCCCCTCTTCGAGCCCCTCGCCGGACACCACTTCTTCGACGGCGATGGAATGATCCACGCCGTCCAATTCAAGAACGGCGCCGCCAGCTACGCCTGCCGCTTCACGGAGACGAATCGCCTCGTCCAAGAACGGGCCATCGGCCGCCCCATTTTCCCCAAAGCCATCGGCGAATTGCACGGCCATTCCGGCATCGCCAGACTCCTCCTCTTTTACGCCCGCGGCATCTTCAATCTCGTCGACCACGGCCAGGGCACCGGCGTCGCCAACGCCGGACTGGTCTACTTCAACAACCGCCTATTAGCCATGTCCGAGGACGATTTGCCGTACCACGTCCGGGTCACCCCCACCGGCGATTTGAAGACCGTCGAACGCTACAATTTCAACGGGGACCTCAAATCCACCATGATCGCCCACCCCAAGGTCGACCCAGTCTCCGGCGAGATGTTCGCCCTCAGCTACGACGTCGTTCAGAAGCCCTATTTAAAGTACTTCCGTTTCTCCAAAGACGGCCAGAAATCCGAGGATGTCGAAATCCCAGTCCCCGAGCCAACAATGATGCACGACTTCGCAATCACCGAAAACTTCGTCATCATCCCCGATCAGCAGGTCGTTTTCAAGATGTCGGAGATGATCCGCGGCGGCTCTCCGGTGGTCTACGACAAAAACAAAGTGTCCAGGTTCGGCGTACTGGATAAATACGCCGACGACAGTTCGAGGATCAAGTGGGTGGATGTCCCCGATTGCTTCTGTTTCCACCTCTGGAACGCCTGGGAGGAGCCCCAATCCGACGAAATCGTGGTGATCGGATCCTGCATGACTCCGCCCGACTCCATCTTCAACGAACGCGAAGAAGGGCTGAAAAGCGTGCTGTCCGAAATCCGTCTCAATTTAAGGACCGGAAAGTCGACGAGGAGGCCGATCATGTCCGAGCAGGATCAGGTCAACTTAGAAGCCGGAATGGTGAACCGAAACAAGCTCGGGAGGAAGACACGTTTCGCCTATCTGGCGATTGCCGAGCCATGGCCTAAAGTTTCCGGCTTTGCCAAAGTCGACCTCTCCACCGGAGAAGTCAAGAAATTCTTTTACGGCGACGACAAGTACGGCGGGGAGCCTCTCTTCCTTCCCCGTGACCCCAACTCCGACGCCGAAGACGATGGCTACATTCTGGCCTTCGTGCACGACGAGAACGCCTGGCAGTCGGAGCTCCAGATGGTCAATGCAACGACTATGTCGATCGAGGCCACCGTGAAGCTTCCTTCGAGGGTGCCCTACGGTTTCCATGGCACCTTCATTGCAACAAAAGATTTGGACAATCAGGCCTAGTACTGGTCTGGTCTGAGTGGAGAAATCACCTGAGGGATTGCTGTTATTACGTCCCCGGAATCTCCACTCTTACACAGTAGCTATATTGAGTTGTTAATTTGTTGATTACAAGAATTGAAGTGGGAGGGAGATTTTAGCAGAGGAAGCAAGCTTGAAGCTTTGTATGGAAGCTCAGCTCGACTCTCTGCTTGTTCTTTCACACTCTGTATCTGTCTGTGTGTATCTATCTGTACAGTACACTTAGTTCCTCCATACACGTTTTTATTTTTTTTTACATTTTTTTTTTTTTTTTGTGATTTCTGTTACATACAACAGCAGCAAGGAAATCAGTATCACTACTCTGTTTTGCTATATTGGAACAGAACACCAACACCAACACAGAATTGAATTGAATTGAAGAAATAACCTCCAAAAGGGTCGTTGATTCTTCAATTATTCTTAAAGAAATGGTAATAAAATATTTAGGCTGGAAAATAATAATGATATCCAGTTTGTCTGAGTGATTATTATTACTATTGTTGTTAAATTAATGTTGTGTAGTGAAGTCCACAGTGTGAGCAGATGAGCGATAATTTAAAGTAATACTAATAATTAATAAATTAAATGTTTGTGATATGGAGTAGTATTTTTTTATAAGCGAAAACTAGTGATTCATGGTGGTCCAATCGAGATTCAAATAGGTACAATACAATTGTGGGGCCCATGGTCGCCTGGCATTTCTGGCGCGCTGTGATTGGCTAATTCTAAGTGGGTTTCTGCCCAATCGCATGCTGACACCTAAGTTTATCTATTAGGTTACTGATTCGATCACTTCAACCTAATTTAACAAATCATTTGAAAACAAATATACATATATCTGTTTATTGGTATTTTATTTATTTTTAGAATTCGATTATGATAAGATATTGTTCAAATACTCTTTTTAGTAAATACTAGTATTAAATGAATGGTTATTCGAGGAAATTATTGGTGTATGGATTCTTGTCTAGCTATATATGCGCCATATATGATGATATTATAAATTTAAACCAACTAAAATATGCTAAATGCATGTAAAAAGGTATATCAAGAATCAACATGTCATTTTATTTGTCACCAAACTATATCTCATTTGGCACATCATTATAATTCCAAACTAACTCAAACTACAATTTTTATCATTTTCATATATTTCATTCAAAAGTTTTTTTTTTATTATTTTAATAAAAATAATCATACACTAATACTAAAATATCATTCACTTTTATCTCAATTACAAATATACAATTATTTTATATATAAAGTCAAATAGTAAAAATATCAAAATCTCTTCCACTAATTAATAAAATATTATTATTTTCTAATCTATTACAAAATTTAAGGAGTACTTTCATCGGAATAGAAGGAATATATAATATCGTAATTTATAACAATGGGGTATTATTTTGTAGTATATGTTAGGAGTGCATTTACTTATGTTTTTGGTTAAGATAGATATCATTTTCATGTTTGTATGGTGGACAACACACACCATTCTCACTGTTTAATTAATATTGTCCTAAACCATTTCATTTATATTTTCTTTTCATATTATTATTATTTGACATTGAGGTGACACAACACGTATTTGCCTGTTCAAACCATGAAGGAACAGCTGCTTTGAGTTTATTTGGAACAAGTAAATATTCTTTATTTATATGATATGATATGATATATAAGCAAACAATATTTTATTGATTAAAACACTTATCTAGGCTTGATTCCATATACGTACATTCTAATGAACTTTGCTGGCATTTTTATTTATTTTTATATTAATTTCCAGAAGCTTCTTGTCCATATATAGTCAGACTCTATTGCATCATCCAATATATATATATATACTATAATAAGTAAGTCAAAGATTGGATTTTTCTGAACTGGAACTGCCCTGACCTGAAAATCCATTGACAGGAAACAACATGAAACTCTGTAGCTTCTGGAAAGATCATCCCCATTGCATCTTTTCACTTCAATATATTTAATTACTCCATTAATTATGCAGCTGGCTCATCTAACTAACCAAGATTTCATTTATTTATTTTTTTAATATTATTATCAATGCACAATCATACTCAGCTCTTTTATATGATCATATGTTTATTTTTACTAAAATGACTATCACCATCATATGTCAATAGAAACACATTTCTTTTTTTTTTTTTTTTTCACAATCATGAAATTTCTACGCCGGAAATTTCTGCATAAAAAAAGGGGTGATGCAAAAGACAAATTCGATTGCAAAGTATATGTCATGAAAAAGTTTTTGAATGTCAGATTAGGGACCAGAGTGTTACACATACGTGTCCGACAACCATTGGTGGATTCATGTCTACATCAAACTATTTCATGTAATGATGCTTGACATCACTGCGTGTGTCACAATAAATTTCTCAAGATTGGCAATATGGATATTCTCTGTCTCTGCAGTTGAAATATTCCAAAATATATGGGCTTCAGAGAGGGCCCATAGCTAAAAAAGTTAAATTTTATTCACAATGAAAGAGACCCAAAAGCCCATTAATAAATCATATGGTCAAATGCCCATTGAAATGATCACATATATTTTAGAAGCTGTAGCAGATGAATTATCGACCTGGGCCTGGACTAAACAAAAAATAAAATAAAATAAAATTGCAACAGAGAAGAACGTAACAGATTAATTGTGGATTGTTTAGGAAATTCCTAGGAAATCAAGATGAGACAAATAATACAAAAATTTGATAATTCAGTTCGATCACGATGATCTACGTCTGGAGTACTGTTAAGCCAAAAATTATACTATAAATTACGCAGACTCATGTTAAAAGTAAGAATACGTGAATATTATAGCCAAAGCCTTTTGACAATAATATCTAAATCATATCTCTAAAATTTAAAATATAATATCCAAATCATGTCCCTAGATTTTAGGATATAATTACGCTTCATATTCCAACAATCTCCCACTTGAAGACTGATTTCATCTTTCACTTTAACATACCACATCCAATCTCCACTTCCCACCATTCGGTGTTCTTATTCGAATTATTCCTTTACCTACAATTCTCAATTCTCAGTGTCTCATCATCTGCAAGATAGACAACACCAAAATTACATGTGGTATAGGATTCCATGATTCCCGAATCACTGCATGAGTGGAATGACGCTCCTGAGACCAAAATTCATAACTCCATTGGACTGCTGACGCTCAGAATCAGCGCATCGGATATCTCCTCCGTTGCATTTGCTGAACCCTGATCCTTATCCGGCCCTGCACTTGTCGTTTAAAGTGCCCCTTGCAGTTCCAATATACCACTTGACTTCCATCTTCTTTGTCCTTATTCTTCGGCTTCAACTTTGACTTAATCTTCATCATTTCCTTTTACCTCAAATCTAAATTCAGTCGAGACATTCTCACAAAGGGTTAGTCAAACCGCACTCATCGTCTTCCTGTCAATCTTCTTGTATTCGGCTTCATCCATGTCTTCGGATTTCTCTTTCAATACCGCATCTAGATCTTTACCATACATGTAATTTTCTATCTGCATATTTCAGAAACCGAAGTTCATACCATCTAATACCTTGACAACATGACAATCACCCATCTTGACTCCCACAAACAATGATATGAGAGCACATCTCTGATATCTTCTCCGTTGCGTTTGCCGAAACCCTTATCCTTCCCTGCGTATCTTGCACCGCCTATCACAAAGGGACCCGGTGCTTGACCTAACAGTCGGGACCGACCCAACACCGACAGGAGACATTCGACACAAGTCACTTCCGCAAGTCACAAGGGATTCCCACAGCAACAATAAATATTCGATGCCTCCCAATCCACCTTACCAACGAACCAGGCTATAATACCACTTGTTAAGGAAATTCCCAGGAAATCAAGATGAGACAACAAAGACAAAAGAACACAAGAATTTTGTAACATAGTTCAATCACGATGATCTACGTCTGGGGGCGCTGCCAAGCCAGAAATTCTACTATAAAGTACGCATTCCCATATTAAAAGTGAGAATACATGGATATTTATAGCCAAAGCCTTTCTCTAAAATTTAAAATATAATATCCAAATCTTGTTATGTTAGGTAGGTGGTAAAATTACTAAATTAGGAAATGGTAACCTTGTTTTGGGATGGACAAAAATGAAAAGCGGCAACCTTTCAATGGAACGGAGGGAGTATTATTTTTCAAAAGCTAAAATTATATATCAGTTTTAAAAAATAAAATTATATATTATTTAAAAATATATATAATTACGTATCACTTTCGGAAAAATAAAATTAGATATCACTTCTTAAAAAATACTACATTATTTTTTTTTAAAAAAACAAAATTACATATATAAGTAATAAAATTATTTATTATAAATACATTGTATATATATTTAACTGACAAAAAAAAAAAAAAAAAAAAAAGGTGAAATAACTATAGCTGACAGAAGAGTATTTTAAAATCTTGATTTATTTTAGTATGATATTTTCATTATATATCTTCTTAAATATGGCAAGTGTACCAATGAAGATACCTTATATACAAAGTTATGATTTAATTACTTACAGTAGTTTCCTTGTTGTAATTTCATTCATGAAATATATATATACAACGACTTTCTTGCATCTTGGTTGAGTTGGTTCTCAATTCGTCCTCTCCAAATCATAAACTTTTTCCTGTGTTTCTTACCTCAAAAATTAAGTTAAGAGTATTTAAGGACTTTTAGAGCTTCGATCGTAGCTTGAAGCCAACGTATATAGCCGACCTATAGCCCCATTCCATTACGTGAATTAATAGCTCCATTGTTATTTCTATATATATTCTTCATTACCCATTCGAAAAACCCTATCTGCAAACAAAACCCAATCCTTTCTACCTCAGATAATCAAACAGGTAAAAAAAATAGAAATGGCAGAAGAGGTGATTCTTTTGGGTACATACATTATTAGCATGTATCAAATGAGGGTTAGAATAGCCTTAGCTGAGAAAGGAGTTGAGTATGAGTACAGAGAAGAAGACCTTACCAACAAAAGCCGGTTCTTGCTTCAGATGAACCCGGTTCACAAGAAGATCCCGGTTCTCATTCACAATGGGAAACCCATCAGCGAATCTTTGATAATCCTTCTGTATATAGACGAGGTTTGGAAGGATAAGTCTCCATTGTTGCCTTCTGATCCTTACCAAAGAGCCCAAGCAAGATTCTGGGCTGATTTTGCCGACAAGAAATGTGGTGACGATGAAAGGGAAAGAGCAAGAGGAGGCCAAGAAAGAGCTGATGGACATGCTGAAGGTGCTGGAGGGGGCGTTGGGAGAGAAGTCTTTTTTTGGTGGGGACAATTTTGGGTTTTTAGATGTGGCCTTAATCCCTTACACCACCTGGTTTCTTAACTACGAGAAACGTGGGGGGTCAGCATCGAAGAGAATTGCCCCAGATTGATTGAGTGAACTAAGAGGTGCATGCAGAGAGAAACTGTGTCTAAATCATTGCCCGATTATTGCGAGGTTTATAGACGAGTTTTGGAGTTCCTGAAGCAGATGGGTTTTGAGTAGGACTTTGAGAGACACCATGGTCTAGGACACTAGTTTTTTTTGTTGAGTTAATTATGGTTTCATTATTTGAATGTGTTTTTGGGCTGCTTGTTTTTAATTTGAATGTTTTGGATTATTATTTTGCAGTATAATTTTTTAATAGTGATTTTTTTTAAAAAAATTATATTTAAGTAAAACAAATAAAAATGATAAAAATAATTATTTCAATTAAAATAAAAGAAAACATTTTATATTCAAAATATAGGTTTGTTTAGATAGAGGTGTTTGGAGGTTTTAAAAATTTTGAAAAAAAAAATAAATAAATAAAAAGTTAGTTTATGATTTGATTTTTTTTAAGAAAAAAAATATATTTATGTGATATTTTTTTTTTAAATAAATGATATTAAATGAATAAAAATATGTTGTATAAATATAGTATCTATTTTTCACTAATGTGAAAGCCATCAACTTTTTTTTCGCCTCAGTTAGCTATAGTCCTCTCTCTTCTTTTCTTTCTCCTTTTCTTATTGCTTTTTCTTTAAACAATCCAAGAATTTTTGACTTTTTTTTCTTGTTGTCAGCGTCCACTAGGAATGGGGTTCCCACAATACATTATACACATATACATACATATATATATTTAGATTATATATATATTAATCGCTCCGTTTAATTTCTATTGTCTTAAAGTATATTTGCACGGTTTTTTAGGTAAGTGTCTTTTTGTTATGAATCGAAAAATTTGTCTTTAATTGTATGGTAGAGATTAAGAGTAATAATTGAATGAAGGGTAAAAATGTAAAATTTGTGTTTAACAAAAAAAGAAATCGGACAATAATTGTTAAACATCCCAAATAAAAAAGAAGTACGACATTAGTTTAATTAACCTTTGAGTTCATTTGTTTCATAGTACTAATTTAAAAAATTAAATAAAAAAAATTAAATAAAATATTGAAAATAGCTTTTTTTTTCACCGGTGTCACGGACAAAGAGAATTGAGTAGTGAAGTTTGTGTTCTTGAAGATCCTTTGGAGTATGGATCCTTCAATAAATAATATATCATGTCGTTGTCTGGCTGCGGTAGCTAAATTAAACATCGATCCCCAAATCATTTAATCCCACAAGAAAATTCCAACCTATAGCTATCAATGATCCAAGCCAGCCCGCCTACCACAATCCGAAGTAGGAACATATAGTCTCGAGACGGTGGTTTATTTATGTATATTTAAAATCTTTTAATATTCACGAGATTTTGTTCAAACGTTGGAGATGATTCTAAACTTAAAAATATACTAAAATCTATCCGGAGTATGGCAAAATATAGTAAACTTTCTAGATTATTGTACATTCTAACATGTTCTAGAATCTTGTAGACGGGGTTGTTGTATATTATGCATAACTAATATGTACTAGAATCTTCTAGATGGAGGAATAATTTCGAAGCCCCTAGAGCTTACCCGAGGACACTCAGTAAAGTACCCAAAACAAAATAAATGGGATGGAGGAATATGATATTTTAATTTAACTTTTTTTTTATTATTTTCAATTTAAGGCGACCAACTTCTCTTTAGTTAAATATAAATATATGAACACATGCAAAATATAAATACGTGGAACACATTTTGACCACTTCAACTTAAGTCATCTAGGCGTGAGGATCCATTCCCACGTGTATATATAAGATATAATTAAATGTGGCGTAACTGTATTCAGTAACTATACTACCAATTCTCCTATTCTTACATATATATATATATATATAAATATATTTATGTGTCGTGAACAAGATAGATATAAAATTTTATTCACAAGTTTTACATTTCTTACGTCATCTCATCCTCTATACAAAATAGGTGGCCAAATCCTTCTACCAATAGTTCAAGTTTGCCAACCAAACAATAATTGGTGTCGTGCACGAATTCATAATCGCAAGGCCATGAGTTCAAAATTTTGCTAACGCTTATTCAATCAAGCCTGACACGCTAGTAAAATCTCGCAGTCGCTATTTCTGTTATTTTTCAAATACTTTAGATAAATTTCTGGACGAACCTAATAATTTATAAATTACACTCGATAAAACAAGTTAAGCTAGACGAACAATGTGTAGTAGATAAGATTAGAAGACATCAAATATTTAAACTTATAACCTTATGATCACGTGTCTACTCTTACACCACCATAACATTTTTATTTTTTTATTTTTTTACATTATGTGTTGTCATCTTTCCCCTTTTCTTATCTGTTTACTTACTTTCTTCATTTTTGCTACTTTTAGTCATTTCATTTTTTTGCAGTATGTTTATTTTATTATTTTAGTATATATATTAAGAAAGATCAATTTCTATTTAAATTTTTATTAGCAATTTTTTATTTATTTATTTATACAATTGTCACTAATGAACCAACTTATAATTTAAAACCTATATTGCATTATTACACTCTATAAAATTTCTAATTTTATCTTTATAAAAATATTTTTAAAATTTTTTTGTTAAAAAAAAAAATTAAAAAAATTATGTAAACAGTGAGAGACTTGAGAGTATGTAATCCCTATTAAAAATAATACAGTAATAAAAATAAAACATATCACAAGTAATCTACCAATATTTCCAATATATAATTGGGTCAACAATCGAAGAATTCTAACTTTTTATTAGTCTCTTCTTCTCAGCGTCCACTAGGCATATAAAATAGATTATATACACATATAATTTAATTCACCTTCAGTTAATTTGTTTTTAAAATTTAAAAATAAAATAAAATATTGGAAAATAGCAATTTCCACCGTGTCACGGACCAATGAGAAATGAGAGTAAAGTGTTTGTTCTAGAAGATCCTTGGAGTATATATGGGTCCTCCAATAAATACTACTATATATGTCGTCTACTTTACTACAATGGCTGCAGTAGGTAAATTAAACAAAGATCCGCAAATCATTCAATCACTCAAGAAATTTCCAACCATAGCCGACATATAGCTATCAATCATCCAATCCAGCTCGCCTTTCCACTACGTGAATAGCTCCATTGTTAATTCTATAAATTCGTCTCATTTAATCTCCCCAATATCCATTACAAATTCGAAAAAACCTACCTGCAGACAAAACCCTTTTCCTTTCTACCTCATAATATCAAACAGGTTCAAAAAAATGGTGGAAGAGGTGATTCTTTTGGGTGAATACATTAGCGTGTATGAAATGAGGGTCAGATTAGCCTTAGCTGAGAAAGGAGTCGAGTATGAGTACAGAGAAGAAGACCTGACCAACAAAAGCCAGCTCTTGCTTCAGATGAACCCGGTTCACAAGAAGATTCCGGTTCTCATTCACAATGGAAAACCCATCAGCGAATCTTTGATAATTCTTCAGTATATAGACGAGGTTTGGAAGAATAAATCTCCATTGTTGCCTTCTGATCCTTACCAAAGAGCCCAAGCAAGATTCTGGGCTGATTTTGCCGACAAGAAGGTATGTAATTAATTCTTGCTGTATATATATCTTACTCTTACACATATGGGAGAAATTAATTGATCGAAGAAGTGACTATGTTTATAATTAGATATATTGGGTTGGAAGATGTGTGTTGACGACGAAAGGGAAAGAGCAAGAGGAGGCCAAGAAAGAGTTGATAGATATCCTAAAGCTGCTGGAGAAGGAGTTGGGAGAGAAGCCTTATTTTGGTGGTGACAATTTTGGGTTTTTAGATGTGGCCTTAATCCCTTACGCCACATGGTTTCTTACATATGAGAAACGTGGGGGGTTCAGCATCGAAGAGGATTGCCCCAAGTTGATTGAGTGGGCTAATAGGTGCATGCAGAGAGACGCAGTGTCTAAATCACTGCCTGATCCTTGCGAGCTTTATGGACGAGTTTTGGAGCGCCTGAAGAAGATGGGCTTTGAGTAGACATTATTGTTTAATTAGGACACTTGTTTGCTTAATTTTCAGTTTAGATCACTTTTAGTTTGGAATTGATTATGGTTTTGTTATTTAAATGTGTTTCTTGTATTAATTTTCGAAGAAAAGTTGATTGTTTTCTTATAGAATATTTTATTAAATATTATTTAAATACAAAATTTAAATTAAATCTTGTTAAATCAAACCGAAATTAACATACTCTTGAAGTATTGAATTATAACGTTCATAGCATAACATAATCATCAATTTTTCCGTTACGTTCTGAAATGTGAAAGGTTTGATGATTAATTGTTATTATGATTAGCTAGCCCTTTCATATCTCTACCTTCAATATATATATAAGATGTGTGTGTGTGATCAATCGATCATCATCGTATTGCACATTTCTACAATGGCCTACAGTCGCCTTCATTGCGAGCTTCAAGCAATCCTGGTGGCCACTTTTCTGGCATCATCCGCCATGATCGTATCTGGTGCAGGTCGAATCGTAGAAGACGACAATGGCGTGAGCCTGATGTCACGGCTGAAGGTAGACGAAGCTGGGAAGGCGAGTTCATGCTGGGATGCACTGTTCCAAATCCAAGCTTGCAGTGGCGAAGTGGTGCTGTTTTTCATGAACGGGGAGACTCGCCTGGGGGCAGGCTGCTGCAGCGCCATCGTCACCATAGAACACCAATGCTGGCCCTCCATTCTCGGAGCCATCGGCATCACCCCTGAGGAAAGTGACATTCTCAGAGGCTACTGTGACGCCACCGCCACTGCCGCCGCGCCGCCGCCGGACTCTCCCTGCATTCCGATCACACGTCGTTTAATTTAAAAAGTGTATGGTGGAATAATACGCTTGTTACCGATTTTGTCCTCATTTCTTGGATTACTTGCTTGGATTATATATATATATATGTGTGTGTGTGTGTGTGAGTGTTTATATAAACTTATTGAAAACCATATATATAATGAATGATCATATTACTCGGGTTTATGATTTAATGGAAACTAAAATTTATTGTATTATTTATGTAAAATGATATACATAATTCGCGTATAGTTTTACGGACTTACGTAAGAGCCTGGGAATATTAATTCAAGTTTTTTGAATAGTAAAAGAATAAATTGAAAAAGTTGAAATTGGGTCTCTCCAATTTGGAAAAACTGCTACATTTGGACGTGGTAGGCCATCAGATCGATGTATTACATAGCAAAAAATAAAAATAATTGTTTTATTTTTTCAAGCTCACATCAAGTCATGCCCCTGCCCGAAATCGAATGGTGAAGGAGCTGGCAGCAACGGAGGCTGCCCGAAATCCCAGCCTGCAGCATACATGGTGGCCATGGCACAAAATAAAAAGTCAACCCATTTGTTAATTACGGTATCATGTGGCAACCTTCTCCCACGACGTTACCATTTCATTTATAAACACTGACAGACATATCAACCCATAAGATAACATAAAATTTAATTTGTCTCTCCTACATCTACACTACATTACCATTCTTCTCTTTTCTTGTAAGAAGACATCCAAATCCATCTCTGATCCCATCACATGTATCTATATGTTTATGTACGTATTTTAACAGACAGTTGAAGCAAGAAATTAAGAAAGAGATCGATCGAGAAATAAATACTACAAATGGAAAAGAATTCCACGCTTTAATTTTATATGATGTGATTTACAAGTGTTGTGTTGTACTGTTCTTCTCTCCATCTCCAGCTGTATCACCAATTTTCTCAAAATTTCTCTATGTATCTTCCTCATGGCCGACCGACCCATACATCAGATTTACTCATTTTAATTAATTACAAGGTAGATAAAAAAATAAAAAAAAATAAAAAATAAAAAATCTGCACAAAATCAACCTCGCAATTAATTAATTGGTAAGGCTGCTGTAACTGTGATTGTAGTAAGAGTAATAATTGGAATTGGAATTTAACGACTGTTTAGAGTAGCCTTTAATCCTCATCAGGTTTCGAAGCTTCTTCCAGAAGCAGCGCCGCCTCCTCGGGGACATCACGTGACTCACGTGCGCCTTGCTCTTGCTTTTGCTCCGCCTCACAACCGCCAGCCCCCGGACCTCCGGCGGCCGGTACGTCCGAATCAACGGCCACTTTATCCCGTTGAAGAACGGGTGGCGTTTGATATCCGTCGCACCTCTTATGCACCCCAACCGCCTCCGCGGATCCTTCACCAGTAACCGCTCGATCAGATCCCTCGCCTCCGCCATCCCCGCCTCCTCCTCCGCCGCCGCGGCGGCGCTCCTAAATCTCACCCCTTTCGTCGACGCTATGTTGCGCAGGGTCGAATCCTTGCTGCTTCCCTTAAACGGAGTCGTCCCGTACAGTAATTCGTAAATTAACACCCCGAACGCCCACCAGTCCACACCGTTGCCGTGGCCGCAGCCGGCGACCAACTCCGGCGCGAGGTATTCGTGTGTCCCCACGCACGACCTCGAGAACGCCGTGGTCGGCTCCGCCACGAATTCCGTGATCCGCTCCTCCAGTTGCCGGTCACCAAAGCAGCCGGAGTACCCGCCGGAGCTGGCCTTAATCCGAGCTCGAGTTTCCAACGACGGCGAAACGTCGGAGCGGAAGCACAAATCGAAATCCGACAGCATGATGTGGCCGTCGTCCCGAATTAAAATATTCTCCGGCTTGAGATCACGATACACAATCCCCTGAGCGTGCAAATACTCGAGCGCCACTAAAACCTCCGCCGCGAAGAACCTCACCGCCTGAACCGGCAGCCGGTACCGCGGCTGCTTCCGAAGCAAGGAATGGAGGTCGCCATTGGGGCAGTAATCCATGAGAAGACACGTGTAATGCGACACCTCTAAGCGCGCGTACAGCGTCGGGAGAAAAGGATGGTCCAGCGTCGACAAGATCTGCGCCTCCGTCTGCACATGAGACAGCTTCTTCGACGTCAGGGAATCACGATCCACCACCTTCAGAGCGAAATTCGCGTGCTCGTAGTCACGGAGGCGGCAGAGGAAGATCCGGCCTAGGTTTCCGGCGCCGACGAGGCGGAGGAGCTTCAGATGGCGGATGTTGAGCGCCCCGTCGGAGGACAACATCGTCACGGCCTTGATCGCCGCCCAATTCGGATTGTCGTGGCGGCGGTGGGGCCGCTGGTGGATGGGCGTCGATGCGGCGGTGGAGAGGCGGGAGTCGTTGAAGCTGAGGGTGAGGCTGCTCCGAGCTAAACTGCTCCGGCCGGAGAGGGATCGGTCGGAGGTGACGGAGGTGAAGCTCAGGTCCAAATCGGAGGAGTCTGCTAATTGGTAAATCGACGACAACGTCGGCGACTCATCTCGCTCCATTTTTAGTTTGGGTCTGAATTCTGATCAGATCGATCGATCGATCTTTATATATATATATATAGATAGATAGATAGATGAGAAATAAAATTAGTAGACAACCCGACATTTAATTAATATAGATAACGTGATTTGTCTATTTAAAAATACCAACGGCACAGAGGGTTTGATTTCTTTAATAGGATCTGTCAAGTGAAGTGAAGATATACTTGGTCATTTTGTTTTTGTGTAATTAGGACAGTTAATTATCTGATTGTAATTTGCACAATTAGTGTTGATAACAGATCTTTTCACATTAATGAGGTGTGTTGAGAAAGCAAGTTTAGGTGCAAAAATGGTGGAAATTTGTGGGAAAATTATAATGGTAGTAGGTGTAGCTGTAGCTGTAGGTTGGAGTTGAAGAGGGCAGGGAAAAACAGAGGTAGCTTCGGGGCGTCATCTCTCAATCTGGACCGTTAATTGCGGTGCAAGGTGGGTGCTGGATAAGTCATGCATGCATTGCAGCCACGTCATCATCATCGAAACTTGTGCATTTCATTTATTTTTGTGCACAACGAACGGGTCTTCTCACTCTCGACTCTATCCCCTATTTTACCTTTATTTTATTACTAATTAAGGTTACGTTTGATGAAATAATTTTTTTTTCGTTATATAAAAATTGAAACATAAATTATTTTTTATTTTTATTCTCTCATATATATATATATATATATATATATAAAGAAATGGAGAAAACTGGAATTTTACAAATAAAAAACACACTCGTACAAATTAATATTCTCAATGTTTTTTCTTTCAACAAAAATAAAAACTCTCATCAATTATTTTTTAAGCCGTTGTGATTATCGTCATCACGCCGTCAGTCATTGGAGAGTTTTAATAATAGACTTATTTTTATTTTTTTTTAATTGAACATCATACTTTTAAATTATTTATTTATACATTTTCTTGTACAAATATATATTTTAAATAAATGATAATTAAATTTATATTATATTTCTCCATAAATTTTATTACCATTTATACACAATTCTTTTCTCTATGTCAAACTCACCATAAGAGTGCATTTAATAGCAAATTAAAAATTAGTGAAGTTTATTTTACAATTGAATAATAAAATGAGTGTTTTATACTTTTAACACGTACTAAATAATTTTTCACTATTTTTTAATTATCAACTATTTTTTATTAATTTTATAATTAATTTTTTTATAATAGTCCATTTTACTTTTTACTTACCTATTTTAAAATTAAAATGTTATTATTTTTTTATTTTTGTGTCTAAACAAATCTCTATAATTTTATGGGTCAAAGGAATATTATCAATATCATTTTGTAGGATATTCTACAAAATGTTATACACTATGAATAAACATATATTTATTCTTAATTAATACTCCATCAGTTTCAAAATAATAGTCTCATTTTATCATTTTTATCGGTACCAAAATAATAGTACTATATTCATATTTGGTAACTAGCTTCTCACCCTTTTACAAAAATATCTCCTTTTTTTTTTCACAATGATTATATATAAAGTAAGTGCATTTTGATCTTTTAAAATATTTTTATACTCAATATCAATATAATAATATTAATATTTTTTTTAATTCTCGTGTTCATCCCGAATATCTCTGTTGTTTTGAGACGGAAATGGTATAACTTAATTTATTAATATACATATATAATGCATTTATCTATTTATTTAAGAGAGTTACATAAATATAATACTACTACTAGTTAAATATTTTAGGCTCTTACAATGTGTGAAGTAGAATAAAACTTTGTACATGCTGTCGTATGGTCAAATCAATCAAAAGATAGAACAAAATTAAACTGAATTGGTGCCTTCACTATCATAGACCATTTTTGTTCCCATGGAGAAAATTATTACATTGAATTTTGGCAATGGTTATTAAATTAATTAAATATTTTTTTGCAAAGACAAGTAGTGTTGTTTGATGAGAAATTCGTAGGGCCTTAATTAGATACATAGCAAATGCATGTGCAACAAAATAGACGACTTGATGATTTGTAGACATGCCACAATTCATGTCCCCCCTTTGGATATTAACTGAAAATGACTCAATGCATGTTAATACTAATTCAATCTAAGTCTTTTCCGAATGAATTAAATAATATCGATATATATATATAATCTTTGCAAAGATCCGAGCAATTTTTCATGACATTTAACTAGAATGTTGATTGTACAGCTGGTTTGTCTGAGGGACAATCGTTAGTATACTCTTTTTGTCATCGTAGTCGGACTTAATTCAGTTGATCGGTCTTTTTGTACATATATACTCTTCGAGTGTGCTCTGGGTAAATATCCGGTCAAACCTAATATCTTGCAAACTAAGTTCAGTAAGATAAGTCACATTCATGTGGATTTAAATCTATAACTTCACAATCACGAGTTTACTCATACACCACCATGTCATCCTTTACGGGACAATATATAGATGCCTTTCTTGAAACTACACACGTGTGCATACAAACTCATACATCAAGACAAACTTTTTCTCATGAAAAGATAAACGAGACAACTCTTTTAAGTTTCACGTAAGATCATACATATAGTACTTTCACGATGTAATAGCATGCAAAATATATATATATATACACACATATATATACATGAATTAATTAAATTTGACCAAAGTAATGGCACTTTGCAGTGAGTTGGAGAAATGCATGCACCTGTCATTTAAATAAATAATCAATGAATATATATATATATATATTCACTTCATAGTGAAAAATGTTGAAGCTTATGCATGCATGGTAATGCATGTACAGTGTTTAATTATTTATATAGTACTTCTTTTTATACACATTTTCTGTTGTGATACAATTGTAATTATATTATATTCGTAATTAATAATCAATATATATATATATATATATATATAAAGCAAATGCATGAATTAAGAGGCAGACATCACCTGTGCAGGTTCATGCATTCTACAATTTCAAATTTGTGGATTGACTTACCAATACCATTATTATTATTCTTCTGATTATTATTATTATTATTATTATTATTATTATTATTATATCACTTGAATTGAATTAAATGGAACAAACCCAACTAACTAATTAAATTATACCTATCCCCAATCAAATAATTATATAGGTTGCATTTGTTTGTTTATACATTGTTTCTTTTATTTTTATAATATATATTTCATAGTAAAGTGTTTCTGTTTTTTTGCTTTAATCATATTTCAAAACACTTGGAATTATTTATAATATTCCCAAAACCAGACAAACATATACATATATATAATTAATAAATTAGAAGTGTCCTTTTACTTCTCCACATCGCCACATGCTTCAACCCCCAATTTGTAGTCATGATCAACCACTAGTCAATCATTGCCTCAGATCCCACAAATTAATTAAAATTAAATTAGTATATGTATGTAGAAAAACAGTAATGTTATTTGTATATAGTTGAGAATGTGTTAGTTATTGAATTTCTCTGATCAGTAATCAGTATCATGAAATTAATTAATTAATTGAGCAGCAGTTTCCAACAAGAAAAGATGCTTTCATTTGTTTATTTATTCATTTATATAATATTGGTTTTATTAATTATAATTTTTTTTTTATTATAATTATTTTTTAAGTGTAATCATACAGTTGGCTGGGGCCTAACTTTAGTCTGTGTATGTCTGCTGACCCAAGGAATTAGAAATAGACAGGCCATATTAATACATATGTAGTTTAACTAGTTCATATATAAATTATTTAATTTTTTGTCAATTAAAAGAGTTGATGTAACGTTCGAATTATTTTTAATCACTATGGACCTCCATTCTACCTTTCATACATACATGTATAATCATTTTTATTTAGTTTTGAAAATATAATTATAGTTAATTGATTTGAAAAAAGTTTCAGCGTAACTTATAAGATTATATTATTTCATCTCGAAGTATAAATTGTAATAATAAATTCATTAAGGATATCCTTTTGAACTAAATATGTCTAGGACAATATAATTGGCTTTTCATCATAATGAATGTGCCCCCCAAAAATTGAAGACAATGAAAATGAAATGTCAATCGATGATATATATTATTAAGAGAATAAAATAAAATAAAAATGAGAAAAGCTGAAAATCTTGATGACTTTAAATTGTCTGATAGTGACAGTGTAAAGAAACCAATGCAATGACTACAAAAGCTACATTGTTGTGGGCACAAGAGACAACAGGATTTCCAGCACTTCACATAATTTATACATAATTACATATACATACACATATATATATATACGTATAATGTATATAATCGAAGATAGAAGATGACAAGCTGTCTGTCTGATGAGTGCTGATATTGTAATTTTAGGTAAAAGCCAGACAACAAACAGCATTATTATCATCATTGTCTTTATAATATATATATCTCAAACTACAGTTTTTAAACTCAGTATCTCATACCTAACTAGCTAGTGCTTTATTGACATGCATGCATGCATGCATGCAATCATCCTGTTCAATTTGTCCTAATTTGGAACAATTTGATTTTGCAGGTTGTTTTAAATTGGACACATATGGAGCAATGACTGGAAGTTCAATATTGTCGACTGATTCCAGGCTTAGTAAAAATGAGTTGAAGCTGTGTGTGTGTGTATGTGTTAATTATTGAATCAATTTTAACGAGTTGGATATGTTTTGTAGAAAATAAATAATAAGGTTAAGAATTGTTTACATATAGTGATGTTTTAGATTATATATATTGTATAGATAAAAATATAAATACAATATTATTAATATGACATAATAGAAAGTTTATAAGTGAAAAATATGTAAAACTTATAAATTTGGAGTTGCTAGGAATAATAAGAGAGTTGAGAAAGAAAAAATATACTTCTTTCCTCCCAATGTATCATTTTTATCCTCTTCATTTATCACTCAAAAGTATTTTTTTTTTTTTTAAGTAAAAGTAACAATATACTAATACCAAAATACCTTTAATTTTTATTTAAATTACAAATATACTATTACACATACTGTTAGAATATGAAACTGAAATTCTCTATTTTAATCATAAGAATACGTACACATTTATAGTGATATACAAATCGTCTAAATAACGTAAGAATCCTACGAATCTCTTAAATAAGATAACTACCATAAATATAATATATTGCTTCTAAATATATTTTAACGCATACAATTAATTTATAGATAAAGTCAAATAACAAAAATGATAAAAACAAATTATACATTTTCACTGACCAATAAAATATTATTATTTTTTAATGTACAATAGAATCTCAAATAGTCCTTTGGAGTGAGACAAAGAAGAAAAATAACCTGATAATTCTAAATTTTAAACAAATTAAACGAATAAGCCCATAGTATATCAATTATGGCAAAGGCCTTCAAGTGGCCCAATTATAAGTGGCCGGCAAGCCCAATGCGAATGCATCAATAGGTACACTCCAATTCAAATGGAATTGAGTTGGTTCAAATGTCCAAAAATTATATTGTCATTTTAAAAGAGTATTCATTTAAGTTCTCTGATCAAACCAAGATGCCAAGCATTCACAAATAACTAAATATGTGGGAAAATAGAATATATACAGAGGTGATAAGGATTGCAATGAGTACTGTAAACCATTTTAATTTGAGATATATATATATATATATGTATATGCATAAATAGGTATTAAACATGTTTAAGGTGTATAATCAATTGTTCACGTTTAATGAGTAGTATTTACAATAGTATTAAACGTTACCAATTAATTATCAAACCTTAAATAATAATACTATTAAACGTTAACAATTTATTATCAAACCCTTCACATTTCAGAACGTGTATGTAACAGTAAAAATTAATGATTAGCTAGCCCTTTCATATATATATATATATATATAAGATGTGCGTGTGTGTGGTCATCAATCAATCATCATCCTATTATACATTTCCACAATGGCCTACAGTCGTAATCATTGCAAGCTTCAAGCAATCCTGTTGGCCTCTTTTCTGGCATCATCCGCCACGATCGTATCTGGTGCAGGTCGAGTTGTAGAAGACGACAATGGCGTGAGCCTGATGTCACGGCTGAAGGTAGACGAAGATGGGAAAGCGAGTTCATGCTGGGAAGCACTGTTCCAAATCCAAGCTTGCAGTGGAGAAGTGGTGCTGTTTTTCATGAACGGGGAGACTCGCCTGGGAGCAGGCTGCTGCAGCGCCATTAGCACCATAGAGCACCAATGCTGGCCCTCCATTCTCGGAGCCATCGGCATCACCCCTGAGGAAAGCGACATTCTCAGAGGCTACTGTGACGCCGCCGCCACCGTCGCGGCCCCACCGCCGGACTCTTCTTGCAAGAGGATGATGAGTTGAAAAAAGTTGATTTGAATCAAATACTATATATATTTGTTTATATAAATGTTTAAATAAAAATAAAGCGTACAGTATTTTAAAAATTATTAAAGAAAATATTGGTAAATTATCATTTAAAAACATTTACAAATTAAAGAAAAAAATTATCAAACCAATAGAATATGTGAGTGTGTGTATATATGATATTAAAAATCGAAAAGGCAATGCCATGGCATATTATATAAAGTAAAATGTATTATAATATCAGTTTATAAAGTAAAAACAATAAATAAATCATTAGGCATAAGTTTTTATATAACACAGTTTATACTATATATTTTGGGTGACTGTTACGGTGCTGACAATGTCAAATTAGCGCTGATACGATACAAAACAATTAGTAATTCATCACGAAGCATATAGCATAGCACAAAATTAATATCCGCTTATGTTGTTATATATATAAATTTTGTTATATACATAATATGCAATGAGAATATATAACCGGATATATTTTGTAATGAAATATAAATTACTTTATATTAATATGCTAATTTTATCAAATCATATCAAACTAACTTTTGACCCTAACTGCCGCCTAATTTAAATTAACACCATATGCTGTATTAATTAAGTCGATATATTGTTTATCTCTTTCTATTTGTTGATTTGCTTCATTTATTGCCCTAACCCCCACAAGGATGATCAACGTCCACACACAATATCTTTATCATTTGAAAAGATCACAATTAGTGTAGGGATTATAACCTAATTTATTACCTGACCACTTCACACACACATATATTAATATATATATATACATCGTCTGTCCCACAATAATTACTTGGCGAACAGATAAATGAAAATCTCCAAACAGGAATATATCAATTTGGGGTTACAGATTAGCCTAACATTTTTCTCGCATTAAATGATTTTTGGTAAGTCAAAACTGCACCAAAGTCGATGGTCCATTCATCAGTGCAAACAACATCAACTTGTCCCGTAAGAACCTTTTTTGTTCGGACAAAACACGCAAAGCCTGAGATGAGATCATCAGGAGATCAACCTCTCCCAAATTGATCTACATACTTCCCCTTATCCATGCCCTTCCTGTCTTAAAAATTCACCAAAAAACAGGCAACTTTTTTCTACAAAACGTCTCTCAATTTCAACTTCTCATAAGGACAAAACATCGAATGCCCGAACCTATCTCCCGGGGACATGAATTCCCATGAAATAGTTGAAGTCGTGATGGTTGACGCGTAGTTGCTTTAGCCACGAATCCGCCACACTCAGTAGCGACATGATCCTCTCACGGTCTTGGACATTCTTGCTCGATATCCACATGTCTCCATGCATCTTGTAAGTTGCCAAACCGAAAGGAGGGAGAGATGTGCAATCCCCTTCCTTCATCTCCATATCTACCAAATTGTTCATGAATGTTAGCATTAGTGCTTAAAGTAACGAAAACGATTAAGTATAGTATAACCGTTTATATACACACCTTGAAATGAAGACGACAATGTATGGTATGTGAGGAAGCATGTTTGTAAGTCCTTGATGGATCTACCATTAGGGATGTGATAAATCGGGTACCTGTTTATTTTCCAATCCATGATGGTTCGAGAAATGTAATAAAAATTTGTAGACGAGGCAATTGAATCGCGTGGAGAGAGAGAGCCTCACCAAGCTACCGCCAACCAACTCGCCGGAGAAAGATCTACGCTCCTTAGCGACATTAATCCAGGGTACCTTTGGGCAAAGCTATGAATCTGAGAAGAAGATATTATGACAACAAAATGGCATAAGGATAAGATATGATGACCTCAAACCATCATGCTTCAGACAAGTTTTTACCACATGGTAGAATTAGAAACTTCCGATCTGTTTTACCTTGTCTGAAAGAGGAACTCTTCCGTATGGAGATGATCTCTCAAAGTGCTCAAAGTAAAGATTGCCTAATCTTTGGTTCGGATGCCAGACAAAGCTGCTGTGATCGAATGGTCCTTCCTCGGAGGAATATCCATCCGACCTTGATAGCTTATCGCTCTCACTCTCGTCGCTGCAAGAATCGCTATACGAATCCCTCGTCTCGCTCAAGGACTCACTGATCTCTTCCCTATGTCAGATCAGACTTCTAAGTTCTCTCTCTATATATATAGTTCGAAATTCTATAGACTACCAAGGAATTCAATAAACAGAGCTGTCTGTAAAAGGGAACAAATTTGAGCAAACAAATGACTGATGATGATCATAAAGTGCTAATCTGCAATCTGGATCATTACCTCAAACGCCTGCCGGTGAAAATTTGGATGGCGGAGAGGTACGGCACGAAATATTGGGTCAGAATTTCGCCGTCATCAGAACGGACGGGAACTCCGGCGCCGTATGCACTCCATTCGCTAAAGCTTCGCCAAAGATCGCCGAGGACGAAGCAGTCCACGACCTTTTCACTTTCCCATGGATGCCATAGGCTGTTCAGTTTCCTAATCTCATTCTACACGAATCATAAAATAATTGATGAAGAAGAAGCATTAGATAACTAGATACAGTAGAAAACTTAGATACCAGAGCTGCTGCAATGTCCGAAAAGCAAAAATACCTTGGACAGCAATTGAGATTGGACCAGAGGTGTTGTGCAATCCAAGAAGCTCTCAAGGTTTGTCTGCATTGGAGGAACCTTATCAAAGATCATCGTGATTCTCTTCAGATAAAGAGAGAGAGATCGAATTTCCAGAACCAGAAAAACACGCACAGGGGTTAAATAGTGAATCGAATTTTATGGCAGAGATGACGCGAGAAATTGAAGGGATTTTTTCCTCCTCCTTTGAATATGAGAGAGAGAGAGAGAGAGAGGAGAGAGAGAGAGGGGAAATTTGGCCTACAAAACCACGATTATGCAATCTTTTGACGTTTTGGGACAAACCAAGGGCAGAAAACGCAAGCCTTTCGTTTTCTATTCCAATAAAAAAGTAACAATAATTTCCCCGATGAAAGGAAATGTGATTGTAACTCCGATCGGCAGATTAGAGAACCCACAACACAAACACCCAATCAAATTATATTTCCACCCAACCAAACAATCAATCAAGGAGCACAAAGAACATCATCAATTCTTCACCACGCACTTTCATGCTTTCGAAGACAGCCCCGCGCGAATCACGTATCGGCACTGTGAAAAAAGCAGAAAGAGATGGTGCAGTAGTGCAGGAGAAGAGAGTAAAGGCAAAGAAACAGAAAGCCTAAGAAAGATTGGGAGATATATATATATATATATGTGTATCACGCGACGAAGAGAGCCAAAAGGAGCTGCAGCCATATCTGCGAATTAGAAATGATCCTCATCCTCCCCGCTTTTTCCATACTTGTTCTCAACGGAATCCCACAGCTTGCGATAAAAGGGAATCCACTTTTCTTCAAAAAGCACGAACAGCCACTCCCTCTGTAACGGACGCGCTGTGCTCTGTCGTCTCTGCATCAAAGTTAGTTTCGATCATCTATTTATCTACCGCTGCTAAAGTGGATGATGCTTTCAATCGAGAGTGCGGGTGCGTGTATGAGACGAATTGGGGGATTTTTTAGGCATCATTAACCCTAAAATCGAAGCAGCTGCAACAGCGGATTATATTCTCGTCGGATATTAATGACACTTACTAGCCCCAACCATGGCTTCTCTAGCTTTATCTCTGCTGTTCAATTCTCCTGCCACAAATCTGTCTCTATTTATCTCTACATTATTTTTTTATATATATTTGTGGAATAACTAGTAATTTATGGAGTCCTTTTGTAAATATTATCGAATAATATTTTTGTACTTTAGTTATAAAGTATTTATGATTTTATTATTATTACTTTTTTATTTTTAAAAAATAATAATTGAATTTTTATTGGAATAATGGAGGTGCGTTTGTTTTTTATTTTAATTTGAAGAAAAAAAAATTGATATAAAGTATAGAAAATTAAATAAATAATATAAAAATAATTAGTGTGTTTAATATATTATTTTTTTAAAAAAAAATATTTTAAAAAAATTTTGCAAAAGAAATAAACCTTGGGTGATTTTAATTTGAAATAAAAATATAATTTTTTTTCTCTCAACAATCTATTCATTTTTTCAATTTTAGTCAGTCTAGTAACAAAATATTCATTTATTTTTTTTTAGTAACTTCGTTACAAATACCCTTTTAATTTATAATATATTACACAAATGTCGTTACATTTATATCATTCAATATTAATAAGATTAGTTTAATTTTTTTACCTTTGTTTCTACTATGTTTCAATATAATACTAATATTTCTAAAATTTCATTAAAAAAACAAATTGATAAATAGATATGAGATAGAGGAAATATATATATTTTTTCATGTTACAATGCCCATGTTACTGTAGACCTTACATATTTAGGTAGGGTAACTTACAATTATTTGAGTATTGGATTGGACGTGAGTTTATTTATATACTCTATTTGGGTCTAGGAGTAGATCCTACTTGAACCCTAACAATATATTAATAATGTATCAATAATATTTAAGAAAAAATAATTTTTAAAAATATAGTATATTTTTTAGTTTAATGTATTTATTTATTATGATTTTATAATAATATTTTTTAATAAAATATATAAATTTTGACATATGTCAAATTCAATTTTGAGTTGAATTTTTAAATTTTATAAAAGTATTTTGGATCTATAGAGTCCATTGAGTATATCTATGATCAAGTCCAAGTATAGTTGAATTTGAGTATAGTCGAACTCGATTCAAATTTTGAGTCTAAAAATATATATTTGGATCTCGAGTTCAACTGGACACGGCCCATTGTGATCCCTATTCATAATCATAACTAAAACATATTTCGCAAGGAATTGTCCGTTGGTTTTATATTGACTCGTGACGGCCTCCAAGCCTTGCTTAATTACATTTATAAAAAGATATCATATGTTTTGTAATATATTAAAATGAAAATAATATTAGTTGTAAGTATATAAAATATATACTTTATTCAATAGAAAATATTGTATTTTATAGTATTAATTTATAACTTATACTATACAGGGATATTTTAATATCAATATATTATTTAATTTAATTTTTGTTTACTATTTACTTATAAAAAAAATTATAATAATGAAATAATTATATATTAATTACTAAAGGGGTCATGCATCGTTCGTTGGAGGCCACGTGTCCGCCAAGTTATCGACACCTGGCGGACACGTGGATTTTATTTTTAATTTTTATCTTTAATTTTTTTTAACAAAATTATATTTAATTTTTTTTTATTTTGGTCCAATTTAAAAAAATGAAAAGAAAATAAAAAAATTAAAAAAAAATTCATGCGGGCGTCTCCGGCGCTGGAGGACTAAAGCAACAGAAAAATTTCACTTATGAAACTAGTTTGAGACATGCTCCACTTACGGGACTAAAATTTTAAATGGTCCAGTTACGAAACTAAAAAAATAATTTATCCTAATAAATTAGATACAATTATTTGTAAATTCGAATTTTACTGTAATTTTTTAAAATTATTAAAATTAAATATTTAAATAATAAATTAAATAATACATTTTTAAAAATATATAAATTAAATAGTAAAAGAAAATTAAAATAAATATGCTGCATCAATAAAATAGTACTCCCTCCGTCCCAGATACTATGTCCAAGTTGCCGTTTCTGTCCGTCCCACGTACCCATGTCATTTTTCTTTTTTGGAAAATATTATATACTTTAATCTTATTTTAAATTTTTAAATTTTATTTTTTTTAATTTTAATTAAAATAATTAGTTATTTTAATCTTAATTTAGATACGATATTTGGGACGGAGGGAGTACTACTCTTTAGTGCATAATAAAAATTCAATAGAATACTTTTGAGTGAGGCTAAAGTATATATTAATAGACAAATATAGGGACAAAAACAATCCCTTGTTTATTGTTGACCTTATGAATATCGGTACTTTCGTGCGCATTGATTATCTTAATTCCCTATAAAGATGAGTATATTAAATACAATTAATATCCATATAAATATATTCAATAAATGGAACAACTAAAATAAATAAATAAATAAAAGCTATTTTATGTAAGTTTATTTGTGCCGTTTGGGTTTTCATTTCGATTTTTTAATTTTAAATAGTAAAATGTTAAATTAAAATAATTATTTAATATGATATAAATATAGATTAATTTTATATTTTCAATGTCAATTTAAATTTAAATATAATATTTTTTTGTCTCAGAAAATTTGTCCATTTTACCGTATATGCAAGAATTTAGGAAAACTATAATTAATATATAATTAAAAAATATATTAGAAAAAATAATTATGATATAATAAAAATAAGTATAGATACTAAATAATTTAATTAAAATTTTAAAAAATTATAAATTATTAAATTTAAAATATAATTAAAATGTATAATTATTTTTTTAAAAAAAACAACTTATATATAACGAATAAAAATAAAATATATTAACATTTTATGTGAGACAGAACTATAATAAATAATTAATTATATATTTATTATATCTGGGCCGCTAGAGTCCAATTAACATGGGTTTGATGGGGCAAGTCCAGTATACGAAAATTGCATGTCTGAATTCATTGGGCAGTGAAATTAAGTGTGTTATGTTGTGTGGTGTGGGATTCTATCCCAAAAATACTATTCATCGAATTTTTTTCTTAAAAATATCAAATCAAATATTTTTTTTTATATTATCTATTTATGTCACATCGTATCACTGTTTCAATTCAAAATTTTTACTATTCAAATCTCTAACTCAAAATCCAAACCTCTAGACAAACATTACAAGAATATATGTAGCTATCCAAAATCATTCAGTTCCAGTATCAATCACTTAATTATAAATATATACTACTAATTTGCAAAGTTGTGTAGTGACGATACAACAGGTCATTACACATTTTGTCTATATTTGAATACAATCATCACTAATTAAAATTAAATTTATTTACCATAGCCAAGGATCTGTCAATTGAATGAATGAAAGAAAGAAACCCTTAAAAATTTAATGCTCCCATGATGCTGTCCAACTCAACTTGTCTATCCGCCAGACTTCTTTTAAAAAAAAAATGTAAATGAAAGTTAGAAATTATTTTGCAAGAAATTACTGATATATCTAATGTAAAAGTTTGTCAACATATTCCACCCTCCACATGCACTTACAATAAATGAACGCCAGCTCTCTTGCAACAAATAACATTTACAGCTGCTGCCTTTCTTCCATGTGATCTCTCTGCCCGAAAATCTAATAATAATCATAATAATAATCATAATAAATCTTAGTCAAGGATATTGATTAACTTCTTCACCAATACTTTTCAGTGTTAATTGAGTGTTATTCCACGTGGGAAAAATACTGGGAGTTATCTTTGTTTTTAAGGTTGAAAGAACAATTTATTTTAATTACCAATTGATTTTAAAATGAAGCATTATTTGATAATGGCAGCCTGTTGAAGAACCATCTATTTATATATTTTTATCTATTTATTTTATCTCTGGATCGGATGTGAAGGGCCAGTTGGCGCATTCATGTTTTATGCATTTAATTCTTCAACAAAACTACCCAACTACCCATTTATATGCAACATACAGCTACATTTATATATATATATATATATATGTGCATACTGGGATTTATTGTTTATCTTTATCGTGTATCAATCAATGGCTATATACATGTTTTTTCTTTTTTTTTTTTTTAATTTTTTTTTGTGATGGTCAGTTTTGGACTGTGGGAATTTGATTGATTACTTGGTTGATTGTGAATTGTCTATTAACAGCAATAAGCTGAAATAAGTAGAAAATCATTACACAGACGACAGCAGACAATAATAAATAGTCTCTGAATAATTCCTCCATTTTACACATCAATCGATCAATAAATGAAGTCAGTAGCAGTTACGTTGCTCCCACCCAACTTTTGTCATCCCAAAATCTCAACAAATAAAATAAAATAAAAATTAATCACCTTCTTCATAAGCATAGCTAACTAATTAATTAACCCCAAGAAAATAGCAAAAAAACAACAATCATAATCATAACCATCATCATCGATCTGGGGAGTTAATGTCCTTCCTTAGCTTGCTGCAGATATTTCATGTAAGAAATATATATACATATATAAATATCCATCTTCTTCTTCTTCCTTAATTCAGTGGTAGGACCTAAGAATGGCGCCGCAGAAAGTGCAGACGATGGCCCTCCATGTTTTCCAGTAAAAAGGGACGTAGCAAAACCTGGTGGCTGTTTTCATGTCGGCCACGCTGGCCCCGCCGCCGCACCGGGAGCATATTCCGGCCGCCGGCTTGCTCTGCCTCACCTTCTTCGTCTGGTCGACCAGGAAGCAGAAACACACCATTCTTCTTTGCTTTCACTTCCTAAATATGGATTATATTGCCAAATAATAATTATAAAATAAAATTAAAAATAAAAAAAAAAAGTGAAGATTTGCTGGTGGAGCAAAGTGGTGGTTGATGTGTTTTTACTTTGCTTATGATTTTCCCCCATCAACACATCCACAGTATTTATAGGCACCACAGCTTGTGGGCCCTCCCTCCTGAGTCAATCAATATTTTACATATATATATATAGACCATGCTGCAAGAATTAATAAAATTCGAAATAAAATTTAATTTATATATATATAGAGAGAGAGAGAGATGAATTTCAAAACAAGAATGGCCTTTTCTAGAGAGAAAGAAGAAGAAGAATTAATGACTAAGTTTGTTTCAAGTAATTTCACCATCAATGCAGTTGGATATTTCTGTCACACATTACTCTAAATTAATTAATTAATTAAAAATAATTGAAAAAATTTGCAATAGAATGTGCCCTTTCCACTGAATATGGTAACTATTTATATAAATGTTTAAATCCGTAGCTAAATACTTAGAATTCACATTATTACCACCTAAATGTTTCTTGAAGTAAAATAAATAAGTAATTATATTTAAATAAATGTAAGCGGTTGGGAGTTAAGAATGGTAGTGTTGGATGATCAGTAATTAAGCATGTATGCATGCATGCATTTATTGTCAGTCAGTAATTGCTGCTGCCTCACAATTATTATGTGATGCTTAGTTTTTTGCCCTCCCTAACTGGTAACTATCCCTTAATTCATTATATATATATACACACACGCATATGTGCTAGCTGTAATTTTATTTAATTTTATTTTCTATATATATATATATATTCTTATTTTATGTAGGTTGTTCACAGCTTGCTTGTGTCATTTACTCAACTTTCCCTTCTCACGATGTACTACTACTACATAAATATTTGTAAAAGGAAAGCCAAATTAAATACAAGGGGAAGAAGAAGAACCAATTTCAAATTTTGATATCAACAAGTTCCTAGCTAGATATTACTAGTATAATAGTATTCCCTTTCTTAATTAATGAACTTTTTCTTAGGGATTAAGAAAAATGATCCTTTGCTGATAATAATAATAATAATAATAATAATAATAATAATAATAATAATAATAATAATGTAGATTGGTCCGGAAAGATGGGAGCTAAGTGAGTGAATAAGGAAGGGAAACAGATTCCATTGGCTTTCAATTATTGAGCCATCACCGTGGGGTATACCAAACTTGTTTAGTTTGTTTGGTTGCTTATTATTTACCCTCCGTCTCTTATCTATGTATAGATTTGTTTTTTTGCACAAAAATTTTAAAATATTAGTATTATATTGATGTATTGTATGAATAGAGTAGAAAATACTAAAATAACCTTATTAGTATTGTGTGATATAAAGGTAATGACATTTGTGTAATATATTGTAAGGGAGCGGGCTAAAATAGAAAAATTGATAAATATTATTTATGAGAATATTAACATTTAATATAGTCAAATCTAAGCTAAGCCCAAACCAAACCATGCCCAATCCAAACTCAATTTCATATTTATTCTTGTGATGCAAAACAATATATGGAACAGTGATATTTTATGAGTTTTCCAGCATAATTCACCCTTCTCTCACTTCTTCCTCTTTCACCTACACCAACATATTCTAATGACAAATTGTATGAATTGGATAGTAAGTAAAAGAAACAAAATTTCCAAGAGAATTGTCCTCTTTAAATATCACCTTCAATTACTATAAGTATAATAAGAACAAACCAAAAATTTCAATTCAAGTATAAATGTTCTTCTACAAAGAGTTTGTTTGTTTTGTATTTAAATTTGCTTTTTTTTTTTTAACCAATATTATATTTTATAAGATAAAATAATATATTTTTAATAGAAATAATATCAACTGATGTAATTGATCAAACAAAAAAAGTTATACTTAGGTTTCCAATTTTATTTTTGTATCATTTGTCATTAATTGTTTTCTAATCAAAAAGATTAAATGAAAATTTTAAAAAGAATCACAACATTTATTCATCAATATGAAACAAAAATTTATATATATAGTATGTTATTCGGCTCAATCCCAAATCGATTATAACTACACCGTGAGGGACCGAAAATGGGTGAACAAAGTCGAAATCATATCCAAACGTCTTGACGACACTAAAAACTTCAAGATTTAAGACATGGTCAATTATAACATTGCGCTAATCAGTTGAGAAGAAATGAATACATGCACAATTCTCTCACGGAACAAAGAAGAAAAATGAACTTTCAAAAAAAATTAAAAAAAGAACAAGAAGAAGAACACAAATGTTAAAGAATAAAATCAACGGTCATAATTAGAACTCTCCATCGGACGGATAAGATTTGATCTCGCCATTTAGTGGATTGGGTCAGGTCCAATTAATGGGCCACATGTATTGGACTAGGCTCGCTATATATTGTATTGGGCCTCAATACATTATAGGTCAAAATCCCCGCAATCATAATTTGTATTTTAAAAGATTACTATATATCAAATTAATATTTACTTTTTACTTCAAGTATTATATAATATCATATCTAATAACTACGTATATAACATTAAATATATATTATTTTTTTCATACCTTTTTATCAATTTTTAATTTGAAACAAGTTAAAATTTTAAAAGTATAAAAATGTCCAAAAACTTGTGTCTAAATGAAACGAAGCCTTAAGACAGTATAAAAACATGCAAACCCTCTGATGCTTATCTGTACAGACGGTCTATGGCACTTTCTTGTATCTGTGAGTTGTCCAAAAAAGATGGAGCTGAGGAATTCAGCCAAATAATTTTGGCCAATAGACGTACAGAAAAATGTATGGATCAAGACATTTTGAAATAATGATTTTTTTTTTACAGATAATAAAATATATCTTACTTTGTTATTAGAAACAAATAGCACTAATAGCAAAAATTTCAAAAAGTGATATGAGTAAAATCTTGATAAATTATTCAATTGGTTTTTTTTTTTAAAAAAAATTCATATAATATAAATAAAGAAAATTACAACATATTGGAGATTCTTCTCCGCCTTCCTCCAACGGGCTACAGCGCTACGCCGCCCTCCGTCGGCCACCTCATCCCTGCAACGTCCAATCCTAGACCCTAATCGGCGGCTTCCCAAATCCTCCGCAACTCAGAGCACAGGGCTGACCGTCGCTTTGATCCCAGAAAAGATACACTAATAATTTTGAAAAATTGTTTCTTTGGTATGCTTAGGGCAAAGACTGATGAGGCTGTTGTCGAAACGCCATTTCGCATCCATCTCTAGCGCGCACTATCACTCCACATCATCCCAAATCATTCAACTTTGTGGGCAAGGTTTAGTCTCCGAATCTATTACCCTTCTTAATTCCATAAATGCCACGCCGCACCAACGAAATGTAGCTGCAAATCCAATAACGTACGCGTCCATAGTAAATGTTTGCTCGAAATCACTTCACTTCACTCTCGGCCTTCAGCTGCACTGCCATCTGATTAAGTCCGGACTGGAAGCAGATCGTTTCGTCGGGAACAGCCTTTTAGCCCTCTACTTCAAACTAGCCAAGGATTTTAACGACACTCGAAAATTCTTCGACGGGATGTTTTACAAGGATGTCGTGTCTTGGAGTTCTATAATATCTGTATACATTCGCGTGGGGAAGCCATGGAATGCAATTGATTTGTATCATGAGATGTTGGCTTTTGGGATTGACCCAAATGCGTTTACTTTGTCTGCAGTGGTCAAGGCATGTTCGGAGGTTGGGCATTTGAAACTGGGGAAGTGCTTACATGGGGTTGTCGTGACGTATGGATTTGAGTCCAATGAGGTGATTGCGGCTGCCCTAATTGATATGTACGGGAGGAGTTCCATGCCTAATGAATGTCACCAGCTGTTCGATGAAATGCCTGAACCAGACGATGTCTGTTGTACCTCAGTTATTTCTGCACTCACAAGGTGTGATTGTTATCAACAGGCTTTGGGTATGTTTTATCTGATGTCTAGGAAGTATGGCTTTTGGCCGGATTGTTTTACTTTTGGAAGTACTTTAACTGCTTTGGGAAATTTGGAAAGATTGAAGCAAGGTAAAGAAATGCATGCTCTTGTAGTCACGGGGGGCTTTCACAGGGATGTGTTCGTTAATAGTAGTTTATTGGATATGTATGCAAAGTGTGGGGTGATAGAAGAGTCCCGGCGCGTTTTTGATAGAATGGAGAGGAAAAATCCAGTTTCATGGTCTGCTTTGCTTGGTGGTTATTGTAGGAAAGGTGAATTTAAAGTGGTTATTGATTTATTTAGAGACATGGAAAAAGACCTTTATAATTTTGGAACTGTTCTGCGTGCTTGTGCTGGTTTGGCAACCGAGAAGCTTGGGAAGGAGGTTCACTGCCAATACTTAAGGAGATGTAGTTGGAGAGATGTTGTGGCAGAATCAGCCCTGGTTGATTTGTATGCCAAGTGTGGTTGTGTTGATTTTGCTTACAGAGTTTTCTTGAAGATGCCTGTTAAGAATTTGATCACGTGGAATTCAATGATTGGTGGATTTGCTCAAAATGGACGAGGTGCTGAAGCTGTTAGTATTTTTTGTCAAATGATTCAGGAGAAGGTTAAACCTGATAATATAAGTTTTCTTGAAGTTCTATTTGCTTGCAGTCACTGTGGTTTGGTGGACCAAGGGCGCAAGTATTTTGTTGCAATGCATAAGGACTATGGGTTGCAAGCTGGACTTGAACATTACAGTTGTATGATTGATCTTTTAGGTCGAGCGGGCAATATAGAAGAAGCTGAAGATCTGATTATGAATGCAGAATTCAAAAATGATTCTTCTCTTTGGGCATCTCTTCTTGGTGCTTGTGCCACGACAACAAATCCAATTGTCGCAGAGCGCATTGCCCAGAAAATGATAGAATTGAAACCCGATTATCACTTAAGTTATATTCTTCTAGCGAATGTGTACAAGGCAGTTGGGCGGTGGAGAGATTCTCTTAATGTTTGGAACCAAATGAAAAGAATAGGGGTCAGGAAAATGCCAGGAACGAGCTGGATTGGTGACAGCATGTTTAGTTCTTCATCTCCCTGAAATTTCAAGATACACCTCCAGAGATGAATGAATGGTAATAAACCACGTGGTCATTTTTTATTTTTCATTACAACTACAAGGAATGCTTATTATCATCATTCTACTCGTTTAAATCTATGCATGTGAATTTAGTGTTGTGGTTTTATGGAGTCCTCCCTGAGACGGTGCAGAAGTTGAAGTTGCTAAAGCCTAAAAGCTTATAGAAGCTTTGGGTGTGATATGTAAGGTTTTATACTATTATGTTCTATCAGTATAGGGTGGACTTGGACAATAAGAAGGATCTTGTCATGAAATATAGAGACAGTGGATCCATAGTTAATGCCCAAAACTAAGTAGACATGATAGCCTATCTGTAACCCTGCTTTAATTGCTTAGGGTAGGAGTTGGATAGTCCATGGCCTGCTTTGATTAACTGGAAGTTTTGGAGAGAGCATATTCTCTAAGTAAAGTCATGTCTTTTGCATAGATTAAAATCAATCTGGATGTCTTTCTTATGTCATTGTTCTATTGCTTGATTGACAGGAAAATAGAGCAGAATTTTAAAAAGAAATGGTAGTTAGGGCATGAAAAATTGCTCCTTTTAACTACTTTGTTAGCTGGATATCACTCAACTTGCAGTTCCTGGTTTTCATGGAGATGTGGGCTGTGGAGAAAGTTGCCAAATCTGGATTAGATACTTTTGCCCACACCATGCTAACTTATAGCAATCCCTGGATGATAGTGAAAACAATGAAGAAAGTAAGGGCTGCTGGTGTCGATGTCATGACATTTTGGCCTGCATATGCAGCCGTTGAAGCATCACATGCCAGTGTCAGAATGCATAATTCCAGAAGCCTTTGATAAGTATCAGAGTACTGGGCATGCAAATGGTTCATTTCTTGTGGTGATATGAATGGTAACAAGCAATTTCTCATAGTTTTCTTTCAGTCATTTTCACATATAGCCTTCTTTTCCAAGCATAGGCATTTGTTTTCTTTTTTCAATGCTGTTATAATCTGAATAGAATTACTTGATTGTGGGGTTCCTTTTAGGCTGTGTATGAGAACTCACATTATGGATTGCCTTTTGTGATAAATGCAATATACTATCTACAATTAAAAGCTGAATACATAACACATGGCAGAAGCTATACTACTGATTTATTTGAAAAGGTGGTAAGGTAGAGCTACAGTATAATATGTTCTCCTTTTTTTACTTTATCATAAATAGATAAAGGATGGGTGTGCATATTTGTCTTTTGGGTTGTTTTAGATAAGAATTATTATGTGGAAAATAGTGGTTGGATGTGGTGCTATATTAGGTGTTAAAAATGAGGTTTGTGAGCAGAAAAAAAAAAAAAAAAAAATCCTTTTATTGTAGATAACATAATGCAAAAATATATATATGTTGAAAACACAAATGGACAAAAAAGTAATGCTTTGATTCAAACATCATGTGACATGTACATAATGACTTGTATAATAATATAATGACAGTTAATTGTACATTATAACTTACTATATGTATGAAAAATGAACATCATTATAGTGTACTTAATAAAACTTAACAACGCAGAGCATATAAATCCACAATTCATATAGTGTTAGATTTAATTCTCTGAAAATTGTCTGCAATTTCACATAATGCTACTCTACTTATGTCTGTAATTTCTCAGTGTCATTCTTGTAGACATTTACTCCCTATAATGCTTGCCTTGAGAAATTTGTTTGAACTCTCCTCCATCATCATAATCTAAGCTTTTCTGTCACATTGTGGGACCAATTTTATGGATCATATTTTGTAGTTGTGTTCAAACAAGACAGGTAGTCTCATCTAGATTTTAGAGGTAGCAAGATGTGATATCCTTGTTGATCCTTCCCTTCTATGGGGATATCCTCCAGACCACTTCAACCTTTTAGCAGGATCAACAAAGTTGTTTTCATATCAAATAAATGACTGCTTGTAGAAACTAAATGGTATTTCTTATTTTCATAGTCTTGACTGAAAGGGAGAGGATATTAGTTGCCACAAAACCTGACCTTGGCTGCATGTGGTGTGCAGGGATTTCAAAATTAAGCATCTGGCCCATCGTCAGCTCCTCATATAAGGCTGGGAATTCTACATTAAGTCATTGATAGAGTTCGTGCTGCATCGCAACTTCTGGTGACTAATGACCACTTCCACAAACTCCATTTAAAGCTCATTCTGAGTATCCAGAGAAGGTTCTTTCCACTCAAAATGCATTCTTTGCAGGAAAGCATCTGCATAAGGTACTGTTCCAGCTGGTAGTGATGTTTATCAGGCTGTTTCCTTAGTTGCACATATCCCTTATATTCTTTTCTTTTATTTTTATACATTGCAATAGGTATTGGATTACAGTAACTATTGTTGTTTAGAAAATCTGTTAGGAATCACATAGTACTCAGTGTTGGGCATCTTTAAATGTTTCCTTAATATATGTTAGCTTTATAATTCTCATCTCCTATCATTACCCAATGAAATGTAGAATTTAGTGGAGTTTGAAGTCTTGACATGTTAAAGGATTGTTCTACAGTCGACATAACTGATGCTTATTTTATTTGACAGTAATTAGAGTCTGAGTACATTTAGGTACTGCCTGGAAGGAGGGGCGGGGTGGGGTTGGGGGGTTAAGCATTATATACAAAACAGGCAAGAATATACATACACAAATCATAGTCTTCCATCTAACGGCGATCTCTATAATAACAAAGCTCAAAATGTTTTTATTTACTGCAGTCTCATTTCACTTCTCTCGGCATATGGTCACTCTAACCAGTCGGCCTCAACACTTCCATGGAGTGGCACCCAGGAACAAATTAACTGGTGGACAATATCAATGACTATGTTGAGGATCTTGACAGAAGTTGCATCTAAGATAACCTTTCAGCAGCATATGGTGGTGGTGCCGGCACCGGATGTGCGAGGAAAGTAGGAAATCGTTCTCCGGGCATTAGGACTGACACTCCTCTCGGATAGACGGTCATCTGCACATTACAGGACAAATGACATAATGCACGAAGATCTTTCTTATCTGGAGGCACATTTTGAACCTAAAAAAGTTATGACTGTAAATACACAGCAATAACTGCATTGTTTACAGCAAGATTTTTTCACATCCCTTTTATGTTGCTTGTTTTTCACAATGTCCTGTGCTATGATATTAGATAAAGTTTGAATATCTAACATAATGAATGCAACAACTATTTTCAGAAGTTATGCCGACCCACATGTAACTTTCCAGCACCAATTGTGGTTCTTTGAGCATCAAAATGATCTGATTGACAGAATTTATGAGAGAGTAATAAAAAGTAGCAATATGATGGCTTAAGCAGACAACTCTAGAACAACATCACATGCTTAGGACAACAAAGGGTCCCATTCACACACACACACAAAAAAAAAAAAAATCCCTAAGCAATAAAAGGCATATATCATCTGTACTGAACTAATATTGCATTCTGAATCAAATAACATAAACTTTTTAAGATTCTAAAGACAAGACCCAAACATGAATGCGATTTGTTGTAATAGAAATAATCAAGAAACACGTGACCAAGTACATTCCAACAAAATCTAAGGTTTCAAAATGAATACGGCTGCTTCCAATGTTAAGCACTTACTCTGATTAATGATATAATTTCGAATGCAGGCAATTGATGCAAAATAATAGTCCTAGCAGATTTTCTACAAGGTGGGGTTCAATGCATCGTGGGCGAAAACCGACATATCGACCAAAATGAAAAAACCATAGATAAAATACCAACATATAAAGCATAGTGTGCTTGTTACAGGATCGGCTAAGATGCGAGTACAATTGAGGGCCAACTATATTCCTCATACTATAATGGATTAAAGGGGCCCTGAGGTAACCTCAGTGTCAAACATCAGCTTGGGCTTTCGACGACACAATCGAATTCGGAAAAGCTAAAGATGTTTGCAACTTTACCATTGCAACCATTAAAGCAGATAATGATGCTGCAATAGACAATTTGGCTGTCAATATTTCTTGGTAAAAATATGAAGTCAGTAAGATAATTACATTATTGTTAACTTGCTTGTTTTAGTCACATAACACACATCTTTAAGAAATTCCAAAACTCTTTCAATTGTTTAAATATTTTGTGTCTACTGAATCATGTAAAATTATATGCTTTCTTGAAAGTGCCCAACTTACCACCTGGAATCATATTTCAAGAATTATTTCTAATATAAAGGTAACAACAAAAGCTAATTTATGCTTCACAAGCTTGGAACTTGGAAGGCCTCATCATCATGTCGAGTTAAGTGAGAAGTTTTATACTATAATTTTTTTATTTTATTTTTTCTAATTGTTTTATTATTGGTTTTGAAAAAGAACAAATAAAATCCTAACAACAGTAAATAGTGTATGTATATATATATATATATACCTTAGGAGAAGGATGGTCTAGTTTTCTCATGTTGGTCGAATCACTGTCCGGGCTGCTGCCGTCGCCGCCTCTGCTGGCGGCGGCATCAGGTGGGGAACGTGGACGGAGGAACCTCTCGAAAACTGCCATGACAAGGAACAGAGAAATGAGGATAGCAGTTGCAACGAACCCAAACGACACCGCATTGACGGAGTTGTCGAAGCTCCTCCAATGCTCGTCTCTGTTCACATCGCCGCCGCCGCCCACCACCCCAGGCGGAACCCTAGGAGCCGCCGCGGGTTCAGCAGCAGCACCTAAACCTAAACCTATGCCAGCACGCCTCACCATTCACTCAGAATCATAAGTAACAAAAATCGCAGTGTGGCTTCAGAATGATTTTAGCAATGGAGAGGCGGGGCATTTCATTTCCGGGAATGGAGGAGGACAAGAAACTGGGAACAGATAAAACCCAGTTTTGACTTGGTTGATGGAATTGAGGAATCTGAATAACATTTAGCACATAAATGTGGCGGGAGTTGTTGGAAGAGGAAACAAATCAAGAAGAAGAAATGGTGCGGAGATTGATCGAATTTCGAGAGCTGAATTTATGCAATGTTGCCTGGTTTCCGGTGGGCTGTGATTGTGAGCCACAAGAAAGGGTGATGGATTTTAAAAAACCTTTGGGCGTGGGTGTCATTGCTCGTCACGGAGTTCCAAAAACTGTGATTGATTGAAATGATTCAGAAAGATATGAGTGAGAGAGAGGAGAGAGGAGAGTGCTCTCCCTGGAGGAGGCTTCTTGAGAAATACACGGCGATACTGCTGCATTTATATACAGGGAAGTCTGTGATAATTAATTAAACTTTATAAATTAAATCAATTATTTATTATATTTAAAAATATATTAATTATAATTTTATTAATTATGATATTCTTAATGACATTTAATATATATTTATTTTATTAAGAAATAAAAAAAATAAAAAAATTTCAAAAAAAAAAATTTGGTGAGATGGATCCCACACCGATCTCTTTTATATATATATATAGATTAGGGATATAAATAGACAAAATTATAATTTACTTTAATCATAAAATTAAATCAATTATTTTATTATATTTAAAAATATATTAATTATAATTTTATTAATTATGATATACCTAATAACATTTAATACATATTTATTTTATTAAAAAATCAAAAATCAAAAAAAAAATCAAAAAAAATTTGGTGAGGTGAACCCACACCGATCTCTTTTATATATATATATATATTAGAGGTATAAATAGACAAAATTATAATTTACTTTAATCATAAAATTAAATCAATTATTTTATTATATTTAAAAATGTATTAATTATAATTTTATTAATTATGATATACTTAATGACATTTAATACATATTTATTTTATTAAGAAATCAAAAATAATAAAAAAAATCAAAAAATTTCACAAAAAAGATTTGGTGAGATGGACCCAATACCGATCTCTTTTATATATGTATATAGATAATAGTCCATTCATCTCACGTACCATGTCCACGTTGTCGTTTCTGTTTCGTATTCCATATAATTTTTTTTAAATGATTACACATTTTAATTTCATTTTAAACTTTTTAATTTATTTTTTTTTTAATTTTAATTAAACTAATTAGTTATCTTAATTTTAATTTATAATTATTTATATTATAGGATAATTATTTTTATTAATGCATTCTTAATTATTTACTGATTATATATCTCATAAAATACAGTGTGTACACGATATGTAGGACGGAAAGAATAATTTATTATAACCATTTTTTCCCCTTTTGTACTATAAAATATTTTTTTAAAAAAATTATTTATTTAAAATATATTTAATAAATATAAATAAATATATTTAAATTTGTAATTTTCTACTGATAGAACTTATTCAAAATTTTTGTAAATAATTATTTTTATTTATATTTAAAAATCTTCAATTTTTATAAAGTTAATTTTAAGTTAATTACAAATTGATATTTTTGTCCAGACTCTTTAATTATTTTATAATCCGGTAGTGTGTCAATTAGTCTTGAATTTTTTTTACACTTTTAGTTTTTCGGCATTGAAAATATTTACGTGACATTCACATGACTTGTCGAATAACACATGTCTACCCGATTAGCAACACTTGACGGACATATGAATTATATTTTTATTTTTTAGTTTATTTAATTTATCCTTTTTGTAAAATAAATAAAAATCTAGATGTTGCCGAATAATCTTTTGTAATTTTAAAATAGCCAGTCTAGCTAGTGCTGTGCCCCAGCAATCACAGAGATACAATAAATTAAATAATAGTATTAATATAATTAATTACAATTAATGTGTTGTGTAGCACTAAAAGTGTTGTCTCCGTAATATAATTCTACCGCGCCGTACGCTAGCTGCTTCGGGTGGCGATGGAAGATAATTTGACGACCTCAACACATAATTAATATAATTACAAAAAAAATAAAATCAAATCATTTGGATCACAAATATAGTGTACACAATTAATTATAAAAACCATTGGATCAAATAAACCTTAATTCACTTGTAAATTTAATGTTTCAACTTAAGTAGTTGCATGCGTTATACAACAAATATATAAATACTTTATATGAATTGATCGGCCACGTAAAATTAATCAATCAATTTATTATTCAATTAACCTTTCATTACAGGGGTGTATTTATAAATTTGGTATGTATACACTGGTTTGTTTCTTTTACCAAAAAAATGGGTGTATTTCTTTCGGTTAAATTTGAAAAAAATTTATTTAAGTTTGATATTAAAATAATGTTTAATAAGATATTTTGTGTGAAAAAATATATATTTTTTAAAAAACACAAAATTCAAATAACATAATAAGTTCTTAGTAAATAAGTGAGGGAGTATAATTGAAGTGGGGGTCGATCAGTGCATGGGCAGGGACTGGGACAGGGACAGGGACAGGGGCATGCATGGCTGCTCTGCCCTGCTCATCCTCGATTTAACCAATTATTCGAGACTGTATCAGTGCATATATATGTGTATGTGAATGTATCTACGAATAATACTAAAACTTGGTGGTATCGATCTAAATATATTATGCACTGGCCAATACTCATGTGTAAATAAATCAAATAATTTATTATCCCATAAACATATACACCTAATTGTCCATATATATATATTCTACCATTATATCCAACCTTGCTAATTCTTTAACTATAAACATTAGAATAATAATAAAAGGAATGATTGCATTCCTGTTGTAATAAAAGACAAGAAGAAGAAGTTTATCGGTTGGCCATTTAATTTGGTTCACTTGTAATATCATTTTCAAACACTGAATGTACCTCAGATTTCTTCCTTCTTCTTCTTCAACTTCTTCTTCTTCTTAATTTCTACAAGTTAGTTATATGTTCTTGACTTGACTTGACATGACATGTGAAGGTGATGAGAATTTAGTCTTAGAGCACCAACAAGTGAGTGAGTGCATTTAGACACTTTCTCACAAGTATTTTTCGACTACTGTTAATTAGTTGATTACATGCAGATCTACTCATTTAATCAATTATAGGCTTCAATTGTTGTTTAAACTCATTTTACGTTTCACAATGTTCAATACTATAATTTATTATTATTATTATTATATTTCCTTTTATTTTAATTTTATTTGTATTTGAAATTATTTTGTTGGATTATGCTCTCTCATGACATCATGCAGTTGGGAGGTGAGGAGTGATAACCTCATTGGTAGCAAAGGGTAATGCCCATAAATATATTTCTGAGACTAAGATAAGGTAGACGAAAAAACAACAACTTACCCATTTTGAAATTGAAAGAAGAGGTATTTTATTTTTTATTATTTCTATTGCATTCGTCACAACACAATGAGTAGGCTATTTAATTTGTTTAGACCACAATTTTAATAAAATCCACTCATCGGATATATACATTAATTAATTGCATCTTAATATACACATGTAAGTTTAATTATGATTTTTGTTACTCTAATTGAATCTTTTGCGCATATATAAATACAACATGATAAAATAAGCACCAAAGTTTAGTGAAATGTGAAATAAAAATATAATAGTATCAATTTAAAATAATAATTAAAAAAAAAAACCCGTCAAGGTCAACCGTAAGATTCTCTCTTCAGAACGCAGCAATGGCCGCACAGTTCCTTCTCACCTTCTTCCTCGTACGGCTCGAAGCACTGCCACCCGACGCCGTTCGCCGCCGTGTCGAAGGCGTACACCTCCGACCTCAGCCTGGCGCCGTCGCCGGGCATCCTGTACCCCGCAAGGAAGTACAGGTAGTTCTCAATCGGCGCCATCGTCAGGTACACTCTATGCCGGGCCATCTCCACCGCCGACGACGGCGACAGGCAGTCGCAGCGCGATCCCCGGACAATGTTCCACAAATTCTCCTTCTCGTCGTACGCGTCGATGTGTCCCTTCCAGGGCATGAAGCAGTCGCCGGAGCTGAAGAGCTTCCCGTTCACCGCCGCGATCTGATACGGCGGCACGTCCAGGGCCCACATTCCGGCGACGAAATCCCACCGGTTCCGGCGGCTGTGGTAGACCTCCGCCGAGCTCCGCTTCATGATGAACGGCCCCTGATTCTCGCCGTCGTCGACAAATCCGCCGAACACGTGGATCTTCCCCTGCCAGGCGACCCCGACGCACTTATACCTGGCGGTGCTCATGTCGGGGAGAGATTCCCACCGGTCCAGAGCCGGGTCGTACACCTCCGCCGACGCGATGCCCGTCGCCCGGCCCAGCGTGCTTTGCCCGCCGGCGACGTAGATTTTCCCGTCGCTGACGGTGCAGGCGAAATTGAACCGCTGGTGCGCCATCGGCGCACTTGACTCCCACGTGTCGGTCCTGACGTCGTATCTGTGCACACAGGCGACGACTCTCGGGCTGCCGGCGGTGTCGCTTTGGCCGGCGGGCTTCCGGCAGAGGCGGCCGCCGATGACGTAAATGTGGTGGTCGAGAGGCGCCATGGCGAAATCTTTAAGGACGAGGGTTTCGTGTTGTCCGGGAATTACGATGGGAGTGGCGGCGCGCCGCCATGAATTGGTGGAGGGGGTGTAGCATTGGATGAAGGCGGAGGTGTGAACTCCGGCGGCGTTCTTGGCGCAGAAGGGGATGTAAATCTCGTAGTTGTCGGCGGAGGAAATGTCTCGACTGACTCGAGAAAGTCGAGAACATGAGCCCATTGTTGAGGTTTTGGAGGGCCCGGAAGTGCACAGAGTTGGGGTTTGAGGGACTAATATAGTCATGGAAAAGAAGTAAAATGACGACGGAAGCAACAAAGATTATTCAGAAGAATTTGATGTTATCGATGGAGGTGAGGATTGTAGTTTAATCCCATGTTGTTCCTTGTCTTGCTACAATCCCATTTCGATGAAAACAAGGGAACAAGTGTCGTTAGTACAATAAGCATGGGATTGGGCCTAAGTGGGCTGGGCCAAGTCTAAAGAATAATAATGAGATGAGAATGTGAATCCAGGTGGGTCCCGAAGGTATTTATTGAGAAAGTTTGATGGCCCATATTTGGTTATATCCGTACGGTGAGGATATATGTGCCTTTTAGAATGGGAATGGTTATGGTTGTGTGGCAAAACTGTGTCCTTACATTTCGGGAAAAGTTGACCTTCCTTGCACCCCCACCCACCCACCCCAATTACTTGCCTTTTTATTTCCCCATCCATTCCATTGTTATCAATCAATCATCAATTATCATGCAATTCACTTCACTTCCATCTACAATACTCTATACCAAGCTCATCTCTGCTCTGCATATTTTCCATTGCTGTCTTGCATGAGGAGGTAGAGAGTGGATTGCAGCCAAGGATGACTTGCCGGCAGCAGAGTGTTCTTCAAGATTAATCTCTGACATCGCCCTGCCGCCGGCGGGTTGTCCTTGGCTACCATTCATTCTGTTCTTGCCATGCCAGACATACTCGATGGACTTTACATCCTTGTATCCTACGGAAGAAGGAAGGGAGGACTCATTCCTTTACTTAATTCATAGCATTATTTTCATCACAACTTCAAATTTTCAGGAAAGATAGTGGAATATATACATACCACTATTTGTTGTTTTGAATTGTTCTCCTTCTGATTTCATGGACAAAACACATGCTTCTTTTGCAATTTCTCAAGGACACTACATTTTTATCACAATCCACATTTCCAATTTTTTTGCTGGTGAATTTGCTTGCGGACATTCGACAATGGGAGCTATGGCTATGGCTGCACTACCAGACATGACCATGGGATCTAAAAGCCTGTAATTTTAGTTTTCATAAAATCGTAGGTTGCCCTTCAAATGTATGGACATTTACCAATCAAATACATTTAGATTAAACCATCTAACAGCAGTAGCTAATACATGATATCCATAAATCAAGTTCTCACACGAACCCTCTCCCCCTTAAAATGGATGTATTTCCATTTAGATTGGTATTTCATCAAGAATAACTTCTGCTTGTCCTCTTGACCTAATACCTCAAAGGCTCTTGCAATTTTTCTCACAGTATCTTCATCCGGCTTCACGCCCAGCTCCTCCATATCAGCAAATACCTGAAATTTCAGTACCAGACACCAAGACTCATCCATCAGATAAAGCATTTTTAGTCCTTAAAGATTTACATAATATGATGAAACAAACAACTCAACAGATAAAAAAGGAATTGTAAGACTAATGCATATATAATCAATTGCAAAAGCTACAACAAGAAAGTACCTCTATAACTTTATTTGGCATATTGTTATGATAATACAAGGATATAATCCTAGAAAACAGCCTCTTTGAGATTGATCGGTTATGTGCATGTAAAATCATGTTCCATAGTGTTTCTCCTTCGTCTATCCTTTTTTCCATGTCAAAGGCAAGTAGAAGGGCATCGTATGTTGCCATTGTACCACCCTGGCCTTTGCTCAACAGCCACTTGGCCACCTGATACACACCACAGCATCAGTTAAACCTACATGTTCTCGGCTATTGGCGCAAATCCAAGAATATGATTATCAACCTGCCTGCTGATATAACAACAACATCATGTTTAGATCTCGTATTTTGTAAAATCCGAAAAAAGAAAAAAAAAAAAAAACAATGTCTTCAGCATGTCTATAGGCCAAATTAAAATTTTTTTAGTTTCTTCATTTAGTGATGCCTCAAATTAAAGAGTTTGTGACCTACAATCCACATAAGACATTCAAAAATCTGAATCAATTTCACAATATAATTTACACATAACAATACCACACGAAAATTGTAAGATCATGCAAATTTCATACTTGAATTACTCGTTTCCACTGATTCCTCTTCCTCAATATTTTCAAAGCCTTTGCTGCAGCAATTAATGGGAATTCAGTCTCCCAAGCTATCCACTTATCTAGTGCACCGTAAACGGCAGCCTTTTCATTTGGAAGTCCAGAAATCTGCCAGATTGATTGCTTTTGAGTGTACAAGGAATGAGCTCTACTATTATGGAACTTTAGCAATATATATGTGTATGTATATACATACAATAAAAACGAAAATTATATATGCAGCTCAAAGATGAAAACATTTTTTATGCTAGGGGAATAAAAAAAGGGAGACAATGTCATTCAACAGCTTATTTAAAACCCAAAAACAACTGAACGTACAGTTTGAACAAGATTCAGAGCTTTTTGTCCTGAACAAGCAGAATCCCTCTTTTTCCATAAGTGATGTTCCTTCTTCCCCGACCTCCGAATTGTTTTTCTGTCAGTTCATATAAATAGAATGCTATAAAAAAGAATTCTGCATTCAGCTAAGGTAGAGATCAGGAATAAGAAATGGCATGATTTCCCCTAACAACAAATACTCATATCACTTCCATAGACGAAATGCAGTTAATTATTATAAAGTAAAATAAAGTAGAATTACAGATAATGAAAGCTAATACAAATTAAAGCAAAAATAACCAAAAAAAAAGAGTAAAGCACCTACTTGTCTCCAGCATTGGGTACAACCAAAGAATGGTCACTTCTCTCATGGTTGCTTAGAAGAACAGTGCCTTGCAACTAAGCAAATATAATATTATTTTAGAAGTACTCAAAGACTAAAACAAGTGCACTTGTTATCAACAAATTGAGGGCAAATACCCCTTGCCTTCTCTGAAAACAACGCGTTCTTTGATGCCAAACATTGTATTTGTAGGAGAGGTGCAGCTTCCGCAGATCAACAGAGAAAACCTGAATATTTTAAAAGCTTCACACCAAGAACAATGAACAATTTTGGGGGAGTTAGACAACAAATAAAAATATAAACCCTAACCTGCTTTTGCGTAATGAAACAGGGGGCACAAGAAACTGTATCCATGGCAACCGATGAAAGGTCCCTTCGTGCTAGGAAGAGTTATTTTCTCCTGTGCTACACTATACACTTTCATTTACATGAAATTTTGATTCAGTAATTTGATAGCTCATCTAAGAAAGTTGAATGCAAAGAAAATTCATGCACATAAAAAGGACAAAACAGAAAGCGAGGTAAAACGAAACTAAGACATTGTAGCAAGTAATCAAACTTATCTTCTTATAAAATTAGCAAACATCTGCACATAATCACAAGACAAACTTCCTTCTTCCATTCCCTCAACCCCAATACCATCCCTTTGGTATCTTGACCATCATCTATTCCCATGTTCCACAATATGAAATATACAAGTTATGGTTACCTGGTGCTTTTATAAGAATATGAATTTATCATGATAGCGTTGCATTCTATCAGAAATACATGATAATGGAACATGCGAACAAGCAAAGTATATCCATTGTTATTAAGATACAAATATAGACAATTCAACATATTGTAATGGATAAAACAGTACAATTTAAAAGGGCATTTTCAACCCCAAAAGTAGCTCTTGATGTAAAAAATGAAAATTGAAGTCCGGGACAGATCAAACAAATCAAAATTATAAACATATATATTTCTTACTAATATAACAAATCAACGACTACTTTTGGTCTCCCATTTATCTCTTTTCATGCTTAGTTCTGAAGAGACGGCAAATCTGCCATAGAAGACATTAAGCAAGACTTTAAAACATCCATACATACTAAATAAACATAGAACATTTCAGCTAAGAACAATCAATAATTAAAAAAAAATAAAACTCAAACAATCAGAAATTACACTAGTATAATTTACAAGCACAGATAAGAAGTGCAATATATAAATCAAAAGGCAGAAAAAAAAAAAAAAAAATGTCGCTTACCCAAAGTTAGCAACTCCTTTCATTCCGAAAAGATCTTTAGCAGTTTCTGTGACTGAATCTCGCTAGAAAATCTCTGATTCTGTTGCCGGTCACTGATTCGCTTCCCGCCGTTCGTTTCCGCTTCAAAACAATTCAACAGAATGACAAATCAGCTTGAAGATGAACTCAAAGTGGACCAAATTTTGCAGTGATAGGGAAGAACTAGATATATCAAATCAATTCAACAAAACGCTCACATAAAAAACTCTTCTTGTACAACGAAGATGAAGTGAACGGCGTACGGACGTCTGGACGAGAGCATCCACTCTTGAAGAGGCTCCCCAGATCGTATCTCTTTCCTCTCATATATTTATATTATTAAATTGAAAATAAAATTTTATAAGTATAATATAAAAAATAAACAAATAAAATAATAGTCTCTCCGTCCCAAAAGTAGAACATGAACATTTAAGAAATATTGATATTATATTGATTGTTGATAAAAAGTACAGATAAAATAGTTTTTTTTTTTCCTTTATAAATGTATTAGTGTAAAAAGTAGTGGTACATAATAAAAATGAAAAAAGACTTACAAAAATAATAAACATTACAATAAAATTTATTGAGATGGAGGGAAAATTATATAACAAAAATATGCAAAATATTAAAAATAAAATAAAATTTAATTTCAAATTAAAATAAAACCGATCCAAAACTCCTCTTTTATGACAAAATTGTGGCATAGTTCTTTAAATGAAAGTATATGAATTAAATTCATAACTTATGAGTAATAAATAATACAATATCTCAACCATTAGGCTAAACATGGTCTGACTTTAGTGAATTCAACCTGATTGATTGGCTTGTCAAGCTATGGTTAAAAAAATTTCCAATCTATTTTTTCAGACCCAAACACCTTTTTTTAGTCTAAAGTTTGGGTCGAATTTTCAAGTAATGCTTTTATTGTTGCCGGCTCTTATTAATATGAGACCAAAAATAAAAAAGGATCAAAGACATTTTTCAAGTGTTACGAATTGAATGTAATAGATCAAACATATTTTCCCAATATTCCATCCTTCACAAACTATGAAAATTCATAAAATTAATAATTTTTTTTAATATTATTTTAAGTATCATTTGTATTTAAATTCATTTATAGTTAATATTAATTGGCATTCAATAATGTTCAATATAAACAACGCAAGCAACCTAATCCAAATATTATTAAAGGAAAAAATATACTCCTAAAAATTAGCATGACAAAGAAAATAGTAGTAATATGGCTAAAATGTACATTATGACATACATTAAATTGTGTAACATAAACCATAATAATTAGCACTGTATAAACAATAAAATATAAATGAATGTAATTTCTTAAACATTGTTCAAGAAGAAAGGGATAGATAAAAATATTTATCATGGGAACCATGTTAGTAAAAATTTGTTGGGTGACATGAACATATATATGTATGTATATAAATGTAAATCATATACTAAAATATTCAAAATTTAATTAACACTCCATTGAAATCCAAGTTGACTTAGATGTTCATAAACCATTCTCAACATATCATCATCCTACCAATGTACATTGATAGGAAAAGATAAAGGTAGCACAAAAAGGCAAGGATAATCTGTCCACAACCATTAATCCCATCAACCCATATTAAGTATAAAAGTCGTCGCAGAAAACAAAAGGCGAGGATATGCTACTGGTGATTGCCATGTTCCCGAAGGACACCATTTCCCATTATTATGGAAGGGGTCTGGAGAGGTTTGAAGTCCTAAATGAAAGTCTCGCACACTCTTGAAGATTGTAGTTGAATAGGTGAAAAAGAGACTTTCTCAAACTACTAACTAATGAGTTAAAAACACACACTTTATTTGAAGAGTAACTTTGGCAATACTCCAAGCTCCAATCTACTTTGTTGCTTCCGCTGATGTCTGCATAAGTTCAGATCTTCAACATCAGTATAAGCAGCAAAACTAATAATATGCATTGGTGGCAAGTGTCACTGAATTTTGACTATTGCAGTAGATATGTGTGCGATTACACGATCAAATTTAAGGCTATGTTTAGATAAACGATTTTGGAGTTATGAAAATTTTTAGGAATAATAAAAACTTGGTATTTGATATGATATTTTGTGATTGTTACTTCTGAAAGTGTGTATGTAAACAAAGCCTAATTACTCATCACACCAAATGCAATAAAGAAATTATTTTCCAAGGGATGGAAATAGCACCTCGGGTTTGTCCTTCTTCCCCCTTGTGAATAACTTGTACCCTCCATAGAAGAGCAAACCCCATCCGGATAAAGATACAATCACAAACTATGAAGACAAAAGTTTAGCAAATATATATATATATAAAAGGTTAGCAAATATAAATAAGTAGCGTAATGACCAATTAATTGTTTACTTTTTCAGTTGATCGAAAGATGAAATATAATTAAACAAGTAATAACTAAAATCCCAAACAAACCACAGAGTGAAGAACCACAAGTATTGATATAATGAAGAAAGTGGAAAGATAAGTTTAATAAATTCCAGGCATATAGAAGTATGAGCAAACAGACTTTAAATGGCACAGGGTAATAATATTATGCAGAACATTCTATCCTTGAAATTGAAGACCGAGTGAGACAAGAAGAATCTAAATCCAGGTATATGAAACTATGAATCAATCTTCATATATGATGGTAAAGATTGAAGAAAATATTAAACAGATAATACCAAAACTGATTTACACATTAGGGTCAAAACTGGAAACTGAACTATTAATGCTTCATCCAATCAAAGAATCAAATCCCACTTGCAACACCTCTACTGCCACTAAGCCAAGAAAATTGTCATAACATACATTTACAGGCAAATCTTTCTAAACCAGGGCTACCACCCGACAGAATAATAAAAATTGTTGGTTTGCATGTTTCGCAAAATGCAGTTGGACATAAATCATTTCTGCTCTCTTCCCATTCACACCAGCTTCATTATTTAGATACATTAGATGGTTATATAGTCATTTCCTGTTTGCCTACATCTCAGGTGGCAAAGGAGTTTTCAAGCATATGAACATCTTTCAAGACTCTCCATGGACCTTGCCATGCATTTCATTCCTCTCCAGTCTTATCTTCAATTAATTTTAAATGGCTCCCTACAGTTTCAATAAACATATCAGCCTTACAGTTCATGATATCAAGCCCTTGTACAATCACCTTGGTACAAAGTAACCTGGCTCTCTTATGATTAGCATCGCAAGATAGAATTACAACCCAACTTTATGGACACCACAATCATTGCACCGTTTGCACCATCTTAATGCACAATGCTTCCAGCCATACTATACTCTTTTACCTTTTTTAACTAAATTATTCTCTATGAACGAGCATCTAAATAGAGCTTAACCTTAATGGGTATAGAAATTGAATCAATTCCCCTTTAGTCCAGATTAATACCTCTTTGATCAATCTCCATAACAAGTTTAAATAAGAATGATATAAATGGATTTATACAGAAAACAAATGAATGCATAGCATGTATTGTTGCAAGACTCACATGTTCTTCCTTCCAATTGCCCGGATTCATCGGATCTTTCCAACAGTCAACTTTTGGTGGGCCGTGATGATCTACAAAACCCAAAATTTCAATATAAACCTAAAAATTTGTCATAGCACTGGAGATCACAAAATGGAGATAACATATGCATGAAATCATCAACCGAGATAGAGTCAAAATAATGAAACATTTCGTTTACTTGTGTATTACAAACTACATTCTAACAATTCATCAAAAAGATTCTTAAAAATGTAAAAATGATCATATCCAATACATAATTTTCATCTAAAAAAAAAAAAAAGAAAAATCAATCCACCACCTATTTTCTATTAAATTTTTTGCAATTCCCAGAACAACATTAATCATCAATATACTTCAAGATAAGACTAAACACAACCGAGTTCCATTACGGCCTACAAAACCGAACATTCTAGTAAGACAAAATCTACGGGAGAAGAAAACCACAAAACGGTGGGCAGAATACACAAGTCGATGCATTAGCCGCCATATGTTCGTAACATCTAGTATTCCTAGAGAAAACCAAAAACCAATCGTAGCAACAAAGACAATCACAAAACGGAGAAAAACACACATAGAAAATCATTAACCATCATATACAAAGAAATGAAACGATCTAAACGGAATCAGTACCAGCGGAGCCGGCGAGACCGCGGCGGGGGATCAGAGAAGACGCTCCACCGGCGGAAGAACCGGTCGTCGTGAAACGAGACAGATTCGCGGTCCTTCGAGCTGCCATAGCCGCCAGAGAAGTAGCCATTGCGGGTCACAACACCCTACCTTATCGATGCACGATTACAGAATGGGAATCAATACGAGGCCAGAACGACGACCGTCCGCTGCTTCTGCGGCAGTGGGAGAGACAGGAAAGAAATTGATCTGCCGCTTGCCCCCACGAAGACAGGTAGACAACGAAGGGCGGCTTCATTTTGGGCCTAGAAGACCATTAAAGGCTAATAAGGCCCATTAAGCCCATTCAAAAAATTATAGTCGTAAGTTGTCACATCTCAAAAAAAATACTTAAATGATTATTCTAGGAAGAAAACAGAGGCATAAATGGTAATTATATTACAAGACCGACAGGGGTACATAAATAACCTAGGAAAAAATTTCAATGACTATATGTTAAAAGCTAAGAAAATTGGAAAAATGGATTTATGTGATCTGAGATCAGAGCAGCTTGGCCATGACGAGGTGAGACCATATGGGGAAGGTGAGGACGACGATGAGGACAATGAAGAGTAAGAAGGCAATACAGCACCATTTGCGGGACCCCTTCTGGTACTCCCGGGCCTCCTGTAGCTGCTCGGTGCCACGTCGGACGAAGGAGCTGGCGTGCGCCACGTGGCTCTCGATGTCGTTGAGCTGCTGGCCCTGCGCCTCCACAAGCGCCGCCATGTCCAGGAAGAGCTGGTGGAGCTCGACGAGGTTCTTCTCGATGTCCTTGACGGCGTCGTGGCGCTCCTGGATCTCAGAAATGGCGTCGAGGATCTGGCCCCGGCCCTGCTCCTGGATGGCCTTCTGGAGGAAGGTCTCGCTCTCGCCGCTGGCGATCATGTTCTCGACGGTGTCGTCGTCGGGCTTCTCGCCGGTGACGGTGAAGTAGCGGCGGGCGACGGTCTCCTTGTACTCGTCGTTCATGCGAACGCGGAGGGCCTGGAAGTCGTCCATGAGGGCCTTGAGCTTCTTGCCGAGGCCGCTGACGACGGAGGTCCGGGTGCGGTCGGCGGAGGAGCCGGGACCGCAGCCGGGGACGCGGCGGTTGGCGGCGTTGGACTTCTCGAGGGCCTCGAGCTTGGACTTGATGAGCTTGACGCGCTTCAGGACCTGAGTGACCTCGGCGTCCATCTTGCCCCGGAGGTCCTTCATGGTCCTGGCGTTGTGGGCCGTCTTGCACTCCTCGTTCGCCTGCTGCAGCCGCTTGTACATCTTCTCCACCTCCCCCATGTCTTTCTTCACCCCCTCCACCTCCTCGAAGAACTGGTCCAGGCTCACCCCCTCCGGCCCCTCTCCGCCGGCCTCCAGGTCATTGCTCGGCCCGCCGGTCGTGGGCTTCAGGTCCTGGTACTTCCTGAAGGATTGGGATGAGAAGAGGTCGTTCATCTTGCCTGGCCGATTTTAATTTAATTCAATTTAATTCAATTCAATTACTCCCTCCTTTTCTTTCTTCTTCTTCTTCTTTTTTTTATTTTTTTTTTAAGAAATTCAGAGAGAGAGGATTATTGCTGATATAAATAATAATAATTATTATTATATATGGCTGGTCCGGCAGCTCTTCTTGCTCTCTCCGGGCGGTGGCAGAGGCAGAACGCGTGCATGGCAGGAGGGAGAAGAAAAGATGGCAAAAGCCGAGAGAGAGAGCTGTCGGAGAAATGATGATATTTTGATTTGTTTAGTAAAAAATAAGAATTAGAGGCATTTAGAAATTGGTAATGGTCAGCCAAAACCTGTTTGTGGCTATTCTAGAATATAGGGACACACCCAACCCATACCCATTGGTTCTCTTTCATTCTAAATCTCATTCATTAACAATGGATTTTGCCATTGGCATCCATATATATAAATATGTGTATCCCTATTTATTCGTATCTTAACCTAATTGTGACACACATTCATTTGATTACTGCTACTTAATTTCTTCTTATGTTAATGGTAATTCTACTTATTTTAGTAGTATATAAAATTATTTCTGAACGTTTTAAATTGATATAAAATTATACACATAGACCTTATATTGCTAACAATACATCAAAAGACGAATAGTAAGCATTTCATTAATCAACCTAAGAACCACCGAATCAAACCATCAATAATCCTTTACATTAAAATCGAAAAAGTTCGAGACATGAATGAACACACACACTAGTCATCTTTCAACAATGAAGTTTACCTTCAGCTTGGCACATCGACCAGAGAATTCATGAACAATCCAATCTACACGGCAAAGATCGACCAGAACAAAAAATTATGCGACGTTGCAGATCTTGTGTTATTATAGTTATTGTTATCATTACCCCCAAATCGAATCCGGGACAACATACATCTACCTCGGCGTTATTCTTTGATAACCCATCTTCGACCATGAATCTGGTATGCGCCAAAAGTCTGATAGCTGCTGCTGGGCTCGGCACCACTCTCAGCACTCGTGTACCCAGATTTGTGGCGATGCTTCTTTCTCTTTGAGCTGATACTGCAGCTGCTGTCACTGACGCTTCCATTTAAGAGGGGATCATCGATTCCCCGGATTACTTTGTGAGATGGGGATGATGTTTCAATGCAGCTGTCGTCCTTGGTTCTTCGTTCTTTGTCATGCCTCTTAATGTTCTGAGAGATGTTGTGAAGTTTCTGGTTGAATTTTGTGATTCCTTTCTCCACTGGTTCCACTGCCTGAGTGACGGTAAGCTTCACGTCGTTCACAATCTGCACGACAGCCAAGTAAATTAAACAGTACACAAATATAAGATCATTTCTACCATTGGCTCAAAAATTTCGGAATAAGGCTTAATTGAATGAGAGGAAGAAACTCACATATTCACCACCACCAATGAATACATCTCGAACACTCTCTCGGATGGTCATTCCACTTCTATCGCCATAGTCAGGTTGTGGAAGACGCAGTTTTGTTGGTCGTTCACTGTCCCTAACCTCATCAGGATCAAGTGGACAATCAACAGATGCATAATCTCCCAAAACTGCAACACTTCCAGAAAAACGATCGCCCATTAACTCATAAGGCTTTGCAGGGAAAACGTAAAGGTGAACTGCAGAAGCAACTCCCATCTGTCCTGCATCCAAAGATTTTGAACGCGTGCACAATGAGCATAACAGGTATATATATATATGCATGTACATACACATATATAAAATACAATACAAGATACATTAACGAGCAAACCATGCTTGCATTTGGATTAGAACTACACAAAACTGCATCTGACTGCCATGTTAAGGTTTCTCAGCACTGTTAAAATTTTAGCATGTGATTAACATTGTTTTGGATGTTTTGTGAAGTACTATGCTCATTTCACCTGTTCCATCTCTAGCTGAAAATAAAATTTACTCAATCATAGGAAATCACTTTATTCAAATTGAAAATTTTCCTAACTCAAACACTGCAGTAATTTCCAACATTTTCAAATACAATCATCTTTCTGTAAGTCCTGTAAACTGATTTACTCATTTAATGAACATCATTGCCATATACAATCATATCTCTAAAGGAGCTTATAAGCTCCTTTACATATCTTGTTTTAGGATAAAACTGTTTCCAGTACAATACAGAAAATAAGGTAATGAACGAGTAGCACGAATGCTATATAATTCACACATTACCTCAATGCAAATAATCAAGTCCTGAACGCTCGATTTAAACTGCAAAGACTGAGCTATCGGACTTTTGACTAGCCCAACAGCATAAAAAAGGGCTATCGCTACACCTTGCCACCAAGTTAAGAATACGATTGACTTGAATGTCAGAAACTTGTACAGTGGTTTAATGTGAGCTAATTCAACTTTTGTGATGGTATAGAAATGAACTAAGCAATACAAAGCCCATGACTGACTGAAATTTAAGATCACAGCCATGTATGGATACCTGCAAAAGAAGGAAATTTCCATTAAAGTTTCGAGCAGTCATCAGGTTTTGTCAATGGGAGGTATAGCTTCATATTAAAATAACCACCACATTAGAAAACAGGATTGGAATAGAAATAAGATCAACCAAAAACCACATTATACGTCGAACAAAAAGATAATACTAATAATACATAAAAGCACTCTAATCAGAAGCCTGACTCAGAGAAGTCTTAGCAGTATCATACAAAATGCTCATCCAATGCGACATATGCATTTCAAGTTCTAAACTTACTCCACTTCTGTTAAGCACAAGAGACAACTTACCCACAGTTCCATTTAAAGTCTCCTTCACAATATACACCAAAAGCTTCAAGAATTACAGCTGAAATGGCAGTAAGTGCTTTTATAATCATCTGGCATTCAACAATTAGTGTTTGATCATACATGACATCATACAGGAACAACAATAAAACATATAGAAATTTTTTTACCCAAACTAAAACTTACATACTGAATAATTCCGAATTTGATTACCCAATATACCCACTGACCCAATTTCCAAGGCTTTAAAATATAGTTCATTGGAAATGGATGCTTTATTATTCCCCTATCCGAGCCATGGTCCAGCAGGGGTGCTTTTACACTCGAGCGCCCTTCCCTCTCCATAAATTCAATTGTTCTCTCTTCTCCACCTAATACACCACGAGAAGAATAGGATTAGCTAGTTTTGTGACAAGACACTAGCAAGAAATTTTGTGGCATTGTGATTTTGTGACAGAGTAAGCAGAAACTCTTATGGGGAAAGAGCTTCAATGCCCTGTGTACAGATATAAAAGTAAGAACAAGGCTGCAATTCTAGAAATATATACAAGATCAATAAATATTTCATTAGTTAGCACATATGAAAGTTTTACCTTTAAGAATAACAATGGATCATACCTAAACACGCAACTAGGTATCTCCCAAAGCAATACATGGCAAAGGATTCATAGCAATCACGGAGGATGCCCATATCAACACTAATTTTAGGGTTTAAGAGCGATACAAACTGCAAACAAAAACGACATAAAAGAGTATATGAAAAAAGTTGTTATTGGATAACTCAAACAAGAAGTTCACAAGCAAATACAATTACACTACAACATTATTGAGATAGATTAAAGAAGTTCATAAGTTGTTTCCGAGAAACATCCAAGTGATCAGTTAAATATGTCTGCAAAGAATTACAAGTATGATACAGTCCTATCCCAAGATGAAAGATCCTAATGCTCCCAAGGCAAGTTCTTACTCCAGTGGACTAAAGCCATGACCTAGCAACAATGATTCGATTGATCGTATTTTCTTATATCTCAATTTGATTTTGTTAGAATACATGTAAAGTTTTGTACAATCCAAAAGTTCAGCAGTTTAAAAAAAATCCCTAAAATTGTAATATGTGATTCTAAAATAATACAGAAACCCCCCTGCTCCCCTACTCCCAAATTACAGAAATGAAAAGCATTTTATATTGATCCCATTCATCGACTATCCACCAAACCATCCCAATAGCTCAACCAATGATTCTATTCAGCTTCACACTTTACTTAACCTAGAACAATTTTGGGATTCTACTTTTAGGCTCACGCAGAAGTAAAATCACAACTTAGCGAATCCTTCCTCAAATCACACAAATTATTCTCAACTAAAAAGGTAAATCCATTATTACTCATCTCACGATCAATCAATAAGCCGCGGGGGTGGGGTGGGGGTAGATAAAACAAAAAATCACCATAAAAAAAGGAGACCTACTGATTCAACAGAATAACAAGGTACCATCATTATCACTCCGATCAAAAACTTTTGCTCCTGTCATCATCATCAAACGAATATCATGACGCGAAAAAACTGAAAAATGCATATATGTAGATACAAAATACATCACCTCAGGGTGCTTGTAGGCGGATAAATGCTCGAAGAGAAGGTAAACCGCAAGGGTGAGAGTGAGGACGACAAAAAAGCCGGCGATCAGAACAGCCCATATCGGTGCTGAATACCCACTCCTCAGCCAATCCCAATTATAATTATCTGGATTAATTATTTTCTGCAGCATCAAACTTGATTCAAATGCGAGGGCTCAAAATCGTTTCTGTCGAAGAATGTTCATGTGATTTCACTTGCGATACCAAAATGGCTTGAAGAACAAGAGCGATGGGTTGATGGGTCGGAAACATTGAGGGCCAATGTTATAGCTTTATTCCCGAATTAAAGACATTCATTTGCATATTTTTCTGAAGCATAAAGAAACAAGATGTGCTTTGGTGCTTAAATACTTTTATGTTAGAACGTGTCGAGTACTCAGAAGGACGAATATTTTATTACTATACTATAAAGTAAATAAATCAGATATTATATTTAATACATGCATCAACAAAACATTAAACATGTTATACAAATTTTGAGTTTCAAATTTCATTTAATGCAATAGAAATATATATAATAGGAATATAAATTTAATTTTTAGTATGTTATAAATAGTAAATTTTATATTTCAAAAATAAAATGACTGAAAGTAAATTTTCAAAAATCTCCAAATAATACATAATATATTTTCTAATAATGTGTTCTATTTTATTGGATACATTTACATAAAAATTTACTTATTCAAAATATATTTAATAAATATTATAAAATGACTTAATTAATTTTATAATATATAATATTATATTTAAAACTACTCCTTACATGCCTGAAATTATTTATATTTAATAAAATTTATTTATATTATATAAATTTTTATTTTTACAAAATTATATTCATATTATATATATTTTATTAGTATCTGCATCCAATCATATAAGCACAAATCTCTATTTACAAAATTTATATTTGTTTGAGTTGAATATAATTTATAAATTAAATGAATAAGTGATGGTAATATGTTTGTAAATAAGTGTAATATTGAATTGTATAAATTTAAAAATATATATAACCATAGTCTTACTATCTATTCCAAAACAATAGTTTTATTTTCATAAATAATCGTATCACCATAAAACTACTTCTACTTTTTCATTTTTATTAAACAATTGTCACTGCTTACTCACAAGACAAAAAAAATTTTTATCCATACTTTTTACCAACTACCACTATAATATCAATATTTCTGTCTAACCCAATTAAAACTATATTTACGAGACGGGGGAGTATATTTTTTGAAGAAAAGAATAAAAAAACAATTTTACGGAATGAATAGTTATTTTAAAGGTTTTATGGTATTCAAAATTAAAAGAAACAATATACTTATAATGCATTATTATTAACTTAGGTTTGTTTGATGGTTTTTTGGTTTATTAGATGTTATTTTTATAATGAAACTTATATTTGATTTGATATATATATATATATATCTTTTTAAAAATATAGTTAAAATATTACATATACATATATGCACACACATAAATAAAGAAGTTCCCAATCTTTATGATTTAATGGTGAATTTGAATTCAATTCAATTGAAACATTTGGATCAAAGTAGATTAATACAATTCATATAATTGTGGTAACAAGTCACGAGATGAGTGATCGAAAAACATCTGTTATATATATATTCTACAATGCATTATAATTTTGTTTTGGCACAAAAAATAAATGTAAAAGCGATCATTTACATATATTCAACTAAACCAACTTAATTAGTCCACAAAAATTAATTTTTAAATTGATTTATATTTATTAAATATGTTTAGTATGGATAAATTTATTAAAAGTAAAAATATATCAATTATTCTAAATTCATATAAAATGAAAAATATGACAATTGTCACCGAGCAAAAGAAGTACTATATATATATTTTTTAGTTATTCCATTCAATTCTTACTCATTTACATATTAACCCCAACACATACGCCTTTTATAAATACAAATTATATAATATTGATAACTTTTAAAATAAAATATATAATTACAAATACTTTTGTACTCATGTTTTATTTTATTTTGTAATATTTGTCTTTAATTTATGGTATGTTATATAATATTTTAATGATATAATAGTAGTGTAATATTATATTCCCCGTCTCACATACCATGTCCACGTTGTTGTTTCTGTCCGTCCAACATACCATGTCACTTTCATTTTTTTAAAAATGATTACACACTTTAATCTTATTTTAAACTTTTTAATTTATTTTTTTATTTTAATTAAACTAATTAGTTATCCTAATCTTAATTTATAATTATTTATATTATAAAATAATTATTTTCACTAATACATTCTTAATTATCTACTAATTACACCTCTCTAAAAATACCGTGGACTATAATATGAATATGATTCATATTTAACTTTTATTTTATAATATAATACAAAATATAAAAAATAAATTAAAAGTAAAACCAAATACAAATAAATAAAATTTGAGTCCAAAAATATAATAATAAAAAATATCTCTCCAAATTATTATTAAAATATAATAAAAATATAAAAATATTAAAGTAAAATATAATAAATTTAAAATATAAAATTTGAGTCCAAAAATATAATAAAAATATTATCATTATAGAAAAAATATAAAAATATAGTGATATTTTTCTATAATTTCTCCGGGTATAGCCTACGAACTCTTTCTCCCGGTACATTCAGCATTGCATGTACCCGGAGGTCTCCTAATTTTGAAATTTTTTTCTATAATTTTTAACTCTTTCTCTTCGGATTTTGATTTTATTTTGAATCCTAATTTTGTTTACGATTGAAGTCATGTTTGCGCATCTGTCTGCGATTGCAATCCGTCTGTTGCGTTTTCTCCAAAGTTATGTTTCTGATTGCAATGAGAGTCCCGTTATTTTCGATTTTGTGAAGAGTACTCCCGTCGTTTTCGACTCCAGTAGAGAGTCATGTTGTTTTAAGCTCCGGTGGAGTCATGTCGTTTTTTGCTCCGGTAGAGTCATGCCATTTTCGGTTCCAGTGGAGTCATGTCGTTTTCTGCTCCGGTGGAGTCATCTCATTTTCGGTCATCTCGTTTTCGCCTCCAGTGGAGTTGTGTGGTTTTCGGCTCTGGTGGAGTCATGTCGTTTTTTGTTCTGGTGGAGTCATCTCATTTTCGGCCATCTCGTTTTCGCCTCCGGTGGAATTATGTGGTTTTCGGCTCCGGTAGAGTCATATCGTTTTCGGCTCCGGTGAAGTTATGTCGTTTTTTGCTCTGATGGAGTCATATCGTTTTCAGCTATGGTGAAGTCATGTCATTTTCGACTCCGGTGGAGAGTCATCTTGTTTTCTGCTTCGGTGGAGAGTCTTCTTGTATTCGGCTTCAATGACGTCCGGTGAAGTCATGTCGTTTTTTGCTGTAATGGAGTCATGTCGTTTTCGGCTGCGGTGAAGTCATGTCGTTTTCGGCTCCGGTGGAGAGTCATCTTATTTTCGACTCCGGTGGAGAGTCATCTTGTTTTCGGCTCCGGTGAAGAATCATCTTGTGATCAGCTTCGATGGAGAGTCATCTCATTTTTTTACTTCGGTGGAGAATCATCTCGTTTTTTGCTCCGGTGGGTGGTGAGTCAACTGCTAATTTTATTTATGTTTTCTTTTTGCGTTTATATTTAAATTTTTTATCAAACTAAAGTTGATTTCTGTTATACAACTTGAGTTTGAGGGGATGTTTGAGATATTTTAGATATTTAGTTTAAAATTTAGTAGATTTATATATATATATTTGATCTTATTCATATATTAGATTACTTATATTTGAGCGTTTTGTATTGTCTACCTTATTTTCATAATCAATAACATAATCTCATTATTTTCCCCCTTACAAATAAAATAAAATAAAATAAAATAAAATTGAAAATATAAACTTTCGTAACCAAAACCTTTTAATGCGCAGACATGTCAAAACATGTGTGTATATACCAATATAATGTTCTAATAATACCATTAATAAAAGAGTCAACGCATATAACATTATTAAACAAAATGCCAAATTGAATCCAACAATTCACCATTGTATGTACAGGTGTCCACATAAAACCTATTATTATTACACACACACACACATATATATATATATATATATTACAGCAACCCTGAGAAAATTGAAGCCATGCACGCGCTGTAATGTAAATACAATACAATACATATATATATATATTCCCTAATAATGAACCCAACCACGTAAAAACATCAGGTCCATTAGTTAACCTAAATCAACAAACAGACCAACATACGTTTACATAAAATAATCGAAGTCGAAGCTCTCAGGAACAATACTTTCCAACCTCAGCAAACCACTGCAGAAGCTTTCACTCTCATTATCTTCCGCAGTGCCATTGACGAAATTGGTTGAGGCTGAGTTCGGACACGCCTGAGTACTTGACAGATCACGAGCAGACATCAAGCTTGAATTTTCCGACAGCTCACCCTTCACTTGATCATCACAACCTCCAAACGCAAAATTACAATTAGGAATTAGATCGGTTTGATGATCTCCACAAGTCATTGCAGCCATTTTAATGCTATCTTGCAACATTTGGCTGCATAACGATGAATTATTGGGCGGATTCATCGACATATTTCCGGTTAGGGTTTCTGTCGGGAACGATGAAGTGGCTGGGTGTGAAAGGGTTTCTTGGCTCATTACATTTTCTGTCTGATTGTGTTGGAATTGGACATCTAAGAATGGATTGTCTTGAAGCTTTTGCAATGCGGATTCGAGGTTCTCGTCGTTGTTATTTGATGGTAAGAGGCTGCTAAGAGCAATCCTTAATGCTTCTGGATTGAGAAGTGTTTGGAGCAGGAGGAGGTTGGAAGAAAGATTCAGCTGTGAGGATAAGTCTAATAGATCGAGCCGCGGGGCGTGAGTTACCGGATCGATTCCCATTTTGAGGAGCCTTTTTCGGATGCGAGTGTTCCAGTAGTTCTTGATCTCGTTGTCTGTTCTTCCAGGCAGGCGTGCCGCAATAGCCGACCACCTGTTTTATTGTTAGTGATCAAAATGTGTAATAAGGTGATCTAAAATTTATTATGCAATAAAATTTGTGGAAAGGAAAATGATTCTCAACAACATATATGAAGTAGAGATATATGATGGATCGATCTCTCACTTGTTGCCAAGAACACTGTGGAGCTGAATAATTGTTTCTTCTTCCTCGAATGAAAACCTCCCTCTCTTGATGTCGGGCCTCAAATAGTTTATCCAACGAAGACGACAACTCTTACCACACCTTTGAAGCCCTGCAAACAACATTAATTAGGGTTCTCATCAGTTTTTTTTTTTTTCTCAAAAAAAAAATAATAAAACCCTAGTCCCAAATTAATCCCAAAATAATTATACCAGCATTCTTGGGAAGGGTTCTCCAATTGTGAGGGCCATGAATCTGAATATACTGCATGAGCTTGGTGTCTTCTTCGGGTGTCCATGGCCCTTTCTTGAGGCCACTTTTGTCGCAGCAAGGCGATCTTCCCATCGATGATTTTTAATGAGATCGATTCACCGGCTCTAACTATATATTACTAAGTCACAGCTGGGACTATAATCGATGAAGGGATTGCTGAATTATATAGCAAATAAAATGAAGTATATATATATATATGTATTAATTGTTGAGAGAATTGTAATGAGGAGGATAGGGATATATGTTGCAGCAGGTCCAAATGAGGGAGATGAATGAACACACATATATATAGATATAGATATAGTTGCAATTACTGGTGTGTGTTGTCATAAGCAGACATTGAAGTCAACAGGATTTGGTGCGGGCCGGCCATGGTAGTCTTTTTCAATCTCCATCTTAATTACTCTTACAACTTACAAGGCGTAGCTAGCATTCATAATGTGTGTAGTCAGTCCTGAGGGTGAAAGCATTGGTCAATTGCAATAACATACGCAAAACTATATTGTAACTGATCAGATTTAGGGATTTTCAAGCTCTAAGAGGCTTTGTTAACAAGAAACTAATTTATTATTTATTACATGTAAAATTTAAATATATATAAAATAAATGGCCAACAAACTAATTGACATTATTGTACTCTAGCTCAACTTTGTAGTATTTCATAATTAGAACCTGAGACTTCATTTCGTTATTTGTTTAGTTCTATTCTCTCACGGCACAGAAGAAAACATATGGATTTCAAAAGTATTCATAATTAAATAATCTTCTAGAAAGGATCTGACCACTTCAACGCTGGTTTTTAAATTAAATCCAATCTATTCTGATGAGTCGATCTATTATATATGCTCAAATATTTTGACAATTTTTTCCGACAGGTATGGGAGTTCATTCATCTATATAAATATTTGTAATAATTTTTTTCTGTGATGAACGAAATTAAAAGTGTTGAGCCAAGACAAGATTGAGCAAAGTAAGCAATGAGGGACACGTGGTGGCATTGACTATTGGGAAAAGTCTTCGTTGGAAGAAAGAGTGGTGTCGAGTGGGTTGAGGTTGTTGCATCCCCTACCCAATTATATGGAAATAACTGTGCCTTATCTAGCTTGCCTTTCTTGGATTGCTTCAACACATCAAATAGCATATATATATATATATATATATATATATATTTCTGAGATCTCCACACCTCATGGTTTGATTTTCAGTGGCCTCTTGTCAACGGATCAACAAATATTTCGACTATTTGCCTGTTGCTTTTTCCTCGAAATACATATGTATCTGTATTTGTTGAGGATTAATGAAATACTTTGAACATTAATAGTCCATTAAGTAATTACAATAGTCACAATTCTTTTATAATAATATTATTCCTTTACTTGATACTTTATGTTCGATTTGATTTGTTTGTTTGTTAATGTACTTTATATTTTTATTACAACCAAACACACTTTGGTTGTAATTAAATTTTCCTTAAAAATTCCAACTAGATATTCCTTAATTCCTTCTAAAAGATTATATCAAATAATTTTTTCAATTAAAATTTTACTATTTAACTTCAAAGCTAGCTCTCAAACCGATATCATGCAAAGTTAGTTTAGCTTGAGTTTTGCATATGATTTGCAGCTTGTAATGTGTCTACATTTAATTAAATAAGATTAATATCTTTTACAATTATTATATTTTTCTTATTATCTTAAAGAGATATAAATATATATATATATATATCAAGAAGTAATTTATCCATGAAATTTCAACTGTTAGGAAATAATTGACCATTTACATCACCATCTTATGTGTACGTATACATATACATGCATGTAAATTTTTAATTGGGGTTACAAATCGATACACATGCATGCACTTAATATGAACACAATCTTTGATGATAAATTTACATATATATAATTAACATGTTAGAAATTTATTTAATTATCTAATTAACATGCACTTAAAATTGTTTGAATGCTTATGTTTGATTTGTGTTTGTGTTTGAGTTTAAGTTTTATATTTGGATTTTAATTTAAATAATTTTTTTTTATATTTGTTTTATAAGAAAACAGTATAATTATATTGGAATTGAATAGGAATTTTTTTTAAAAAAAAAAAATAGTTTGGAGTTGAGACCAAACAAACATTTGCTGGTGTGTTGTGAGACATGTTGATTGATGTTAATCAGTGTATATAATATAATTAAATTATGGATGAAAAAAAATAAAATTGGAAAATAAAAATCTATCATATTTCATCATTAGGATTGACATTAAGGATATGCTTACACAAGCTTAGCACACCTTCCACACGTAAATTACTTGTCGCATATCCAGATTATATAGATACATACTAGTAATTAATTAATTAATAAATAAATAAATATTAACAATATTTTATATTGCGCCCACACACGTCATTTGGATTCAATGATTTTATATTTTTATATTAATTCAACTTCTTCGATATTTATATATTATGTATTAGTAGCCGAGACTTTGATTTATTTATTTATTTTGTTTGTTATTTATTTATTTATGATCAGCTCATAAATAATGTGTAGAATTTATAATGATATTTTTAATAAAAAATAAATAAATATTGAGTATGAAATATTGAATAAAAATATTGTTATATATATATATAGCTTTTTGAATTTTTAAAAAATATAAAATAAGGTTATTCTTTTATTTAAATAGTAAATATAAAGGCAAAAATATAATACAAAGAATATGTTTAATTGAGTATTTTTATTTTTTTAATATTTAAATAGTAGTTTGAATGTGATATTTGATAAATTTTTTATGATAAAATAATCATAAGGCATTGGAAGTTTGAATAATAATAAGAGAAAAAAATTGGCAAGAACACTTAAGAAAATGTAACACCAAAAGGATTTTTTTTTAATTTTTATTTTAAGATGAAAATGTATTAGATGTTTTGTAAGGATTGTTTGAAGGATTTTGGTGGATTTCTACTGTTCATCCCATTTTTTTCCCCAAAAACATCAAATCAAACACCTATTTTTTATTTTTTATATTATACTAAAAATCAATTTTAGATCACATCAAATCCTATTTATATCACATCATACAACTATTCAAATTCAAAATTTTTACTATTCAAATCCCAACTCAAAATCCAAATCCCCAAACAAACACACCTCAACTTTCTAAAATAGTACAAATTAGATTAAATAATACAACCTAGAAAATATAATAATGACTTAAAATAAAATAATAGGTTTTATTAGTTCTTGTTCAAATAAATTTTTTACTATTCCATTTTGAAAAAAATTATATCATTTCATCTAATAAAATATTATATAAAAATATTATTTGCATAAAAAAAATTAAATTTAAATAAAATTACAAACCAAATAAGCCTAATAATTCATATGAAGGCCCAAATAGTTGATAATAGGTCATTTTGTCTTGTATCTTATTGGCCTAAGATCCAAAGTACTGCAACATCGTGTTCAATAATAAATAAAAATTAAATATATATTAGACATATTAAATAGTTTTATTATTTATTTATATTTTTACAAAAGTCAACAACATATAACCCCATCAACAAATAATTTGGGGTGTGTATTTTACGTTGGGTTTGGGATTGATTTGGATTTGAATTCTTTAGTAGTTTTGAAAATTTCTTTTAGTATAGTAGGTTTTGTTTGGTTTTGAAGAGTTTTGTTGGATAGTGATTTGATAGATAATAATTGGAGTGAGAAGATTATTTATATTATTAAAATAATTTATATTAAATATAAAAAAATGTAATAAATTTGAAGTGTGATGTTTTTCTTTTATTAATTTTCTTTTTTTGTTAAAAAAAATAAAAAAAAAAATAAATTAATTCTGACAGTAGTCTACAGTTACGTGAGGAAGAACAAGTGGAAGAAATATTTCTTCAATGCAAGTTACGTTTAATATATAATAAAAAAGATGTAACCGACGTGAGAGAGTATGCCGAATACCAAAAGTTAACAAACGTCAATGACAAAAATATATCATGCGCGTAGGCCGTCAAGTGGCATGCAGTACATTACAAATCGTCCGAGAATTACGCAAGACCAAAACAGAAATAAACAGATACGTATGCATGGCCGTATTAAATACTATACATAGCTAGACAACGTATTATAACATAATAAATTAATAATTGTCCAAATGCTGTGATTTTAAATAATTCTCAGTGCAAATGTGGATTAAATAATGAATAATCTATATATAGAAGTTGTCATTGAGCAGACAAATATCTCACAATTATTTGGTGATATCATAGGCCAGCATTTATTTTTTAAGCAATATCACAATTCCACAAAATATTTTTGTAATTTTTTTTTTTTTGGAATTCTTGAACACAATAAACATGAATAGTAAAAAAAAAAATATACTTGCCGACACGCAGAATGAGCCTTCGGGCTCCAGGGGCAGTGGATGAACTGTGTGGTCACTTTAATTTGGTTTCTTTTATTTTAATTTGAAATCATTGTCTGTATTTTGGGTGTGTTTAGATTTATAAAATATCATATCAACATATTTTTTAAATTAAAACTTAAAATTATAACATAAAATCAAATCCCAAATAAACAAACCTGTTTGTTTTTGTTTTGGAGTTGAATATTTGGTTTTAAATACTAAAATTTTAAATTGAAATATTTATTTGATACTATAGAAACAGATGTATGTGTTTTTTAATATAAAAATCATTTCAATGGGAGTATAAAAAAATGTTTTTATGGAAAAAAAAAATTAATAAACAATTAAGATCGATTGATAAACACAAGTTATACATAATAAATGTATTATTTATATATATATATATGATGTGATGTTATACATAATAAATGTATTATGTAGTATGATATTAAAAAAATAATAAAAAATTATATAGTAGAAAATTGTAATAAAAAAACTCAAAAATTCTCTTTAAAATAATTAAAATATGTTCATTTTTTATTTTTAAAAAAATTGTATAACTATAAAGTTTTGTTCATTGTTTTTGGTAATTGTAGAATATTAAAAAATATTATAAATAATTATTTTATATGATATAAATACATATTTAATTTGACATTTTAAATATATATAAATAAATAGTAAAAATTTTATAATAAGATAAATCCCATAACATATTTTTAAAAAATTATAATAATTAAAAAGAGAAAAAGAAACACAACAATTTTTTTCGTCAAAATCCCATAACATTACCCATACGACAAAGGTGATACGAAACTAATCACATCATTTGGTTTAGCACAGGTGGCCTACTAGAAATTAAAGAATATTCTGCATTATTGCAATCATAATAATAATATTAATACGTACGAAAGGGCCCACATGATATTCGAATATGTGCATGAAAGATTGAATGTTAAAAGATTCCCTTTCAAGACGATTTAAACAATAACTACAAAAAACAAAAATTTGCGGGGCCGCAGCCAACTGGATTTTTTTATTTTTTATTTTTTTGTTCAGAAGTTCATTAATTTTAGTAGTCCCTCAGTCTTGGATGTTTTTTTTTTTTTTATTATTTTTTATAACATGGGAACTCGCAGCCGCTATCCAAAAGTGCGCACTAAGGGTGTGTTTGTTTGGGGGTTTGGATTTTGAGTTGGGATTTGAATAGTAAAAATTTTGAATTTGAATAGTTGTATGATGTGATATAAATAGGGTTTGATGTGATGTTTTGAATGTAAAATTGATTTTTAGTATAATATAAAAAATGAAAAATAGGTGTTTGATTTGATATTTTTGGGGGGAAAAAATTGGATGAATAGTGGAAATCCACCAAAATCCTTCAAACAAACACACCCTAAGTAAACCCCGATCTGCAAACCAGGTCGGATGGAAAAAGTCTTGGATCTTTTTTTATTTTTATATACCTTTTGTTTTAGTAAGTTTATTTATTTTAAAGATATTTAATAAATATAAAATTAATTTTAAGAAAATTATAAATAAATATATATTATTTATTTGTAATATATAAATTATATTATCTACAAATGGTATTTATATTGTATATATTTTATTGAAATATAATACTACATCCGTCCCGCTCTAAGGATTCCATTTTTATTTTTTTCGTATTGATATTTGACTATTAATTATTATATCAAAAAATGGTACAAATTAAAAAAAAATATAAAAATACTTTCATTAGTGTCTTATAATACTAATAGAATGACATTTGTAAAAAATATTATACAAATGTATGAATATTTTAAATGTTAAGTACAATAATGACGTAAAAAGCATATGTAACCCTTAGAGACGGACGGAGGGAGCACTAAAATTAGTTAAAATACTAGCAATATTACTCATATAAAGAATAATAAAATAATATAATGACTTGTTAGGAATAACTTATTAATTTACACTACTTAAAATGTTGTGCTTCCGACTAAAGAGTCATCTCAGCCGAAAATGAGGAAGTGTCTGTTCACTCAGTGTGTGGTATGGAAACTGTGTTGATAACACAAAAGAAATTAATATTTTATATTGAATGATTTATTTTTTATGAGTTAATAATATATACTTCCTCCGTCTCGGATATTTTATCCACTTTACTGTAGACACGAGAATTTATGAGGGGTATAATTAGTAAATAATAAAAATGTATTAGTGAACATAATTATTTTATAATAAAAATAATTATAAATTAAGATTAAGATAATTAATTGTTATAATTCAAATTAAAAAAATTATAAATTAAAATTTTTAAAATAAGATTAAAGTGTATAATTATTTTCCAAATAAAGAAAAGTGACAAAATAAGTGGGACAGACGAAAATGAAAAAAATAGACATGAAAAGTAAGACGGAAGGAGTATTATAGTTATGCGTGTCTATTTGTGTTTTTTTAATAATATTAATAAGAAATTATTGGATTAAAAAATATTGAGTAATCAAATTGATTATTTTTATCTAAATATGTACCTTTAAAGTTTTAATGGAATTTAATGTGCGAGATTGTTGTGAATTGTGTTATTTTGTAGGTGTCTTTAAATGCAATTTAAAATTAATATAAAATAAGATATTAATTTGAGTATCCGTTCAAATAATATTTATAAAATAAAATAGTATTTATTTGAATTTAAAATAGTAAAAGAATATCGAAGTAAGAACTATCATTCAATCCCAAAAGAAATGTAACGTAAATGTGGACTCATAATTATGAGAAAATAAGTTTAAAAAAATATACATACTTATATTAATTATAAATTATACTCCCTTCATCTTATATACTTTATATATAATTTTTTATTTCGATCTATCTCATATATTATGTAATATTTTTAAAATAATAAAAATTAATAACTATGTTTTATTTTATCGTATCATTCAAATTTTCAATTTAAAAAATAAATATACATTTATTTCTCATCATATCATAATATAAGAAGAAAAAATTATGTATAAGTTTCGTAAGAGATGGTCGATGGTGTGAGAATAAACCGTTACCTTAAAGTCATGGCTTCAAATCCCAAAGCGCAATTGTAGATTAGCAATAAAAATAGTATATTAAAAATATTATTGTAATAATAATTAAACTATAAAAATTTTGTTTATTATTCTACGACAATAATTATTTAAAAAAAAAAAAACTAGTTAAATTGATTCCAAATCTTTTTAAATTTGAATCTAAAAATGACGGTTAGGGTATTGATGGAGTCAAATAAACACTCATCACATCAGATTAACGAAAATAACACATGATTTTATATATATGTTGTGCTATATAGAAATATGTGCTGTGTATTTATATATTTTATTGTATTGTATATATTTTTATTGAAATATAATATTTAAAATATATTTTAATCCTATATATTAAATTTTTTAAAATAAATGCCACCGACACCATATAAAACTTAATATCATTATCTACTACCATTATTAACTTACTAAATTATTCTACCGTGAACATTATGTGAGTAACCATTTCGTCTCTCTCTCTACATTATTATTGTTTTTGTTTTAAAACCTTCATACTGAATGCCAAATTATTAGAAGGTGGCATTATACATCATTTCCTTTTTTTTTTCTTTTTTTTTTTTCCTATCTAATGGAGTATGTAATTTATAAATTACTTTAAATAAAAAATAAACATAAAGTAATTAAAATCGTATCAAAAGTATATCACACTCAAATTAAAATATGGAAAAGTAATGGAACGATGGTGTATAATATATCTACATAATTAAATTCTTACATTTTGCATAATGATAGAATTATGTATTATTAATAATAAAATCAGAAATCTATAATTAGAGGTGATACAATTTAATAGACTCAAATAATAATAAATTAAACTAAATATTTAAAATATGTCTAAAATATTTTAACAGAATTCTATAGAATCCGAGATATGTATATCCTTCGTTTCGATTTAGTTTTTGAATGATTTAAAATTTTAAAAATTTACCAAAAATAATTCTTTAAATTTGTGTACGTAACGCTTGGATGTATTAATTAAACACACACAAAAAAAAACATGAAGACAATATATAATTTAATAAAATTAATAAGCACAATAAGCTCGATCAACGTGTTATAAGGAAAAACAACATAAGCAGATCAAGCTCAACCAAATTGTCTACGATGGCTGCCTCTACCAAAATCACGGTGGTGCACCGCTGTTCTATCTCTCCGCCGCGGCGGTCGGTGCCGCCGGCGTCACTTCCCCTCACCTTCTTCGACGTTCCTTGGCTTCTTTTCTCACCGGCGCAGCCTCTCTTCTTCTACGACTTCCCCACCACCACCGCTCACTTCACTCAGACAATCCTCCCAAATCTAAAGCATACCCTTTCCCTCGCTCTCCGGCACTTCTTCACCTTCGCCGGAAAATTGGAGACACCTCCGCCGCCGGGGGAACCACGGCTTCAATACTCGGAAGGCGATTCCGTTTCCCTGACTGTTGCGGAGGCGGCGGCGGCGGCGTGGGGCGGTGGCTTCGAGCAACTCACCGGGAACCACCAGAAAATTGCCAGAGAATTTCACTGCCTTGTGCCGGCGCTGCGGCGGGGAGTGGGTCAGAAGCAGCCGCCATTGTTGGCCGTGCAAATTACGGTGTTTCCTGGAGCGGGGATTTGCGTCGGGTTCGCATTGCGCCACGTCGCCGGCGACTGCCGGACGTTCGATAATTTCTTGAAGGCGTGGGCTTCTCTGAGCGCCGACGAGATCCCGGAGATAGACCCGATCGTGGCCTCCCACGACAGGTCCGTGATAAGAGATCCGGCGGGGCTCGCGGAGAGCTTCCTCAAAGAGTGGCGGAGCGCCGCGGCGGGGAAGAGAGACGACGCCGGCAACGAGGCGGATTGGTCGGCGTACGACGTGATGACCAGAGCGACATTCGTGATGGGCCCAAAGGAAATGGAAAGAGTCAAGAAATGGATCCTGGGTCGATCCGAAACCCTATTCGGGTCGACCCGGATCTACCTCTCGCCCTACGTCCTCACCTGCGCCGTCGTCTGGGTGTGCTGGATGAAATCCCACGGCTGGTCCGCCACCGCCGACGTCCATTATCTCGGCTTCATCGCCGGAGGTGTCACTCGGGTGGGCTACACGGTCCCCACCGCCTACGTCGGAAACTGCGTCGGTTTCGGCCGCGCCGCCGCGGCCAGATCCGACTTGCTCGGCGAGAACGGGGTGGCTCACGCCGCGAAAGCCCTCGGCGACACGATTGAGAGGCTAAACGGCGACGTATTGGGCGGGGCGAAGAACTGGATATCCGAATGGGAGGAGATCCGCGAGTCGGAGCTCCACGTGACGCTGACCGGGTCGCCGAAAGTGGATCTATACGGATTGGATTTCGGGTGGGGCAGACCCGTGAAGATGGAGGAGGTGTCGATTGATAAGACAGGTGGCATATCGCTGTGCGAGGGTCGAGAGGTTGTCGGGAGCATCGAAATCGGGTTGACCCTGCCCAAGTCCAAAATGGATAATTTCGCTATTCTATTTCGAAAAGGGCTCCTAAATTAGCAATAGGAGATTTCTAATTCCCATTCCATGTGTATTCAATATTTCTTTCTTTCTTTGTAAGACTTTTTCTACCGTTGGTTGTGAGGTCTGAATATGTATGTATAAATGATTGATTAGATTAATAAAATATTACGCACCAGCTGCCCGTGTCACGGGAAGATTAAAGCAGACCTTATTTGTCTGTCTCTACTGCCTACTTTTATTCTTCGTCAATTAAAAAATGTTGATATGGTGTGCTTCCTGCAATTATACTATATATACATGCCTAACATTATGAGACAATATTCCGTAAAGTATATTCTACAAATGATTTCGAGTTATTGATTCCTGGGTGGAGTACTTCTTCCCTTACGTTGTTCCTTACTATTACAGGAGTAAGGTTACCCCATAATATAGCGTCTCTAACTTTAATTTTCATTCAATATCATAATGGAAAATTGAAATAGATTGCATTTATCGAGGATGCTTAAGCAGAAAGAATTGTTCTTGTTAATGACAGAAAATAATGCTTTTTTCTTTTTGTGGTAAAATCAACAGAATTATTATTCTTATTATTATTATTATTATTATTATTGGTGGTCCCAATCCGATTAGATTCAACCAACACAAAAAAATAGCACCAAATTGTTTTCAGATAAATACAACTACACACAGATAGTTCGTAGATAGATCAAACAACGTGTGCACTCTGATAGCAGTAAAATCAAAATACAAATAATTGTTAGCTCAGTTCGTCCATCGAAGACCTACATTTGAGATTACCAACTCGCGAAAATTAATATTCAAGAAAGAATGAATCAAACTTACAAAGTTAGTTCTATGAATTATTGCACTCAACAATTTCACTATCTCGCCCACAAAGTTGTTCTATGAATTAATACTCAAGAAAGAACAATTGTTCTATCCACAATAGTCACTTTTCTATCCAACATTCTCAACAAGGTAAGATCAGTTCAAATGAAGAACGAAATTATTCTCAATAATTTCATAATATGATTTTCTTATTTTGTCTCAATCAAATCTTTAAAATCTATTTATTCATCTCAAATAAATTTTTATAATCGAATATTCCCCTTCAGACATAGATCAATTTTGACCGCAATAGAATAATAATTTGTTTCATGCTTAATGGGCTGCAGCTGTTCACCATGTCCATACGCATAATTAGGTCTACCGACGAACATCAATTAAAATCTAATACAAAACATAATCAATTTTCAACCATTATTATTATTGTTATTGTTATTGTTGTTGTTGAAGAATAAGGTGTTGCATAGTTTTGTAGATGGTCCTAAGACTTATATAAGTATGTTTTATTCTTTTGAAGGGCTTATAATGTAAGTAATTTATAATTTGTTTAAATTGTTACTGTTATAGTTGTAATTTTTATTTATTTATTTTGATAATTGTCTACTAATAATGAGATAAAACAAATCAATTACTTCTTACATCCACCTCTAAGATAGTATTTACATTTTGTTGTCATTATACTTAAAACATTAAAATATCTTTATATTTGTATAATTTTTTACAAAATGTCTTTCTATTAGTATTATAAGATATTTCTGAAAAAAAAATTTAATTTGTACTACGTTATAATAACTAATATTCAAAAATCAACATAATTAATTTATTAAATTAAAATTTATAAATTTCGAATTATAAATAAATTTGTTTATTAAAAAGAATATAAAATACAAATTTTAAATTTTAGTGGAACCCATGTAATGTAATATTTTGATAAAACTTGGCCTGAAAAGCCAACCAAACACACTCTAAAATGTTTTTTTTAAGTGCCACTCTTAATTAGACATTATGGGTGATTTTTTATTTTTTTATTTTTTCAGCCTTAGAGCAAGCAAAAGATTGGCATGTACGAAAATTCGATACAAAATAATTGAATTTTGGTTATGGATTTTAATCTGATTATGTATATGGATTGACATGAACCCGACACGATAATAAATAAATTGAATTAGAATTGAATTCGATACGCTGATTATAATATATTAATATTAATTAATATATTTATTATATATGTAAAATAATTATAATTTAATAATTAACCAACATGTTAATTTAAACTAAGTTAAATTTTAAATAATTTAACTTAATCTATTGTAGACAACATGACTATTCAAACAATGATAAAAAGTTATTGAATTTGAATTAAAAAAATCGATTTAATTATTTATACGGATCAATACAATTTCGACATAATAATAAACAAGTCATTACTAACCCGACACAACAATAATAAATAAATCAAATTATAATTAAATTATTAAATCAGTCGATTGACGCCAATCTCACACGAACTCACTCATTGCCAATCCAATTTATAGGTACTTGAATTTTTTAATTAAATAATATTTTTTTAAATAGTGGGCCAGTGCCAATTGCACGTGTTTTTTATGCACAATAAGTCAATAAGTGCAGTGTGCTATCTGCGTTGTTCTATTCTCTGTCCAAAAGTACAGAAATATGCAATATATGTGTGATCAGCGTTGCTCTTATATTATATACCATCTCTATTGCATTTTTTTAAATAATTTGTTTCGACTATTCCATAATTTTTTAGATTATATCATTTTATATATTTTTTAATTCTTTTTGTATTAATATCTTAAAAAAAGATTGTAAACAGATATTCATATTTATAATACACTCAAATCCAACACAGGGACGTTGCGGATGCCCGCGTCACTTCTAAAAACAATAATAGTAATGGGGTTTTTGAATTTTGAATTGAGATTTGAATAATAAAAATTTTGAATTTGAATCGTTGTATAATGTGATATAAATAGGTATTGATGTGATGTTTTGAATGTAAAATTGATTTTTAGTATAATATAAAAAATAAAAAATAAGTATTTGATTTGATATTTTTGGGGAAAAAAAATGGGATGAATAATAGAAGTCCACCAAAATCCTTCAAGGTTGTTTGTTTGGGGGTTTAGATTTTGAATTGGGATTTGAATAGTAAAAATTTTGAATTTGAATAATTGTATGATGTGATATAAATAGGTATTGATACAATGTTTTAATGTAAAATTGATGTTTTGTATAATATAAAAAATAAAAAATAGATTTTTGATTTGATATTTTTGTAAAAAAAAATTAGATGCACAGTGAAAATCTAATCCAATCCGGCAAACAAACACACCTTACACTAAATAGGATTACAGCTGATGGTTGAGCCGCTCGTGTCGTCATCGTCATCGTCATCGTGGCCATTTCATAGACACAACACCAACGCCAACTAATCCTTCAATACCTCGCCAAACGCCGCCGCAAAAACATCCACGGCGGGCCTCGGCAAAGACACCCCAATCACTATTCCTCCGCCGGGGCCTCCCGCCTGGCACATTGACACCGTCGATTTTTCTCCGTCGATCGACAGCGCCTCCATCTTCTTCGTCTTCCCCCACCCGAAATCAACCTCGTACAATCAGTCCTAGCCGATCCCGACACACTCACGATTGGTTTCTGGATCGCCACCAGCACTTTCGGCAACCAGTCCCTCACGTCCGCCATTAATTTATCCTTAGCATTCACCCTGTACTGAATCTCCGCCGCTAACGTCGCCGCCGCCGTGAAAAACCCTTCCTCGCCGATCACATCTTTAAGCTTAGCTTTACCCAGCCCTGTCCCCAAACAGTTCCCGAAATAGTTTCCCGGCACCGGCGGAACCAAACGGGCCCTACAGTCGACGGCGAACAGGAAGTTCCCGTCCAGATCTTCATCACATTTGTAAGAAACAAACAATGATAGCTCGATCTATGGCTGAGGTACAATATAAAACAATAAATTATACTGTCAGTAAATTGATGTAGTTGAAAAATAGATAAATTATACTCCTAAAGTTTATCTTTACTTTTGGCGCGGTGTTTAAAAAATAATAGTATTTTAATTACAGTGAGTAGTTAAAGTAATGTAATGATATTTTTGCCCTTATTTTTATGTGTAAAAGTAACGATGTGATGTAAAGTAATGGTATTTGTGGAAAAAAAAATAGAGTATTTAATGAAATGTTAATTTTATAATTGAACGTCCCAAAATAGAAATATGTAAACATTGTAAGTGGACGGAGGGAGTAGAACACCTCCTCGTGTTTCAATAAAAATGCATAAAACACATTGTATTTTATTTATTGCGTGAAATGTTTTATGTTAATGCAAAATTTGAATGAAACATCCTCTTTATTTAAAATTGATATTTGGTTCTAAATAAATACTTAAATTAAGCAAATTTTATACAAATAAAAAACGTAGAATATATTAAATAATTTGTTTAAATATAATTTTTATAAAAATCATTTAACAATTTGTCTCAAAAACTATAAAAAGAAGAATTAATTAATTATTTATTTATTTATTTTATTCAAGAAAATTATTTAAAATACTTTATATTTTTTATTGTATAAAATTCGCGTAATTTAAGTCTTTTATGAACCGGTTACGTTTTTGTACAGCTCTGTTAAAGTTCTTGGACTATTTTTTATTTTTGGTCAATTTGTATCTTGGATTATCTCTTTCAGCTTCTGGCCCAATTAGTGCAGATTGATTCGTAAACTGGTATGTCTGCAAACATCAACCAAAATATTAAAAAGATTATTAGTCAGAGCTTACAAAAATTATCATACTTTTCTCTATTAGTTTTTCCCTTAAACTGAGTTACATATTAATGAGGTTTAAATAATTTTATGCAATATATATTTTATATTAGTCATTAAAAATTCTATTGTATTCATTGAGATATGGTCACTTTGTATAGAGAGAGGATAGTGTTTTTTATTTTTTTCGTGTCCTCGAATCATTGAATAATAATTTTTCGTGTTAGTCAAAAATTTGAACAATGAAAACAAATGACGAATGCCCGATCAAGTTGATTAGGTTATATAAAAACAAGGTTTAAATCTCCCTGTCTCTTAGGATGTCTCAGCTCCACTTGACACCTATCTTAATGATAAATGACTCGTTATTAATTAATAATTAATACTCAATAAAAGAAAAAATATATTTATTTATGAAGTACTAAACGAACAAATTGTTATAATTTTATATAAAACGATGAATATTATTAATACTAGTCAAACATATTAAGGGCGTGTTTGTTAGAAGGATTTGTGTGAATTTTACTATTCATATAAATTTTTTTCTCCAAAAACATCGAATCAAACACCTATTTTTCATTTTTATATTATACTAAAAATTAATTTTACATTTAAAATATCACATCAATACATATTTATATCACATTATACAATTATTTAAATTCAAATTTTTTACTGTTTAAATCCCAATTCAAAATTCAAACCCCCAATCAATCACACCCTAAAATAACTCCATTATCTTTGGATCCAATAATAATAATTTTAAAAAAAAACGTAGTCCTAGCAGCATCTTATGCCGCACCACCCACAGGCCACAGGCCCACAGCTGTCATCCTTCTTTATCTTCTAGTACATTGTTTAATTTAAAATATTGAATTAAATTAAAATACATATCGATATCATCTCAAAACTTCCAGAAACACGAGGTGCCAGGTACCATCAAAACAACCATACCATTTATTACCAAGACGACGAAATTATACCACTCGATGACGACCATTAAAATGTTGACTCTCAATCACTCATGCTATTACAGTACACAAAAATACCCAACAGAAAGTTTTGACTCACAAATCCATTCCCACTCACAATCACAATAACAGGGTGTCTAGGTAGGTTATGTTTGTGTCGTGGCCTGGACACGTAGGTGGGCCCGGCCGGGAATAAAGCAACCGCAATTAATCCTTCAGTACCTCTGCAACCGCTGCAGCAAAAGCATCCATGGCGGATTTCGGCAAAGACACACCAAGCTCTATCCCTCCGCCGGAGCCTCCCGCCTGACATATCGAAATCGCGTATTTCTCCCCGTCGATTGACAAAGACTCCATCTTCCTCATCTTCCCCCACCCGAAATCAGCCTCGTACAAATCAACCCTAGCCGATCCCGACATCGACACGATTGGCTTCTGCACCGCCGCCATCACTTTCGGCAACCACTCCATGACGTCCGCCATTAATTTACCCTTAGCATTCACCTTGCACTGAATCTCCGTCGCTATCGCCTCCGCCGCCATGAAGAACCCTTCCTCGCCGATCACATCCCGAAGCTTAATAGTACACAGTCCCGTCCCCAGAACGTTCCCGAAATAGTTCTTGGGCACCGGCGGATCCAATCGTGCCCGGCCGTCGACGGCGAACAGGAAACACGCGTCCAAATCTTCATCCTCCTCCAACTCCGCAGTCACGACTGATTTCTGCAAACACGTCCAGAAAAGAGCCGCCGCCGACACGAAAGACGATATGTGGACCAAACCCGGCGGCATTCGCGGCTGCAACAAGCTCTTCAGTTTCTTGATTTCGGGCTGCCCTAAAACGTAGGTGGCACGAACCCTGTTAGTGGGCAAGGGGAAATGGGAGGATTCGATGGGGAAGTTTTTAACGATGTTCCAGAAATGAGATTTTATTCCAGGAGGTTCTTTCACAAGGGATCGATCCAAAACCGGCAAAGATTCGCTCTCTGAGATCAACAACTCCTCGTCTCCACCATTTTTGCAGATACTAGCCCAGCTCTTTATGAAAGCAACTATGGAACTGGCATCACCAACCGAGTGATGATTCGCTACGCCGATGCAAATCCCACGGCCCGGAAAGTGAGTCACTTTGAGAGCCAGCAATTTGACCAGCCGGAAACCTGGTTCATCGGAAACCGGCGGGAGCTCCGGGATGAAGTCGTAGAACAGATCGGCGTCGCGGGGGTGGTTTCCGACGAGATCTTGAAAGTCCGCCGCGGACTCGACGATTGTCAGATGAACCGAATCGCCGGGGGCAGAACGGTAGACCGGAAACTCGGCGGCGCCGTCTAAAGGAAACAGCAAAGTGGCGGCGAGGGGGAAGTAGTGTTTGAGAGCGACGGAAAGTGATTCCTTCAGTTTGGGAACGACGGTCTCTGAAAAGTGCTTCTTGGAACAGTCGGGGATTTCGAAGAATAAAAGACGACGAATCGGATGAAAGGGGATCCATACGATGTCGAAGAAGGTGAGGGGCAGAAATCGCTCCTCTTCCGGCGCCGGCGCCGGTTCGATTCGGCAGCTCTCTAGCAGGCGGGTCATCGGGTTGTATCGGGAGAAGTGATTTAGGGATGACCCGAAATTTTGTGATGTGGAAGAGGATATAAGGTCTACTGCTGAATTTGGTAGTATTATGTAGAAGTATTATGTAGAGACTTCGCCCTCTGGCCCTAATCATTTTTTTAGTAACTAAAATGATTCACCAGGCGGTGTTTGTTTGGTTTTTAAAGCAAAATTCTAGTTATGGCTTTTTTCTTTTTTCTTTTTCCAGAATTTAATTAATATTGTACTCTCTCCCCGTTCCAGAATAATAGTTTGAGTTGTGTTTTGCACGGAATAGTGGGTAAAAAAGTAAAAAAATTTTTTGTCCTTAGTGTAAAAAATAATGATAATTTTATTATTTATACAAATGAGAATATTATTTTGAGATGGACAAAAATGATAAAAAAAAATGAATGAAGTATTTTTTTATTATAATTTGTGATAGATTTGAAAGGTAAAAGTTATTTTACCTCTCTGATATATATATATATATAAATGTAAAATCAAATAAGTATAAATATAAAGGTTCATTAATATTGTATTATAATTTTATTTTTATTTGTGATTCTCATAACATAAAACTAATACTCCTTCGGAATCAATACAATAGTTCTATTTACCATTTTTGTCCGTTTCAAAATAATAGTCTTATTTCCATAAATAATCATATTACTATAAAACTACTCGTATATTTTTTTTATTATTATTACACGATTGTCACTACTTTTTACACTAATACACTCACAAAAGCAAAAAAGTATTTTTTATTCACTGTCAATATAATATCAATATTTTTTGAGTTCCGTATCAAACACAACACAAACTATAGTTCTGGACAGAGAGAGTATAATAATTATATGATGATTTTTATTTCTATTTTTTTTTTTAATTTTGCATGATTTAGTAAGTAATTTAATGTCTCTTTATTTTGCATGATTTTAGTAAGTAATTTAATGTTTTTTTTTTTTTGCTAAATTATAATTTTACAAATCTAAAGCAGTTGATTTTTTATTTATTTTATCTATGTAATCTATTTTACTTGTGGAATTATTTTATTATAATAAAGTAATAGTAAAAAGATATTTTTTTTATTTAAACAATAGAGTCGAAAATATAAATACAAAAATACGAGCTTTTATTCTTCATGGCTTTTGCAATAATCATACACATTTATATTCGTACCATAGTCGCACATACACATACTCATACACATTATTTATTTATTGTATGCATTTATAATATTAATTTTGCATTTGATTATAACTCGAATATGTACGTAAAATGAAACTAATACCATATTTATACAAATAATTGAAGTCGAATAATGGTGATCGGATAATTTTATAGTATTGCGTTGTATGTTGTGAACATAATAATTGTGAATTTTATACGATTATTTTTACATAAGTCGTTACAGTTAACAAGCAATATGTGATTTTTTCGTACAATATTATGAAAATATTTTATCTAAATAAAAATTATTGATACTAATGGACTATCGAAAAATAAGATTATCCTATCAAAATATTGCATAGCATATCATATATTATATTTGTGTCTAACATGTACCTTAATAAAGCAAACATTATTTAACTTTTACATTTATTATATATAGAACACTAACTTTACATTTGAATATATTCAAAATCTTGTATGTTAAAAATATCATCATATCTTACATGCTTGCCAATTGAAATCAGTGAATGGCGATCAAATGATTTGCTTGAATGGAGTTGTACGCGGGAAATATACAATTTGTTCACTTAGTACTTATGGATAAATTTAATTTTTATATTAGGTATAAAAAATCGTATCAATAATATAAAAATAATATTTATTGTAAATTGGTGATTTGTTGTAAGTGAATAATATATATTGTAAATTTTATACTCCCTTCGTCCACTTACAATGTTTATATTTACTTTTGACGCGGTGTTTAAGAAATAATAGTATTTTAATTATAGTGTGTAGTTAAAAGTAGTGTAATGATATTTTTGTCCTTATTTTTTTTTGTGTAAAACTAATGATGTGATGTAAAATAAGGGTATTTGTGAAAAACAAACTAAAGGATTTAATGAAATATTAACTTTATAATTAGACGTCCCAAAATAAAAATATGTAAACATTGTAAATGGACGAAATGAGTAATATTTATATGAACCGTGCTATAAAAATATATTGGGTGAACAAACCCATAATAACCTTAGATTTTATACAATTATTTCTATATACTATATTATTTCTGTATATTAATATATATATAAATATTATTAATTATTTTTAAATTTAAAAATATTGCACCGACTTTGTAAAAAAAAAAATAAAAAAAATAAAAAAAAATCTGGTGTTTAGGAGGGAAGTAGTACTAAAAAAACATACCCTCTGGGTAGGTACAGTCACGTGTCTGATTGGCGGTTGGGGCAAGGCATCTGCGAGGGGTGGGTGTGATGTAAATACACCATTTCTTTGGTTCTGTCCTTGACAAGTTGACCTATATAAATGGCACGATTTACGACCATGTCCACAATGAAATCTAGGCTGTTCTATTATCCTAATAATAAATAACGTCCTCGATACTTTCTCCATCCCAAATTAAATTGATAATTTTTTATTTGTTTATTTTATAATAACATAATAATTGACGTGTTTTTATTTTTAATAAAAATTATGAAATTAAAATATATTTAATAAATATAAATCAACTTAATTAACTACCTAATATACAAATATATAAATACGTAATGTAGGATCAATTCCAAATTCCTGTATTTCTATCTCTTCCATCAAATAATAAATATTTTTATCTACTTTTTAAATTTCTATTTTTTTTTATAAAATTAGTTTATGTTAATTATAAATAAATAAAAAAATATTTTTTTTCATTTACTTGTATTATAGAAAATTTTATTCTCTATGAGATGATATTGTATATATTTTTTATTGTGATATAATTTTAAAATATTTAAATATATATTGTATTTTTTTCAATTATATATACATTAAATTTATTTTAAAACTATTAATATTATTTATTATATAAGAAATAATAAAATAATATTATAATTTATTATTATTAATTAATTAAACATAATTTTTTTAAATACCGTATCACTAATGAAAAATGTCAATTGAACAGGACTTAAAAAATGAAATGGGAAAAGATGAAAGAAGAAGAGGAAGTTGAAGAGGTTCGACACTGAAAAACCAAAAAAGGTGAACCCTCCATATATAAAACTTGAACCCCGATAATAAAAGAAGTAAATCAATTGGGATGTTAATTGGATTGGACCGTGATTGGCTTGGGCTAAAGATATATTGTGTCAAGATTGGGCCTTGGGCAAGCCCAATAATGTTAAATCCATTTTATTTTATTATTGTTCTTATTATTATTTTTTTCAGATTCAATGATAATTATTGACTGGTTAAAACAAAATTACTATATTTTGACGGAATTATTTGTGGTCAATAATCACATGCAAAATTGGGGAAGGGTGTTAGGAACTTGGTAGAGATTATTTCTTCCTAGTTTCAGCATTCAAATAACAAAACCCTATATACATAAAAAAGAAAAAAAAAATAATAATAAAAATAAAATCTGTCAGTTAAGGGATAATAGAGTAGTGAGGGTTGGACCTGTGACAATGAAATCGAAAGTTTGACCCCGACGCCTCAAGTTATCTGCCACGCATGATTCGAAATAGCTATCGGGGATTTCTATGTCATCTCAACTCAATCATTGGTGGACCAGACTGTTTTGGTTTTAGAAGTGAATAAATTATAACTATCACATAATTAACATTAATTAATTATAGAATATATATTCTAACTCGTGTGAGTTTATTGATAAGTAAACGCACTTGCAAACTCAATTCAACGTACCCCATCGAATATATATATATGTTAATACTATAATGTTAATTCATATGCTCGCATTATAATACATTCAAAGTCAACTACAAAAAACAAACATAAAAATCGTCATGTGTACACGTGTCAGTTTTAGATTGGCGATTTTAAAATAATTTAGAAGCTAATTTATAATCAAAGATAGATGTAAATTGAGGTTGTTGACAATTGAGGATTAATGATCAGTGTTTAAACATTTCATTACACTAATTAATCTCCTCACTCGATTTATTCTCATTCAAGTCAAGATTATGATCACAATTTCACAACCCTCAAAATTTGGTTGAAGAATTCTACGGTGGATTCGTTTATTCAAATGCAGTAATGGAGTGGACTTTCAGACAAGAAAATGAAATATCACTTTCTTTTACCAAGTCTTTAATCTTCCCTTGCAGTGATATTCAATCGAACTCTGTCTGTATAAATCCGCCTGTTGCATTTACACAGCAGCAGCAGAAGCTCCCAAGAACATCAATGGCGGCGAGGAGCTTTACCAACAAAATCCCTTTTCTGATAATCACGTGTTTCTGCACCACCAACACAATTTTTTCCTTAGCGACAGACACCATCTCAGCAACCCAAACCCTGTCCGGAAATCAAACAATTGTCTCCTCAGGAGGGAACTTCGAGCTGGGATTCTTCACTCCAGGAAAATCCTCCAAATACTACATAGGCATATGGTACAAAAAGGTTTCAGAAAAAACCGTGATTTGGGTAGCAAACAGGGAAACCCCAGTTTTCGACACCCGCCATGCCCAACTCAAGATTTCTGGACACAACCTTGTAGTACTGAACGAATCCCAAATCGAGATATGGTCCACTGCCCTGAATTCCACAACCTTAAAAACCAGTTCTGCATCTGCAGTTCTTCTTGACGATGGAAGATTGATCCTGCAAGAATCGAATTCCACCATATGGGACAGCTTCGATTACCCATCCAACACATGGATGCCGGGGCAGAAGCTTTACTACGACAAAAGAACACACAAAAAGGTTGTCGTAACATCGTGGAGAAACTCCGAGGATCCTTCCCCAGGGCTCTTCTCCCTCGAATTTCTTCCAAACGACAGTAAATACATCATTAAATGGAACAACAGCGAGCAGTATTGGAGCAGTGGAACATGGAATGGCCATATATTCAGCTTAGTCCCTGAAATGAGATTGAGTTATAATTACAACTTCAGCTACGTCGACAACGAGAACGAAAGCTACTTCGTCTACACTCTCTACAACTCCTCCATCATTTCTCGGACAATGATGGATACCTCCGGACAGATCAAACAGCACACGTGGACAAATTCGGCGTGGATGATGTTCTGGTCGCAGCCGCGGCAGCAGTGCGAGGTCTACGCTTTCTGCGGCGCATTCGGCACGTGCAATCAAAACTCGATGCCGTTCTGCAACTGCTTGCCGGGATTCAGACCAAAGTCCGATAATGATTGGAATCTAAACGACTATTCCGATGGATGTGTAAGAGACATTGATTTGCAATGTCGGAACAATAGTGTGTTTGCTTCAAACGGATCGACGGATAAGTTTCTGTTGGCTTCCAACATGAACCTTCCTTTACATCCTCAAAAATTGGCAGTCGGAAGCAAAGGCCAATGCGAATCCGCCTGTCTCGACAGCTGCTCTTGCAGCGCTTACGCGTACGATGCAAATGGCTGTTTGATTTGGAACGATGAGTTGTTAAATCTGCAGCAATTAGGACAAGGAGATGGCAGTGGGAGAGACATTCGTATCAGATACTCTGCAGCTTCCTCTGTTTTTCACAGCAGCCATAAGAAAGGCGATGGCGCGGTCATAGTTGGCGCTGTCTCAGGTGCTGTTGTCGCAGTGCTGATCGTCTTAGCAATCGTTTGGACAGTAATATGTAATAATCGTCGGATAAAGACTAGACTTTCGAGAGTAGCGGAGGGCTCTTTGATCGGATTTTCATACAAAGACTTGCAGCTTGCTACGAAGAACTTCTCGATTAAATTAGGCGGGGGAGCTTTCGGATCGGTCTTCAAAGGAACTCTCGCCGATTCGACTAAAGTCGCTGTCAAGAAACTCGAAAGCATAAGCCAAGGAGAGAAGCAGTTTCGAACAGAAGTCAGCACGATCGGCACGATCCAGCATATGAACCTCGTTAGGCTCCGAGGATTTTGCTCGGAGCGAAATAAGAAGCTCTTGGTTTACGATTACATGGAAAACGGTTCCTTGGATTCGCATCTCTTCGGCGGCGATGAATCGAAAGTTTTGAATTGGGAAATACGGTATCGTATTGCATTAGGCGTCGCTCGGGGGTTGGCCTATCTGCATGACAAGTGTCGAGAATGCATAATTCATTGCGATGTGAAGCCCGAGAACATTCTCCTCGACGCTGATTTCTGTCCGAAGGTCGGAGACTTCGGGCTGGCGAAGCTAATGGGTCGTGATTTCAGCCGCGTGCTGACAACAATGAGAGGGACGAGAGGGTACCTTGCGCCGGAATGGATTTCGGGGGTTCCTATTACGGCGAAAGCTGATGTTTATAGCTATGGCATGATGCTTTTTGAGTTAGTTTCGGGCAGCCGGAACTCTGAGTATGTTGAAGATGGGAGAGATACATTTTTTCCTTGTTTGGCCGCAAGAGTGATAATTGGGGAGGACGACGTTCTTGATCTCTTAGACCCGATTTTGGAGAGGGATGCGGATGGCGAAGAAGTTTTGAAGGTTTTGAAAGTTGCTTGTTGGTGCATACAAGATGACGAGAATTTGAGGCCGTCGATGGGGCAGATCGTTCAGATTTTCGAAGGTGTTGCGGAAGTGAGGTTGCCGCCGATTCCTCGGTCGTTGCAGCTTATGTTGGCTGCTAAGGAAGAACATGTTGTGTTCTTCACTGATCGATCGGCTGCTGGAGATTATGATGGAAAAACCAGTGATAAGTGTAGTGTGTTGTTGGAGTCTTAAGACAAGAACAGCAAGTTAGGTTTGTAGGAATAAATTCAGGCTTTGTTGTCTTGTGTTAGTTTTAGTTACTGTTTAATTGGGAGAATAGTTATTGTTGCAGTGTTGTTAACAGATGATGAACTCAGAGATTGCATGAATTAGACAAACAATACACATTTTTACATGAATTAAGCGTGTAGATAATTATGGTTTTTTATAAAAGGATAGTATAACATTGAAGGTGTCTTAACAATCTATACATCCAATAATTTTACATTTTTGCTACCACAAATATCCAAATACACCCTTGGACTTATTAACTTAATTCAACTATATTATATAGTTTTTAATTGTGATGAAATAAAATAGTGAGTCAATGCGGGTAGAGACTAGAGAACAGAAATGATTGTGACAATTACTTACGGATATATTTATTTTTTTGAAATAACGTAGAAATCGCAGTCGCTGGCTAGATGGGAATTGATTAAATTTTTTATTGAATTTAATATCATACAAACTAATTTCGACAAAGAAGTCAAGTCAAATTAGATCATAAAGTCCAACCCACGGACTTTTATTTGATTAGGACTGACTGAGTCGTCGTCTCCTTCACATAAACTCCATTTTCATTGAAATTATAGCACACATACTGTTCATTGTGCTGTTCGTCTTCCTTCGCAATGATCTTCGAGAACATTGGCAATATGCTCCTTTTTCTTATCTTTGTATGTTTCTACACCAACACAATTTTCTCCCTCGCAAATGACACCATTTCAGCAAACCAAACACTATCCGGGAATCAAACTATCGTCTCCTCAGGTGGGAACTTCGAGCTAGGGTTCTTCACTCCCAGCAAATCCTCCAAATACTACATAGGCATATGGTACAAAAAAATCCCCGAAAAAACCGTGATTTGGGTAGCAAACAGGGAAACCCCAATTTCAGACTCCCCTAATGCTCAAATCAAGATCTCAGGACGAAACCTAGTGTTGCTGAATGAGTCCAAGGTCGAGATATGGTCGACTGCCCTAAACTCAACAGGGCCACAAATTAACACTGTGTTTGCAGCTCTTCTTGATGATGGAAACTTGGTGTTGCGAGAAAACTCAGTTTCTGCCGAAACTCTCTGGGAAAGTTTCGACTACCCAACTCACACATTTATGCCCGGGGCAAAGCTTTCCTTTAATAAAAGAACAGGGAGATTACAGACTCTGACATCATGGAAGAGCTCCGATGATCCTGCCCGAGGGCTTTTCTCTCTCGAACCAGTTCCATACGACAGTCAATTTGTCATAAGATGGAACAAGAACGAGCCCAGTTGGAGCAGTGGAGCTTGGAATGGTCATACTTTCAGCGCAGTCCCTGAAATGAGATTGAACTACATCTACAATTTCAGCTACGTTGATAACGAGAACGAGAGTTATTTCACGTATTCTTTATACAATCCATCCATCATGTCCCGAATGATCATCGATACGTTTGGGCAGATCAAGCAGTCGACTTGGTCTGGGAATGCCTGGTCTGTGTTTTGGTTGCAGCCGAGGAATCCATGCGAGAGCTGTGCCTACTGCGGAGCATTTGCTATTTACAGTAGAAGTTCATCAGCACATTGCAATTGCTTGCCGGGATTTAAGCCGGAAGCCGACGACAACAAAAGATGTGTGAGAGAGACTAATTTGGAATGCGAAAACGGCGAGACAGTTGGTTCTAATGGGAGAAGAGATAAATTTCTTATGTACTCCAATGTGAAGCTTCCTTCTTATTTCGAATCATTGCCGTTGATCGAAAACATAGGCGAATGCGAGGCCGAGTGCCTGAGCAGTTGCGTTTGCAGTGCTTATTCCTACGACGAAAACGGTTGCTTGGTTTGGTACCGGGAGCTGTTAAATCTTGTGCAAGTAGAACAAGGAGATGATGATGATGATGGAAAAATCATCTACATCAGATACTCTGCATATTCCTCTGTCTTCAATGGCAGTAAAGATCATACCCTTCTTATTGTTGGTGCTGTTTTAGGTTCTGCTGCCATTGTCGCGTTAATTTCCGGGGCTGCAATATGGAGACATCGAAGGCGAAAGCATGCTAGAGTAAAGAATGCAGTAGCGGGTTCTTTAGTTGGATTTTCATACAAGAACTTACAGCTTGCGACGAAGAACTTCTCGGTTAAGTTGGGAGGTGGAGGTTTCGGATCAGTCTTCAAAGGAACTCTCCCCGATTCGACTGTCGTTGCTGTGAAGAAACTCGAAAGCATCAGCCAAGGAGAGAAGCAGTTTAGAACAGAAGTCATGACTATCGGCGCAATCCACCATATGAATCTTGTTAGGCTTCGCGGGTTCTGCCCCGAGCAAAACGAGAAGCTTTTGGTCTATGATTACATGGAAAATGGCTCCTTGGACACTCATCTTTTCAGCAGTAAGGACTCGACAGTTTTGGATTGGAAAATTCGGTACCAAATTGCACTTGGAGTAGCTCGGGGGTTGGCTTATCTCCATGACAAGTGCCGAGAATGCATAATTCATTGCGACGTGAAGCCCGAAAACATTCTCCTCGACGCGGATTACTGTCCGAAGGTCGGAGACTTTGGGCTGGCGAAGCTCATGGGTCGTGATTTCAGCCGTGTGCTGACGACGATGAGAGGGACGAGAGGGTACCTTGCACCGGAATGGATTTCGGGGGTTCCTACTACGGTGAAAGCTGATGTTTATAGCTATGGTATGATGCTGTTTGAACTGGTTTCGGGCAGCCGGAACTCGGAGTACGTAGAAGACAAGAAATGTACGTACTTCCCTTGCTTGGCTGCAAGAGTGATCGTTGAAGAGGGTGATGTTCTGAGCCTTTTGGACCCGCCATTGATGAAGGATGCTGATGCAGAGGAAGTTTTGAGGATATGTAAAGTTGCTTGTTGGTGCATCCAAGATGGGGAGAATGTGAGGCCATCGATGGGGCAGATCGTGCAGATTCTTGAAGGTGTTATGGATGTTTGCTTGCCTCCGATTCCTCGATCGCTGCAACTTATGTTGGCTGCTAAGAAGGAGGATGATGTTGTCTTCTTCACTGATCCCTCTTTCTGCACTAATTTCAGATGTTGGATCCCAGAAGAGCAACAAATTAGGTTTGGTTGATCGGAATCACGATGAGTTTTCGTGTATGATAGTATGTGTTGTAGCCAATGTCCTTGTGGGCGTGCTTGTTTGGGGATTGGATTAGATTTATACTATTTATTCAATTTTTTTTCCCAAAACATCAAATCAAACACCTATTTTTTATTTTTTATATTATACTAAAAATCAATTTTACATTAAAAACATCACATCAGCACTTGTTTATACCACGTCATACAACTTTTTACTATTCAAATCTCAACTCAAAATCCTAATTCCCAAACAAACACACCCTAATAGTGCCACGTCATACAACTTTTTACTATTCAAATCTCAACTCAAAATCCTAATTCCCAAACAAACACACCCTAATAGTGGTTTGAGAAGGACTTGCAAAAACCGTTTGGATTTGATTTGCCAAAAATATTAAATCAAAATTGAATATTTTAAATGACAATTTCGATTACAATTATCCGTTTAATTTTAATTTTATTGTTATTTTCTGATTTTTTTATTTTAATTATTAATTTTGATTCTAATGTTATTTTAATAAATCTTTATATTATTATAAATATATATAAATAATTCTTAAATTTTAGTACTATTATTCTTCTATTTATTAATATTAATCTTTTCTCTATTTTTATATAAAAATAATAATTTTAATATTTAAAAAATTAATAAAATCAAAAATCAAATGTCATGCGTAAACACACCTTTTGTTGTTTTGATTTATTTTAAAATCTCTTTAACTCATAACTCTATTCTTTTTTTAAGTTTACAGTATATTTTTCTATTTTTGTTGGAGTATGCTTCAGTAACTCAGTTTTAATCATATTTTTTATTTTTACAGGTCTTTTCTCTAATTATACCATTTATTTTTCAGAGTTAAATAAATAAATAATTATATTAAAAAAAAATTGTATTAAAAAAATAGATAATTATATTAAAAAGAAATTCAACCCGCTGATTCTGCAAAAAAAACTACTTGGTGTGTTGAACAGTTTTTTTTTCCTATCCGAAAAAATAAAAGAAATTTTCGGTTGGAGATGGTTTAAAACAGTAGAAAACTACTATTTTAATTTTTTTTCTTTTGTATTTTCGTTTTTGTTTTTGTTTTTGGTAAAATAAAAAATTCTAGGAAGATCTCTCCCTTTTGTTCATTTCATCGAGGACGGACTTGGAGAAATCTACGAAATGGCGCTTCGTGCACTCAGAAGAAATCTGTCTAGAGCTTTGAAGCCCCTGCCACCATCGTCTTCCATAACAAGCGAAACCTATTCTCTATTCACTATTTCTAACCGTCAATCTCCGGTATCTTCAACTTCTGCCAATTCTCCTCTTTCCCCAACCCAAACTTTCTTCGGCAACGCCATATGCTCGCGCTGCTTCTCTTCTCTCGGCGAAGAGCCGCATGGTCCTGCCCCGCTTAATCACAGGTGAACATTACGGGAATTTGAAATTTTAAGCATGTTTTTCAATTGGGATTTTTTTAGAAAGATAGAATGACTATGTAATTTGCGGTTGTTTGGAGTTAGAAATGGTGTTATTATAGACATCCTTGAACTTTTAGGTTATTGTGATTCGATGATTGGGCTTCTGAAGGTTTAAGGAATATAAAAGATTGGTTTGTAAAGTAATTGAGTTAGTGTGCTGGTTGATATATTAATATTGGTGTTCAGCTCTATGTTGCAGGAAGATGAGTATCACAGGTTGGCTAATTCTACCATCCATGGACTTCTTGAGAACCTAGAGGTAAATGTTTTGGATTGAGGCTATTTTCTATGAAACATAGTTTGTGCTACTGAGAGAGTGGCCATTGGAAGAGATGAACTGCGACAGGTTTTTTTTTTTTTTTTTTCTCTCTGTTATTCTGCTTATGTTTGCAACAGCCTAGAATTTTATTTATATGTTACTTTCATATTGATAGGTTTTTATTTTTTAGTGATAGATGCTGTGCGCTGTCTTTCTGGGATAGCTAAAGAGATAAATTAAATTCGCTGAATCTGCCATTGTTGTTTTCTTGCAGTTTAGACCAAGCTTGTCAAGTTTTAAATTATCTTATTGTATCACTTTTCAGTAGCTGATTTTATTGAAACTGGTCTAATGAATGATGGATTTGGTTTGGTTTATCAGGAATATGGTGATTCTGTAGAGATTGAGGGATTTGATGTTGACTATGGGGTATGATAGATGGATTGACATTAACTCTGTAGGCCTACTTTCGTTTTGTGTTCATCAGTTTCTTGTGTAACTAATTGTTTGTATTTTAGAATGAGGTGTTAACCTTGAAGCTCGGGGATTTGGGAACTTATGTTATAAATAAGCAAACACCAAACCGACAGATTTGGATGTCTTCTCCCATCAGGTATTGATATCTTAACCCTGATGAGATTTTACCATTTCCTCTAAAATGCTATATTGATATCATTATCTAGGTTCTTGAGATGTTGGCGCTTCTGCTTGTGTTTTGTTTGGTTGGACTTAGGTCTTAATTAGGTTAAAAGTACTTAGTATTGACAGTTGAGTTAAGCTTCCTATGAAGCTACTGTTCATGTACAAATGAAGCTCTGAAACTGCCAGCAGATAGATACACCTTAGGAGTTATGGATGCTTTACATTTGTGACAAGAATGTGTGGTTGCCTGTTTAGTTCCATCTTTTTTAATGTTTATTTTAAGCTTTATTAAAGCTGAGTTAAGATGTTGAGCTGAATTAAGACTTTACATAAAGATGATGTATGAGTTAATACTTCAAGGCCTACTGCACCTGGTGGCATGTTCTTTATAATTTTTCATACCTTTTAGTAAGTACCAGCTGACTATAACTTCAAGATTCGTTTGCATTTCATCTAATTAATAAGTTCTGTGGACAGTTGTGAATTCTGTGGACCTTTAAGGTTTGGATTTGAGTTTGTGGTTTGAAAATCGTAAAATTTGAATTGAAATAGTATCTGATGTGAAATAAATAAATATTTGATATGATATTTTTATGAAAAATTGATATTTTTTGGTAAAATGTTAAAATGAAAAATAAGAGTTTAATTTGATGGTTTTGAGAGTACAAAATTTGATGAATAATGCTAGACCAAATTCATACCTTAAAGATGCGGAGCCTTAAGTTTCTTAAGAATTAGAAATTGAAACACCTTTTGGCTTTTACTAATATCCTTTTGAATCCCAGTAATGATGTTGTTACTCATGGATTGAATTATCAGTGGAAAAGTTAAAGGAAATGGAACCATTCCTTTGGGGCTGTAAGGAAAGCGCCAAGCTGTGAAAAGATTTCTTAACGATCAATTGTTTATTTATTGTAAATGCTGTCAGACAATGCTTAGCAGCACTATATCTAGTGTTCATTCTCATCAGTTGCGACTTAGAAGATATAGCTTCGAATTCATACTTAGTATTTGATAAAATCTTGCCATGCCCAATTATTCCTCATCTCTGTTGCTAATTTGCACTCGTAATTCATATGTAATTATTTTGTTAGCTTTGCACAGGCTTTGTATATCTCAAAGTCTTGTAATTCCTTTTGCAGCGGTCCCTCTAGGTTTGACTGGGATCAAGATGCTCAAGCATGGATTTACCGACGAACGAAAGGAAACCTGAATAAAATTTTAGAAGCTGAGTTGGAAAAGCTGTGTGGGCAACCCATTAATCTTTCTTAAGCTAATTTTATTTTTATTGAAAGGACAATTCTGACATACATGAAACTGTATTCTCTCCGAGTCTTTGGCACCATGTTTTTTTATATTCACAAGCACACATCGGGCTTATGGCATTCTTAAGCACTCACTGTAATAAATAAGCTGTATTTCAATGGTATGTTGCTTATGTTGTAATAATGCATTGACTAGTCACCTAGTTAACCATTTTTAAAATATCATTAGTTAGCTCAAGAACACACACCAAAGTGAACACATATATTCGAATTAGTTATGTTTGAGTTTGACTAATATTTAAATGAGTTTGGACAAGAAACATTATTGACACTTGCAAAATACCAACTTTGATGAGGCAATCCACTTTTAAATTATTTTCAATTACCAACACTTTCCCATAGTTCATTCTTGAATCCACTAGCTATACTAAGATGCCTAACTTGCAGCATTCACAATAGCATTTTATCTACACACACATGCATAAATATATATATATATATATATATTCTCTACTTGATTTGTTCCCCTAAGAAAAGAATCGAGACAGCAAAGAAAGAAAAGGTTGTAACTAAAGTAATCTCTTCACTTATATATATATATATATATATATATATATTATATTCTGGCTATTCTTCTTATGTTCAACAAACACATTCATCATTCTTGAAATCAAAAAGTAAAAATAAAATGAGAAACCTATACGTTGGGATTTCTTTGTGTATCCTTGTCATTGCATTGGATGTCACAGCTGGAATTCTTGGACTGAAGGCTGAAGCTGCTCAAGACAAGGTAAGTGTTCTTATTCTTCATCTTCCGTGATGCACCATGTGTATGATTAAATCTTCTTCCCGTTACATCGATATGTTTTGGTGACGTACTTCTTTTTTTTTTTTAATATCAGGAGAAGCATATGAGATTCCTTCTACTCGAGTGCAAACCGCCGAGCCACCACGCCTACGAGCTCGGCTTTGCTGCGGCCGTGATCTTTGGCGTGGCTCATGTTTTTGCCAATTTGGTGGGAGGCTGCAATTTCAGACATGCTTCCAAGCTGCCTATGGTGTGCCTTGTCTTAACATGGTACCTTCGTGCTTTTTTTTTTTTCTTATAACTTTAATGGTCATTATAATAAACCATTGTGTCATTCTAATCATTTTGTGAATTTGAATTTGAAGGATTGTCATGGCGGTGGGGATGTCGTTGCTGGTGATCGGGACAAAATCGAACCACAAATCGAAAGTATCTTGTGGGCTGTCGCACAATAACTTTTTGTCGGGTGGAGGAATATTGTGTTTCATCCACGCTGTGATTTCTGTGGCCTATTATGTTACATCCTCAGCTACCTATCCTAAATAGATTTCATTTTTTATTTCTATTTTGATTTTTTATTTCTGATGTATCCATATATATATATATATTACGACGAATATTTACCTAAATTTCTTGTAATATTACTCTTTACTTTGTATTGAAAATTTATTTTCATAATAATAATAATAATTTTTCTATTTTTGTTGTCCCATACCAATCAACATTTTTATATTTTGTAAAACTTACTAAATCAAAATATATCTAACAAATATAAACCTAACTTAATTAATTACATAATATATAATATCATAAGTGTTAATTATAAGTAAATAAACTACATAAATTTTAAATCTTTTAAATATATATTCTATTTTTTTAATCATATATATTAAATTCATTTTAAAATTATCAATATTATTAATTATTAAATAATAATAAATTAATTAATTATTTAAATACATAACTTCACCTCACACGTCCATTTTCACATTATCCGGAGGAAGAATGTTTTTTGTTTTCTTTATTTATTTTTTTGCCAACATGAGAATATGTAATCGTTGTCCTTTGAGAACACGTTGGATAAATTCTTGGTCAAACTTAAATTAAATTCAACAAGATAAATCACACTAAATGAATTAGAACGATGCGTGACAGACAAGATCCAGAGGTATCCGGATTCAACTAGTTATTAGAGTGCAATTCATCTCCAAAATAGTTAAATGCTACAGTGGTAACTTCCAATGCCCTTCTGATTCTGATACCAACTCTATCATAATTCTTGTCATTCCATGGACACGATATTGTATATGTATACAAATTATTTACATATACAATTAAGACCTAAAATGCTATAATACGAATGAACATATTTAGTTATTTACAAGATACATATGGAAAAGATAAATTATCGATAAGGTAAAACAACATTATCTATCTGTTGATGAGTTGCCATAATTTTATCTTTACATTTGTGTATAGTAGAAATAAATAAATACTCCATGTCTATTTCAATAAACATATATACATCATCAGTCTTGAAAATAAAATGAGAAATGTATATGTCAGCGTTTTTGCGTATGTCCTTGTCGTAGCATTGGATGTCATAGCTGGAATTCTCGGACAGAAGGCCGAGGCTGCTCAAGACAAGGTCGATTAATTATTCTTATTTTTCATCATCATATGTATGATTAAATCGATATTTTTTCAGGCGAAGAAGATGAAGCTCTTTCTAGTCGAGTGCAAACAGCCGAGCCACCTCGCTTACCAGCTTGGATTCGCGGCTGCTGTGATCCTTGGCGTGGCTCATGTTCTTGTCATTTTGATGGGAGGCTGCAATTTCCGACATTCTTCCAAGCTGCCTGTAACGTGCCTTGTCTTAACATGGTACCTTTGTGCTTTTGTACTTATTAGTTTCGATAATTTATTAATCAGATGGTAAATTTAAAGATTAATATGTAATCATGGTAGAAATATAGTTTTATTAAAAATTAAATAAAAAATCCAAAACTACGATAATATATGCAAACATATAAATAGAGATAGCACACATAGTTTATGTTCATTAGTAATATAACAAACTAAGGCATCATTAATACATATAAATATATAAATCACATGATCAACATCCAATTCGCAATATATGTATATAGATGTAACAACTAATACACATTTATAACATCGGATTATTATTGAAATGCGAAGTACTAAATTAACTTTGAAAAGTTTAATGATCAGATTTATTCAGTATAATAATAAGTTGACATTTTGATTAATTTTCAGGAGTTTCTTGGCTGCGGGGATGTCGTTGTTGGTGATCGGGACAAAATCGAACAACAAATCGAAAGTATCTTGTGGCCTCTCGCACGATGATTTTTTGGGCTATGGAGGATGTTTTTGTTTCTTCCATGGTGGGATGTCTCTGCTCTATTATGTCTCATCCTATGCTACTTCATCTTAAATAAACTTTCCATATTTTTATCCTCACATATATATTTTAATTTGTTACCATGAAATTTTCATCTAAATTTCTTGTAATATATAATGCTCCAATTTTTTATTGCAATTTACTTTCATAATAACAATAATGTGTGTTAATCTTTTATTTTGTGATATAGCCTCCTTCTCCAAAATAGTTAAATGTGATTAAGATATTATAAATATCCGTATAAACACAAAGTATTTTTTTATAGATATTAGACAAAATAGCATAAAAACCTCATGTGGTTTCATAAAGTTGCTGAAAACCCTCTCTGATTTTAAAACTCCAAAAAACTTACTTGTTGTTCGTAAAACGTTGCAAAAAAACCCTCATCCGTTAGAACTTAACGGAGAGTGTATGTTACGGGTCTGCGAATTTTGGTCCATAAAGTGATAAATTTGTACGTGACTTTATTATATGATTTTTTCTCTCTCCTAAAATTCAATACAATTTAATTCTTCCTCAATGTCTTCTTTTAAAAGAATTGTGATTTTTCATCTTTTCCCATATTTATGCAGAGAAAAGTGTTAAATTATGTTTCTTTCTCCATTCTTGCAGATATTTTTTAGGTTAAATTTTAGGAGCAAATAATTCATAATTGGAGAAGAACTTGTGCGGCTGCCTGCCTGAAGAAGAATTAGGGAAGAAGAAATAGAAGAAGAAAAAAAAAATATTGGGAGGAAGAAGAAGAAAGGAAAAAATTGGGAAAACAAATACCTGGTGCGTGCAGCGGGTGAAGAAAAATTGAGAAAGAAAATTGGAGAAAAGAAATAAGAGAAAGAATCTGATGTGACTATGGGGTGTAAAGAAAAAGAAAATTGGGGAAAAGAAATAAGAGGAAGAATCTGGTGTGATTATGGGGGTGTAAAGAAAAATTGGGGAAGGAGAAGAAATAACTTAAACAATTAAGACCCAGAAGAAAGAAAAATATTTTCCACTATTGGCAAACAACTCCAGCCCATTCCGGCGACCGGCGGCGGTGGCGATTCTCACCAGCTTCCTTCCTCGGCAAACAGACAACGGGTTAATACGATTTTTTCACAGATTTTCTGTAAGAAAATTACAGAAAAATAAGAAGAGAAAGGAAAAAGAAAAAGATGGGAGTGGGCGTGCGGGAAATGAAAGAAAAAAAAAAGTAGGAGAGAGAAAATGGTATAACGGTTCATTATGATAGAATTTAAACGTCTCGGAGTGGGCTAGTGTGCAACGTTTTACAGGTTTTTTGGAGTTTTAAAATAGGAGAGGGTTTTCAGCAACCACGGGGGATTTTAGTAAAAAAAATTGAATTGAAATAGTTATACTGTATAATATAAAATTTGAATTAAAATTTATTTTTAAATATAATATAAAAAATAAAAAATAAATATTTGATTTAATATTTTTGGTGAAATTGTTTTTTGTGAATAATAGAATTTGGAGAGAATTTCTCAAAGGAACACATATGAAACCTTGAATCCTATATGCTAACAGAATTCACAATTTTTTCTTTTTACGGTATAAACTCTTGGTCGAACCTAATATCTTGAAAATTAGATCCGACAAGATAAGTCACATTAGTAAACACTGGAAATTTTCTTCTGAGGAAGTACATTCACTACTACATATTTGTCCAATGGCTTTCTTACTTGAATTGTACAGAAATAAATGGTCTGAATGATTTCTACAACAGTTTATCTTACAAGGAGTTTGTTGGGATGTGTAAATCCAAACCAAAGTTCGAAATAATTATCCGGCAAATCTAAAGTTAACGTTCTATTTTAATTTCAATTTCGATTTTTGCACAAACTTGTAGTCCCAAATACAGAAAAAAATCAACTTTCATCATCGGAAAGGAATTCATCATCGCTCGTCTGCTGCTGTTCCTTCAATGATGGGAATTGCCGTCTGTGCATATCCGATAAAGACTCCGACTTTGTCGGCTCTTGAGGAGGCAAACTCTCCGCTGATGACAACGATGTCTCATTCTTTGCCAGCTTTAAGGAGCTGTGTATGTCATTGCATGCCTTGTCCAAAACCGACAAGAATTCGCTAACGATTACAAAGAGTCGCAGCCCCTCATCTTTCCCGTCCTTACCGTGGAAGTAATTCGCCGTGCTCTTCACCAGAGCCATTATCCTCTTCTCTTCTCCCATCAGCCATTTGATATCGAATTCGGCTTGATTGGTTGAGCCCATAAGAGTGTTCCGGAACTCACTTTCTCCCTCTAGGCTCTGCATTTCTGTCTCGAGGAATTCTTTTGTCTGAGCAAGAGACTGGCTGAGTTTCGACACGGCTTCACTTATCTGATTATCGATAACTGCAGCTTTTGTTATGTTCTCAAGCTCGTTTCTCAGACCAGAAACCTGCTGAAGGCCGAGGCTTTGGTAGAATTCTTCTGTTTCTGGAAACTTCACATTATTGTCTTCTGCACTTTCGCCGGATTCGCTTTGAATCTTTTGTAATTTTCGAGCAGCTCTAGCACCTTCGGTCCGACTGATTTCTTGGACAACAAAATGAAGCAGCGTCGTCTTTCCATCAATTCCTTTTACATCTGACAACTTCAGCAGTGCATCAAGCTTGAATGCAGTAGCCCCACCGCGGTAAGTGCCATCGTTCATACGGTTTCCGGTTTTGAGAACTGCTTCCAAGAGTTTGAAGAATAGTCTGCTGTTTGTGAGCTCCTTACATGCAAGCTGAAAATGATCATTAAAATGTAAACTTTATCAAAAGCACAAAATGGTCCTAAGAAAAAATTCAAACTTCGTCGCCATTGAAGTATGGTGAAGAAAGTGAATTATTGTTAGGGAATAGTATACAAACCTCTATAGTTTCAAAGGATTCTTTAAGAAATGAAAATTCCTCCTGGAATGTGCTTATGAACAACAGCGATTCCAGGCGTTTAAACGCAAATGGAATAGCAATCAAAACCTTTAGGAACCTCTCGCCTGGTCCAAGATGTGAAATATTCCCATCATATGATCTGAGTTTTTTCTCTTCATCCAAGGTTGGAACCATCCTCAACAAAGATTGGCATAATACTGCTGGGAGCTCATTACCTAATCAAAATCAATTGTTGGAAATCCATCAAGATAGTTAAATATGCAAAAAATAATAGGAAAAAGAGAGAGAACAACTGATATAAGGTAAAACATGTTTTGTTTTAGCAGAGGTGAAGAAATTTTCTTTAATGTTTATACCATGTTTGTTGCCTAATTGAATTATACATGTGCTTAGAGTGATGGTGCAAGATGTAAAAGTTGCTATGAAAGTACCTTCTTTGAGGGCATCAAAGATTTCTTCCTTTGTTACATCTGAAGCTTTCAGAACAATTGCCAAGTTTTGTGACTTCCTGGGATCAATTATCTGGATGAACTGTGGAATTTGTAATGCTGATGAATCTTTTTCACTTTTCTTTTTATCCACGGGATCATATCCAAAGATTTCTTCCATCATCTCCTCATTAACTCTGCAAGTCCAAAGCACATTCAAGATATCTAAATGCCATGTGGAGACATAAGATATGAATCAAGGAAAGCAAGGCACAATCCAGCTAAAATTACTCACTGAAATGACCCTTCTCGAATTTCATTCCACACCATGGAGCGGCTGGGGCTTGCAGCAACCTTATCCCAGAAGAATGGCTTTAATTTGGCTTTGTGAGCTTCTGATTCATCAGAAAGGTCATTTCTACCTCCTGAAGAAGAGTTACCATGTTGGCCCCTCTGATTTGGATGCCGACCAACTTTAGGAGGCGGTGGAGGAGCAGGAGCACGGACAGGGAGTTTAGGAGGAGGCGGTGGAGGTGGCCCCGGAGGTGGTCTAGGGGGTGCACATGCTGTTTTCTCTTGGGAAAGTAGTATTGTAGCAGCTACTCCATCTATTCCAGCATTAGCTTCGACTGACTGAGATTCTGCCTGTGATAAATTGATTTTGGTTGAAGGGGCTTTGACATCCATATTGTTTGGAGCACTTGGGACTTGAGACTCCTGTGCAGAACCTGAATGATTATACTACAGTGGTGAATGCATAGACATTTATAAATAAAACTTGATCATGAGGTGGAGCATTACCAGCAGGATTATTACCGGAGCCCAAATGAAATTGCCCTGCACCTCCTTGTGCATCCTTTGGTTCAATCTTCTTCTTCTTAGGATAGTACAATATGTATGCAGCTACAAATGCAAAGAATACCACAAAAGTAGTGACTGCAGCGGCGGTAATATACTTGTGATGTTTGTTGTCACTTTCTTGCGATGGACCAGGAGAAATATTGTTTGCATCTATAATAGTCTTGTCGTCATTGTTCTCTTCTCGTGCTGGACCAGGGGAAAGATTGTTTGGTGATTGCGAAGGAGCATCTCCATTTTCTTGTGATGGACCAGGCGAAAGATGGTCGGGTAATTGTGAAGGAGAATCACTTTCTCTTGCTGGACCAGGTGAAAGATCATCTATTACTTGCGAAGGTGCATCACTACCTGGTGATGGACCGGGTGAAAAATCGTCTATTTCTTGCGAAGGAGCATCGCTACCTGGTGATGGACCAGGCGAAACATCATCTATTACTGGCGAAGGAGCATCACTACCTGGTGATGGACCAGGCGAAAGATCATCTATTACTTGTGAAGGAGAATCAGCAGCTGAGGGTGAAGGAGATGTTGCAGGAGATTGTGTAGGAACCATGTCAGGAAACGGTAGAACTGGAGAAGGAGCCGGTGTGGGCACTTCAAACACAGGTGCAGGGGACATATAATCAGGGGATAATGCAAGGTCAGGGGGTGCAGCAATTGAAGGTGGATACCTGTTGGCAGGAGGCTGAGAATCTGAAGAGGGAGAGGGACCTGGCACTTCATATGCAGGTGCAGGGGATGAAGCAGGTCCTGATACTTGAATCCTTCCACCTTTGTGCCTCAGGTACCTTCTCGGAATCTTAGCCCAACTAGAAAACAACTTTGTCAATTTGTTGGGTATGGTCTCTTGCTGATTGCTTAATTTTTGCAACAGTAGTTTGTTATATCTCAAGCAATCCATAGAAGTTTCCTTCTTCTCCGAAGAAAGACTAGCTGCGACATTCTGTTTACTTAATTTCACCAACAAGGGTGAATCAAATGTGACACCATTGTCATCACTAGCTGATGGCTGAAAGACATCTAAATTTATGCCTTGAACCGCTTTTACGCATTCTTTTAACTTGTCTGTAGAATCAGTCCATGCTTCTTCAGCCTGCCAGAAAGATTTCAGCAGAATTTCATATCTTCATAACTCCATAACACAAATATAAATTTCTTCCATCTGCTTATTAGCCATAGAACACAAATGATCAGCTAGTTGACTGAATACAATTAACCAAAGTCTCATTGCTCTTAATCCTAATAAGCAGAAAAGCAAAGATCAGAAGGAGCCATCAAAGGTTATACTTAGTCAAATTCCTCCACAAAACCTAAGTTTCCTGACATTATGAATGAATAAATACAATCACATCAGTCCAAGAATGACACAATACTTCAAATCTGATGCTTAATTATTGGATAAACAAGTGTAACTGATCGAATAGTGATGCCAAATTTCAATTATGCATTAAGAATATCTAGATGGTATTCAGGAGAACTAAGATGAATGAATCCAACAAGGGTACTATTGAGCATACCATATCTGTTGAGATGGCATCCTTATCTTCCCCAGAGACTCCTCCATATGAAACGCTTTGCCTCAATTTCCTATTAACTTCAGAAGACTCTGCTGCAAAGAAACAGAAAAGAGCAGCAAGAAAGACTGCCAATTTTGTGTCCATCTTTTGTCAAACGATCATCAATGCCTTTTCATTTGACCGAGCCAAAACAGGAATACGCATAGCCATATCTATAGCTATGCATGAAAATTAAATAACAGGAAATTTCTTGGTTTCGAACCCTAAATACAGTGCTCCCCAAAGGGACCAAATTCCCAGAACTCATTCAGTATTATTTCCAAACACTTCCAGCAATGAAGGCGAAGTAGCCCCTCCCTTTGCCTGCGGCAAGCACACAAAAAATGCATCTATCTCTGTTGTTGACCTTGAATGAATATCGAATTTAATGATGACGGAACCTCTAAAACACACTATTTTCCCTCGCTCCACAGAGAAAACGAAAACCTACAAAAAATAACAAAGGGGGTTCCGTTTTTTATTCACAGAATATTTATGGAAAAATTAATGAGAAAAAAAAGTGGTTTCATTCAAACGCTGAAGAATTTGAGGGAAAAAGACAATGATTAATTTTGATGCATTTCGAGAATCAGAATATATATTTCTGATCAGGGCTATGATTTAACAAGTGATGCATGTAATCCAGTAGGCGAGAAACGAGAAAAACAAGAACACACGAAGAAACGCAACAAGAACGACGAGCGAGGGAGGGAAGGAGGGACAATGCTTCAATTGACGCAATAAAATTAAATTCTAAAATCATTTTAGATCCCTTATTTACCAAAAAAAAAAATAATAATAATAATATATACTATAATTTTAGTCCTTATCATTTCTACATAGAACTAACTAATAACAATAACAAGTAATAGAAATCAACAATGTCCAAAATTTTATCAAACAGCATACAAAATGCATTGATCTAAATAAACCAACAAAAATTCCTAATTTAGTCTAGAATGCAAGACATAAAATAAACGATATTGTTACACATAACATATTAGGAAATTGAAAACATAGCATAAAAAGATCCAAGAACTCAAGCTAGAACATTAAAGTAGCAATAAAATGAGGTGTTCGAAATCATCGTCTAAACGGATCGATATTATTACATAAATGAAGTTCGAAATTAATTAAATTCGCCGATAGATCAGACATCACCGACACTGGGGTCAGTGTTCCATTTGGTCTGTGATTCCAAGAAGCTCAGACATAGATGAGGCCCTCCTCCTCCTGGTAATGAGCTTGGAGAGCCTTCATCTTCCCCAACATTATTATTATCATCAGCATTTCTGCAATAATAAAAACAAACAAAAATAATGCTATGTGAGATTCTTATAGAAATTTCCAATGATATATACATATGAAGCATGAAATGCATTCAATTCATTTTGTATGGATGTTTCAAATTATAGAAATTCTTTGCTCTATGTAAACTGTAATCTTGATGTATATAATCTATTACAATATGATCAAATTAAGTTCCATATGTGATTCATAAATGCCTCATTTTGTATTATAGTTGGTTAAAATTTTAAATTTGTAAATGATCATTGATTTTAAAAATAAATACCCATTTTGGGGGATTTCATGAATGGAGTTGTTTGAAGCTGAAGTCGAATCCTCGATGACTATGGGGGCAGAGTTTCCCTCGACATTGTCGGGATTTTGAGCTAGTTGGTTGCCGAGGAATTTCGCCTACAAATATTTTTATTTCATCCGAATATTTAAAAAAATAAAAATAATAATACTTCAAAGGAAAATAAAAAATTTATACAAATTATTTAATTACCTTGAACAAATGTATACGTTGAATGGCGCCAGTGAGGAATTGCTGGTAGACGCCAGCCTCAAGCACTGTATTGATATTTGCAACATCTGGTTCATAATACCTAATGAAAAATTAAATTAATTAGTTACATACAAATGATTGATAATTAAATAAGTCATTTCAATTAATTGTACCTCATTTTCTCTTGTGACTCACGCTGTTTCCTGTTGAGTTTGTCGAGCTTCTCTTCAAGATCCTGAAAATTAATCAGTTTTAAAATGTTAAAATAATCGAATCATGTTCACTTCTTAAATAAGAACACAATTAATACAAATGAAATTTATCGTATATACCTCGATGCTGCATTTGTTGGCCAGCAATTGGGTTTTCAATTCATGAAAAACAAATTGAAAAATTGTGTGTCATCAGAAAATAATTATGTTAAAAAATTGAGATAGATGATCAGAAGCTAATATTGTTAGAATTCTTCCAACAAAACCTTACATGACAATCTTCTCCAGCATTTCTGCCTCGTATTTTAACTCCTTGAGTTTTCGAGACAAGAACTAGAACAGATACAGACAGACAGATCATATCTATGTCAAATTAAAAAAATTAAATTAAACAAAAGATTTAGATGCAGCCATACCTCTTCATGGTTAATCGGCCTGAAGCAAAAATAAAAAAATAAAAAATCAAATCAATTGCATGGAGCAGGAAGAAACCCTAATTTAAGGTAATCAAGGTGGAAGATTAATTAATTAGTTCAGGATACAAACCCTCCTCTCAGTTCATCAGGCCTGTCCACGAATCTGAGGAAGATATCCTCAACCCTACTGTAGAAACAAACCAGAAAGAATCCCAAATCAATTTAACAAAAAAGAAAAAGTTACTGAAAACCCTAATTCAGACATAGATTCATCTACAGAGACGACCATGGATCAATTAACTTACAGTACAGAAGTAAATAAACAAAATCAAAGTAGGGCAAATTACTAACCTCCCGGTGGTGGCGAAGGTGGAAAGGCGGCCGGCGGGGGAGAACATGATGAGGCCGACGTCGGTGTCGCAAAGAATGGACAGCTCGCTGGCCTTCTTAATGATTCCATCCTTGCGCTTCATGTAGGTCACCTGACGGGCTGTCGGGTTCTCGATCCGCTTCATCGCCAGCTTCTTCCTCCCCATGGCTACGCTTCTTGATTAGTTAATTCTGCACTCCACTGTCTGCCTGTCTGTCTGTATATATCCTTGTCTGATATACGACCAGGCGAAGAAGACGATGAAAAGGGCGGATTGATGGGATTGAGAAAGAACCCAAGCTTTATCAAAAGAGGTCAAATACATTTATTGCAAACCAAAGCCCGTCGCATTTATTTACATAACGAGTGTATCTGTATGTGGTGAGTCAAAGGTTTGTGAGGAGAGGCAATTAAGAAGAGGATCTGCTGTGGAACTGAGCAGATATATATATAGATATATATTTACCGGATCTGGATTTTCTCCAAATCTAACAATTAATCTTGCTTTTTCCATTTTGATTTTCATTCCCCACGCAAACCACTCGTATTACTGTTTCTCTAATCTTTAATTTGGTCAGAAGAAATCAAAAAAATCCTGTCAAATTAGAACATTGCCAGCTTCGCTTTCGTTGGAAATCAACTGCCTGTGTCTGCGTTCTTGCTTCAAGTGAAGTTTTGGGGTGTTTTTTGAAGTTTTTGCAAATTGAAGGACCTTTATTGTTTTTTGGATTGTTTTCTTTTGGGGGGCACTTTGTAATTTATTGAAAGATAGATTTATAATATTGCATTGCCTTTGTGTAATATTTGTTGCCTAATAGCTTAATTGTATAAATGTATTCTAGTTGAATAATTAGATTCTACATTCATGATTATTCAAATTAAGTATATATAATTTATTTTTTTAAAAAGAATATCAATCATTATTTTTATTAGTATTATGTCACACGAAATAACACTTCATGAATATAATTTTTTTTAGAGGGCTTTAAAATGTAAAATTTAAAATTGAAGGGTTTTATTTTTTAATCTCCCTAAACACATCGAAAAAAATTAATGATGTATTAAACATGTAGAAATTAAATGATGTTGGACGAGTGAATGTGATTGAACACTTTACATTTTGAATCGATTGAAAGTAATTAGATAACATCAAAAGATGAGTCTAGATTGTACGATCTAATAAGATCGAATGCGACAAATTTTAATACACGGCAACGTTTTGAATCTACTTAGAAGAGTAGATGGTGTTGGAAGAAAAAATACAACAAATTATTAAATGTATGTTGGCAATTTGAATCAACTAAAAAAATTAGATGATACAAGAGATCAAGTTTATAGTAAATAATATTGGAGTTCAAATGCCATATAATACTATATATACTTCAACATTTTGATTCGATTAAAAGTAGTTCGATGATGTTGATGGACGGAACTAAATTAAATGATGTTAAAGGACTAAATGCAATAAATTACTAAATATACTTTAGCATTTTAAACTGATTCGAAGGAATAGGGTTATGTTGGAGGATGAGTATAAATTAAATGATATCGAAAGACCGAATACGACAAATTATTCAATATACGAAATCTTTTGAATCTATTAAAAGATATATATCACATTGGAAAATGAGTCTGATTTAAATGATGTTGGAGGACCAAATGCGACTTTTTAAACAAACATGCACATTTGAATCGATTATAGAGAATTGAATGGTGTCAAAAGATATGTGAATTAAATAATACCGGAGGAACAAAAGCGATGAATTTTAAACATACTTTAACATTTTAAATTAGCTTAAATGAATAAGATTGCATGTCGGGATTGAATATGAGAAATTTACATACTTAGCATTTGAAATAAAGCTAAAAAGAAATAAAATGACCTTGATTGAAATTTTTTGATTAAATGATAAGAACAAAATATAAATATATTATATGTACAACATATATTAAATTTATTAAAAATAACTTACATATTGAAAGATAAATTTTGATTCAAAATGATGTTAAAAGACTGTATACATACAAATACACTAAACTAATGCTATATCCAACTAAGAAAATTCATTTAGATGGTTTCAACTTTTAAAATGCAATTGTTTCAATATTTTTACTCTAATATATAATTTTATTTTTTACTCTAAAAAAATATTCTTTAAAATATTCTTCTGTATATATTATTTAAAATAATTTTTTATATTTACCATTCACATTAAATCAAGACCTTAAATTTCATATTTATATTTATCAATTTTATTTTAATATAAATGTATATTTTATAATTTATATTCACTTTTAAACATATTTGAAAAAAAAAATTATACATTTTTATTCATTAAAAAATATAAAATGTAATTACGTGATAATAAAATATTAATTTTTTGTGTAGAAATTATTTCAAATTTAATTACTAATATTGTAATTATTCAATGTAAAATTGAAATACATTGAATACATAATTTAGATTATAAAAAATTAAAAATTTCTTTTAGTAATTCATAAAAATAAAAAATAAAAAAAAACTACGTACAAATAATACATAAATAAAAACATAATAATTTTATATTTGTTCCTACGTCATTATTTGAGGGACCAATAGCATGCTAAGAGCATGGTCTAAAAAGAGAATTAGATGAATTTGAAAAATAAAAATTTAGGGTGTGTTTGTTTGGAGATTGGATTTTAAATATACTATTTATCCTATTTTTATTTTTTTTTAAAAAATATCGATTCAAACACCTATTTTTAATTTTTTATATTATACTAAAAATTAATTTTACATTCAAAATATTAACACCTATTTATATCACATCATATAACTATTCAAATTTAAAATTTTTATTATTTAAATCCCAACTCAAAATCTAAATCCGAAGACTCTCCTCACTGTTCAAATCCCAAGTCAAAATGCAAACCCAAAGCAAACACACCCTAAAAGTAATAGTAGTAAAATATTAATTTATGGTCAAATATACAAATTTTAAAATATATTTTAGCATTTTGAAAAAAGAATACATGGATTATTTTATTTATTTTTTTCAAAATTTTGATTTTTATATAAAATATTTTATGTTTTTTTATTAATTTTTAGAGAATTATAATTAAAAAGTAATGGTGATAATATAATTTATCTATTGTTTACGTTTTTAAATATATTAAATTAAATATTTATTTATATTATATAAATAATTATTTTTATTTAAAATTTTATTATACAAAACTTCTTCAAACATCAATCGAGATGATTATTATTATTATTTTTTTCATAAAAAAATAAAATAAAATTTTGATGTCGTGTTTCATTTCTTCTTTCCCAAATGCCCCAAGCAGGGGGCGTTGCCTGCTCTTCCTCAATCCAATTGATACCCTCTACTGACGAATTTCCCCACCCAATAGTCACCGTCATCGGCAATCCACTGCAGCTTGACCCTCGCTGATCTCTTTCCGATTGGATGGATATTGAGCTTGATTAGGTATGAAATCCCCAATCCTCGCTTTTGCCAATGCATTTCTTGTGGTTTTTGTTTGCATCTGCTTCGGACATTTTACTGTATTCGAAAATCGAAACTTCAATTCTACTTCCTGACTGAATGACATTTCCTTTTCGTAAATATTGATTCTGTTTGACCAATGTATTGATTATAATCTCTCATCCAGAATTTGGAAAAATTAGGAGGCTGGCTTGGCTGAGAACACCATCTGAATTTTTTACCTATTGATTCTTTTATTTTTATTTTTATTTTTTGAAACCTTGCAGTATCTGTCAGATTTGTGTTGGTTTTATTTGGCAAGTAATATGAACCTTCTCGATTTGATTTTCGCAGTTGTCTTACTCTGTGAATTGCTTTGCTATTTTCTTAGTGTTGAATGATTATGGAGAATCAATGCAGCTGCCCCTTTGTGAAAATTTATGCTATTAGGTTAAATATTTCTGCTATCAATACTGTGTAATCATTCAAAATATTTCTTGAAATCACATCTGGAAGATGGCCCAATGGGATTTTTACTACCAGAATTTTATTTATCTTTATGCTGTATATTTTAACACAATGATTAATTGATCTTTCTTAGTAAACATTGCCTTTAAGATTTTGGCTGTTGGGATAGTTGAGCACAAAGTTGTTTAAAATGTGTGCAGTTATGACCTGTGGCAATCAAGCTAGGGAAACTAAATCTGTGATCCCTTTTTGCTCTTCTGATCGCCTAATTTCTTATTATACCTGTTATTTTTCCATTTTTTCACCCAAGAATGTACATTGATGCATCATATGAGAGACTTCTTTCGAGAAAAATTGAACAAAATAAGAGTAGATGATTTTCAAGAATCAAGAGCAAAAGCAAGTTCATTTACAGAATGAGATTTGAAATCAGAGAAAATGTTTTCAATTAGCCATGCATTTGCCCTCCATGATGTTTTGATTGAGCAAGAGCATTTCTTGGTTTAGATAGAGTTTGTGTGGCTGCATAGAACAACATCAGATTAAATTTTCCGGCATGCATAATAGGTTCATAACTTACTGCATAATTTTATAACCCTTCACACCATTCATTAGAGTTTTCTAATGTGATTTTGCAATCTCGCCCGCCCTGTTCTTCATTCATGCAGGCACTAACTCAGTTTATTTAGTCTCCAGATGATCCACCAATGGAGAGGCACGTTCAGGTATTCCTCAACCGCATCTCCTATGCCTTCATTGCTATAGCCACACTAATCTTTTTCTTCCTCTACCTCCACATCCCCGATACTTGTTTCGATCCCTCTGACCCTAAACTGAAACCTCACAGCCGGTTCCCAAAATCTACATGTGACTTTACCCACCGCTCATATGTTCCCATAGAACAGCGCAATCACCGCATATGGTCCACCAAGACCTGGACCAGTGCTGTCTCCTCCTACACCTCCCTTTTTAAAGCTCTTCAAGCTCAAAACTACCTTTTGAATCAATCCCGGGTCCTAATTTCATCAGCTGGAGCAGGGCACGGGGTCCAGGCGCTATACGAAATGGGTGTGGAGGATGTCACTGCAGTGGAGCTGGTTGAGTCTCCTCCACTGGTGACCAGGGGGGATCCCCATAACTTGCCATTTTTTGATGGGGTTTTTGATCTCGGGCTCGGGGTGTACTTGGATCGATCCCTGTTTCCGAGTCGGTATGTGGATCAAATTGAGAGGACAGTTCGGGGAGGGGGTGTTTGTGTGGTGACTGTGGAGGAGTGTGGATCACAGGAAGTGAAGGATATTGTGAAATTGTTTAAGAAATCTCGATTCATCGATGCAAAGGATGTGGTTTTAGCTGGTGAGAAACGGACAAGAATTGTTATGAGAGTCAAAAGTCCCTTTTGAAGCTTGCAATCTTTAATCCCATTTTCTCACACATTTTGTTGGCAGCAACCATAATTATCTTTCTGTATTTCATTATCTTTTCCCAAACACTCTGGAATTAAGTTATATGTTGTTGTGAAGGTTTATATGAATTTCTTTTCTACAACTGAAACTGGCATCATTCTACAAGATTATTGCTGTGAAAGAAAATCGACACAGAAAGAAGCTATTCTAATCTTGTTGTCGTCCGTATACATGAAATAGAACATTTGTGCTTGAAAAAGAATTACAGTATTAAAGGATCTAAGCTTAATATATTACAAAATCACAATCCATCACTAAAAGAAAAAAAATAAAAAAGTGTAGAATTTATTTGGTCTGGAATTAATCGGGCCAGTTGTCAGATAAGATGCAGACGCCACCATTCACCACTCGACCAACACTATAAAACCCTAAAAATCCAAAATTGCCGTAGCCTGTTATGCCATGCCCCCACCCCACCACCACACAACAACCCTACCGCCGCCTGTAGATGATAACGAGCGGCGGCGGCGGAGATCCAGCGCAGCCTCTCCAGCAGCTCCCTTTGGCGGAGGTCGACCAGCCACGAGTCCTGTCTGTCGTCTCCGAGGTGCTGGAGAAGCTGGTGGCCCGGAACGACCAGCTGAGCGGCGGCGCGGGGAAGAGCCCTCGGCCGCCGCTGAACGCGTTCCAGGGAGTACGGGCGCCGGCGATAAGCCTGGGGAAGTATGCGGAGAGGATATACAAGTACACAAGCTGCAGCCCGTCGTGCTTCGTGGTGGGGTTCGTGTACATTGACAGGCTGGTCCACAAGCACCCGGACTCCCTCGTCGTCTCCCTCAACGTCCACCGCCTGCTCGTCACCAGCGTCATGGTTGCTTCCAAGATGCTCGACGATGCGTAATGAATGATTTATTTGAATAATTCTATAAATATTAATTAGTTTATAAATTAGTTTTTGGTGGATGGCATGGCAGGCACTACAACAACGCGTTCTACGCCCGAGTGGGAGGGGTGAGCAATGTGGAGCTGAACAGGCTGGAGTTGGAGCTGCTATTCCTGCTGGACTTCGGCGTGACGGTGAGCTCCCGGGTGTTCGAAAGCTACTGCCAGCACCTGGAGAAGCAGACGACGCTGGTGGAGAGACCTCTGCTGAATGGCGACGTCGTCTCTGAGATATCCGTCGAGGAAGATACGCACATTTCTTCTTCACCTCCTCATCCCACCCCCACCCCCACCCACCTACCTAGCTAGTTCTTTCTAGTTGTCATAATTAATAATTATATATATAGAGAATTGATTTAATTGCTCAGAATGTCATAGATGCATGAGATAATTAATTAATTGACGATGGTGGATAGTTATACTATTTCTAATTTCCGACAGGAGTATGATCACTATGAGGATGGATGTACGGCTGTGTTTGATAATTCTCGTTTAAATGGAGATTGAATACAGAACACCTGTGATGTCTTCTTCGTCTTCTTCTTCCCTTTGAGCATGGATGCCGTGAAGATTGATTTTGAATATAATAATACAATTATCAATGTATTATAACTTTTTATTTTATTTATTAAAATATCATAAACCTTAGATTTTAGTATATTCAAAATTTATTTTTTAATTTTTATTTGACACAAATCAATTTATTAATATAAAACTATTTTTGTAATACTACCTCGTCGTGGAAGAAGAATGGTGGCGTAGTCATCCATGGGAATTATGTTAAAGGTCTCGGTACCTTTTAGCTGTCTGAGCTGCATAGGCACGCTCCTAGCTACTTCCGAAATAGGAGTCCACCCGCTATTGACTCCCTTGAATCGACCTCCAGATGGGCGCCGATCTTATGGGCCATCTGCCCACTCGTGTAGTTGCCATCGTCTTTCGTATCCAGCAAGCACATTGTCAATACTCTATTTATTCACACGTTCACAAGCATTCTTCCTTTACCTCTACTTTTTGTCCGTAAAATTTTTAATATTAGTATTATATTGGTTTATAGTAAAAAGACAAAAATACCCCTATGATATAAAAGTAATGACATTTGTGTAATATATTGGAAGTGGTAAGAGTATTAATTATGTTAGATATATATAGTAGAATTACTAAATAAGAAAATGATATCCTTGTTTTGGGACAAACAAAAATAGAAAATGGTATCGACTATATTCTAAACAATATAAATTGAGTCATAAGTATTTTGTATAAGAATTAATAAATGTTAATATAATATTCTATTTGTCCTACTTATTGTGTCCATCTTTATTTTCGTTTGTCTTACTTATTTTGTCACTAAATATTATACATTTTAATTTAATTCTTTTTTAATTTTAATTATAGTACTAATTAGTTATCTTAATTTTAATTTAAAATTATTTTTATTAAATAATATATATTTTTACGAATACATTCTTAATTATTTCTAATTATACTTTTCTTATATTCTTGTGTCTACAATCAAAATAAAAAGGACTCATATTTGGTACAAAGGGAGATGGAGGATTAATATTTTAAACTTTTATTAAAATTCATTAAGAATTAAAAGAGAATTCAGAATGATTATAATACTAACAGCCCATAAAACATTCAAACAATCAATATTTTTATTTAATACTTTAATAAATTTTTTTATTTTGTCCGTCTCATATTCATTTATTTATTTTTAAGTAACTGCACTATCAACTTAAATTTATAAATATTCTTACAATTTATAATATTATTACTTTTATATAATACAAAATTATTTTAGTTATTTATACTTTATTCTTACTACATATCAATATAATATTAATATACTTTAAATTTAAAAAAAAAAAAAAAAAACAAATTGATAGCTAGACGAAGTACGTTATATAAAAGGAAAAATAACATACTATATAAAATATTAGAGGACAGAATGAAATATAGTCTTATGCATATTTCAGATAATAAAAAAATTATGTAAAAATATAGGGTGTGTTTTCGTAATAAAATGAGACACATTTGTAAAAGGAGATTATTATTTTGCAAGGAATAATAGAATATTATTTATATAATTTCTTATAATTTATATTAAACAAAATATTCTAATATGTCCCGTTTTAAAATATTATTTTTTTTTTTACGTCTTATCTTTTTTATTTTAAATAATAATTATACATTAACATTAAATATTCATCATTTTTATTTAAATTATAAATATATGTACCATTATTTTATATATAAAATAAAAAATCAAAATATCTTATATATTTAGCTATCTAATAAAATATTATTATTTTAAATTTATTATAAAAATTTCAAATAATTCACTGAATTCCAACAATTTTACTAAAGAACAATATTTTATCCATGTTTTTAAGACAAAAACATAAAATTACGGTCTTAACCCTATCCCGTCCTGCCCTTACTCGACTAACCCTTTCTCCTTCTCTTTCTCTTGCTCTTCTCGAATCCGATCTGCCGCTATTTGATCCTTCTTTGATGAATTCTTCTGCTGCAAATGACGGTGCCCGGAGCTTGATTCTCGCCGCCGATTAAGGAGGCCCCTGATCGGTCGATGTTCCATTCATCTACACACATAGGAGCTTTTGTGAAATTCTAATGGCTGATAATTCGAAGGAAGATTTTCTGCAGTTGATCAAGCGTGTTGGAGCGTTTCTCACAGTCAAGTTATCCGATCTCTTCCGCCGTCTGGTTCGTCTTGATTTTCATATATTTATCTCATTTCTTGAAAATTTCCTTGGCTAATCGTTACACATGTTCTACTTGGTTTGCGATTTCAGAATTCTTCTACGTTGTGGGTTTCCATATTGTCGAAAGAATTAATGATTATTTTAGAAAATATAAATAAAATCTATTTAGTTGGAATGGGTTTAGGGTTTAGCTCAGCATTAGGGTTTCCTTTATTGAGTTTGTGATTTGGCTATAACTAGGATAAACCCAGACCCTTTTCCTTTATCTGGTTAGGTATGATGCGTTTCATAATTTTCTTGAAATGATAACCTGACAGAAAAAGTTGAGGTAGTTATCATTTTGTTAGATGTGCCAAACTAAAGCCAAGCAATTCTATTTGGTTGGCAAGAAGCTTCAGCTTTTCGAGTGTTGAAAAATTCACTGTTATCTTTAATAATCTCAGCTAATAATTATTATGGGTTGCTAACATTATTACTTTCCAGTGAACTGTTTCAGGGTGGGTAATGTTTATGGGCTTCTTGGACTTTTTTTTTTTTTTTTTTTTTTTCGTGATTTGTGGATGAGTTATTTCACACAAAGTAAAGTATATTGTCATTCTAATGGATAAACGTCGATGGTTGTAGTTTAGTATGCTATTTATTCACTATGTTATAAGATAATCTTATTGAATGGATTGGAAGAAACAACCTTTTAAAATATGGCATTTTAATCACTCCCATCAAAGAAATAACCACGTGGCCTTGGAGTATTGATCTAATAAATCCGTGAACTGTGATTTAGGCCCCAGAGAGAAGGTTTCATTTTCCTTTTACCACTATATGGTATGAGTATTGGCATTTCAGCATCGGATGATTTTAATATAGCAATCTTTTTTTGGCAAAAGTTGTTTTAACTATCATCCCATTTATAGTAGAGTAGTTTAGGCTTTGGCATTTGGCTTGCACTTTTTGATGTAGGCTGTGGTTGTAACCATGGGACAATTTTTTGGTTGAACATGGAGGTAATTTTGTTAGCTAGTGAGCAGCTTGGGGATGATTACGGGTCATGAATGCAAAATATGTGAAGAATAAAACCTGAAGTTGGTTTAGGGAAATTGCAGGCTTTTATTTGTGCGAAGGTGCCTTTATCAACCCGTTGTTAAAAATGCTTGATAGATGGGTTACCAGAGAGTTGTGCAGACTGCAGATGACAACTTTTAAAAATGTTAAGCTTTACCATACTCATGTTCCTAATCTGAAGGCATTAGTTATTAAAAAGATGGTTCTTCATTATCTGCATGCAGCCTTCTTTTCCTGGGTGATCATTTTGTATGGGCTTCGAGTATCCATAAGTGGAATGGTTTTGCACATTTAATTGTTAGCCTGGGAATCTTTGATAGTATTTTCTTGTTAATTAATTTTTCTAACAGAAACATGAAAATATCCTACTAAATGTTGCATCAAACTAATGAAAGGCATTAAGGCACTACAGGATTCACGATCCGTTGGAGCGATAGCAGGGCTAGCATTTGCTGTAGTGTTTACTTGGAGAGTATTAAGAACACCTAGTGGGCCTCAAAGAAGGCAGCCTAAGAGGCAAGCTCCTGCGGCTAGCAATTCTGGTGTCAACAATCATGAAAGCATTGATGCTTCATCCTCAGGAGTTAGTAATGCTACAGAAGATTCAAGAACCCAAAATGTGGTTGATGAGTTCTTTCAGCCTGTGAAGGTAATTTATATTTTTTTATTGGTTTTTTATGTTTATCTTTTGAAGTGACACAGACAATATTAAATCCATGCAGCCGACACTGGGCCAAATTGTCAGGCAAAGGTTGAGCGAAGGAAGGAAGGTGATGTATCACATTCTAACAATCATTTTGTGATTCTTCTCTATTTTGCTTCAGTATTCCTTTCTTTTCCTTTGATGACAGTGTCAATTAAAAAATTGTGCAGGTTTCATGTCTATTTGTGTATGTTAGATTAAAAATAGTGTTTTCTTGTTGAATTAAATATGAGCTAAATTTAAATACTAACGATATAGAAATAAAAGTCTCATTTTTCAAATATAATTATGGTTAAACTTAAAATTCTATATTAGGAATCACTAATGTTATTATGAAACTGTCCCGTCAATTGCATATGCAGAGTATATTAATAATGTTCAATTTAAATGATGTAAAGGAAAAAAGTTGATAGCCAATGGTAGTAACATTATTGTGCTCTATGGTAAGCGACGAAGGGCACCAGAATATGGAGACAGAAAATGGGAACATTATATCTATACTAATAAATATACGACCATGCCATCGGACTTTGGGCAAAGAAGGGACAATCGACTACATGTTAATGTTATTTACTACGCTAGTCGTGTCCTAGATGGTGCTCAGCTAAACTATGCCACCTTCAACTTGTCTGTCACGTCAAAAGAGCTACAATACTTTTTTTTTTCCGTCTCTGAACTCAAGTACTCTTTATGATACGCATATCTGCATTACATTTTTATTTGCTTGCCAATGCCATGTTGAAAATTTAACCCTAAATAATGCAAAAGGTACTATTCTTTTGAATTTATTAAAATTTGACTTTTTTTACTGCAACTTGACTAGTGCAGGTAACTTGCGGATTGCTTGGTGTCATTCTTGAGGAAAGCAGCCCAGAGGAGTTGCAGGTTCTTTAACTTGATTTTCTATTGATTTTTTACATTAACACATCTGTAATTTTCACTTATAATTGTGGTTTATTTTATTTTATTATTATTTCCTTCTAGAAGCAAGCAACTGTTAGATCGTCTGTTTTAGAGGTGCTGCTTGAGATTACAAAGATTTGCGATCTTTATCTTATGGAAAGAGTGCTGGATGATGAAAGTGAAGTAAGAGACAAACTTCTCTTATTCTAGTTTCTTATTTAGTTAATTGTGTTCTATGGTGTTGAATAATGCCTTTAGCTTTCTTTTCTGTGATAAATTCTTTCGCTTAACGTATTTATTATGGTTATCACCTCAACAATATACTTTATGAAAATCCTAGATAAAATTTTTGTTAATGAATAGAAATATACAAGTACCTTAACTGCTATTCAAAATCAAGTGTCTCAATTAATGGTAATGATATTAATATCAAACAGCCCCTGGAAGTATGTATGGAATGTGTCATGCAAAGGCCTTTTCCAAGTCTATTATTTGTGGAACTTATTGTGTTTTGCATCGTTAACGGGTGGATAAATTCATGCAGAAGAACATTCTTGCAGCTTTGGAGAGTGCTGGGATTTTTACATCTGGTGGCTTGGTTAAGGATAAGGTTATTTTCTTGGATCAATGCTCTTCGCTATAATTTATAGATGCCCAGTTCCTTTTTTTTTTTTTTTTTTTACTTTTTTTTAGAAAGTATTATTATTATTACACCTATTTTCTTTTAGGAAGGCTGATTGCAGATTATAATTATACAAAGACAACATCTATGCTAATAAATGCACCTATGCATGTTTTAGCATCTGTGTTTGGAAATACTTAAAACTATTCTTCATTCTGGAACAGCATAAAAATTCATCTGTGTCAACCAAATGCCAGCATTACAAATCATTCTCAATGAATAACCACTCTTCATTACAATGGAAAATTTTTGGAAATCATATGGCAATAAATGAATTTCCAGTGGAGCTATCAAAATAGGAAAGCAGCAATTAATTCTCTATGGCATATATTGTTGGTGATGATAATTAAATAATTATTTGTCAAGTGCTTTTCTCATATTATAACAAAGGAATTATAAAAGATGCGATGAAACTGTGTTGTCCTACATTTATACTTTCTACACTAATAGAAGAAAATATTAAGTTCCTCTCCAAAACCCTGGGAATGGAACAAGAAGATAGTTGTTGGTTTAATTGGTTATCTATGTTGTCATTCTTCTAGCTATTGGTGGCACCATAGAAAGTAGAAAATTAGTACACCTTTGTTACGGCGATGAACATATGCAGTTAACATTAGCAATTTCTGATTCACGCATATGAAACAATTAGACACTTACATGTGGTATTTATTATCTCTAATACTGTTACTTGTAGTATGGCTTTGACTGGAATGACCATGCAGGTTCTCTTCTGTAGCACAGAGAATGGACGGACATCTTTTGTCAGACAACTGGAACCAGATTGGCATATAGACTCCAGTCCTGAAATTATTACCCAGTTAGCTGTATGTGCTTACGCTTTCTGTCATATATTTTTGAACATCTATTTATGGAGAAGTCAATAAGATACATGTATATTTAGCATTTATGAGAATTTTCATGGTACATTTCACTAGCCATCGCTAACAACATCTTCACATGGTGGTGTTGGGGGGTTTAGAAATTGGTGAAACCAATTTAGTGGCATGATTTTGGATATTAACAAATGGTAAACCAGGAGAATTAGGCGGCTATTAGTTCCATTTTCTGTTGATGCACGACTATAATGCATCAGATTGTTTAAAGGCAATAATGGTTTTATAATAATCTTTTGGGCATTCAAGAAAATGGATTACTTTTGGGAAATGTTATGGGTGGTAAAATTGCTACTCGTATGTTTCTGGAAAGAGGTCATAAATGGCTGATAAAGACCTTTGCGATAAAATACATGAAATGTGGCTGATTAAGACCTTTGTGCATTGTGTTTATTTTGAAATAGAGTTTTGAATATAAGAAGGCTGTTCTTTTGGTATTTCTTGTTACAACTAATTTTGAATTGGTTTTATGCTGTTTCCAGAGATTCATCAAATATCAAATTTATATCTCACCCACCAAGCTGGAACGGCCGGCCTCCAATGTTTTCACTGCCTCTACATTGGAACAATTCTTTGGGTGCGTGTGAACATTATACATGGCACGGCACAACATGTTTAGGTTCTTGTTGCCCCTTCTTTCTTGGACACCAACAAGAATAACAAGTGATTTCTGATTGCCTGCAGTCACCAATCTTCAGACAAGTAGTATTTACTCAAGCCTTAAAAAAGTTCGACTAAATTGTTTAGCTGTCACTTGAAGACGCCGTATAGTTTGTGTACCTTAACAAGATGTACTATAATTTAGAATGAACTTGGCTTCTTGTTTGAACACTTCAGCCGCTGCATGTTGTCTCTGATGTTATGTAACCAGGATGGATATTTGATGCTGCAGCAATTTGCTCAATTCTGTGCTTACTATTGTCACCTAGCAATGGCAATTGGGGTGGGTCTAACCCTGGATGCATCATGTTAATGGGTGGATTCAAGTTCAAAATTTTATAGCTGAATTGGGTTATGGATTTGAGATTAAGAACTTGGTTGGGTCCAGGATGGATTACAGATTTGATAAAAAGTTACTTCTTGAATTCAGCTCATCCTGTGATGTATTTTTAACTTATTATTTTCTCTTATCATTTTCTTGTTATATATTAATGTTACTGCAATTAAAAATATATTGTGACCAAAATTCACTCCAAACTTGCCTTGTTATCATCGTTATTGTCACATAATCACCGATTCTCTTTAAAAGTATGGAGCTGTAGATTTTAGTGAAATATGTTTTGTTTAGTGTTTTAGTTTGATTTATATATATATATATATATATTTTATATGAATTAGTAAAATGGACATATAATAAGTATTTTAAATTGAATATTAATTTTTGATAAGATAATAAAATATAAAATTATATATATATATATATTGGAATAGTGTCAATTTAAAAATAAGAATTGTGGAGCCGTTAGAAGATTCTGGTGGCATTGGCGAATGGCGGGTATTTCTTCTTTGATTCTTCTCTATAAATGAATGAGGTTTGAAATGTTGAAAGGCAGTGTGTTCTACTTCTTCTCATCGTAGCTACGGCTTTCATTCTCACTCTGATCGATCAAAAATCAAATTCCAATTTACCCGCGCAGCGCAGGGCACAAATGCAGGCCTTCCACACAGTTCACTCTTCCCACCACGGACTTGCTTTCTTCACCGCCACCGCAACCGCAACCTGCAAGGAACAGTTTCTTTGCCGCAAGTTATCACGTGCTTTCCTGCGCTCTTGTCCTTCTCGCCGCCTTGTGACGGGGTTTGAATCTGTAACGGCACCTACCGGGATTGATTGTGTTGTGCACGCAGAGGAAGGGGGCTCTCTTTTTGGCGAGGATGTCGAGAATTTCGAGGATTCGTCTGAAAGTAGTGATGATGAGGGGGAGTTTCTGGACCCGGAGCTTTGGAAGAATGTGGTGATGCTCAGTTGTGATTCAACTGTGGATGGCGGCGTCTGTTATGTTTATTTGGTTGGAACGTCTCATCTTTCGAAGGTGATTGAGTTGTTATTTGATGTTGTGTTTCGTATTGAGAGTTTGATTCTTGATCTTCTTGTTATAGATTCTTTAAATTTCATTTTTCAGTTTCTTTATCTACTAGAAGGTGATTGTATGAACATATAAGTGACTAAAAATTTATTTGTCGTGGCATTGTAGGAATCTTGCCAAGAAGTTGAAGCTGTGATTGATTTCTTGAAACCAGAGGTGCTTCTCTTTTGTAGTTTAATTTTTATTGTTTATTAGAATATGCTAGAACTTGGTTTTATTTGATCATACAATGTCTTTTTGTTCCTTTTTTATTTAATATATTTCCAACACTATTTTATTGCAGGTTGTTTTCTTGGAGTTATGCCCGGCTCGTACATCTCTTTTTAAGGTTCGCACTTTGAAGGTGGGCTTTGTATCTCCTTTCTATGTCTTTCTATGTTTCAATGATTGGTTTGCTTGTGATGGTTAATTATACAATTAAGGATAGATATCATCAATCTTGTTCCTGATAGCCTGCTTTGACTGCTTGGTTGTCTAATTGATCTATTTTTTACACTTAGTACTATTAGGATCAGTTTAATTGTTGAAAACAAATTGGTACCACTGTATCATTTTATCATTGAAATTGTGTTCCTTATTTATTCTTAAAAAAGTGACCAAGATCTCAAGGAAAATGGATTAACAACTAACCTTATAATGCAGGTTCCAACAATTGGAGAAATGGTGCAGATGTGGAAGAAAAACAGGAATCTTTTTGCCATTATTTACAACTTTTTTGCTCTTGAGGCATGATAACTAATTACTCAGTTTTGGATATGAATAAATATTTCAAACATAGGTTTGAACTTACTTGCAGTCCATCCTAATCCTATGCTAGCTTGCTACGAAACTGGAAGTTCAACCTGGGGATGAGTTTCACGTGGCATATGAAGAAGCAAAAAAGTATGGCGGCAGGGTTGTCCTTGGTGATCGACCTGTTCAGGTATGTTAAAGCTTTGGCATTTGTTCATCTATCATTCAACTGGCCCTCTGTAATATTGTGATTTTAAGTTGAGATTTTGATTTCTTTGGTAGATCACATTACAGAGAACATGGATGAAGATGCCTCTTAGGCACAAGATAAAATTGCTTTCCACCTTTATGTTATCATTTTTCTCGCCAAGTTCTGAAGTGATCAATAAGAAGGTAGAGTGTCATGTTCATATGATCGAATAGATATACAATAATTACCTTTTAATGAGCTAACTCAGATTATTTGATTTAACTGAATCAATATGTCTCTTTTGGCTGTTATGCAGCTAAAGGAAATGGATGATGGTCACATGCCAACTATTCAAGAAGTAAGCAAGGAGTTTCCAACTATTATGGAAACTATTATCCACGAGCGCGACAAGTTAGTGTCTCTGCCTCAGAGTTTATTCTCCATTTTATCTTTTTCAGCATCTTCTTTAAGTACTCGAAAAGTTTGTCCATTTACTTCGAAAATTATATGCTGCTCTCTTCAATTATTGCTGCATCAACTGGAATACGAACTCGAAGTTGTTCTCTTATTGATATTGGGAGACATTGATATCATTTATAAACTTGTTCTTTATTTCCTCTTTTCGTCTTCCTCCTCTTCATTAAATTGTTATTGTTCTAAAATATTTTCCTCCTCAGATATATGTCAATCAATTTACTTAGAATTGCTCGTGAGCAAAATTCGGTGGTAGCAGTTGTCGGGAAGGGCCACCTACATGGAATTCAGGAGAACTGGGAACAGGATATTGAAGTAAAGAATTTACATTATCTGTTCTTATTGGTCTCCATTTATGTTTCAAGTAGCTGCTTATTGCCCTCTAATTTTATTGCATTCGATGTTCTTATTACACACTTTGTTCACAGGTGAGGCAACTTCTTACCATCCCGACTCGAAGCAGCAAGATTCCGGTGGGTAAAATACTGATTGCTGTTGGAGTTACAGTTGGAGTGTTTGCCATCATAACTGGCCTCATCAAGAAACTTAACTCTATCAAGTAACTGATTCCCATATAGCTTGATTTTTTTACCATTTGAATAGGATATAGCAGCTCGTGTAAATATCATTACAGCGAGTTAAATGATATCGTAATTTTTAGTTGAGATGATCATTTAGCACAAGAGCTCGATTGTCCTCCTTTTGCATGACTCACTGCTTTTTCAAATGAATCTGACCAACACCTCATATCTTCTTCATGATTCTTCACTTTATAAATACACACACATGCCATGCATTCAAATCATTCACATATATATATATATGATCCAAGATTGATCAAACATTCTTATATATATGTATGATGTATATATATATATATTCATGAAGATCTGTATTGTGATGAAAGGTTGTGAATTTTCCCTGGAAGTAGATCCTCGGGAGCCAATTGTACAGATCAAGAACAAGATCCAACAGTTTCTCGGCATCCCGGCGGAGGCGCAAATCCTGAGCGTCTGTGACTGGGAACTCATCGATGGCCTCGACTTAGACGACTACCCCCTCATCTCCGACGGCACCAAAATGCACCTCTCCATCCAGCAGCCACCCGTCGCGCCGGAACCACCGGCAAAGATGAAGATAACCGTCAAATTCTCCGCAAGGAAGATTGAGATTGAAGTGGACAAGACAGACACCGTCAGAAGCCTCAAGGAGAAGATCCACATCGTCGACGGCACCCCAATCCGTAGAATGACGCTCTTCTTCAACGGGACGGAGATGGAGGACGACTTCCGCAGCCTCACTGATTACGGCGTGCACGAGACCTCCGCCTCCACCTCGTCCTCGTCCTCGGAGGTGATCGTGTTCCTGAAGACCATGACGAGAGTCACCGCGGATCCTCCAGCGAGGAGGGTCGGTGTGGTGGTGCAGACGTCGGCGAGCTTGATGAATGCCGCGAGGATTCCTGTGGAGATGAACGACACGAGCAGAGTGGAGGAGCTCCGGCAGCTGCTGCTGGAGAGGGGAATGCTTCCGGCTGACGACTACATTTTCATTCACAAGCAGAGAATCATGAGAGACGACTGCAGCCTCCGCTGGCACGGCGTCGAGAACGGAGATTTTCTCTACGTTTTCAAAGGCTCCGTCACCCGCGCCGCCTGCTGATCGATGATCATCAACACATATACATACATATATACATATATATATATAGATGATACTTTGGAATGTAGAGATTTTCAAATTAAGAGATTCAAATGTCTTCCAAGACTATCTTTTTATTTTTCTATAAGCACTCATCAAATGGACAAAAAAGAGTTAGCCGATTGAAGTGGAAACTGGAAATCAGAGCTACTTCTTCCATGGCTTGAGAATGGAAAGAACTAAAATGACAGCAATGATCAACAACAAGCTTATGCCAATCATCATGCATTTTCTTGATTTCTTCTGCAAGTTTTTTGCTGTCTGAAGGGCATCGGCTCCCATGTTTACATGGTCCACTGCATTTTTCACCTGTCACACAAAATGAGAACTGAACCATAAAGCACATAATGTGATTTTGTTTTGGAATAAGATTTAAGTGTCAAGAAAGCTTGTAACTAAACCTGGCTCTCGATGTTGTCGAGTATATCTCCTTGAGCCTCGACAAGAACAGCCATGTCCATGTATATCTGGCGACGGCTCATTGAAAAAATCAGCCGAGGTTTCGATGATGGCATCAAGACTTGGAAGTTGAATTGAAAGTTGAAAGGTACCTGATGCAAGTCTAGAAGTTTTTTCTCGATTTCTCTCACGGCGTCGTGCCTCTCCTGGATTTCTTCCAATGTGTTCAATACCTGCAAGCGATACATGTAAGGTTCTATGCCGACAATTTTGGATATATAATCAGAAATATGCTTAAATAGATATACTAATTGATACTACCTGTCCATGTCCTGTTTCTAGCATAGCCTTCTGGAATATTTGTTCACTGTTTCCAGTTTCAATCAGATGGTTTATAGTCTGTTACTCATTGATCAGTTCCACCATAAATATCTTCTATGTCGCCGAGAATTAGAGAAAATGAAAAAGAAAAAAAGGACAAAAACCCGATAGTCTGCATACCTCTTCATCTGGCCTAGATCCAGTTACTGCAAACCATGAAGATATAAATTACATACAATCAATACAAACAAAAAAAGAATAAGATCAAGAAGATTGAAATCCAATTAAAAGATGTGTAATTGCGAGGTTGCTTCTCACCTGTAATTATCCTTCTCTCGACAACCTCGCGATATTCTTCGTCTATGGTATGTCTCAAAGCCTGGTGGAAGAAACAAAACTATCTCAAAAACATCACCAACAGCCTAAATGTGAAAAAAGGATTTTCCAGTGAAAATAAGACCTGGAACTCTGTCATGAGGTCTTTAAATTTTTTTGTGAAGGCGCTGCATTCAACAAAGCCGAAAAGTTAGTTCATTCTTTGGACAAGAAGATGGTAAAACTATTCGAGAGAATCATACAAATATACATACTTTGTTAAGTTGATCCTTGACCTATCTGCGGCAGATCCTTTTCCGCAACCGGGCTTTTGCCGATTGGCTAAGTTCTGAAGCACTAGAAGGAATCAGTGTGCTATTATGTCATATAAAGTGTAGAGAATGCAGGGAAATATAGGCGTATGGCCTGAGCAGTACGTCTCGATTAATTGCCTCAATTTTTGCTTTTACGCCATGTGCTATCTTTCCTACTTCATCAATATCCTTCTCCATCCTCTTCCTGATTGCTGGAACACATATGTTTAGTAAGAATGCAATGACGACGATCAACAATGACTTCCTAAAGACTTTGAGGAATGAATTATATATATATATATATATATATATAGTGATGGATGTTGTTTAAACTCAATCTTTTTAGGTGTAGCTGTAACTTGCAATTTAACAACAAAGACTGTTTCCTGTAAAATTCTTGCAAAAGCAAATCCAGACAGTCTTTCATATCTAATAGTTGTGAGATGTCGAACCTTTCATAGAAGATGCTTTTGTAACACTCTTCGACTCTTCGTTTGTTTCCTGTCGAGATAAAAAATAAAGATCTCATGAAAATTGCTTGAAAAAATATTCGAAAAATGTGATATTCTGCTGCACTAAAATCCTGCATCTCATTGCCATCAAGTTTTAGACGTTATCCTAAATTTTAGCCTACTATTCTTGTTGATGATGGACCCAATCTTTTCTCAAATTGATTGTACGTACCTTGAGTTTCCTCAACAGAATGGAGAGCTTTTCCACTTGCTTTTCAGCCTCTTGTATCTACAAAAAATTTAAAAATCAAAGATCAAAATCCATTGACAGATGTTTTGACAGACAGAGAGAGAGAGAAAGACTTGTTTGTTGAACAATTCCATGCCCAAATCGGAGTTGCGAGGCCCCATCTCGATATCAAATTTATTATATTCTTCTGTGGGATTGGAGTGAGGCTTGCCTTTAACATCACTAACAAAGGAATCCTGAAAAATAAACTCTAATCACAACAAAGATCATACACAACACAAACTTAGGGCAAACTTAAAACCTATTAAAAAAATCATATCCAATTGAAGTGAAGTGAGTGAGAATCTGAAAACGGAAAAATTTAAGCGATGGACGACTAACCGTGAGAAGATCATTCATCTTTGGAAGGAAACAACAGTTGGTTTTGTATCAACAATACACTGTATCTGTATGTATGTAGTGTAGATACAAACTATACATACATATATATATATATGTGTGTGTATGGGGTCTGGAGTTGGCGTTGTTGTTCAGCGCCGGCAGCAACGAGGAAACATGAACGGAAAACGACAGAGAAAGGGGATTTGGTGGGTTGGTTGGTTGGTTTGTTCTTCAAATTAATATTTTTATTATTATTATTATTATTATTTTGTAATGAAACCGTTAAGGCAACGAATGAAAAATGTGTCACAATCAAATATACTTTTATTAAAGTTGCATACACATATTCCCATTTCTGCATATATCCCATTTGTTCACTGTTACTTAATTTTAATAACTTTCAATAAAATGTACTCATAATAATAATAATAATAATAATAATAATAATAATAATAATGCCATAGACAGTGTTTATGGAAAATTCTGTGTTTTAACAAATTCAGTAGAATATATGTAATTGCTCATAAATACATGTATATATGTATATTCGGTCTTATCCAATTTCTGTGTAGGTTCTTCTATCCCATATGCATGTATACAATTTGTATCAAAATATGAATTAATTAAATGTATGAAAATACTGAATAACTTTTTCGTGTAGTTCCAAACCAAATTCTTATTAATTAAAGTTGTTGTAACTGCTTAGAGAAAGTAAACTAAACATTGACACTGGTCAACTCAACACTAAATTCTTATTAATATTGTCTGTTTTGGATTGAGCCGCAGGTATTTATTTTTGGATATTCTCTCAAAAGGCTTCGTATTAATGAAGTTCACTTTTGACCTATAAGGTGTGTAATTTTACTCTAGTATAAAATTATCCGTTTTGGATGAGCTCGTACGGATTTATTTTTGAATATTTTTTAAAATACCTCGTACTAGTGGAATTCACTTGTACTTATAAGATGTGTAATTTTCTTCGCAACTTTTAACGTGGGACTTGGGTTTGCACTCCAATACCAAATGATCAATTTTCAGGTCATTTTTTTAAATTTGATTCGAGCATTTTTTTTTTTATTATTATTATTTTTAAAAAGTAACAATTGAGCAATTATTTTAGTATAGAACACACAGGAATATTAAAATGTTATATAATAATAGTAAGAAACTAAAACAATACTAATGCATAATAAGAGGTCCAAAACTAATGTAAGAAGAGAGTCCAGTCCAATAATTTGGCCCAATAAGTTGTTTACAATTTTTCAGGCTTATTTCCTTTAATAAACAATTTTGAATTTTTAAAAGCCCATCTTATCACATTTAAAATCTTCTCTTCCAATCTAACTTTTCAAAATTTGGATGCATTTCAAGGCCTATGGATTCAAAATTACATTTTCTTAAATCTAAAACAGTCCCTGAATGGATTCTAAATGCATTTAACAAAAGTGTCTTTTATTTTTGGGGTATTTTTATTTTTTTATAATCATTTATCATAAAATATAAAAAATAAAAAACACCACAAATCTTCCTTCCCAAGTAGTAGAATTTACAAATTTCATATAAGTGTGTGAACCCGTAGCCTCATGGTCACGAGTCCAACCCCTACATCTTCCTAAGAGACTTATTATTATTATTATTATTATTATTATTATTGTTAAAAGGGTTATTTGTGCGCCGGCCCAAAATTAATTAAATTAACGTACGTAGTTGCTTGTCTGTCTGTTCCCTCAAAATATGCAAAAACAATTAGGATTAGGCACCAGACATAGTCCAAGATTTTGTAACCTTCCGTATCCATTACTTTAATACATAAATATATGTTTATATAAAATTGCTCAGTTAAATGACAAATTAATGTCACATTAATAATAATAATAATAATAATAATAATAATAATAATAATAATAATAACAATAATAATAAATCAAATAAATAAAAATACAAGTAATAAGCAAACCCTAAATTTGGACTAATAAATAGACGTGTATTGGACTTTGATATCAAATTAAATATTGATAATGTATAAATTATAGAGGCATGCCAAGAATATCATTCCATTTTTTGTATTTGTCACGGGCTGCGATTAGGGAAAATTCAAAATAAATTAAATTAAAACTACATTTATAATTTGGAAACACGAGAGGAAATTATATTATTACTACAAACCCAACATTATTGTCACAAAAACACACATCGATGAGACCACTGTGGTTTTGTCTTCTCATGCAATTTAATTACTTAATTGTTGAGAAAATGGTTAGGTGATTGATTGAATTAATATAATTAATTAAATTAAACACACCACGTTCCTTGTTAAATCTCTTATTAGCATAGCTTTGGCTCCACTTAAATATATTCATCCTAGTCATCATTTCCATCTTTTCATTATCTTTATTTAATCATGATCATTATATATAAATTAATTAACTTGTCAATTTTAGGACATTACACGTTCACCTAGCTACTTACCTATACTTAATCTATAAATATTCTATTTCACTAATCGCCATACACATTCCATATATTGTAATTAATTATGTTATTACAATTATTTAGAAGATTGAAAGTTTTTTAGAATTATTTAGGAAAAGAAAGACGTTGTTGATGCTGTTTTCAATCAACAATAAAAAGTAAAATCCAAAATAAATTTGAATTTGATTGCAATAATATCTGGAATCAAAGATTTCTAAATATCATATGAAATGTAAGAAAATTAAAAGCAAACTGATACTAAAAATAAAATAAAAGATGATCTCCAAAGCAAATTTTCACTGAAATTGATGCTGATTGAAGATGTCTTCTGTCGGATGCGAATTGCTTGTTATATGTTCTCTAAATTAGTTATCGGATCGTGTGCGCAGTCGGTTGTAACTGACGGAAAACCCCTTCGTGGTTGCAACCGCCTGAAGAACCGTCTTCGGTCATGTTTCGTGCTATCAACCGACCAGCCGACCTCTACCAAGCGACTGATCAACCGACCAATCAAGCGACTGACCAACCAACCAATCACGCTACTAACCGACTGACCAACCGACCAATCAAGCAACTGATCAATTGACCAATTACGCTACTGACCAACCGACCAATCAAGCGACTGATCGACCTATCGATCAACCGACCTGTTTCTTCAATGGGTGTCGGAAAGCCTACTTTCTTTTTTAGTTTATCTGTGGGCCAAAACATTAGAACCCAGTTATAGGCCCAATAAAAAACCTAAAATATTTTAATATATAATAGATGTAATTTGAGATTGTATTGGGTAAAAAAAAATTATATTAAACTAATGATTTATAAAAATAAAAAGATTATGTGTGGGACTAAAGATATATATATTTGAATGCAAGTGGTTTGGAGTAAATATAATTAATAATCGAAAGTATGTTAAAATGAAATGTTGTTAATGGGAGATGAAAATTACATTTGAACTACCTGTGATAAATTAAGTCATAGCCACTTGTAATTATGGAAGTGGTGTATAATAATCACATATCATAATCAATATATAAAATAATAATAAAAATCCTTAATTGAGAAGGTGCATTGCTTTAAGACACATTATTTCAACGTGTAATTATTTTCTCATTAATTACCTAAATGTGACTTTTTTAACCTTTCTGTTTTTATTTATTTTGTTTTTTAGTTTTTAATCTATCCTCAATACTAATCAGCCAAAGCAAGTGGCCAATTTTTTTCTGAAACTATTTTATTTCATATTATAAATATTATTGAATCAATCCAAGGTCTGTCGATTTTATGAAACAATCCAAATTATATTGCAAATCATGAAATTGTGAAAGAAAAGTTGTCTTTTCTTTTTTTCTTTAGAGTTTGATTTATTTGTTTAAATAATAATCTGAATGTGATATTTTATGAGAGAGAATAATATATTTTCAATTTTAGAGAAAATTGCAATAGTTGCATAATAAAACTAAACTAAAAAAGAATACACTTATAAATTTCACTTGTATTTTATATGTACTTTTATACACATATTTATATATATTTTTGTGTGTGTATTTGTGGTCAAAATAATGTCAAATATTTTTTTTAAGTGAAATAAATATTAAAGTATAGAAAAATAAAAGTTTATATGTGAACAGACCCAAAGTTTAAACTTCATAACCTGTGCTTATTATATTTATTGATCATTTCTTTTCTTTTTCCTTTTTTTGTATTTTATATTACCTTATGTTTGTATAGTAAAAAGATAATTTTTTTTCCTGTAAACACTTCAAAAGAAAATAATAATTTGAAATTGATTTAAAATGAAGTGTTTTTTTTAAAAAAAAAAAAATTAAAATAGTATTTTGATATAATATTTTTTGAACAAAAAAATAATATATTTTTATTAAAAATTGTTCAAAGTAAATAGTATTGATTTCAATTTAAAACCACAAAAGAACTAATAAATTGTTGTTATCTCTATAAGATATCATCTTAAATAGTATTTTAATATGATATTTTATAAGAGAAATAATTTATTTTTATTGTAAACTACTATCAAATATGTGGTAAATTTTTTTATCTGAAATATAAAAAAAAAAAATCATTGTTTTCAAATTTGTTAGGAAAGTAGAGACATTGGTGATTTTGAAATGATATAAATATTTAAATTCAATTGAACGTTTGGTATCATATAAATATTTGATGCAATAGTTTAATTATAAAAAAAATAACAATATATATTTGATGTGATAATTTTAAAAATAAAATTGAGAGTTAATTAATAATGTTGGAACTTCTTAAATCCTCACAACAAATAATGTTTACATAAAATCATCTCCTCATATATATAATAATTTTTTATTTTTTATGTGTGCCCTCAAATACATTAATTTAAAATTAATAAAATTTTACTCAATAAATAAAAGTCAGAATAGTTTGTTTACATGATAAATTATATTAAAATTTTTCCAAATAGGTAATATGTAAAATAAAATAAAATAACTAAAAACAGATACACACGAGGACATTGTACATGACACAATCCAAATGCAATAATATATGAAAATTGAGCAATCAACTAACTACTTGTTTAGAAACAGACATTCTATGATTGCACATGTACTATTTGACTTCTGCAACTTAACCTTTTATTTAATTTTATTTTATTTCATTCATAAAAAGTGAGAAGAATACATTTTCTTTCTGGAAATTTCAAATATTCATTGTAGATTTACATGAAATTTAAATAAGAAATTAAAATGATAACTGAATTAAACAATCCAGTATGTATTTACTTGTAATTAATTAAAAGGGCTGTATGTCTTAAATTTTATTTATAGTGACATGATTAAATTGTTTTCATGCACATTATGAAACATCTTACAAATGAATTATAAGTATAAATTCTCTTTATTAATTTAATTTGTGCCTAGCCTAGTTACATAAAAATACACATATATATATTGATTGAATGTGGCCGTTGTAAATAATATTTAAATTTTCAATACATGCATGTTACAAAATTTTAAAAATATACACATAATGTAGAGTCAACAGAAGAATCTAGGATAAATTGTTCCAAGATAATTAAGACTATAGAAAAAATTTCAATGGATGACTATGTTCTATGTACATATATGTAGCCAATGCAAGATTGTAATCAATAATCATTAGAATATTTATATATGTTAGAAATAGAATATTTCGTGAGGTTTTCGGTCCAAGAAAAACAAAATTAAGATTAAAAAAAAAAAATCGATATTATGTAATTAGTAAGTTGTTATAACAATGTCTAGTTATGTTGTTTAAAGAAACTGCCTAAAAAAATTTTGATATTTGAACTCATAATTTTACAAATATAAATTCATCGTACGCTACCCATCTTACGGGATATTATTATTATTTGGTCATGGCCTATAAATCATGTTAATTGGGTTTTATAGTAAGAAACATATAAAAAAAATGAAGGACTTACCGTAATATGGATACAATAGTTGAGACGAAAGAAATAATTTTTAATATAATTTATTAATTATATTTTTTTTGTTGGCGCAGCCTTTTTCCTTTTTTTTTTTATTTTTTTAATTAAAAGAAAAACAAAAAGTTTGTAACTATGCCAACTGAAAGGTGACTGTAATTAACACCAACCTTTATTGCAAAAATTGTCAAAAGCGTTACATCAGCTATCAATACAAATTGAAAAATAAAATCATTTTTATAACTGACTCTAGTGATAATAATAATAATACACATAATATATGCAATAAATTAAGGTTAATTAGTAAAAGCTAATTGTATTTGTATGATGACATGGCATCGCATCAGTTAATATTGATGTGATTGTCGACTTCCAATCCATGTAAATTAAATAAACTCACTCCACAAAATAATTACAAAAAAGTATTTGCAAATTTCACATATATCATACATATATATATATATACACACAAAATTTATCCCTTGTTCAGATCTTGTACATCAAACAGTACCATTTCTAATTCATCAGAAAATTATTGCATACATACGTATACCTACAGACAGACAGACTGATATATATATAGATATAGATATAGATATAGTTAATGAATAGTTGAGTTCATCAGCCAAGGAAATTGATGAACGTGGCCATTGGAACCAGACACAGCCCTCTCTTCCTCAGGTTGACGTATTCATCAATATTATTATTATTATTATTATTATTTTTGTTTTCAGACGTCGTCTTCTCGTTTTTCTCGTCTGCCCCAACTTCCGACATATTGCCCTGATGATCGTGAAATTCAATTGCAAGATTCTTGATTAAAAATCATTCCGATCGGTCGAGTGGAATTCTAATTTGATCGGATCAATATATGTTTTTGATAAATTACCTGATGAAAATTCCCAGCAGCAGTAATATGATGAATATTATGGTTGTCGTTGTCGTTGTCGTGATGAAATAATCTCCTGTAGCTGTAGTTGACCTCCGACGGCCTGGAACTATTGTTATCGCTAACCTGTTCGTTCAATCAACCAAATTAAACTACTTTTTCAGACATCATCCATCCATATCCCCTCATCGTCCATGTCTGTATATGTGAATTATAATTGAATCGAATTGAATATAAATGAATACGATTATGATCAATGACCTTAGGGCTGTTGACAGGAGAGCTGGCAGTATCCTCCAACTCCAAATCATGGTCTCGATCGTTGCAAGAATAATATTTCCTGTTGGTGGTTTTCCTCTTGAAGTTCAATCTCCTCATCTCACTGAGGCTGCTGTCCATCCCATTCCACGCTGCGTCCGACATCAGAGATGGGCTGCTGCTGACGAAGCTCCGGCCACCGCCGCCGCCGGAGCTGGAGAAGTCCTCCAGGTAAGCAGTCCACCCACTCTCCTCCTCCTCCTCCTCCGGAAGATCAGATTTGATAAAGTTCTTGTGGGCATAGGAATTAGCCATGGGATTGTTTTCCAATATGCAAGAAAGGAAGAAAAAGTGGGTTTGATTGTCAAGAAGGAGATGGGTTTTGGTTTTGGTGAGGGGCTGATTCTTAATTGAGGCCCTTTTAGGTGTATGTATATATATATATAGATATAGATATAGATATAGATATGTATGTATGTATGTATGTATAATCTTCTTTGTTGGGGGCATCAAAGGGGGTGAAATTTTTCTTGAGGAAATAAGGGTGCCCACAATGTGGAATCTTGGGGGTGGGCCATTAGGCAGTTAAGATCAGTTGAGAGATGATAACAAATTCAATTTCATACTATTTTATTTATTTATTTTAATTTTTACAAATAAATTGAGGAACACAAAAACAATAGAAAATATTTTTTTCTTGTGGTTGACCGTACAGTAAATAAGTAGAGGACATCTACTACTTACTACTAATTTCGTGGCTGCGCTTTCCCTTAGTGGCACACACAAACCCACACGTGTGTGTGTGTGTGTATGATGTTGCAAATTATACAAGAGAGAAGTCCCAACTCTCAAGACATATTTAGGCATGGAAACCTTCAACATATTTATATGCCTTTTTGGACTACTTAGTATTCTCATCCACATTGGCAAGCAATAACATCAACATGCCATGCATCTCTTCCAAATGTTTATTGTTACTTTAATCATTTTCCCACAAAATTGAAGAAATTAACAAAGAAAGAAATAAAAGTCTGCTTCTTGAAGTCATTTTTTTATTAGATATTGGACTATAGGTAGGATTGAAACCCCTCAATAAAATCAAACAAAATCAATGACTTTTGTGCAATCTCTTCTTGTTTTTAATATTAAAAGATTATTGATTGAACAATGTTGATATAAAATTATTATAATAATCTACATGTAGGAACAATGAAGGTGACTCACTAACATCCCCATCCCCAACTCAAAATATTTATTTTTTAGTTTTTTATCATGGCATTCCATACTTCCTTCCTAGACCTAAAAATCAGGGAATTTGCAAGTAGTTCTCTTTTTTAGGATTGAATGAACTTTCATGTGATCATGAAGCCCATTAATGTTATTTGGTACATGGCAAGAAATGGGAAATAAATAAACAAATGTTGGGGAAGGAAAAGAAAAGGAAAAGGGATTTTTATTGAAACATAAATAGGAGAATTTCAAGAGGCAGCAATGATCTCTACAAGCACTGCATAAATTCCTCTGCTTTACACTCTTCTGCAAAACTAAAATTACACAAAAGAAAAACAACACAAATTCAGTGGACACCATGAAGCTAAATCAATGTCCAGTGACTGGTTGACTGTGATTGTCCTAAAAGAAAATTGAAGTTAGAAATCGATGATGGGCTCGCCAACGGTGAGGTTGCGCTTCAAGTTCCAGTGCAGATTGAAGAGCTCTGCTGTGATGAACTTGAATATCTTGTTCACATTTATATTGTATGTTGCACTTGAAAAGAATAATGTGGCCTTGAGTGCCTTGGCATATGATCTTGCCTATATATATAAACATATATATATATATATTTCAGACAAGAAGAAACTTGAGTTAATTAGCTAGCTTGTGTCGCCCCTGAATCCACAAATTAGGTAATTGATTATACATTACCTGCTTGGAAATTGCCCACTGCAGATCTATTGGTAATTTGACAAACTCGTCAAATTTGGTTCCAATTAATACTGGGATCGCAGCCTACAGTTGCCCAATTAGGAGACTTCAGATTCAAGTATGTTGCAAGGAAGATAGATACATATATACATATATATATGTATTACCTGGTTCCATTTTCTGACTTCTTGATACCATTTGATCACACTGCAGTTACAGAGAGTCCAGGAGATGGATTCTTGTTAATTTGAAGATAGATTCTCATGAGATATGTATGTATGTATCTTATTTGTACCTGTTTAACGTGCGTCGACTTGTAAGATCAAACATGAAGAGTATAGCCACAGAATCTTTGCAGGCTGTTTGAATGTGGGCAAGTGATGAATGATCACCTGTATACAAACATATATACATACATATAAATCATTGAAACTGCTCAAACATTTGTGCATATAAAAGGAAAAGAGAAGGACCTTCCACTTCCCAAACACTGTAAGAAATTCTTGCTCCTTTGACATCTAATGTTTTAGCCACCACCTGGTTTATTCCTGTCACTGCAACTTGCTTCCGCTTCTGCTTCTGCCCTTGCTCTTCTCCTACAAATGTTGTCTGCAGTTATGGGAAATCAACAAACCTAATTAATTAATTAATTATTTCATGGAAGAAGAAGAGTGATGAAGCTGCAGCACTGACCAAGAAACTTGTTTTCCCAGCGTGGGAATCGCCGAACAAAGTAATCTTCAAAGAGACTAAATCTGAAGGGTCCCTGCCGTGATCAACGACCGCCGCAGCAGTACTTTTCGCCGGCGGATGTGGGGGAGGGGGAGACGAGAAGGCACCGGCGGCTCGATAATGGCGGCACTTGACGGAGGATTTGAGCATCCAACAAGCATGGAATCGCTTCCAGAAGGAACGGAGACATCGGCGAAGGGTGGAGATCCGCCAGAGGACTGACTTCTTTAGGCTCAACTGAAGCTTCGTCGTCGTCGTCGTCTTCGTCTTCGTGGGGAGCTGCTGCTCACGATGATGCATCATAATGCGATCAATCAGTCAATCAATCAATCAAACAATCAATTAATTAACCTAATTGGCAATGGCGTCCCACTTGCAGGAGGAATAAGAAGAATACGAACAGAAATGGGAAATGGGGGATGGATTTGAAGAGGGAGGGGGATCCAATCCTTCAAATCCAATCCTCTGGAATGGAGATCTGTTGTTGTTCTTGCGTTGGTGGAATTATTGGTTGTTTCTTTATGGGGTTATTGTGTTTGTGGGCGTCGTTTCGACACAGTAGCGGGTGGGTACCGATGCTTGTGGGGACTGGACAATGGTTGACCGAGTTTTGGGCGGGCAGTTTGTTTTGGTTGTTGCCTTCCTTCATACTTACATACATACATACATATTTAATTTGCAATTCATCTCCTTAATTACTTATTGGTCCCTTCTGTTCTGTTCTATTCTATTTTACTTTACATTTTGTAGAAGATAGGGTAAAATAGATAACGGGCCATACATTACATTTGATATATTCAAATCGGCCCAAATTGTGAAGGGCTGGGCCTGGCAGGCAAATGACAATCATTTGTTTTTCGCTTCTCGAAGGACAAAGTAAAAAAAAAAAAGTCACAATTACATCTGTAAAATGAAAGAAACATGCGTGAAAACTAGACTTTTTTTTTTTTAAGGTTATTTTACTGAAAAATTACTTCTTGTTTGCGAAGGAAAGGGAAAATTAAAAGACATTTGATGGCATGTAATTTGGCTTCAAATTGATCATCTTTTTCCACCGCCGCCGCCGCTGCCGCCGCCAACTCCAACTCCGTGGCCAGCGCCGCCGCCAACTCCTATCCCGACCCCAATGCCGATGCCAACTCCCAACCCTCCACCACCTCCCACGCCGTGCCCACCGCCAAGACCTCCGCCGGCTCCGCCACCAAGACCCCCACCAGCTCCACCGCCGAGTCCTCCACCAGCACCGCCGCCAACTCCTCCACCAAATCCACCCCCACGACCACCACCTCCACCGCCTCCGCCGCCGCCCCCACCGCCGGCTCCTCCACCAACACCTACACCTCCTCCGGCTCCAAAGCCTCCTCCATGACCTCCACCGCCACCTACTCCTCCGCCACCCCCAAATCCACCTCCTCCGCCAACACCTCCCCCAGCACCACCGCCGACTCCTCCACCGGCTCCAAATCCTCCACCACTACCTCCTCCCGCTCCTCCTCCACCACCACCTCCTCCTCCCCCTCCACCACCAGCACCACCGCCAGCCCCTCCCCCAACTCCTCCTCCAGCTCCAAACCCCCCACCATGGCCTCCACCAAGCCCCCCTCCTCCTCCACCGCCAAAACCGCCACCTCCTCCAACACCTCCTCCCGCACCTCCACCAACTCCTCCGCCAGCCCCGAATCCTCCGCCGTGACCCCCACCCGCTCCTCCGCCACCACCTAAACCTCCACCTCCACCCACACCACCTCCCGCACCTCCCCCGCCTCCCAATCCACCACCACCTCCGAGTCCTCCTCCGCCTCCCAAACCACCACCTCCCCCAAGTCCTCCTCCGCCTCCCAAACCACCACCACCTCCAAGCCCTCCGCCGCCTCCCAAACCCCCACCACCTCCAAGTCCTCCGCCTCTTCCATAGCCCGGCCCTCGACCAAAGCGGCCCGGGCCGCGGCCCCATCCGCCCGGGCCGCGCCCAAACCTGCCCCCATAGCAGCCTCGGCGTGAATACCTACAGTCGTCATCCCTCCAGTAATCCTTTTCAACTTTCCCATCACCATTACCAACACACTCTAAACTCAGATTCAGCAGCACCACCCCCATCAAAACCAGCACACACACCCATTTCTGGAACACCCTCATTGTTCTAATTACTTAATTCCTCCTCGATGATCGATCGATTCGATCGATCTATGGACCTCTCTCTCTAGATCTCTCTCTCTCTATCAACTTCACTCAGTGACTCAGTGGGATGAATGCAAAACCCCTCTCAAACCCCATCCATATATATACACGGAAACAAAAACAACTGGCCAATAATGCCGCATGGGACATCTTCTTAATTCTTCTTTCTTCTTCAGTGTATAGTATAGTATAGTACAGTATAGAGAGTTGTTGTCTGCCCCACCCCACCCCACCCCAACCCAACCCCCAGGACAGCCATAAATGTGTTGCATGGTTATGTTTATGCAAAGCGTTAATTGGAGCAGATGGGGAATTCGCGGGAGCATTTAATTCCACTCTAAGTATGAAGAAGATTCAAAAGTCAATATAATATTATAATATAGTATATACATACATATTTATCTCCCATATAAAGTGATCGGCGGTGATCCACCAGTCCCCCCCCCCCCTCTCTCTCTCTCTCTCTCTCTCTCTCTCTAATTGGCCATTTCACATTTGCGTTTCCCATGGTGGACTTTTTCTCCTCTGCATCTAATTGAGTATAAGATAGGGCGGGTGGGGTTGACATATTTTTCAAGAACTAATTCAATGCGTTGACTAATATATATATATATATATATCTATATAATGGATTGAAAGTATGTGTATGTAGGTGATGATAGATATATGAACATTATAAATTCATTATTGGATTGGATACAAGCGGCGGTTCCATCCGACTAGTAATTAATCACGGCAACGGATTTTAATTCAAGTTTAACAAGTTTAGTAGTAACATACAGACAGACATACATGAATTCATTCTGAGTAGTGATAACATAACTACGTGCATTGCTGCATGCACGCATGAGGGTTACACGTACAGCTTCTTATAGTTTTACCTAGTGGTAAATACGTTTTATTTTTCAATGTAAATTACTAGTTTTTCCAGAGGCCAGAGATCTACACTACACATATATAATTTAATTTGAAGTATTTTATATATTAATGAGGAGGATGGGGATTGGTTGATATTTAATTTGAAGGGAAAGGAAGACTGGGTCTGATGTGTACCATTAATGTGGCAGTTGCATTGATCGGGTTCAACTTTAATGCGCCGTGTCCCTCTCCATAACTCAACTCCAACTCCAATTCAAACTCGATCGACCATCTTAATAATAATAATAATAATAATAATATAACGTATACATTATGATTGATTTCACATGCATTTAAATTTATTTACAGGGTGGCGGAGCTTCCGAGAACGTTCCGAAACTTTTATTGGTTTGATTTGTCACATTTAGAAAAACCAGTTTAGTTACTCAAATTATATCCTAATACTTGCATATGAAAATGGTTATATAAAATGACTATTTCACCCCTTCTACTAAATTACTTGAATCTTTACATCAGTTAATTTGTCAATTTACTCCCACGTTGTCAGTTATAGTGACGATATTGGGTATGGTTGAGGTTTGTGTTTTTTCAATTCCATTAGTAATTTGTAGTGATTTAGTTGTAGAAAATATATTGATATGGATATCATTTTGTAGATCGTAAAATTTACTTTAATACAATAATTTAATTATAATATTTTAAATCTATGATATATTAAAAAAATACATTTGAAACTAACGTAAGAATTTTTTAATTTGGTGGGCACGCAAAACAAAAAAAATTGCGGCCGACCGGACGGCTATTGAATACATATATTTACCAAGAGACCGTCTGACAGTCATTATACCAAGAGACCGTCTGACAGTCCGTATGCCAGCCGACTGTACGGTTCTCCTCCTTCTCATCAAAAGAATTTTTTTTAAAAATTGGTTCGTTGCACAGATATAAAAAAAAATATATATATTTATATAATTGATTATATTTCTTTCTCTCCTCTTTCTAGACCAAACTATTCATTGGTCACCAAACGACCAAACTATGTTCCTCCCACTTGATCTTCGCAGCAACCGACCTGCTTATCCGACCGTGAACCTTCCCGACCTGTCTATCCGCCTGCGGACCAACCGACCTGGCTATCCGCCTGCGGACCAACCGACCTATCTATCCGACCGCGGACCTCCCGACCTGCCTATCCGACCGCGGGCTTCCCGACCTGCATATCCGACCGCGGACCATCCGACGCCGAACCCAACCGCACACCAACCGACGTGCTTAACTGACTGCAGACCATCCAACCTGCTCATTCGACCTCCCTTCTTCTGACCGACCTCTTTATTTTGACCCTGCTACCATTATCCTTATTATTATAGAGAAATATCTTCGAATTTGATAGATGAGTACCTGAAATTAGAGATCTCTAAACACTGTAGAATATATAAAATAAAATAAAAATAAAGATTGGAAAATAAAGTGGTGATCCCCAAAAGAAATTCTCTTGAATTTTTTGTCGATTGAAGATGCTTTTTTAGGTCAAAAACATACCTTTAAATAACTCCTTAAAAAAGAGGTTTGAACCACCATTTGGTCGGTTACAACAACTGCTGTCAACCGTCCACCAAGTTCTCCTCCGTTGACACGTGTTGCAACTTCCTTCAACCGTTCGCCGGTTGCAACTTTCTCCAACCGACTGTGGTCCCGACCACAGAACAACCGACTGTGGTCCCGACCACGGACCAACCGACCTCGGTCCCGCTGCAGACCAACCAACTGTGGTCCCGACCACAGAGCAACCGATTGTGCTCCCGACCTCGAACCAACCGACCTCGGTCCTGACTGCAGACCAACCGACCTCGGTCCCGACCACAGAGCAACCGACTATGGTCCTGACCACAGAGCAACCGACTATGGTCTCGACCATAGAGCAACCGACCGGCTCTATTTGTCTTATCTCCTTGGATGGACAGACTGTCCTCTTGACAGACCTCCGCGTCTGTCCATACTTCTTCCTTGCCCGACCTTCCTCTTGACAGGCCGTCTGTCCATACTTCTTTCTTGTCCGACCTTCCTTTTGACGGACCTCCGCGTCTGTCCATACTTCTTCCTTGCCTGACCTTCCTCTTGACAGACCGTCTGTCCATACTTCTTCCTTGCCGACCTTCCTCTTGACAGACCTCCGCGTCTGTCCATACTTTTTCCTTGCCCAACAATAATATTTGCCTATATTATCTGTTAGTTATTTATATATCATTTGGTACCACTTCAGGGATTCAATTTAGCTATTGGACGATTCTCCAACCAATTCAGTATATATATAAGTTTGTAAGAATTACTTATTTAATAAAATATTCTACCCTAATAAAAATTTGCGCGGCTTAGCCGTGCTCACACGAGTACTAGTGTGTGTATATATATGGTTGAAAAAATATTTAAGAACCTTATTCAGCAAGCTTTATCTACAAATATTTAGCAACTGACTGACCAATAATTTAATTAATTTCCTCAAACAAATGGGTCAACTTGCAAAATAGGCAGTTGTTAGGTTACAGTATGCACTTTTAATTTGCCGTGTGAACAAACCCTATTCAATATAAACGACAATACATAGTTACATTAATAATTTGTTAATTTGTTTGCGGATTTGCAATCCAAACGTTAATTACTTACTCCCTCCGTCCCAAACACTGTGCAACATTTGTGTTTGATACGAAAATTTAGGTGGAGAATATTAAATACGGTAATTAGAGATAATTTGGATATTAAGTTATGTGATTTGAGAGAGAAATAATTATTTATTTTTCTGTCATGAGATAAAGTAACGTATATATTAATATATGTATATAAATATTATTAATTATTTCTAAATTTGAAAATATTACAGTGAATTTGAAACAAATAAAAAATAAAATGTTGTAGAGTGTTTCGGACGGAGAGAGTAACTTTTTTCTAGCTAAAAGCATATATCAAATTCAATTTTTTTTTAGAAACCTCACAAGTTGACCTAGTAATGTGTCTGAAAATGTTATAGAATAAAATTAAAATAATTAGAGTGTGTTTGTTGGTGGATTTTAGTTTTCTTGTTTGAGCAGTAAAATGTTAAAATTTAAATAATTGTTTGATGTGATATAAATAAAATGTTAAAATTTAAATAATTGTTTGATGTGATATAAATAGAAGTTGATGTAATAACTTTAAAATAGCTTTGCAGTATAATATAAAAAATAATAATAATAATTGTTTGATACAATGCTTTTTAAGAAAAAAAAAAATTGCGGCAATCAAACTCACAAAATGACACAACCTTGTGTTTTTACCCAAAACAAGACGTGACTAGACATATATAAATCCACATTGTTTCTAACTCCCACATCGACTGATTACTTCAGCTCAAAACTATAAAATTCCATTCATACCAAACAATGTATTCTTTGTTATCTTCAACACATAACTAACATCGTTTGTCACATCAAATAATAATAATAATAATAACAGCAACAACAACATCGTGTGAACGTCTCCTTCAAAATCAAATTGAAATCAAATCCTTTTATTACAATCTTTCATAAAAATTTCACTCAATGGACAATGCTCAAACAATATTAGTAGTGTAGTGTAACACAGTTATGTTGCTCTGAATAACAGCATAATGAAGAGCATGATCGTAGTAAATAGTCTCCAATGTAGCATAGCCACGGGCCAGCCGGAACTTCCCGGTGCCACCCACCACCGCCACCTCCCTCACCCGATCGAACTGCGCGCTCGTGCCTTGCACTTCTAATGTGCTACCCTTATACTCGTCGTTGGTGAACACGATCGATATCAAGACATGCGTGTTCGACCCATCCAACGCCGAAGTCACATAGAGCCCTTGGGCTCGGGCCACTTGGGCCGATCTTTCGTCGAATCCTTCGGTTATTGGATCATCCGTGCAGAACATGGCTCCAAATTTGGTGAAGCGTAGGAGCTCGTCGGATTGGGCGTTGATCTCGAGGACCGTCGGATTTGGGCCGCCGGAATAATCTTGGAAGTAGAGTGTCATGGTGGTTTCTTTGAGCTGCCCATTTAGCTCTGCTGAATTTGTGTAGGTTAGTATTAGCAATGGAAATATAAGGATCAAGAAAGATGAAGGGGTTGGATTCTTGGATATCATAATTTTTGTAAATGTTAATAGTTGAAGAATGGAGTAGAAATTTAAGTAAGTTTTTGGGTGCACTTGAGCTATATGTATGTATGAATTTGATGGGGTGAATGTATTTATAAACTTAAGTGATGTAGGTCATGACAGATTCTGCAGATTGGTGTATAATATATTATTGTAGCATTTCTTGTAGAATTAGTGTGGTTTAATTTGTCTGCATCCATGGCTGACTTATTGATGATGGATGTGCCAATATACAGAATCTGGTAAGGAAGAAAGATAATTTATGAAATAAATAATTTTGTACGTAAATATTAAAAAAACAAAAAGGGTGTGTTTGTTTTGAGAGGGAATACAGTTTATATATAAAACAATCTTCTAACTCAGAGCTAAATATGTGATCATCAATTCTTTAATTTCAAACTCTCTCTCTGTAATCATTCTGCTTAAAAATAAATAAATTAGGCATCGAACCAAACTACTTTTTATTTAAAACATCTTATCATAACACACCAAAATACTCATAAACATAAGTACACACATGGACACAATGAGGGTGTGTTTCTCTTAATTCTATTATTTAAGAAAAAAAAAAAAAAGGTTTGAGTGAAGAAGACATAATACAGCATCAGAAAAATATGAACAACTATCACGTAGAAAAAGCTACAGCTCCCCTAAACGAGATGTACCTTGTTCTACAGCAGATCTGTAAACCAAACGAGGTATGAAACCTGTGGGACTTGACCATAAAAATGTCCCACAACTCTGAATGACACTGAATTCACATTATACGTCAAGAAATAAACATATGAATATGATCAGTGTTGTAAAACCACACAGGTCCTTAATCGTTATCGTGGGTTTCTGAAGAGGCGGGGACAGAAAGTTCTGTTTCCAGCATGAAAGAAAGATCATGCATCTGCGAAATCAGTGTCTTGACATCGTCATCTTTCACTGGTTTTACAACTATGTCTTCAGTTTTTGAAGGTTGTCCCGAAGCATCAGGGAGGATGATGGTACTAACATCCGACCTGACAAAAATACTGGCAGAGGTTAAGTAAATAGAACAAACATGAGTACACTAGTGTTGGAATAAGAAGGCATATGGATAGAGAGGGTAAAACATTGATTGCTAAATAGAGTATATTAGAGAAAAAGAAGAGCTAAACCAGCTATTCCTCATTTCAGAAAATAAAGTCGATGTTTTGTTTGTACTGCAACCAAGTCCAACAGGGGCATAACTCACAAAAACTAGAGTGAAGTTTCACATCTATCTTTCAAATAACTCACTTAACCTTACATAAGTGCGGAGTTTTCTGTTTTATAAGAAATCCAAAAGATAAAAGGATTATGGCACATAAATTGTATGTTTGCAGGCTACCTCAACAAGTCTAGTCATTATTCAGAAAGTTTAGTTGAACTCTGGTGCTTTTTTTTTTACATCAGGAAAGGAGTATTATTTAGAAAATTGCAATGCTATCTCTCGAGCACAGGTTTAGGTTTGGCCTCAATGGGAAAAGAAAATGGAGCACCTAACAATCAATTCAATAGAAGCCCAAAGAGGTGAATAGGGTCGCAAAAATAATGAGAGATGTGGAAAAAGCAGGTCCGATTAAACCTATTCCTAATCCTAAATGGAATGGAACGATGTAGGGATCCATATGTAAACAAGGAAATTAAAAGTTGTCCCTTCTTTAGCTATATCACCTGTGCAAATTAATACAGGACATGGGCTCCAAAGATCTTATTGTCTATAACACTCATTTCAGCATATAGACCTAGGTAGTTCAACCCTGACATCATGAATCCTCCAGACAGGTTGGCCTGAGTAAAAACAATAGGGCCTACTGGCCAGGAAAGATGCATAGTACATAAATCTTTGTATATTATGGCTTAAAGAAAGAACTCCAAGAGTGGAAGTTAATAAAACAACAAGGACACTACTATGGAAACTTTGTAGATATAATACTGTGAAAAGGAAGAAGCTGGCTGGAAAAAAGTATATATAAGCCATGCTACACTTTAGATAGATACAGAATCTGATACAATTAAAAAGGTGTTTGGCAGAATGGAACTTGTTGGTAACTCAATTTCAAAACCGTGAATGAGGCAGATCTACTGAAAACTAATTGCAGATTAATCAGATACCTTATCGATAACAAACAGTCATTATTTTGGTAGCAACTGCCCAAACCCTAGGTCATTCCAATTAACTAAAACATAAATAGTAGTAAAAGAGTCAATCATATCTCCAAACATTAAAATGAAAGATATATCAGAAGGTGTTGAGTGATGAGCTAAATTCAAAAACCTCATCAGCACAGATCACATTGATATTTATACACAAATTTACCAACCCCAATTACCCATTTACCTTAAATGAAAAAGACTTTTGAAAGTACCAGTATGAAAGTAGCAGCAATCATAAGGAAATGAGTACAAAGAAATTAGCAACTCGTCCTCGGCGTTCTTTATGTGAGAAAAAGTGTCATAATAAGGTAGAACAGAAAATTGTTGAGCACTTCACACAGGAAGGTTTACCTCCCATCATAACAAGTCATACAGATGGGATACTCAATATCAATAAGAATGCCAAAGATGGCACATATACTTTGCAAGTAAAAGCTGGGAGAAAATAAAAATGAGCAAGTATATCCGATCAGCGGAAGAGCACACACCTGATTGAAGCAGGATTTTCCGATATGATCTCGTTGACTTCAAGGAGAGAATTATTGTTGCTATTTGAGGCAGAAAAGAGGTCTGGCTGTGAAAAGCTACCAAAATCTCCGTCGTCAAACTTACTGTCAAAGTTGAATAAATCTATCTCTGGAGTATCTTTTTCTGAAGTAGAATATTGATATTCAGGTGCAATTTGGGATGGGCCTTGGAAACTGGAAAAACCAGCAAAATCGTTCCATTCTTCAGATGAGTTCAAATCTATTGTCTCGTCTCCAAATGATTCGAAATTAATTGTTTTGTGATCCTCATTTGAGGCTTTATTAAGTGAAATGTCTGCATAGTTGGGCTGCAACTGAAAATCTTGCAGCAAATCAGCACTTGTAGAAAGATCCCTTGAAGTTTCAAATGCAAGAACATCATGACCCCCGTCCTTAGTGCTCACAGAGGCATCAAACCCATCAACTGAATGGGACTTAATGGAGCTAAGATTATTCCATAGGTCATTGGATACTGGAAAAGCAACTGGATTTTCTTTTGGTTTCCCATCATCAAACTCTTTTCCAGGACCAAAGACAGAATCAATTTGAGCACCGAGATCAATCTCCGGACCTATTGAATAGTCCATTGGTTTGGAAACCTGGAAATTATTTTCAGAATCAGCTGAGAAATCTGCAAAATTCCCAGCAGACTTATAATTGCCCTCTTGATTTTGAGAACCAGCAAACTGGAAATCGGCCTTCCATTCGGAAAAATCATCATTGGTATCGTCTTGGGGAGAGCTGTCCAGTGGTTCAAATGACTGAACATTTTGAAATAAATTCGGCTGTTCATAAGTTTCAACAGTCTCCTTGTCTGCAGTGCCAATCTTGTTTTCCTTAAGTGGCTGCTCAGTGGAAGGATCAAAGGTAACATCTCTGTTCAACTTAGGAAAAAACTTACCTGGATCCACTCCATTTAAATTAGTGAATCTACTCTCTTTTGAAAGGTTGTCTGAAATGTTAGTCTCTCCATTCCCTGTCTCAGCAGGCCAGTGAATCTTAAAATCCAAAAAATCTGATAAGGGTGTTAAACCTTTAGTAGAACTCACGCCTCGTTCCCATTCACTCTTTTCCGCTGGATCCACCATTTCCTGAAAGGTGGAGATATTATTATGATTGCAATTTATGATGTATAAAAACAGAAAAGCACTCACATGTTATCATTCCTTTTCCAATAAAATGAAGCTTATTAGAAAACCTCGCAGTAGAAAAACTTTAACAAAAATACAATAGAGGGTTTCCTAATTTGAGTTTCCAGTACAGAATCCACACATAGCTTCCCAGAGTGACAACAGTGAACAAAAAAAGTTCATGATATACTACCTAACCCATAAAAACATATTCACATAGGCAGAGACTATGCAAACAGCACGCAAAAGAATGACAATTTTACACTCACTTCAATTTATCCTGACATTTCAAATGCCATAATTAACAGAAGAATTTGTATCCAACCTAAGTGATTGAAGTATTTGGGGGTTGAATATTATAATTTTCATCTCCCATTATAAGATCCTGCTTATTATCCTTTAGAACCACCAATGCCCACATAACATTGGCTACTCTTACTTGCCTTCCATCTAACCAACCACTTTCCTCCCCATTGCCAGCATCTTCTTCCTGTTATTCACCAGACCTCCTACAGCAATCAAAATTTAACTGCCTTTAAAGTGACTACTCAAAAGAAAACAGCTCAAACGATCTACTGCATGCAGTAATAACCAATCAACATTCTCACTGTATTAAGATATCAACAAGCAAACTGTTAGGATTTGTTACTTTTTTTACTAATATCGAATCAATCCAAGGTAATAGCAACAAAATCCCCCTCCATTGCCTCACACAATTAACAGAAGTTCCAAGCATCCATTCAACAAAACAATAAACGCACAATGTAGAGTAAATCAAATTCAAAAGGATCCACTTAAAGCATACCGATCCATCGAGACGGAGAGCGCGAAGCAACCACTTATACCCAACGCTGGAAGTAAAAGAGATGGGCTCAGGGAGAGCATCGTAATTAGGGCGCCGACCACAGTACAAGCAGATAATAGACTCTGCTCCTCTAGGGAGCCTCCCTTTACAGTTGTCGCAGCAGAGATGCGGCGGCAAATCGGAGGAAACTATTTCGGAGGAGAGAGATGGCAACTCAGGCAGGGTCACGTCCGACGGGTCGTAATCCGATAAATTTGCCGCCGCCCGAGTGGAGATCTGAACCTGGCGAATCAGTTCGCGCGGGATTCCCGACATTTTCCTCTTTCATCAACTTTCCCTTCTTCGCACTGCCCTTCCTTCTCTTCCGAGCTTCTGTAAAAGTTAGCTGTATAAATTCTGTTTGCATTTCAACCACTTAGGTATTAAAAATATCATATTGACCCCAACAAAGTTTTAAGAAGAGATATACTGTTGGGCCTTTGGATCTTTCAAATGGAGAACTGTTTGGGCCCATTTATTTTTGTAAGCCCAAATTAAGCCTTCATACGGAAAATCTCTACCATATTCGTCATCGTCAGTTTGAACTGAATTTTGTGGATAAACCTCTGGACACAAGGGTTTAAGGGCTGGTTCGTTCGAGACCATCTCAACACTAGAACCAGAAGAGTAAGCAATTCTTTCTTCTCCTGATGTTAGGGTTCATTTTGCTAATGATTTATATGTTTTTACTGTAGTTCTGTTTGTCCTTTTTCTGCGTTATGGAACCGGAATTTTCTTATGGAGTAGAATTCATTGTTTGCTCGGAATCACTGTGGAAATCGAAGAAATGCGAATCAATTTAGATATTTTGGTTAGGTTTCAGGATCTACGTTGGAATTTTTCGAGTGTATTTTGCAATCGGTATTAATAACGCTATTGCTTTACTGTTTGCGATTTCCGCACTTATCTTTATTAGTGTGAATGTGTGATTGTTCTTCGTGTATGTGAATACTAATTTGTTGCTGCTTCTTTATTGAGTTGTCTCTGTGTTGCTTGTGCTGTGGATGTTACGAAGTTACTGTGGTCTACTGCTTGTGCTGGTTTTTCGGAAACTTGATTAGAGAATTTACAGTTACTTTTGGTTGGTTGGATCCAAATTCACGTGCCTCTATGAATTCATTTCTATTGCCTGTTTCTTCATGGACATGAACAGGGTGCTGTCTGTTGCGATTAAACTCAGTCACATGCAAAAAAAAGAATGTTTTTAAGGCATTTTTACACACTCCTTGCCTTGAGATGATTTGAAATATCATCTTTAGTTCTTGTTTTACTGCCAGTCTGTATTTTTCTAACAGAATGAATCTGTTGCTTTGTGCTTGAATGCAGCAATTGCAATCCACTTACAGATATCTTCCTGTAGTTTATTGCCATCACATTGGTGAAGTAGCTATGGCTATGACTGCAGCAAATGCAGTTATGCCCACAATGCTAACCTTCTCTGCTGATAAAAGCCGTAGACAACGCACAGGACTTGCTGCCACTACACAGAAGCACGTATGTATACGCCCCGTGAGTGTGCAAAAATCGCTGGAGGAGCTCTACAATGTGAAGGTTGAAAGGAGAGCATCAAAGGAACGCCTGGCAAAGCTCGGTGTCTCACGATGGTCTGTCTGGAAAACAGGAAAGTGCAAGCTTCCATGGGATTGGCAAGCGGATCAACTGGTTTACATCGAAGAAGGGGAAGTGAGAGTGGTGCCGGAAGGGAGTGAGCGCTATATGAGATTCGTGGCTGGAGACCTTGTTCGCTACCCTAAATGGTTTGAAGCCGATCTTTTCTTCAATGATTTCTACCAAGAGCGATACAGCTTTAGAGCATATGGCGATGATTACTAGCCGGACAGAAGCTGTGTTGTTTGCATCAATGTTGTTGTAGTTGGCAAAAGAAGTCTTAAGATAGTGATCAAGACACATTTGCTGTCCCACCATGTTAATGTCATTTATCTTAGGTCTTACCTGCGAGTCTTTCTGAAAAAATTGTCTAAACCTCGTCCAATGAATGCAATGGAGTCACCATGTTCGAACATGTACAATGTCTGTTCAACATAACCAAAATGAGACAATAGTCTTGCAAATTTACCGCTGTACATCCAGCAAATGGGATGCTAATTCTCATCTCTTTCGCCGCTTTTGTCCCACCTAACCAACAGTATCAAATCAAACACAAACAATGTTACAAAAGCCTGATTCAAAATTTATTTTATATATTCAGACATAAATTTGTTAAAACGACATCTTGTAGAAAGAAATTTTCACTTTGCCTTATCATATAAATTTTACAAGTTTATTTGTTAGATACTAAGAATATATATTCAAAGTTTGTACTATACTTATTTTTTATACTATCACATCAACAACTATTTTTATCTAAAAATAAATTTATGAAAAACACTCAAAATAAAAAGCTCTATTTTCTTAAAACATTATAAATAAAATTGATAACTTTGCTCTAAATCAAGCTGATTTTGTACATAGCATGCTACAATAATGTAGTTATCTTTAATGTATCCAAGTTGAAAAGTTCATCCACATCTTTTATAAATTTGTGGATTTAATTTACTACTTTGAAAGATAAAATATATTTTATGCACAAGGTTCTTTTTCAAAGTCTGTATATTTTGATTTATTATTTTAAAAACTAAACTATTAGTATGTTGTAATAATTTGTATATATACATATATATTTTATGCAATTCTTCCACATCTTTTCATAAAGTTTGTAGAGTTTGTTTTATATTTTGAAAATACCATAATCTTTTAGATCATTCTAAATAAATTTGGGAACTTTCTACTAAAAGATATACAATCACAAATGTTTTGTACCTATCATACCCCTATTATGTATATATAGATTCTATTATGCAGCAACAATATCATAAAACCATTTAAAAAATTATTCTTTAATACAAATAAAATAGAATAGACTATCAAGAAATAAAAATATCATTTACCTTGGCCTCGGAATCAAGTGATACTCCAGATGAGTTCAAAGATCGTTTTCCATCATCATCGTCCGAAGAACAAGAACAATCTGGGCAAACGAACCGATCTAATTTTTTTGCATCTTCAATAGTCATACCCATACAGGAAGGATGAAACCTTCAACAATGCATCACAATAATAACAATATTAGGGAAAAAAATAGCAAAAATTCAGTTCAAACTTTCAGAAGATCAATGTAGTTCTTAAAATAAGTTGTAGCTATGAAACACAAAAACACATGTAGCCATACTAACCAGTCTTTGCATTGGTCGCACTGCACCATGAGATTGTCGGGGTTATAAGGCATCTCACACTTGCAATAACTTCGAAGGCACAAGAAGAATTATTAATTAGATTAACACAATTCACTCTCTAAATTTTTTGTATCAATCAATTGATATTAAAATTTTAAGAAGAGAGACTCACACAGCAACACGGTCAGGATTGAAGCTCCCATTAGCAGCCTTGTATTCAAACCTACAAAAGTAATCATCAGCACCAACATTTTCAAGCTTTGTGTAGTTTTTAAAACTGTGAACAGTGCATTTGTCTTCAATGGTGTGAGCACTTTGCATGTCATAGTGGTCCGACAAGAAAAGCTCTTTGGCACCATGGAATGGCTTCCGTCCACCAATTGATTCCTCAGGGCGGTAATACCACCGTACCCGCACTTTCACATTATTTCTATGATCGGCTTCAATTTTTTCAACTCTCGCCACATATGGAGGCTTGTTTGAATCATATGGCCTCATCAAAACACAATCTCCAGCTAAAGAAAAGTCCACCGATTAGTGTAATTTACAAGAAAATATATATATAAAAATAAAAATAAAAAAATAAAAAAAACACAAACTTATGAAATAAAGACAAAATGATCAGAATGTATATACAAGTTGTGTATGTGTAACTGTCATTATAGAGAGAATCAATATAATTACACCACTAATTATGGACCAATTAGAAAAATAATTTTAAGAAAACAATTATACCAGTCAATTTCTTCTTCTACATTGAGCCTAAATACCCATACAAATACATGTTTACATATAACCAATTAACCAACCAAGCACAACAATGTACTTTGAATTGTAAGTGATTACTGACATAGATACATAAAGTAAAGAAGACTATCACTTTAGACACTAAAAAGAATATTTCCAGCAAAAAGAAATAAGTATCATATTAAACCATGATCAACACCAAACTCTTTAATTTGTTTTAAAAATGTTGACAGTCTCCAACATATACAGCATAAAAAATGGAGACTATAGATTATAACGAACTTCAAAAATCATCCTCTCTGGGCTACCATAAACAAGTAAAGCAGTTTCGCAATGGAACTTTCAGCGACGAATCCAAAAACAAAATAAAAAATTTCAGCAATAAACATTCGGGTGAGAAATCCAAAAACAAACCAAACAAAATAAAAAAGTGATAGTAAAAGGACAATACGTCTGACAATCTTGTTGGCCCCTCCGATAACAAAAGAGTTGAGGTCCTTCTTCCCCGGTTTCGTTTTCGCCATGGATTTCGCTTTGCTTTCCGCCTTCGGGACAATTGTAATAGCTGTATTTGCTGCTGAATTTCTAGGGCATGCTTCAAAACCCTAATTGCCGGCCGGTACAAAAAATTTGGGGCTAAAAATTTGTGTCATAAAACAAGGAAGATTAGCTCAGTCGGCTGCCATCATTCCCAACGCATGCGTTTTATATCTTGTGTGTATTTTTTCCTTTGTTTTTTGCATTAATGTAATTAAATTATTTTTTATTTATATAACATTAAATTTTCAATTTTCAATTAATGGATCTATTTTAATTGAAATTATTCTTTTATAATTTTATTTATTTTATTCAAAATATTTTTTATTATAATAAAATTAATTATATATTAATATTAAAATATTTTATATTTTTATATAAACTATACATATTTTACAGCATAAAATTAATTTTTATATATAAAAAATATCAAAATTATCTTATACCATAAAATATTCACTGTGTCTATAAAAATTATCATTACAGAAATATATGAGAACATCTTTGTGCACAGAAACATTATATTTTTAATAAAAATAATGGAAAGTGAATAATATTGTTACAAAATATAAAAAAAAAAATTTCAAATTCTAAGAGTGTCTTTCGTTCTAAGTTGAATTTAAATTTTTATTTAAGTAATACTCTATCTCTTTTGATACAATAGTTATATTTATCATTTTTGTCTGTACTAAAACAATAGTCTTATTTTTATAAATAATCATATCATTATAAAACTACCCTTACTTTTTCATTATTATTAGACAATTGCAGCTACTTTTTACATTAATACACTCGCAAGGGCAAAAGAGTTTTTTCATCCGTACTTTTTACCCACTGTCAATATAATATCAATATCAAACACAACTCATACTATAAATACTGATAGAGTAGTAGTACTTTGTATGAAGTTTATGAGAAGAAAAGATAGTATATTTTTAATTATGTCATTTTTTTTATTCGTCAATTAAATTTATTCATAATCTATTTATAGGAAATAATTTATTTATTCCTAATTTTATCACCAATCATTTATCACTTAATAAATTTTCTATAACACTCATTTTTTATTAAAGTCTTTTTTTGGATCTAGTGGACAATATAACATAAAGAGCCCAATAGAGGAAATATTATGTGTGTAATTGTTTGGTAAAATAGTTTTAAATGATATTTTTTATATGAAATATAAAAAATTTGGTAAATAATATAAAAATAATAAATGTATTATATATTAATTTTTTATTAAAAGAACACAACATTGAATTTGAATCCAAACTGAAATATCTTAAATAATTAAAAATCAAATACAATTTTATATAATCATAAGTTCATCATATACCAACGTACTGTACTATTATTTAAGTAACAATTATTATATATATTGAATTGTATTAGACATTTTATATGTAGTGATAGAAAAAAATTATTATGGTACTAATTTGCATAATCAACATCTTAACTATTCATATATGTTATGTTATAATTAAACTATTTCGGTAAAAATATTAAAATATTCTTAATATTTATCTAAATCATTAATATTCATGTATTGTTACACATACATGATAAACAAAGTCAAAATTTTCACAAAAATAAGGGCTTGAATTCTATATTTATTCGGTCAAATCAGTATTTTTGATAAAAATAAACAATATATTTTACATAATATAAGATTTGTTGTGTTATAAAATATCATATGTTGGTATTATAAAATAACAAATATTGTACTGCCTTCATCCATAATGAAATATTCATTTTTCCATTTTTGTCTATTCCATAACAAAATATTCATTTTTTTTTAAGTAAATATAATATATTATTTACCTAATATTACAAATACTCTTACAACTTTCAATATATTAAAATATTCATTTTTTTTTATATTACACAATACTAATAAGATCATTTTAATTATTTTTACTTTATTTTTACTATATTTCAATATAATACTAATATTTCTAAAACTCCGTACAAAAACAAATGAACATCTAATTATAAGGTTGAGGGAGTATTATAATATATATTGTGATATATATCATAAATATTGTTTACCTTTATACCATGTTGATTACCATGATCCATAGTCCAAAAATAATTTACATATTATTCCATAAAATGCTACTCTTTTCGTCCACTAAATTTAATCTATTTGGACTTGGCAAGCTGATTAAAAGAAAATGAAAATTTTATTGTAAAAATAAAAAACATAAAAAAATAAAAAAGTAATTTAAGTTTTATTAAAAATTAAAGAAAATTGAAAAAGAATATAAGAAAGTTGGTGATATTTATTATATGAGTTGAACGAATGATAATAATTAATTTGATTTTTTTTACTTTTTCAATATGATACTGAGATAAATTTGATGGCAGACAAAAAAAAAAAAAAAAAGAATAAATTAGAGTAACAGATGAAATAATTTTTATCGAACACATTTACATTAAAAAATTACATAAAAAGTGCAATAAGAATGAATATTGGATGCAATATCTGAGCCAGCTGACGAACAGATCCTTTTTTTTTTAATCCGGACGAGAAATCATTTGAGAAAGTGTAGGTGCACCGATATACAGAGTAGCATTACTCAGCTAGTGACCGTTGCAATGTTTTCATTGGAGCCATCCATCCCCTGTCGGCTGTCCCATCTTTTTATTATTATATTCCACGTACATACAACACACCAATACATTATACATATATATATTAAAAAACTCACAAGATAGAGATATATAGACAAATCTAAAAGAACTTAACACATCACAGACAGAGACGACGACGAAGTCGAAGCATCAAAAGGATGACGACGAACACCAGCACCGCCACAGTTCTTCCCTTACCCTTGCCCGTCAATTCTGATCTCTCCACACATGTCTTCTACAGGTTAAATACTTCAATAACAAATGTCTATATAATTTAATTTAATTTAATTTGTCATTTTCTTGTTTCGCTGCTGCTTCAGCTGTGGCTCTTGTGGTTACGACCTAAACCTCAATTCCTGCAACCGTAACTTAACCGTCATCGGCGAAACCTACGGCAAGTCGATGAAAAGGGGACTCATTTCATTCTACTCTATCGACCAGACCAGGTTCACTCAGACCACCAAACTCCGGTGGTGGCGAATATTCCGGCGCCGGCGAACCAAGTTACTATGCAGAAACTGCGACACCTGCATTGGCACCTGTCCTTCTTCTTCCTCAAAAATGACCACTTGGGATGGCATGTCCACTCAAACACTCTACCAGATCAAGATTCGATCACTCAGGCCCTTAGATCAATAAGCAAGAAATTATTACATACTTGCATATGTTCTTCTTGTTATGGACAAAAGTCACAAAACCAAATCATTCATTTTCTCTACTTTCAGCTTCAAATATACAAAATTAGTTGCAGCCCGGATTCATAATCATCTATAAGGCTACTAAAAAGTCTGAATCTTTATGCTAATCTAGTAGGAATTTTTTTCGAGACAAATTTTCGACAGCTACGATGAGGGGAAGAACCTGTTGAGGTTGAAAGGCAGAGTGTAGAACTCTTCATTTCTACTATCGCCTTTGAATGACCGGAACTTGTCCCACCACGGCATGCCGCGATCTTTCTTCGACTCATCAACGACTATTGTGTTGTCGAGAAACACGGCCACAATCAAACTCACCGTGGGCGGGGACATGAACACCGTGTTCATCGTCGCATTGAACTTAAGAACATAAGCAAGAAACCAACCAAAACTGAGTTTCAAGCACTCGAACCACAGCTTTTCGATCCAAAAAATAAGACAGCAGAGACTTACCCATCCGGCGCGAGTGTGAACTAATCCGTTGGCGCCGAAGAATTGAGGAACAGAGATGCCGAGGAAGAGTGAAAGGCCAGTTATCATAAGGTTTCTCATAGAATTCATGTTAGTGAACTGAAGAAATGATAGACCAACAGAACCTGCAGATTAAACAAAACGAAATGTTAGTAAAAATGAAACATATGATCAAGACAACGAAACAGCTTGTAAGATGATGATGGCAGAAGCTTACCTACAAGCCCGAATAGAACACAGTACAGAGCTGCGAAAATAGCAAACGGTATGGATGCGAAAAAAGAAAGAAATTTCCCTGCAATCATCGCCAAACTGCATGAGGGCTCCTTTACAGAATAAACTTTAATGTCAGATGAGCTAATCGATGACTAACCGAAGACAGAAAAGAATATCATGAAGCCAGCTGAGATCTGAACCACCCTGCGGCTTCCAACTCGAGTTAGTCCAAGGAGGCCGGTATTTTCCCTGGATTGTGTTCAAATTCTTTCAAGAGTTGTCACTGAATAGACAGTAATCCGGTAAGGTAATTGGCTAACTTACACAGATACAGTCGAACCGGTGGCTGTTCCAAAAAGACCATCGAGCAAAATGCCTATTCCTTGCCAGCCAATGCCGCGGCTGAGCACATTCGCAGGAGGTAGTGTCGCAATTGCCAGACGAGAGGCAGCCTTGTAGGCTGCAGTGGACTGCAAATAAGTTCAGCTGAGATTAGGACATACACAAAAGTGTGTCATGTCAAATTCGAATGTTGTTGTGTCAAATGTATGATCTTGCCAACAGTACCTCGACCATTGAGACAAGAACAGCAAACATCATAGCAAAGCAATGTCCAAAGGCAAAAGTAGGAGGACCCCATTGAAGAGGATACGGGAACATGAACCTAAGCAACACAAGTTAGATCATTAGATGCAAGAAAAGGGTAAAAAGAAAAAAAAAAGGGTCGAAGGAACACTAATGTAGACAACCATGGAGCAGTTGATATAATATTGGCTTGGTCAGTCCGGCAACTGAGCTGAGTAAATTTTGGTTTGCCGCGATAAGCTCCGCTAGCAGTTAGTATGAAGGCGTACAGCCAAACAATAGTGATGCAGATCAATACAGGAAATCGTTCGAAAATGGGCAAGTCTCTTAGTGGTTTAACATGCTTCAGATACTGTAAGAAGAAGACTGTTAATTGCTTAAAGTCAGAAGAAGATAAGAAAACCACTTTACAATCGAATCATTCGGGATCAACTCACTTGTGACAATCCAACGACCATTACCATCATCGGCAAACCAATCTCCAGACAATGTCCAAGCTACAAAATACACAACAAACAAACATCTTACAAATGAATTCATTGGGGGTAAAATTTGATAGTATAAAGTGATAATATAGAACCATATCGATATAAGAAGAGAACTTACTACAGGAAATCCTTGTTGAAACAAACCCAAACCAACTAATCCAACTACAGGTGCCATGCCGAGGGGGCTGAAAAAGCTGCAATGCAATAAGCCTAAAAGTAACGAATACGTGCAGGAATTGAAGTTTGTATAACCTTAACAAACTTGGAATTATAAACTTTACCGTGAAAACAGACCCCATAGTTGGCTGTAGCCTAAAATTATTTGTATACTGGCAGCAGCAATCATAGCTCCTTGGATAGCTCTCATAGAATGTATAAATCTCTGCAGAACAGAGAACTATAAGCTCCACTTCGACAACATAACTGGGAGGTATCATTTTTTAAAACTATTTTAGTGATAACTTGAAAAAGTTCATTTGCACAAACTGCAGACAACAACTTTTTGTGGTAAGGGGGAGGGAAATCACTTCAACTTACAGGAATCATAGGGTAACAATGCTGAAAATTAGTGTAATTTGAAGCATTTGGTGGATTGGAAAGAACAAAAAGGAACTTACTGTATGAGGATCATCAATCTGTTGAAACGATGAATCATTGATAATATATACTATGGGCACAACATAAGCATATGACCCTCCAACAATAGCAGGCAATCTTGTTCCAAATAATGTCTGGAGAAGTGTGTTAATCCCGGCAACGAAAACCAGAGTTTGAATAACCAGGGCTTTATCCTTCTGCACAATCAGAAAGCTAACACATCACTTGGTGAGGGAGAAAATGTAAGAGAATTTGTCAATTATGGGCTTTGATATACTAGGAAGAACACTAGAATATTAGAAGAAATATTCTTACATCAGTTCCTCCCATCATAGGGACAAGCATTGTTGGAATCATGACACTTGTGCCAAGTACTAAGATAAAATTCTGAAATCCCAACAAAATGGTTTCAGCTGCATACAGAAAAATAATAATCAATCACTGATAAGGATAAGTCAGCAAGAATCAGCATCCATCCACTAATTCCCAAATGGTGTTTGTTTACATTCATCTGTTCAGTGTAGCCTTGAGTTCAGATCACTAGAAAAACAACTAACAAGTCCTTAGCAGAACAAGCAAATAAAAAAACGTAGTACAATAGTTGGATTGACATCAACTACTTACAATAGCTACACCATGAACGTACACCAGCATTAAGCTAAAGGTTGCATAAACATGAGTAAGTCGCCCAATATTAGAAATTGGGACATTATTGATAAAGCACACCATTCTCTTGCAAGTGTTAAAATTCTTGCAATCTAAATATTGACACCACTGCCATTCTAAAGCAGCATAACATTTGAAATTATGGATGTTATTCATAACGCAGAATTCGTGAATTCACAAAGAAATAAGATCAATGACAGACAAATTACACAATATATACATATATATATAATATATATATCCTCAAGCAACACTACTAAAATTAAAACTAATCATAAAAACCCCAACTTTTTTATTTGCTAAGTTTAATCAATGAGACTGTCGCAGAACACCAACAGTAAATGCTTCAAGCAATCGCCATAATCAATAATCACATATTCAGGAAACGAGAAGACAAGAGAAACATAAAACACAGAAACACAAACAAACATGAACATTAAAACGAGAAACGTACGCCAAGAAGGATTAGAATCAATGCAGTACGCAAGGTCCTGAAGCTGATCCATTGGAGGATGTGTAATGTCTCCCATCGCCGATTTAGGAGAACGCCACAGGAATCAACGAGTGAGGGGAACAACTCAGAACGGCAACTGCAGAGGAAGAAGAAAACTTTCGAAAATATTGAAGCTTAAGACTGAAGAAAATGTGGGAGAAAACACAAGAAATACGCCAAACGACTCACTCAATAAATTTCAAAATCAATTTTTACTTTCATTTCATTTCTCTTACTACGCATGTTTTAATTTGTCACTGAAATTACTTGCATTGAATTTCAATGCTACATACTATTATTATTATTATTTAATTAACAGATAATTACAACAGTAAATTTTTTTAAAAAATTTGAACTACTATGGTAACCAACTTATCCATACTAGACGTTAAGTTGTTATTTTCACTATATCAATATCCAATTTTGTTACGTTATTTACTATTTATCCGTGACTTTGAATTTTCCCAATTATTTCATATTAATAAATCACATGAAATTTCAAAATAGTTTTGAAAAAAAATATATATATATATACTTGAAATTTTCCTTCTTTATTTTAAAAATGAATAGGTAGAGGTAAACCTTGAAAATCTGCTTACCTAATAAATTCATGGCCTCTAAATACTAAAAAATTTCAAAGGATATGAATCATTACACAAGAACAGATTTCCTTAAACGGCTATTTGTAGTCATATGTAGGAGGTTGTATCTTCATTTACACATTATGTTCGCACAAAAATGTCGAAAGAGGATTAAACAATCAAGAGAGGAGGGAACAAGAAATGGTGAGAATGTCGATGATATGCTACGTGTTACTTTTAGTCTCCGGCGCTTTCCTTTCTTCGTCGATTGAAGGTAAAGGAATCGATAATATCAATCTTTCAACAATCAATGTTTTGGACATGCATGGCGAATCCACGCCGTGTATGGTAGGGGAGCAATGCTTTAGTAGTCGGAGATTGTTGCGCGGCAAACACCTCCCGAGGGTTTCTTCGCACGGGCTGCAACATGGAGTTGAGCATTTAAATTAATCGATCGATCCATCCATAAATGCAGATAATTTTAATTTATTTCAGAGCTTAATAATATCGTGAGTTGTTTATTGGAGCTTTTTATATGTATTTTGTTTTTCTAATAACAACATGAATGTGTTCATCATACTAGTCTATAATACCTTTTAATGTAATTTTTTTTCTATGCTAAATAGTCATCGATCGTCCCAATTTCAACATATCACATGTGTTCTTGAGTATGTAATGTTTGTCGAATCAAACAGTAAAAAAAAAAATTAAATTGAAATTGCAAATTTATTGAACCAACCAACTAGTATATTTATATTTGATAGCAATGGGTAAGAATAATTGGGCATGCAGTGAATGTAACAGGGGAGGGGTCTGGTCTGGTCTGGTCTGCTACTAGTGTTTCATCGTATTCATGTCCATATTAATATGCAGGCAATGATTATTATTATTATTATTATTATTATTATATGTATATAATTGAAATATGAAAATAAAATAAATAAAATGACCATTGTTGACCTTAATTACCCAGGCAATGGTGGACACGTCAGCAGAATCCAAGACTAGGTACTTTATGATATCACATGAATCATCAAAGAAAGACTTTTAACTTAAAATCCACACAGTGTCAGAAACAGGATTTGGACTACTGACAAAACTATTTTTGCTACATAAGGAAATTAAAGGTAATTATTATTGTCGATTTTAGAAGAAATATATATATATGTGTGTGTGTGTTGTTGATGTTAGGAATCTACAATCATATATAGAATACAACAAAGTTTGTTACAATGTTGAGGCTTCTACTCTTGTGTAAAATATCTACCCTTTTCGAACATGTAGCTAGTAGAATTATATTGTAGATTACTCTGTGTAGTGCTGTGGTTGCCCCTTTTTCTATTTTTTATTTTTTGGAACTTTCAAGTGATTAAAGGTAGTATTTTCAGAGTTTGATTAGATCCAATTATTTAATTCATTATTAATAAATGGACCACAATTCCTCCCTTTATTTTATAGCCGTAATTATGATAGATTTAAATAAAAGGCACCTACCTACCCCACCCCACTCCCACCCCCGCCAGGACACTCACACTCGCACGCAGTGCCATAATTATGAAGTGATTTTAAAGACCTTTCACTCCTCTTTGACCCTTCTTCTCTCTCTGTCTTCCTCTTCACAACCAACAAACTGACATACACATATATACATATACATATATACAACTCTGCCTAAACTTTATACACAGACAGTTCAAATATGGCCAAGATCTGCAACTTCTTCTTCATCTTCACTTTCTTCATTCTATCTTCTGAATCTGAAGCTCAAATTGACCCTTCCGACTTGGCTGCTCTGCGCCTCATCAAGAATTCACTCACCGACGTCCCATCCGCCGCCCGCTTCTTCTCCACCTGGAACTTCTCCGCCGCCGCCGACCCATGCGCCTCCTTCGCCGGCGTTACCTGCTCCGCCTCGCGTGTCACAATTCTGTCCCTCGGAACGGGGATGGCCGACTCGCCGGGACTCGCCGGAACTCTCTCGCCGGCTGTTGCCCAGCTGACGGAGCTCACCCAGTTAATTCTCTTCGCCGGCATTGTCACCGGCCCCATTCCGGCGCAGCTCGGTTCGCTTCAGAGCCTCCGAGTCATCGCCCTCACCAGCAACCGCCTGACCGGAGAAATTCCGGCCTCAATTTTCCGGCTCCAGAATTTGCACACCCTCGACCTCAGCCGCAACCAGCTCGCCGGAAATCTCCCGCCGGCGATTGACGCCTTGCCCCGCCTCAAAGTCCTTGTCCTTGCCTCCAACCGCCTCTCCGGTCAAATGCCCCGCCACTTCCCGGAAAATCTCCTCCACCTCGATGTCGGCGGCAACTTACTGTCGGGAACCCTGCCGCCGCAGATGCCGGCGGCGCTCCGATACCTCTCCGCCGGGAACAATCTGATGTCGGGGGAACTCAACGGTATGGAATCCCTAACCTCGCTGGCCTACCTGGACCTGAGCATGAACAAATTCAGCGGGCCCATTCCCGGAGCTCTGATCCGCCCCGCGCTGACGTCACTTTTCCTCCAACGGAACAATTTGTCAGGCCGGGTCCCGCAGTCCCAGCCCTGGCCGGACTCGGTGGCGGGGTCCACCGTGGACCTCAGCCACAACTCCCTGACAGGGGAGCTCAGCGCCGCCCTGATCGCGGCGGAGTCGCTGTTCCTGAACAACAACCTCCTCACCGGCGGCGTTCCCGAGGAGTACGTTGCCAGCGTCCAGAGGGGCACCATGAAGACGCTCTACCTCCAGCATAATTACATCACGGGATTCCCGATCCGGGTCGGGTCCGCCCTGCCGGACACCGCCGCCGTCTGCGTCTCCTACAATTGCATGGACGCGCCGCCGCTGGGGCTGTCGGCGTGCCCCGCCAGCGCCGGCGACCAGATCTCCCGGCCGGCGTATCAGTGCTCTGGATTTCACAATTAACGACCGTACAGATTTTAATTAATTTCTTCACGTCCATTGGCTGCTGCTGCTGTTTAATTTTGTCCACACTCCCACAATACACTCACACTATACTGTATGTATCTATACACTTATAAATTATTTTTTTTTATATAATTAATTAATTAATTTTTATATGTGTGATTGGATCAGTCCGATTGTGCCGTTACTTAATTTCCATACAACACGGGACCTTCACTTTAATAGTCGCTACGTTCGTAGAAACACGCTTTTGGGCTAGACAAGTGAGATGTAGACTTAAAGTCGCTAGTCCATAGCATTGAATAATCGCATTTACTAATTTGGTGATCTTGAAAGAACGTGGTTGCTTACCGTTGTGTTTGGCTTCGGAGTCGACATTATTAAGACTATAGTCCAAATTGGCTTAGAGCTTTACAGGTGTAATTTTTGTCTTTTTATTTCATTATCATATGGGCTGGTCAATAAATAAAAGATACTCCCAGGATGTAGCAGGACTGATGATAGTAAAAATTTAAATTAAAAAATATTTTTTTCTGTAATATTTAAAAAGATAGATTTTTTATACTAAATAATTTTAACAATACTATTAAAATAGTATTCAACAGTAAATTATGTATATAAACAATGAAAAAGATTGAAAGAAGATGAAAGAAATCACAACCAAATAAGCCCTTATGTTCTTGAATGTACATGCTCCAACCTTCCTTTCCAATTTTTCTTACTTTCCCATATTTTCCCCTTTGTAAATTAAAAATATTTCTTTGGTTTTAATTTTTAATAAAAATATATATATATTTTTTTTTGTAGCATCGATGGATAGTGTTTTCAGGAAATTAGATGACAATAAATAAAATTAAATTTTGCAAAGTAATTTATGGTTGCATATTAAATATACGAAAGAAATGGTTAATTTTAAGTGCATGTAGACTTTAGCGCTCAACAAAATTGGCGGCAACAATAAATCATATCACTTAAGTTCACAATATATTACTCCCCTCCGTCCCACATCCACGTTGCCGTTTCCGTCCGTCCCACATATCATGTCATTTTTCTTTTTTGGAAAATGATTATACACTTTAATCTATTTTAAACTTTTTAATTTTATTTTTTTTAAATTTTAATTAAACTAATAAGTTATTTTAATCTTAATTTATAATTATTTATATTATAAAATAATTATTTTCACTAATACATTCTTAATTATTTATTAATTATACTCCTCATAAAATACCGTGTGTACAGTGTAACAGACACGGTATGTGGGACGGTGGGACGGGGGAGTAACTGATTTGGGTGAATCAACTTGAGATGTATTGATGATCAGCCCAACTTGTTCAAAATCAATTTTTTTTTTTTTTTTTTTTTTTTGAATAGTTACATTTATTTTCATTTACTGATTAATTATAATTTATTCATCAAAAAATACCTAAACACAAAAATAAATGCGAAGTAATACTATTGTAGAGGAATTAAAGGTGGTGGTTTGAAAATACAACCAAACACCGATTATTTAAACACATAATAAATCCAATTAGAACTATACTCGGTTAGATCCAAAATTTGAAATTTGAAACAAAATTGACATAAATTATTAAGAGTATAAAAAAAGTATAGTATGCATAATTTATTGAAAGAATAAATTTGTATCATAATTCAAACCAAACATTGATTTAAATTTTCTTCATTAAATTTTGCATTAGTACACATTAAAACTACCGTCGCTATCTACTAATAAATTATAATTTGAAATATTATAAGTAATAATAACAAAAAAAAAAAAAAACAATGATGATGATGATGATATTAATGAAGCCACGCACATGCACGTGCTTCGGATGCCATCTGCGGGTCCCACTTTTGAATACATAATAGTTACCTTATTTATTTATTTATTTATTATTATTATTATTATTATTATTTGGTCTTGTCTTCCAAGTAAGGCCATATGATGATGATAAGTTATTTCTTATTATGAGTATTGTCAAACTAAATATTCATTATGTATGAAAATGATAGAACAAAAATAATTACATAAAATAATAATAATAATAATATATTTGAAAGAAAAAGATAGTAACATTGCTTCAAATTTTACGAGGCACATTACAAAAAATTATCAATTTTTCGTTCCTAAATTCACTTTTTCTGTTACTAACAATATTAGAGACGGAATTAAAGATGAAATTAGTTTAGCTACATGAACTTTAAAAACGAAATTCCGTTACAAATATATTATTTTTTTTTTTAATGGCAAGGAATTGAATATAAAACCAATCCCGACCAAATAAATAATAATACTTCCAAAATGTATTCAGGTCACATGGCTTCGGCCCCATTGCCTATCATTTTTCTTTTTTTTTTACTTAAATTTGAGTATGAATTTACTAGAGTAATCAAATTCATGGACTAAGAGAACAATAAAAAACAACGACAAATGTACTTTTTCCTAATATATTAATATAAAAAAGAAATTTAATTTGATGATGTTTAAATTAAAAGAAAATATAATAATAGTAAATAGTATAAAATCATAACTTAACCTACAAAATCAGCGCCCTACACTTTATATAAATTAATTAATGTCCATCAATAATGTCTTGACATATTTTAGAAATTTTGGAAAAGAGTAAAAAAAATTAATATTTGATATTATTATTTAAAAATATTTTTATAAATAAGTAGGGTCAAAATTAATTTTTAACTGTACCTAAACATAATCTATATATCTAAACATTTTTAATTTCCAAAGTATTAAAATTAATTGCAACTTCTTTAGTTAAATTTGCATCTTACATTTTTGCCCATACATGCTCACAATTTATTCTGATACCATTATGTATTTTTATCCTATAATTATTTACTGAATATACACCATGTAATTATTTACCCAACAATATAATAAGCAGCAAAAATAAATAAATAAATAAATTGTGAGAGTAGGACAAATACACGAAAACAACAAAACATCATCACAACTAATAATTAATACAGTTTCAGCCATTATTCACAACCATTCTTTTTCCTAATTTACCCTCCAACGGCTACTTTTCTTCCCTCCATATAAAAACTCCACTACGAATCTCTTCCTCCAATCCTCCGACAAAATCAATTCCCCTTTCCCCAAACAATGTCTAAACTCGCCGCCGCCTCGCCGCCGCTGGTGACGGTGGTGGAGTATCTGGAATCCGCCATGTCCAGAGACCTCCTCTGCAAGTTCCCCGACAACTCTGCCTTCGATTTCGACTACACCCAGAGCTCCATCTGGTCGCCGCTTCTTCCCCGGCCGCACAATCCCCACGGCGGCCTTCAGGTCTCCAAAAGGCTGTCGTTCAACGGCGGCGCCGACGGGTTTCTGGAGAATACCAAGAAAATGGCCGCCGGAATCAAGAGGAAATTCGCCGACGCTATGCTTAATGTCAATGTCGGCGGCGGATGCACCAGAATGAAGAAGAAGATCAGGAGGAAGAAGACGAAGAGGAACTCCATTGGATTTTCTCCAAAGGTAATAATAATAATTATTATTATTATAATAATCATAATAATAATGAAATGAATGTTGATTTATTTTGATCAGAGTCGGGCATGGGACAAAGTGATGGAGGCAGCTGCTAATTATTTCAAGAAGAAGGAGAGCAGTAACGGTCACCTGAGTGACACGTGGCAGTTTGTGAATTAATAATAATAATAATAACAATAATAATAGTAATGTAGGATTCGATTTCATCTGATCTGATAATTTTGTTTAGCGACGGATCGTAAAACGCGACGGGCATAATAGTTTGCTTGCACCTTCTAGAAGATGTTCAATTGATATTATGAATGAGTTGGGCTTTATATTTAAAGCCTTTGTTGTAGGCCCACTTTCAATTTTATTTACTATTTATTATGTGTAGTTGACTACGGCTCTGTACAGAGAGTGCTCTTTCGTGGATTTTATAGAAAAGTTTTACTATTTAACTTTTTTATTTTTTTTAAATATAAAATTAAATATTTTTTTATATTATATTATAAACTTATTTTACATTTAAAATATTACGTCATCAAATCGGAGTTTCATTTCGAACTAGTTTATTAAAAAATAATAACATTATAAATAAGATGAGATTAAATGATATATTTAGCGGATGATATTAATTGTTCAAACCGACGGTTTGAAGGTACCTTTGTGTAAATTTATAAATATATGAACCTATCATCACCACATGCTATGGTTTGTTTGGGTTGAAAATGGAAATTTTAATTTTATTAAAACAAAATTATATGTAATAGCATTATTATATTTTACATTGTAAACAACCTAACAGTGTATATTTTAAGGATATAATGTAAATTTCCAAACAAATAAACTTATAAGTAAGTCATTTGCATTTTAATAGGTAATTTCATTTGAATTGTAATCAGAATGATTCGGTGGCTTGGGTGAATTTATGAACTTAAAAACTAAAAAAAAAAATTATTACGATATTTTTATTAAAAAATAATATTATTTGATTAATAATGTCATATTTTTAAAAATATATTTATGTATAAATAGAATTTTACTATTTTTATCTTTGAAGTTATAAAAAGTAACTACTATTAATGTATCTCATATCTCAATTTTAAATACTTATCTGTTTTTTTTCCTAATTTTTCTTTTAAATTTTATTATTAATTTTTTTATTTTTTATTTTTTTATATTTTTTAAATATCACATTAAAAATTTGAAAAATGGTAACTCCTTGAAATCGAGGGACGAGATCGTCAGCTCCATTATTACCTGCCCCACTCAACCCCATGTAATGAATTATATACCATTATATATATTTTATATACATACTGTATATACTTTCTGATCCATTTTATAATAATATTTTAAGCAAAAGTTAAAATATTTTAAAATTAATAAATGATTATTTTAAAAAAAGTTAAAAAAATATATTTTGAAGTCGAACAAAAGAAAATAATAAAAAATACTTTTGAAATAAAATAAAAAAATGATATTTTTTATGATGTGAAAATCCGCAGTCGCTATTCAAAAGTGCGCGCACTGAGTAAATCCTAAACCCCCAGCGTCGAAGGTTTGAACCAATGACCTCAAGGTCACAAATCCAACTCCTATACTATCGAGCCATCCCTTACGAAAAATGGAGCCGACAGAAATGGGAGTCGACCATCTCAACTCGTTTTACTCCTTTTTATGTTTAATTTTTTTAAAAAAATATTATATAGTTTCATTATTCGTAGTAAAATGTATTAATATTATCTACAAAACAAGACAAAAATACAATTAATTAACTTGAATAGAAAACTAGAAAAATTTACTAGTGGGCAATAGTATATATATATAATACTATATATAAAACATGGAAAAGATGCACAGCTGTTCTTCCTGCTAATTGTTTATGCAAAGTCCTCATCACTATCGTTCTTCATTTTCTTCTTCATCTTCTTCATCTCATCTTCTTCTTTCCGCTGCTGCAATGGGCGGTAGTGAGTCGGAATCGAAATCGGAATCGGAGTCGGAATCATGTAGAGAGGTAGAGCTAGTTTTGATTCCGTGGCCGGTGATGGGGCACATGCAAATCGTGGAGTTGGCCAAGCTCATCATCCACCATCAAAAGCTCGCCCTTCACCCTCCAGGCAACTAACTGATTATTTTTATACTTATATGCTGCTATTTAATTTAATTTAATTTGATTTTATATTGTTCTGTTCTTAGTTAAGCGTTTTTTTGGGATGGTGGGAGATCTGATCTGATCTGTGCGTAAGGAAATTAATTGGTCAAACTTTGTGCCATTTTGCTCAACCATAGTGTTAAGAAATTTTTAACCCTTCTAAGGTCATTATATCCTATGTATGTTTATAATTTACAGTCTCACTGTGGCGAGTCGTAAAAATTACTGATCGCCTTGTCGTCGCATAATTATTTATAAGATCGATTCATAAGAACCAATTAAAATCAGCCACGTCAACACCAGACAAAATCACCGTACATTCCGCTGCTTTAGGATAAGATCTTGAGCCGCTACATACTTATGGTATTGAATTTACTAAATAAGTATATGAATATACATACATATGGCATTGGATTTACTGAGTAAAAATAGGATTTGTTTATTTTGGATGTGTTTTTTATTTTTTTTTTCAAATTTTATCGTATATATTATTTTAATATCAAGTTTCGTACCAATTTTTTTTTAAAACTTATCAAAAGAAATATGGTAAAATTTTAGTTTGAGTTTGATATTAAAATAATATTTGATTAAATATTTTATGAGAAAAAAATATATATTTTTTTCGAAAAACGCAGAATCCATATAGTAAAGTTTAGAAAATTTTGGGTAAAGAAACATAGTCCATTAAAATGGAACTAACAAAAAAGGAAATTGAGACAACTGAGATGAGATAGAAAAATATATTTTCAATAGTACATTTGGATAAAATTTCAAATTTCATTTAAATTAATTACTTTTTAATTAGAGTGTGTTTCTTTTGATCGAGTTTAAGAGAAATTGATTTGAATTTTGTATTAAAATTATGTTTGATAAAATATTTTATGAAAAAAAAAATTTCTTTTTTTTTTTAAAATAAACGTAGAGTTTAAATATTAAAATTTGAAAAATTTTGATATAAGAAGCATACAAATTAATAATAATATTAATATTTTTGAAAAATCTCAATTAATACCAATTAATTTAGTTATTAGTAATAACTCTAAATCATATTTAGAGAGGGGTTTTCGGAAATTTAAAAATTTAGAAAAATTAAAAATTAGTATTTAATTTATATTTTGTAAAAAAAAATTAAATTGTATATGTGATTTTTTTAAAAAATAAATAAGAAATCAGTGAAAATGTGTTTCGCACATATTTTTTTTAAATCTCAATTAATTTATTTATTCGATCCAATGTAGTGTCAACAATTATAATTTAATTACTTAATTATTTCGAAAAATTACAAATTAAATTTTCTATAGATTATTTTAACGATTTGTTCAAAAACATATAGGAACAACCATTTCAGTGACAGTTCTGCTGATGAAGCTTCCGGCCGACATCGACACCGTCAGCGGCTCCTTCATCGACTCCCTCTCCGCCGCCTCCGCCGTGCCGGGCCTCAACTTCTTCCAGCTACCGCCCACCGACCCGACCCCCGAATGGAGCTCCAGGACCCGCGGATTCTTCATCCACAGCCTCGTTCTCAGTCAAAGATCAAACGTCGCCGATTTCCTCCGCACACGGCGCCCCACCATCCTCGCCGTCGTCACCGACATGCTCTGCACCTCCATGATCGACGTCGCCGCCGAACTCGGACTCCCATCCTACGTCTTCTTCACTTCCCCTGCCAGTTTCCTCGGCGCCATGCTCCACTGCCAGTACCTCCACGACGAACAGAACCAGGACGTCGCCGCCTGGGGGACCTCCGGCGCCGACGTGTCCATCCCTACCTTCCGAAACCCCGTCCCGGTGGCCGTCCTGCCGGCGGTCCTCCTGGACAAGGAACAATGGCTCCAAAGGTTCCTTCACTATTCCCGAGGTTTAAGAAAAGCCCGAGGCATAATAATCAACACATTTCTTGAATTAGAGACGTACGCCCTCAATTCGTTCACCCTCGCCGGCGCCGGCAAGGTCCCGCCGGTGTACCCGATCGGCCCGATCATCAATCGCAGCTTCCACAACGAAGGTCCGTCGGAAGCCCTCCAATGGCTGGACGCCCAATCATCAAGCTCCGTCGTATTCCTATGCTTCGGGAGCCAAGGGAGCATAACGGAGGACCAAATCAGGGAATTGGCAATCGGAATCGAGGCGAGCGGCGCCGGATTTCTGTGGTCTCTCCGGCGGCAATCGGCGGACAGCGAAGCGGCAGCCTTTCCGACGGAATACGGCGGCGGGTTCGAGGAGGTCCTGCCGGAGGGGTTTCTTCAGAGGACAGAGGGGAGGGGGAGAGTGGTCGGGTGGGTCCCGCAGATGGAGGTTCTGTCGCATCCGGCGGTGGCGGGGTTTGTGTCGCACTGCGGGTGGAATTCGGTGGTGGAGAGCCTCTGGTGCGGCGTGGCGGTGGCGGCGTGGCCGCTGCACGCGGAGCAGCATATGAATGCGTTTCAGGTGGTGAGGGAGCTGGGGCTGGCGGTGGAGCTGACGCTTACAGGGCATGAGAGGGGCGGCGAGGTGGTGGGGAGGGAGAGAATCGAGAAGGGGATCAGAGAATTAATGGATGAAGGTAGCAGTGAGAGGAAGAAGAGAGTGAAGGAGATGAAGGAGAAGAGCAGGAGAAGTGTGGAGGAAGGAGGATCTTCTTACATATCATTTCAGAAACTCATCCAAGATTTCATAGCTCACCATGATTGACGGGCTGGGCTATCTTCATTGTGTCCATCTTTGGCCACATTTTTTTGTTTTAATAAAAATGTAATTTTGTTGTTTTTAATGAAAAATATATTCATTTATATATAAAAAAAAAAAAAAAAAATTAATCACAACTCACATGTGATTAGGCCGTGGGTAAAAAAAAAATCCTTAACATCATTTAGAATTATTACTCACTTCATAGTAGCCTATGCATTATTTGTGAACATTGTGGCAGTTGGTTGTTGGAATATACTATATTTTATCACATTCTTTTGTTTTTTTTTAAAAATGTTCTTTGGATTCATGTCTACCCTTGTATTCATTATCTATGTTGGCACATTTCAACAATAACATCGACTACTACTACTACAAAAGAGAGAAGACAAAACCAAGAAAGCAAAGCAACCAATCTCATCAAGTACTGGATCGGATCTATTTCCTGCCAGTGCCAATACAAATTATAAAACATTATATTCTCATAGCATAAATAATGGGTTGGTTGGTTGGTTTGTATTTTAAATTTAAATAATTTCAATAAAAAATACAATATCTTTTAACAGAACATTATATCAATCATAACCAAACAAACCCAAAAACAAAATATTTGTAGCTCCAAAGCTTAGGGTAGTAGTCTAACAAGTGAATATACAAATTATACCCTTATATGTAAGTGTCTCGTACACACTGCACTTTATTTAAACTTAAGGTTATTTATCCCATTAATAATAATAATAATAATAATAATAATGGAGAATTTCCATCTTATTGAAAAAATCCATAAGTACTTATTAGTAATAAAAAGATAAGGGTAGCCAAACTAGTGAACATAATTGATCGAAGTGTGAATATAGTATATATATATATATATATAAATGAAAAAAATAAAAATTAAGGCAGAATATACAAACAACCAAATTAAGAAAAGTCAGCACCATTAATTCTTCTTCATGACTGCAGGAAAGTATCGAGATCCCACTCCTCGTCGCCGGAGGTGGATACGGCGGGGGCCGTGCCGCCACCTCCGCCGCCGTGCATGCTATCCATCATGGCCATGTGTTGCTGCAATTGGTGCGCAAACTCCTCATTCCGGAACATCGCCGTCGGGTCCGCCGCCGGGACGGTGGCAGAGGTTGGTTGCGGCCGGGGGAGATGAAGGCCGGGAGCGGCGGGGCCGCCGGTGAAGTGTTGCACCATGGCTCGGAAGTTGGTGGTGTCGGTGTTGAGTAGGGTCGTCGGAGTGCGCCGTGAAGCCCGAGCCCGCCTCCGGACGGGCCTGGATATGCGGCCGTGAATAGGCCTCAGGGGACTGGCAGCGGCGGCGGCGGCGGCGGTTGCGGTGATGGTGGCGGCGGTGGTGGTGGAGGAAATTGTTGAGATTGGGGCTTCGATTTGGTTAATATAATTTGGGAAATTAGGTTGCAATTGATGATGATGATATAGTAATGGGATCCAATTATTTGTAGTAGCAGTAGTAGGAGTACTTGACATGGGCTCAGTGATGGACATGGCAGACACACCAATCAAATTTTTTAACTTTTAAGGTTGTCTTCTGTCTCAGGGATCAAAAAGTGAATCATAGAAGAAGAAGAAAGAAGAAGGGAATGAATATTACAGCTTTCAAATACTTAAATATGAGGAGAGGGCAGAGGAGGACATGCATACTAGTCTCGGCCCTTGGAGAAAATATTTTTGTTTGGGGGGAGTTCATTTTTGAATAATAAAAATTGAATTTGAGTAGTGATATAAAAATAGATTTTGTTTTGAAATATATTTTTAGTATAATATAAAAATAAAAAATAATTATTTAATTAAATACTTTTGAAAAAAAAAAAATTAAATATCAAAAATTTTATAAGAAATCACAAAATAGTACATATAGTCCCTCCGCCCCAAAACACAAGATTATCATTTCTTAGTTTTGTAATTGTACTACCTACCTAACATAATAAATAGTATTCCAACTTACACTAGTACACAAGATTATCATTTTTGAAGCACTGAATATTTGAACTCATGACCTTAGGTCACAAGTACATCCCTAAATCATTGAGTCATTCATTTACGATTATTTTTAGTACTCCCTCCGTCCCGAAACTAAGTATTCATTTGCTTTTTACACGTAATTTTAGAAATATGAGTATTATATTGGGATACAGTAGGAATAAAGTAGAAATGACTAAAATAACCTTATTAGTATATGATATAAATGTAATGGCATTTGTGTAATATATTGTAAGTTGTAAGGGTATTTGTAATAGTAGGTAGATAGTACAGTTACTTAAAAAAAGAAATGGATACTTTGTTATGGGATGGACTAAAATGGAAAAATAGATATTTTGTTATGGGACGGAGGGAGTATAATTTTTAATTAAAAAATAATATTCTTTTACAAAATATTATTTAGGGTAAACTGTTTTTTTAGTCTCATAATTGGACCTCTTATCATTTTAGTCCTGTAACTGGACCCCCTTATCATTTTAGTACCGTAAGTGGAGTCTGTCGCAAACTAGTCCCATAAGTGAAAAATTTTCGCTATTTTAGTCCTCCGGAGATGCCTGCGTGGCTCGCCGGAGGTGACGTGTTCCCAGGTATCGCTGACCTGGCGGACACTTGAATTTTTTATTTTTTATTTTTTATTTATTTAATTTTTTTTAAAACTTATTTTTAATTTTATTTTTATTTTTTTATTTGGTCCAATTAAAAAAAAGTAAAAAAAAAATGAAAAAAAAAAAATAATAAATCCACGTGTCCGCCAGGTGTCGCTGACCTGGCGGGACACCTGGCGGACACGTCACCTCCGGCAAGCCACGCAGGCGTCTCCGACACCGGAGGACTAAAACAACGAAAATTTTTTACTTATGAGACTAGTTTGCGACATACTCCACTTACGCAATTAAAATGATAAAGGGTCCACGGAAAAAAAAAAACAATTTACCCTATTATTTAAATAAAAATTTAAACGCATGCCAAAACAGAACGGCAAAACCAAGCAAATCCTATAAAGCTTTGGTTTGTTTTTGCTTTAGTTTTTATTATTCTCAATATAAATGTCCACGCACTTCTTAATTTATTAAAATATATATATATATATTTAATTTTACAAAAATCATATTAAATTAGTATTACATAAACACAAAACAAAACACCAACCCAATCACACTTTGGTTCAGCTCTGTTTCAAAATTTACTATTTTATAAATTATTTTTTCTCACTAATAATAGAATTTCTAAAAATTTATTTATCATTTAAAAGCTTATATATAAAACTTAATCTATATTCAAAATATACTATACACGTGTTTATATTACATTAAAAATCTAAGTCTTTATTTAATTAAAACTATTCAAAATCTTAAAACATACTGTAAGATAATTTTAGATATAAATATAGTTATCAATATAATAGATTGTTTATTTTAATCATTTACAATACAAGATCATAAGTTAGTTTATTTAGTTGTGGGTTAAAATTAATTTGAGATTTGAATGCTATTTAATTTTTTTTTTTAAATAGTATTTTAACGTGATATCCGGTTAGATAAAAATACTATATTTTTATTGAAAAATATATGATGAGTAGAATTGGTTTTAATTTGAAATACTGGCTTTGTTCTTTCTATTTTATTTTATTTTTCTTTTTTGACATTTTTTTTTTAAAAAAAATAATACACTACATACATTAGTTATTTTTATATTCTATTTTCTATACTTCACCTAACTAAAAATTTCTTTGCCATCGATTTTACAAAACAAACGAGCTAAAAAAACAGTAACATTATATTGAAATATAATAACAATATATCTTAAATAAGAAATGAGTCAAAGTAGGAAAAGTCTGTTCAACGGTAGTGGGTCAAAGAAACGACTTTTATTACATATAAATATATATATATATATATATTAAAAAGTCGTCACAAATGGCTAAGGAGTGTGAGGTGAGTAGTGGTCACGTGAGGTTGAATTTCGTGGGGCTTCTCGAACAAAGGCTACGTGGAAAATTCTTCATTATTCCATTAACACAAATAATATAATACATTATTGCTTGTTTTTGTGATTAATAACGCTACCTTTGTTATTAAAATTGTTGGATATATTAATATATTTAATAAGTAAAGATATTTGGGAGATATATATATATATACACACACATGTAACACTATCATGCATACGTCAACAATGACCTAATTGCTTGTATATATACGTTCAAATTTATTATTATTATTATTATTTTTAATATAAAATATTATAAAAAAAATCGCAAACTTCTTCTCACTCACACAAATTTTCCACACCAAAAATCGTACGGAAATCAAAACTAGCAAGCCGGACATTTACAATATGATTAATTAAATATATAACTATTCAATAAAATTTTCAATAGGATTCAACATGTTTATACCATGATTTAATACTTGAGTACCTTTTCATCTATATATGGTTCAATATATTTTGTAGATAAATCTAAAAAATTTTAAAAGATGAATAAATTATAGGGTGAACTAATGACCGTTAGATTATGAGTTCTGCATAGTATTAAGGTTTATCCTGCGGATTCCCAGCGTTAAGAAAAAAAATAAAATAAAATAAAGAACACTTCATTGGACATAATTTGTCTACTAGGTTTACTTTTATTAAGAATTTCTACTTGGTATAATTTTAATATTTATTTGCTCTGTTGGCAATAGTTTGTAATATAAAAAGTATGACTTATTTTATCGAATTTAATTTGCAAGTATTAGATTTGGTCGAAAATTTACTAATTCTTTCTCTATCCTCAATGCTCAAAATGTCGTTATCAAGTCTATGCTAGAAATGACCTGAGTGCTATTGTTACTATTAGTAGCACTTATTTAAGTTTATATTCATTTATTATATTCTCATTATTAATGAGGTTATAATAAAATCTACACACTCTTTGTTGACTTGCCAAGACTTAAAGATGATGACTGATTGACTTAGCTATCGAAGAATCTGGGAAAATTTCCAATATTGCAGTTCACTAATTTGGAAACAAACACTTGATAGTTCTGGAATCACAAGTAATAATAGGAAATTAAGATACATATACACATATAATTGAGGATATTGGTCGTCGTGTAGAAGATCTTTAAAAAAAATAAAATTGAACCAAATCATACTCTGTGATTATAAGTCGTGTCAAGATGGAGATTGGCAGAGATTGCTCCTAAATAATTCTAAGTTTTACTATTGACCTTTAGACGTTCATAGATGATATACACACATATTTACTCACGCATTTTACGGAAATTGAACATCTAACTTCAAACATGTCAAAGAGTGTTCTAACTTCTTGAGCAACATTTTCAGTCTCACAAATCCTCAATAAACGTAAGGGATCTTAAATTACTTCTTATGTATATCTCTAATTTTAATAACTTTAATTCAAGACAATATCATCAAGACTACAAAACCAACCCGAGTTCAAATACTCAAATTGAATAGAAAGAAATCTACTTGATCGAGATCTTGGATTCGAGACTGTAATCGGAAAAATGTTTCTTGAGAGAAAACTGTATGAATACCTCAATAGTACCAAAAAACACCATTAAAACTATACCTTAATCTCACTATTACATACACTAAAGTAAAAAAGCAATTATAAGAACAAGGTTCACTGCCAAAACATGCATATTTACTTGGATGGAAACACACCAATTTTTACTCCTAGCGAAAGGCTCGTAAAAAATTCTCTAGGAATGGCCAATGGTCTTCGCCAACATATAGCTTGAAAAACTTGAAAACGATGATGGTTTTATACTACAAATGTCACGTTAATTTGGGGAATTCATAACTGTGCACTACTTATAGATTAAGCAGCACCATAATTTGTTCATATTTTTCAAAACTATTAACCTGGACAGTTAACCTGCTAGAGGAAAACTTAATTAATTTAATTACAGGTGAAGAAAGGTCAAAAACTGCACACAAAAGCACTTGCAATTTGAAATCGACAGCAAAAGGATGGTGCATCAGCTCTACAGAAATTATCTGCAGAATCCTAGGAACAGTTGAAGGTTTTACCTTCATTAACATCTGCTACTGTGCTACATGGTCAGTCAAATTGTTGAACTCCTCGAGCATGTCTGGCAGCGCCGTGCAATTGCGTAGGCCTAACATTATGCTCGTCCTGAAATTGATGCAGAAAAGGGAGTTAAACAGATGGGATGAGCTCATACATGATTAGTCTACTCCAACACCTAGGCATAAAAACCGACCTGCATGCCAAATGTGAAAGTGGATTGTCTAAAGTCGATATGCCCCTGTGCAAGCGAATAGATAGCAGGGAAATTATCGTTAGATATTATTCTAAAATGCTCAAAACTAAAACATTATTAACTTGTGGTGTAATAAAGCTATAATACCAATCCAGGCATGCTTTGTTGAGCCCCGTAAAAGCCATCATGGCCGGAAGTAATTGAGTTCAAATGTCCCTAGAATATAGCCACAAATCATATAATATCCATTATCTCACTTCACAAATAAACAAAATAAAGTAAATAGGCATGCATACCAGCCCCTGCATTGCCTGTTGGCTGACATAGTAAGCATCGTGTGGTGGTTCCATCAGATTTAACTGAATCAATAAGGAGAGGTGAATTAAACTTCTTTAGGCCCTCTTTGAGATCTTATTTTTGTTCTTTATATTCAGAATGTTTTATTATTAATGACAAAAACTTTGCAATATCATACGGTGCTGGTCACAACAATCATACCACTCCATGTACATGTTGCTGAGACCCGTAGTATCCATTTAGGGCAATTCCTTCCGAGCTTAGGTTGTCCTATTAAGGGAAAACACAGGTAATCAATATCTTCTAGTACATATTAAATCATTTCAAACAAGATCGGAACATATCGAAAATCTCAAACCATATAATAAAATTTGTGCAAGATGTTAGAAAACCAATCATCGATCAACACACAAACTTGATGATTGATATTACTGCTTACCATCTGTTGTAAATTGCCTTGAGTCTCAACCATAACTACATCTGGTTCTTGTGGGAACTGAGATAGAGTATTTTCTTTTGATAAATATCTTACATTGCCAAAGGTGGATATGTTTGACACAGAAACTGAAAAGGAATAAGATGTATTCTACCTTTCTTTTCTTACTAGTAGTCTTCTTCTTTATTGTTTTGGTAGCCTGGATGGACTGGCTGCCTTCTTCGGCGCACCGAAGTCCAACCGAATTATTACTACATTCTACAGTAGTTCTGTTATTGACATTGACACAGTTTCTCAGAGCATCAACCAAAGCACGACAAGCAACATTATAATTTGCCTCACATAGAGAACCCTCTTCACCCAACTCAATAGCTCGCTTGCATAGATCATTGTATCGTTGCACCCTAGATGGGACTTTTTCTGTCTCCTCTGGAACAGCTTGCTTGTTTTTTGCATCTTTTGTCCACCTCTTAAGAATGTATCGAGATGAAATCCTTGTAAGGCCACATATTTGAAGAACAATCATCGAATGTCGGCATAGAAAACCTTTGTATTCAAACATTAGACAAGAGCAAGAAACCTCTAACTTTGTCTCATTCCATGTGACCACAAAATTCTCATTTTTGGCACAGTCGTCCACTCTAAAATAAACAACACCTCCAATCTCTTTCTCCTTCTTGGGATGGCATCCCACCACACCCAAAACTTCAACTTGAAACTTTCTAAATATTGCATGTGTATAAATTGTTGACATCTGCTTTTCCCATGGGGAAGGTGACTTTAGTGCGGGCTGTTTGTGCCAGGTGTCAAAATCTGCTATATCTTCTTCTTCATATTTGTTTTGAAGCATTGCCCCATATTGTCTCATAAACTCTTTCAGACTGACTTTTTTGTGAAAATATTTGTCAAAGAAAGAGTTCACACTTTCAGATCGCAGATTTGTAGAGAGCCCACCCAAAAAGGTGTCCCTCATGAATAAGGGAACCCACTTTTTATAATCCACATATAAAGAATGAACCCATTCATTTTCTTGTAGCTCGAATCTGCTCACCATCTTCCACCACCTCATGTCAAACTCTTCATCTGTCAATGACTTGAATATGCACTTGTTGAATTTTTTCATAAAGTTTCCATGTTGTTTGAGTACATGAGCAAGATATTCAGGTACCCTTTCTAATATATGCCAAAGAGCAAAGCAATGGCGTGAGAACGGAAAAACTTCTTCAATAGCCAGCTTCAACTGTTTATCCTGATCGCTAATAATAGTTTTTGGAGGTTGCCCGCCCATCGCTCTCAGCCATGTCTTCATCAGCCAAACATATGTTGGTTTAGATTCATCAGCTAATAATGCACATCCAAGCAACATAGGCTGAAAATGATGGTTTACCCCAATGAACAGACCAATAGGCATCTTATCATTGATTTTAAGGTAACTGGTATCGAAGAAGACAACATCACAAAAGCTGACATAATCCTTCCTGCTTTTGGCATCAACCCAGAGCAAGTTCCTCATCCGTTGTTCTTCATTCAAATCAATCGCATAAAAAAAAAAGGGATTATCTTTTTGAAACTGTACAAAATGTTCAAGCATGATTTGAGAATCCCCTTCTTCTAATGTCAAGTACCGACCTCTGTCAAACTGGTGGTCAAATTCATTCTTGCTGAGGCAGAAATTTGGACTCCCACCAGACTGTCTAGACATCTCAACATACATCTTCCTTGTCCGCTCGCTAACCGCGTGCAAAATATCTATATTATTCTTTTCAGCTAACTTTACATTCCTGTGTATGCGGAAATGGTATGCTAAGGCAGGCAAAAGCTCATGATTGTGCTCTTTTATGAACTCGTGGATATACCATTTCCCATCTCGTTTTCTCTTCACATGCATACTGGCCTTACAATCTGTCTTTTTCACACTCGGCCTCCTGCTACTACCACTCTCTGATTCCGGTGTTATCCCATACCGTGAACATGCAAACTTAGCATCGATAAATTCTTTGGTCTTCTTTGAGCGGCGGCTGTTTTTAATTGATGTGGTGAACCCCATGGACTTTGCATAATCCTGATAAAACGAGTAGGCTGCCTCATGTGAGTCAAATTCGATCCCACCACGCGGTTCAATGTTCTCACATTCAATCTCCACATTGTCTGCTTTGCAAAAACTATTTACCTGGCCATCCTTAGTTTGTATAGCATTGACAACATCAACCATATTTAGTCCCATCCCTTCCCCACCACCTTCCACATTGCCTTCAAAATCCACCATAGCCAGTACCAATTCCCCCAAGGTGTTTCCAAAGCCAATTACACCACAACTTGCTAGAAAATCAACTGCCCTGCAGGCACAACCGGATACACATAGAAGAAGAGCAATAAAAATAGCTGTATTTGGTACCAAAAGGATTAGATTACCAAAAAAAACAACTAGACAATAAATTTCAAAATACATATGCCACAAGATTAAACATAATTGCAGCTATCTGTAAACATATACTTCCACTATGCTAGCAACATATATTTCCGCAAAATCACAACACGGTTTCCAATTTCTCCGATCAGTAAACCCAGACAACACCCACCAGCTTCTCGAAGAAACAGAAATTCATGAAACAAATGCCCACACACACACATCATCATCTTGAAATATCAGCCAAAATTCCTAGGAGGAAACGAATCTAATTGAAGAGAATTAGAGCGTACCAGCTATACCCTAGAAACTGGGTTCGTGAAAGTCGTTACCTAGCAGCAACTTCGCTTCCACCAGTATATATCGTAGCAAATTTTCATGGCGTTCTTGTTTTGGGAATTCCAATTCAGATTAAACGAACTGCAGGCAGGTTGCAGCCAGTAAAAGGAGAGGATTTACCCCAAAGAAAAAGAAAAAGAAAAGAAAAATTAAAACTTAAAATTGTATATTTTGTAAGATAGGCCTTTATCTCATACAAACTTCGATTTATACCCCAGGATTTTGACTTCGGTTAATTCTCTTGATTTTATTATTATTATTATTATTATTATTATTATATTTTGTCCAATTCTTGTTCATATGTTTTTTTCTTTTAATTTTATATTTACTTATCACAACTTCTTAGTTATAGATTTTAGAGCAAAAATCATTTTTTGGTCTTATTCGATATTACAATTATCAATTTTGGTTTCATTTAAAAAAAAAAATAATTATCAATTTTGTCCAACTCAAATAAAAATTTATCAATTTTAGTTTCAAATCGGTTGACTGGGACTGAACACGGCTGTGTTGGCTTGAATACGACTGTGTTGAATGACTCAGAAGGTAATTGGGCGTCCCAGGCAGCCAACACGGCCGTGTTGATTACCCTGTACTTCTGAACAATGTCGTGTTCCTGCTCGTGTTCTTGACTGTGACCGTGTTCTGAACACAACCATATTCCTGTCATGTTCTTGCTCATGTTCTCACCACAGTCATGTTCCTATGTTCTCAACACATACATGTTCTAGACCATGTCCGGCCCATGTTCTTAACACACAGCCATGTTCACGATCATATTTTCAATATAATCATATTGTATGTCATATTTATTATTATTTTCATTTTTTGATTAAAATTATTTGATATAAATATATATATATTTATAATTCAACAAAAATATTTTTTTTATAATTATTTCATAATCTAAAAAATAATCAATATTTAATATTTTAAAAATATATAAAAATAATAATATATTAAAATATATTTTTAATAATCATTATATATTTTAAAAAATTTATAGTAAAAATTTTAAAATATTATTTTAAAATAATTATTTTTATAAATTATAAATTAAATTTATTATTCAAAATAATATTTTAAAATAAACTTCCTCCATCTCATGTTGGATGTTTAGATCACTATAACACCGAAAATTTATGATAAATATAATTAGTAGATAATTAAAAATATATTAGTGAAAATAATTATCATATAATATAAATAATTATAAATTAAGATTAAGATAACTAATTAAAATTTAAAAAAAATTAAATTAAAAAATAGTGTGTAATTATTATTTTTTTTAAAAAAAAAGAAAGTGACACGGGATGTGTGACAGACAGAAATTGCAATATGAATATAGTAAGTGGGACGGAGAGAATATTATTAAAAATATAATTAATATATTATTGTTTTTATATATTTTTATAATATTAAAAATTGATTAGTTTTATATTATGAAATAATTATAAAAAAATATTTTTGTTGAATTATAAATGTATATATTTATATCAAATAATTTTAACAAAAAGTGAATAATAATAAATATGACTTACAATATGATTATATTGAAAACATGGTCGTAAACATAGCTTAGAACATGACTGTGTTGAGAAGATGACTGTGTTGAGAAAATAGGCAGGAACATGGCTGTGTTAAGAACATGAGCAAAAAAACATGGAGTGAAATATGGTTGTATTCAGAACACTGCCAAGAACACGGGCAGGAACACGGCCTTATTCAGAAGTTCAAGGTAATCAACACGGCCGTGTTGGTTGGCTGCCTGGACGCACCAGTCACCTTCTGAGTCATTCAATACGGCCGTGTTCAAGCCAACACGGTCGTGTTCAGTCCCAATCAACCGATTTGAGACTAAAATTGATAAAATTTCATTTGAATGGGACCAAAATTGATAATGTTTTTTGAATGAGATTAAAATTGATAATTATGATATTGAATGAGACCAAAAATAATTTTTACTCTAAATTTTATATATTTTTTACTTATTAATTTATTTATCTTTAACAAAAAACTTAAAAAATAGCATCTCATATAGGCTCTTACATACGAATTTATTTATTTCCTATTTTGCCTTTTTTGTTGCATTACTTTAATAATTATGTTTGATATGTTTATTTTTAATTAAGTTATAATTTTAATTTTATAAATTTAAAACAATTGAAGTTATTAATACTTGTAAATAAAAATGATTTATTTGTTCACATATAAATTTATTAAAATTTAGACAAAATAAAAATACTAATATTATATTGAAAAGAGTTTTAGGAATATTAATATTATATTGGGTATGGTATGAATAAAATAGAAAATAGTATGATATAAAAATAATCACTTGTAAGTTGTAAAAATAATATTGTAAGTTATAAAGTATTTTTAATGTCAATAGAAAGTAGAGTTACAATTAAAAAAAATAAAAATTGAATAGATTATTAAGGATTTTATACATTAAAGTGGACATAAAATGTAGGGTAGATGTCTTTTCAGGGTGTTTTTGTTCGAGAGTTTGAATTTTGAATCGAAATAATAAAAATTTTAAATTTGAATAGTTGTACGATATAATATAAATAAATGTTCTGAGTATAAAATTAAATTTTAATATAATATAAAATTTAAAAATAAATATTTTTAATTTAAAATTTTCAAAAAAAATTAATAATAATAAAAATTTATGAAAATCCTTCCAACAAACACAACCTATGAGCAAGGATGAATGTAAAAAAAACTAACCATTCAAAAAACAAAAACAGGAAGCACACTATTGAATATGGACCATTAAAACTCAAATAAATATCCAGTGATGGAATTAAGGATGTACGAAAATAATAAAATGGCGTATTGACTTAATTCCCGAAAATTTATTATAATGACTAATGAAGCTGTGCATTTATTTATTGGCATAATAGTCCAACAACTCCATTAAAATTAAGTAAACTGCTTAATATAAAATTATAAATGTAATAACAGATGGATCCATAATTAAAAGTTTTCAATTACAAGAAAGGAATAATTGAAGACTACCCAACTAGGCCTTTAATTCCACTGACCTCCCAACTTCAATCATATATAAATATGTATGTATATATATTTAATGGTATATCTATATTTATTTATATTGCCAAAGACATAGGCACCTAAAACACGCACACACACCGCATTCTCAGCTCTCCGCCGTCGTTGTCCGCTGGCGTTTTTTGTACTAAGTTCGAGCCCGCATCCTCTCTCACTCCCAGTTAAAACGGACAAAAAAAATTGACCTCCCGGGATTTTGTATTTTCGGCTTGGACTGTAGTGGAGCTGGGTAAGGATATTCTGATTCTTGGAAGGTAGAGGAAGAAAAGGGTTTACCGTTGAAATTTGTAAATTTCGTTTGTGTTTTCGGTGAGATAGGTTCTGAAGCTGACGTCATTTTGAGTAAAGTTTGATTTCTGGGTTGGGTGAAACAGAGGAAGAAGAAATTGTTGAGATCGCACGAGCAGAGCAGGATTGTGTGTGTGGCAAATTAGGATTTTTTGGGGGAAGGCAGCTGCGGAGGGGAGAGAAGGTTTTGTGGTAAAGTGAGAAAGTGATGGTGAGGAAACATGGGTGGCAGCTGCCCGCGCACACCTTTCAGGTATTTGTTTGGGCTCATTTTCACCTTATTAGTGAGTCCTTTGAAAAAAATCAAATGGATTGTGACTTGGACTGTTATAATTTGTTTGTTGCGGACCTGCGATGGTTCAATTGTAGAGCTGAGCTTCTCACGATGATTGGGAAAGCTTGCTGAGAATAGGGTTGGGTGTTTTTTTAGATTTTTTGATCTCCCAATTTTCAGTTTCTGAAGGGCTTTGTTAGTTATTATGATTTAGTTGTTGCTGGTTGAATTTGGTGTATGAGTTTGTTGAATGGTAGTTTTAGGTGGGGATAATTGACCTAACAAATTATATATCATTTACATATATGGCACATTTCTTGATTCATGAGTATTTCATGAGGAGGTGAGTTTTCTAAGAAGTATGCACTTCTTTTTGGTTTAACGAATGCCAACGGTAAATGTAATGTAATATATGTATGGAAACAGGTTGAGTGTTTTATTTAACTAGAAAGTCAATGCAATTTTTCCTTCTCAAGAAGATTCTGTTTGGGGTTTGGAGGTGTCACTGGATTTAGGCTCGTCAGGTTTAGTTGCATTTAGTTGAAGGAAGTTATTTTGAGTGATGTTAGTCAAAAGGTGAATATTTAAGTGTGGTGGAGGTTTGCTTGGTTTGCAAGGTCTTGATAGCGTATAATTTTCATATTCAGTACATAAAAAATTTATGATGAATTATTACATTGGTACTTGGTAGTGTGTTTGTCTCTACAATGATAAGTATAATATCTTATTTATTGCTGTTGTTTTTTTTGTAAAAGTACTGTAGCATCACTTAGTGCATTTTGGATTATTATTGAGTATGGAATTGGATTCTTATCATGCAGGTTGTTGCAATCACAGTGTTCTGCTTGTTGGTGGTTGCATTTTATGCTTTCTTTGCTCCTTTCCTAGGAGGTAAAATATGGGAGTATGCTTTAATCGGCGTCTATTCCCCCGTGGTATGTAAATTTGCTTTTCAATATTGTTAAATCATTTTTCTATTTCCAATTTTTTCCCCTTGGATGAGAAGTATACGAAGGCACTACATTGAATAAGAATAATGGAGGTCATGGAAGGTATGTATTTAAGGATGTTCCGAGCAACATTAGGCCTCTTGTCATGCAACCATTTAGTTGATTGAAATATCTTGAGTGGATGATATGTTATAGATTTGGTAATATGCATGTTTAGAGCCAATACATCCTGCAAATGCAACCATTTGCTTATTTATTTTAAGAATATATTTTAAGTTGTGATTTCTGTCAAAATGAGGATTTCTTTAATTGCAGGCTCTATTGGTTTTCATTCTCTATGTACGGAGTACTGCAATCAACCCAGCAGACCCTGGTATTATGTCAAAATTTGACCCTGAATTAGCGGAGGGAGGGAGGGAAAAGCATGAATCAATCTCTGATGGTCAAAATAGAAAATTTGATGAAGTTAGCAACGGGACTCATTCTTGTCACTCTACAGCTTCACAAAGCTCCGTTGCAGGACCTAACAGTGACCACAAAGGTTCTGTTGAGTCTATAAAATCCAATGCTCAAGCTGTCCTCCCAAGAAGGAGATCCTTTTGTAATTATTTTGGAGGATTTCTTTGTGCAATATTTGTTCTTGAAGATTGTCGCAAACCAGATGAGGCGGCTGAGCAGGACGCCACAGGCGAAGAAGCATTGTTTTGCACACTGTGCAATGCTGAGGTTGGTAGTTGCAATAAATTTTTGTTAGTCATAAGACTTAAATTTACTCTACCTGTATTTGTTTAAGTAACTACCATCACACGATTCTTAGGCATTAGGGGAAAGTTACACTGGATTATGCACAATTGGATTCCTGTATTTATTGTATGAGTTTTCTTTATTCTCACTTATTCTTATACTGTTTATCCTCCTTAGGTTCGAAAGTTCAGCAAACATTGTCGAAGTTGTGATAAGTGTGTGGATGGATTTGATCACCATTGTCGGGTAGGCTATGATTTGGAATGCTGCTGATATTCTTTTCATATGCACCATGACAATTTTTGCACCTATTAAAGCAAAGATGCTCAAATTTTTTTATTTTAAATTTTGTAGTGGCTCAATAACTGCGTAGGACGGAAAAACTATGTCACATTTATCTCACTCATGGCCATCAGTTTAGTATGGGTAAGTATTTAGGTGAGCTATGGCCTAGTGACTGCAACTTGTTCGAATGACTGATCTCTCTCCTTCTATCCGTCTTCAGCTTGTTATTGAAGCGGGAGTTGGCATTGGTGTTCTAGTTCGTTGCTTTGTTAATAAGAATCATATGGAAGCTGAAATAGTTGATAGGCTTGGGAATGGCTTCTCTCGTGCACCTTTTGCTACTGTTGTGGTAACGCGATCATTGAGACACCATATGATTAAGCAATTTTTTAGCCATGTTATAACTAAAACTATTGTATTAATATTATTCTATTGCCCATTTCATTGTGCAGGCTATATGTACAGCCGTGTCTTTACTGGCTTGTGTACCACTGGGGGAGCTTTTCTTTTTCCATATGATACTTATTAGAAAGGTCAGTCCTTAGAAATTCTGTTTTCTCTGCCTATCTCCTTGTTCTAGGTGTAATGGCTGCAGATCAATCTACAGTTTTGGTTTTTGTCTACAGTCAGCATTTTAAGTACTTCAGAAGATTATTGAACTAGAAAATGCATTTGACGATTTTCTCGTGTTCTTCTGTCTTAATTGATATTATTATGCACTCTTAGATATGTGTTTCCTCTATTATATTACTAGAGTTACAATGACCTGGTAATTTCCAACTTTAATATCATATTAAAACTCTAGACATTGTTATTTTGTTTAATTCTTTGAACCATTGTTGTTTGTTTGCTTGTTTACTTGACATATTATGGGTTCAATACAACTGCCAGTCTTGCTATCCTATGCTGATATGAGTATATGAGTTGAACATTTCACTACAATTGCAGGAATATCACATTAGAATTATATTTTAGATTTCATTGTCTAATTCCATGTCATTTTCTTTCAGAATCATAATATCTAATGTTCTGTGATTATTGTAGCTTTGTGATTCATGCCCCAAATTGTATATACCATAGTGGATTGAGATAGGTTCTTTATTGATAAAACCTTGTTCAACATTTAAAATCTGTATTCGACATTTCACAATTTGTTAATGGTTATACATTTCAGGGCATCACGACTTATGAATATGTTGTGGCAATGAGGGCCATGAGTGAAGCCCCTGCAGGAGCATCCGTAGATGAGGAACTCCCGACCATTATATATTCCCCATCCGGATCCGCAACAACTGGCTTCAGTGCTGGAAGTTCTTTGGGACTACAGTATAAAGGAGCTTGGTGCACCCCACCTCGGGTGTTCGTAGATTATCAGGTATGTTAAAAAGTAACCATTCATAAAGTCATACTTGCTTGGGAGTATTCAGTCATCAAACACTGTTTTCAAAACTTGGTTGTCAGGAAGAAGTTGCACCTCAGCTAGGACCCGGAATTATTCCATCTACAGTCGATCCAGACGCTAATGGATTAGGCGACAAGACAAACAAGGGACCCAAAAAGGGCATCCGGATCAGCGCCTGGAAGCTTGCTAAGCTAGACTCAAATGAGGCAGTGAAAGCAGCTGCTAAAGCCAGGGCATCATCATCCGTTCTACGCCCTGTTGATAATCGTCGTCTACCTGATTCTGAATTGAGCTCCAGCGACAACGCAAGTATCAGAAGCAGCATGAGCATCGAAGCTGCAGGAAGCAAGGACACCCGACTCTCGCCTTTAAGGCACTCTTTTGCTCCCAGCCAAGGCAGCCGGGACGAATACGAAACCGGCACTCAAAGCGTGAGCAGTTTCAGCAGCCCAAGTCATGTTCACGAATCCGTGACGCTAAGCCCTCTTCCGCAACTTCATGCTACGAATCCTCTCGCCATTGCCGCTACACGCCCTGACCCTGTCGGTAAAAACAACCCGGTGTTCCAAAACTCCTCCGGATTCGATGAAAAGATAATGCAAAGGCACAGCAGCACGGAGCCCTTATTGGTCCCCGCTCCTGCTGATCGCGCAACTTCCTTAATCAGAGACATCAAAAGAACATCTGTCGTCTGGGATCAAGAAGCTGGCAGGTACGTCTCTATCCCCATTTCAGCTCTGGAATCTCGTAAGAAACTCGGTATCCCAGAAGCAGGTAATCAAGACAAGCGAACTGGCATTGCTGTTCCCCCTCGAGAGCCATTCCAGTCCTCGGCAAAGCCAACTGTTGGTCAGTCGGAGAAATTAACCTACTCTGGGGAATCCATCTTCTTCGGCGGCCCACTTATGAGTGCTCCGATCAGGGAAGGTTTGAAAACTGAGGGGGCTTCGAGTTCGAAAGATGCTCTGGACAAGCTACCGATAACTTTGCCTCGGGAGACCAGATTCAAGAGGGATGCTGTCTCCAACCAGCTCCCTGTCTTCGTCCCCGGGGACTTCGATTCGAATCCTTCGGCTGGTTCAGGTCCAAAGTAATCCACACAAGCTGATCTTGGAGCATTTCTTGATGCGTCGCAATACGGTGGATTTGGAGTGTCGTGAATAAGAAGAAACCACCTGAATCGAAGCTGTTTTGGATCAACAGAGGAACCTTTCTGTCCTTGGTCGGCGCATCCCTCTGCGAGCTGATGGAGAGTTTCCGGCGGTTTATTCTGGTCCCGTTATATCGATTTTGGCGGAGAGTTATCGATGCCATCGAAGTAGAAACTGAGTTGTGTAAGCGAGAAGGAATTACTCCGTTGATGTATTATTGAGTTTTGGAGTTCACCATTGTTGTTCCTTTGAGTGTATATGCATTTTCTGCTATGTTCCAAGTCTGTTAATGGATCTTGCTGTTTTTATTTGATTTTTATCCATCACCGGTGCTTTTGGAACCAAAAAAAGGAGAATCATTTATGTTGGTTTTAGTAAATTGGTTTATATATGATTAATTTTTGTGTTGGTTAGACAGAATGTGACAGTAGGCTTACATGTTTAAATAATTGATAATTTAATTAGATTACTTTGTACTCAATACATGAATATTTTATGCTATGGACGAAGAACATTAAAAAGCACTCTGCAGACACATAAATTTCAAGTACAGATAGAAATTGAAACAGCCTCGTCTCAAAAGCAAGCATCCAGCAGACAGCAGCAACACATGCCAGCGCAACTGCAATTTAAAAGAAAAATCAAAGGGTAAAATTTTTAATAAATTTATGAATTTTTAAATTTTAAAAATCCACAAAAGTCTTTAAAGTACTAACCAGCCTCTCCAGAATCCATCACCTCTAGATTGAGTATTGGCTGGTGGATCCTCTTTGTTATCCTTCATTAGGTAAAAAGCCGCCGGGGGTGCCGGAGCAGCCATGTTGCCGCCGCCTTGCACCTCCGTCGGCGGCGCCGGATAACCTATTTATATATATATATATATATTGATATACTTGAAATGCAAAAGTTGTATTGTATAATTGGAAGAAAGTGAATGAGCATTGCCTACTTACCCTGAGGTTGAAGTTGAGATTGGTTGTGGTTATTCATCGTAAAAAAGATAGAATAAAAATATCAAATGTAGTGAAGAGATTACGAATGAAGACATTAATATATGTTTTATGTGTATATATATATAGATGAATGTATGTATGTATGTATGTATGTATTTGTAGATAATAAATAGTCAAGGGGTGGGTGGGGAGAAAGTGGAGTTGCTGAAACTATGGTCAAATAATTATCTCATAATTGTTGTTATTGTCGTTATTTAATTGTCGTAGCCAAATACTACGGTATATATGCATTTCCATTTCAATATATTTTGAGTATTACTAGTATTTTTTATATTTACAATTGTCTTTTATTTATAATCTTTGTTTACTATTTGAAATATAATTTATAAAATCATCGATCATACATAGAAATTAAGAAAGAAATAATAAACAAAACAAACTTATACTCCTATTTAATAAAATCGTGGCATTTTTATTTTTATAAAAGAAGACAGAGTATTATATTAATACATAGCTATACGATGTGTGTGTGTGTGTATATACAGTCCACCAAGATGAGGACAAAGAGGTTTGTTATTAAGGTCCAATCGAACTGTGTTCGATGTTTTTCTAATTTATTTTACATTATTTGGAAGATCTAAGCTGCCAACTGCCCTAAAGAAACCATTGAGTATTGAGCCAATAATATTAATAATTAAAATTATATACAGTTAAAAATAAAAATATAACTGATAATATATATATATATATAAACCTTTGTTTCAGCATATTGTTTAATTTGTATATAATCAATCATAATATCCATATTAAACAATATCTTAAATTATCATTAAGCATTAATTGGGCCCAAATCTGCCCAAACCCGTCTGTGGTAAATGGGTCTGAATTTAGTTCCAGACAACAAATTTGAGCTTTGTAAATGTAATGGCAATATTTTCGTGTTATTTCCTGATATCTTGGCTGCCTGCTTCAGCATCGTTCTTCACACACACTCATCCTGTCCTGTATGTAACTGATCCACTTTTCTTCCCAAACAATCCTCTGATTTTACTCGGACACAAATCTCTATCTATGTAATGTAATGTTAATGTATGTACAGATTGATATTACTCTTGCAGCCTTCCAACGTCGATTATTCATCGTCTGGTCTTCTTTCTAAAACCAATCTTCACGTACTGCTCGCCATTTATTTCTCCATTCAATGCAGTTTTATGTTTTTCATCCTTTTTCTGGCACGCAGTTATTTCAGTCAGATATGTCAGAAGAAAATCATAAAATCGAGAATAAGAATACAAAATTGTCAACACAAGTTAGTTTTTAGAATTTATTGCGGTTGCGTTTGATAGTGAGTGAAACTTGGCACTTTTGGGGATGTGTGGAACTCAAACAGAAATTGATTTTTTCTCTTTTGTTTTTTTTTTTTTTTTTTTTTTTTTAATCTTCAAGCGTTTGCTGTGGTTGATTGATTTGCATCAGAAAACGAATCCTAGACTTCTCCCATTTGGTACGAATACGATGATCTTCCTCTGCTGTTTTTTGGATGTTTTGTCTGCATGAGTTTGGCCTTAATCAGATCTTTGGCAATCAGATTTATCCACTTTGTGTTGCTTTCTTACCGCTCATATCATATTTAAGGTACGAGGTTGCAGCAATTCGAATCAATTCTTTAAACTGTTATACCCAGTGCAGAATGCTCATCTTCTTTGTAGCATAGTTTTAGGCCATTCTGAAAAATCAAGAGTTCTTAGGGATGCATTGCAAGCAGAGCAGTGATTCCATTCGGACAATTCTGTTAGCAACCGGGGTCGTCGCCATTTTAATTTTCCTTCTAAAGCAGACGCGCAGACAAGCTTCCCATCAAAGGTACCACAATTCATATGAATTCCATTACATTTTTACATTCATTCCATCACATTCCTCTGCATCTTCAGTTGTAGCGCAAGAAACCGGCGGCGCGACTCATGTCTTAGTCACCGGAGGAGCCGGCTACATCGGTTCTCACGCAGTTCTCTGCCTTCTCAAGGACTCATACCGCGTAACAATTGTCGTACTTCTTGTCTTTTTCCTACAACTACTGTAACATTTGATTCATGATTCGGATCATAGCTCAAAAGACATGTAATAAAATTGTTGCCAAGGATAACCTGTCTTGCGGCAACATGGGAGCTGTGAAAATCCTCCAACAATTGTATCCGCAGCCCTGTAGGCTTCAATTCATCTACGCCGATCTTGGAGATGCCGCAGCCGTATCCTTCGCCGCCTTCTTGACTGATAAAATTCGATCATCTTGTTCGAAAGAAAAAAATCATTCCTCAGCTCGTTTTTGTAGATCGAAAAGATCTTCTTACAAAATGCTTTCGACGCTGTCATGCATTTCGCAGCCGTCGCTTACGTTGGCGAAAGTACGGCAGAGCCACTGAGGTAGCTGAGCTCACAGATGCATATCCTCACTTGTATGTATAACTAAGAAGACATTGCTGTTCTTCGATGCTACGCAGGTATTACCACAATATTACATCGAATACGTTGCTCGTCGTGAAGGCAATGGCGAAACACAGCGTAAATAAGCAGATTTACTCGAGCTCTTGCGCGACCTATGGATAGCCCGAGAAGATGCCCATCACCGAAGCCACCCCTCAAGTGAGTTCACGCGGATTGTATTGAATCGATTTAAATGTTCACGCAACAGCCATAAAATGACGATCGATTGTTGTCGAGTTCAGGTCCCCATCAATCCATACGGCAAGGCCAAGAAAATGGCGGAAGAAATCATCCTCGACTTCTTGAAAACATCGTACATGGCTGTCATGATCTTAAGGTCGCGCCTTTTTCTGCTCTCTGCCGAGTAAGCTTGTCGACTACAATGGAGGTTCATACTTCTGGTTGTTTTCAGGTACTTCAATGTGATCGGATCTGATCCAGGGGGAAGACTGGGAGAAGCTCCGCCGACGGAGCTCCGAGAACAAGGAAGAATATCCGGTGCCTGTTTCGACGCGGCAAGAGGAATAATTCCAGGGCTGAAGATAAGAGGATCTGATTACAGGACTGCAGATGGAACCTGTGTACGGGACTACATCGATGTCACCGATCTGATCGACGCACACGTTAAAGCTTTAGCCCATGCGCAGCCCGGGAAAGTCAGGATCTACAACGTTGGAACAGGAAAAGGTTAGATAAAACGTTCAACTCCTCAACAAGACTCAAAAGAAATGCATTGCAAATTGAATCAAACCTTTTGGATACAGGGAGTTCGGTGAAGCAATTCGTCGAGGCCTGTAAGAAGGCAACCGGCACAGACATTAAGGTTGAGTACCTCAGCCAGCTACCGGGGGATTACGCAGAAGTGTACAGTGATCCTTCCAAGATAAGAAATGAGCTCAACTGGTCAGCTAGGTACACAAATCTTGAAGAAAGTTTGAGCATAGCTTGGAGATGGCAGAAAGCCCACAGAAATGGCTATGATATTTAGAATAGAATGTTTTGTGTTTATAACCATAATACAGATATACATACATACACACACATATATAAAGCTGATGATTCTGCTTTAAGTATATAGTAAAAACTAGACAACTTTAATCTCAAAGTACAAACTATGATAGAAATACATGTTTTTACACTCTATATGTTGTCTGCGTCGCCCTGCCTTTGTTTCTGTACACATAAACAGCCCGTCTCACTCGCTCGAAGCGGGTGTCATCTTCCGAAGGCTTCCTGCTGATGGCATTGCCGCATCAGGAAGTTCCAAGCAAGCAATGCGGCGCCTACTGCAGGCTCGACCTGGTTTTTGTTGCATAGAGGTGAGGATGTAAATGCTCAAAAACTCTGAAAGGACTTTGATCGGCAAAAGTTTTCTTACCTTTGGACGAATTGGGAGGACTCCAGGGAAGTCCTTGGAGATGCAGCCAATTACTTCGTCGCCAATGTCCCATCTCTTGTTCGGCACTAGAACACAACCAACCATTACCAGAGGGAAAGGATCTTTCCCATCTGCATCCAGATATAGTACACAATATGTTAGTTGAAACAATTGTCGAAGAATTTGTAGTGAAAAACTAAAAAAAAATCTCAAGGTTGATGACATACCTTCACCGCATAGTTCCAATCTCTCGACAACAGCTTTCACACTTGAAGCCAACTCGTAAACAGAACTGTGTAAGATCTTATTTGCCACGGCATCTCCAGCCTCGGCGCAAGAAACCACAAGTGGAAGAAGCTCTGCTATTCGAGCCCAAGATGGATCTGAATAAGTCCAACTGAAAACAAACATTGGAGACAATTATAACGTTGTCTTTTCATCTCTATATAAAGACTCATCGAGCTCAATATGTCACAAGCACTGTGCTAACCAAATTAATGGCTAAGATAGCCATACCCAATAAGTTCATCTGGTGAAGATAGACTAAGTGCATCCAGAATGCTATGTGTGAGTGTTGTCTGTGGCCCACGACCGTCGTGTGCCCTAATTACAGCAGTCAGTGCTTGCGCCGATATACCATAACCACTGCAAGGAATAAAAACTTTTATGAGAAAGCAAGATACCTGAATATGCAAGCAGATCATTATGCTTTCTCATATTTAACCACTATCAAAGATCAAAGTTACAGACACATGATCCATTGCAAACTGTGAATTATTCTATAGAGATATAATTCAGAGAGAGATTTTCAATTTTTCATCATCCAAACTCTTTTCCAACATTAGCACCAAATTATATATACTTAGATCAAGCAAAGCAACGAGAATTTCCAACCAAACCATAAAAAAGAGTTATAATGAAGTAGAGTCGACTAGGGTAATAGCTCCATTCTTCAAAAAATTGAAGGACAAAATCTAGCTCTATCATTACTCGGCTGGCGAGAAATGAGATTTTTTCTTATCATAAAGCCTCGACATACCTTCCCCAATCACCTAATGTAGGTCCAGCACCAGCAGCCCGAGCTTCTCTACCATCTTCAGTGAACCCATAAGCAATGGTACCTGTACCAGCTATAAGAACACATCCATGTAGGCTTCCCATTGTCCCACTGGCCAAAGCAGCCACAGCATCATTCTGGACGAACAGCCTCACATGACTTGGGAATATTTCTCTAAGAAATCAAAGAAAAGTCATTGAATTATTGAGGTGATCTAAAAAACAAAGTCAGATTGGTAAAATATTGGAAATTTTCGAGGATATCAATGTACAAAAACATGAAAAATGAAACCTACAGACACATTGGAACGTGAAATCATTAAGCTCTGCTCCTGTACATTGTATGGACATAAGGGGAAAAGGACTAAGGATCTCATTGGCGACGGCTTCTTAATGAGCACGAGAAGGCATTGAGGAACAGTTCTAACTTACTTTTCTATGCCTGTATTAGCTCCAATAATATCTAATTGTTTGTTCTGAAATTAATATTTATAGTAATTGAAGGAATCCTTTAGGTTAGAGTGTAAGTCAAAAGTGGACTTCAAGAATTCTACTTGTCATGATCACATTCATTATCAAATTTGCAAAATGAATGTAAGGTAGAATTTCTTTGTCAGTTGTAACAACCTGAGCCAGTTAAGTATACGATGCTGATCATTCTTGTGATCAACACCGGAGACTGAAAGACAAACGGCTTGAACTGCAGAACGTGTCGAAGCTGACCTTGCAAGAGCATCTGCCATAACCTGTTCTAAAGTCTCTCTAGCCCTGGATTCTGCAGAACATTGAAACCAAATTCAATGATCATTTACTAAAAAGGGCTGTATCTGTATGTGCATCCAAATTTAGAGATAAACATTAAAATTTCATTGGACTACACATGAATCACATTTCCTATGCATCTCTACAATCTATCAGGTGCAATTGCAGATTAATGGGATCTTATGAAATTCACAGAAAGTGAAAGAAATCTCAATAAACTAATTCAACCATGAATGAAAATATACACACACACACACCTCCAACGCTGTTGTGATTGGAGCAACCGGCGACAGTCCGAGCAAGGATTGGCGGAGGATCAGGCAGCGGCAGAGAAAAGGGGATCAAAGGCATGCATATGCACACAGTGGAGGTAGTTCCACCATCTATACCCAGAATCACTTTCCTGCCATTAAAACCCTCATTCAAATGCTTGCCATCATTTCTAATTTTCCCATTCCCATGAGCAGCAGCCGCGGCAGCAACCATTTGCTCAAAATCCCAGACCTCCCCATTCCTGTACCTCTTCATTTTGGAATTCCGAACCGCAAAAACAATGGTGCAAAGAAAACAGAAACCAATTCGACACTGTGGGTTTCTCTACCTGCTCAAGAATGTGAAAATTACCTTGCAGGGAAGGGAAAGAGGGACTGGATGGGGATTAAAAATGGCGGGTATTGCGAATTAAATATTCGGGACGGCAATATGAGGACAAATGCTTGGAGTCAACAGATTGATGGCTGATGAAAATCGACGAGTCTACCAAGGAATTGAATAATGATGTGGTCGTGATCGTGGTTCGTAGACTGAATATAAATTAGTTGAAGAAATTTGTCGTCCTGCGATTTGGACTGGGAAGCGCAGGGCTGAGTGATGATTCCCCAATCTCCATGTGGTGCTCGCTCGGGGGTTTGTTTGTATCTATTCTTCATCTTCTTCCCGCTGTTGGTACTTTCCAGGTGGATATAACTATTCCCCTATATTTCAACTCTCAAGATTTGTGTTTTTTTTGCTTTTCTTGTTTTTTTGGTTGAATGATTATTACTCCCTCAGTCATCCGTCACATTTACGTTTGTTATTATATTTATAATATTAAAAATATCATTATATTTATATTATTTTTATACAAATATTTATTTGATATTATAAAATATTAATACAAAATATTTTTATTTTTCTTTTAATTTATATATAATAATTAACATTCAAAATTCAATAAACAAAAATAATCTACACAGTTGGGAGGTAATTGCTTATTTTATTGTAATTTAAAATTAATTTAAATGAATAGTTGTTTGGAGTTTTATTTTATTTGTTTTAAATAATTTTTTATACTTTATTTTATAAACAAATTAATTGGATATATAATAGAATATTGGGAAAAAATTAATTTTGTTTTCAATATAATTAAAATTTATTAATTTTGGTCACAGTATAAAAAAACTCATCAATTTTAGTTCCAATATAAACAATTTCAATCAATTTTGGTCTCATTATAAATAATTTCAATCAATTTTGATCATACCTTTAAAAAACTGACGGAAATTGCTGACGTAGACCTAACGAAGCTGACGTGGCAATTGACCTGGAAAGTACACGCCCATGTACAATTATACACGGTCATATTGTTACATGACCATGTCTATTCAGTGTATAATTATACATGGCCATGTTGTTACATGACCATGTATATTTCAGTGTATAATTATACATGACCATGTCTATTTCAATATATAATTATACATGGCCATCTTGTTACATGATCATGTATATTTCAGTGTATAATTATACATTACCATGTTGTTACATAGCCATGTATAATTCTACACGACCGTGTACCTTTTTGTTTCGGTTTAAAATTTTATTTTTTGTTATATTTTTAATTTTTTTTTTTAATTTAGAATAGTTGATATAGTTAAAATGGAAAAAAAAATCAATAATAATCATAATATAATTAAAATGTATCAATTTTAGTTCAAATATAAATATTTATCGAGTATGTTCTTTTGAATATTCTGTCTAAAATTATACTGTTTAGCAAAAAAAAAAATTTCTCTTATAAACATCCAATTGTAAAAATTCTATGAGATTGTTGTATCTTTAAAAACATTACACATAAATAAAAATATATTTATTTATTTATTTATAATTACTATAAATTAATTTTATAAAAAATTAAAAATTTTAAAATAGATGAAAATATTTGTTAATTAAAAATAGATAGAAAAAAAAAAATTGAATGAATTCTACAAGGAGATATTATATATTTAATTAAATTAATTTATATTTTTTATAAAATAGGAAAAAAAAAATATATACTATTATTTGTACCAAAACGGATAGACTACTGTCCAGCTCTTTCTCCTAGTAAAGTGATTGAAGAGTGAGTTGCTAAGTTTGTTAATAGCTAAGATTGAGGTTGGAGATTCAAGGCTAAAAAAAAAAAATTACCCCCTTCGTCCCAAAAATACTGTTCTATTATATTGGGTACGAGATTTAAAAAATATTGATATTATATTGGTAGTAATTAAAATGTGAAAATAAATAATTTTTTTTATTCTTATGAGTATATTAATATAAAAAATAGTGACAATTATGTACTAATAATGAAAAAGTAGGGATAGTTTTACGATGATATGATTATTTATGAAAATGAGACTATTGTTTTAGGACAAACAAAAGTGGTAAACAAGACTATTGTATTGAAACGAAGGAAATAATAAAACTTTGTAGTGCACATTACTGCACTATTTTCCACCCTATATTGTTATGATCTATATTTCCTAAATTTGAATAATTTTCCTTAGTTAATTGACCTTTCTAAGTTCTAACACACTAGCAAAAATAATTTCAAGGAAAAGGTTACTTTTAAGTCCTAACCATATTATAGGCACATTAAATTACTTTCGATTTCATTAATGAAATTAATCAAAATAACTTAATTCAATCAAAATTAACAATGGTGAGCCAATTATGATTATGATAAAAGCTGTCTGAGTATTCCATATTAAATATGATGTTGGGACTTTCCCACCTTATAAGGGGCGAAAGGGCTATTCACTTCAAATTTAAGTTAAAATTTCAAACTACCTCTTAACAAAAACAAATTTTAATTGAAAAATCATTTATAAATAAATACTAATATATCATCCTTATATTTGTATTATAAATTATAAAATATTTTTTTTATTATTCTTTTAATTATATTATATTTTAATATATCAATAAAAAAATTAATTTGATTATATTCTTTCAGTGGATTTTACTATATATTTTTATTATTTATATTTATGTTTTTTTTTTTAAAAAAAATTATACTAAAAATTTATTTTATATTTAAAATTTTATTTAAAATTTATTTATATCGAATCCAAGGACTATTCAAATTCAACCTAAATCAAACTCACAAAACAAACACAACCTTTTATACGTGGCTGGGCGGAGCGAGTAATGTATATTCCTCTTTTTTATAAGCAGCTGAAACTATCTACTTGCGTATAAAAGTAGAAGCTTCACCGACTCGCCCTAAACCCTAGCAAAACCCTCCTCCTCGAATCTGGACGCGCCACTGCAGCTGACTTATTGCATTTGCAGAAGAAGAGAGGAGAGGGAAGCTAGGAAAGAAATGGGCAGCCTCCTCTTGATCCGGAGATCGTCCTCCTTCCCAACGAGGAAATTGGCTCTCACGGCCCTCGCCCATTTCTTCAATGGAAAACTACCTCAATCTCCTTTGAATCCCCTTGTTGCGCCTCGGAATCACGCCTATGCTGCCGGGTCTGCTCCGGTTTTTGGATTAACGCGGGGTTTCCATTCTAGTCGCGCTTTGCAGGCTGGGGTTGCCGCCGCTGAATATTCTTATGCCGAAGAGAATTGGACTTCCACCGGATCTTCCGATGATGGGCTTGAAATCTCGAAGCTCGGGATTTCTCAGGAGATTGTGTCGGCCTTGAAGCGGAGGGGTATTGAGAAGCTTTTCCCGATCCAGGTAATTATAACGGAAATGGCAGTTTATCTTTTGTCGTTGCCACGAAAACCTTTGAATTTTCCTATTATAAATATATTTACATATGTTGGTAAGAGTGGCTCAATTTGGTTAATTGTTTCTGCAAATGGTTTCCACTGTTGTTTGAATCGTTTGTATTTGCAATAACAGAAAGCAGTTTTGGAACCGGCTATGCAAGGTCATGACATGATAGGTAGAGCAAGAACAGGAACTGGGAAGACTCTGGCTTTTGGTATTCCTATCATGGATAAGATTATTAAGTTCAATGAGAAGCACGGGTTAGTTTCCTGGTCTTATTCTCGACTATTCGATTGATTTCTGTCCTAAGTAAAAGTTTCAGAATGATACATTGTTCTAGGATTCTAAAGTCTGTGCTTGTGTGTGTTTTTTTTTTCTAATATTAATTTCAGTCAGGGTAGGAATCCGCTAGCACTTGTTTTGGCTCCAACCAGAGAACTTGCCAAACAGGTGGACAAGGAATTTTCAGAATCTGCTGCAAGATTAGATACGTTATGTGTCTACGGAGGCGTTCCAATATCTCGTCAGATGAGTACACTTGACCATGGTGTTGATGTGGTTGTTGGGACACCAGGCCGTGTCATCGATTTGATTAAGCGTGGTGCCTTGAATTTGTCAGAAGTCCAGTTTGTTGTTCTTGATGAGGCTGATCAGATGCTTAATGTGGGATTTGCTGATGATGTCGAGACAATCTTGGGGTATATGAGGCAGAAACATCAGACAATGATGTTTTCAGCTACAATGCCAAATTGGATAGTGAGGCTCACACAGAAGTTCTTGAAAAATCCAATTACAATTGATCTTGTGAGACACAACCTTATGAATCTCTTTTATGTTTTTTTATTTTTTCCCTTAAAATGTTACCCATCTATGCAAGTGTGAATGCTGATTTTCTAGTTTTTAATAATCTTGTTGATGTCAAATATGGACTGCAGGTTGGAGAGTCGGATCAAAAGTTAGCTGATGGGATATCCTTATATTCAGTTACATCAGAGATGCGAGAGAAACCAGCCATTCTTGGGCCTCTGATAACTGTATGAACTCAAGTTGATAACATTTTTACCATGATTCACACTCTGTCTAATAGGGTTATTATTATTATTATTATGATTACTATTATTTAGTTTTTCAAGCTTTAAACAAACCAATAAGGTCTATTTGTTTCCAGGAGCATGCAAAAGGGGGTAAATGTATTGTATTTACTCAAACAAAGCGAGATGCTGATCGATTATCATATGCCATGCAAAGGAACATTAAATGTGAGGCCTTGCATGGTGACATCTCTCAGAACCAAAGGGAGAGAACTCTGTCTGCCTTCCGGGAAGGACGAATCAATGTCTTGGTAGCTACTGATGTTGCTGCCCGTGGCCTTGATGTTCCAAATGTTGATCTGGTGATTCTTCTTCCACATGCATTCTTTTTACATCCTTCCAGCAATTATATGTCGCTGAGCATGTTCATTTTTCCAGCTGTCTTGAGAAAGTATTCTAATCAACCACTGAGCTTTAGATGATTTGATTCCAATGCATTTCATGTCATCTGCATGGATATTGAAAGGAAATCTGTTTGTCCCATCTAAATTTTATCCTCATTGTACTCTTAATTAACATCCCAATCAAGTTGGGATATGATAATATGCATTCTTGTAAGCTTCCACAATTTATTCCTGTGGTTTTGAATGCTTGTTTTGTTATTCTCAGGTTATACATTATGAACTTCCGAACTCTTCTGAGACTTTTGTTCACCGCACTGGGCGGACAGGTCGTGCTGGGAAGAAAGGTAGTGCAATTCTTATCCATTCATCTCACCAATATAGGGATGTTAAAGGTATTGAACGTGAAGTTGGATGCCGATTTGTAGAGGTAAGTTGTAAGTGGTGTTTTTCTTTACTTATGTTTCAGTATTCTTGTGTGTTCCTTGCCACCATATAATATTCTTATAATTACCTGATTGTGATTCCTATATATCAAGCTTATGTAATCAACCATTCACACTTCAGCAGTTACCTGAATCCAGTGTTCTGAACTACATTAAACATTATTTATTTACTTATAATTTTTCCTTTTTTTAGCTCCCAAGGGTACCTGTTGACGAAGGAGCTTTGGACATGTATAGTAGCATGGACCAAGGTGGTCGGTTTGGTTATGGTGGTCGTAGTGGAGGTGATCGATATGGTGATTCTGCGTTTGGACGCTCTGGTGGTTTTGGCAGCTCCAGGGGTGGACGTCTTGGTGGATATTCTGGTTCCTCTGGAGGATTTGGAAATTCTGGGAGTGGTCGCTCTGGTTCTTATGGAGGATTTGGAAGTTCCGGTGGATATAGAAATTCTGAGGGTGGTCGTTTTGGGGGGTCAAGTTCAGGTGGTCTCAGTGAACGAGCTGCAAACCGGTCTGGGAATTCTGGATCTTTTGGTTCTGGTCGAACAGGTGGTTTTGGAGACCTGAGTGGTTCAGATGGGAAAAGTTGGTTTGGAAATGTTGGTAGTTCAAGCCGGTCAAATGGCTTTGGGGATTTCGGTTCCAATGGTTCCAGTGGCTTTGGCAATTCCCCGTCTGGACAGAGTTCTAGCTCGACTCGCTTTGGTGATTTAGCTAATGATAAAAATGATGGTAACAGGAACACCGGGAGAAGATGGCTTGTCTGAAGCTATTAGAGGTAATATAACCTTTCCGATTCAGCTATTATGTATGGAATGAAGTCGATAAAACTGAAGTTCATCGCTATTTAACTAAAATGGTTTATTATCGAATAAAACAACGCCTATGAATTCTTGTTTCTGATTTGAGCAGACAACAGCTGAGATTGGATTAGGGTAGCAAGAAACCTTCTCATGTGTCTATTTACCAAATTTGTTATTTCCATTATAGACAGTAAGTTATATTTCATTGAATCAGTATGGACAACGAAGGAGCCGGACAATATACTACCAGCTTGCTCGCTGACAATCAGGCTATGTTGGAGCTAACGATATGCAAATTGGCAACATGCTGCTAGAGTTACTTATGATTCTAATATTGTAACCTATTAAACAAGGTACTTTATTGACCTTGATTCGATTAATACCAGGAGACATGATAATTTTTCGGCGAGCATCTTTGGCAAGGTACTGATGATTTGATTCAATTGTAAGAACACCTTACTCATATGGTTTATTTACCAGGAGACACGATAATTACTCGAACAACAGCCAAGTAGAAATAGTATTTGCAACAATGTAGTAGATGATGTCAAGCAAACGTAAACACAACATGAGATGTAGCACAGCACAGCGAAGCGGCCCAAATCTGTTCCCGGCAATATTTACAAAGAATTTCATATCTAGTCGATCTTCTTACCAGTGAACTTTGTCTTAGGTAGTTTGCTGAGGACACCGGCATCCAGCTTCCGGTAATTGTGTTGGAGCTGTTCCAGCACACTGTAAGCAAAATCATCGATCTGATCCTCATATTTTTCATACAGGACAGGCAATGTGTGGGCGGCGACAAAACCTTCAACAAGACATCACAATTCAGTCATTTGCCGCTATAACACAAAACATTGCAAAGAAGTTTTATCTCACCGATGAAAATCAACGTCAAGAAATCGCACCAGCCCCCTACAATCGCTGCAGCAAACAAGCAACCCGCTACCTGCAATTGATCAACATCCATTAGAAACACAAACATCATTCACCGCAACAAAATACGATCAAACTCATCCCATAAGGATGGCCTGTGAGGACAGATTTGTAATCGTGAGGTCATAGATTCAAACTCCGATGTCTTCAGGTCCATCTGTTACATATGGTTCGCCTAATGTGACTTGTCTTATCGAGTCTAGTTTGCAGTTTGATTGGAAGTTTATCGGGAGCGCATTCGATAAGTAACGACCGCAATTTTTCACGTTATAGAAAAAAAAAAAATACGATCAAACTTACCACTAGAAACTGCTTCATAGTTCCCTCACAGGCGACGTCCTGCAAGTACCCTAACACGTGGTTCACCTCAGCTCCGACGACCTCCCCGGCGTTAACAAAAACCTCGTCGGGTATAACAAGACGGGGCACAGACGACGACACATTTCGCCAAGCAAATTGAACCAACATGCCCATAACTATCCCAAAGCTTAGCAGCGTAAGGAAATGGTAGTTTAGCCATTCGAACAAAATCCATGTTATAGCTGCGCCGCCGAGAAGGCCCGCTGATATCTTCTTGTTCCTCCATAGCAGCACATCAGCAGCTGCACAATCAAGACAAAAAAATCAGCCAACAAAATCGACATCATCGGAAAAGTTATGTCCTTACATTTTCCACCCCCCAAACAATGGTGAACCGGTTTTTCACGCCCGAATAATTTCCTGGGCCGGGTCTTCTCCCCGGGGAAGAACTCCTCCTTGTGCTTGGATACAGAGTCGGAAATGGTTTCCATGATGTTGCTGACAACAGACTCGGTGGTTATTTCTTCAGGCATTGTTCCTGTCAAGAAATAACAGATCAGCTGTCGTAAAACAAGAGATCTCTTACACAAACACCACTCCAAAAGTCAACAAGGGAAAAAGGGATAAGAGCTGTAAATAACAGTAAGGACAAAGGGTCAACGAGTTTGAGAATGGAATCAGACGATAAAGCGAAAGGGATCTAAAGAATAAGTGCTAAAAGATAAAATTCAAGATTCCCATCTCAAGCAAGAATCTGCAATTCAGACGATCTCTAATCAAACATCAATTCAAGCAACATAGGCAATAAAATTTCAAGGAACAGAGTCAAAATATCAGAACATCAAGAAAATTCCCATTGTTGAAATTGAAACTGAGGGCTTGAATTTACCTGATGGCGTGTTACAAAACCCTAATTCTGCAGTGAAGAAGACGAGGAAGATAGGCTTCAATCTTGTAGGTTTGTTGGTGAAGAAATTAGAGTAAAATGGTTTTCTGATGAGTGCCCTACTCTTCTACTCTACTGGGACTGTAATTCTAAAATAATTCTGTGTCCCTATAGGCCCATGAATCCCACGTGCTGTCTCCATCAAACTGTGTCTGTGCATTGATTTGCAGACACACTAAAATCATATCTTGCTGGGGCTGGCACTACACATTTGGAGGAATTGTGGCCACATCCACATGCCCCAAACAACCCTAATTCTTGCAAACTTATTTATTTATTGGTTTTCCGGAAAACTCTGTCCCATAGAAATTTCTTGATAATCTCTATTTTGATTTTGGTCCACCAGTAATCAATTATCTATCATACACATGCTGTGGTGTTTTGAGTTAAGACGTTATGATCCATCCTATGGAGGTAAATGTGTTTGCTAGGGGTTTGTAAGAGATCTTCTCAAAATTTGATTTGTTTCTACACGTTTGTTTGTATCGATGACATCAGAACAATCAAAGATAATTTAATATATATTTGCCTGAATTATTGATGATGAATTGAAATAATTGGGCACCATTGTTACAGCCAAAGTTTGACTGTTTCAAATGTGTGCAGAATGCAATCAGTTCATCTGCTCTAAGAAGCTCGACATTTTAACTACTATTTTGCTTATAAAATCTTATACGTAATTAGTAAACAGTAAATAGGGAGGGCGTGTTTTTCCATAAATTTTTTCCTGTATTTTCTGATTAATATAAAAAAAATTAATATATATACAAATAATATATAAACTATAATATATATTTTTTTAAAAATATTAAACTAAATGTAAAAATATTATTTTTTAGATTAAACACATTTCTTTCATATCTAATACGAAAAAAAACAAAATATACTCTTTTAGATTAAAAATACAAAATAGAATTATATGTACTAAGTACATCATAAATTATACTCTTTTTTGTCAGACCACTATTGCATATTTTGCTTCTTTTCAGTAGTATAATTTAATAATATATATAGTTATATTTTCTATTTAAAGTATTTCTATATAAAAAAAAATAAAAATTATGTGCAACTAGATATATAAAAGTTACAAAAAATTTAGAATATGTTAAATTTAAAACCGAGCAGTAAGACAGGCCCAAATTGGATATGAAAAGAATCACAAAAACATGTAAGAAGTAGTTACCCTCTTTTTCTAACTAATCAAATTCTTTTATGTAGAAGAAAAGAAGCATACTATTTGTCTGAAAATGAGGTTGTTTTGGATGTGTTCATTGTGGGACCCTTCAAAATAGAATGAATCCGAGCTGGCACCTCTCCAAAACCTCATCCAATATCCAAACACAAATCCACCATGGCTGCCAAGATATATATATATATATATATGTATATGCTGCTGCAAAAAGTATGATAACTCATCCCAAGTTATTGTTTTTCAATCTGGTTTTCTGCACAACAACAATAACAATTTCATTTAATGATCCAATAAACAACTGACCACAAAAGTAAAATTTGATCTAAAACCAAGTGATGATTTATTCTTATCCTCGAAGATCATGGAACAAGAATTGCAGAATTTATTCTAAATTACTGTGTTCGTATTCGTATGCTCCCTCGAAAGCTTCCTCTGCTGCAAAAATTTCCGAACGTTCCGTTTAAGCTACATCGATGAGGGTAGGCTCGTAGTCACTGGGAGCTTCGAATCCATGTAGGTTGATCACAGTTGCAGCAACATTTGCAAGTCCCGGCTCAGCAAGATCCTGGCGGAACTTCACACCGGGGGCTAGCCCGGGGCCACCGATTGCGACAGGAACCTAAGAAACATTTTTCATATACGTTGTAGGATTCGCACAAACATTTGATCGATGGGAGTTCGGAGAACAGAGTAATGTGAATGGTACTCACAGGTTGAAGTGTGTGGGAAGTGAGTATCTGAACGTTGCCATTCTTGTCGAAAATGGGCTCGCCTTTCTTGTCCCTCTTCACCATGTCCTCAGCATTCCCATGATCGGCTGTAAGAAGGAAAATCCCTCCAACTTGCTCGACAGCATCAAGGATTATCTGTCGATGTCAAGACAATCTCAGCAAACTATCCTCGAACGATCATTCCATCGCAAGTATGAATTCATTAGTCATTACCTTGACGGCGTCATCAGTGGTCTTACAAGCCACGATGGTCGCTTTCATATTGCCCGTGTGCCCTACCATGTCGCCATTAGGAATGTTGACACGCACCTTTAAAGATCAGAACTTATCATGTATGTAAGGATTGTTCTTCAGCTGAATGTATGTATTCAAACCAGAATTTCGACGATTACCTCATCGAATTTGCGGCTTAGTATGGCCTCCTTTGCTTTCTGAGCAATCTCCAGGGCTTTCATCTTTGGCTGGACATCGAAGCTAATGCCTGAGTCACTCGGAATCTCGACGTATTCTTCCAACTTCGGGTTGAAATATCCGGAGCGGTTCCCGTTCCAAAAGAATGTAACATGACCGAATTTAACTGTCTCACTGTCCACAGAATCATCATCATCACTAAGGACTTCTTGATGCATGACAATGCCTTGTTCATTAAATCCTGTCCGAAAAACTTACCTACAAGCAAATGTCCGAACACCGTTATTCACGAGATACTCTCCATATGTTCTGTCGATCTCTGGAGGGGAGACAAGGTACTGATTTGGAAGTTTGAGTTCGCCGTCGTACTGTAGCATTCCTGCGTAACGGATTTTAGGGAACCTGACGCGATCAAATTTGTCGAACTTTTCATACTCTAGGGCCTTGGCGATCATAACCATTCGATCAGCCCGGAAGTTGAAAGTTACGACAGCATCGCCATCAACAATAGGGCCTACTGCCTTGCCGCTGTCGTCCACTATTACAAAGGGAGGTAAGTATTGATCGTTGGTGTTGGGAGTTTCTCTCAACTTCTTGACAGCTTCAATGGGACACTTGAACTTGTGGGGTGCTTCTCCCAGCACTTGTGCATCCCATCCTCGTTTTATGACATTCCAATCGTTCTTGCGACACAAAGAAACATCGGTGTAAAACATAAGGTAGCACTAAAGCAACACAACAAGTATAATGAGTAAGGTTTGCACCTCATATCTGTCCATTGTAACGTACATTCGGCCTCCACCGGAGGCAACCTTGGCATCGATACCTTTCTCATTTAGCTTCGACAGATCCTTTTGAAGGGTTTCAAGAAAATTTACACTTGTCCCATCGAGGACATCGCGCCCATCCGTTAGAACATGGACACGAATTCGCTTGGCGCCACGCTCACCGACCCCTTTGAGCAACAACTGATGCAAGGATATGAAAGGTTGAGTTAGTCCCTCGTAAGGTCATAGACAGAGGATGATAATCATTAAACCTGCAAGAACATAGGACCTGCAACTGATCTAGCCTTGAGTGGACGCCGCCATCACTCAACAATCCGATAAGGTGAAGCGTTCCGTTTTCGAAAGACTGTTTGATGTACTTAAAGCCTTCTCCATCGAAGATTTTGCCAGTATCAAGAGCAATATCGACAAGCTTAGCACTAGATTCAGAGCAAAATTAAGCATTTCATCAAGATTTTATCTCAGATACTAAAAGCTTTTGATTGAATCAGAATTCAGAAATCTATAAGAACAGATGGATCATATGAGCCACAAATAAGGAATATTGAAAGCTGACCCTTGAGAAAAGATCCTCCCAGCGCCTAGGGCATTGTGGCCGACCTCACTATTGCCCATGTCGTCGTCTGTGGGCAATCCCACTGCCTTACCATGAGCCTTTATTAGCCTCCACTTATCAGGCTTTCCCTTTACAATAACACCAAATAACAATCCAGAAACTGTGACCTAGCTGCTACTACCAGAGGATAATTAAAATTACGGAGATGGTGACAAGGAGGTGAATTAGGGTTACCTTTTTGAGCGAATCCAGTGTAGGCGTCTCGGCCACATGGATGCAATTGTACTGATTGGGATTGGCCTCACCCCACCCGTCCAGAACCACCACCGCCAGGGGCTTCCCCTTCGGCAGCTTCGGGTGATCCTTCAGTGTCCATCCTGAGCTACTCATCTCGATCTTCTGAAAATTTAATTCATTTCAATATATACCAAATCAAAAATCCTGCAAGCAAACAGAAACTGTATATTGGTTAACATTGGACGTCGGAAAAAGCTTACTCTGCTGCTTAACGGGCTTATGAGTCTGTGAGGAGAATTGAGTGTAGGGGGGGAAAGGAGATTGTGAAGTGAGGAAATTATACAGTTATGGATGATGCACGTGGCAATGTTTACCTTCTGTGTGGAGATCTTTGAGGACGACTGCGCCATACCCCTTACGTTTGCTCATCACCAGGAAATTAGGGAGACGATCCGTAGTTTGTTAGATAAAGAAATACTTACAACTCAATAAAGACATTTTAATCAAAAATAATTTATAAAACAAAATTATAACAACATTTTTTGCAATTTTACAATTCAATTCTTCTTCCCCAAAAATACATGTTGAAAACAAAAGGGGTATATAATTGAAAAGGACACACGATATTGATTTTTTTTTTATTTTTTACATTTTGTAATGTTTTAATTTTTTATTTTTTACTTTTTGTTTTCGTAAAAAACCAGTTTTTTTTTTTTTTTTAATTTATTATTTTTTAAAAATCAAATCCCCATTATTAATACTCCAAAAATCAAACTGCAACTCAGCACCGCATTCCCAATCCTCCGGCGACTCGAATTGTCATCCGCCGGCGCATCATCGTCGCCGGAGTTTTCAGAATCATTCTCGTCGGCGGCGGATTTCGACGTCGGCGACATTGCTTCTGGAGCGACCTTGAACAGCTCCCTCGGCAGCAAAACCTTGTCGACCTTGTAAACCGCGAGCGGGTCATTGTCGACGAGAGTTCCTTTAATCGTCGCCGTCACAACTTTGGTCTGAATCTTCACGTCGTCGCCGTCGTTCTCCACCGTGAAATCGTACTTCTTCTTGCCGCCCTCGGTGGCCAGAGTATTGATCAATCCGTTGCTGGATCGGAGCGTCCCCAACGAATTGTACTCCGGCATCGCGTGGTAAAGCAACAGCGCAGTTTTCCCGTCGCCGGAGAGGTTCCTGAACTCAGGCATGAAGGACTTTAGGGTTTGGTCCGATGGACAGAAGACGGTGAGACCGGCGGCGAGGCTTAGCCGGAGAGTTTCCTCGACGCCGCCTTGGGCGGTTATCATGTCGGCGAAGGATTTGCAGCCTTGCTTCGCCATTAGAGAAGTTAAATTGAGGTCGGTCGGGGAGGCGGTCGGAGCTTCGGCCTCCGGCGACGTGAGAACGTGGCTGATATGAATGACAGAGATGTCGTACGGCAGATCCTCGACGGATTTAACCAACGACGCCATCGGGCTGTCGCCGCCGTCGTCGGCGGGGGAGAAACCGACTTTACCGCCCTTGTGGACGGTGATATTAACGTACCCCGACATTCCGGTGGCCTCTCCGGTGGCCTGGAAGAGGGATGAGGTGGTGGCGGAACCCTTGGCGATGCGGTGGAGCTTCTTCGCGCCGAAATAGTCGGCGAAGATGTGGAGCGAGAGGATGTTTTTGATGGTGGGGAGGGAGAAGTGTTTGGAGAGGAGATCGGACATGGCGGCGTTGTCGACGACGCAGACGGTGATGGTGCGGCGGCGGTTGATTTCGTCGGCGAGGTGAGTGGCGGAGAGGTAGTGGTTGAAGGTGGAGAAGTCAGGGTGCTTGGCTAGGATTCTGGTGATGTTGTGGCCGCCGCGTGCGGCGGCGACGGTGGCGGCGGCGGCAGCCAGGAGGGAGAAAATGAAGAAAATGTAGTTCATTGTGGAGAGTGAGAGAGAGTGGGGAAAGAGAAACAGAAACAGATGTAAGTAGCTAACCTAGCTAGGGTTGATGGATCGCCATGGATGAGATTAATAGAACGACGATGATGGAATGGAGTTGGGCAGTCAAGTGTGAGTGAAGTGTTCTTCTTACCAGATTGTAGTTGCAGGTAGATGATCGTGTAATTAATAGTACTAATAATTAACTTTATTAATTTGATGGAAATGTAAATGGGATCATTTATTTAATTATTTGGATTTGTTTGTTCCATATCATTTTAAACAGTGAAAATGTTAGATTTGGAAAATTCAGTATCATTCAAATCATCTCCGTCAACATACACACTCTTGTTATACACAATACATATGATATAATAAAAATATGTATCGTTAGTTTATAGTTATAAGTGTACTATATAACCGAATCTGGTGTGCTCAAATCAATTATTATTATTTGTATATATAAGAGTGTGTTGTTGGTTTATAAATACAAGTCTGTACGAGAGATGGACTGAGTGCTGATATTTTACAATCAGCACCACCCTGTTTAGTGTTGTTAGATGTTTGTGTAGTAATAGTATTATTACAATAATATTTAATTAATAATCCAAATTAATTAGCTGGTGGGAGGCTTTCAACCTTCCACAATAATCCAAATTCAATTACCACTGCTCAATTAATAATTGAATTAAGTGGACATGTCTTAATTATATTAGATTATTATTAATACCTTAATTTTAATTTTATTTATTTATTTTTTTATTTTTTTATGGTGGATACTCACATCCTTGCCACCTAATAATAAAGTTCTGAATAATTTTTTAGTGCTTTTAATTCATCAATTCATCACATATCATGATGATTGACGATGATGCCTTTGCTATCTAATAAATGCCAATAATACAAGGCGTAGTATACTTTTATATAAAAAAGTTGCGATTATCATATAATATTAAAAAAAAAAAGAAATAAAGAGAATAAAATCTTAAATTCAAATTTTATTTTACTAGCGAAGAAATTTATATAAAATTATACTAATATATTTTATTTTTTATATCACAACTTAAAATTTATTAATATATTTGATATACATTTTAAAATATAGAAAAATATCTACAATGTACACAGTATAATTAAATCAGAATTGTATGCTCTGTGTTTTGATTTGAAGTAAATTCTTTATGTGAAGTACAAAGAATGTATATAGTATATTAATTTTTTTTAAAAAAATAGATTGTAAATATTTGAAATGTCTATTAATTAGCTTCAATTTCATAGTATGTTGCTATTGTATAATTTTACATAAAATTGATATCAGAAATGAGTTTAAATAACAATCAAATACGTACAATTATTTTAAAAAAAATTAATTGCAGATAATATAATTAATTATTTTAAGTGGAGAAAGACAACTTTTTGCAATTAATACTAAAACAAGTCTAAAGAGATGAGTAAACAATTGATTAGCACAAACAAACAGAAGAGGAAGTAAAGTAGCGACCGCATGGTGCTCAAATACTGCTACAAATCTGCCGTCTCCAATAATATCAATCGGTAGCGAGCAGAGAGAGAAGAAGTTTGGAATCTGATTGCAAGATCTGATGACGACGCAGATGATGATGATGAGGAGAGACAAGAAGATTCGACAGAAGAATGTTATAAAATCTTCAGATCTACATCCACGTAAACGTAAATGGTAATGGTAATGGTAATAGTAATAGTAATGGTGTGTGTTTGGTTGTTGGTTTATTGCCATTTGATAATATCGTGAGTTTGACTGATGACAGAGAGACAACTCCCGTATGAGCTCGAAGTTTCCTAAACCATCCATGTCTTGTTTTTTGTGTGCGTGCGAATAAAGTTTACAGATAGATTTATGATAATAAAAAATAATATTTAAATTAAAAGAAAACGAGAATGCCTTCTGTTCGGTATTTATCCTTCCAATGCTAATTCAGCAAGGAACTTCGAATTATTCACATTTCTAAGTCGGCCCGGCCCCCCCTTGGCGAAATCATTGCCTTCTCTCAATTTCTTGATCTGTTGCCGTTGCCGTTGCCGTTGCAGGTTCTCTGCGTCCACGCCTCCGGCTTCGCTTGGATTTCGGCTCTTTGATTGATGCGCTCCTGGATTTTTTGTGAGTCTGTGTTGATTGTGATTGTAGTTTTGGTAGATTGCTGGATTCCCTTGCTAATTGCAATCGGTAATTCCCAATTGGAAATCGAACTGGAGTTGAATCAGAATCGGAGCCCATGTATTGTTTTACCCAATTTTGATTGAACCCTAGTAGAGTTTAATCGCCACGATTCCCATCCGGAATTTTAAAAAGATTTATTTCGAGCCACTGCCTGCAGTTTTGTTTTAAGTTTAAGCATGTGATCGAGGGATATTTATTAGTTTCTTGTCCCTTCTCCGTCCTTTTTTGATCGTTTTTGTTTTTGATGCAATGTCACTTCACCCTCATAGAAACAGATGACATTTCGGATACTGGTTGAGCCCTGAAATTGTGTGATTGCTTATCTATGTCCTCTGTCTGTGGTGCACACTAATGTGGATTGGATGAAGCATTTACTCATATCTTGTCAGAAAATCGTTTTTCTTTTTTCTCCTCTCATGGTCGTGTCAGAGTAGTACTATTAATTGCAGTATATTGCAATGTGTGTGTAGTGTATTGCTTGCCAATTACCTGATTCTAAATGTTTTACTTTTTCTACTTATACCATTATGCTCGCATCAGATTTGATATCTAGAGCTACAGTCACTTGTGATCAGTAGAAGCTGATTTTACTGTCATCATGTAAACGGGATAGGTCTTTAAAGCATCAAGCCACTTTCTCATTGTGCATTTGCTAGAATGGCTTCAGGTTATCTTATATAGTTGGATTATTACTATCTGTTAGGTTGTGTTGTATTTTATCACTTTGATACAAAATTCTGTTACTGTATACCTAATTGGCACTTGGGCGTAGAAAATCCAGGTTTGAGGCTAAATTTGACTTTATTAGGACGAGAAACTTCAGTAGCTCTGATGAGTTATATGTCAGTTATACAAGATTCAGGAACTGAGTCATTTTGACTGATTCCATCTATTATCCTGACTCTTCACTTACTCCATTTCGCAACATATGTTGTTTAAAGATACAAAGTTGCCTCACATGATGCTGTTTTGGAAACTTCAAGGTAAAAAAATAAATTTATTTTAATTTTACTTTAGATGTTTAGACTTCCCTTCCTTTCTTTCGCTTCATTTATTAATACAATTTTAATGGATAAGAGTAACTTTGTAATTATAGTCATTCATTAATGTGTAAAAATTTTTAAATGACATATTAATGAGAGGGAGTGTCATTTACAGTGCGACTATAATCTAAGCTAGCTAAAAATAGAAATTGTTTTACAAACCTGTTAATATAATGATTTTGAGCTTCTATAAAATGCAGCAGGAAATGAATAATGAATTTAGACCAATATAATGGCTTATGTATGACCAAGTCTGCTGGGTTATTCTTTCTATGAATCATTTTTCATATAAAGATTTTTTTAGCTTTTACCCTAAAAAGCCCAATGAATTTGTGAAAGCAGCATTTCTATAAGAGGTGCATTTAGCAATGAATTATCCATATATCACAATGCCGGGGTGTACCTATGTTAAGTTTGTTGAGATATTTCTGGGATGAATTGTTTCTTTTATTTGAAATTCTTTTCTTTCAAAAGAAAAAACATGAAAATACATCCACACTTTGGTGTGTTGGTTTAGCTAACCAGTACCAGGCAAGTTTAAATGGTTGATCTTGATTCAAGCTTCAGTAGTTTGATTTGCTCTATGATCCTGCGTGTTGCAAACGTTCTCTTCTTTGAAATTTTTGACTGATATAGTGGATTTATCACTCACCTTTAGGCTGTATCATCTGTATTTTCGTGAGTATGTTTATGTTTGTGTTGGCCAACTTTCAAATTTAATGGAGCAGGATAGTACCTATCATGCTTGGAATGGCATATTAATCCTAATGCATAAGGATGTAAAGCCTCTTATGTTTGTATTCTCAATCACTACTATCAAGTGATGGTTAGATTCCAGATAATTGGTTTGTGCAGTGAAGATAAAAGTTGTCAGTCAATCTATGCTCTGCACACTTCTTCACTTTTCATCTAGTACTGCTTCCCAAGTTTGATTCTTTTTTCAGGAGATTAAAGTAATTTTATTGATAAAGAAGAAAGAATAGAAATAGTGCTTTTTAGTTATCAATGGCTAATGATGTACTTTTTGACAATCTCTCTCTTTCTCTCTCTCTCTCTTTTTAGTTTTTAAAATACTTGAATGCACTCTCATCCAATGTATTGCAGGTTCCATTGATATTCAACAAGACATCTGATGTGCTTCATGCTCTTTGGTTACACATGTTATTGTTATTATTAGAGTTGCCTCAAATATCTGTTACTACCTTTTAATGCTCTTTGCAGAATTATATCTGTGATCTATTGAAAATTTGACGAGAAATTTTCCAATTCAGATCGTTCTGCTTCTTTGGTGGGTATATATATATGGGCTGAAGTGTGCTTTTCATGGGAGGTGTAGAGGATGATGGGCCACCCTCAAAACGTGTGAAAGTGTCCTCTGAAGAATCAAGAGGTCTTTCCAACGGTGTCTCTGTTAGAGAGCAAGGAACTTGCTCATTGAGTGGCTCAATGGCTCGGCTGATAGTATCTCAAGATGATGAGGAAACTGTTGGTTCAAAAGGTGTCATTAAGAAAGTTGAACTTGTTCGCATTATATCTGAGGCTTTATATTCTCTTGGCTATTCAAATTCAGGGGCACGTCTAGAGAAAGAGTCGGGAATACCCCTACACTCATCCCTAGTAGATTTGTTTATGCAGCAGATTGTTAATGGTCAATGGGATGAGAGTGTTGCAACATTACATGATATTAACCTAATAGATGAAACCATAATTAAGTTGGCATCATTCGTGATATTGGAGCAGAAATTTTTTGAACTTCTGGATGGTGGAAAAGTCATGGATGCTTTGAAGACTTTGAGGAGTGAGATTTCACCACTCTGTATAAATGATGACAGAGTGAGAGAGTTGTCTTATTTCATTTTATCACCAGCACGGAATTTACTTGATGGATCTTCTGGTCAAGAAACAAGGGTCAAGTCTCGAAAAAAGCTACTGGAGGAACTGCAGAAATTGCTTCCTCCAACAGTGATAATTCCAGAACACAGGTTGATACATCTTGTTGAACAAGCGCTTGACTTGCAAAGGGATGCATGTAGATTTCATAATTCTTCTGTTGGTGAAATGTCATTACTCACTGATCATCATTGTGGAACAGATCAAATTCCCTGTCAGACATTGCAGGTAATCAACTGCACCCCTTGGAAAAGTAGAAGGTCATACTACTACTAAAGTTGCAGCATAATTCATGTTGTTAAATTGTTTGTGCTTCAACGTACCACCATGAAAGGAAAAATAAAAGTTGAAAAAGAAAAAGAGATTGTATTCTGCATCTATTAAAGCAAGGTTTTTATATTTGGAATGTAAAGAATTCCCATGCAGACTCAAGTGTTATTTTGATTAGAAACTTACGGATATATTTTAAGATAGAACATATGCTTGCCTCTTTCTGGAATATCCACGTACTCTTAGAAAGGTGATGATTTTCTTAGAGTCCCATTGCCCATTCTCAATGCTTTGTCCCTTGGAGTCACAAATAATATTAGAGGACTTGGTCATGAGACCCATATTTCACATTGACAATCCATTTGTGGTTCAATAAAATCTCTGTGAGGTTTTCAAAAGTGTTTACAAAACTCTGCTATCTGTGGTTTTCCCTTCAGTTTTTATTTCAATCACTGTGTTGCTGATCCTTCATTCCAAAAAAGTATACTGTTATTTACTGCTGAATCGTAACCTCCAGTTCATAAACAATACCTTTTCACAGGCAGTTTTACTTGAAGTTACCATGAGCCAGTGTAATTTTCTGTATAAAGTTGTAGCATGTCAAATGTTTCTACTTGAGAGTAAACAGAAGCAGAGGTCTGATTCCTAAGGGGATTATCAGGACATATATTGTGGATGAGAAATGGGGAATGGACATCTAGTTACTTCTACTTTACTAGTTTACTAGTCTTGTTGACTGCTGATTTGCAGTCTTTACTGGTGTAGCTATCATGTCTCTTGGTGGTATTTCATAATTTTTCTTACAAGATTATTAATTGACTCTGGTGTTCAGTTATTGAATCATCATGTTGGATAGTGTGGGTCTTACTGAACCCTAAAAGATGTTATCAAACTTTGGTTTCAAGTTTTGATTTGCTTTTGTGTGGAAAAGTCTGGGAGGTTTTATGCATTGTAAAAAAACTGAAAACAAGTGTGCTTTTTAAGGCACATCTGAGAAGGAAATCCATTAGGAAAACCTTTTTACCATGATATGATTAGCTTCTGGTTGAAACTTTTACTGCTAATGTGGGCAACCCTACTTGTGTCCTCTGCAAAGGAGTGTGCTTTTGAAATTTTTTTAAGAATAATCAAATTTGGTTTCTGTTATTTATGGTGACCAAAAATTTGCCCTATCAGAATGGAAAATGTGTGAATATTACAGGTTTTGATCTGTTTATTTCCTTTGTGTTTCAGTTAGTTAGTTTTCATTACCAGTTTCTGTTGTTTCCTATACCATCTTTGTCAAAAGTCATTCTGGATTGAGGCTCAGCGTCCAAGTTATATTCATCTTGTCTGCTGTTGCTAAATAAGCCGTTATATTGTTTCATCTTTAACTGATATGCAGAGGATTCCTTTCTGCTCGCACATGATCCAACAAATTGGAAATGCATGAATTAATTGTGGTGGTGAATGAATGGTTTAGCTTGGCCTTGCTTGTGTCTAAAATTGAAGTATGTGCCAGTGAGTTTTTAGGCAATGTATACATATATAAAGCGATGCTTTAAAGTAATTGTTGGTTTTATCCTTGTGTTAAGGTTTCATATTCTTCAAAATATATTATATACCTGGTATTGATAGAATGTTCTTTTACCATGTAGTTTTCTTCTTTGAAAGCCACTATCTTTTATTTGATTATGGCTTTTTTTTTTTCACCATCCAGATATTGAATGAACACAATGATGAAGTATGGTTTTTGCAATTTTCTTATAATGGGAAGTTCCTGGCATCATCATCTGGAGATGGTCTTGTGATTGTATGGGAGGTAATAGTTCTGGTTCTTCATTTTGTTTGTGAATTTATTTATTATTTATTATTTTCATTTTCATTATTATTATTATTATTGATTTATGATGACATGTGTTTGGCTGCCCTACATATCTCAAACTCTAATGCACCTTTTACTCCCAGCGAAAGAATTAAAAAAGAAAAAAAAACTAGAACTGTTTTTTTACTTCAATGTCAATGCGTTCAAGTGACACATATTTTCCAACCCACACTGCCTTGACCCTTTCTGGTTGCAGTTTCATGGTTTTTTATTTTGATTAGGTTAAGGACAATGGTCAGCTTTGCTTAAAACATAGATTATCTGGTCACCAGAAGCCAGTTAACTATATTTCATGGAGCCAGGATGATCATCAACTTCTTACTTGCGGTGTAGAAGAGGCAGTTAGACGATGGGATATTGCATCTGGTGAATGCCTCCATGTATATGAAAAAAATGGTCTTGGTTTGGTTTCTTGTGGATGGGCTGTAGATGGGAAGAGTATATTTTCTGGAGTTACTGATAAAAGCATCTGTATGTGGGATCTAGAAGGGAAAGAACTTGAATGTTGGAAAGGGCAGAAAACTAATAGGATTGCAGACTTGGGAATCACTGCTGATGGCAAAGAGCTTATAACTGTTTGTAAAGAGACCACAATAATGCTATTTGAATGGGAAACAAAATCTGAGAAATTCATTGAAGAGGACCACCCCATAGTTTCATTTGCACTATCTGGAGACCGAAAGTATTTACTTGTTAGTCTATTCAATGAAGAGCTTCATCTTTGGAATATAGATGGCCATATGAAGCTAGTGGCAAAGTTCATAGGACATAGACGATCTCGTTATGTTATAAGGTCATGTTTTGGTGGACTGAACCAAGCATTTATTGCCAGTGGAAGTGAGGACGCACAGGTTCTCTTACTTTTCTCACCTTGGCTTTGAATATCAATGTTTTTTCTGCATTTATGTTATGCTGTGCTTTTGGCTCTTATTACTTCTGGAGTACCGGTGGAACAGAATGCTCCTAGTTGCCCTTTGAAGAGCAAACCATTAATCCTTTTCAATATGCTTCTTGGACAAAATCATTTTGATGGTTGTGGTTTTATTGTATGTTATTGTTTAATACTACTTCCGTCCATTTTCTTTTGTTTGCTTTGCTTTTGGCGTGGCTTTTTAAGTAGTATAATTCTGATAGATTTTTTAATATTTTGCTCTTATTTTTGTTTGAAGTAATTTTGTAAATTCTATTTATAAAAAAATAACAGCGGGATGGAGGGAGTATGTTATGGTGCTGAAAGTGGTAGTAAAATTATATAACTAGAAGCATGTAGCACCTGCATTTCTTCTTTATGAAGCAACTAAAACCATTACCTCTTGATGCTAGAACATGTGCTTTATTACAAGAATTCTGTATACCATCATCTTTAAGTCAAATACTGATGTTTAACTTGTTATACTTTACAACACCACCTGGTATTTTTAGCTGTAGGTTCTTGTATTTAAATATTCAATGCTACTGTTTTTGGCTAGTTAAGTGTTCAAATTCTAATTCTAGCAACACAAATTTTATCAACACTAGTGCATCTCATATATCTTTGTCGCAATGTTTTGTAATGTACATATCTGATGATTGGATACCGTATGTAGGTTTACATATGGCATCGACTCTCGGGAGAGCTGATTTTAACTTTGCCTGGACATTCGGGTGCTGTGAACTGTGTTAGCTGGAATCCATCAAATCCCCACATGCTGGCTTCAGCAAGCGATGATCGAACCATTCGCATATGGGGATTAAATAGGGTAAATATGAATTCTAATGGGTTGCATAGTAATGGCAAGCACTGCTGCAATGGAAAGTCTTGAGAAGTCTCAAGGAGTTAACCACCAGCCTGTTAGGCACCCACCCGACATCGATGTTGTGTAAATCCTTGTACTTTTTATGTTAATCAAACGTTGGTGAATGCAAGAGATACTGAACTTGCATTTAACACAACTCATCTCAACTCTATACATTTCATTTTACTATATATTTGCTGGTAAATTCTTTCATTTCATGAGTCTAGTTGAAAGTAGATATAATTTAACTTCGCCTGATTTGTCACACATTGGAACACCGCTCACGGCGCAGCGCCCGACACATGTTGTGTGGATGCATTACTGTGGTTGAAGTTCCTTTATGGCAAAATTGTTGTAGCAAAACAACCATACCATTCTAATGTCTAGTACTGTGACACAGGAAATCGTCGAAAGAAAATTGCAGAGTATTATAGAGACAAGAACTTGAAAAAACTAGAGTGGCTCGATGCTGCGCAGGAGCTCACCGTTTCCTAACCTTATGCATTGCGCCACGCCCCTTAGCAGACGACGAGGAGCAAGAAGACGATGAGATGCCCGCCAAGTTATTTTCGGCCATGTCTTTGCTAAACGCCCTCAGAACCTCATCCTTGAGTTCTATGTACCGCATCCTCTTCTTCACCTGTTCCTCGGGTGTGCCGGTGTCCAACAGCAGACTACCTAGATTATCATCCTCGAGGAGCCGGTCCAGAACTTCCGAGCAGTTGGGGAAGTATCGCCGGCCTGTGTCCACTGCCATTGTTCGAAAGAATGCATTCAGACCAAACAATCACGAGCAACATCGATCGCGATTCAAAGGTAGTCGATTACCAGTTTTTTGCAGTGCTTGCATCCTCTGCTGCAGCTTTCTCACTTGCTCCGACGGAATCTCGTTCAGATCGACCTCCCGGAAATTCCTGTATGAGACTTTAGACTCCGCGAGGCCGGAAAACTCCAGCGTCGCGTCCGCGTGCGCTATCTGCATCGCGACCCTCGCTTCATGAGGAAACAAGGATCGCGCCATCGCCACTGCCAAATGCAACCCGGTTTACTTACATGTCTTATAACACGATCGATCGTATGACAGTCGGAATTTTTACCTCGATTCTCCAGGTATAGAAGCCTCATGTGCAGATCATCGGCAGCCATCGTCGAAGACGTCAACATGCTCCCCGCCAACGGATCCCGTCCCAACTCCCTCATCAGAACTTCGATGCACAGCCGGTCCTTATTAGTCTCCTCGCCGTGCTTTGCCACCGCCTTGAAATCTTTCAGGCGCGTCAATCTCTGGCAGATGGTGACCGCCGTCTGTCCCTCCGGTGTGGCGACCGACACAGAAGCCCCCTGGTCGAGTAACTCGACCACCACCGACGGATCCTTTCGCCTCGCAGCGACGTGAAGCACCGTGTAGCCCCGCGGATTCTTGAGGTTCACGTCGGCGTTCCCCAAGCTCAACACTTTGTTCAGAATTTTCGGGTTGCAATACGCCGCCGTGTAGTGAAGCGCGTAAGCAGCATCCAACGAGATGTTAGACTCGGCCATGAGTAACTCGACGAGCTCGATATCATCCGAATCGAGCGCTCGATGAATCCTCTGGATTCTCTTGTTCTCCATGGAGTCTACGATCTGCGCCGAGTTCCCCTCCTCCTCTCGTTTCGACTTATCGCGAAGCGATTTGATCTCCGCGGCAACCTCCTGTGGAAGCTCCTTTTCGATCATAACGCTGTCGAGATCAGACCGCGCGATTCTCTCGACGCACTCCGATTGGAGCTGTTCCGATTTCGAATGATACGCCACCATGAGGATCGGAATGACGTCTTCTGCGAAAGCTTTTCCGATGTAGTTGAGTAGGCGACGCTGCAAGAAAGGCGAGACGAGTTAAGACAACGACGATGCACGGAAAGTACTAAAAAAACATCGGTCGATTACGACATCCGGAATCACCTCGACAACGGTCACGAGCTCTTTAACATGAAATGCATGAGAAGCATACATCATCTCGACGGCGTAGTTGATCGCCGGACCACAGGCGTCGTGCGCACACGACACGTCGACGCAACTCGACACCTCCGGCGGTGACGACTTAACCTTTCCGGTGTACAAATATTTCAGAACAACCATCGTCGCCTCGTATCCTACCTTCCCCTGAGGTACTAATTCGGACATAAAAAACCTCGGCTTCCCTCCCCTGTCATCATCGGACTTCTCATCGGTCACGGCCTTAAATCGCCGATGGAAAAATGAGCTTCGCGCTGCCAAGATGCAGCGGTGCACGCCGACGGCGATCCCATCGACTACGATCTCTGCATCGGCATAATCGTATTCGACATTTTCGACTAAATTTTCGAGACAATAACTTAATTTACTCAAGCTTAATAACTCGAGACTCGCCCCTCCTTCGCCGGCCGGCGGCGCCGGGACAACGTTGTGAACGCTCGAGCCATTCGACAGATACGAGGACGAGGCGAAGCTTAAGGACGATGACATATCATTGCCGTTTTCCATGTGTAAGAAGAAATGGACTTACGATTACATTCTAAAACAGCAGCACCATCGTCGATGAATCAAAAGAAGAATGAATCTGTGCAAATAAATGCAGCATTTCATCAACACATGAAACTTGATGAATCAATCGATAAATTAATAAATCCTCAATGATGGTAACAGGATCGCAGTGAAGCAAAAGACAACCTCAGTAGAAATTTCTAATTACAAATACTTTAGGACATCTTACCATATTTGATTTTGTTACCAAACCAGGCAGTGATACAAAAAGGGAAATAAATAGAAGCACACCCCAAGATAAAAATCAGGTACAAACCCCAGTTGCTTCATTTTCAAGCAAAACCCAGTTCTCAGAAACATTTTTTTTAAAAAAAAAAAAAAAAAAATTATCTGAAAATAAATTGCCCCAATCGGAAACAGGCAACAAAGCCCAGAGCATTAAAGGTCAACTCCCTGTGTATTTGATAAATCATAAGCTGGAAACCCTAAATTAAAGAAAGGCAATAACATTTTTTGCAAGTTTGGAAGTGAAGGTGAAACCTAACCCGGAAAGGAAGAAAAACAGCTGGCAAGATTTCAGCTCAGCTTTTTCATGGCGATTTCTTGCAGCCTGCGAGGATCGGGTCAACGGTGGGCGGAGATAAACCTCATCAAGAAGACATGGAGCAGAAAAGAATTAGAAGAACAGCAGAGAAGTTTGAGATTAAATGTAAATTGGTTGGAAGATCAGTTCTGATCTAAGCTTGAATTCACTCGACTCAGGTCCTGAGTTGACTTGCTGGAAATTAAAAGGTAAGAACGTACAAAATTATATAAATTAAAGCAACTGTATGGATGGATAGATTGAATGAGGGTTTGGGAATTTGGTGTAAGATGAGCAATAATTGGGTTTTCTTGTTCAGACAAGATTGTATATATATAGATTCACCTGTTCATTGCATCTATCTCAGTTGGATATGGTGGATTCTTTCTTACTTAATATTATTAACTAACATTCTTTCTCTCTCTCCTCTTTCTCACTCCGCGTATGATGCGAAACAGTCACTGGGCATATGCTTGGAAACTTCTTCTTGGGGAAGTGCATGAAATTAAATGACCCTCCTCTCGCATAAATACCTTCCAAATTTTTTGACATTTTATTTTCTATCAAAATAGTAGTATCATATCAAAAAAAAGAAAAAAATTCTTTTAATTTTTTTTTAAAAAAATTTAATATATAATATAATATGGTAAATACAATTAAGTCAAAGAATGTATTTGTTTAATATTTTTAGTTTAAAATATTTTATATATTAGATATTTTAAAAAATACTATCTCCGTCCACAAACTAAGTTCCTAATTTTTTATTTGGGACGTCCAACGTTCAACAACTATTGTCCTATTTCGTTTTTAAAATACAAATTTTACATTTTTACCCTTCATTCATTATTATTTTTAATCTCTATCGTACAATTAAAGTCAAATTTGTCAATTTATAATAAAAAGACAATCACTTAAAAAATCGTGCAAATATACTTTAGAACAATAGAAATTTGAACAGAGGGAGTAATATTTTAAATAAAATTGTTGAATTTTATGTATAATATATGAACCGTGTAAGTATATATATTGTAATTTTTGTCATAACTATTTTGGGGTGAACAAATTAAACCCAGAAGTTATTGAACCAACGGTGATCAAGTATTGAAATGAATGGATGGATTATGATATGTGTGTATTATAAAGTAATGATTTGGTGTCTATTATTAGTTTATTGATTAAATCTCAGTTAAAATTAATTAATTAATTAATTAATTAGAAGCTAATTGAAGTTTTTTAATAAATATTGATTTGAAAAGTTTGAATGGAAAGAAGATAAATATGTGTTGGTCAAAATTAGGAGGTGTCATAATCACACATTCACAATCAACGAAAATGATTTGCATACCTTGTCTTTCTTTTTCTAGAATATTCAAATTAAATTAAATGCTGTCAGAACAACAACAATTCATTCTATATATTTATAGTATGTTCAAAAGAAAATTAAAACAGCTAAACTCCGCTATTCAGGTCACCTGCCACACGGTTCGCGCAGATTAAAATGAATTTAGGTTCGCTTAAGACAATTTTTTATTTTTATTTTTTTAAATTTCTTAAAATTATAAATAAATTTAAATTAGTATTGATTTAATATTTTATAAATATATATATTATATAATTTTTTTTAAAAAAAATAAATAATATTAAAATTTGAAAAAATATTGTGTAAAGCAGCTCTGATTAATAGAATGGTGACGAGCTGGTGACTGCATTCAGTACTCGGAGGTATGATGTCAGATTGAATTTAAGACACTATTATGCCTCTATTTTATTTACTTTATTTTTTTTAAAAAATTATTATAGAATATTTAATTTTCTTTTCTTTTACAATATACTATCGTACAAAGTAAGGTTGGGTTTGTTTGGGGTTTTTTTTTTAAAGATTTTTTTATTATTTATCAATTTTTTATTTTAAAAATATTAAATTAAATATTTATTTATATCACATCAAATTTAAACTCAAAATTAAACGAAGACAAACACACATATTTTTAAATTTTGAAAAAAAAAAAAAAAAGAAAAAGATTGAAACCAAACAAATACGGAGTACAAAACACACAGCGTGACACTAGTTAGAGAAATATAATAAACTTTTTTTTTTTTTCTGTCTTTTTAATATATTAGATTATTTTGAGAATTGTTAAATTTATATAAGAATAAGTATATAATTAGTATTTTAAAAATTAATAAATAATTATAAAAATGTAATAAGCTAATTTAAAATAATTAGCAAATAATCACCTGAGGAATAGCATACTACTAAGCTAGCAAATTAATTTAAAATAATAAACAAATAAATGAAGATAATATATATTGTGTTATACTCTTATATTATATTAATATTTGCCACTTTCACCTTTGTTGATTAGATCAAATTTCTATTGTGTTAAAATCATTATATAATTTGTTTAAATTAAGATATATTTTACTATATATAACTATATAATGTGCTATTTAAATATATGTTATATATTATATCAATATTTGCTATTTTTTTTATAGACATTTATAATTTTATTCAATCAACACGGTAACCGAAGTGTATATATAATAGACGTATACTTTTTTACTGTAAAAAATACTAAAGCTCTATTCGCACAACGCTTTTAGATTAATTGGATTTTTTGTGTGTGATACAAAAAATTGTGTCAAAAAAAAGAAAAGACAATAAGACTTCGATTCATACGAAATAAAAAATTGAGTCGAGGGGAGAGTATAATATATTTTTAAAATAATACCATCAATAATAATCCTAGACCACGAGCCATGAAGCACTCTAAGGGTGTGTTTGTTTGGAGGATTGAATTTTGAGTTGAGATTTGAATAGTAAAAATTTTGAATTTGAATAGTTGTATGATGTGACATAAATAGGTATTGATGTGATGTTTTAAATATAAAATTGATTTTTAGTATAATATAAAAAATGAAAAATAGGTGTTTGATTTGATGTTTTTGGGGGGAAAAAAATTGAATGAATAGTGAAATTAAAATCCAATCCCCTAACAAACACACCCTAAATTTGAATGTCAGATATTTAAATTTTAATTTAGTATTAGCTCCTAAATCTTTTACCTGCTGACATCTTAAATATTGGACTCCAAATAATAAACCGTAAATTAATATCAAAATCTTGCAACTTTTTAATTTTAATTGCATATTTTAATAATAAAGATATAATTCTTTTTATTTTTTTATAATATAAAAATTCGTAAACGCTACTCAAATGTGCATATATATAATAATAATAATAATAATAATAAAAGACCGAGTGATTAGTCATGGGCCACACTCAGATTTATGTAGACGGGCTTAGTGAAATTTTATCTTATTCAACTGAAGATATAAAAAAATAATCGTTATGTTCTTAAGAAGTTTTAAATTTATCTTCACATACATATATTTTTTTAATCTCAAATTATAAATTCATTTCAAATAAAAATCAAAATTACACTAAGGTGTGTTTGTTTGAAGGATTTGAGGGGATTTACACTATTCATGTCAAAATTTCTCCCAAAAACATCAAATCAAATACCTATTTTTTTTTATTTTTTAGATTATACTAAAAATTAATATTACATTCAAAATATCACATCAATACATATTTATATCATATCATAAAACTATTTCAATTCAAATTTTTTACAATTCAAAATTTCGATCCAAAATACCCTTTGTTTGGAGGATTAGATTTTCAATCCATTGTTCATCTCATTTTTTCCCCTTCAAAAATATCAAATCAAACACCTATTTTTTATTTTTTAATTTATATTAAAAATTAATTTTACATTTAAAACATCACATCAACACCTATTTATATTACATCATACAACTATTCAAATTCAAAATTTTTACTATTCAAATCTCAACTAAAAAACTATGCAAAGATTAAACCATGCACAAGTAATGGGTCATCATTGGGGATATGGAATTTGTTCTTTGTATGTTGTACCCAATATAATTTTCAATAACATACCTATATTTTTAATAAAATATATTATTTTATTTTACAAAATGTTGAAATTTCCGTTTGTATATAAATATATTAATGGTATATTTTCTTTAACGGCTCGAGCTTTTATATGAAATGATTATTCTGCATAAGAAATTTTTAAAAAAGAAAAAATTAAAGAATATCTATAAAATAAAAAGTAGCTAGCTAATTAGTACGATATTATACGATATACTTGTATATATGTATTGTGACGATTACATCGCATATATAGATCAAAACACAATATGCATTTAAAAAAAGGAAAATCTTAAATATAATCAACAAATTCAGGTAGCTAGAAAAAGATGTAATTTAACTAAGCAATGTAGTATTATTTATTTATAATAATAAGTATATATATATGTATATATGATTAGGACATGGTTAGGTTAAGGTTGATAGGAGCATATTGGAGGGGATGACAGCTGGCCGATTCATGAAAGCTTTCGAAGCTGCTGCTGCTGCTGCTTCTAGAAACACAAGACCTGTTTATCCCTAACCCTAACCCTATGCTGCTGACGTCATTGTTTGTCCATATCTCCTGCACCTCCTCCATCCTCGTACTGCTACTATTATTATTATTGTTGTTGTTATTGCCATCTTTGCTAATTATTCTCCTGCTATCCTTTTCGCCCTGGAATTAATTAAATTAACCATATTTTAATTTATATATAAATAATATATATATGGGAATTTAATTTAATTTAATTTAATTTAATTTTGATATGGTTTGTGACCTGTACTGGGCATAGATTTTCAGAATATGGATCGAATTTTCTTGTTTTTCCCTCCTGACAAGTAGTAGATGCTTGTTGTCTCTGAGTTGGTACATCTGTGAATCCTCCTTGCCAATAAACTTCCCTGCACATTATATATATATATATATATTTCTGTTTAATTTCTAAAATTGAATTTATAAATTTAAAAAAAAATAAAATAAAATTTTGTCAATCAAATCTTTATAGGCATCCGCACGTATGACCATTTCAACGCTTATCTTCTTCACAATGTGGTCGAGTTTCATCTACAGCTACTCATGAGTTCTTGGAAATATAAGTAAACTAGCTAGGTAGATCGAATTTGATTACATATCCCATAATTAATACACGTGGAAATGTACATATGTATGTGTTTAGGCTTAGCTATCTCCTACTACACTAGTTAAACTGTGTATTTGTTGACTCTTAATTTCCATCATAAATAAAGTGAAAAGGATCGATCATAGTTTCCTATGTACGATAATTTACTTAGTAATATTATTACATAATTACTTACTACAACATCCTATCCTATCCTATCCTATCCTATCCTCTCCTCTGTAGTGTGTATATATATATATATATATAGAAAGAGAGAGAGATCTAGAGAGAGAGAGAGAGAGAGAGGCTTACTGTAGAGGGAGATCCAAGGTGATACAGCACTCTGCAGGTTTGTTAGTTCTTTTAGACTTCTTTATTGCAATAATCTTGTTTAAATCGATGGATTCCTTCGTGCTCCTGTACATCTGCATGCATTCCTCATCATCAATAAATAACAATATATATATATATATATAAATTACATATACTTTCATCAAAATTTATTTTTTCACATGCATTATTGCAAGAAAGAAATGTCCATTCTGTCTAGCAATTATAACCTATTCCCACTTATTTTTTTTGGGAATTATATATGTAATATTATGTATTATGATTTTCCACGAGTTATGTGATTTAGATCTAAGACGTATTGAATTTTTGTAAAGTATTATGAAATGTATGATTGAGTCTTTCCGCAATTATTTTTTACTATTTGGAGTTCGCTTTTCTAAAAAAATAAAAAATAAAAAATTATTGTTTCGTATCAAACATTAATAAATAAAAATTTTAAATCTTCAAATTCAATTCAAACAGAAAAGAAACACACAAATGCCTAATTGTCTTGAAGATGTGTTAGCAATCGTGTTTAATTTGATGAGAATATGTAAGTTGTCACTTTATTTAAAAATACAACTCTAGAATAACAATGATCATTATTTTTTTACGTGCTTGTGTTTATTATTAATGGGATGATCAACAAAGCTAACATTTGATTAAAAAATAATTACCAAAATCCAAAATGCATTGGATATATAACCTTTGCATTTTGCAATTACAGATTATATTAAATCACCATGTAAAGAATGGTTAGGTAAAAGTCCAATTTAAACAAAAGGGGTGTACTTTTTTTATTATTATTTTGAAGATATTAATAATGTTAAAAGTCTCAAAGAATGAAAAAAATGAGTATTAAAAGTACGCCCTAGGTTAAGGCAAACCTACCTAGCTACTGCCTATACCTACGTTGTTATTAAACATTGTCTAAATAATTCCAACTTTCATTTGCATGTTATTAAATTTTAACCAAGAATTAGTTGTGAGTCATAAAGATTATTAACTGCATCTGGCTAATGAAATTAATTTAAATTAAATTATTTTTTTTTTACCATTCCTGAGCAAGATTGCTGGTCTATTCTAATAGTATGTGCATAAATTGCAAAAAAACTATGTAACTTTTGTAATTTAAAATGGTGAATTTCCTCGTATTACTTATCTTTTAAATATAATGATTAGTTTTGCACCTTCATTTGCAACATTTTTTTAATGGAATCCCTTCAAAACTACCTTCTCAATTAATTATTACTGCTGTCAAACTATTGAATAAATTCATTGAAAACTATATATATATATATATATATATATAGATAGATATTACAGACCTGGAGATGACTTTTTATATGAGAAATTCCAAGCCCTCGAACACCCATCATTTGCAGAATCCTCTTTGGGGTTGCTTCTGTGAAATTCGATCAAACAGGGAATTTCATTATTAATAATCTCAATTTGATCATGATGACGATCTATAAATTACGATCGTATGAAACCCTAATTATTTTCTTCCAACATATGCAGGAGAAATTAAGATCAAAGAATAGTTGTTATACAATCATATCATGTTTCATTTCTAATTAATTCCAGACCCACAAAGATCATGTAAATAATTAATCGAATAGTGAAAAAATAAAAATAAAAATGATCGATGAAGGTAAGCTATTAATTAATTAAAGTAATTACAACTTACTGTGCTTCCCTCCAAGCTTACGAACAGCTTCAACAAAGTGATCGTGAAGCTCAGGCGTCCACCTCATCCGAGGAATCAATGATTTCCTGTATTTCCGAACCCTACTTCTGTGAGAATTTTCCATTTAATTAACTCTCTCTCTCTCTCTCTAGAATGACTACAAACAGTAGATATATAATGCTAACTACAAGGGGATATATATATATATATCGAATCGAATATAGAGGAGATGGATAAAAGCAGAGAGTGGATATATGATTGTAGGTATATAGAATGATATATATAAGAGAGAGAGAGAGAGAGAGAGAGAGAGAGAGAGAGAGAGGAATTGAAAAACTGTGAAGATGACGTTTATATAATTGCGGCAGAGGAAGAAGAAGTCGGGGAGTATAGACTTTTTTGGATGTGCGTGTACGTTTTGCCCACCATACATTTCATTCCTTTCTTTCTTCTTTTTTATTACATACAAACTTACATACATATTATATATATATATTACAAACTGGATCCTCTCTCTGGTTAACATTCAATATCCTCACACAGATAATATGTATACATACACATATATATATTATACATATATATATATAGGACGTCTCGAACTTTTTTGGGTCCTGATTAGCATCGATTGAACAATAAATTTTAACGTGACATTCTTTGCATGGTAAATTTGAGAAAAAAAAGATGAAAGATAATTATTCGGAAGTTCGAAAAGCGAAAATAACTGAGTGAGGATGAAAGAGATAAAAGAGAGAAGGTGTGCGAGTTTGGTCTGAGTTGGTGGACATAGTGTGATAGGATGTGATATAAGAATCGTAAACAACGATTAAATTTGGAAAGATGAGATGACACCGGTTAAAAAGAAGAGAAAAAATATATATAATTAAAATTTTAAAATTTATTTGAATAATTATAAAGAAAAAAAAATATAAACTACTGATTAAAATTTAATAATAATAATAGATAATATTTTAAAATTCCCCGAACAATCGCTTACACATTATATATATATATATATGTAGAGATACAAAGATAAATTTATTTTTGAGAGAGAGGATTATGAGTATATATATATTATATGTATGTGTGCATGTAAAATAATGTGTAATTTCTTTTTGGGTGACTTTTTAAGAGAGAATTTTGAATAAAAGACACGTAAGAATTGAATGAATTATGAAGTGGTTTTGATAAGGGCCGCCTGCCCGCCCCACCTACGTACAGTCAAACTTATCAATCAATGCATGCTTTTATTTTTTTTATTTATTTATTTTTATTAACATTCAAAATTCTTACGTATTGTTTGATTTGATGCAACCGCCCAGTTTACCATTTTTTTTGAATATTTATTTTGCTCATTGCTTCATCCCAAAAGTGAATATACTACATTTGTTTTTTAATTGAAATGGTGTGCTTACTTGTGGTTTTGTATTTTGTATTTTGACGATAATCTATTTTAAATTAAATACACAGTGTTTCTTTTTTCTTTTTTTCTTTTTTTTTTTTTTAAAAGGTAGGAAAGTGTAAAATTATATAACTTAAAGCATTACTTTTCAATGGGTTAATTGAAATGTTTTAGTTCTATTCACTTTGAGTTTTTGTAAAATATACTAATTTTTTAAATAAAAATATCAAATTTAATTAAGTGTGAAAATGATGAGGAAAGTAGGAAAGCTCTTATTATTGTTGTCGTTGTTTTTGGATAAAGTGATGTCTACAAGTGTTACGTTGTTGGATGTCAATTAATTAATACTCCCTCCGTCCCAAACACCGTGCAACATTTCATTTTTTGTTTGTCCCAAACTCACTGCAACATTTCTAAATTTAGAAATAATTAATGATATTTTTATACATATATTAATATACACTTCACTTTATCCCATCACATCACTCAAATAAAAAAAAAACAAATAATCATTTCTCTCTCCAATCACATCACTTAATATCCAAATTATCTCAAATTACCATATTTAATACTCTCCACCTAAATTCCGGTGCCAAATACAAATGTTGCACGGTGTTTGGGACGGAGGGAGTACTAAAAAAACATTTTATGTCATTAATTTTCAATATATCTAAGACAAACGGAAATTCCACTTGAAATTTCAAAGGCCACAATTAATGAATATATAATAAGCTCTATTTAACAAGCTAAGTAACTTAAATTAATTTTCATACACGTAAAAATTAATTGTTCACATCATTTTTGATGAGATATATATTATATTATATTGACATTGACGTGTGTGTATTTTATGTCAACTTTTGTAAGTTGTGACAAGGAATTTTGGTACGGTGCAAAAAGTTTATGTGAATGGACTTTTTTATGTACGATTTTTTGCATCTACCAAAATTCCATTCAATATATTGTACGTTTGGTGTGAGTTTATTTAATTGATATTTCTTCATAATGTAATATATATGCTTCAAAATATATTAAAAACATGGGTTTGAATGTTCTTAGAATTATATTTCAATAACACAATATTTAATATGAATATCATTTTATGAAAAATAAATTTTAATTTATATAATACAAATAAATTGAAATAGACAGTGTGTTTGTATTGTATTTCAAGAAGTAAAATAAAATATCACTAATTAATTAGTAAGATTTTCAATAAAAATACATGTTGAAAAATGGGTTCGGACTACTAATCACAAACTTGCAAACAAGGGTCAATTCCCCGAATAAATGCACACCAGTGTAATGATCAACATTTGAAGAAATAAAAATAAACTCAGAGTAATGGTAACGCAGTGTCAACGAAATAAATGGAGATGGAGATGTACCAAAATAATAAATGATACACGAGTTTATTGACTCAGTTCAGTTATAATTTGTACAGATTACAAGACTCAACAACTAAACACTCCTTCAACTCATTTCCTCTCTTATATAGCTTATCTTACAAATGTTTCACAGGTCACTGAGTTATCAATTCCTAATAACATCGATCATTCTAAACTAGTTTGAGAGTAATGCAACTTAATAACTAGCCGCTAATTCGGATCGAATTTTCATAAACTTCTTTCTCCAACAACTCTTCCGCCGAATTTGAATGAAAAAAATTAATTCAAAATATAAAAAAGTGAGGAACAAGAGTTGAAGGTTCGAAAGTAATTTCTCTGTCTAAAAAATTAAGATCTCAATATGCACACAGACCAACAACTTGTCCGAGGATAATTAAACAACCTCATTGTCGACCTTAGAGAATGACTCCAATTAATTCCCTTTATCACAATCTATACATTTTGTCTCTTCAAGGCTTCCGTTGGGTAGACACAAAGTGACGCCATTCGCACCGGTAGCTACCAACAAAAAGGCAATTGTTGTTTTTGTGCTCTACTAACGACGAGCATAGGTAATCTAGGTTTGTTCGTATACCAAACTAGAAAATAAAGTGTTATTTTTCTTTAATTGTATATATTATTTTTTTCTTACAAAATATTATATTAAAATATCATTTAAACAAAAATTTAAATGAATATTTAATTTCAAATCAATTTGAAATTTATCACGACTAAACAAACACGTAATCTTATACATGATCAATATCAATTAATTTTATAAACTATAAAAAGCTTTTAAATATATATAAATATATTCAGTTATTGGGGAAAGAGATGAACATAAAAAATAAAAAAAATAAAAAATTATAAGTGAGTCCAAATTAATGAAGGGTTTGTTTGTCAATTTTTTTTTCGATATAATTTATTAAACAAACAAACCGAAATATTTGAATAAAACATTAAGAGCATAATACGATTACCATCACATGGGAAGTAAGCCAACATATTTATTTATTTATTTTCATATTTATATTGACGGCTCACTTTATGAATTTATTTATTTTTTTAATAGAAAATGGGATATAGTGATTTTTTGAAAAAAATTATATATATTTTTTATAGAAATTAATAAAAGATTATATAATATATATATATATAAACTTTATGAATTTATTTATTTTTTTAATAGAAAATGGGATATAGTGATTTTTTGAAAACAATTATATATATTTTTTATAGAAATTAATAAAAGATTATATAATATATATAAATAGTATTTAGCGATAAAAAATAATTAATATTTCTATTGACTATTCCTGTAATAATATTACAGCACGTGTCTTTTATTTATTTCTTATTATTTAAAATAAGCATCGGATTCATGGTATGTCCACATATTTTATTTTTCTTTTCTCTTTCTATTTTTTTCTTGGAGGTTTTGTTTATTCTTATTAAATTATAATGTTGTAATTTATATGATTGTAAATTTAAATCGATAAATGCACACATAACTTCTTTTGTACTCTTAGCCTTGTTATTGCTAGCCAAATAGTACATACTTGTATGAATCAACACACAAAATTATTTTTTAAGCTCGACAATAAGTTATAGTTAAAAAGGCGCGGCCATTGTATTATTCAAGATTATTGAATTTGAAATAATATGTAACAATATAATGTACGACTTATCTATATTTTTTGTCTAAAATAATTTTCGGGCAAAATAAAATTTTGAGTTTATTATACTTATATTTAAGGATGAATAATTCTGGAAATGATAGTTCGACACGAGCTCATTTCTTTTTCAAACATTCACCATTTTTTGTAACTTTTTATTTGAAATTAGAATTTTCTAACTTTATTCCAAATCAATCTCAAACCGTTATTTAATAATAATAATTATTATTTTTAAATTATTTATAAGCTATATCCTCATAATCAGCCTTTCCTAAATGAACATAGTCAATAAATTCAGCTTAAAAAATCAATATGCAATTGAATGTTCTTTTGAACTAATTAAAAGTAGGACACACATATACACATATATATAATCTAAATATATATATATATATATATTCATAGTCAGAAAACGTGCCTAAATGTGTTTGAACTGTCCTTCATTCCTTTGCCATTTTCATGCTTCTATCTCCGCCATGTTTGGATTTGTTTTATTATTATTATTATTATTATTATTATTATTTGAAATTGAAATCAATATTATTTATTTTTCACAATTTTTAATAAAATACATTATTTTATCTAACAAAATATAGTATCAAAATACTATTTAAATAAAAATTTAATAATAATAATAATTGCTTTTGAAACCAATACCAAACACATACTTATATCAGTGGAGTTCACTCGAAACTTACAAGGTGTGGAATTTTCTTCACAACTTCTCATATGGGATTTGGGTCTGCACCCCAACATTTATTTTATTTCAAAATATGAATTTATGTATATATATATATATACTTTTGAAATTTTTAATACTAAATTTTTTCAAAAGTATCACACAATATATATATATATTCATAAATTAACATTTTAATAATTTCAATTTTTTTTTCAAATGTTATATCTTAATTAACGGAGTCTATTTTATTTATATATTGATGGTTATTATGCAACATACTACTAAAATATATATTTTGAATTATGGTTATTACCATCCGCAAACTTGCATGTTATTTAAACAATAAAATCAAAGTCATTACTTATTACTATATATTTACAGAATAAAAATAATGACAAAATGAATAAGTATTTTTATTTACAGAAAATAAAATTGCTATTTCCTCCATGGAAATTGTAGTTTTGTACTTTCTTATATGCTTTTATGTAATAATAATAATAATAATAATAATAATAATAATAATAATAATAAACACGTGGGATAATTAAATGGATTTCGGGCCAACCATAAATCACACGTTGAAATAATATTATTTAAAAATAAAGATTTGTCTGTATTTTCCTACACATGTGTCAATAAAAGCCGGTGCCTAATTTTTTTGGATTCATTCTATTTGTGTAGCCACTTGAGCTAATTTTCCAAACCTTCATCATATCATTTGTTACAAAATAAATAAATAAATAAATAAATAAATAAATAATAATAATAATAATAATAATAATAATAATAATAATAATGTGACCGATTAATATTACAAAAATGATAATATATAGTTAAACAATTTTTCCAATACAAAATACTTTAAAATGTTGTGGTGTAAATTCTATTTTGAATAAATAAATAATATAAGGTTAACCCTATTGTGTAAATTCCTCTTGACTTAAATGAATTTATTAATGAATTATGTACGTGGTCCTTTTCAATCCTTATTTTGGTATTGTCACAAAATTTGACCATTGAATTTGTGGGCTTGGCAATAATTGGTATTAAATGTGCTTACAATTTGAACCAAGTTTTTATATTAATTCTTTTCCTTGCAATTATATGTTGGTGTAATTAAAATTAAAATAAAAAGAAAAAGTTTTGTTGACTATAACATCATTCTTCTTTTTTCAAGATAAAAAAGCACCATATAGAAGTTTAACTTTCAACTATTATTTAAAACTTACAAAACAAACAAATTCATAAAGTAGCAATTTGTTGGTAATTGAAAATTTAAAAAACACGCATTTTTTAAAGAAATCATACTATTCTTTCATGAATAGTATAAAATTATTTTACATTAAAAATAACTAAATAAAAATCTTCAAATGAATGACCCGGCGGTTGATGAATTTGTGACCCTGAAGTCATAGTTCAAATTTCGATGCATCTAAATTTTGTCTTTCATACATGGTTCGTCTAATTTTTTTTATTTAAATATAAATATTGTGGCTATAATCGCTGAAATTAAATGTTACATTCAACACAGTATATTTTAAAATATTTCTCTCATTTATGTTAATATCTCCTATATACATAATTAATCAATACTTTTAGATTATGTGACTGATTAAATATTAATCATTAATGAATACTGATTAGTAGTAATGGAGTTCGAACCTGATTTTATGGAATATTTATAGCAATTTTGAATTCGAATTTTTTTTTTAAAAAAAAAAACACACAAACATAATAATTGAAACTTCAATGTCCAATTTTTTTTTCTAAAAATATCAAATTAAATATCTATTTTTTATTTTATATTATATTAAAAATTAATTTTATATTTAAAATATCACATCAATCTATATTTATATCATACTATACAATTATTGATTTTAACTTGATATTAAAATAGTATTTGATGAGATGTTTTGTGGAAAATATATATATTTTCAGAAAATACAGTAGTAAAATTTTTGAAAAATTTAGTTAAAAAACAGACCCATATCTATTCTATTTATATTACAATCTGAATTTTATTTTTTTTTAAAAAAATGAAATTTCAACTTAAATACATAATGCATTTATTAAAATAAGAATAATCTTCCCAACATATGCATATTGTGTGTGTTTTTTACAATATTTTTAAATTTTGTGAATTTTTTGAATTAAATAATTGTTTCTGTATGAAAAAAATTAATTATAAATATTTATATTGAAATTGACAAAAATGCATCTAAGAAAATAAAAAAAAATTAAAAAATTAAAAAATATTTTCTCCATTTCTTACATAATGTACTATTTTTAGCATTTTCTTATATCCCACTATAATATATATATATATTAAAACTAATCCATATAGTATAAATATAAAAATATTAACATCATTTTGCACTCTTTTATTAACTGTGTTGAAGATATAACAATAATACAAATTTATTTTTAATATAATATAAATACGATAAATAAATTAATAACATGCAATATATGTCCATACCATAATAGCATATAACATATTAAATAAAAATAAATATTTTAATTCACAATTTCATTGTTAAAAAATTATTTTCAAATCCATGAATAAATAAACTTGGTTTTTGACCCGACTCTCTCTCTCTGGACCTCCGACCCGTTTGAACGAGCGGGAACTCTGCAAATTTAACAACTTTTGGGGATGTAAGATGAAATTCACATTTTTTTTGGTTAGGGTGTTTGTGTTTCCTCCATTCGAATTTCAAACCAAGAGGAGTCATCAACGCCTCCAAGGGCAACGGTTACTCAGTTTCTCATTGAAGTTTTGTAGATCCAGTGATTCCACACCGAATTTTTTCTCTCTATATAAGTTCAGAGTATCTATAAGTAGAAGTAAATGGTATTTCCGTCGTTTTCCGCGGAGAAGAGGGAAGGTGAAGGGTGTGCAGTGGTAGAATTTGTACAGGAGGTGGTGGATGTAGCTATGAGGTGTTTTATTGGCTGCTTTCGGAGCAGAGATTCTCATTCTTGCGTTGGCTCTGCGCCGGTTAGAGTTTTATTTTGTTCATTTTCCAGATAATGCGAAGCAAATTCCGTGTATATGTTGTGGATTGTGTTTTATGCCTTAGTTCTTTTTGTGGGCGTGAACATTTCTTTTGGAAAATTTATTCGTTTTCTGTGGGTGGTTTCAGCGTGAGCCGTCGGTGTCCTACAATAAGAAAGCGCTCTCATCGCTATTTCTTTCTGATGGTAAGTATTTTTCTAATTCGTATATGTTCTGGATATATTCTCTTCGTATTTGATACGGACTGCGTGAACTCATGAAGAATTCCGAGCGGTAGAGATGTTGAAATTGTTTTAGTTTTGATCGTTGATCAACTAATTGGCTTTATTATTTCTTGATTTTGGAATAATCCATAGATGATTCACGGCGAACGGACAGGGAATGCCTGAATTCACTGCCTGCAGATCTTGATATCAAGGAGCTCGAGACTCAGGTCATTGTTGAATCGGATTATTAAAACATATGGGCTTCTTGACTAAATATGATTGTTTAATCTTTGTGTTAATTGTCACGTAAAGATTAAATCATCTAGTGTAGTAAACAAGATCACAATGTTTTGTATTTGTTTGAATTTCCAAAGTATGATAACAAGTATGGGATTATGATTTTTTAAATTCAGCTTTAATGGCATGATCAACTCTTGAGTATTTTATTTGATTAGTTTGTTCAGGTTTGTGGACTATATGGCGTTACTTGTATAGGAAACACCCTATTACTTTGCCCCACCTTTAGTCAGTCAGCTCAAATGGGGCACTTCTTTTCATCACACTTTAGTTATACATTTGCTCTTAAATTCAGTATGTGAATTCTATCATCCTTGTTGGCAACTTGATGTGATGGGTGATCTTCAAGGTATATTGCTCAGTGTTCAATATAGAATTCTGAATTAGATGCATACCTCAGAAATTTTACAAAATTGGAAATTTGTGACCAATTGTTTCATTGTTTGATAGGCAACCAGTTCATATTTACTTTTGCTTGCCTTTATCAAAGTATGTGAAGATATTCTGGCCTTCTCATTTAGAGGACAACTGAATCCGTCCTAAATGCACTTATTTGTTTTGACGAGTAGACATGCTATGGATTTATTCCACAGGCCAAATTCCTGAAAGCATGTGGAACTTTGGTTAATACTCCTGTGGAGATTCGGAAAGCTTCAAGAAAATGGGTGGATGCATCAACATTGTATGAAGAAACATCAGGATTCATTTCCAATTCACCCACTGAGAAGCATTCTGATGGATCACTTTCTGTTGGATCACCGACACATGTCAGAACGTGTAAAGAATGGGTGGGTTGGGAAGATTTTTCGGTCAGGACACCCGCCAGGTATACCTTCTTTTGTTTACATGGCTGCAACAACATAGCAAGTAGCAACTGTCGTTGTTGAAGCGATATTTGAAACTTTGTTGTGAAAACAGAACCTAACTTTGTCTTTCCATGTTTTATAGGTAGCGATTACTCAAGTTTTTACTATAGTAACAAGCATGCCAGATGGTTGAATAAATATAAATTTAGATATTCCCTTTGTTTAAATTTAAATAGAAGCACCACTCCCATATCTGTTGCTTGTAACTAGCATTTACATGCAGCTTATGTATCTATTCTTGCTTTTGATAGAAACTCCACAAGCTGTAGGAGTGATGAGCTTAGCACTGTAGCGGAATCTATCAAGTCCACACAAAGCAGTGACGCTCAGAATAATATTACTTCAATGGATGTAGTCAATGAAGAAACTTGTTCATTGATTTCACCTGTTTCTCCTGAAGTAACTGCTAAAAGTGGACCGGGAAAATATAAGTCTGTTAGATTTGAATGTGAGTCTGATAACTCTACATGCTCTTCTGGAAGTTCTGATCAGTGCTCGAAGAAACCTTTCTCTGCTTATCATCACAGCTCATTGAAGAAGGCATCGCCAGATCCCACTCCCATAAAATTGCATGATGATATGCAAACACCTGGAACTGTTTTCCCCGCGTACATGGACAACATGACTGGTGGAAAAGCTGGTAAAATACGATCCCAGTATGTGTTCTCTGTCTGGAACCCTGTTCACTGTCCTCTCCAAGAGAAGGAGTTCAAGGATGATGATTATTCTGATTCCAGCAATGGCCGAAAATCTTTTGAGCCAAACCATGCAGTGGACCTAACATCAACCCTTGTGCCTGAAATGTCGGCAAAGGATAGTTTTCTCTGGAAGGATGCCGAGGACCGTGAGTTTAGCTTTTCTCCTTGGTTGAAGTCAGAGTCAGCCAATCAGGATTATACAGATGAACAATGTGATTCTTCCATTGGTGATCACATTCATGGAGCTACACCCATGGACAGGCCTATTGTGGGGATGGTAGCATCCCACTGGAATGATAGTGCAACCTCGCAAAAATTTCTAGATTGCCGGGCTGGAAATGGAATTCCTAACACAAATAACAAATACAAAGAGGCATGTCTCTATTTTTCAAACTGGCCTTAATTTCTCGACTTTCTTCCCTTTGTTCACTTGTAACTATAAATTTTGAAACTTTTCACAGGATAAGAGAGTTAGCTGGCATGCAACACCATTTGAGGAAAGACTAGAGAAAGCATTGTCGAAAGAAGCTTTTATTTCCCAGAGGCATGCTGAATTGCAGATTTGAAGTTAGTATGAATCTATGCTATAACTTGTAAAGGTAGAGCTTTTATGTTCATCTCCCCTGAAATTCCGACTCAACCTTGTGAATTCTTATCCTGTATAAACAAATTAGCAATGTTGTCTTTCTAATCTGGCTTTGCTTGATTCACTAAATTCAATAGCAAGATTCTCATTCCAAATGTTTCAGGAAGGAGGCTATCAGCGGAATACCAATGGTCGTGAATGAAACTGATCCAACCTCTTGGATCAATCACAAGTCAGTAGTTTCATTTTGAATAATTTTTCTCTGGTGAATACACTGCTTGTACGGTCTGCATGTTTCTTGAGTCTGCTTTACAGAATCTGACCTGCAAAATTACAATTCGACTATGTAAATAAACAAGTGTGCTGGTTCTTCCAAAGGCAAGATTACAAACTCTGCTTGTGTAAGTCTCAGATCATCACCTCATAACGTGAATTAGTGTTTTCTGCTCTATATTATTATATTTACTATATATAGATAGATAATATTCTTCGTTGGCTTCAGTTTTCTTGCCAACTTGAAATTAGGTTTTTATGCTGAATAAATATTCTGAAATGATAGAAAGAGAAAAACATTAGTCCACCATTCAGATTACTATATATAATCACGCATTCTACCTGTCACATATTCCTAATTTCCCAAGTTACAATACTGAATCACATGACAATCCGAACCCACTTCATGCACTTGGAAATCAATTATTGAAAACCATTATCTGATTTCCATCTATTCTGGGAAAAATTGTCATGTATGCTCAAGGGGAATTCTTCAAGAAATACAACTGCATTGCATAGTGTTTTCAGAAGCCTTTTTACAGTATATAAATATATATATATATATATATACACGATATAAATAAGAGTAATGCTGACCCGTCACTGCAAAGAGGACGCGACACGTTGGCAGCTAAACAACACAGACATGATCGACACTATGCACATACTACTACACCTCACACCCATAAACCAACTTCCTCGATCAAGAAGGCCTTATGTAACTATAGATGTGTATGTATGTATCTGTATGTATATGTGTTAGGTTCTCTCACGTACTCACATAGGACAAGCATCGTCTTCGTCGTCGTCGTCGCCGTGTTCTTGTCGCTCGGCTTCTTGAGGCATCATGTGGTTCCGGCAAAGCGGGCATGTGGCGTTCCAGTAGTTGAGCCACTTCTCGAGGCACACCTTGTGGAAAACATGGCTGCACGCGAGCCGGTTCACCTCCATGTTCGCCTCGAACTCGGTCAAGCAGATGGGACACTCTTCCCTGAGGCAGGTGCGTATGAAGATCGAGTCGTACCTCATCGCCGGCATCTGGCTTCTCAGCTCCTCCGCGTATGTTTCCGAGGGGCTTCGGTGGCATTCCCCTGAATCCAGAGGCTCCACCGAGAGCTCCTCCCACGACGCGATGCGGATGCCAATTACGTGCAGTATCGAGCGCACAATCTCCTTCACCATCGCTATGGACATGGCCGTGTTCGCCAGGATCACGAAGAGCACCCCTGAATCTGCCGGAGTTGTGTATGATGATATAGCCATTCTTAAGAGCGCGATCGAGCAAGCGAGCTGAACCTGAGGCCGTTGTTGTTTGCAAAGTTACTACAGTTCGAGAACGAAAAATTGAAAACAACAGACTTACCAGCTAAATCTAGGCAAGGTAATCAATGGCTGGAAGGGTGCAACCTATCTGCATATGAACAAAAGTAATCGACCATTTAGAAGGCGATCCAATCGAATCAGAATAGCAAGTTGTGTAAATCAATAGGAGATATGGTGTTTCTGAGGTAGAAATCACAGCAAGTATTTATAGAGTTGGGGATGTATTCCATTCCATGCCCAGCATTTGATCCACCAATGTTACAGGGAACCAACTTCACATGTTTATGTATGTATCTATGTATCTATATATGTGTTGCTGAGAACTAATTTCCAGATTCACAGACACCAAATTTCCATAAACCTAATTTTCCAAATTCCCCAATTTCTAGCCCTCTCAAGAACTCAAAAGGAATTGGGGAAAATCCAGGATTTTGAGTCAAACACATGTATGCTGATTATTCACAAACTAAATGGTAGTAAATTCTATAGCAATCAAGGAATAATTCTCATGGCAGATCTGCAAATCATTATAACACAATCAATCGTCAATTTTAGAAACCCAACTAGCCATGGAAACAAAATCAGAACCATAAGACCTAAAGATCCACACAAATTAGCAGCAACAGATCCTCAATATACAAAATCCCCAAATTTTTTTTCATAAAAATCCCCAAAGAGCAAGGAGGGGAGATGGAAGAGCAGCAGCCATGGATTGGACGAGCTTACCAGGTCGGAAATGAAAGCTCCCCCTTGGCGATGAAGTAAGGATTAAACTGCTGGCCACCGAAATCAATACAAGTACAATTCTGTTATCATCTATCTATTATCTACCTATCTATCTATCGATCGATCGATCGATTCGCTGGAAAGAAGAAAAGATTACTGTTGTGCTCTGCCTGCAACAGCTGCTTTTGCACTGTAAAATAGTGTTGGCCCACACAGAGTTCTCACCCCTCGATGTTTTGCACATTGTTGGCCATAGCAAAAGTAACAACTGCTGGTTTAACTTGCAGGAACTTTTTCGAATAAAAGACGAGATTTTTTGTTTGTTTGTTTGTTTGTTTGTTTTGATTTTTTATTATTATTATTATTATTATTATTATTATTTTTAAATAAATAAGTATATATATATATTTGATAAAGTGCCCCTTCTAATCTTTAGCTGTTTATCATCATCACCCTCATCATCTTCTGTGTTTGGTTCAATCAAAATTGTTATCAATAAATGGGAACAGTGACAGTGGGGGAGAATAGATGATGATATGCATATACATACGTAAGAATCTTGAGGAAATGCAGATTTGCATAAAATTTCAGATTTGGTCTGAATTATTATTGGTGGGATTTTTAGGCTGGGGGCCTTAATTATTATTGTTTTATTTTTTTCAAACCGACAATGTAATTATTTATAATGATTTGATTTATGGGTAGCGACCGTCACTGCCCGCTTTTCCTTATTATTTTCTACTTGATTATTATGTGTATTTATTTTCAATAGTTAATATTGGATTATATGCATAAATAATTATCTGTCGTAAATTAATGATGTTGGTGCGATGATGTCATATTTCATTTTATTGTTGAATTTGAATATTTATTATTATTATTTTTCATTTTTATATATAATTTTTTTTAGCTAGCTCAGACCGGATATACTTAAAATTCAAACTAAGATTGCAACTTGTCAAAATTAATAGACATTGTTGAGATATTTTAGATATTCAATTTTAAATTTAGTAGATTTATACTTAGAGTTGATCTTATTCATCAATTAATTACTTAGTCTAGTCTGTTTTGTATTGCACTTCTTATTTTGATGATTAATAACAATCTCATTATTTTTCCTGAAAATTTCTAACAGATATATATTAATTAAACTTTGTATTCAACTTAAATAAATATATTTGGTGGACTGAGAAAATATTATTTAAATAAAAATAGAATTATAAACTAAAAAAACAGATTAATTTTGAAATGTCCTATTTTAAAATATTATTTCATATACTATAAAATATACATTATTTTTATAAGTTACATTCTATTTATTTCGTCCTGAATATTCAATCTTATTTCTTTGTATTTTTACAAAGAAATTAGAGTAAATTTACTAGATAGATGGAATAGTATTTATTTATTTATATTTTTAAATTTTTTTACTATATAGTTTTTTTGTAAAATTAGGTCCAATCATTGTTTATTGTTTATAATTTTTTGGTGTATGAAAAATTATAAAAATATTATGAAGAATAATAATTTTATATATTGTTATTGATTTTTATTATTATTTATGTACATCATAATTATATTGTAATTTTTATAATATTTTTTACAAATAGTACATACTAACAATACTAAATGAATATATTTGAAATGTATAAAATTCTGAAGTGTAGGAAAATAATAATACATTTTTTTTTTATGTATACATGGATTGATTATATAATTATATAATATTTTTAATATTTATAGAAAAAGTCGATTCAATGTATACATTAACTCCATTGCCTCATATAATTTAATTATATTCTTTATGTTCCACAACTAAATATTCATTTGTTTTTTCAAGTAACTTTAAAAATATTAGTATTATATTGGGATATAGTAGGAATAAAGTAGAAATGACTAAAATAACCTTATTAGTATGTGTGATATAAAAGTAATAGCATTTGTATAATAGTATATTGTAAGTTGTAAGAATATTTGTAATGTTAGGTAGATAGATAGTACAGTTAATAAAAAAAAAATGAATACTTTGTTATAGGACGGACTAAAATGAAAAAATGGACGGATGGAGTATTATTATTCAAAACTAGAAATATTCATGTTCTTTTGTTGTTAAATATTTTGTATGTAAAATCGAATAGAATTTTTTTATATGTAATACTCCTCCGTCCTGTTGATCTCATTTATCTTTTCCATTATTGCATTAATATTAAAAATATTTTTATATTTATATAATTTTTAGCATAAATTTAATTATAGACACTAATAAATATATTTATGTTATTTTCTTATTTTTATACAATAATTAATATTTAAAAATCGTAAAAAAATAAAAAAATCGTAATAGACATTAGAAATACGTCACACAATTTTGTATGTCTACCTAGTTTAATTTTTAAACCAAACACCTATTTTTTATATTAAACTAAAAATCAATTTTACATTAAAAATATTATATAACACCAATTTATAACATATTATGCAACTATTCAAATCTCAAATACAAAATCCAAATCTCACACAAACAAACACACCCAAAGTGTACAGGTTAAAAGATAAATGGATTATATTTTTACGTGAAAAAAACAATTACGCACCATACATTCATTGAATCTCCCTGTGCAAATATGAGAACATGATGTTCACATATTTGGTTATTTTGAATATAAAATAAAATAAAATAAAATTATGATTAGATATAGACAGATTTATAATTTTAAAAAAATATATATATGGGTGTATTTGTTTGAAGGATTTTGGTGGATTTCCACTATTCATCCAATTTTTTTCCCTCAAAATATCAAATCAAACACCTATTTTTCATTTTTTATATTATACTAAAAATCAATTTTACATTCAAAACATCACATCAAACCCTATTTATATCACATCATACAACTATTCAAATTCAAAATTTTTACTATTCAAATCCCAACTCAAAATCCAAACCCCCAAACAAACACAGCCATAGCATAATAAATACAACAAAATATTGAAAATCTAAATACAAAAGTAACTCAAAAATGCCATAATTATTTATATTATTAGAATTTACTTGTCATTAATTATTCTACAGTAATTAGAGAAGGGACTCCCGACGGGACCGTATGCCATTTCCCGGCAGAGGAACTCGCCGCCGACACTTTCCGCCGCCGCGCCCCGCCGTAGTACCTTACAGAAAAGGGAAAAATAAACTGTTTCACTACATTAAACTTTACGCGAATAGGATAAAGGATTCTCCAATATGCAAAAAACAGCGCAGGGATGGTTCACAGGTGGTCCGAGCAGCGATCTGGACAGTAAACCGCCGTCTCTGCTCGCCGAGTGGAATGCTTATGCCGCGACCTCCGACCCAGCCGATAGGGACCCATCTTCTTTCGATCTGGAAGCCGCTGTGAGGACGGCCAACGACAAAGTTACCTCTACATTCAATGTGTGAGTATGAAATGCAAAACCTAGAAAATTGAAGCTCTGAATAGATTTTTTTGATGCTGTGCTTTAAAATTTCGTTTCCTTAATTATGGTGAATGTTGAAGTAGTGCCCAAACTTTACTGTTCGTGGTTAATAAAATGCAATTTGGTCATTTCTTCCCTTCTGTTTTTATCATGAAATTGAATATGTCAAGCTTGCTTCTATATTCATGAATCTTGCTCGTAGCGTAGAAATTTGTTGCTTCTCTGTATATGGATGCCGAGGGTGCCGTGTCCACTATTAGTGGATTGATTTAGGTTGGTTGCTCCATTATATGATACAATAAATCCTACTTGTGTGAAATTTGTTTGTCAGTACAAACCAATAGGATGAATTTATGTTGTTTAATGCTAAAGATGAGTTTATGTTAGACCTTAAATGACTTCAAGATGTCATTTGTAGGAAAATACAATGCTAACAATAAAAGAAAACAGTAGTGGAACTCTTTGTGCATCTTATCAAACACACTGAATGCAGATGGTTAAACACTGATAAACAAGCTTCGTCTCAAGTCTAATTGTAACGGAACCAAATCGAATAAGAAATGAAGTAATAAGCTTAAAACTTCTGCTATATTGAAAAGCAATAAATCTTAGGGGAATCCCTAATACCTGAGTTACAAATGAAGGGATTACTTGCAAACAATTCGAATTTCAGAAATTTAAATATTCATTCACTGAACTGAGATAGGGGATCTTCATTTCATTAACTTTGTAAGTCTCTACCTTACAGTTTTGGTGCTGATAACTCTGGACCTTGTTGCTGTTCTATTGTTGTTTCTTTTATTTTCTTCGCTCTTCTATAATCTTTGTTCGTGTGTTTATAGAGACTATTTTGTGATGATAAATCTCCTGTTAAATATTCAGATTCTTGAATGATGGGTATTTAGAAGGCTGAGATGATAATCGTTAGTTTATATTAGTTTATTTGAATTAGTCTTGTGAGAATATTAGTGTATCTGTATTTCTTTAGTTACTTTAAAGCTTGTTAGTTAATTACACTATTAAGGAAATCATTACTTGATTGCCAACAAATTGATACTTTCTACTCCGTAATTCCAGTTTTCCCTAGTTTTGTACATCAATGTAATGTTTTCCTGATTGATGGAAGCAAGACAACATTTTATCGATCCTCAGTTTCTAACAAAACATAATGGAATAATAAACTTAATGATATGTTGTAAATTCCTCTCAACGCAACGGAATAATAAACTTAATGTTATGTTGTTAGTTATGTTAAAAATTCCTCTGAATATGTTATGTGTTCATACTAGAAACCAACTTCTTTCGTATTCTGAACAGGTTCTCAAAAGGAGTTAGAGATTTACCAGGAAGCTTTAACTCTGCAACGAGCAGTGTCCCTTCTGGGAAGTCTTTAATGTACTTTGGGTTCTTCCTGGCTACTGGAGTCTTCTTTATCTTCATTGCTTTCACAATATTCCTTCCTGTAATGGTCCTTAAGCCACAGAAGTTTGCAATCTGCTTTACTATTGGATGTGCCTTTATAGTTGGTGCATTCTTTGCCCTAAAAGGTCCAAAAGATCAGCTTAGCCACATGTTATCTATGCAGGTATTTTGGTTAATATTCATATTAGGTACTAGGAAGGATAAAGTGCTGTCTTTTCCTCTTAATTGTCCCTTGATTTTACTAATCTGCTTGTTTTCTATCAGAGACTACCTTTTACATTGGCATTCCTTGGCAGCATGGCGGGTACAATTTATGTATCCATGGTTCTTCACAGTTATGTTCTTTCTGTTGTTTTCTCTGGCTTACAGGTATCAAGATCTCTTCTAGTATCATTGCATGTTTATAAAATATTACATAATCATATTTACCGCTACATCATCAGTTATTTGTTAATGTTTGTTTGATGAGGACATCTAGCTGGGAGTATCAGACTCTTAGTTTGCAATGCAATATCTTTTCTAGGACTGTGAAATAGATCATTTGCGCACTTCCATTAGAGGGATTAAAAGGTTGTTGTTTTCTTTTATGTGAAATTTAACTAATCAATTCTCATTAGGTGAGTACTTTCATAATGATTTTCTGCTTCTAATGCCTCTTCATGAAGAGTGAATCCTTATAGATACAGATTTTCTTTCTTTATCGACTAATTTAGGACACTCTGCATCGAGAATTATTTTTTTTTATTAATTTGTGATGTTCATACATATTTCAGATGCCTTGGTATGATTTATGGTACATTTCTCTCAGTACGAACTTCTCTACATTACAACTTTCATAATGGTTAATACTTTTTGTGTTACTAGGTCCTTTCTCTTGCGTATTATTCCCTCTCCTACTTCCCTGGTGGCTCCGCCGGGCTCAAGTTTCTGTCATCGACTCTTGTGTCTTCAGTATGCAGATGTTTCGGAAGATGATGTGCTCTATGAAACCCAAAACTGTGTCTGGAGTCTGCCCTTTTATGCCTCCTCAAACATGTGAGTTACTCATAGCTTCCTTATGATCTCTGATCTCTCATAAGTTTGGTTGCATTTCACCAGCCGTTCGAATTGCGCTTTCCAGCATGCTAATTCACCATGTCTTGAGATGCATGAGTTTTTTATATTAGCTGCATTTCTAAAGCTAACTTTTACAGATATTAGCTGCATTTCTTGATCACTTCCTCACCAAGAATACAAATACAATGTAAAGCCTGTGATGTCATCAAAATTGCACCTTTTTAGAAACAACTGCTTCAGCATTGAAGTACCTTTTTATCTTAAATCTTTATCTGGCACTTCCTCTTTTACATTTTAACACTATGTGGTAGGTAGTTGTCAATATCCACATATATATATATATATGTTTCTACCAGATTATAATCCTAGACTGTAGTCTTGACTCATACCATAGCTCCACCGTCTTCGTCCTCACGAGCATTGTCGTCTGCAGCAGCATTTCTTGCCTTTCTACTGCCTCTTCCCACTAAATGTCTGCCCCATCCCGTCTTCGAGCCACCTGTGACATGCTCAACTATAAGCCCGGTCTGAATTGACTCAACATATAGGACCTTCACCAGGTTCTTGAATCGCCGCCTGAATGTTGGCAGTCGCGACAGGGAACTAACTATTCCTTGCAACCTGTTAAATAGAACAAGGTTGTGTGTACTTTGTCATCCCGGTCTTTCAACTCTTGAATTGAACTAGACTTAAATGCTCAAGCATCGTATAAGCTAAAAGACTATTTGTACATACCTCCGAATCACAGCTTGCAATTGTGCTCGCCTCACTTTGTCCTCGGAAGGGAATCCAATCTCGTCCCAATCCTCAGGCCGCTCATTCTTGCAAGATATAACCAACTTCTTCAATAAACTTTCCTCGTCTTCTGTCAGTTGCAATCCCTTTACTTGATCCTTTATAGTGAAGAGAGGCCCGATGAACCACTCGAACAATCTATCCCTCGGTAAGTTGTAGTTTGTTAGTTCCACTCGTTCAGCTACGTACAAAGTTAATAAAAGTTACCTTCCCCAACAATCGTATCAATGAGATACAGATAAACCCGATCCTTGTGTCATCTTAAAGAGAACTTACAGATGATCAAACCATCGGAATCAGACTTGGTGGCCGTCAAGATGGTCTGCAAAACAGACCAAGCAGGCAGCTTGACGACGAGTTTCTTACAGTTGCCTTTCACTATGCAGTCCTGGATGTCTTGCACACTTATCAACCCTTCTCGGAGGAGCGTTTTTCCATTTGTCTCGCACGACTTGAACAGCCAATCCCACACCTAAGATATAAATCCGGTCCATAATGAGAACAAACACATCTGCATTAATAGTCACACGCTAGAGATCGATCACTCACCTGCATCGGTGTGTACTGTTGAATTGCTTGCTTTAGTGTCCTCGATCCTTCCGAAACTAACTTACCATTACGCGCTCCACCCCTCTCGGTTTTGCTATCAAGCGACCATTTTCTATCGAGCCCGTTAGGAGACCTCATGGCTCTACGGTATCGAGGCCTGGCTGCCAGAATGATTCAGTGAATCAAAATCATATCCTCAGTCAAGTCTAGTCTAGTCGAAGGATATTATATTCTCGACGATGATACCTGGGAAAGCACGAACCCTCGGCTAGGTAAAGCAAGTCGTTCACATATTCATCGAACAAGGACACTACAGCCACAATGTATGCAAGTCCCATTACAACAGAGTCTTCCTGGACGTTCGATTTTGTTAGTATTTCTTTACCAATAACAATCGGGACTGCCCCGTTCCGTTTAGTAATGATCAAGAAAACAGCAGCAGTGCACCTGGTGAACGATAATTCCGGCATAAAGGCCAAGGAAAAAGCTCGAGAAGAAAGCTGCCAACACAGCTCCTATAACAGCCAAAGGCCAAAGCAAAATTGCCAAACCAGCAAACGGAACGCACACAGTCTCCAGAAACGGGCCTTCCCGTCCGATCATATCCTCTAACAGCCTCTTCCATCCCCGGAACAACATGTACGGGCTTTTCCAGAGAGCCACGGCCGTAATAAGCGAAACATCTATAGGAACTGCTAAGAGAGAAACAAAGAAACATCCGGGAAGCTTCGACAACCTGAGCAAGAAACATTAGACCATCATAAAAACTACAAGAGTAAAAAACACTAATAGTAAGTGTAAATTCCTCACTTTATATCCCATGGCTCTTCGCCATCGTGCATCTCCTCACAGAGCTCGTCCATGTAGGAGAAATACGAGTGGAAGCAAAAATCCGTGAAGTCTCTAACCACTGTACAGCTACCTTCGACAGTAGAACGGCAACCATCCTAATAATTTTAGCCATTTATAATGCAGCTTGAAGGATATACATATATATATGTGTGTGTGTGTTCGGAAAAGCTCACGAAGAAGCAATGGTAGCATTTGTCGGAAGCTCTCTCGCCGATAATCTCGAATGTTGCAATCAAGGGTGCGAAAAAACCGTACCCAATCCCGCCAAGTATGCTTCCGATGATGGTAACCACAGGCCACAAGATCAAGGGCAATAGCAACAAAAACAGTACAAGAATCTTCAGAATCCAGCCAAGTCTCCTGGTTCTGTTTTGCAAGCAAATCAAGAGCTTATAATTTATAAAAACCAACATTTGATCTTAGAGATGGAAGCTGAAAAGAAGCATAATCATACTTTGCAATGCAGTAGTAAGTCCAGATGAAATGCGCTGGCCACAGTCCTATGACAACTCCCGAGTTTCCGAAAGTTATGATCGCGACCGTAATCGGACAGATAATCAACCCTGCAACCCAAAATTACAGTGGATGTACTAATGACTGAAAGACAAATGTGAAAACTTCCGAAAGGAATTTGAGTTTACCTACAAGATAAGACAAATTACGAACCAAATGATCTCTATAGAAACAGAAATTTACAGAATAAATACTATTATGCCAAATTTTCATCAAGCAGCAATAGTTCAGGCACTGCGAAGAAATACTGTAAAACCCTAACCCTAAACAAATTAAATTAGGGGTTATGGAAATTAGGCTACGCACCTTTAAGAAGGCCGAGAATGGTGAGCAAGAAGAAGAAAGGTAAGAAGGAAACGAGGCTCCATAGCTTAGCCACAAACCCAACTGGAACCTCCATGAATTGTCTGAAGGGCAGAGTGTATGTTGTGTTGCCCCTAGCTCCTAATTGATCATTCAGCAGAAGAATACGAAAAATTGAAGTAGGTTGCTCTGCATTTGGTTGAAACAGAGGACCAGCTGGCAGCTGGGAAAGCGGGATTTTCGAGGAGAAGGTTTTCTTTATTCTGGTCATCAGCTGTGTCGCCTGTGTGTTGGCTCTCCTCTGCTTTATTACAGATATGTTTGTTTGTTATTTTTAAATCATAGGAGTAGGAAGAAAACCGATTCGTGGCAGCCAGAGAGAATGTGGGCTTGCGCCACGTGTGCATTGTGCCCATGAGATTCATGGAAAAGCAAAGCAGGCTGTCGACGGTGACGCATCGTCTGGCGCGAACTTCACCCAATGCCAAACAAATTAAAATCTTCCTATTTAGGATATTATTTAGGGTATGTTGTCCAATTTTACTGTGCACAATAAAATAGGCCTCAAATCTGTTTTTTCTTTTCTCTTTTTTTTTTTTTAAAATTTAAAATTTTATTTAATATTTATTATAATTAAATGAAAAATATATATATATATACAATATATATAGAGAATATTTTTTTATGATACAAATAAATAAAAATCTAAAAATATATATATGTTGGGTATAATATAAATTTATAATCAAATCATACAATATAGATTTTATCAATTAAATTTAATATATATGTATATTATTTTATTTATTATCCATCAAATCAATATACATCAAAATTTCTCAAACCTCAACCAAAACCAAACACAAAAAAAACAACAAAATTGAAATTCATCCCAAAATTCAAATAAAAATCAAACCCAAACCCAACTTTCCCCAAACTCTCCTAAAGAAACACACCCTTATTTTTAATTTACATTTCTTTTTTTTTTTTTAAAAAAAAAATAAACATACTACTTCACCGAAACACGTCCAATCCTACACTATCAGATTATCTTTAATGGACAGGATAAATTCCAACTAAACTGAATACTAGGCTAATTAAACCCGGTAAATTCCAACCGCACCGAATACTAGGCTCATTAAATCCTGCAAATTAAATCTGACAGACAAATCACACTAGGCTAATCATGTGTGACAGATGATCTGAGACATCAGTAGCAAATTAAAACTCTTGTTTTTATAATTGATAGTTTTCAGTAAATTTTTATTGCATTATTATTAAAAAAAAAAAAATTGAATATGTGGCAGCAAACTTGAAATTTACTTCAATATCCCTCGTGGGCCCGTTGCAAAGCCCAATTATATTACCCCATCTGTTACCAATTAATAAATTAAATACCAATATCTTCTAGATATATATTATTGAATTCATCATCCATCAAGAACATCCCTTAGTAATTTGTTTTCATCGCATAATCATGATCACGGTGCATGCACTCTCTACCAGCAAACCCTAATTTTGTCCGATCCCAATGAAGAACAGCAGAACTGCCAGTGCCAGATCATCTTCATCCGCCATTGCCGCACCATGTATTAAAGCTGTTCTTTTCCTGTCTTTCTCCGTCGTTCTAATCACTCTATTCATCAATTATGCCTCTTCCTCGAACAACCCTTCCCTCTTTTCTCTTCCGCCATCGCTGCCATTGCCATGGCACAACGACCGCCGGGAACCTCCCCCTTCCTCCTTCTCCGGCAGCCACACGGAGTCGCCTCCGCCGGAAAATTCCAAGACCGCCTTGTACCCCACGTTCACTGTACATAAGTATTCCTTCACCATCGCTCTCTCCCCAATTAATAATAATTAATAATTTCATAATTCGATCCTGCTATATTGTGTATATATATATATAACATTAATTGATCTATTACCAGAATCCGAAGATGCAGCGGGCGGTGGCGAATCTGGTGAATGAATTGAAGGAAGAAAGCCTGTCGAGAATCGGGAAGAACAGGGACGAGAAAATAGCGATGGTCGAAGCAGGGCTCGCAAAGGCAAGAGCGCTAATTAAAAACGCGATTTTTAAAAGTCGCGTTTCTCCCCCGCCGCTCTCACCGGACAGCGATTATGTCCCTCAAGGACAAGTTTATCGCAATCCCTACGCCTTTCAAAAGTATAGATATTTTAGATATTTAATTTTTAATTTAGTAGATTTAAATTTTAATTTATTAATTTTGCAGGAGTTTCATGATGATGGAAAGCATGTTCAAGATTTACGTGTACGAGGAAGGGGAGCTCCCTATGTTCCATAACGGTCCAACCTCGGACATATATACTAGTGAAGGAATTTTCATTGGATTGTTCGAATCGGACACTCGATTTCGAACTCAAGATCCCGACAGGGCTCATGTCTATTTCCTACCTTTCAGCGTTTCCATGATCCTCCAGCATTTGTTCGATCCGGCCGTGCGCGACAAGGGCGTGCTCGATCATGTTATAACCGATTATGTTCGTGTAATTTCGAACAAGTATCCTTATTGGAACCGTAGCCTCGGAGCCGATCATTTCATGCTCGCTTGCCATGATTGGGTAAGTATATGCACTATTTATCAACGGTAATACTCTCTTGCTATACTCACTTTTCTTTTTTTGGTTGTCATAAAAAAAATATTCTCATTTTTTTAAGTAAAAAATATTCCATTTTTAACAATTATTACTCACTTTTATTAAAACCCGGCCCTGTCAAATGAGCACATATTTGAATGACGGAAGAAGTATTTTTTCTTTTAAACAATTATTTTATAAAACAACTATCTTTCATACATGTTTTTATTACATCATATCAAATATATGTTTTTTACTTGTAATGGGGAAGGGTTACAGTACTCATAATATATACAAACAACATATGTTCTTATTACAGATTGTGTATAATAAAGACATGTACTGTTTGTTTTATAAAAAAAAACATCTGCTGTTTGTTTATATTTATATTGTACTGTATAAAAATATGCCCTGTCCTAAGATTAATTGTTATGTGTTGTACGAGACTATAATATTTGTTATTAGTTCATGTATTGTATTTGTTTTATATTAATATATAAAATATGTTGTATGTGATAATACTGTATGTTGTGCTGAGTAGAATTCTGTAGCCACTGCCATTGTAATTTATTTACGTACGTGTTCTAATGCAAGGGTCCTCGAGCAACATGGTACAACCATCACTTGTACTTCACATCGATGCGCGCCTTATGCAACGCCAACACGTCCGAGTTCTTCAACCCAAGAAAAGACTTGTCAATCCCGGAGCTTGATCTCAAAGAAGGGCTCCTAACTCAAGTTAAACCTAATCAAGAACCTTCCAACCGCAAGATCCTAGCATTCTTCGCGGGAGGAGTACACGGCCCTATAAGGGGGGCGCTCTTCCACCATTGGAAAGACAAGGACAAAGACATCATCGTAGTAAACAAAGTTCCTGAGAACTCATCCTTGTCCTACCAAGAATTCATGCACCATAGCAAGTTCTGTCTTTGCCCGAGCGGGTACCAAGTTGCTAGCCAGCGCGTCGTGGAGGCTATTTATGCAGGATGTGTCCCGGTTCTGATCAACAAGGACTTTGTTCCACCGTTTAGCGATGTCCTAGATTGGGACAAGCTCTCGGTGAACGTCGCGGTGCGCGACTTGCCGGAGCTGAAGAGGATTTTGGAGGGCATAGGCGAGGAAGAGTACGAGGCTTTAAGACAAGGAGTGGGACAAGTGCAAAGACACTTTGTTGTGAACAATCCACCTAAGAGATACGATGTGTTTCATATGGTAGTTCATTCTCTTTGGTTGAGAAGATTGAATCTTAGAATCAATTCTTGACTATTGTGTATTTTTTATTTGGATCCTATAGTTTTTTTTTTGGTGTGTTATTTTATTTCTTTTAGACATTTTTTAAAAAATATCAATATATTACATATATTTATTATTTTTTATATTATTTGTACATTTTACAAAAAAAAAAAAATTATTTTTAACCATTTCACACAACAAACACATCATAATTAAAAAGAATGTTAGGGGTAAAAATTTAATACTTTAATATATATAATATTTATTTTATCACAGAGTATTTATTAAATAGTTATAATGTGTATTTTATGGCAGAATTTAAGAAAAAATTAATTTGAATTTAATATAAAAATAACGTTTAATGAAATATTTTTTAAAAAAAAAAATTTGAAAAAACTTTGTAAATATACAGACTCTATATGTTTTTATTAATTTTAAATTCTAAAAAGAAAGTCTTGCTAATGAATAAATGGTTGAATAATTAATTATACATATTATTACATTTAAAGAAATTGAAAACAAAAATAGAATTGGAATTTTAAAAACAAAATCACAATTTTAACTAGAAATAATCAATATTTGATATTTATTTTTCTAAATTAATTATAGAATATAAGTAAAATAATTAAGGATCATGAATGAAGAAGAAAAACTGCTGCCATAGCCATACCGATTCAAGCTACTGGAAAATTGGACCCAAATTCCTACTCAGTTACGGCTTCTTTGCGGGTAAATCGGAGGTTTCCCCGCGCGCTTGTGTGTCCCAACCCCAGCAATCGTCTTCGTCTTCGTCTTTCTTGTAATCCTCACACATCACACATTCCAACCCTGTCCCAGCCCCCAAACCAACACACCCAGTTTGTGATTTGGTGTTCCGGTTTTAATCGCCCGATACAGATCCGAAATCCTTCAAGTGTAATTGTCAGGGTAAATGTTATACCCCTAAATAATGTTATATCCGTAAAAATATTATTTAGTGTGAAAATCGTTTCCTGCTGTTACCTGCAACTTTCGTGGAATTCAGCCATTCTTGTTAATACCATAAATTAAGGATGCTATAGGGTTAGTTTATCATTTACCCGATTGCCTGTATGGTGGCAAATGTCTTCGTATGTGTATATGTGATGTGGATATGCCTGTAAAGTGTTTGATAAAATGTGCGTGATGTGAATATGCTTGCATAGTGTTTGATAAAATGTGTCACAGTGCGGTTTGGTAGTTGATTAGTTTTGCAGTCTTTTGAGTTCCAACTAAGTTATTTTCTAGGCGTTAAACTGTAAAAGCCCTCCACTTCTACGCTATATTCTTAACAGAAATTTGGAAGTTTAGGTAAATGATGTAATTGTTTGATGTGTATTCCATTTCCTGAAATTCGAAGAGCGGGAATGGTGAAATAATTAGCTAACTGCACCTACAAGATCTTAAGGTTCTCTTGTGCTTGTTCATAATTTTTAGATTGATATAAAAGTGTTTGAGTTTTGCATTTACTCTACTTATTATAATATTCTACATTCCATATATTGCTCTTCCTTGTTGATCACATCTATCACTTAATACTTTTTGGCAGGACTGAAGAAACTGTATTTGAGACGACCACACTTGTAGCAAAATCTCTTTGTTGCTTCTTTACAATATATGTAAATTGATTGATGCTTTCTAGCTCGGGAAACATGCACAGAGTGCGTTGGACAATATCTCAACTTTGTAGGAAGCTCCATACTAAGTCCCATGATGGTCCAAGTGATACCTTGAAGAGGAAGGTTTCTGAGCTAGAAAAGAAGAAGAGGCGAAAAAATCCCAAGAAAAACCAACTATTTGTAGATGTTCCCGAATCAAAATCTTTCCTTGATACAGCAACCATGCCGATGATACTCATTGCTGTTGGAACTGCCATCTTTGCCAAACTTCTAATGATGGTATTTAACTTTTTCCCCTTGAGGTAGAAAATGTGATCCAAAATAGTTAAAGACACTTTAATTGCATCGATCGTGCATCCTTTTCACACCATTTAAGAGTAACCATTGCTGAGGTTAGGTCATTGAAGCTATTTTCTAAAAACGTACAACTTCCTTAAAGAGTGACCTTACTGATTTTGTGTAAGATATTTCCGGATCAAATCTTCTGTAGCTAAGATAATAGTTCCATGTGAAGTCGTATTTTGTTCTGTCTGTATAGGATTCTTTAGCATGTTTATAAGTTGATCTTGTCTCTTGGCTTTAATATCTATGGAAATGGTGTCTGTTACATCTTAAAAGGTTGAAAGATACCAGATGTTACTTTAATCTTAATTGCCTTGCAGCATGGTGAGTCAACAAAGCAGGAAAGGATTGAACAAAAGATAAAGAATGCCCCTCCCGGTCAAGGAACAATTAGGATGCTCAGTCGGGAGGAGTGGGATGCAATCCAAGAACTGCGGCCAAGAACCCCCTTTGAATCTAAGCTTGCTCGTCCAAATGCAAGAATAAGGACGGGTGAACCATTGCACATGGTAAACAGAAATTTGTATCTATCTCCAATATGATTCTTATTAATTTTCATTGCATAATGGGAGGAGGTGTAAATTAGATCAAACTGAATATTGGTGTTTATTGTCTAAGCACCAACTTCCACAACCATGGTGTGGTTAAACATCACCTAATATAGCCAAACAATCTTATGTGTTCTAGGCCTTCATTTTTCAAATTGCTGAAACTCTTTAAAATGCTATCTTGTTTTAGGATTGTGGTAATCAATAATTGACCATGTGTGTGCAATTCTGCAGGAAGATGTAAAGGATTGGACTCTAGACGTGTTCACAGATGCCCTCACACGGGCCGAAGAAACTGCCAAGCGCAGAACCTATTAAATGCAGATTGCATAACATAAAGGTATCATCCTTTCAATTTTTCTTGACAGCACCATCTCATATGTCCAATTCATACAGTATCGTCTTTCATTTGCCAGCTGCAGCCTGCCTCGCTAATAGCTGATGAGGAAATGGCCTGCACACAATTCCAAGTACAAACTGGACTGCTCAATCGGCATTTACAAGTTCCTTAGCATTCCAATTCATCATCATATTGCCCGTAAACAGAATAACTTAGATTGCCCAGCATTCAGCGGAGTATCGATCATACTTCTCACGGATTCACTACTTTGGCGCGATGGGAGTGTGCTCCAAATATCTCAGCAGGGGGATCAGCAAATTTGTTAATTCTTGATCCAATTTCTTCTTGGATTGACTTCTGTTGCTACTCAACATTTCATCCATTGCATCCTAAATGTTTGAAAATCAAGAGTGGCCCATTTTGTATTATTTTTACTACATTTGTCATTCTGGAAGAAGAGTAGAAAGTAGTATCTTCTAGACGAGAATTTATGGCAACTTTATTAATTGTTGATCCAATTAAAGTCGTATGGAGTTGTGTGCCCTGATTGGAGTCCATCACAGTAATTTACCTATATATTCCTCTAGGTTTGTAACTACTATTGCATGCCAATTAAGATTATGGTCTATTAGGACAAATGAATCCATTATATTATAAAATAAAAAATAAAATTAATAAAGCACCTTAAAAAAGTAAACTTTAGTGACATGTCAATATCAGGTAAAATTTATTAAATTAAAATATATTTTAATAAATATAAATACTTAATTAATTAATTATATAATATAGAATATTAAATATCCAAAATTATTTATATCTTTCTCCTAAAAAAATTTTCACCTACTTTATAAAAATTAACTTATAAATAAATAAATATATTTTTTACAAAATAATATCAATTGTATATATTATTTAATGCGATATAATATTTAAAATCTTTAAATACATATTTTAAAACTTTTAATCATATATGTTAAATTTATTTCAAAGTTACTAATATTATTGGTCACATGAAAAATAATAAAATAATAATAACTCATTATTTCTAACACAAAAGTGTGGGAGGAAGGGAATATGATATTTGAAAACTTAGTAGCAATAAAAATAATTATTTAAAAATATATGTAAATAGAATGTAAATTATTGAAAATTTGACAACTTTAATAAATTTATTTTCCCTCATAGTGTTATTCACATTTATAGACTAATTATGCTTTTCTTTTCCTAGTGACATCCATTTCTATGGGCTACTTTATTCTTTTTTTTATTTTTCCTTCATAGTGTTATTCACATAATGACCATGCTATTTTCTCCTGTAACTTATACAATTCTAAAATATTTTGTTGAAAAATTTTAAATGATGTGTGTAACTTTATTAATTATTACAACATTTTATTGTTGTTTTCATTACACTGCGAAATATAGAATAGAATAAAGTGCGTGTATTTATACGCCTTTCTTTCTGCATCATTCAAGAGCAAAACATATTCGTGTCTGATCTTCCGTGATCGAACTGTTCTGTTTTCCTAACTCATCAAAGCTGTTGGAACCTTCTCGTACTTCTTCACCGCCAAGCGAAAACGGTCCGGGTATTGCTCATTTCATTTCGGGTTTGATTTCTTTCTCGTGAGTCGCGATTTTGATACTCGGTTTGTAAATCGGTGTTTTGTTTGCGTGCAGGTGTGATTATATGTGGATGCTTCAGTGAATTGGTTCGTTTTTCTTATCGTTAGTATTAGTGACGTTTAATACCGACTGTTTTCTCCTTCCGGTGGATGAATTTAAGTTTTTGTTTTCATTTATTTTCTCAGATTGTTAATTTATAAAAGTGGCTTTGATGAATAATTTGGGAAATAGCTTACTCTTTCGTATGTAGAAAGTTTGTGAATTTTCATTTTATTTTTATTTTAATGTAAAGATCTCTTCTTGTGGCCCCCCATTTCAGTTTTGCTGAGCGATCTTTTGTGCTAATTTAACATCTTCCTCAGCACAGTGGCGATTAGAAACTGAAGTTGGCTATCATACAAAGTCTGTTGAAATTTCAGCTCATTATGGTTTTTTTTTCTCTGGCCATGCTTTGGATCACTTATTAAAACTGGTGGAGTAATAAACTTCGTTTTGGATCATATGCAAGATGACATGTGAACCCTATTTTTTTTTTAGTATGAATATGGCTCCTCGATTTACACATTTTTATGTACTGTGCACGATAGTTTCTTTAATGTCATGTATTTCTTCATCCTTGATAGTAATCTACAGAAGTTTGAAATAAGAAATTTCAATTTGAGCATTATATGAATTAATTGGCTGGTTCGCCTTGCACAGAATGCTGATTATATAAGTTAATTACACATAGATTATATAATGGGTGATGCGGGGAAGATGAGGAATGTTGGAAATGGTGGTTATCTGTCATTTCTCAAAGATAGTGGAGTATATGGAATCATTGGTGGAATTGTGGTTGCCATTGTTATTCCAATACTCCTCTCCATCGTACTTCGTGGGAAAAAAAAGCTGAAGCGGAGAGGAGTTCCAGTTGAAGTTGGTGGTGAGGCTGGATTAGCAATGCGCAATGCCCGATCTTCCAAATTAGTTGAGGTTCCTTGGGAAGGGGCAACAACAATGGCAGCACTGTTTGAGCAATCATGTAAAAAGCATTCAGAAGGGAAGTTTCTTGGGACAAGAAAAGTAATTTCCAAGGACTTCATCACTGGAAGTGATGGAAGAAAATTCGAGAAGTATCACCTTGGGGATTACCAATGGGAAACCTATCAACGGATCTTTGATCGTGCATGCAACTTTGCTTCTGGGCTCATTAAACTGGGACATGATACAGACACCCGTGCTGCTCTTTTTTCTGAAACTCGGGCAGAGTGGTTCATTGCCTTTCAGGTAATATGGATATGGTGTAATGTATCCTCTTTCATATATTATTTACATTTAGGTATGCCGAGGAAGTGAATAAAGATTGTGTTTTCTAATTTTTTGTTCTTTCAGGGCTGCTTCCGGCAAAACATCACTGTTGTTACAATTTATGCCTCTTTAGGAGAGGATGCCTTAGTCCACTCATTAAATGAGGTGGGCAGAGTTCTGAAATCATTTTTTTCTGTCTTTTAGGGAGCTTCACTTCATTATATATTTATATATTCTGCTTATCAGATTAATATATCTTCACTGATCAACTATGACTACCTCTCAAGAATCAAGATCACCGTATGTTGTAAGAATATTGATTTTACAGAGAACTTACTCATGTTTACATGTCTTTTGCCAGACTCAAGTATCAACCCTAATTTGTGATCAAAAGCAATTGAAAAAGTTGGCTGCAATAAGTTCGAAGCTGCCATCTATCCGCCACATTATTTATTTTGAAGATGATGACTCTTCAAATGATTCCAGTGGTGCCAAAGATGTCAGTAACTGGAAAGTTTTATCTTTCCCAGAGGTGGAAAAACTTGGAAAAGAGAATCCTGCTCCTCCTAATTTGCCAATTAAGAAGGATATAGCTGTCATCATGTACACTAGTGGCAGTACAGGCCTTCCAAAGGTTTGATTGATTTCTTTGATATGGGCATCATTGCATGGACATAATTATTGCTCAGGTGTGTGAATGTAGTGATCTAACTTGCTACCAATACTGACACCATTATTTAGTGCATAGTTATTTATGATTACTACTAGGGTTCTTTTCTTTATAATTATTATTATTATTTTTTTGGTGGCCACTTTCCTATAGAAATGTATTGGAGGAAATTGTTATTTAGATGCTTATGTAACATATTCACTTGGGAAATCATTTTGTGGGACAAATTCCTTTCTATCCAATTCTGAGTTTCTTTGTATTATCTATGAAATTATAATCGGTTGCTGTAATGGTTTTGCCAAGTGAACTTTAATTGTACACATTAGTCTTTTTTTGAAAACAGGATGTTTTACAACATGGCTTCTGGTTAAATTTGTAGGGTGTTATGATGACTCAAGGCAACATTGTAGCTACTGCAGCTGCAGTTATGACGGTGATCCCAGGACTTGGAAGCAAGGATGTATACTTGGCATATTTACCCCTAGCTCATGTGTTTGAATTAGCTGCTGAGGTAATATGTCAATTGAAATCTTTTTATGGTCACGGAAGCAAATTTGATAAGATTGTTGTTTCTTCAGACTGTCATGTTGACTGCGGGTGTTGCAATTGGCTATGGTTCAGCTCTGACATTAACCGACACATCCAATAAAATAAAAAAGGGAACCAAGGGAGATGCTTCTGTATTGCATCCTACATTAATGGCAGCCGTTCCAGCCATACTTGATCGTGTTAGAGATGGAGTTCTGAAGAAGGTGATTTAGGAAGTTCATTTAATTGTATACTTTGGATTCTAGCCTTATAGGTTTGAAGATTCTGGCTTCTCTCTTAATCCATACGATATTGTAGGTTGATGAGAGAGGAGGTATTGTGAAGAAACTTTTCAACATTGCTTATGCACGGAGGCTGGCAGCCATTGACGGAAGCTGTTTTGGGGCGTGGGGTTTAGAAACTATGTTGTGGGATATAATTCTTTTCAAAAAGATAAGGTCTATTCTTGGAGGAGAAATTCGATTCATGCTTTGTGGAGGAGCACCTTTATCTGGAGAGACACAGAGATTTATCAACATCTGCATGGGGTAATTTTACACAAGTTCAACAGTACACAGATTTAAATTAATGAAATCAAGTTTAATTATCTCTGGTAATGCTTCTGTTTTGCAGTGCTCCAATTGGCCAAGGATATGGCCTGACAGAAACTTGTGCTGGAGCTGCTTTTTCTGAGTGGGACGACCAGTCTGTTGGCCGTGTTGGCCCCCCTCTTCCTTGTTGCTACATCAAGGTAATTTGATTGCTTGCAGTGAAAATTTCTGTGCTCAGGGTAGTCGTGCCATGTGATCTGCACTTAGTTTTCTTTCTTTCTTTTTTTAGCTCCTTGGAAAATTCTTCAATGAAATTTCACTGTAACTAGGATTCAATTTTGACATATTAAGATTGTACTTACCTAATTATCTGTATTGTAGGAACCTGCGAAAAATATCTAACAAATTGACAATATACAAGCATTTTTCTATAGAAACTACAATGAACCTATATTATCGATTTATTATATTCTATATTTTTTTGTCATCCTATCTTTAACAACTGATGCTTTTAAAAGATATGGAAATTAATTTATAGGGGCGAGCACAAGATCTGTAAGGTCTTTGATTCTTGAAATCTCTGAGGAATCAGACAGTAATTACATGATGCCTGCTATCCTAGTTTCATACCACATTAAATCCCTGCAGCTTGTTTCTTGGGAAGAAGGCGGCTACACCATATCGGATAAGCCAATGCCCCGAGGGGAGGTTATCATCGGAGGGGCAAGTGTCACTGCTGGTTACTTCCAAAATGATGCCAAAACTGCAGAAGTCTACAAGGTCTGATCTTGATCTTAAAAGTTAGTTTGTTTGGTTCCCGCCTTCTCAAATTCTATAGTTTCTTACAGGTCGATGAAAGCGGCATGCGCTGGTTCTACACCGGAGATATTGGAAGGTTTCATCCCGACGGATGCCTTGAGATTATTGACAGGAAGAAAGATATCGTAAAACTTCAACATGGGGAATATATCTCACTTGGCAAGGTAAAAACATTTAACTATTTTGATTCAATGTTACTTCTCCTTCTCCTTTTTCTGCAACAGTAATTTACATTATCCGAAAATTATGCTGCAGGTTGAGGCTGCCCTTGTCTCGAGCAGTTATGTAGACAACATCATGGTGTATGCCGATCCATATCACAGCTTTTGTGTCGCCCTTGTTGTTCCTGCTCGACAGGCTCTTGAAGGCTGGGCCAAAGAATCTGGACTCAATTACCAGGATTTCTCCGAGCTCTGTGAAAATGCAGATGCAAAAAAAGAGGTCCAACAATCACTTGCCAAGGTTCGTCGAATTGATAGTAAATGAATGAGCTGCCATATCTACTTGTTCAACAAGAAGATGCTTTTTACAAAATCGTCGATCTTTTTCAACGCCCCATGTATTATACATTTGCAGGCGGCTAAGGAAGCGAAACTGGACAAGTTTGAACTACCGGCGAAGATCCAGTTGTTGCCAGATCCTTGGACTCCCGAGTCGGGGTTGGTCACTGCAGCTCTAAAATTGAAGAGGGAGCAATTGAAGGCCAAGTTCAAAGATGAGCTCGAAAAGCTGTACAAATGAAGACACTTCATTCACCTGCAGTTGGTCTGAGATTTTCACAAAGACTGTTTTTTTACTGTTTCTGCTCCACCTTGAGTTTCTTCTTTCTACAGAGTGTTTTTATTATAGTATAAGTTTCTGACCCTAATCAGTCTGTGTTGAATAATACAAATAACTGAGTTATGGATTGTAGGTTGGTTTATGATTCTGTATTCTGTGTTGGACTTGTCTTAACCTTGCTGTGGTGATTTTGTAGTTCTTTTGAACATTTATCTTCTGCATGTTCTCTTTTCAAATTATATACTTCTGCCATGGAAACCACATTTTACCATAACCAAGGCAAAGAACCCACAAATATTCAACCAGCATTTAGTACCTTTAGTACCTACTTTTTTTTTTTTTTTTTTAATAAAAAAAAAAAAATAATAATAATAACTTTTGAAAAAATAAAATAAAATTGTATAGTTAGATAGTGTGGATCAAATAACAATAAGAAGCACTGATCAGCCAATTGTAAAACTTCAGGGATGAAAAAGTTTACCCGCCGAACTTTAGGGACCAAATTGTATATTCTCATCTTGGGCCTTCTACCTCATTCTCGAGTGCCCTGTAGCTCGCCCAAAACCCCAAACCTTTCCGTTGTTTCGGCCTTTGGCTTTCTCTTCTCCAAATCTCCCTGCAAAGATCCTGAAACAAGGTACAATCCTTTCTATTACTAATTTTGTATGTTTTTAATGAGCAATTGCTGTTAATTTGGGGTAAGAACCGATGTGTTTCCTTGTTATGATTTTGGTTGATTTACCATTGTGTTTAGCATTCGCTTGTCGGATTTCCCGTGTGTATATGCTTAGGCAATCGAAGAGTTAACCGAGTTCATCGATTTTATTTCGTGTCAAGCAGAATTCATTCTATCATTAATTTCTTTGCGGTTAATGGAAGATTGAAGTTTTAGGTATGGCATTCTTAATTTACTGAGAGATTTTATGAAGCAGGAGGTTGATGATTCTAAGTCGTTTTGTTGTTCCATCCGTTTCTTTCTGGGTAGCATTTGGAAGTTGACACCGTTAATGTTGATTGTTCTTTGTCATTGCATTGCAACGTCTGTGATTTGCTTATAGTTGGCGGCTTTCTTTGCAATCTGTCCTTTGATTGCATGTCTGTTCTGTTGAATATTTATGTGCTTATTAACGAATATGTCTGATTGTGGATGAATCATGGTGACTGATGATAATTGAGATGTAAGTTCTCAGATTGAGCTTATACTTCATTTATTCAGGTTTTCTGTGTTCTTTGGTGGTTTTGCTGCTTGTACTTGCTTTTCAATTTGCATTTTTTTTATTTAATTGCCCTAAGGTAAGTAGTTTTCTCCACTTTGTGTCGGAGGGAGAAAAAACATCACTTGGGATTATATTATGTAAGAAGAGGATGGAGAATTCATGTAATGTTGGAGTATTAAAAGGGTAAATCCATTGTGGAAATATCTGATTCAGGTTCTTTAGGGGATACTCTCAGGGTGTGTTTGTTTGGGGGTTTGGATTTTGGTTTGAAATTTGAATAGTAAAAAATTTGAATTGGAATAGTTTTATTATGTGATAAGTAGGTGTAGATGTGATGTTTTGGATGTAAAATTGATTTTTAGTGTAATATTTCTAAGAAGAAATATTTGAATATCAATCTTATCGATCTAGGTTTTCTAAGAGAACACACCCGCAGTGTATGATCTATTTTTATTTCGATGTTCGCATCCCCTCTAAAATACCCAATTTTAGCATAAGCCTACCATTTATTTCAATGATAAGTGTTCTCAATTATTAACCTTTTTTGTGCATATACCCTTTGCGTTTTCACAGGGATGAAGGTTCGATCATCAGTCAAAAAATTGTGTGAGTTTTGTCGGACAGTAAAGCGTCGTGGGCGTGTCTATGTCTTGTGTTCTGCTAATCCCAAACACAAGCAGCGACAAGGAGTATCTACATTTGCATTCGAAGGTCCTTCTCCACCAGAGTATGTTTCTATGATTTTGCGTAGCCTTTTTTCAATCGTGCAATTGCTGTGAATGGTTCTTTTGCTTACAAACTAAACTGTGTGTTGCAAGAAATCATAGCATCAGTGAAACAAAACATGTCCCATTTAATCTCTCAGCTTAAGATTTTCTCTTTGCATGATATGGAAATGACAGATCATCGTCAACAAGTTGGAAACAGACTACATCAGTCAGTGATGTTGCCGGTGCCCAGAATGGCGTCCCGCCTCCTCTCATATCCCACAAGAACGAGGCATTTTCCGTGACTCCTTGGTGGAAACTGGGCATCGTTTCACGGTTTTTCTATAAGGGTAACAACCAGTAGTAGAAACCTATGTTGCTGTTATTTCAGGTTTGTCCCCAGATTATATGCTATGCTTCTGTTATGAATGAGTGGCTGCATGAATAAAGTGCTGCAAAAAGGAATATTTTGGTTTTGAATCTCTCAGTTTGGCTATTATTATAAACAGTAGTAATATTGAAATACATTGATTTTATTTGGTGATCAAAGGAATCGGAAATGACACTCTATTTCTCTGTTAAGTAACTTTAGCTTAACGTCATATCATGCTCTCTATATTTTCGATTCGTTTGACCCTTCTGATGGAGTGTATAAATAGAAGAATGAAGATGCCTGCATCATTACAAACACAGTTTGGTTAGTATAGAGGAGGATTTAATTCGTTCATCGAAAACATATTTGATTAAAATAAATACTCACTGGCTCCTACAAATAAACCAATTGAAATAAATGGAGTGCCTCTAAGTCCCATGCTGAATGTGAGGCCGAGATTCATAAGGGTACCACCCAACAGTAGGTATATTGTTCCCATCTGTAGTATGGTCGATTTCCGAGCTGCTCTCTCCGACTAACATCCATAAACACACACACACACACACACACGTGTCATATATATATATAGTGTTTATTGAACTCTAAAGATAGATAGGTGTAGAAAAAAGCACAAAAGAAATACCTCAAGGACACGAACGCGTAGCTTTATATCACCTGATTCAAGTTGTTTGACAATCTCTTCTATCCGTTGGATCCGGTAAGGCATGGACATCGTGTATGATCTTGCCTGAAAACCAAATATAAACAAAATTGAAATTTCTTAGAACTGCTTCAAGTTACATATATGATGCCGATGAAATGGAAGATGAAAATGAGAGGTAGAGAGAGTACATCGTCAGCTTGTTTAGTTATCTCTTGAACAACTTGCCTCCCGGTTAGCTGCTGGCTTCTCATCTCCAACAGTTCCTGTTGGAAAATCAATCTATTTCAGATATATATATATATGAATATGTATGTATGTATGTATGTATGTATGTATAGCGTGATGCTTCTTGAGCATCAATTATAGAGGCAATTGAAGTGATGCTGATTGAACCTGAGCATATGGTGCAGCAATCTTAGCGAAGGAGAAGTTGGGGTCTAGAGTGTACCCAATGCCTGCAAGACAGGAAATTCGGAAAAAAGATCAAAATCTTTGAGTAAGGATGAGCTATAGTTTCAACACCAAGAAATATAATGTGTGTTTGAGAGAGAACCTTCAAGAGTTGAAAATGCCCTGAACACAAAGGCGAACGTTGAAGGGAACCGAAAAGGTTGATCTAGCGCTATTGCAAATAAATCCTGAAATCATACAACAGTCGGACAGTTGGATACACGGATGCTAGATACATTTTGTAGCATTTCAAAACCAAAACACAGCCACTTCCTTTACAAAAACAAAAAAAAAGGCATCTCTCTCTCTCCCTCTCTGGTTTTTTATTATTCTGTGTTAACAATCTAAAGCATGCATGCTGCTATCAACAGGGTTGCTGCATACCTCACCAATGGCAGACAATGTCTTCTGCTTATCGAATCTTTGGTTTAACAAGTTATTCAAGAAATACTGCACTGATCTCCTCACCTGAAACAAAATTTTAAGAGAAGGTGATTAGGATTCGTTGTTTCAGTTCAAGGCCTATCTTTTAATCATTGCATTGTATCATATCTTGATAATGATGAATTGCCAGTAAAAATGCATACCGATGTCAAATCCCCTGTTGGTTGAAGGGCTCCCAGATCTATTAGACTTTGCATAACCTGCGGCAGAAGCTAACCATCAGCTCTTGCAAGTTTAAAAAACATCACTGTTCCAACAAGAACTTCAATGTCATTAGGACTTTGAAATTGTAGTTAAACGAACGTAACCTTTTTTGCATCCTTTTCATAAATGGCATAGAACAGTTCCATTAACTTCTCTCTTGTGAAGCCCTTGATCTCTCCCATCATCCCAAAGTCGTAGTATATGAGTGCTTCATCTTTGTCAATTGCAAGATTCCCAGGATGGGGATCGGCATGATAGAAACCAGTCTTTAGCATCTGAAGTGGTTAACTTTCAATTTAGAAAATCAAACAGGAAAATGGTAATATAATTAGTAATAAAAGACCTGCTAGGCCTTGCTAAATCAAACGTAGGAACCAAACCTGAATCAAGTAGGATTCAACAGCATGTGCTGAAATTCTTGATCGATTATAACCCCGCGCATCAATCATATCCAACTGGTTGATCTTAATACCTGGTTTAATCAATGGTGAGAAATCTTTGTATGTGAGAATCATATAATGGAAGAAATTAGAATATCAGATGCATAAAGAAAGACCAGTGTAATAAAGTGGAAAGTAACATATAGAATTTTCGCAAGAAAAGGTAACAGAGTAGTAAGATTACCAGGAACATACTCCAGGGTCAATACTTTGGTTCCCGTATAATCCCAGAAGACCATCTGTTAAAGACAATATAATTTTCTTTGAACAATCCAAGTTGTAGCAAAATAAAGAGAATATACTGAAAGCTTGTCCTGTTTAAGTTTTTTTATAATTATTGTTTTGTTTCTTGGAGAGGATGAATCTATTCACAGAGCATTTCACATTAGAAAATAAAGAGCTACTGATGAAAGCAAAATTGAAATACTAGTTAAGTCTTAAGATAACAAATCTGAGAAGGCAAAGAATGCTAATCATCAGGAGAAAACATACAGGCACTCGAACCCACTTTATATTGCGAAAGTCACGACGGAATCTGTCAGCATTTTTCGCTTCATTGACATAATCAATTTCTTGATACAATATCCTGAAAAAAATTCATAAACGTGCAGCACAACATTACAAAGGCAGAATTCAGTTTACAGTAATATTTAAAGAGCATTATAGACAAGTTGATTCACTCATACTGCTAAATTAAGCTCACTCACTTGGCACATTCTTCGTATATCCCAATCCAATCCCTTGTTGGACCACCTAGTGTTTCACTTCTTTGAAAATATTCACAAACTATCTTCATATTTCCTGATCAGAAAACATGTTACATTACTAGAGCAAAAACAAGAAGCAAGTAGGCATAAAATATCAATTAATGGTAATCACTTTACCAAGATCAATGTCGAAAAGTTTTTTCAGTCCTGGACGTTGAATTTTAACCACTACTTTCTCTCCATTATGCAAAACAGCCCTGTGAACCTATTTTGATAGTCAAGCAGAAAATCAGCTCAAGAAAGCACACATTTTCAACTACTTCCACATTTTGATCTGAGAAGATACTAAACTATGCGCTCTTTTTTGGGGTAAAAGAGAGATTGTCATAACGTAGATCAAACACCTGACCAAGACTAGCAGCAGCAATTGGTTCATCTTCAAAATGCTTGAACAAAATATGCATTGGAGCACCCAGTTCAGTTTCAATCAAGCTCTTTGCTCGACTGGATGAAAAAGCAGGTACTTGATCCTGTAACATAATCAGAGTAACAATTAAAGAACCATGCAAGAAGTCTATAAACAACATAAAGTTAAGCTTACTTTCACCAAAGAAAAATTGCCAATCTTTACCTGCAGTTTAGCAAGCTCTTCGACAAACTCCTTGGGGAATAGATCTGATCGTGAAGAGGACAATTGTCCAAGTTTGATAAAGGTTGGACCAAGTTGGAGGATACGCTCCCGTAACCATATAGCTGTTTTCCGTCTCCTCTTTCTCTGCAAAACACATAGGGATTTTACAACATATTTACATTCATTGCTGCCACAATGATCACAAAATTTAGAGTGCTAAACAATAAGCCAACCTGCTTATCCTCTGTGAAGCCTCCAATGTATGTCCACTTGGAATTGTCCAATAGAACACGCAGACGCAGTGAAATGATAAAGGACCAGATGTCAATATTCCTCTGGATGGAGTTATAGTTTTCATTCGCCCAACTATAACCTTTGGCTGAAGGCAAAATCTTTGGCCCTTCAAAGGGTAGAAACTCTTTAGGCCTAGCAGATTTTGTAAGGGACAGAGAACTATCCTTCTTGACCAGGCTCTCTCTCTTGACTAACTGCTGATGACCATTAACATTCTGTACAATTCCATTGATGTTCTTTGCAGATCCAGTTTTTGAATTATCTAATGACATTCGTTTCTTTATCTCACTTGTCGCTACCATTTCTATGACTCTGCCATTCTTGACTACTTTGTCTGGCAATTCCCTCTGCTGCATTTCCACCTGAAGCCTGTGGAGTTTCCGTGTTTTGATTAGATTCTTCGTATTTTTGTTGAACTTCTGAAAACTTTTGTCTCTGACTGATCCAGAAAAACTAATATCGTCTCCCCATCTTCCATGATTTACTGATCCTCCAACGAAGCCATAGCTGTTGTTAGAAATCAGCACTGCCGCCATAGGTTTAAAATCTGGAGGAAATCTATACATATCAATTATCATACCGAGATTGCTTTGAACTGTTCGATACTTCACGCAAACAATCAAATTAAAACTATTTTCAGTATCATCGACTGCGAATATAAAGCACAAGACAGCAAAACAAATGATCATAGAAACAAAAACAAGATGGCTAAATTTAGCGCCTCGAGCATTCCATTTCCAAGCAGAAGAGTTTGATTCAGCAGTCAGTAAACAAATTCAGATAAATAATTCATTGTACGAGACGCATTTCCCCCTTTTCCATCTGCTAAATATGCATACGTCAAGATACCAGGCGACGAAGGATCACGATAATTTATCAAAACAACTTAAGTAGAGAATAAACCACCTGATATGTTCGACGATTCTGTCCTGAATCGTCACCAGAATCGAATGCTCAGCTATTCCACCCGATTCCCGCAATCGAAACAAACCGAAAGCAATCGAACTCAAAATAGACGAGAAAATCAACAAAATAATAACCTCGCAGCAGATCAATGAACGAAGAATAACAAATCACAATCCAGAAGCTCTACAGGAAGTACCAATACCCAAAACCGTCCTCGATCTCATTCATTCAAGATTTAAGCATACAGGGGAAGCGGGAGTGATACTTTTGTGAACTGTACAAGCGTTTGACTATAAACAGACCGAACATCACAAAATGCGCAGCATTCATCCAACGCTGTATATTTCAATACATGTATTATACAATATATATATATATATATGTAATATACCTGAAGTACGACATTCAATAAAACGTCACGTTTAGCTGTAACGAAATATTTAATTTAAATAGTGGTTGGTGATAATTTTTTTAATTTTATACTTTATTTAAATAAAACACGCAAAGACTGCTGAGATTTGTAGCCCTGCCCACGGCCATTTATTTCAGCTTATCTGATTTGATTCGAATATTCAATGTTATAATTAACATTATTATTATTATTATTAAATTGTTTATGGTTCAACTATAATAAGTAGAGTACTATATTTAATAATAATAATAATAATATATATAAATTAGTGAAAGATTGATGTTGAACACGTCATACATTTATGCAAGTTGTCCATATATAGGGTAGACCAGCCCAAACCCAAAACGAATTCCCTTATTTTCTCAATTTTGTTTGTCAGAGAAATTTGATCAAAATAATAGATGTCCATTTTTTAAGGTAAGCCCATCCACCCAAACATCAGGCTCACTTTTTACCCAAAACCCAATCCATCAAGTGCTATAATTCAAATTAAATACTAGTAATAAGTAAAGATAGATTTTAGATCTACATACAAATCAAATTAATTATAAATATATATTTTATACACAATTTGTAGTCACATGTAGGGCCTGCAACAATGTTTCCTGCCATAATCAATGCAGCTGCAAGTGGGATTTCCATTTGCTGCATCATCATGTTCTTGATCATACTTTAAACTACTTTTCATTTCATATGCATGATTTGATGTCAAAGACCCTTCAAGGGTTTTAATTTACAGTAAATTTTCAATGACGGTCAAAGTACAAAAAAAAAAAAAAAAAAAAAGGATTTCAATGATGAACATTTTGCCTAATTAAAATTATAGAACCTGAACTGATCAGATATATATATCATCCGCACAAATAAAATCCACCAAAAGGATCAAAAAATTACAGGACAATATAATTAATCTTCAAAGCTCAGGCTAATTATATTTCTTCTTTTCTCTTAATTAATTGTAATTTGTTTTTTGTTTTTGTTTGAGACAACGATCGAGTTTAGTAAGTGTCGAAGGAAGAACAGTACTTGATGGATCCGATGTTGATGTCGATCTCAATCAAGTTGTCGTCGTCGTCGTTGTCGTTGATGTCCGCCATGGAAGAATCCTTGCACTTTTGGGAAGGGTAAAGAGACAAGCCACTGGGAATGGCGATCTCGAACAGGCTATCTTCATCATCGTCGTCGTCATCGGAGCAGTCGACTGCTCCTCCGCCGCCTTCGTGCCGTCGCAGGTTGTTGTACGGCCATTCCGTATCGGAAGAGTGGTCCTCGCTGGACGTGCTGCAGGAGCATCTGTCGCTCTCCGAGTACAAATCCTGAATTAATGCTCTCGCTCTCCTCACCGCCTGCGGATTTTCTTTCACAGCTTCCATTAATTCTGCGTCAGGAGGACGATGATCAAGATGAAGCTGGAGATGACGATGATGATGATGATCGGACGGTGGAGACGCTGCGGCGGGTTTTGAAATTAGGGTTTGGGTTTTGGGCTTGAGGAGGACTGTGGAGAGGCAAATTAGAGTAGAGAAAATGATGAGGAGTGAAAATGGTAAGAGGAGGCCATGGAAGGAAGACGACAGCCTTGCAAATACAGCTACTACTGGAACAAGAAGAGCAATCCAGGTTTTTGAGCCCTGGGAAAAACAGACACCGGAGGCCATTAATGGTGCTTCACTTTTTACCAAAGAAAATGCAGCAATGATTGATTAACCCTAACCCAGGATTAGGGTAAGGATTTGAGGATTGATCGCTTTGGCTAAGGTTGTCTGAGCTAACTCATGAGCTCAGGAGAAGGAAAAGCAAAAACCAGTTAGGGTTGAGGAAATTTGAAATTATAATGTGCCATAGATGACGATGATGAATAATGATGAGTAGATAAGAGAAAGGAAAACAAAATAAAAAGGGAAATCGAAAAGGGTGGGGGAATTAAAGGAGAAGCTTTTTGCCAAGAAAAAATACTACTATATATAATAACAATAAAATTAAAGAAAGGGTCAAAGTCTGAAAACCCTAAAATTATATAAATACAAGAATCCTGAGAAGATGAAATTACTCATCGGTTTCGCCGAAAAGGGGTTCCAGTTTTTGTTTGTATATATACAGTGGGAACTCGCTTGTAAGTTTGTATACACATAAACATTATATTAAATTATTATTATTATTATATCAATATATGTGATGATGATCTCAGCCTAAATGATCCATGCATTTTCTTACATATATGCATATTCATGGTAGGGGTGATATTAAGGAAATAACACTTAATTCATTAATATTGGATGGGATCCAATTCCCAAGCCTGATAGTGGAGATTAAAATAGGGCAGTGGTGAGTCCCAAAGAGTGGTCCTGACCTGACTGACCTGACCGGACCGGACCTCAAGTGAGGATTCTCATATTCTCTCCCTCTTAAAAACATCAAAAAACTCCATGGGAATGAGAGATGCCATGTGCCACTCTCTCAGCACATCACTTACCCTCCACGTGCCCTTTTCCATTCACCATTCACCATTAGATATATATATATATTTATAAAATAAATAAATAATTAATTATAATAGTACTCATTGTTTCTCCTTTCCCTAAATAGGAATGCACTTACCAAATTGCTTAAGTATGAAATGAATGCATTATTTGATAAGTAACAGAAATTGTATTGTGAATATTTTATTACACAACAGCTGTTGTAACTTCTGCGACATCTTCCTAGAAAACAAATCCAGTTGCAAGTTGGGATTTTAATTTGAAAATCAGTGGCGGCCCATTTTGTGTCCCAACGGCCCAATAAATTCATGTCCGGCTTCATGGTATTGGCAAAAAGAAATCTCTCATATTTAATAAAAATAATAATAATTAGTAACATATGGAATAGAATAATAATAAGTAGTAACTAACGTACAGGAACTTTAACCCAGCCATTGGCAAAGGCAATGGCTAAAATAACAAAAGGAGTGGACATACCAAATATGATTATATAAGGCAGAGGTGTTTTCATTGGATTCTCTCCTTCTCTTTCTCCTGCTGTCTGCCAATACCTATTTATTTGTTCGTAATTAATAATTAGAAAGAAATAAAGCCATGGATGGATTGTAGATAGCTAATTAATTAATTAAGGATTGATTGATTGATTACTGTTCAGGCTCTTGCTCTCTCGTAATGAACTTCTTCTTCCCTCCTCCTTTCTTGCTCAGCTCCTCTTCTCCTCCTCCTCCTCCCCCTCCCCCTAATCAAATCATCATACAAACCCTAATTATGGATCAACTCGATCGATTCACAAATCAAAACTAATTTAATGAATAATTGACCAAAACGGAATATACATATGGACTATGAAGACGAACCTAAATTAGCAGAAACTCTGAATCCTTGGCTGGTTCTGCTGCTGCCCTGCAGCTTGGTGGTTGTTTTGAGAGGCTGTTGGTCGAAGCTAGGTGCTGAACAAAATGGCTTGTGAATGATCATACAACATATCGACCTCCGGGGCTGCTGCTGCTGGTGGTGGCTCAGGCACGAAATTAAGCTCACTTCTGCTGCTGCTGCTGCCGCCATTGATGTGTTTACTGAGGAGGAAGAAGAAGAAAAGGAGAGAATAGAGACTAATTAGCGGAAATGAATTTTAATTGAGTGTGTTGAATGGTGATGGAGGAGATGACATCTGTCATGTCGCCTTATCCACACACGTACTGCCCATTTTCATATAAATTCCTGTGATTAATATATGATTATCACCAAGTTATATCATGTATTTAGATACTTAATTTATTTGTGTGATGGAGATTATGAAATGATTCGAACTGAATTTCCTTCATTTATTTATACTTTTGCATCGGTGGAATTTATCAAAAATATTGAGGTTTAAAATTGTTTGAAATATTGCCTCGTTTAAAAGGAAATATGCAGGACTGATGTGATGGCACAATAAAGTCTTGTTATATTATAAATTGAGATATTAATTTACACGTCTTACATTCTGTTATTTGTCATTATTCATTTTTTTTTAAAAATTATTACCTCAAATATTATTTATAAAATTAAATATTAATTTTTATTTTTTTTTCAAATTTCTAAATTTTCAAAAATTTCCAAAAACTCATATCTAAACAAACAAACGTGGTTTTTTGCTGCTGTTTTGGTAAACATGAAAGGTTTAAAAGTTCAGACTACTTGTTGAATATGTTCTACGTTTGAAAAGAATATGAAATTTTTCTTATTATCTTTAATTTTTTTTTATGAGATTTTACTTTTAATTTTTTTATTTTAATTTTTTTTTTAAAATATCAAATCAAATATTTTATTTTTATTTATTTTATTACATTAAAATATGATTTTTACTTTCAAAATATAAAAACATATTTATATCACATTAAACAACTATTTTAATTCAATTCAAAATTTTGCTGTACAAAATCAAAATTTCACAACGAATTGATTTTCCAATTTGGAAGTTCATATCCATTTTTAACAGTGCCAACAGTGCCATCACTTTTTTTCTTTCGGTACGGATCATGTTCAAATTTTTATTTAAATATTAAACTTAATTTAAACGAAATCAATAAAAAAAATTCAATAGGTCGAAATTAATTAATCAATATGTTTTATAGTAGTCAGAAATATATTTTTTCCTAAATTCTAATGAACTCTTATCTCAAACAAAAGTCGGTCTTGTTAGACCGGACAAACATGGCCGAACTGAGTTTTACGTTTACCCAACCAGAAACGTGAAATTAAAGACAAATTTATATGCAGTCAGTTCACCTGGCAGCTGACAATATAATACTGCAAAAAAATGCCGATGCCGATATCGAAAGCCTCTGTAACTATCTTCGGAAGAACACTGAAACGGTGGCTGTAATCTTCACGGGAGTTCAATTGGTCACCAGGATTTCTGCATATTCTTTAACTGCAGCGAGTCCTGTCGTCTTTCCCTTCGTTTTCTTGGGGACAAAAGCAGAGGAAATTCGGCCGTATTGGCTGTCAAGCTTCACGCGCTGTAAAGTTATCCTACTGGTCAGTTCTTCACTGTCATTTTCTGAACCCTATGCAGTATGGAATTTTAGAATTTCGGATTTCTGGATTATGTGTAGTGGGAGTATTCATCGTTTCTTGGCAAGGTTGAATTTATCTTGTTTGAGGAAGGCCCACCTTGAAGTTTAGCTTAATTAATTTGTGACGATGGTATGGTTGCTTTTGCGGGTACCTCGTTTTGTGCCTTCTTATTGGGGTCGGTTTGCTTTTGAGGGAATAGATGGGTTTGTGAACTAAATCAGTTTAGTTATTTCTTTAAGAGAAGACCTTCTTTTATGCCACTTCCTTATCTTATGTTGGTTGGGGAGATTGAGGAGGTTTAGAAGCGATGTCATCCAAATCAAACACGAACAAGACGAGTTGTTCTAGGAGCAGCTCTGCTAAGTCGAAACAAATTGCTCGTATAGTGGCTCAGACGCCAATTGATGCGAAGCTTCATGAAGATTTTGAGCAATCTGAGCGACAATTTGATTACTCAACTTCTGTTAATACCTCCAATGCCGGCAGTGATGTTCCTTCTTCGACCGTGTCTTCTTATCTTCAGAAGATGCAAAGAGGAAGCCTTATCCAGCCTTTTGGTTGCTTGATTGCCATTGATGAACAGAGTTTCAGAGTCTTGGCATACAGCGAGAACGCCCCAGAAATGTTGGACTTACTGCCACATGCAGTTCCAAGCATGGAACAGCAAGAGGTTTTGAGTTTAGGCACTGATGTTCGGTTGCTTTTTAAATCTTTAGGTGCCGCTGCACTGCAAAAGGCAGCTAATTTTGGGGAGGTCAATGTGCTGAACCCAATATTGGTCCATACTAGAACCTCCGGCAAGCCTTTTTATGCCATTCTACACCACATTGATGTCGGGTTAGTCATAGATCTAGAACCCGTGAACCCTTCTGATGTGCCTGTAACTGCTGCTGGGGCACTAAAATCATACAAGCTTGCAGCCAAAGCCATATCGAAACTACAATCTCTGCCCAGTGGAAATATCTCATTGTTGTGTGATGTATTAGTTAGAGAGGTAAAGTATTTAACTGATTATGATCGTGTCATGGTTTATAAATTTCATGAGGATGATCATGGGGAGGTTGTGGCTGAGTCCCGTAGGCCTGATTTGGAACCTTATCTTGGCTTGCATTACCCTGCAACTGATATACCACAAGCATCTAGATTCCTTTTCATGAAGAATAAGGTTCGGATGATATGTGATTGTCTAGCACATCCAGTTAAGGTAATTCAGGATGGATTGGCCCAACCATTGAGTTTGGCTGGATCAACCCTAAGGGCTCCCCATGGGTGTCATGCACAATATATGGAAAACATGGGGTCTATTGCATCACTGGTGATGTCAGTAATGATAAATGAGGAGGACGAGGATGATGATGTGAACAGCAATCAGCAAAGGAGTAGAAAGCTGTGGGGTTTGGTAGTCTGCCACCATACAAGCCCCAGGTTTGTCCCTTTTCCTTTGAGGTATGCATGTGAGTTCTTGATTCAGGTTTTCGGTGTTCAAATCAACAAGGAAGTCGAGCTGGAAGCTCAACTCAGGGAGAGGCACATACTGCAAACTCAAACTGTGCTTTGTGATCTGCTATTAAGAGATGCTCCAATGGGTATTATAACTCAGTCACCAAATGTTATGGACCTTGTGCGATGTGATGGAGCAGCCCTATACTACCGGAAAAAGTTCTGGTTGCTTGGTGTCACACCTCTAGAGTCACAAATTAAGGATATAGTTGAATGGCTTCTTGTGTCCCATGCTGACAGTACTGGATTAAGTACTGACAGCCTTATGGAAGCAGGCTATCCTGGTGCTTCAATTCTTGGTGATGCTGTATGTGGAATGGCTACCATAAAAATTACAACTAGTGATTTTCTGTTTTGGTTTCGCTCCCATACAGAAAAAGAGATCAAGTGGGGCGGTGCAAAACATGATCCTAGTGACAAGGATGATGGCAGAAAAATGCACCCAAGGTCATCATTTAAGGCCTTCCTGGAGGTGGTTAAGAATCGGAGCTTACCATGGGAAGATGTGGAAATGGATGCAATTCATTCACTGCAGCTGATATTAAGAGAATCTTTGCAAGAAAAATTAGCAGGTGACTCAAAAATGATTGTGAGTGTTCCATCAGTGGAGACAAGTATACAGAGGGTTGATGAACTGCGTGTTGTAACTAATGAAATGGTGCATCTCATTGAAACTGCATCAATACCTATTTTGGCTGTTGATGCCTCTGGTAATATCAATGGTTGGAATACTAAAGTGGCTGAGCTTACTGGTTTAGATCTACATAAAGTTCTTGGTACTCCCTTTGTGGACCTAATAGTTGATGATGCAATTGAACCAGTGAACCGCACCCTCGCCCAAGCATTGCAAGGTGGTGCTATTTTTATTTAAGGAGCCTACACTATGTTTGGATATCTTCTTAGGCATGTGAACATAGTGTCTTTTTTATTTTTCTTATTATACCATAGTTATGGATAGCACACAGATTGTGTTAGGATATTACATTTAAGTGCTGTTATTCTCTATACTGACATATAAAACATTGATAATGCCATATTCTATAGGGGATTAAGGGTGATAATTTATTTTAAATTGTTAGTCAAACATATGCAATATGTGAAGTTAGGATGTAACAGTCAAGTGTTGTACCTGTGTGTATACAAGAGATATTTTGGTTTTGCGAGGTTGCCTGTTTAATGGTAAAGGTTTTTGGTGTCATAGGGAAATGCCCAAAACAACAAGCTGGGCCCTTGCTCGTGTTATTTATTTACTTGTTTAGAGCATTCAAATAATGGGAAAGTAATGTTTCAAGTCTCGAAGCTTGTCTTGTTTTTAGTTCATCGGCATAAAATTTGTTATGGTTTTTAATCTCTAATATATTTATAATGATCTAGGAGTGGAACTGTTGAATGTAGGGTGAATGGAGTGAGCATATTCAATGATCGATGTCGGAACCTAATATTGCAGTATAACCTTTTATTTTATTTATTTTTATTGATTATACTAGTTAGTTAGTAATAACATAACCAGTATTTCATAGCATTGCCATATATTCTAGCGCTTTCTAATTTCAACTCTTTTCTCTCTTATCTTCTAGGGGAAATCTGCTCTTTTATTTTTCCACATCATAATGTCATAGATAGAGTTGTTATTTTGAGATATTTGGTCATCTTAATTATTTTTTCGATCTTCTTTGTATACTTGTGTGGATTCATAAATAATGCTTGCGTTTTTTGAGTCACCTCCAGTGGTCTTTGTTTTGAGTCATTTAGCAGCTACTTATTCGTTTTCACTTATTTTTGTGTGCAGCGCACCCCTGGAGGTTAGCAGAAGTTTTTGCCTTTCTGTCTACAACAATAGCACATAAAAATGTAGCCTCCCTTTTTAATACCTATCACAATTCTTTTTCTAGTGGTTGCCTTGATGGAGAGACTTATTAAAATAGCTGATGCATAACATTTACTGTACCTTCATCAATGACTTGTGGTGTTTTTTTTGTTTTAATTATTATTAAATAAACTTTTTAGATGTAAGTATTACTTTTGCAGAATAAAATATGGTGTTCTCTTCTACTTGATTGATAGGACTGAATGTTCATGCCAAAACAATTTTAAAATAATTGTAGGCAAGAGTTTTTATCTTTCCATTGATTTAGACTTGGCACCTGATAGAGAACATGCTCAGTTACTTAGGAAATTGGGGGTTTAGGCTATTAAACTTGGTTGCTGCCTGAAAAAGATGCTTTTTATTTTTAAGCTTGAGTGGTGCAACTAACTTCAGATGTAAATGTAGTAATTGGCTCCTGGAAAGTGCAGTTAGATTGAGAAATCTTAGTTTTTGTATTAAAGACAATTTTTCCCTGTGCTGTTTGGACGTGTCATGGCGTAGTTATGCTAGTTTAAAGTATTTGTTTGCGTAATTTTAGGTGCATGGTTACTCATCCTTGATAAAGAGTTTGCAGGTCTAAATTCTGTTAGCTAGATTCAAGTGATGAAATGACCCGTCACTCATTTGCTTGGTTTAGCATCTACCTCTGTCCATCACAGGCAATTCCACTATTGATTGCAGGTAAGGAAGAGAAGAATGTGGAAATCAAGCTAAAAACCTTTGGTGCTCAGGAAAATGATGGTCCTATCACTTTGGTTGCTAATGCATGTTGCAGTCGAGATGTGAAAGAAAATATAGTTGGGGTTTGCTTTGTTGGGCAAGATGTTACAGGGCAAAAGATGATACTAGACAAATATAGTCGTGTACAGGGTGATTATGTTGGTATTATGAGAAGCCCATGCCCCCTCATTCCTCCTATTTTTATGATGGACGAGAACGGGCTTTGTGTGGAATGGAACAATGCAATGCAAAAATTGTCTGGTCTTAAGAGGGAAGAAGCCATTGGGCAAATGCTTCTTGGTGAGGTCTTCACAGAGCATCCGTTTGGCTGCCAGGTCAAAGATCCAGATACTTTAACAAAGCTCAGAATATTGCTGAATACTGTAATTGCTGGCCAAAATGCTGATAAATTAGTCTTTGGATTCTTTGATCAGCAACAAAAATATATTGAGGCATTGATTTCAGCAAACAAGAGAACAGATTCTGAAGGCAGGGTCAGCGGAGTGTTGTGCTTTTTGCATATAAGTGGCCCTGAGCTTCAGCGTGCTATGCAAGTTCAAAAAATAGCCAAACAGGCAGCAGCAAATACCATAAGAAAGTTAGCCTATATACGCCATGAAATGAGTAATCCTTTGAGTGGGGTAAAATGCATCCACAACCTGATGACATCTACAGATTTGAACAATGAACAGAAGCAGATATTAAAGATTAGTCAATTGTGTTGTGATCAAATTGCCAAAATCATGGGGGACACCGATGTTGAAGGCATTGAAGAAAGGTATGATTTACTTAGCAATAAGTTTATTAAATGAAATATTTCGTAAGCAAGGTCTCCCACACATTCTATCTATATTGGCTTTTGCTAGCACATGGCTAGGTGAAAATAATGATACCAGTATAATGTTATTGTAGCTTACTCCCATTCTAGTTTAGTGCTCCAACCAACATTAGAATTGGTTCATGACAGAGTTATCGCTGACAAAAACCTTTTCTTTTTTTTTTTTTTTTTTTTTTTTTTTCTGTCAAGAACATTTGTCCAATTTATTTGGGCTTGTTTGTATTTTCTCCTTATAATGACTTAATTGATTCATTTTTTCACATCTTCTTAAATTTATACAATATAATATTTTTAAGTAAAATGAAGTTTTGTATTATGCGTACGGATGATTTATCAGTGATTTGAGTTCAAAACCATTCAAGTCCTTTCACAGATAGCTGTTGTTTTCAATGCATGCATACGACGGTGAGGCAGAACATATAATGGATTAGTGCGGCTGTGTTATAAACTTTGATTCATAATTTGCAAATGGTAAATGGAGAATTTTTCTGTACTAGTTTTTAGTTCTTTTCTATTAGGATTCTGCAGCTCTGATCTTTGTATGTCTGGTTTCGTAGTTGCATCGAGATAAATTCTGATGAATTTAATCTTGGAGAAACTTTACAAGCGGTCCTGTATCAAGTCATGAGTCAAAGTAGGGAGCAGCGAGTGCAGATCATCTGCGATTTACCTTCAGATGTATCATCAATGTTCCTATATGGTGATGGATTGAGGCTTCAGCAAGTGCTTGCAGACTTTCTGGCTACTGCTCTCTTGTTTACTCCAGATTTTCAAGGCTCAATAATTCTTTTCAAACTAGTCCCGTCAAAAGAGTTTGTGGGGACTCGAATGCAGGTTCTCCATGTGGAATTTAGGTAATTTTTCTGCTCTCGTCTTCTCTTTCTAACTGGTACCACACAGCACATGATACACCTACCAATCTATTGCTGGTGTTTCTTCTCTAATTAACATACATAGATTATTAACTGCAATAAGCAGGTGATTGTTTCATAGTTTGAAAGTCCATTGTCATCTGTGAACACACTGCCTGTGCCGGCTGATTTAAATGACTTGAAACTTACTATTATATTATCAACCAAAATGTGCTCCCATGACAGGATCAGTCATCCATCTCCGGGAGTACCCAAGGAATTAATACAGGAGATGTTTTGCTATAGCAATAATGTGTCAAGAGAAGGTCTTGGCCTCTACATAAGCCAGAAGCTTGTAAGGATTATGAATGGTACGGTGCAATACCTCCGGGAGGCTGACAAAGCATCTTTCATCATTAAAGTAGAATTCCCATTTGCCAAGGAATCCAACTCAAGCTGATAGTTAACCCTATGCAAAACCATCCCATATGATCTCATTAAGGTTCGCAAAAGCTCCTTGCCAATGGTTCTGCTGAAAATGTACACACCCGATTCATCTTGGGGGCTTCGACAGACAACTGGACTCCGCAATTCTTGACAAATATCAATAACAGGTTGGTCTTACATTTAAGCCATAGAATGCTTATCTTGTAAATGAATGTCTTTTGCAGTTTTATCAAGGTTTCTTGATGTTTCGCTTGCAGACAACCTATGCTATACATAAGATTAGGTTCATAGGGGTGTGTATCTGTGTGTATGTATTACATACAGGGCGACATGCAGAAAAGTTTAAAACATAAAATTGAAATAATTAGGAGATAATTAAGTAGTTAGAGATGAAAGAATTATATAAAGGTGGGATAAGAATATTAGTTAAAAGTGTGAGAAAGGGGTAGAGGAGAAGATGCCAATGGGGTGAGATGAAATGATGAATAGGACCCATCATACAGTGCAATGGTTGGCTGTATCCAAATTACAAGGATCAGTTGGGATGTTAGTGAGGGGAGAATTTCTTCTGATACACACTTGTTGTTTTGCCATTTAATTTTCTTGTTGCAATTGTGACTTGTGAGAATTCTAAATACATTTTGCTGAAGTTGTCTTGTAGTGGGTGTAAGTGCTTTTTGGAACTAGTGTTGAGATTGCTACAATTCTGCCCTCCACTGCCCTGCCTTGTTTCTTTTTGCAACAACTTTTGTGCTTACCTTTTATCCCTTGTTTCTTCATTTTGGTTAGTTTTGACTCATCTTTAAATATACATATAAATAAATATGGTTACTTGTTTCTTTAATCGTAATTAATTCAATTATTGTATGTCTTTCATTTTTCTAATTGTGGATTAATGTGGGCAGTTATTTATGCATGCATTTGCACAATTTCTTGGTGGAGTTGCTGATATATTGAGATATAATTTTAAAATGCTACGAAGTCGAATGGCCCAATGTGTTCTTGCATTAAGAGAATTTGGAGGATTTAGATAAATAAACAAGTATAAATATTATTGACATGATGATGCACCAAATTAGCAAATGATCAATTATTATATCATGTATATATGTGTGACCCAAAGTGCTTTGGATACCACATGATTGTAATGAGGCTAATGACAAGGGAAGAGTCAACCTCCCCACCCCACCCATCCCCCTACTACCCCCCACCCTACTTTACTAATAGGCTACCAATCCCCTCCTCAGAAACATTATTATTATTATTGTTATTATTCATGTCAAATCATATCTCATGTTTTGTGCCAACCTGCATGGATCCTTCCTAGTTTGCCCCAAATGTTTCATGTAGGGAGTATTATTATTATTATTATTATTATTATATGGGGTGATTGATAGATGCATGTTTGACCTGTATTCATATTATTTGGAACAAATACAAATACAAACAATAACAATGCTTCTGCAAAGTACATATGATACATGTTGAGGGAGTTAGTGAGCAAGCTAGGCTGCCTGCAATTATATATATATCTTAGTATATTATTACTTCATATTATATATATATATCATCGACTTATATAATTAATTGGCCTGGGTGCTGGCCCCTACTACAAACCATGTCATTGTCGTGTCGTGTCCTGTTCACACACGCACACACACATGTGGGTGTGTGTGTGGAAATGTGCCCATCCAACAAACCGCCAACACAGTACACAACACCCATGCATCAGCTGCTTCATTCCCCTCTCTCTCTCTATCAGATCAAAAAAAAAAAAAAAGAAAGAAAAACCAATTGCCACTTTAATTTGGGTTAAAAGATTTTTCCACACTGCTGAAGATTTCTACTGTCTGTCTTTTTATTTTTCATTTTTATTTTAAATTCAGGGCCCTGATTTTTGTGGGATCGATTTTCTATATTTGTTATTTAAATACAGGGTTTCAACTCTAGTGTATACATGTTTGTAGCTAGGTAGGGACAGTGTTCTGAGATGTGTGTGTGTGTTGATCTCTCTCTCTCTCTCTCTCTCTCTCTCTCTCTCTCTCTCTCTCTCTCTCTCTCTCTCTCTATATATATATATATATATATATACACACATATATATACTACTTGTAGACCTTGCATTATTATACTACCTTTTAATGGACCCTCAAACCCTTTAAGATATATATTTAGTGTGTGTAATAAGATGAAGGATGAATAAGACAGACATAAAATGCTGTGACATGGCTTTGTTAGGGTCCCAACTCCTACCAACTACATATGAATATCTCATATGCATTGGATACTATTCCCATTTATTGAAAATAATGTGTTTTAATGTCAACATATAAAAGACAAGACATATTTTTAGGCTCAATTTCTTTATATATATAATTTATCAAGCACTAAAGGTCGTATATTTGTGTTAAAAGATTGTGGAAGTTGACAACAAATTTGATCGTTGTGAAAAGATATATAGGACCTATATATATATATAGTATTCATTTCATAGTTACCTCTAAAATAACTTTCTTTACGTTTTTATTAATAAACTTATTTGTTTCTAACATTAATATAATATCAATATGAATATATGATATTATTACTTTTTAATCAATAGAAAGCTAATTCGATTATTAATAGGTTCTATGTCCTAAAATTCATAAAGTTGAAAAAAGGGAAAATCTTTAAATTTTAATTATTTGTATACGTCTCTGTGAAGAAGTTGAATGCACATATATATATATATATATATATAAATGTGTGTCGAATAGAAATGGGAGGCAAATATATAATATAATAAAATGGTGACATGAAAGGGAAAAAAAATAATAAATAAATGTGTAGCTAAAATAGAGGTCGGTTTTGGGATATGTTCCATGCAAAATTAAAGAAACCCTAAGCAGTAGAAATAGATGCATACATGTGAAATTAAGGCACACAAATGACACCAACGTTTACTTTCCCAGAAGCATACAAATGTTAAGCAACGGCCATATCCCACTCATATAGTCAAATCCACACATAATACAGACAACGATACAAACAATAATTATATGTATCAAATATATAATTATTTATTTTATTTTTCTATGTATATATACTATCAATCAGCGTATTAATCCAATACTATAATTATTTAATACTCAATATATTCATACTACAACACAGTAGCTAAGTTTAGCCTGTGCCTGCATGCCTATTCCCATTGTCTTCTTCTCCTTTGGCCTCTTCCCTTCTCTCTCAGATGCCCCCCTTCTCTCTCTCAATTAATATTTTTCTTAAATCATAATTATTATTAATTATTTCTTCACATATAAGTATTAAGTAGTGTTTATTATTTTTAACTAATTAATTATGTGTTACGCATTCATTTATTTATTAATTATTTCTTATTTTATAGTATAATTTTATATATTTTGCCTGCTAAATTATTATTATTATTATATATATATATATATAGGGAACCGCCACTTCTTCACTTTGAGCATTGCTATTCTTATTAGGGTAATTAATTGAGGTGGGGAAATGTCTTCTTCGAGTTTAGTTGTGCGAATTCGGAGCAATGTGCAGCAGCTTCGACAAATTGAGGAGAGATTGGAGAAGAAGGCGAGGTTCTGCATCAACGACAACGTAGATCTGCTAATTGAAATTCTGAAGCGCCTCGACGACCGCTCGCTCGGTGTCGCCGCCTGCGTTTGCCGCCTCTGGTGCGCATTGACTCGGAACGACTCGCTATGGGAGCACCTCTGCTTTCCGCACCTGTCGCCGCCGCCTGACGGTGTTAGAACTGTCGTTGCGGCGCTCGGAGGCTACCGGAGGCTGTATATGCTGTGCGTGAAGCCGGTGGTCGGCCGATTGGGGAAACGAAAGGCCGAGGGGAAGGTATGGACTCGACATGAGGTCGAGCTTGCTTTGTCGTTGTTCTGTGTGGATTACTACGAGAGAGTGTTGCTCGGAAGCAGCGGAGGCGGCGGCGGAAGTGGTGGCGGAGGCGGAGGCGGAGGAGGAAGGCTGGCCGGCGAGTCGCCGTCGCCGCCGTCGTCGCTCATGTTCCTATGCAAAGCCGTGAACGTTTGACTTCAGAGTAAAATTTAAAATCACATTATTATTATTATTATTATTATTTTGTATTCAAACAAAATAAATATATATAAATCATGAATCAATTTGACGCTTTTTTGCTTTTATTCATTTTATTGATATTAAGCTTCGATAAAATATTTCATTTAATTTAATTATTTGTATTGTACTATTTTGTCAATTTTATTATTCGTAGAAAAACGATTGTTTATATAACATTGAAAAATAATAATAATTAAGATTTTTATAATTTAGTAAAAATACAACCAAAGTCCAAGCACTATTTATGTATAAATAAGAATTCCCATATATCACCAATGGTAAGACAAATTAAATAAAATAGTGAAATTGTTTTCTCATATTGGGCTTTAGTTATTCGCATTTAGATTTTTTCATTATGTTTAAGCCCATATATCATCTGTCCTGTGGGCTTAAAAAAAGTTATGAGTTTGTTTTGGATTGGAAATACTCAAAATTAAATGAAAACGAATTTTCCATTTTATGTTACCAGCTCTTTGAATATCAGATGTAGATGTTGTGTAAAAAATAGTGTATTTTTACAGAGAATCGTAATAATTGTATTAAATAAAAAAATGAAATCAAATTTCCAAAAGAAAATATAGATATATTACTTAATTTGTTTTTATATTAGTCAAAACATAATGTGTAAAATCTTTGTATTTGGTTACAAAATAGTGCTTATTATATGTATATGTTTATTATTACAAGGTAAATTATATAATAATTTTTTTTATAGTTAATTATATGTAAAAATATAATGGTGATGCATTACTTTACAATAAAGAAAGCACAAAAAGTATAGCATGGCATATATAAATATAACACAACCAGTAACAACATAAAGTAGATTCCTAATTTAATTATATTTAGTATCGATTTTAATTCACCACTACATTTCTTTTTTATTAAATCATATTTAGTTGAAGAGCAGTAACAATTAAGCAACTCAAAAGTAAAATATCAAGTTAATAATAATAATAATAATAATAATAATAATAATAATAATAATAATAATATGTGGTATGAATGCAGCAATGGGAAGTTCAATTTGTTGGTTGGTAGGGTTTAATGAGAAAGTGATTTTTTTAAAAATATATATGTATATTCAGAAATTATTTTATTTTGAAAGTAATAATTTATATACATATTTAAAATATAATACTCCCCCGTCCCAAAAGTATAGTCTTGTTGTTGTGTTGGGTACGAGATTTAAAAAATATTGATATTATATTGGTAGTTGGTAAAAAATAAAGACAAATGACTTTTTTGCCTTTGTAAGTATATTAGTATAATAAGTAGTGGCAATTGTATAATAATAATGAAAAAGTATTAATAATTTTATGTTGATATAGTTATTTATGGAAATAGACTATTGTTTTGAGACAAACAAAACACTATTGTATTGGAACTGAATAAGTAATAAGTAAGGAAACCCTAATGTGTAGGAATGTTAATTAATATTTCAAATTCAAATTTGAATATGATTAATTTAAATTTTTTAATGTATGTAATGAGAAAATAAATTTTGTAAGAAACAAAATAGGAGACGTATATTTTTTGAATCATTTGACTGAAAGGCTGGAGGAGCATCTTTGCTTTGGAAAATAGGAGAATATTTCATAGGAAAATTAATGGATGGTAATAAATAAAGAAATGGTGATGATTTATAATATATATTAATATTTTAAGTGACTGGTCCAACACGTATAATAAATGCTTTTTAATTTAAAAAATAAAATAAAATATTTATATATGCTCCAACCTTATCAATAAGATCATATCAAATCATATGTAAACTACTAAATTAAACAAATTAATTAAATCATTAAATTGATTGTAACTTAAATGTACAGGATACGTAACGTGAAATTAAACAAACAAATAATCAATTTTAAATTTTATTTTGTAAGATGCTGCTATATTGACAAATAAAGGTGACTCCTTTTCAATTTTATTTAAATTAACACTCATTCAATATTTAATTAATTAATGTTTGAAATGCTCATTATTTTTCACCATATATAATATATTATTATCAGTAAAGTGATTTTAATATAATATATATATATATCAGCAAATTCAGACACGAGTTTAATAATTTCAATAAACAAAAATTTGCAATGTCACATTGCATATAGACATATTTTGGCTAAACAAGTGTATGGGGACAAGAAGGGCTAATTACATATTATCGTACATGTATTGTGGATTTTATTTTATTTTATTTTAGTATATAATTTCAAATAATATAAGAAAATATATATTAACTAAAAATAATATTCGATACATTTTTTTTTTGAAAAAAAAAATAAAATTTTAATGCAATATCTAAAAAATGGTGAAAAAAAAAAGGACATAGGTAAAATACTCTACATTTTCCCTATCTGATGCAAAAAGAAAAGTGAAATAACTATTCCCTCTTTTGTACAATGACATCACATGTTAACAACATATAAAAATAGAAATATCGTAAACAATCAATACAAAAATAAAATAAAATAATATATATATATATATATATATATATAAAAGAATGCCTAATTTATGAAAGAAAAGTTGGTGAGTTTTCTCTTACTTATTTATTCAAATACAGCATAATGAACAAATAATTCAAAATATATAAATATATGTTCATTCTAGCTTGTTTGAACTAAAGGATATAAGTGAAATTTTTTTTGTTACAATATTCCATTCCATAAAATGAATATATATATATATATATTTCGTTTAATTAGTCGTTGTTGGGTGATATATTTGAGGATGACAATTTGCTGGTGCAAGTTGCAACATCAAATATTAATATTTAAAAATAAAAATTTTAATCTTTTTTTCCTAATTTCAACATCCCAATTATTTATTATTTTATAAAGTAGTGCAGAACATAAGCCATAACAATTTTAATGTGGGGCCCACAAACCCATGTTAGTCCCAACATCCCAACACCATATAAATTAAATTATTATTATGACTTTATAGTTTATACTCTCTCTTATTATTTATATTTTTCTATTACATATATATATTTTTTTCTTTCTCTCACCATTTATTGTCGTAATTCGATTTGTAAAATAATTATATAAGAAAAATTATGTATAATATTTGAAATTTTGGAAAAGGAGCAAGGTGTGCCCTGCGCATAACGGCGTACGTTAGCATAACCCTTAGTAATTGTAAGTTTGAAGTTCCCTCAACTAATTATAATAAAAACAATAAAGTAATAAAGACGGCAGATTTGTATTATTATTATTATTATTATTATTATTATTATTATTATTGACAATTTCCAGTAATTAAATGAAAAAAAGAAAAGAAAATATATGTTATTTAATTATAATAACACAGGCTATAACATTTAGAGAATATATAATATGAATATGTAAATATTTTGGAAATATTTTCTTGATTTGTGTTGAAGTATTTTGATAATAATAAAAATTTAACTTACAAAATAAGTTTATCTTTAATATATTTTGGTGAAATAACTATTTTATAATTAAGATATATTGAATAAACAAGAAGAGTTTAATGAAATATTGATTAATAAAATAGCAATTTTTTATCAACTTATTTGATATATAATTATGAAATTTAATAAATAAAAAAAAACTCAATATAGTTATATAAATAATCATTGTAATTGTGGAATATTATATCTGTAATTTTTTTTTTTTCCTTTTCTTTATAGCTTGATGGTTAATTTCAATAAAAAATATATGAAGTTTAACATTGATTTGAAAAAAATAAAATAATAAAGTAGTAAAAAATAATAAAGTGGAGAGAGTACTTGAAAATATAAAGATGTAAATTATATAATTAAAAAGTAATAATGAAGTAGGAATCAAAATGTTAATTAAAATAATATGTCAGATCAAAATTATGAGATAAAAATATAGAAAAATGGTTTAAAGATAAAATGAATTTTAAAAAAGTGGATAGAGATAATAATATTAATAATATAAATTATAGTTTGCCTAATATATTTTATTTAATATATATATATATATATTAAACATATTTTTAACTGCTGCATATTGATATAGTTGTGGTTGTACTGCTACTTTAAATAAAAACTCCCTACAGTTATTTATTTATTTTAAATTTTTTTTTTTCTTGGCGTTTGGACGGAGGTTTTCCGCCGTCAGCCACCGCCGGAGAAATCATCAGACCATTTCTGCTGCTCACCTGTTTTGTACTTAACTTTGAGTAAGATTTCATTATTTTAGAGGGGTAATTTAGGGGGTATCTTTCTGTATTATGTACTGATGGAATTTTTTTCTCTTGTTGTTGGTTGAATTTAATTTTTCGGATTTAACATGTGCTATGTGTAGATCTGCTGCTAGTTTTTGAGGATCGAGAAAATTTGTAGCAAAAAATTGATTCAGGTTTTCCCCCCTAAATCTCGGTATGCTTTTTTCTAGTCCAGTTTCTTTATTTTGAATTGAAAATGAGTTCTTTACTGTTTTTTGCCGTTTTAGGTTAGATCTTTGGGTATTTAGACATTATGCTAAAATTTCAGAGTTGTTTGGTGTGATTTGAATTACGCTTGATAATGTATTGACCTGGGCGGAATTTTTTAGAAGGTAGATTCAGTGAAAATGAAGTATTGCTTTTCTGAGTTATCTGTTTATGTGATTTCTGCTTTTTTTTTTTTTTTTGGTTTTCTGAAGCTGGAGCTGTTGAAAATTTTGCTCTTTTGATTAATAGTTATTGAGCGAAAATGTATGCTTTTGAAGTAGAAGTTTTGGTTTTGAGCTGGAGAGTTTCTTTTCGTGTTTCTAGAGCTGAACACTTAAAACTTGATGTGAAATAAAGCTATGTCGATTTATGAAGAAACAGAGGATATCCAACAGTCTGGTCTTTGTAATCTGCAGATACAATAATGTGTATTCCTGGTGGAATCTGAACGGATTCTTGCCCAGCATAATCAGCTTGTAGGATTTGTTGAAACTTTTGTGGAGTGTTGTGTTTAAAGCTGAAGTTGAGATGGAATCGAAAATGGAGGAAGCATTGAGAGCCAAATCTATGGCTGAGAAGCAGTTTTCGGAGAAAGACTTCATCAGTGCAAAAAACTATGCTTTAAAAGCTCAAATGATGTGTCCTGAGCTGGAGGGTATTTCACAAATGGTGGCCACATTCGGAGTGTACGTTGCTTCTGAGGCAAAAATCAACGGAGAGTATGATTTCTATTCGATCCTTGGAGTGGATCCAACTGCAGAAAAGCCGAAGCTGAAGAAACAGTACAAGAAGATGGCAGTGATGCTCCATCCTGATAAGAACAGAACTGTTGGAGCTGACGGGGCATTTAGGCTCGTCTCTGAAGCATGGACACAATTATCCGATGGTGCAAAAAGAAGCTCTTATGATCAGAGGAGAAGTTTGTTTGCAGGTTACAATTCCGGGATATCTGGCTATGACAACAGTTCCAAGTTCCCAACTCATTCCAGGTTGGATACGTTTTGGACGGTCTGTACATCCTGCCATGTTCAGTACGAGTATCTAAGGAAATATGTGAACAAGCGGCTTTCTTGCAAGAACTGTCGCGGTGTCTTTGTTGCTGTAGAAACTGGGCTAGCCCCGATGAGTAGCTCCTTCCCATATAGCACCTACACTTATCCGCCTGAAAATGGGTATGGAAGCCATGGTTCTACAGTTTCATATGTTCCCGCAAACATGGGATATTGCCCTCCTAATGGATCCACTGGACATACTGCTGGATATAGGCCTGAGTATGTCTCAAATATATCATTTCAGGGCAACTCGACTGCGCAATCCACCGGCAGCGCGGATCCTAATGGTCTCTCTGCATCGTCCTTTGTCTTTTGTCAAGCCAACGGAGAGGCAAACAAAACTAAGGTAAATGGAAAGCACGACAAGATAAAGTCCACGGGTCTCGCAGCACCTAATGGGTACACTAATCAACATGATGCATCAAGACCACGGCGTGGTAGACCACCAAAGAAGATTAAAGTCGACTTTGGAAGCTTGCCTGCTTATGGCCATGGAGAATGTCGCGTGAATGCTACATCAGAGGTGAAAATGGCGAACGGGGATTTGCCATTTAGATCTTCTCCCAAGCTTTCGTCTCCAACTGATGCTACAATCAGACACCCTCCAGCTGTCCCTGTAATTGATACTCGGCGCTTGTTGATTAGTAAGGCGAGACTGGAAATCATCAAGAAAGTGGAAGAAATGAGATTAATTTCGGAGGCTGATGCTGCAGAGGCTGAGAAGAGAATCGCGCACGGCGAGGTTTTGAAATACAACGAGGGGGTTAAAGTATCCGGTGCAACCCATGTTGGTTCTCACCCGGAACTGAAGAGGTCTGCTTCAATGTCAATAACAGTTCCGGATTCTGACTTTCATGATTTTGACAAGGATAGATCAGAAGAATGCTTTAAGCCGAAGCAGATTTGGGCTCTGTACGATGAAGAAGACGGCATGCCTCGCTTGTACTGTCTAATTCGTGAAATCATCTCAGTGAATCCTTTCAAGATTTATATAAGCTACTTGAGCTCAAAATCGGATGGCGAGTTCGGGCCTGTGAACTGGTTGGATTGCGGATTCACCAAATCTTGTGGAAGCTTCCGGGTCTTCCACTCTGAAACAGTTGAACATGTTAACATCTTCTCGCATCTTCTGAGCAAGGAGAAAGCCGGTAGGGGAGGTTGTGTAAGAATCTATCCCCGGCTTGGTGACATATGGGCTGTCTACCGGAACTGGTCGCCAGATTGGAACCGCGCAACCCCAGCTGAAGTGAGGCACCAGTACGAAATGGTCGAGGTTCTTGCTGACTATTCCGATGAAAATGGTGTTTGGGTAACTCCTCTAATTAAACTCGAAGGTTACAAAACCGTATACCAGAGGAATCCAAACACAAGTGCCATCAGATGGATCCCAAGAAGAGAGATGCTACGATTCTCACACCAGGTCCCGTCATGCTCTCTTAAAGTTGAAGGGAAGAACTTGCCAGATGGTTGCTGGGATCTCGACCCTGCTGCAACACCGGAGGAGCTTCTTCAAGGGGAAGCCGAACTGCTCAATGGAACAGACAGTGGCCAATCAGATAAGGCGACAGAATCTCCTCCAGAGGAACATCGTCCAGCTGAATGTGAACTGGGAGCCGAAGAAGTCTCAGCAGCCAAGAGATGCAAGGTCGAAAGTGAAGCATGCGATGGGAAAGAGAACTGGTGCGGAGCTTTTCTGAAACCTGCGGCTGAAGTTCCTCAGACCGAAACAATTTCAGAGGTCTAAGAAGACCTGAGGTATGGCAAAGTTCCTGCAGTAACCTGCAAGTCAGTCGCCGGGCCAAAACTACAGGTTTGGCGAGAACTTGAAAATGGAAACAAGATGGAAATTTAATTTCCAGTCTTTTCCATCAAGAGATTCATAGGTATGTACAGATTTAAGCATGAAATTGCAGGAGGAGGATAATACTAATCCTGGTCCCCATATTATGGGAACCTTTTTATTCGGCAAAAATCTATAACTTGAACTTTTAACTTTGTTGAATTGTGATTCTACCTTATGCTTCTTCATATTCATTCATTCGACGCTAGTTTAGGAAGTAATGAGAGCTTATAATGCATGAATATAGAATGCGCGACTATCTCTAGGATTGGATCCTTAATTTATTTCTGGTTTTATCATTTCTCCTGATATGCGTTGAACCAATGCTTAATTCCAAGGTTGGCATGTACGGAGATGCAATCAACTTATAATGATCTCTAGAGATCATTTTCTGACTAGGTATATGCAAAAACTTGCAGCCTTAAACCATCAATGTGTGTATAACCTATCATAACAAATTGACTGTTGACGTTTTACTACAAAATCTTTGCAGCACAATAGAATAGAATAAATATCACATACAAATACAGGCATGCTATTATTGTTAGTTTGCTATGATAGAAGAAATTCTTGTATAACTAGCTAGCTTCTCCAGCCAACCTTCAATCTACTATGTAAAGCACCAGAATGGATATGCACTCGGTTCTTTGATCGGTCATAGACGAGCACAAGCCATTGGTGCACCACTTAATTCAGTTACATGAATGATTAAAGGAAAGTCCTGGTTTCAATAGCATGATTTACTCTGCAAATGAATTCATCTACTTGCATAGTTCCCAACTCTCCACCAAACCTGGATCTAACTGTGACGCACTGCGTTTCAACCTCTTTTGGCCCGACTACTGCCATCAATGGAATCTTTAGTTTTTCTGAGGTTCTAATAAGTTTGGGCAGCCTCTCACCACTGCAAACTTCGGCCCGAATTCCACTAGCTCTCAATTTTTTGGTCACCTCATTGCAGTACTCGAGCTGTTAACAGTTCACACACCATATATGGTAAGGAATAAGTAAATCTGGTAGGTAACTAATTGAATGCTAGTTTTAGGTACATGTTCCAGTTGTTTAGTTCATGAGGTTAAAGGTCAACCATAAAAGCATCATTAAGTAGTAGATATCAGTAAGTTTGATTTATTATTAGGCATATATAATGGAGGGCACATATATGTTACCTGTGTGTCAGTTACAGGTAGAACTCGAGCTTGAACTGGAGAAAGCCATAAAGGAAAGTCTCCAGCATAATGCTCTATAAGAACACCGAAGAACCGCTCCAAGGACCCTAGTACTGCTCTATGTATCATGATTGGTCGCTTCTTCTCCTGATTTGAATCAACATATGTGATGTCGAAGCGCTGAGGCAAATTAAAATCAACCTGTACAAAAAACATATTCCACACAAAATGACAAGTTGCATTTGAATCAAATAAGCCCCCAAAATAAGGTCGAACTTTTCTTCTCAGAAATTTGTGCTTCATGTACATTTGCTAAAAGTGATGGAGGATAAATAATGAATTGCTAGATGAAAACTATAGGCTTGAACTTTCTTTTTATGAGGTCATTGGGGATCTAACAAAATGGAAATTTGCCAATCAATAGTACCTGTATTGTTGAGCACTGCCACTTTCTCCCCAGAGCATCCTCGATTTTGAGATCAATTTTGGGACCATAGAAAGCTCCACCACCATCATCTATCTGATAATCCCAACCTTTGTCATTTAAAGCATCCTGTAGTGCAACTGTTGCTTTCTCCCATATTTCATCATCTCCCACAGATTTCTCTGGTCTCGTTGAGAGGTTTACTTCATATTTATCAAAACCAAATTGCAGCAGTATTTCCTCTGTAAGATCCAGCACACCTTTAATTTCATCTTTGATTTGATAATCTAAACAAAATATGTGAGCATCATCCTGTAAAAAGATCAAAGTAAAACTAAATTGAGATGCATCCGGCATGCCATACAGGAGGGAGGGCGATCTATAAAAAATTTCAACAAACAAAACCAGAGAGATACCTGTGTAAATCCTCTTACTCGGAAAAGACCATGCAAGCTGCCAGATAACTCATATCTATACACTGTTCCAAGCTCTGCAACCCTGATTGGAAAGTCCCTGTATGAATGTAGTTTCCGTTTGTAAACCAGTATATGGTAAGGACAATTCATCGGTCTGAGCTGATAAAGTTCTTCCTCTATCTCCATCTGATCAAACATGTTCTCTCTGTAAAAATCCAGATGACCGCTGATCTTCCAAAGATCAGCTTTTGCAACATGGGGGGTATAGAGCAGGTCATAGCCATGCTGTATGTGAATCTTTTTCCAGGAATCTTCAATTATGTGCCTTTGAATAGCACCTTTGGGATGCCAGAAAACCAAACCCCCACCAGCCTCATCCTGTGGCCATTTATCTATGATACATTGGTCAATCATCTCAGATGAAATTGGAAAAATCTTAAATAAATGCTATGCATCAACAACAGGATGACTTAGACCAAACCACGTTATGCTCAAGTCAATCTAACCTCACTTTCAAACGTATTGAAGTTTACAACTTCCAACAATGAAAGCATATTTGAGAATTATAACACTCTGGATATATTGGGACTTCATAAATAGGATACCTGTATAGAGAACAGGTCAAGATCCTGACCAATTCGACGGTGATCTCGCCTTTTAGCTTCCTCCTTGAAGTGAAGATAAGCTTTCAGTTGTTCCTCATTCTCCCATGCTGTTCCGTAAATTCTCTGCAGCATTGGTTTATTTGTGTCTCCTCTCCAGTAAGCCCCAGCAACAGACTCAAGTTCTACTGCTTTTCTTTCGATTTCTCCGGTAGATTCAACATGAGGACCAGCACAAAGGTCCCACCATTCATTACCTGACATGTCAGTATTGAGGAATAAATAAAAGTAGAATCATATTTCAGAGTATCTGATCGCTGCAGGCTCACCACATATTCATACATTCCAACAAAGTGACAAAAGAAATAATTATAAATAATGTTTCAGTATACAAAAGGCGCACTTAAGAGTTAATCGTAGAATAAACATTACCACAAATATGACTTGCTCAAGATAATCTTCTTAAGCATAAATGTAGAAAAATGGCCAATTTTCTATAGAAGATCAAGTTAACTCACCTATATGATAGATGGTGATTGGCTCCTCTTTGATGCTGTCCAAAATCTCCATCTTGTAGGGCTCGTTTGCAGCCATAATCCTTTGTTGAGCTTCATCTCTGCTAACTTCTTCTCTAATTAAGGGCAATCTCTTACCAATAATACGATCCTACATGGGATTCAAGAAATACATTACTTAGCCAAAACTGAATATCTCTGCGACTATAATGAGATAGCTAATAGCACAAAATGTCCTACTCGAAACTGGACATAAAGCTCACCATTTCTTTCTTAATTTTCTTAAGATCCTTATCAGTCAGTGGCTCCATATCGAAGTCGTAATAAAAGCCATTCTCAATCCAGGGGCCAATTGTAACTTTTGCATCAGGATAGACTTTTTGAACGGCCATCGCCATTACATGAGCACACTGCATTTGACATGAAATTGAATTTTGGAATGATATATCATCCAGAATCACGAGCGATCAAGAGGGGACGCTTCAGAAGCCATACATAACTCTACAAGCAAATTCGACGCATATACTGCGTTCAAGGAGAATCAACACATAATTAAAAAAAGAAGTAACGAATTAGCATCCCAGACTAACAAATTATGAACAAGAGACTCATAATTAACTTGTCCTATGTACTTGTTTCTTACTCTGATTCTCACACATACAACTCATACTAAATCAAAGCTCAGAAAACGCAATTCCTCCAAGTTCACTAAACCGTCCAGTGTATGAGGGAAAAAGGTGACAAAACTCATCAATCATATACCGTGTGACGAATCCTGAGGAGTTTCTCAGAAGACTCATTAGTAGGAAGGACAACTCTCCTCTCGGAGACATTGGCGTCTCCGTCCTCTCCCGGAGGCGGCACCGTAGGCTTTTCAGTAACTTCCGTGGCGACGGCAGAGAATTTTGCTCTCCGCAATCCGCTCGTGCGATTGAGGATCGCGAAAGATGGAGAAACATTGAAATGGCATTTGGATGAGAAATGAGAGAGCAGCCTAGCCGAAGAGGGACAACTGAGCAGGCAGTGCTTGGAGAGGGATAAAGATAACGCCATGGCAATGGCTCTGTGGCCAAGAAACACAGCCATGGCCAATCTCGACAACTTGACAAGGTCGTCAGTCGTCGTCCCTGGATTTCTGTGGCGGAGGTTTTTGCTAGAAGCAAGACGCCCAGCTTGTTTTAGCCATAGCTGAGCACCAGAGCACTTGAAATTTGGGCCCGGCCTAACAATACTTAAGACCCAAATTTATGGGCCGCAATGTATGTGGGCTAAGATTAACAATAGGTCCAAATCTAAAAATGTTAAGAAATGAAGCACCAGAGCACTTTGAAATTTTGGCCCGACCTAACAATATTTAAGACCCAAATTTATGGGCCGCAATGTATTTGGGCTAAGATAAACAGTAGGCCCAAATCCAATAAATATTAAAAAAAATCCGACCTGCCGGATTCGAACCAGCGACCTAAGGATGACAGCTAGCACACTACAGTCCTCCGCTCTACCAACTGAGCTAAGGTCGGAGATGCTATTCTGTTGTAAATTATTTTATTTATTCTCTTATCAAGGTAATATTTTATTTATTTAATCCCGATTTCAGATTCATATATCACATACAACTAATTATTGCATACCTATTTCTCTTCTATTGTTTACATTGTAATTTGTATACAATACATAAAAGAAAAATAAAAATAAAACCCACCTACTAACTCAGATCATCTTATGCATTACTCTCAGCACAATCTTGCCTCATTACTATTCATTCCTACCAAAACTATACACAAATATATGTATAATATATACACATACATACATGTAGAGATGCTTTCTTCTGCATCAAACTAAAACACTGATGCCAAAAACCTAAGATTTCTTCACCGTGGACATATATACTTATAGCAAGCAAGTATTCGATGTGTACACTGTTCTTGCGGTTCATGTCAATGATTCTACTATGCGTATATTGCAGTACTTCGCGCCGGTCATTCTAAGCGCGACAAATCCTGCGCAGCTGCATCAGTTAGCGACGTGGATTAGCTGTTAGAAATGCATGTTTTGATCCTCCCCCCTATAGCATGTATTCGATCTTGTTTGAACTTCCAGGCCCTCCTAAAATGCAAGAGCTAAAAAAGTTGCAGTCCGAGGTGCATGAAAAGCGGCATGAAAGAGTCGGGAAACAAAGAGTGTGGAAGTTACCGTATTAGTCCTGCAAGTGTGTGTTTTACAAGCCTCTGGCGATGTGGTAGCGAATACAAACACACTGGTCAGAAGTTAAATGTCTGAACTGGTTCATTTCAGACCTAAAGTCAGTTCTGGTCCAGGTCATCCTGTCTCAAAGAATCGTGCGACCACGGAGTACAGCTGTCCCTCGCCAAACGGCTTAGATACATAATCATCCATCCCGCTCGTCACACAAACTTCATTTGTTGAATGAATGACATCTGCTGTCATAGCTAATATTGGGGTGTGCCATTCAGACGAAGATGATGGTTTTTCGGAAGCAATTCTTGAATTATATTCCTTTTCAAGCCTTCGAATCTCTCGTGTAGCTTCAAACCTGCAAAAGGAACAAACGGGAATTAGAGACCGTAACTTCACTCATATAATGTAGATATAAATAAGTTTAGAGACAGCTTACCCGTCCATTTCGGGCATTTGAAGATCCATGAAGCAAGCATCGAACTTGTGGGGAGGCTTAAGCAAATCAACGGCAAGCTGGCCTCCTTCTACACATGTAACGACTGCACCGTACTTCTCTAGAGCACCTTCAGCCACTCTTCTGTTTACGCTGTTGTCATCGACCACCAAAATCTGTTTGCCTTTGAGAAGACTTCTAAGATTAGACGGATTATCCCTTGTATCAAGCCTCTTTCCAGCGGCTTCCAGGAATGTCGACATTAATGTGTTCAATCTCAGAGGCTTTAGTATCAAACCGTCCATTAATTCGTCTAACTTAAGCTTGATCAGGTCGGTGGAGCTTAGGCAAGTCGCCAGTAAGAAAATCTTCAGTCGAGATTTGGATTTGTATCCAGAGCTATCGACTCTCACTATCTTGATCATTTCATGCAGTGGAAAGCAGGTTTCGTTATCCCAAATTTCTTGGTCGATGAGAACCATAGAAAGCACGTCCGACTCTGAAGCACTGATAAAACCGAAAGCAAAGTGAATGCGTAAATCATTACCAGAATATGACAGAAAGCACCTCAACGTTAACACAAATTTCTAGAAAAGGAATGGAAAGAAGAATACCTAGTCCTGTAATTTTCGGAAAGGTAAGCGCAGGCAGACTCCACACTGCAAGTTATATCCACATGAATTCCTAGTCTTCGAAGATGGTATCTTGTGACCTCTGCTCTTATTCTTTTCTCATCAACGACTAATGCTCGTAGTCCCTGAAATTCCGAAACAGGCGGATTGCATGGCTGCCACATTTTGTCTGCTGAATTTGCTTCCATCTGGTTGAAGGATACAGAAAATGTAAAGGTACTGCCAGTGTTAAGCTCACTAACAAAACCAATTTCTCCACCCATAAGATCTACTAAGCGCTCGCTGATGCTCAGTCCTATGCCAGTTCCACCATATTTACGGGATGTAGAGCTGTCGGCCTGCATAAAAGGCGTAAAAATTCGCCCCTGTGCTTCAGGAGGTATTCCTGTGCCGGTGTCTTCAACAGTTACAAGCAATTTGATTCTTCCAGATTCTTCGGCAGTGTCTCCAAGCTTCTTAAAATTTTCCCAACTTTTCCTTCTATCGACTACCGGACACCCACTCAGTGTATTATTAAAAGAAGCATTCGAATCCCTTTGACCTGCACCTAAGCTTTGTTTTAGAACCTCATCCTTCACATCAAGGGCAAGCCTTACTTCATCAGCTAAGTGAACAGAAACAAAAATATGCCCCCTGTCTTGCGTAAACTGCAAAACATAAACAGATAATAATTGTTCATGGATAAGATACTAGAGCAATTTATCCTCCTGAGTGTAATATCAAAAAAGAAACATATGCAATGAAGTTCCTGAAACTATAAACACCGATGTCATTGAGTTCTATGGGAAAATTTTTATAAGTTGATAATCAAAATATCCATCCAATAGTCACTCTTCCAACAACGTAGACTTTAAAACAAGGTATAAAGAACAGAAGGAAGGGAAAAAACAAACGCAAACAACAATATTCAAGATCCAACGAGTAAAATCAAAGGATGGCTACAAAACCTTAATTGAATTCCCCACAAGATTTGTGATGATCTGCCCAAATCGTTCCTGGTCTCCGATGACCACTTCTGGTACCTTCTCAGATACATAAGCTGCCAGCTTTGTTCCCATAGGAGAATCATAACAAAAAGACAGCCAAAGTTAGGTAGGGTAGAAATGTAGCCCGTGTTGGAAATTGTACATAAACACATAAACACACACACACACTCAGAGTGCATTCAGGTTTCTACCTCTATCCCTTTTTCATGAGATTTCCCAGAAAAAATCGATAGGACCTTGTCAAGAACTGCACGCAGATCAAAAGGAACAGCCTCTAATTCAAGCCTTCCAGATTCAATCTTGGCCTGATCCAAAACCTTGTTTATTAATGATATCAAATCTTTTCCACTATCATGAGCAGTCTGAGCATAATTCAGTTGGCAGGGATCAAGATTTGTGTCCATTAGCATCTGAAGCATACCTGTATTATGTCCAATATTAGTACGACTTGCAGCAGTTGAAAGTAAGACATGCCTACCCCAAGGCCCTAACCTCAACCAAACAACCAGCATGGTAGAAATGCTAAAGTATAAAAATTACCCAAAACTCCATTCATTGGTGTCCGGATTTCATGTGACACTGTCGCTAGAAACTGAAAATTAAATTGAAGTTAGAAATAAAATAGAAGAAATATGATGTGGTAGCTCATTTACAAATGACCTGTTATATATAATATACATGACTCTAGATTGCATAAATAAACCAGAGGGCAATGATATCATCAAAGCTCTACCTGGGACTTTGCCACATCAGCTGCTTCAGCCCGATGCTTGAGCTCCATCATCTCCCGATAGTCATGTTCCACTTTAGCAATTTGATTTATGGCTGCATAAAAGATATGACCTAAAAGCAAAGTGATAACAAGTACTCCAACAGATGCAGTTATAGCTTGCCATGGTGGAGGCGGCTTATTTTTAAACCTGCAACAGAAGGGATGGAACACAACATTAGATGCAGGCTGTTTCTGATCAGGATAAACCTCAAGAATATCTAACCTGCAATGCATCTCATGCTTTCTTGTTGGATCCCCAAAATCAAGGTGGCTTATATGCAACAATCCATTGTCGGCGACATCCATACCAAACATTTGAATTGGAGCAGCTTTACTAGTAGTGTCATATACGTTCACAATAATAGTCTGTTTGCTAGCAAGCTGATGTAGAAGCTTCTCAACTAATGATGGAACATCATAAGAAGCACCTAGATACCTATAAGAAAACCATTAAAATCCAAATTAACGAGGAAATTATTTACAGAAAAACACGTGAGTGTTGCACTGTACTACACAGTGGACATCCTGAGAAATGGGATTGCTACATGGATATAGTCGTAAGGGATTTGAAGCAATATTTGCTAGTGTGAAAATATACAAGAGAAGTTTGAAACCTCCAATACATGGTAAGGAAAAGGTGAGAACATATCCATGAGAGATGTTTCAAATTTTCATCGATGAATGATGTGTGTGTAATTAAGAAAAAATAATTACTCTCGACTCTTCATAGATGAGGGTTATACTATTGAGGTGACAATTGCATGTCCCAGAAAAATCATATATCTTATGATGAGATGATGTATATGAGTCAGTAGTGTGTAAAAGAATGGATTAGATTACTTTTGTGTAATACTGTAATTTCCTTAACTAATATATATACTCTGGTTGTTTTAGTTTTATTAATTATCTGGCCTAATGGGGCTTTAATTTATCAATTACAAGCGACATCAGATAAAAGATACTTCAAATGGATGGTGTTCGAAAGTTTTCGATAGAGATCCCGCAAGGTTTATCCAGTGAAGGCCTTGGACTGAAGTTAGATGCATGAATTATCCAAATAATCAAGAGAGGTAGCTGGTAGCCCCATATAAGGAGCAGTGAAGAACTCTGGTAGCAGGTTAAGAATTAAAGATCTGGAAGAAACTGAAACATAGATATGCTATCAAATATATAACTCAATTAGCTGTAGGAAAAAGTGAAAAACCTCAAGAGTTGTTGAACACAGGTTGGGCATGTATTCCAAATGATGAGAAGAGGAAGAATTGTTGGTGTGTGTTTACTTGGGTCACTATAATAAGTCAAAACTGGATCTTAAAATAATTTCTATAATAAGAATTCAGCAATCGGATTAGTCTATTGCAAAGGGAAATAATAAGGAGAAGTAGGTATGAGCAAGACAGCTTGTTGTGGGTGATGTAATACAGAGAGAAGAGTAGTTAGTATCCACTATGGGAAGAAGACTTACAAGGAGCAATTTCGGATCATTAAATGCTCACTACAGCAATGAGAACATCAACAAGAAGTTATGAGGGAATCTAGGGGATATTCTAAGTTTCTTTCGATGAATACAATCAGGCGTATCTATTCCTGAGAGGGTATCCTTAATATGCTATTCTCATAAGGAGTGTGAAGGATAATAGATATCTGAGTAGCGATCAAACACCATGTTACTTAATGCATGATTATGCTATGTTTATATTATTTTATTAAACAACAAAGAGTCTACACAGTAGCAATACTTACCCTACTGTAGCATTTATTCGCTGCACAGGTGTCGCATTGGGTGGAAGGTCAGCATTGTAGACGGCAAAAGTAAGTACAACGCCAAGGTGATTGGATTTTAATAGCTTGAAAGGTGATGTCAGGACTCCTTTTCCAGAAGCTCTAGCTCGCAATATATTCTCTCGGTCTTCCTGTGAACGAAGCGAAAAAAATAAGTTGAATCAGTGAGCCAAAGATAGGAAAGAGAAAAAAAAAAAAAAAAAACTCTAACACTTGCTTCTTATCATACATCTGCATCTTTAGCAAGCAAAATAATTATTTCTTGTTAATGCTACTGCTTTTATGAATTCAAATTGTTGATTGCTAATTTACATGAAATGCACCTTGAAAGGCACTTAGAAAGAACACGAGACTTTAACCAATACCAAATGCTAATATGACAAGTATGAGCCACCTAAGGTATGAAGCCTCATATATATATATATATCAGCAGTCATAATAACCCACACTAAAGATAATGTATAGACCCTAAAGAAAGAAACAAAGCCGTGTTTGCATCATTTCAAGATTCCAAATGCACTATGGAACTGATATATATATATATATGATGTTATTATACATAGTTTATAGTTGTTCAATATACAGGATATCAAGGTCTGTTTAGTGGTCGCAAGCTTGTTGCCAGCTGCCTACATAAATTATAATCGTAAGAGGATGTTATTAGAACCCCATGAGTTTCAAGTCTGGACATGATTTTTGCACAAGAAGGCAAGAGTTTTTATTCTGGTTACCATGTAAATCATAATACTGTCACGCATGCAAGTGTCTTAAGTGTAAATATTGTGCATTTAAAACACTGTTTACAACATATTTCAGCAAAAAATGTATGTGTGAAAGACATAAGGAATGCACAACCGCATGTTGATGAAACTCACTCAACGAGAACTGAAGGTATAATTAATCTAGAAGAGTACTCTCTACAAAAATCAACTAATCACTGTTAAACCACAGTGGGGGTTCTCAAATCTTGAAAATTACATTTTCCTGAAGCATAACAAAATTTTAAACACACCTTACGTGATACAAAAGTAAACAGTAGGTCTTCACTTTCACAAAAAGTAGTCATTAGGTCAAGTTGTATTCAGAATATAATAAAATATGACTTCTAGAAGTGCACCTTGCCAGACATCATATCGATTGATAAGATGTGAGAAACAGTTTTCTGTGAGAAAATAACAGGGGCATATTCATCTTGAAAAGGTGAGGTGCGGAAGTTCTCTGGGTTATAGTCTTGAGCTAAAGTTTGATCTTCAACATCCATTTTCTTGATCGACCATCCATACTGTTTCTCAATGCGCTTCCTCTCTGAGTGGCGAACTCTCAAAGCATAAGCAACACCACTAGTAAGAGGTCTCTCAAAAGCTGTTCTCTCAGTATAATCTTCAAATGTTTTCTGTATCATCCAAAAGGCAGACAAGGGAAATTATATTGCCAGCTCATCACCACATACATAGATCACAACACAATTCACTCAGAATGTATGAAATTACTAGCAAATACTAGCATTTGTACCTGATCAATAGCAGAAGGTTGCTTCCCATGATGGAATGTAGAAATAAGAATGGCCAAGGCATGAACATGGTTCATGCTGACATTGAATTGGTCCTGGAGCATTCGTGCGCGCTCATCACACATGCTTGCCAGAGTTTCTTTCCTTCTCAACCTTATATCTTCATGTAAATACCAGAACAACCAAACAGAGAAAATAACGCCACCTAAGACAAAAATAACCAGAAGCTTCTTCCTCCACTTTCCAGTGCTTCGGGAGTGATGTTGCGCGTACAGTGGCAACTGAGGATGCTGCAGCAATAATGGTTGCTGCTGTACCAGCTCATTCGTTTGACCCCTACGTTGTTCATATAACTTGCGAAGGTTGTAGCTTACAGCCATTCCAACAAAGATCCACAAGAATATTTTGGCAAACCTGAGATAAATGTTCTCACAATGATCTGCAGTACGAGCATGAAACTCTCGCATTTGCAATTCATTCTGAAGGAAGCCAAAGCAAGGAGATAAAGCGTTTGAATATCTGTTTCAGTCTTTATAGGGACAAAAAGAGGACAAAATAAAGAGTACACAACATAGTATATCACTAAAGCAGTTAAGACACATATTGTTATTGACTTATTGGCAGACAATCTTTTAGCATGTGCCTAAGTGAAGTCATAATTAGGGAACTACAAAAAGGAAATAATGAGCCATAATTTGATGAATGACGAGTCTTTTAAGTTATTTCTCGATTAGTCGTAGATTTAAAAATTCAACAAAAGAAAACAAGGGGAAAATGTCCTATAAAGCGACAAAATTCCCAATTTATATCTCAAGGCATTCCTCACATTTTATAAGTAGCTCCTAATTCAGCTATGTATTTCAGTATCTTCTTCAAACCGGACGTGGAATATACTATTGAGAAAAGAAAAACTGGTGAAGTAATGACTTCCAAAGTCTACTCAAAGGGTTTCAACTTAGAATCACACAAGCACCTTACCTCTTTGTAACATATCTGTGCAGTAGATATTGATGAAAGCGTGGAATTCCGAATGGTTAATGCAGAAATCTCCTCAGCCGGCAGTGAACCAAGACATTTAGCATTAGTGTTCTGTAGTGAAGAGCAATGTGCACTGAGCTCAAAATTTTCAGTCACCAATTTACATTGCTTTTGGAAGATCTGATTCTCAGAACCTAGCATCTTAAGCGCACATGCTACAGAACTACAGCACTCGGAACATGCAATCTGGAAGACACAGCCACACAGGGGACAGTAAGTTTTTGAATGAAGACAAAAACAGCACTCACAATCAGGGGCGTAGCAAGAATCTTTTAAAATGGAAATAATTTGCTATCGAAAATAGCTCAATTTAAGACATTCATTATTTTGATATCCGTACGCTGTGAAAAACTAAGAATCCTGACCTCAAAGTAGATAAGAGAAATAATGCAGAGAGATCAAACTCATTAGGTAGTGCGGGTAGCAAACAGAAAATTAACTATGTACTTTTTATCATGACCCCGGAAGCCATTGATCTTACAATTAATTAGATAAGGACAGACTAGCAATAAGGGATCCTCTAGCATTTAGTTTGAAGTTCAATTTTACTTTTATGCATTAATAACTGATGAGAAACATCCTAAGACTGGATTATTATATGTACTAGGTTTGATGCATAACTTGCATTCAAAGATGAGCTATTTAAATGCGTGAACACCGTTAAGAGACAATAAAAAGATACCATGATCATTACACTAAGAAATAAAGCACTATTTCAACAACTTAATTTGACAGCTTATTAATTGAATGTAAATCCATTAAAACTGGCATCAAGTAAGTATTGAACAAGCATTCGCTATATTAGTTCATAAAATCACCAAACTACTTCCGATAGCAATATCACAATTCCATTATACAACAATGCCCTTAATTGACAGATGTAACAGTGATATATAGTTACAATAGCCATTTTATCATCTAATTCAACTGAGTAAGTTCATGTTCTATCTAACTTATCTTGCAGAATTCCACAAAATAGACAAAATAAGCCATCATCAAAACCTGAATGCATACAAATGATTGCCGTCAATCACACAGTATGAGTGAGCAACATAGATAGATGTTCATTATTATTAAAGATGCGACAGCAGTGCTCACTTTCTCCGCGTTGCAGTTCTCGGATGAATCATTAGAATGATCTTCATTTCTAACACGAGTCTTCACTTTCCAGCCTAATGACCCACTGCTCAAGCAAGTCAAGACCCACATTAACACAAACAAAACAACCAATAATGCAAGACCTTGTTTCAATCTTCTACTTCTTGCTTTTCGCCGCAACAACCCCCTTTTACCCTCCTTCAGATTGTAAGAGGGCGATATATTTCCATTTGAGCAAGAATGCTTGTGATTGGAAGACATCTTCACCAAAAACACACTAGCACATCTTGTGAGAGACTGATTTTAAGACCAAGCTAGAGTTGAGAAACTATTCCAAAGAAAGCAAGCACAAAATCAAGGAAGATCCAACAAGAGCCACCACTTCAAATTATTCATACAGCCCTTGGCTAGTTTGGCACAATTCAAATGCAATCTAAGATCTTCAGACGAGCAACCTTCGAACTTCACAAGAATTATTCCAAAATCTGCAATCAGGCAAAATACCCTAAAATCAAGCAAAAGCTCAACGAAAACCCACAAGAGCCATGTAATCAATTCGAATTGAAGATTCTTGATCGCCCTTCTCCACCGAAAAACAGAAAAGAAAGTGTAATATTTTCAGGATAAAGTGGCTTTCAAGAAGGGAAGCTGTTTAAAGCGCCTAGATATATAGAGAATCAAAATCTGCAACTCAGGCAGCTGTGGATTGAGCAGGGAATTCAGCAGTGCAGCAAAATTCCAAATTATCTCAGAGCAACATGTGAAGAAAGTGATGCTGAGTACAATCTCTGAAGACACAGGAAAAAAAAAACCCTCAACAAAAAAAATCCTCCAAACTTGGACTTGCAATCATGCCAAAACAAAAGAAACACACAGCTCAGAAGCTGATTTGGAGTGGCTGCAGCAGGGATCAGTAAAAAGGAGGCAGATTCGGGGCCCCTTTCTTTGATGCATCATCAACAAGGCACACGCAAAACCCCTAAATGTGAGGAGCGGGAGAGATGGAATAAGAAAGGAGATAACAAAAGGAGGATCAAAAAAGAAACACACTCAAAGAATACACATCATCAAGAGGTATTGGATTGAAAGAAATCCAGTTGGTTTCACCCCAAATCCAACTGGAACCAATTATTCAATGTGGAATAAAAAGAAGGTGCCCCTCTTTTCCCCCTTTAACCCCTGAGTGATGACCCTCCCCCCTCCCCTCCCCTTTCTCTCTCTGATGTTCTTGAGAGATTTTAGAGGATTTTGATGTTGGGTACAATACATCATTATCTCATCATCATCTATGTGGGGAAAGGCCAAGAGAAACAAAGACAAGAATTGGCACTCATTATTCGAGGAAATTATTAAAAAAAAGAACACGAACAATAGATGTAGTAATGAAAAGTAGTTCTCCCACAAGTAAAAGCAGGGACACGCTCCATTTCAGAACTCTCTCTCTCTCTCTCTCATTCACTAACTGTCCTCCCTTACTTCACCTTCTCTCCCTCCTCTTTTTGCAATTTCTTTTACTTTATGTTGAAAGAGACCCAACCATCAGCGTTTAAAGATGCTTATTTTGTTTTTTTCTGCCGCACTGCTGCCACTCACTACTGAACCTATGTGCTGTATATTACTACATTACACCTATGTATGTGTATCCATACAATAATAACACTACACAATAATTCACACATATATACAGAGATAGAGATGGAGATTAAGCTGGGTAAAAGGGTGATTGGAGGAGAACCAGGGCAGTGAGTTTTTTTTAGTGCTCAGCTCAGATTTCTGAAAGGGGAAAAAGGAGTGGTGGGGGATGGGGGTGGGGGATGGGGGATGGGGTTTGGGGTTGGGGTTGGGCATCTATTCTGAGGCTGCTTTTGATGACAGACAGAAGGTAGCAGTGAAAAATAAAATACAGAAAAATAGGTGGCGCATATTTAATTAGCAAGTGGGACAGTTGCTAGAATGCGCTTCCGCCTGGTGGCGTGTCCCTCTGCTTAAGCTGCGCATTTATCCTTTGGTGATATTTATATTTATTATAATTTTTATTTTATTTTTTTGTATATTTACGTGGGTTTGGAAGAAGATAATTGATTCCTACCAAATAAAATAAAATATTGTTGATGACGTGACAAGAATTGGCCGTGCATGTCTAGTGGCCCCACCCTACACATTATTAAATTAAGGATGTGTCTAGAGACCTAATACGAAATTTTTTTCTGATAATTAATAATTTAATTAACTGAGAGGAGAGGCCAAGTAAGTTGGTTACTTGTGCTAATTAAACTCTCTAATCGATGCCATGATTGGTTTGACCATTATTACTGCAACCAGAAATGCTTTTAATTTCGTTATTTTATTGTTGTATTGTCCGGATACGACAATTGACATTTGTGTTGTGTGGTGGACCTAAGTTATTAATTCATTGTATTGTATGCCAGGCCAGATTTCAACACCCTCTCCAGTCTCCTCCTGTTGATTAAAATAAATATTTATTGCAGTGTTCTGGACAGAGGCTTCTTTTCTTTTCTCTTTTTTATTTTTTAGTTTTAATTTCCCAATTATTTGATTCAGAATATTAGGAAAAGAAACGAGAGACGTTTTCATGTACTAATATGGCAGAATAATCAAGTGGGTAATAAATAACAAAATTGACTGAGCAAGAGACAACCTAACCGATTTTGACTCGAAATTTTCTCTTTCCATAATATCTAAATTAAAGGTGGTCCTCCAACTGGATATGTTGTTTCTGTAAGAACGAACACTCATCACATGTCCATTTTAGTTTACGAACAATATGAAGTAATATTGATCACACAAGTTTGCTGGATATCTTGTGCAATGGTAAGAACTGCCATAGTTGCAAGAAAAATCAATTTGTAGTGAGTGGCTTAACACATGTTCCATGTAAATTTTTTCATCACTAGCAAAACTGTTCAATGGCAAATAACAGAAAGAGTTAACATACCATGTAGTGTAAACTGTGGATTGATATATAAGGGCCTGTCTCTATTATTCTTGATTATTTGTTGGTGTGACCAGCTTCAGCAGGCTCGTTGACGACAACCTCGGCTTCGACGGTTTCTGGGACTTGAGGAGTGTGGGTGTTCATCTGTTGCTGGAATCCATCACCGTCGCCCCACTTGCTTAAAAGTGCCATGCTCATCATCTCGTAGATTTTTCCTCCGAGTTGCGCTGGGCTCTCGGGGGTGAACCCACTGGATATTAAAGCCGTGTCGTACAAAAGATCGATTGCTCTCATCGCTTCCTCGTCATTTGGGTTAGTCTTGGACACAGTCTGCATTGGGATTTTGTTAAGAGTATTATGATTAGCAGTGGAAACAAAACTGCCCATAGTTTGAAACATCGGAGAAGTGGTTTTAATGAAGAAACCGTACATTCAAGGTTTTGATGATTGGATGATCGGGATTGATTTCGAAAACTCTCCTGCTTCTCATAAACTCGAGCCTTGAGGGGTCTCCTACTGCTTGGGATTTCATTAACCTGTGGAAAATTTAGATAAATAGACTGTATTTTTGTGGATGTATGAACACTAAATAGGCACATCACCTCTCCATATTGGCAGACCAGCCAAATTTCCCGGATGCAAGAACACAAGGCGACGAGCTCAGGCGGTTTGAGATTTGAACGCTGGCGACTTTATCACCTAAACGTTTTTTAATCCAGTCACAAGTCTGACCAAATTCTTGTTTGATCTCTTTTTCCTTCTCCTCATTTTGATCACCTGCAATAAGTTATTGTACATGAGAAACCCCATGGGCCAGGATCAATAAAGAAATCACATGACAGAAATTATTAACGGTACACTCAAGGACATTGGAGATGTACATTCATGTCATAACTAACTTCTGGAAGCAAATCATTGAACAGAAAGATATCCAACTATTTACTTTCACGGGCATCCACATATCCATCGTAGAAAATTAAATTTATCCGAGCTCTAACTTGAAAATATCTAAAACAAGCATGTTATATTCAGTGTTTTAAAAAATCTAAAGGGAAATAGCCACCACCAAATGTTTAAATGAGAGGTTTTTCATAAACTAACCCAGATTTAAATCTTCTTTGCTGATGTCAACAAAGTTCTTGTCTTTGTACGCTTTCAGATTTTGGATGGCAACTTCATCAATAGGGTCTACTAAAAATAAAACCTGCATCGATTGAATTAGAATGAGCAGAAAGCATGCAAGGCCAACAGAAGAAGCCATGTCAAGATATTTAATAGAACTCACTTCCATATCCTTTTCAACGAGTTTCTCTAAGAAGGGTGTATTCCTTGCACTGGATATGCTGTCTGCAGCAATGTAATAAATATCTTTCTGATCTGATTTCATGTTTTCGACATACTCATCCAAGCTGATCATTTCCTCCTCACTCTGGGAAGAGAAGAACCGCAGCAATGGAGCAATGCGTTTGTGGTTCTCACGATCTTCAATGCAACCTAATTTCAGGTGTTTGCCAAAGTTTTCCCAGAATTTCACATAGTCCTGAAGAGAAAACGAGCAGCCAAATTATAACAAGTAGCCTTAGAAGGCTCATTGATTAGTGAAAGCAAGTCAGATAATGTTCTGCTTTACTAACAAGAAACACAAAAATAGTAACAGCTTTGGGAATTCCACTTTGTTTTCTTAGAAATTCCAATAAAAAGCAAGGAAGGGACATACATCTCTATTATCACTCAAGGTTATTCCCAGAATCATGTCAAATGCCTTGCGCACCAGTCGTTTCCTCATAATCCTCACCTAAACAGCAAGCAATAATAATTTTAGAATCAGCATATAGCCCAAAATCTCAAATAGCAGCCAACTGTATCCACAAGAAGAAGATAATTCACTCAATATACTTACAATACGACTTTCTTGAAGGATTTCACGTGAGACATTCAAGGGAAGATCATTCGAATCCACAACACCTTTGATGAAACTCAAGTACCGTGGGAACTGCTCCAAATAGAAAGAAGACAATGATTGACTCATGAAAAAAAAAATGTATACTTACAGAACATTTATTTTTCCCTTACCAATTCACCATCAAAGTCATCAGAAATGAAGACACGCTTCACATAAAGCCTTATATTCTTTGTCTTGGGATTGACTATGTCATCGTTCCCTGTGGGTGTTATAGATGGCACATACAAAACAGACCTGAACTCCACTTCACCCTGCAACAACCAATACAGTATGAATAACAATTAACATGACAGAGATCTACTGTCATAATGTCAATGAGTTTTGCATCATTCTTCCAAGGCTTATCTCCTAGTATAATATCTTCAAAGAACATATAATAAAAAGTATTTACTGCAGTTGTATGATAGATACCAGGTTGAGTTAGGGCCTGAAAACAAAAGACATCAGGTTAATGGTTTAATTTAGATACAACCTCAGTGGTGAAGTGTGAAGAGGCCAGGGGCTCCAAATATTCATTAAATGTTTTCTTGTAAAATTCATTGTACTCCTCCGTGGTGACTTCCTTGGGGTTACGCAACTGCAACAACCAGAACTATTAAATTTCATGCAAAAGCATTTACTGAGAAAATCAAGTCAAATACACAAATTAGCAGCCTCACCCATATTGGTTGGGTCTCATTTAGAAGCTCCCAATCCCAGTATCGTTCAACAACAGTCTTGGTCTTCTTCTTTTTCTGTTCCACCAGAAACAGTACATAGGTTCAGAAGTTCTGTAGTCAGTTCCTGCTGGCTTTAAAATATATGCAACTTTAAATCTTACCTCAGTTTTGCCATCTTGTCCATCCTTACTAGCATCAGCAGGATCCTCATCAACCTCAACCTACACAATTTTAAATCATTGTGAACACTAGGAAGGAAAACCACGCAACTGCCTTCAAAATCAAGACAGATGTACAGATCTTTAACAAAATATTAGAGTGGCGTGGTTTTAAAATATAAGATAACTAATCATAAGTGTTAACTATCTCTTCTCACAACCGAGGGTATACCTTTTATCTTTTTATTGCAGGAGAGCAATTACCAGAAGTAGAAAACAAAAGGTCAATGTCAAACCAATATCAATGATGATTAAAAGACTTTGACAGCATACCTCTTTAGTGTATCCTTTCTCTTGCCATGTGTAAATGGGGAATGAAACAAATAGCGAATAGTTTTTGATAAGCTTCTCGATTCTTTCTGGGTGTGCAAAACCTTTGTCATCATGCTGATAATACACAGAACTGAAATATAAGGAGCAGCTCAAAAATTCCTTAAAGCTAAATTACATCAAATAAGAAAAGTGTGCCAACCTTGAGATGAAGTGTTAGTCGAGTTCCTCTAGGAATAAGCTTAGCAGGATCTGTCTCTTCTCGAATGCTATAGGAACTTGAGTTTGCTTCTCCTTCCCATACATACTGTTTATCTGATTTAGGGCTCTTTGTGGACACTTCAACCTTCCAAAGTACAAAAGATATTTAGCCTAAAAGGCCAGAGAAGAAGTAAACAGGAAAAAGAGATGCGCCTCAACTCAAGCGGATAGATTTAGCTTAGATGAGACATTATATACCCGCTCAGAAACAAGGAACGCTGAATAGAATCCCACACCAAACTGACCAATTAAATTGCTGTCAGCACCAGCATCCTTGCTATCCTGTCAACCAATACAAGGTGAAGTAAAATATAGTTTTTGTATTATTCCAAAACAGAAAGCAAAAGGTTCAATTCACCAAAAGAATTGCACCTTCAGTGCTTTTAAGAATTTAGCAGTTCCACTTTGTGCAATTGTACCAAGACAGTCAACAAGCTCCTGGCGTGTCATCCCAATACCAGTGTCTCTGGACGACAACCATGCGTTAGAAAGATACACTGTAGAGATGAAAGTATGGCTCGTGATTTACAAACTTACGTAATTGTAATTATTCCATTATCTTTGTCAGTTTGGATTCGGATATCAAGATCAACTGCATCCTTCAAGAGCCCAGGTTCAGTAACAGCAAGAAATCTCAGTTTGTCCAAGGCATCACTTGCGTTGCTGTGGACCAACATTTAATTTTCTCAGCATTTCACAAAACGTAAATGCATGGGCATTAACAAAGACACATAGCCGTCAGCTGGCAAAGATGATCTTACATATCAACACAACAAAAAAATGCTCCAGGTACACAACAGAGAACCCTTGTAGGGCCTGCTTGGTAATGTCACTTAATGGGGGGAAAAGTACGACAATAAATATATGTACATATAACTTACTTGGGGAAAATTGCAAAATATATTTCACAAGCATATTTCATTATCACTTATGTCCTGCAATCATCTCGTTAGCAAAATATATCCTACATGTCTACAAAAATCGTTATTTTTGTCCTTTGACCGCGCGTGACGTTCCCACCACGCACGGTCAAGCGTGGCCATGATAGAAATAGCCACTTTTTTACAAACATGTAGGATATATTTTGTCAACGAGATAAATAAAAGACAAAAACAATAATGGGATATACATGTGGGATATTTTATGATTTTCTATATGATTAAAAAAAAAAGCCAAAAGTCACAAACGCCCATAAACCTCCTCAAAAATGATAATATTTTACAGTAATTACTAAACTTCTTTTTCAATAGAATTGTGTTTTCGTACAAATTCAATTAACATATTAAAATAATAATAAATAATTAAAGAGTTAATACAAGAAATACACATATATAAATGAGTCAATAAAAGGAAAAATCATGAAATTGTATTCATACATCATTCAATTGCTTGTAATAATACGAAAAATAACTCGTTAGTATTCAGATTAGAAAATAAAAAATAAAATAAAAAATTCATAAATCACTAAGCATAAAAGTTCCAATAGTCGTTGTCGGATGTTTCCTCGGTCGTAAGTATACATCATAAATCCATTTAGCATGCGTTAGAGAAAAGCTAACAGCAAAGAACCTTCCTATAAATTTGCCTTCTAGAATAGAATAATTGGCTATAAGATCATTCATTATTTTTACCATTGCCATCTTCAAATAACCTTAGTTACTATTCTCTTGAATGTGTTCTCTTACTGCATGATGAAACCCTGCCATTGCTATCTGCTTGCCTAATCTTTCATTGGGTCGCATCCATCTATGATACAATGCCCTTATCTTGTTTTAAGTGTCAACCCAAACACAAAGATTTATGCAAATCAATCAAAATCGGTGAGCATTTCAGAACACCGAAGACATTACACATAAAAGACACCTATGTGACTCAATTAATCATTAATCATTCAAATATTCTTTCAACTTGCTTCCCTCGAAAGCTGCAGTTTACTCTTAAAGACAAATGTATACACAGAAAAAGATGAAATATAGGGAAGTGGCATGCCTGATAAGTTCTCGAAGAAACACCTCTTTGTTGCTATACAAACTGTTGACAATAAGGTCCATTAAGCGGCTAACCTGCCACAAACAGCAGTTGCCAAAACATTATGCTGTGGTTAGTCGGACAATAAATGAGGTATGCCAAGAATTAAGTTCACCTCCGCTTGGTACTCAAACTTTTCAGCTGATGGAGCAGATGAATCAGATGCAGCAGCAGTTGACTCATGCCGACAGCCAAGAACAGGTTCATCCTTGAGGTTATAGGGTTTTATGCTAGCGATACCATGGCTGCTACCATTAATCAACACAGAGAACCACCTCTTCTGTGTTTCATCTCCGGACTACATCACGGAAGTATAGAGGAATTACTCAGATGAAAAACCAATCATATTCTAATTACAATTAGAAAAATCCCACAGCTCCCAAAGTGCATCTATTCCCAAGTTGAAACACAGCACAAAGAGCTAAATCCGCTCTGCAATAACTCGTTGAGAAAATGAAAGTGCAAAGACCGTAAATCCGACAACAAAACCATTGAATTTACCGTGATAAAAGTTTAGGAGCAGAAACAAGCTCAGGCATGTGGACAAGCACAATCCGAATGCATAATAAAGAACAACACCAAATGAATCCACCCAGATAAGAAAAAAGAAAGTACAAAACGAGAGAAATGCACCGTGAATAAACCAGAACACAAATAAAAAATAACAGAAAGAAGCGCCGGAAAGAAATTACCGGGTGATGATCGAAAGCTATCGAGGATGAAGAAATCGGCCGGTAACGCACGGCGGCGCCACGGATGACGGCGGAGACGGAACGCCTCGGAAGCCTGTGCATATTGGCAGAATGTGAGCTGAGTGAATGTGAGATGCTCGCACAAATTTGGAGAGGGTGGAGCCGGAGCTCGCAGGTAGGGTTTAAGAAGAAATGAGATGAGGGGTTTAGGAAGCTTCTGGAGATGATTTGTAGTCAATTGTAATAAATGGAAATCAGCATACCATTCCGCATCCAAGGGTAATTGTGTCCTTTTAGCACTGTCTAGATTCAAGGGTATATGTGTCTTTTCAGTGAGGCTCTCTCTTTGTACAGCGTATTTTTGATGAAGTAGCCAGGCTGGTGGGTTTAATTTATTCACCTGTTGCTATATTTGTAGTTTTAATTTAAATTAAAATTAAAATAATTATTTAATATAATATTTACTTTTTAGTGAGATAATATATTATACTTTAAAATATTATATGTCAATAAAAATTAAATTATAAGTTAAAATAATAAATTGATATATTTTTTTCGTTCAATAATATATACCAGTTTATTTTTAAAAAAATAATATTAATATTAATATAAATATATTATTAGGATAATTGGTGGTGTGAAATGTGAATTTGGAACCATGATAACATTATTTATAGATATTACTTTTATTTCGTTATTTTTTTATCTCTTATATCCATCTCAAAATTTAAATTACTTTCTTTATTATTAGTTATAATAATCACTTTCAACAAGTTACTTTTATTATTTTATATTTTATAGAATCCACACGCAAAAGATAATCATAAAAGTAAGAGGACAAGTGACTGTTGTTGGGTACTTGTGGACAGTTTTATTTCGTTATTTTTTTATCTTTTATATCCATCTCAAAATTTAAATTACTTTCTTTATTATTAGTTATAATAATCATTTTCAACACGTTACTTTTACTATTTTATATTTTATAGAATCCACACTCAAAAGATAATCATAAAACTAATAGGACAGGTGACTGTTATTGGGTACACGTGGACAGTTTTATATATATATATATTATACTTTTCTCCCTTTCTAATGGAAGACATAATATCAATTCCAAAAAAAAATTCATTCTGAAAATTTTGCTTGATTTTTTGAATTTCGTTGATAATTCGTTCTATCCAGAGGCGGATTGGTGGAAGGCCTAATTTGCTTCAAGAAAATCGTGTGCTACGTGAGGCTCGAATTTAATTTCGCATTTATTTGATTTTGTATTTTCGATTGTAGCCATATCTCAGAGTTTAACAAAAATATTTTTTCCAACAATCTTGAAGCTGGTTGGAATCTGAGATGGCTCGAAATTCCCCAAATCCACCGCTAATCCGGATAGCCTTGGTGGAAGCGACATAAATCTAAATAAATGATATTCAGATTGGCACAATTGGGGAAGAGGACAAGAATGTTAACTTCAGGGTTTCACACTCTTGTTCTTTATATTCCATGACTTCAACCACCCACTCCAAACAGTGAGGCAGCTGCTGCCGAAAAGGCTCTGCCGGCAACGTATGAACAAGGTCTTTAAGGCCGCGATGGAGGGAGTGCAACCTATTGTTGCCTCCTCCAACTAGCCTATTGGCTGGAGGAAAAAACGGGATCTTGTTGATACCCATGTGAAACAGCCTATTGTTGTTTGCCCGTCCTCAGCATATGGCGCAGGACCTGCGCAAGGTCTCGTTGCATCCGTATACAACCTATTGTTGTTGCAGATCAGGTAACGCATTATGTAGCTGCAACTTTCAGGCAATCTATTGTTGCAGCAATCGAGAAGCCAAAAAAATTCAATTGATAGAATTTTAAAATATGGCAACGGAATATATTGTTTTATCTGACCAAGCTGAATGGATAGACGGGCTAACGGAGGCCGCACCTGTTGTGCCGGAACGACCTCAGAATAAAAAAAAATATATAAAAAAAACACACACACAAATTCTGAAAGTCATAAAACATTCATATTTTATGTGCAAAATATATATATATTGAATGGCTTAAGGGACTCCTTATACCGGTGTATGCCAGTATACATTAATGGCTAAGAAGATGTGGGAGATGTTTGGAGAAGAGGCAAAATGGATTCGTCACTCTTTTGAGATGTTCGAGAATGAGACAAACTTGTCTCTGTTATCAGCATAGCAGAAAATACAATGTACAATGGAAAGAGTAGATACATTTGCCGTCGATACAATTCCATAAGATAGTTGAACACAACTAAGGTTATTACGATAGACCATGTTGCATCAAAAGATAACCTAGCGGATCCGCCAACCAAATGATTAAACCGTGATGCAGTTTACAAATTGACTAAAGGAACGTGGCTCAAACATGTAGAGGAAAAAGTTTTATAAAGGAAAACCCAACCTAGAAAAATTGAAGATCTTAAGAAGTAAGTTCAATGAGATAACCTACCTATAAGACTTATATACGTCACTGCGGGGGCTAATAGTCTTGGCCCATTCTTGTCAACGAAAAGTGACATAATAGAAAAGATAGCAAATAATTGCTTTAATGATCACTAAGTAAGTGTTATATCACTTAGAAATTTAGAAAGATTACCTATGTGATGAAAGAGAATTGAGGCCGCTTCAAAGAAGAACTATTCAGGCTTAGATCTTTAGAAACACCCACAGAACTTTCATGGCCAAAACGGACCAAACAATGAGAACCAAATTAGACCCACGAATTATGTGTTGGTATGTAGTCCACTTACTAAGAAATTGAACAATTCAAAGACAACGTATCCATTGGACAATTGGTAAAGACTACATATTGTTTAAGGAAAGTTCAAAGGAAATCCAACTTATAGAATTCATCTTTCTTTCATCGAGTCATCGTTGGTGATTGTTGGGTATTTAATTAAATAGATAAAAGAGGAATAAATTATTTGTCACACATTTTATTTGATTAATTTATTTTATTTAAATAATCAAATAAGTAGTTTGTTGCAACTGAATCAACTAGAACTTGAAATATAATATATATATAAACTCCTTCCATTTTTAATGGAAGACGTAATATCAATTCAAAAAAAAAAAAATCATTATGAAAATTTCTTTACAATTCTAATTCGGTTTTCGGAATATGATATTTCGTTGATAATTCGTTCTATCTGGGAAGCGATCGGTGGAATGTCGAATTCGCTTCAAGAAATCGCATGCTACGCAAGGCTCGAATTTAATTTCATATTTATTTGATTTTATATTTTCGATTTTAGGCATATGTCATATTGTAACAAAAATATTTTCCAACAACTATAAAAGATGCTCTGAGTTCATGGTTTAGACCAAAGGCCTACAAGTTCACATGTCACGTATGATTTGCCATAACTTGCCTTGTGATCCATAAATAGTGCTAAAATTTATTTAATAGAACAATTATGCGATTAATTATGATAGCCTAAAGATCCACCTGTCATCACATATTCGCCTAGTGTGACTTGAGTTTATTCGGTGTACGCTTTCGGTAGCGACTCAATTTTCACGGCATAAAAAAAATATATATATATAAAATAGATGAGAAGCGAAAAGTCGAAAAAAATCAACTTTTTCTAATATTTTAATATAAATATGGAGTAACTTCTTTTTAATAATAAAACTATGAAAAAAGAGAAAATCCCATCTAAAAAACACGCCGATGGAAGCGAACAACCGAAATCGTTCATTCATTCATTCATTCCTTCCTTCAGTACACAGGACAAAAGATTTTACCGCTCACTCTCTCATATCTCATCACAACACCAGATTATACATACATACATACACACACGTGGGCGAGCGATGGATCGATCACTTTCCGGGGACGAAGTTGGTGGCGTAGGCCCAGGCGTTGTTGTTGACGGGGTCGGCCAGATGATCGGCGAGGTTCTCAATGGGGCCTTTCCCGGTGACGATAGCCTGCACAAAAAACCCGAACATGGAGAACATCGCCAGCCGCCCGTTCTTCAGCTCCTTCACCTTCAGCTCCGCGAACGCGTCCGGGTCGTCGGCCAGACCCAGCGGGTCGAACGCGCCGCCGGGGTATACCTTGTCCAGGCCCTCCCCGAGGGGCCCGCCGCCGACCCGGTACCCCTCCACGAAGCCCATCAGGACAACCTGGGAGGCCCAGATGGCCAGGATGCTCTGCGCGTGGATCAGGTTGGGGTTCCCCAGGTAGTCCAGGCCCCCCTCCGAGAAGATCTGCGAGCCGGCCTTGAACCAGACGGCCTCCCCGAACTTGACGCCGTTGCGAGCCAGGAGCTCCGGAGTGACGCAGCCCAGGGCGCCCAGCATGGCCCACCGGCTGTGGATCACCTCCAGCTCGCGGTTGCGGGCGAAGGTCTCCGGGTCGGCCGACAGACCGGCGGTGTCCCAGCCGTAGTCGCCGGGGAACTCGCCGGTCAGGTAGGAGGGGGTCTGCTCGGAGAAGGGGCCTAGGTACTTGGGCCTGTCTGGTCCGTACCTGTATATTTAATTAATTAATTACAGGATAATTATATATATTTAATTCTTTATATTTGTGTAATAGAGATGTGTACCAGATGCTGGGAGGGGCGCTCTTGACGGTGCGGCGCATGGTGAAGCGGCCGCCGGCGGGGCCGCCGGCTTTCCGGGAGAGGTCATTCTGGGGTTTGAGGGCGGTCTGGCCGGCGAAGGCGGATTGTTGGATTGCAGAAGTGGCCATGGCGATTTGATTTGATTCGATTCGATTCGGTTTGATGATGTAAGGGATTGTTTGTTGTTGGCTGAGTGCAGTGAGAATGTGAGAGAGAGATATAAGGCAATGGGAATGGAAATGGAAATGGAAATGGGGATGATGCCGAGGATCAGAATATCTCCACGTCAGCAGGAGGGGATTGGTGGGCGTTCGGGATGGAGATTTCGGTCCGGATTTTTTTAGGGTTACAGGTCCAGAATTCGCCACGTGGCATTTGGAAAATCTTTGCGATGGTGGTACTTGAAATATGGTGGATTGAATTGGATCGGATTGGAAGGAAAAAGGAAGTCAGTCAGTCCCGTACGTGTTGCATGAGTTTAGTTACGGGTTTGTTGCTTCTTACATGTCATGCAATAACTACTAACACATGCTCTACTCTACGCTACACAAATTATTATTATAATTATTACACTGTCAGTTCAAATAAAAAGATACTATTTTCTAATTTTGTATTGCATTACTTATCTCATATAATTAATACTCTTGTCTTTTCTAATATGTTACACAAAATATTATTACTTTTATATCACACAATCTAATAAAAGTATATGCAAAAAGCAAATATTACTAATTTTATGAGAAGAAGATAGTATTTTTATTTATTGTTACATACAATGGCCATTCCCAAAATACCCAATATTATTATTATTATTAATTTTATTATAACTTGAAAACTTGTCTGTAGCTATCTTAAAGTGCATACCGGATGAACTCTCGATTAAATCTAATATCCTGCCAATTAAACTCAACAAAGCAAGTTACACTATTGAACCATGTCTGACAAGTGGACTAGTCTAGATTTGACCAGATGACCTCGCGGTTACAAATTCAATTCCTATATATTATTATTATTATTAGTATTTTTCTAAAATCAAAATTCAGCCACAAACATTAGAATGAAACAAACAGTCATACAAACCACCGCAAACGTCTCTCATGAAGATAAGATACATATGAAGGAAAAACAACTGTAAAAATTGTTGCATAAACCAGAAATGGTTCTCAGGAAGAAGAACCAAAATTGCGCGAGCGAGTATAACGATCTTGAATGACAAAAAGGAGCAGTGCAACTATCTTTTCTACTTCTACAGATTTCCAAAGGAAGTTGGAAATGCAAACTACAATATATATATATATATGTATGAGTATTTATACAACGTCATGGTTCCAGCTTCAGTGAAACAACCCGACACTGCCTGTTGCGTTTTGCGGCATTCATAAATACGGGTGAAAGACAAGCTGGAGCCCACCATGGCCGCCGTAACTTTTGCTCCCCTTTCAAGCAGGCCACTGTGGCATTGCAGGCATAAGAAAATAAGCATTTCATTAGAAACAGAAAAGGAGAGCGGACATCATTCCGATTCATTAGACAGTTCCGGGGGAACAATCACATCTATGGAGAACATAAAGATCAACGGCCAGCAACATTGCACCTCGGAGATGTTTGTCAATTATCACAACACTACATGTCACACCTATGAGAGATGCCAATAAGTCTAAGAGGAACGGCCTCGGTGAAATTCAATAATCCATTAACACACATCAGAGTGTTTGTGATTGCCACACTACAACTGGCTACTAAACCATTATATGTACCACTCAGCAAATTTGATAGGAGGGTAACAGAACTTAAAAGCGGAGAGGAAGTCAAGTGAGGGCATGGTGCCACAGCAGTGTTCTGTTACCATATGGAAGCAAACACACACACATAGCATGTATTAACTAAATTTTCAATCTTTCAATAGAGTTGGAGAAAGAATTACTAAATTTAAAATTAAATAGGTCAGTAACCTTAACGTTCCATCCATTCACATAGTAAACACATTCAGGGGGAAAGGATTAAAATTATTTTCAAGTAAAGGAATATTAAAAGATCAATTCCAGGCTAAAGAAAACGCCTGTGTTTGATTTGATAGTACTTCCCCTAAAGCCCATCTGGAATATGCTGGTTTTATTGGTGTTCTGGGCTAAAACATAGACACATAACAATATTCATCTAACAATTAGTTGTAATGAATCCATTTTTTCAACCTTTTGGTTATACAAATGAGGTGAAGTGGTGAACACAAACACATAACATGTTATACATAGAGTTGTTATACGAGGCAAGCTACTCAAAATTTTGCCCATGAAGATAAACTTAGGGCAATCTTGAGTTTTAAATAAATAAATAAATAAATAAATTCAAATTCTCACAAACTTATTAAATTGAGTAGGCGGCTTGACTTGAAAAGGGTTAAAATTTTCTAACAGATAAAGCTCAAGCTTGATCCGAAAGAATACTAGCAAGTTTGAGCTCATTTAGTAATTAAGCAAACTTGACCTCAGCTTGATAAAAGCTCAAGCCAAGTTCAAATTTGAAATACTTGGCTAAAATAACAGCTCAAGCTCTAGTTATGAATCACTTCAATTCAAAGACTTTGGTCTTAGTCTCATGTTGTGGTCTACTGACATTTTTTATGTGGCAAGATGGGTTGCTACAAATGCAGTAATATGTTCAAGTAGCAAGAAGTTAAATAGGAGGTACAATGTCTTTTAGGCTGGTTGATATACCTTAAGACATCAAATACATTAGAACCATAGAATAAACAAAGTAAAAGCCTACTTTGAACAGAATACTACATTTAATGTCAAAAGGATTTACATGAGAAATATGTGAACACAGGCTTCTATGAAATAGTTTGCAAACAACAATCCAGTTATCGTGTGAGTGGGTTAAGTATTGCATGTGCAACCTTTTTTGCCCCTTCTCCTGTGGATAAGCTGTATAGAGGTTTATCTTGGGAACTATAGTTTGGGTTTGCTCTAGTACTATGCTATATAGCTTCCAAAGTTGAAACTTCATTATATTTTGGATGTATAGAGTTAATACTCTTCAACTATTATAGCATCATGAACTAACCCATACACACACACACACATATAACACCACCAGGTTAAAAGAACCAGTGTCCAGTGTGCACTATCAAGCAACAGGACTAGAGACATAATAATGGATAGTTTTGAGAAAATATAGAAAAGATGATGAGAGGGGTAGAGGAGAGTGAAGAAGAATGAAACCTTTTATTCTCCTTAGCTCCTTGCACAAGGTTATAAAATCACCCCATTTCATATGGCACTTCCTTATGAACCGGAGAATCTGTTCAGTTGTAAACACTGACAGCCCTTCCAAATACTCTCCATTGACCCCATTTTCTTTGAATACTTGACGATAGCCACCAAGGTTTATCTGCTCCAACCACAAGCCAACATCCTGGGACAATAAGGCATATCCAGAAAGTTAGAAATTCACAGGAAAGTAGTTTTTTATAATTATTAAACCCCTTAAAGAAACCAAAGATATCATCTAAAAATTTGTCAACTATACATATAACAATACTGCAAATTCAAATATTAAAAGAGCATAGTAAATAAGTGAAAACAAGTAAAAAAAAAAAAGATGGTTGGCGATCCAAATAACGCAGTGGGTCATTAGCTATATAATTTAGCTGCAATCAATCTATATTTTGAGTGTTGACTACCTCAATTCATCTTATTTGAAGACATGCTTGAAACAATTCATGTTGCCCTTGAGAGACTTCATATGAATTCCAATAAAAATCTAACTATCCCTTAAAGCAACGACCCTTTGCAGGCCATGCCATAAAATTATGAAAAACCACTCAAAAAAGTGCAACAGCTTTCACAAGTGCAAGTTACGACTTTGGCCAATTTGACAATAGTAAGCAGCCATCAAACTACTCAAATCCATTAGCTGAAACATGAATGCAATCCAAGTTCTAGAGCAAATTGTGTCATGCTCCACATAAGACTTTCATATGAATGTGCCAGTTCATCACTCGGAAACTCTATTGCATGTCCTTTGCACTTACATCTTTGTAATTATAATTAAAATAATTAGTGCAAGTTATTTACTTCACTCATAATTATAATTAGAATACATCTGTGTCAAACACTCACTTGAGGGAATTGAATCGGAACTCCTGCTAATATCCACAACAATCTAGTTTTCCAATAAGTACCTGTACTTCTAGGCTATTTTTACCCCTGATGATTCTATGTTATAAGTTATATCCCAGAGATTAATGGTGTTTATATAATTATCAAACATAAACATACAACCACTGCACAATGATTTCATAAGCAATTAGTAAAAAACTCCATAATCAAGCAGAAGAAATTCCAGGCTTGGCCTAAAAATTGGAAGGAAAGAAGACAACAACGTATTTTTGGCACTATCTGGGATGCATATCTTAGTCAAATTGAACTGGTCACAAGAGTGTTGAAGAATATATGCCATTTATGAACATACAGATTACCCCTCAGATCAAATTTCTTAGTCCATCATAAAAATGGAGATATGCTCTAGTGGAGTGTGTAAAGTACACAAGGAACCAATAAAATAACACAATGACAACCCATCGACCTAGATGGCTAGATTCGGGTAAAAACAAAGTAAACACTGTACATGCCTCAACAATCTCGCCTGTCACTTCTCCCCTAATTGATCAATAAGTTTGAGCTACACAGGCACCACAGTGCAATTAGAATCCAAATAACAACAAACGACATCACAAGATCCAAAACACCAAAAAGATTAAAAACAATAAAAATTACTCTCACCTCCACAGTCCAAATAAAGAAATCAAGAGGCTCCGGTGGCTTCTCCTTCCCTTTTCTCATCTCGCAAAACCCAATTAAGGCCGGCCACCGCCGAGAAGCGAATAATCGCGCAAAAAAAAAGATTACAGGTAATTAAAAATACCCATGGCCATGGAGCTTGTGGCAAAAATTGAAACCCCAAACGACCCAATCCTTCAATAAACAGCGGCTTATGCCTCAAATTCCCAAGCGCCTGTGGGGAGGCGAGGCGAGGCGAGATGGAGTTCAGTTCAGTGGGTGGGTTTCAGTTCCGCTAAGTCAATATGTTAGGGCGGGCGCATCTAATTTCCTGCTGCGGTTGCAACTTTCCTTTCCCCCAGGAAAAAATATATATATAAAATAAGACCTACACTCACTGTGTCATTATTAAGGGTGAATGAATCTAAAATTGAAAGCGCTAATTATATGATTTAGTTAATATAATGGATTATAAAATAATCAGTGGTTTACCACTTGCTTAATCACATTCTAACATTATTCATTTCTATTGCAAGAGAATTTCATTTCAATATAAACAAAGCAATTACTCCATTTGTCCGTGAAATAATTTGTTTGGCTAAATATGGAAAATTTTAGAAACATTATTTTTAATTAAAAAATTATATAAATATTTTTAAAAATAAACTTAATTAATAATGTGTTTTTTTTTTTTACTTGATACTACCTCCGCCCCAAAAAGTATTAAATATAATTAATTATTTTTTATTTTGAAAATATTGCATTTGTTTGAAACATACCAAAAAATGTTGTAGGGTGGTGTTTGAGAGAGAGATAGTACATTTTATAATAAAAAATTGAAAAGGAGTAAGTATTATATATTAAAATATATACAATAATAGAGTTTATATGACTTAAAATCATGTAATATTGTTTTGTTTTTCTGATATAATTTCATAGTATAACTTTTTTTATTCCACAAAAATATTTTTTTTCATTTGCTTTTTTTTTAACTAATCATATTTTAATTTTATAATTTATATATATATTCTTTAATTAAATTATTTTAATTAATATATTTTAAAATTATTCATTATCTATATTTCTTTTAAATTTTTGTATCCATAATAATCTGGATATTTTGTGAGACGAAGTATCTTAATAAAAAAATTATTTTGAAAATAACAAATATTACCAAACTATAATTTTCAATAAATAAAAAACTAATTATTATTTATAATTTGTTTGAAATAATAAAAAAACAAATCGAAACAAACTATATGTGGGTAAGATAATACTTAGGTGCCAAAGACAATAATATATTGATATAATAATTAATATTAAAAAATTAACACATAAAAAAACTCATAATACTCTTTTTAAAATAGAAATAATAATTATTAATAAAAGTAATAATAATTAATTTTAAAATTAATAATTTTAATATATAATTATTTTTATTAAATTATAATTATATTTATTAATACATTTATCAATTACTAGTAATTAAAGGACAGAAGAAAGAATATAATAGTAATTCATTTAATTTTTTATTATAAATAATACTCCCTCCGTCCAAGTATATTTGCACAGTTGATTATCTTTTTGTTATGAATGGACAAATTTGCTCATAATTGTATAATAGAGATTAAAAGTAATAAATGAATGAAGTATAAAATAAGAAAAAATCATCACTTTTCAACAATTTAATTATATTATTACACACAATTTGTTGAAACCTGTAAGTTGAACACCACCAATGGCATGAGACAACTTTTAACAACTAAATTGTTACTGATTACTTTATTCTTAATTTGTTTACAAATATAGCAACTCCAGCAGCATTACAGCAAGTATGAAAAAATAATTTATTGCAAAAATCGCAAATGTAAAAACTATCCCTTCATGATACATAGAAGTTTGCACCATCTGAGGCTCAGGCAACTTCTCAACCGCCGCCACTCTACATTTTTCTTTTTTATAGTACGGAAGTTTGAAATCAAGACTCCAGAATTAACCTACTGCTATCAATTCAGGGTTGAATGGAGAGACAATATAGCATTAATATAACATAATTATTTACTGCAACAAAATATAATACTCCCTCTAAACTTCTCCTTTGCGACATGTTAGGTTGTAAGAGCAATCACAAAAGCTCTTCACTAAAGGAAAACCTAGATGCACATGGAAAAATTGATGTGTCACAGAGCATTTGACCAAACTCAATTTTACTCATAAATTTTGTATGCAATGGCTCTTGAACTTCATATTGGCAAGACTGGTTCGAAAACACTAGAGAGAGAAACAAGATAGAGAGATTTTATCAAAACTATGCTTCGCTCTTGCCAAGAAAATTGACCACAAATCCAGTCAATTGCATTCACAGGCAGAAAGATCATATTCCAAAACACTGGCGAAAAGATCAACACTCCAAAACCCACAAGAACGAAATGGACATCTTAAACCCTAGAGTGATACATTACACATCAGCATATCATGGAATTAATAGCAGCAACACACTATATTTCGAGCTGGTGCTTTTAGACAAAATACTTATAAAAAGAAAAATGACATTTTGTGAAAGAAACATTACATTTGAGACTATGTTAGACATAAGTTTCAAGTCTCAACAGCGCTTGGCGATCCAGATGGCTATCTAAATGACTTACGTGAAAGACCTACACAATAAAAGGCCATCCACAAATGATTTTCCAAAATCAATACCATCTGGAACTACTTTGAAAGGAAAGCACACAGTTTGTAGAGGGGTTGGTAATATTTTTCTCATGGCTAATCCAAAGGCCATTTTCAGGTGCTTTTGTTAACTAAGGCAATAGGATATGCAATTCCGTACGAGAAATTCAGAATATAAATGGCAAAAAAGAATGAATTTTGTAATAATTATCCATACAAGTCATGCAAACAATGGTCAAGAAGCAAAACACAATAATCACATAAACACAGAAACAAATCTAATTATCGATCAACTATAAGGAAATTGCAATGGCAAGTTGGCAACGCCATCAATCAAAAAATCAACTAAAAATGGGATTATTTTGTCAAAAAATATAAGTAAATAAGCACTGGACCGTCAATAAGCACACAATTGTAGCTTGTGATTGTAGTTCAATCAATCAAAACATATACTCCACTGCTCATAGCCTCATCTTCTGAGAAAAAGAAAAGACATAAATACACGGATGGCTACTCAATGTAGCTCGTGATTTTTTGTTAAGTGATCGCCATCAATACAGGCAGCACTGGACCGTCAATAAGCACACAATTGTGTTAGAAATTTTAAAGTAAACCCAATTTGAAAGGCCTCAGAATTGCAGAATTACAGCAAGGACTTCATATGAAGACCATTCAGTCCCGAAAGATGGTGTAAATTTTTAAGGATTTCCTCACAGGCCAATAAAACTCACCAGACCAACAAACTGTCAACCAGTAAATTTAAATGAAAACATGTGCTTGTTAGAGAAATGCGTAGAAAGAGGATGTCATTCTCATGGCCAATCCCAAGAGCTAATAGCAGAGACTCTGCTACCCAAGGCGATAGGATATGAGATTGCCCCTCGCGTCTTCAGAAATCTGAATCCAGATCTCAACAAAGGAAAGAGGCTTTCTCTAGCCGCGATTTTGATTGAGTCATGCGAGCAATAACAGAGCTCGCCCCAATTTTGTGTGAATCGCGGCATTTACAAAATGCATACTTAGTATGCAATCAGTGTTAAAGGAACTGTAAGCACAATCGCATCAAGAGCTTCCCCAAAGACATCGATAAGAGCGGGGATCTTTATATTAATTCATAGAAACAAAGAGATTTCCATAAGAAAAAAAAAAGTGTGCGCCGCGACACGGATAGCCTGATTTCTTAGAAGAAAAGGCTCGAAAGACGGAGATGGCTGCTCTATATAGCTTATGCTTTTTGTTAAGTGCTCGCCACAGAATTCGACGGCACTTGACCGTCCATAAGCACACAACTTAGAAAATTAAAAATAAACAGGATGCTAAAGGCCTCCGAATTACAGCAATGAAAACAAAGACAAAAAATAAAGAAAGAACAATGGCAGATCAAGAGAGAAACCAGCCTATAGGGCACGTCGGCGCAGCGGATGATAGCCGAGACAGAACGCCTCGACTTCATATGCAAAATCGCTTATATAGAGTGGGAGCAGAAGATATACTCGCCGACTTTCGAGCGGCTAAACGAAGGTAGGGTTTAAGAAGAAAGTAGGGTTTCGGAAGCTTCTGGAGAAGATGGTCAATTTCTAATATGCCCCTAAATATCGTCAGACGACCGCTCTGCTGCATTGAAGGGTATTTCCGTCTTTTAATTACTCACTGCATCAAAGGGTGTTTCTGTCTTGTCATCCGCGTTCTGCATCTTTCTCGCACGAACTCTGAGATGGCTGCTCGACACAACTTACGCATTCATTTCATTTATTAGTGATCCCGAATGTAACGTCAATTTTGACGTTGCAATACTATTTAAGCCGCTAATGGTCTTCCGTCAATTGGACCACTATGTTTTATGTTTGGTATGCAGTGCAATGATGTATTTGTTTGTTTATTTTTTATTTTTTAATTTTTTTTTAATTTTTAAAATTATAAATTTTACTTTTAAATTTAATTTTTATTTTTTAAAATTTTAAGAAAAAATTATTTAAATTTATAAAAATAAAAATTGTTTAAAATAATAAAAAAATTTAAATATTTAAAAAATAATAATAAAAATAAGAGTCATATACTTGAAGTAAAATTACTATAACAGCATATTTATTTATTTAGAGATAAAACTTGATTAATGAAATTGATGAGACGGAGATAGCACCTTGCCATAAACGAGACGAAGGTTACACTGTATATGGACATGGACGCACTAATTTAAGGTCCGGAAAATCCTTCTTCAATCCTTTTGCAGTCGACCAGATAAGCAAAACCATAAGCCATGTTCTTCAGGGTGGCGTCGTGCAATACCTGCGACCATGCGGCCGTTGCATCGGTTGAGAAGAACACTCGGAATCCTCTTATGAATGCATCTCTAGCAGTCGTCTCGCAGCACAAATTCGTCACAACACCGGTCACTATTACCTCCTTCACTCCCATCTCTTTCAGCCTCTCTTCTAAGCCTGTGCCTGGAGACAAGAGGAGGATCGTGTTATACTTGATTTATCAAATATTATGAGAATTGAGTGATCCAATCGTAGAATAAAATGGATGGAACAGAGATTGTTTTGCAGATAGATGAGGATCTTATCAGGTGATGTAATGAATATTGGATGTACCAGTACTGCAGATGCACAGACTATAATTCCCTTGCCTCTGTTAACGAGTAACAGTAATTCGAGCCGGATGAATGCAAAACATAAGGAGATTTGTGAAATTCATCCATACCACGACGCAAAACAGAAAGGAATTTGTGAAATTAGCTATGGTAATCGAAAATCAGCGAGCGGCGATACCTCTGAAAGCACTGTAGGTGTCCTTCAGTACGATCGGGTCGGCATCGGTCAAGTGCAGATCAGAGATGAGCTGAGACTCAGGAGTACCGTCGAAGATAAGGTCACCGTTCCACCACTCGTAGAGCATGGAATCATCGCCGGGGGGTTTGTGACAGTGGCGCGTGAGGAATACGGGCACGGAAGCGCGCCGACATAGGTCGATCGTGGCGTTGAGCTCCGGCAGGATGGGACGGGCAATGGACTGGAAGTAGTTCTGGACGTCGATCACCAATAGAGCGGCGGACTTCCGCGCAGGGAGGCGCCGCCGTACCTCGAATTTCTTGTACGCCGACATTATCGAGAAATCGGAAGACTCCAGAAAGAATCACCACAGCCAACAGCTTCAGCCTTCAAGCCACAGCAGGTCAAAAGCATCTCAATAACAACACTGCAATAGCTACATGGGCCGAATGGATCATCACGAATTTCTTTGGAGGCCCAAAGATCAAAAGTGGCGCGGCGTGCCGTCTCGTCTGGAGCAGAGTCTGCGTACATTGCTAAAACTTCGAAGCTCCCTTCTTTCAATGGCTTCACTTGACTTGCTCCGCACTTCAACTCCCCCTCTCCCAAACTTTCCTGCTTCCCAAAGCATTCATTCTTCATTATTATATTTCCCAACTCTATTCTCGTCTAATTTCTTTCTTGATTTAATATTGTTGCAGCTGATTACCAGTGGAAACTTCTGAGTGAGCATGGCTGTGCTGAAGCAGGATTTCAACTGCTCAGCAATCAAGAGCGTCTTTGAAGCCTTAAAACTGGGATTATGATCGACTTGAATATTTCGATTCCACTCGTGTGCGTGCTACGGCTTTGACAATCAATCATTCACGAATTCCTGCAGCACCACGTGGATTATTGAGACCCCAGCCTCCAAGCCCTGTCTTGAGATTGGCTCCCCAACATTCATCCCCATGTAGAATAAATTAATCCTGCGCGGCAATGTCGCCTACCTTTTTCCGATTTCGCAAAGGTTTAGATGCTAGTGTGGGAACATTATTTCATTTCCACAACAAAATTGTTCTTTACATGTGCAGGAAAAGATGAACATTAGGAGCCCTCAAGATTCTTCTCTGCTCTCTAGTACCTTCCCATCTCCAAACGTTGCTGCCTTGCTTAAAATCAAGATTCTTTCCTGGTTGGCTTTCGACTTCTTTCTTTCGTTCTTTTTTTTCCAGTGCTTGATTTTTTCACTTTCTGCTGTTCCACAGGAGCCAAGAAACTGGACTCCCTGTCTGCATTCTTGTCCGGATTGGTGATCGGACCTTCAACCTTCACAAGGTTCGTAATAGATTCTTACATAGGATTCAAACTCTAAATGTTGTTGAACTTTGGCTAATTATTTCACCTAACAATTACAGGATCCATTTACTCGCAAGAGCGGATATTTCAGCGAGAAACTGAGGGACTCCAATGAGGTGGAGCTGCCCCCAAATTTTCCAGGCGGAGCAGAGACATTTGAGATGATAGCCCTCTTTGTGTATGGCTCGTCCACATTAGTTGATCCCTTCAATGTCGCAGCTCTAAGGTGCGCGGCCGAATATCTGCACATGACAGAAGAATACGGCCCCAGGAACCTATGCGAACACTTCGATGTTTATCTTAACCAAGTTGTGTTGCAGAGTTGGAACGACACTCTGATCGTGCTCCAAAAGTGCCAATCTTTGCTCCCATGGGCTGAAGATCTTCTCATCATTAGCCGCTGCATCGAGACTCTTGCATTCATGGCTTGCATGGAGATTCTTGATCCGGAGAGGAGACGGGATCAGCCAGTGGGCACCATGGAGGCCTTGGCTGCAAAGCCTTGGACCGATCAGACAGTGGAAGACATCGTCAGCCACGATCTGTGGATTAACGATCTCATCGCTCTGCCGCTTGCGTTCTTCAAGAGGGTGATTGGTTCGCTTAGGCGGCAGGGGATGAAGGAGAAGTATGTTAGCCCGATCATACTTTTCTATGCCGACAGATGGGTGATTTCTCAGAGGAAGAGAAATGCAGGAGTCAGCGAATCCATGAAACACATACCAATGGTCCTTCAAGAAGTTATCGATTTGTTGCCTGTTCCTGGAGAGAAGGCGAGCAATTCGATTCCTGCCGGATTTTACTTTTCATTGCTATCAACAGCCATGGAGATTCAATTAAGAAACAACAGCATCGAAAAGATTCAGAACTGTATCGCCCCCGCGCTGCATTTGGCTAAGGTCGAACATTTCCTCTCCCCGAAAAACTTCAATGAATTAGGCATCATGGAGAGTATGTTCCGGACATACTTTTGGTACAACATCGAATCCGATTGCACGCCTGCAGGAAACACTTACGCAGCTGCAGAATTGTGGGACGAGTATCTAATCCGAATAGCTGCTGATTCCGGCATTGCTTTCAAAAGATTCGTGAATCTTATAGAAGTAGCTCCACAGTCGAGCAGGCGTACGCACGACCATCTCTACCACGCGCTGAATGCGTTCCTCAAGGTACGCTTTCAACGAGCTCATCCACGTTTCATCATCGAGACAATGCACACACATTTACAGTTTACTATTCGCAGCTGCATCCGGATTTATTGCCTGAGGAGAAAGAGATGCTGTGCAAATACCTCAACTGCCAGAAGCTATCGCAAGAAGTTTGCATCGAAGCCGTGCAGAACGAGCTGATGCCGCTGCGCCTAATCGTGCAGGCGCTTTTCATGCAGCAGCTAAACACTCAGCAAGCTTTCCGAGAATGCTCGGATTCATTCAGACATGCTGCCCATTTCGGCGAGCATTCCGGGAGCCTGTCCAGCTCCCGATATCCGAACTCTAGAACACCACATGTAAACTTAAACGCTGGCGACGGAGTGAGGAGTAGGCCGCTGAGCCTGTTGCTGCAGACGGATTTATCGAGACAAAGACAACCTGACTCAAGCTCCGAAATCTCGAGAAAGGATGACTACGAGTCCACAAGCTTCAGAATCCAAACTCTTGAGAAAGAACTCGTATCCCTTAAGAGACGGCTGCAAAGCTCGGTAAAGCACGAAAAGGGGTCGAAGAAAATCGAGCCGGTTTCAGAGGGCGTCCCGAGCAGCACCCGCAGCTCGGCGGGGAAGAAGAGAAACTCTCTTGGAAGGGCAACCAACTGTGTAGGAAATGTAAGCTTTGCTAACAGATTGCTGAAAGCTCTGCAGAGGATGAGATTTTTTGGCAGGGGAGGATCGAAGAGTTCGAAGAATGTTGTTAAGGTAAGAACAGATTAGTTGCTTCGTTATGTCGAATACCTTGAAGGCAAAATTCCGCAGTGCGTTATGGGCTCAAAGAAAAATGAAACAAATTACTATAAGTTAATTTCAACTTACGATGTATACTCGTTTGAAAATGATACTTTTGGTATTGATTATTGGAATATTTTAAATGTATGTTCACAATGGAACATTCTGAACAGCTACCGACTGAAGAAATTTGTGCACGGTGCAGATTCTTTGACTTGGAAAAAATCTAATATCAACATCAATTATTATTATATTTATATTATACATATAAGGAGAAGAAAATTAAAAATACAAAATAAATAAACAGCCAAGAACAGCGGCCGTAACCGTAAACACACAAAAAATATGGGATCAATCTCTACCAAATAATTATACAAAGTAACATAGAATCTGTGTGATGTATCAAAATCAAAAGCCCGAACGAGAGAGTGAAATCTGTGTATGTATAATCTGTATTTAACTAACTAAGCACCGTGTGACGACGATCCATTAACTCCGGTAACTGCGGCGGCGCGGGAGCGTTTGTCGGAGGGCCTGTCACTTTTCCTCCTGAGCACGACGAACCATGTGAAGGCCTCCAAGACGAGAGCAACGGCGCCGAGGGCGATGAGGACGCCGATGTAAGCTCTCTTCCATTTCTTCTCCGGATCCAAAATGTCGAACCCCTCGAAGATGTTGACGATGCTCAGAGCTATCACACTGTACCCGATTGCGTGGTGGTAGGCGTTCCAGTACACTCTGTACTTGTGGTCGGGCTTAGGCCTCAACAGCAACGCAAATACCTACAGAAAAAATTGGTTTGATTTGATTTGAGATTGATTTTTGTGTGTTGATTTGATTTTTAGGGTTTTGGATTGGTACCTGGAGAGTTCCGAAGGCGAAGAGGACGATGCCGATGTTCCTGTGCTTGGTTTGTTCGACGCCGGGGGAGTCGCTGCCGAGCTTCAGGCCGGTGCCCCAGCCGGCGACGCCGACGATGTAGGCGGAGGCCTGGCAGGACACGTGGAGGTAGAACCAGAGTGGATTGGCTACCTCGAACACCTTCAGGTATCTCGCGGCCATGGCGCCGATGGGCATTAAAATTCCCCAACTCACCACGTTCAGCACGCCATGTCTCTGCAATTGTTCACAATTTGATTGAGAGATCGATCGATTTAATTTGGAAATTGAATTGAAAATAGAATTGTATACGCCGCCTAGCTTACGTTGCGTTTACGGTTTCTGGAGGCGTCGCCGGCGGCGCCGGTGTCGGCCGTTTGTCCGGTGGAGAAATCAATGGTTCCGAAGGAGCGCATATTGTCGCCGGTGGTTTCATGCCTTTGGGGAACGTTTCCATTAACGTTGCCGAATTGCCAGACCTGAGTAAAGCTGGTCCTCCCGCTCGGCAGCGCCACGGTGGCGAAAATGATCATTTCCCCGCTTCTGAATTCGGCGGCGATAGACGGGACGGCGAAGCTCAGGTTGCCCTCCTCCAGCTGCGTCGCGTAGCCGGAAACAGGGGAGGTGTAAGCGTGGACGTTGCCGGACGAATTGTGCAGCGCCACGAGACACTGAGCTCCGGACATAGCTCCGCCGGTAGGGTTCAGCGACCACACAATCCAATTGGAAGTCGACATTCCGGTGTGCCTGTAAGCCAGATCCACCGTGTGGTTCGCCGGATGGTAAGTCCAGTGGAGGAAGGAATTGAGCACGGGGAGATCACTGCAGGCGGCGTAGACGTTGTTGTTGGAGAAGGCATAGCCGGAGCAGCTCTGCGCGCGGGTCGAACCAGACAGACAGACGATGAAGAAAGCTGCAGACAGAACAACCTTGTACAGCCCCTCCATTGCAAGACCTCTGTATGTATGTATCCTTAATCTCCCCAATTAGTTAATAATTTCTCCTATATATACAATATAAATTGGACGAACTGCAGCGGAGAAGAAGGCGTAGTTGGTTGACTGGTTCAACTTCTTGCAGGGAAGGACAGAGCAGAGGTTTGGTGTGAATGGAAGAAAACGTCGACTTTTCAGAAGGGAGGAGGAAAGTGACAAGAGTTTGTCGTCTTGCTTGTACGGTCGTCTACTGCATTTTACAACAGTTTCTTTTATTTTATTTTAATTTATTTGTTTTGAAGATGATTTTGCTGCAGCTGCCTTCACATGCACAAAAATGTTTCTTCTAATTAGTATTACTAATTGAATATAGAATTAGGTATGGATGAGTAAGCAGAAGAAGATTCATAATTGAGTAATTAATTAAGGGAGAAAATCCCTGTCTTAATTTGTCGTTTAATTTTATGGCCTATTATTGGTAGGAAAGATATTTAATTTTCTGTTGAAGAAGAAAATGTTGAATTTAAATAATGTGTGATTATACTGAATTCACATATAGTCGTTGATATTTTTATGGGAAATTAAATCCTAATATACTGGGGGTATGATAAGACTAATGTAAACAGCTCATTGTAGTACTTTTCTAACATTGGTCGATGTTCTTTTTGGCTTAATTATTTTAACCTTATGTTATGAATAGAGTGATTCAATCGTTATGGTTTGTGACTATTTATTTACTTAATTTTTTTAGCTCATTGCTATTTGACAGATGAGGTGAAAATAACGTTTAAATTTGTAGATTTTAAGTAAAAAATGCATGATTTATTGAAAGTCAATAAATATATAAAACAAGAAATGAATTGTTAACAATGCAAACAATAATTAACAATTCCAATAAATTCTCCAAGCAATATGATAAAAATGATCAAAAAGTTGTTAAAAAACCGATACTTCAGCATTCAGTGAACAGTAAATTATGTATTTTTACATGATTTTATATATATATATGAATTTAAAGAAGCCATTTAAAATTTTATTAACATCTTTCTAATCAAACAATTTTAGTGTGAGTTCCTTTATAGTTTGAGGATGGTCTAGGGTTTGATTTTAATTTAAATTGTGAGTGAAGTTTGGATATTTCTATTACTTTTGGTTTTCTGCAGTGAGATGCATATTTCAGCACTGTTGGAGCTAATTACATCCTTTAATTTCAATTAATATCTAATTATAAAAATTTAATATAATAGTAAATATATAATTTTATACTAATTCAGCACTGCTGAAATTATATACAAGATCAGCATGTGATCCTCTTCCTTTGATTTTAATAAATTTGGAAATAATTAGGTAATTATTATGGTTAATGGTATTGTAATTGAAGGCATCCATTGTCATTAAATATGATAAAAATATATTTAAATATGATAATATGCATGTAATGTATCATATAAAAATAAATTTGAAAAAAAATAAGAAAAAAAAATAGTGTGTGGTAAAATACATAAAAATAAAAGAAGATACCCTGCATTAATATACGAAACGTACGGTGAGCGAAAAGACTTTGGGAGCGAAGAAGGATTCAAAATTAAACAATGTTTGATTAATTGAAACGATGACGTTTTGGTGGTTGGATTCTTACATTTGCCACTACACTACACACAAACACAAATGTTACCAACTCTGAATCCGGAGACATTCAAACCAAACCCTCTTCACCTTTGACTCAACCGCTACAATTTTTTTTTTATTTTTTTCTAAGTTTTATTTTTATTTTATATAAAATGGCAAATTCATTGACTATTTTATTAAAACTAAATACAAGCCGAACACATCTTCATGCTTCATTAACTTATATCTTCAGCTTCATTTTTACATAATTTATAAATAATATATTTTTATTTAAAAAATATATATATTTACATGTTGGTAGATAAAATGTAAAACTAATATAGAATATTGAAACAATGAAATATTGATGTATGATTCATACTTACTAAATACTAAGGTTTGTGACCTCTTAAATAGGAGTAAAATGTATTTACCAACAAACATATACTAAAATTTTTATTTTTAATATAAAGTATAAAACAATATTCTTTATTCAAATATTTCATTCAATATAATAAAAAAATTTTATAAAAATAAATGAATTTACACATGATTTGCCTAACATTGCTTATTTGTCATTAAAAAAAGTGAAATATATATATATATATATATAATTCAAATTTAACTCTTATAACAATACTTATTCCATCCTTTTCAAAAAAAATGCGTTAATATTTTTGACATAAATTTTAATAAAAATATATATTTAAGTACTTTTTATTTTCTATAGTTTAAAAGTATAATTAAATAAAATAATAATATTTATAAAAAATGAACAAAAAAGAAAATTAAATACATTTTTAAAAGATGAAAGGGTATTACATTTTATTTATGATAATCTATCTATATATAAATATATATATATATTTGAGATCTATCATAGCTTCGTAATTAGGTGTTGTCATTAGTCAAGTCACCGATTGAATTATATATTTTATTCACTATTTATTTTTATTTTTCCATCTTAATACATTTTTTATTTTTTAAAGAATAGTTATATTATAAATTGTTACTCAGTCAAACACGGTTTAATTTCTAGAACTGTACCAACCTCACCTGTTATTTTCCAATTTTATCGTTTCTTTGGGAGATGGAGACCAAAGAGCCTCAAAGTCATTCTCATGATTTTTTTCATTCACTATTTTTTCTCTAAAGAAAAATATTTAAATTTTAATATTTTCGATGAAAATATTAATTACCTTCATTAAATTTATACAGTATCCAAAGAATTTTGTAATAATTAAAAAAAATATATATATATATTATATTGATGAATGAGTTGGTGTAAGAAGAAAATATTATGAATTTAGTGGGATTAATAGTAATATGTGATATAATATTTTGGTAAATAAGAATAAAGTGAGTATAAATTGATAATTAAATGAATTATATAAATTGTAAATAAGAATTAACTACTTAGATAGGAGGCATAGTGCATCTCCAACCCATGCCAATTTCAATTGGCGTTGCACTGCAGCAACTCCAATTTTTGGCGTTGTTTTACCTTTTTTTTTTTTTTTCTTTTAAATTTTTTTTAATTTTAAAAATTAAAAATTTGATTTTAAATTTTGATTTTTATTTTTTAAAATTTTATTTTAAATTATAAAAATAAAAAAATTATTTAAAATAATAGGAAAAATTGAATATTTGAAGAATAATAGTGAAAAATGGAGTTATGGTAAAAGTAAAATTAATGTAGCAACTATCGAGTTAAAACTGGATAAATAAAGTGGATGAGTTGAAGATGACTTAGAAATAATAAATAAGATTGTTTGAGTGAAATCAAAATAGAAATTTTTTACTTTATTTTTTTTTAATATTATAATTTTTTATAAATATTATTTAAAAATATGTTATATATATACATTAATATAATATTTATAATATTTTATTTATTTTGAATAAATTGTTTGCATTACCATATATATATATATGTGAGAATTTAAATAAAATATAATTATAAGTAATTAAAAAATAATATTAAAAAAAATAAATTTAAATCAATATAACTAAATAAAATTAAGAAAATTTAAAATTATAAAATTTAAAATGGAATTAACATTTATAATCATATTTTTTAAAAATTAAAGGCCGTTGCGGATAGAAAAAAAATACATGAATTTTTCATTTGGAATGGAGAGTATATACACTTTATTCACTTACATAATATCAATAACCCAACATATAATATTGTTCTCTCCGTCGTGTAAATATGTTTTTATTTGACCGGGTACAGATTTTAATAAAGTGAGTAATAATTATTATTTTTTTTATAATAAAAAAATACAAAAGGGTAATAAATTTTCACTTAAAAATAAAATAAAAATATTTTTTTTATGACAACAAAAAAGAAAAATAAATATAAATTTGAATGATGAAAATAATATTTTTTATAGTATTACAAACGTAATCTTTTAGACATAACATAAAAAAATACATACATAAAAATACTTGTACTACATATCTAATATAATATTAATATTAAAAAATTATGTATAAAAAATAAATGAAACTATTTTTATGGACCGAAGGAGTATTAAATTCTTTTATTTACTATAATACAAAAGCAAAATTGCTTTTAATATGTGATTTAAAAAGCAGTTTCATATTCCCAGTGATTTAGAAATTAAACAATATTCTCTTTTATTTAGAAAGTATTACATAAAATTGTCTAAAGATTGTATGTAACTTCCCCACGTATTTTAAAAAATATTGCATAAAGTTTCCTAAAAAAATATTGTGTAATACTATGAAAACACTTGAGACTTTTATACAATTTTTAAATTATAAAAAAAAAAAATGTAAATTTTTCAAATCACAAATAAATTATAAAATATTTTGATTAATAAAAAATACTTTCAAATAAAATATATACAAATAAAAAAAAAATTTTAATTGTAACATAAGAAATATTATTTTTAAATATTTGTGGCGATTGTATAATTAATTTCTTTTTAAAAAAAAATCATAATTCAAAACAACAAACTCCTAAATTTTATAAAAACTATAGCTCTATTTACGCAAGAGTTGTGTTTGTTCGAAGGATTTTAGGGTATTTACACTATTCATACAGAAATTTTCTCCCAAAAATATAAAATTAAATATTTATTTTTTATTTTTTATATTATACTAAAAATTGATTTTACATTAAAAAAAATTACATCTATATATTTATATCACATTATACAATTATTCAAATTCAATTTTTTTATTTTTTAAATCTCAATTCAAAATTCAAAATTCAAAATCCAAACGGTCAAACAAAAACTTAGAAATTTCAACACTATATATTTCAATATTTTATTTTATTTTATTTTAAAAAATATTATGTTAAAAACAAAAATATATGCTTATTGTTTGGACATAAAATTTGAAAAGAAAAAGGAGGCAACTTTTATAGACGAAGAAGCAGAGAGCAAACGAAGCTGCTGTGCTGTGCTGCGCTGCTCTGCAACTGTTGTTGCAATCGACAAATCAAACATTCGATCAATCTGAATTGGATTGGATTGGATGCCGTCGATCAATATTCATCGTCTCCGGCTTTCACTCGCGACCATGAATCCTCCCACAAATCATTTCAAAACCCTCCCCCCTTTCCCAAATTAGCAGGGCTTCCTTCACATTCTTACTTAATTCATCATTTGCCCTCTCCCATCGGACACAAAAACGCACAATCTGTCCCCTGGGAATCGAGCTTCTGTTGGATTGGATTCGATATATATATATATATTCGACATTTCATCACCACAATCTCAACGTTCTCAACCCCAACTGCCATTTCCGATTTTTCAAGCTTTTCTTTCTTCGGTTTTTGGAGGTGCAAAGGGCCCTAACTGCAATTTGCCTCAGCTGCCTCTTCTTTCCCTCCTCCTGCTTTTCCCCCAAATTCAAAACCTAAAAAAATTCAAATCCGATCAAACATCTCCCTGCTTTCTCCTTAGAAAAAATTAATCAATTAAGGATATCATGTACGGAGGAGGAGGAGGTGGAGGTGGAGGAGGAAGACGATGGGACCATAGCATGAGAGGTCTCGGCGTGGATTACGAAACGTCCCACGTGTCGACGACATTGCGGCCGAGCAGCCGCGCGATTCGGGCGGGGATGAAGGTCAAATTCCAGGATCTGTACGGATTCACGGTGGAGGGTAACGTCGACGACGTGAACGTCCTGAATGAGGTCAGGGAAAGGGTGAGGCAGCAGGGGAGGGTATGGTGGGCATTGGAGGCCAGCAAGGGTGCCAATTGGTATCTCACAACTCATTTCTCCTCCTACCCTCGAAAGCCTTCCCTCAGGCTGTCCGCCATGGTTAATGCCATCACCCTCAAGGGCCTCATCAGGAAAGGCATCCCGCCATATCTCCGCCCCAAGGTCTGGTTCTCCCTCTCCGGCGCCGCCAAGAAGAAGTCCACCGTCCCCGACAGCTATTACACTGATCTCATCTCTGCTGTTCAGGACAGGGTCACCCCTGCCACCAGGCAGATTGATCATGTAATCAATTCATTCTTTCTTTTGTTACGCATCTTGTCGATCGGTTATTGTTATGCTATGCATTGGTTTTCTGATTAATTTCGAAACAGGATCTTCCCCGGACGTTCCCCGGTCATCCGTGGCTGGATACTCCGGAGGGGCATGCTGCCCTGAGGCGAGTTCTTGTCGGGTATTCGTTTAGAGATTCTGATGTTGGTTATTGTCAGGTGATGAATTCGATCTCAGTATCGATCGGTTTGATCTTTTTTTGGAGTTTTTAGTCCGTTCGAGTTCTGAAATGAGTTCCGGCGGTGGCGCAGGGACTAAACTATGTTGCGGCATTGCTTCTGCTCGTCATGAAAACCGAGGAAGATGCATTTTGGATGCTCGCCGTGCTTCTAGAAAACGTGTTGGTTAATGATTGCTATACGAGCGACTTGTCGGGATGCCATATCGATCAAAGAGTGTTTAAAGATCTTCTTGCCAAGAAGAGTCCGAGGTTAGTCTCTCATCAATATATCTCTAGTGCTCATTGATCTTCTTTAGCTTTTGTCATTTTGAAATGATGAAAAAGATCCCTTCAGGGTAGCTGCTCACTTGGAAGCTCTGAAATTTGATGTTTCCCTTGTCTGCACAGAATGGTTCTTATGCTTATTCTCCAAAAGCTTGCCATCCGAGGTTAGAAAAGATTAGATTATATATCTACACTTGCATAAAATGTCATAAGACTTCGAAAAAACTATCAATGTCCCTAATTTGTTTCAGACAACCCTTCGCGTTTGGGACGTTCTTTTCTGTGAAGGGGCAAATGTTTTGTTCAATGTAGCTCTGGCGATATTCAAGGTAACTTCGGATCGAATCTTGTTTCTTGCTTTGCTCGCTTTAAACCGCGAAAAATTGAATCTTTTGATCGCAAAACTGAGCAGATAAGTGAAGAGGAGCTGCTTATGACAGATTATGCCGGAGGTGTGATCAGCGTGATTCAAAGAACTACGCATCACCTATTCGACCCGGACAAACTCTTGACGGTAACAATTAAACAAAACTCAATACTCGAATCAGTAATCCCTTCGAAGATATGCAGCCTGGTTTGTTTCCATGGCAGGTTGCCTTTAGCAGAATAGGTTCAATGACAAGCTACCTGATATCGAGGCAGAGGAAGAAGCAGCAGCCGGCGGTGATGGCTGAGCTCCACCAGAGGCAACGGAGGCTGAACCCCGCGGAAGGCTGCAGCGATGAGAAGCGATAATGCGCAGTCGGTCGGCGGCGGAGAATGCTGATCAGATGATTGTAGATATTGGTGGTAGAGAAGAAAGGGAGGAGGCTGTGGGGTGATCGTAGAATAGATGCAAAGTGTAAATTTGGAGCTGTGGAAAATGCATCTCTAGGTTAACCCCACACAGTGTTGTTTTATAAGAGTGCAGCTGGGGCGATGTAATTAGTGTTCGGAACGTGTAAATTGATCTTCTCAACTTGTGATGATATTTTAGCCGTGATGTGAATCTTGTTTAGGTAAATTCGTGGGAGCTGAATGAATTGCTACTGGAAGATCAAAGACAGGGAGAGAAATAAAAATACAGCAAAAACTCCACCGGCAAGAAATGCATATTCATGAGTTATTACAACACAGGAGCTTCATCATCATTATAATCATTGTCGTCGTTGCCGTCGTCGTTTGTCTGTCGTACATGGCGACTGACGAACAAGGGATAGAAGAAATGAAGAAAAATCTCCGGGCCAACAAAAGAATCAAGGACCTCTATAATGACAAGAAATTGAATCAAGGAAAATGGCAAATGATTAAATTAACGCAGTAGATGGAGATCTGTTACACCGTTGCAATGGCAAACATGATCGCAATCGCCGCCGCCGCGGCGGCGGCAGTAGAGCTGATGATGGAAGTTCTGTGAGAAGAAGATGCCGCCGGGGAAGAGGTGGCTCCTTTACCTTTCTGATCAGCCGGTCCGTCTGCAACTCCGGTGGGGGCAATTTCCGGCGCCGGCGCGGGGGCGGGAGGCGGCGGCGGCGGAATGTCGGTGCCGAAGATCGCTTCCGGCAGAAGAACTTTGTCGGTCTCGTAAATTGCGACGGGATCCGCCGCGTGTACTGCACTGATGACTCTGGCTTTGGTCCAACCGGAGTCGACGTGGATTGTGCCGAAATTCTCCGTCATGTTGAGGCTGTAAGCGTTTCCGGCGAAGGATTGGATAGGGTTGTTCTGGCTGAGTTTTCCGAAGTAGGAGAGAGGGTAGTAATGGGGGAGGGCATGGAAAAGGCAGAAGGATTTGAGCTGATCCTGAGTCAGATTGGAGAGGGACGGATAAGGCTTCTTCAGAGCTTTGAAGGCTTCGTCCTTGGGGACGAACAGAGTGAGCCCTTCCTCTGTGTTGTCGGCTTGATTTTGGAAAGTTTCGAGGACTTTAGTGGACTGGAGGTACCCGAGGAAGGTGTGGAACGGGCCGGCGTATGATAGCAAATAGGTGATGTTCACGTGCTCTCGCTCCGGTGCCGGCGCTGGCGCCGGCGTCGGAGAGACTGGCGCCGGCGGGGACCTCTGCGCGTTTGCTGAAGATGCGCAGAAGCATAGCAGGACCAGTGCGACAAACACGATGATGCTCCTGGATTTGATGAATTCCATGACTCTGTCCACAGATTATCGGTAGAGATTATCAACTGCTCTGACTCCGACGATGACTGCGACTCTGACCTTCTGTTTTTGCCTACACGTCTTTTAGATATCTACAATGAACCTGCAGCGTACGTACGTATGTTGTGTGTATGAGTAAACATCAATCAGATCTGAGAAGAACATGTTCACATATATTTTAAGTATAAACTTAAAGATCATTCGTTAATCGATTTTTATACACACGAAAAAAGTAGATCCAGATCTCATTAGAAATCAAACTCAAGCGGTTCAGATTTGAAGCGAAATCATCCAAATTCCTCAACAAAAACGCGAAGTACCACATCTCCAAGCAGCGGTTATCACTTATCATCCTCAACTCACCAATTCACAGGAATTTAAATGACAATTACGCACATTCGATCAATTCGCTTGAAAAATACGCAGAGATTCAGCATTGCATCAACAAAATCGCAGATCCACGAAACTCATCACTAATCATTAGCAGTTATAAAACAGATCCAACTCAACACACCACCAAACAAAATCAAAATCAAAATCAAAATCAAAATCACGCACAAATTCCACAACCACCAGCATTCACAGAGAAATGCAGATAGGCAACTAACCTGAAAGAGAGCGAGAGCGAGAGCGAGAGCGACGAAGAGTCGAATAATTTAGAAGTGACAAGCAGCAGATGCAGCAGCGAGGCAGGCTATATAGTTAGTGCAGCATCACCATCGCCATTCAACTTCATATAAAAGAAACGGAAGATGAGTGATGCTAATCAAAGCCAATAAACAAATAAATATTAGTATGATGAAAGTACAGCTGGCGCCGAGGGTATAATAGGGATTTCAACTCACCACCCCACCGTTTCGAGTTCCCGCTATCGGAATCGGATGACATAGACCTATAGCAGTAGTAGTAGGACAAAATCCCAACGGACAAACGTAGACCGTATTTCAAGAATGTAATGGTAAATTGTAAGGTGGGCTTTCCTGTCAGCCACCCAACTTACAGCTAATTATTATACATTATCATTGCTATAATTATTACTACCCATTTATGTTATATTATGGTAATTATTGTTTCGATAGTTTTGACTTACCAAGCTTGCACTGTAATCAAAGCTACACTAGTTATTTTTATTATGTCATATGATTTAATTGTGGGGGAAAATCAATCTGAGCCGTTGATTTCTACGCTGGTCAAAGTCAACCCTACTGGATCGAGGGTCAATGACCATGCGAAACACCATCACCGTCGGAATTGGTACTGCTTCCGGGTGTTTTCGGTTTGGAATTGCATTTGAATTTTTAAATATTACGCAAATATGTGCTCGTTCGATCGGACACATATTTTAATAAAAGTGAAAAATAGTAATAATTTTTTTATTTTACAGTAAAAAAATGTAAAAAATATAATAAATTTTTACTTAAAAATTAACAAGAATATTTTTCAATAATAATCCAAAAGAAAAGTGAGCATAGATTTGAACCACGGAGAGAATATTATTATTATTATTACTATTATATTGTAAATATTTGAAATGATTCCATATTAAAAATCAATTTCATGTCCGTCGTTTAAAAGCTGTGAACTCAATATTGAGTAAGTGTTATATAGTGAATTTAAATTTCACATACTCAAATCATTTTTCATTTAAGTGATTTATCAACTTACTACTAAATTTATTTTTTTTAATTAAATATATAAAAATATGAAATTAAATACTAGAATTAAAGTTTACTTGTTACACATAATTCACATAATGTGTCATATTTTATAGGATTTAATTTGTAAGGTATTAAGTTAGTTATCATAATTTTACTTTATAATTATTTTTATTAAATTATACTATTTTTGTCCCAAAAAAGTTGTCTTGTTTTTTTCATTTGTTAAATTATTTTGCAGAAACTCTAAAATTTGTATTATTGATAATCAAAATAAAGGTCTATACATAGACAACTTAAAACAAATTCGATAGACTTAAATTTAAATAACGTAATCTAATAAATATAACCAAATCTAAATCTAAATCTAACAAATCTAAAACTAAATATCGAAAACCTCTCGACACCCCATCTCAAACATAAATGGGATCGCATAAACCAACTTGAATTTGATAAAAAAGTTAAATAAAAATCAAAAGACGCAAACACGGATAACAGTTGCTTGATCCGTCGTTGGCGCCGCCGCTCTTGATTGAGCTCCTATTTTCGCACATAATAGTTGCTCGTCTGACGTCGCCTTTGCGCTCTCAACTAAGCTCCTGTTCTCGAACGTAGACATGAATTCTAACGCAAACGGAAATAAGAGTTGCTTTGTCCGTTGTTGTCGCCGCTCCCGACTGAGCTCCTATTCTCGCACATAATAGTTGCTCGTCCGATGTCGCCTTTGCCGCTCTCAACAAAGCTTTTGTTCTCGAATGCAGACACAAACTCTAATGCAAACACAAATATGATTGCTTTGTCCGTCGTTGCTGCCTCCGCTCCCGACTGAGTTCTTATTCTCGCAGATAATAATTGCTCGTCCGACGTTGCCTTTGCCACTCTCAACAAAGGTTCTATTCTCGAACGCAGATATAAACTCTAATGCAAAATGCAAATAACAATTGCTTTGTTCGTCGTTGTCGCCGCCGCTCAAGACCGAACTTTTGTTCTCGCACATAACAGTTGCTTGTCCGACGTCGCCTCTGCCGCTCTCAACAAAGCTTTTGTTCTTGAATGCAAACACAAACTCTAAAGCAAACTCAAATTCGGACAAAATTGTAGACATATCTTAAAATCAAAGACCTCCCGGTACATTCCAGGTTGAATGTACTCGGAGCAGCGAGGTTTAGTAGGCTATGTCTATCTCTAGAAAAAAAAACCTGGCTCTGATACCATGTTAAATTCATCCATCCCAAAACAATTGTCATGTTTCCTTATTTATTAACCGTGGTGCCCATTTTAAAATAAAATTATTCCTAATTTTTCAAACTATTACTAATTATTACTCTAATCTATTTTTTTAAATTATTCAAAATATAAGGGTATTTTAGTCTTTTATATTCTACTTTATATCCATTTTCAATCAAATACTATTATTCCTTAATTTTTGTGCCAATAGCCAATAAGACGTTTCTTAGCAATTATTTTTAGTAATACATTTTTAAATTTTAATGAATATAATTATATATAAATGAATTATGACAAATAAACTCTAAAAATATAAACTATCAAAATCATTATAATTTACTGATAAGCGGTAGCCCACTGAGATAAGTGAGCCAGGCCCAAAATAGCTTAATAATATCAATCATATAATGGGCTCTATTTTCATTGGCGTTATCAAGATATTTAATTACTAGGTTATTAAATATTTGTATAATTTAAGGTGTGTTCACTTATGTAAGAACTATAATAAATAAGGAAATATTGAGATTGCCCTAGAACGTTCAAATTAGATAAGAAAATAAAAAAAAAAAAGTGTCAAACTTGACAATTAACGTTCATTCTTTCAAGTCAAAATCAAAATTGAATTAGGAGATTAATGATTTATAAAAAAAGCATAAAATAATAGCATTATAAATCAATTAAATATGACAAAAATGGCTTATACATATTGATGTTCTTCAATGCTCTTAAATTTGAATCGATTTTTGGTATTTGCAGAAGACCGTTGCGCGGAAAAGCTTCAGCCACAGCACACAAAGGGGTGTTCATCTTAAAATTTTCTTCTATCTTCTTAATCCAATTTAATATATATATATATATATATTTTATAAATTAAAAGAATTTAAATTAAAGAATCCAAAATTTTAGTATTTTAAGGGGGCCAGCAGTTTGATCAACGTCAAGATTCGTTATCCTATGAATGTATTTTTTAAGAAGAAATTCTTAAGGCCAGCAGCAGCACTATATACAGATACATGTTAACAAATCAGCTGATGTATATACACTTGATGATTCAAAAAGTTTAACCAATTGATCTGTTTGTTATATATACATGGCAACATATGGCCCTCCAGATGCTCGAGAAAATGCCAGAATCAAAACACAAATCACAGCTTGACATGACTCGAAAGCTTTCCAAACCACTTCCAGCTTCAGACAAAGTTACACAACTCTAATGCGTGCTCGACACGTGTTTCGAACAGATCACTCTCACCTATCTATCTATATATATATATATATATATAACAGAACCAACAGTTTAATTCGCTCAGTTTCTGTTGATCCGCCATGGCAGCTAAGCGAATCTCGATTCATCCAAGGTGGGTTCTCCCCATCACCATTTTTGCTCATCTCTTGGCCCTGGCAGTGTTCATTCTCGTCCTCGTGTGGCTCCTTCACTTCCGGGAGGGTCTCTCTTTTGATTCAGACAACAAAGGAAAGATCTTCAATGTAACGTTTTTGGTTCAATTCAATTAACAAAAATATGTCTGTTCTTACTTCTTAGTTAGTCTTGAGTTGTGTTGTTCTATGTTCATCTTGCAGCTGCACCCATTCTTCATGCTTCTTGGCTTTATCCTCTTCTCAGGAGAAGGTACAACTTACTTTAATCTTATTACATATGATCGATTTAGCATCATTCGAAATATGAGTATGACATTAATGGTTTCGAATGATCAGCAATCATGGCATACAGAACAGTTCGAGGTGTAAGAAGGACTCAAAAACTACTTCACCTGATCCTGCACTTGATCGCCCTCGTCGCCGGCATAATCGGAATTTACGCCGTCTTCAAGTTTCACGACGAAATCGAATCTCCCAATATGTACACCTTGCATTCTTGGATAGGCCTGTCTACCTTCATCCTTTTCGGATTGCAGGTACAAACAAAACACTCTCATCAATGGCCTAATTCTTTCTGTAAATGCAACAGTAATTAATTTCGATTGTTGTGTGTAAAAACATGTAATCTATGATCTATCTGCCAGTGGCTTTTTGCCTTCTTCTCCTTCTGGTATCCGAAGGCGAGGACGGCGATAAGGGCGAGGTTTCTGCCATGGCACGCCGTGTTGGGGCTGGTGATCTTCCTGATGGCTATTGTGACAGCCGAGACTGGTTTAGTCGAAAGGTTCCATTTTTTAGGCCTTGTTAGGAGTCAAGAGGCGCTTATCGTCAACTTCATCGGCCTGTTAGTTCTCCTCTTCGCCATCGCCGTTGCTGTCGGCGTCGCCCTCCCTAAAACTACCTACTGATTGCTGTCTGTGTCTTCCCTGTCTGCTTACACGTATAGATTGTCATATACTTATTTTTGTTCTTCATTCATTGTATGAATAGATTTGTGTGATACTTAATCTCTGTTTATCTATGGCGATTGATCTGTTTTCTTGTAAGGGTATCGATAATTTCTTGAATTCTTGATTTGCTTAGTTTCAACATGAAATATTGAATACAGCTAGAGATTAGACAATAGCTAACTATACATGTTCTGAAAAATTGTCTATTGTCTTCTCCTCATCATCTCTGCCATGGCTAATATCTGTTGGAGCTGCAGTCTCCTTCTTCATCTCTTCATCGTTCCTTTTTCCCCATAGCACGCAGTATAGTCCCGACACGATAACAACAGCTCCTAACAAGCTACAAAAAATCGAACATGGAAAATTCTCTTAACTACTAAAAGACATCGAAACACATTAAAAAAATGTTACCTCCCCAAGTGAAGCCTCTCTCCGAAAACAACGACCGAAAACAATCCGACGATAACAACCAGCAACGGGCTAAACATTGCCGCGAAAACCGGCCCCTTCTTGCTGATACACCATGTCTGCAAGTAGTAAACCAACGCCGAGACCATGATCCCCTGTTTATATCCGAAACCGTTAAAAGAAAAATCGATACTTTACAAGGTGCAAATCCAATATACATTGATCATAATGTAAGCTCACACAGTATAGTACAGTCCAGAGCTGCATATTCCACCCTATTTTCCACAGATCAAAATCTCTAGCCCAGAATATCGACAGAAACGACGATTGAAGTGTTCCAAACAAGCATATAAGCACCGTTAGAGATAGTCGAGCCGGGTAAATCTTATAAGCCCCCGACATGAGGATCAGCCACACACTCCATGCGACGAAGCTTACTATGATCAAGATTGATCCTTTCACCCAATTTTCGTGTCGATCATCTCGGCCTAATGCTAATGTAACTACAGACGAGCCTTCGAATACGCTTTCGCCTTTCCAGAAAGTGAAAATGAGCGATCCGGCGATGCACGCGACTGCGCCTACAACTTTTGCCTTCCCGCTGGTGCTGCCGAGCTTCACCTCTTCCATTCTAAGAAACAGAATCAACATTAGTCCTTCGACAAAAAAAGTTCAGATAATGTCGCGATCGGAGTACCTAAGGAGGGCCGCGACGACAATTGTCAGCGCCGGAATGATGTTGCTCAAGGCAGTTGCTACTGTCGGAGAAGTGTAGTTCATGCCTGCGTAGTAGAGATTCAAATGGACAGTGACTCCGAAGAACGAAAGAACGAAAATCCTAGCCATTGCGGAAGCTCCGATCGCCGGTCTCTGTTTCCTACACACAACATATACAACAACGTTATTCTAAACTATAATGTTATGTAATGGCGCGAATGCGCACGTGGTTTAATCGTCTCAGAAACCTCTCGAGCGCATAAGCGAGAGGGGACAAGATGACCAAGGCGATTAGGTGTCGGTAGACGACAAAAACGAGCTGATTAAGTCCTCGATCGAGGGCAAGTTTGGTGAGGATATTTGATCCGGCGTAAGCTAGCTGAACGACGGCCATTGCTAAGTAAGGGCTGGAGCTATTTATGGAAACCATTGTTCTTCAAGAAGTATTTAATTCAGTACAAGCTTCTATATATATATATATATGTAAATGAATGTATTAATCAGGGGATGATGATGATTCAAATGGAATTCCTATTCAAAAGCAGAGCATGAATTGCATGGAAATCACACTTACCTCACCATATCTGCCTCTGTCTCCCACTTAACATATATACTTTATACCAATTATTAGGGAAGCTTGAAAAAGGTCTGTACTTCTAATTTTTAATTTACTATATGTAGTTTCTGATCACAAAATTAATACAGTTGTCGGTAATGTTGATTGTGCAATGGCTACCAAATTTAAAGCCCTAATGATTAATGGTGCAACTTTAATTTATTAGCAAGTAATTAGTGGAGATCCACTGGAAAAACATTTACAAAATCTCACCAACTAATTAACAAATTATTGTTACTACCACAAGAGAGTGAATTAATATATAATTGTAATTACCACGAAGAACGATTTAATTTTTTGTTTTTAATTTTTACAAAAGAATCACACGAGTATGGAATCCGGTTTCTCATGGTAGCCAAGATTTCCGACGCAGAAGGGCGGAGCGCCGGCGAGTCCGCCAGGCAGGCGGCGGCGAGGGCGGCCATGGCTTTTGTATCCTCCAATTCGAATTCCCCTCGCAGACGTGGGTCCATCATTTCCACGACGGCCGGATTAATCTCATCCCCTCGCTGCTGGAGCAACGGCTGCGCCGTCGCCGTCAGCCACCGGCCGGTGGAGGGATCCAGAGCTTCCTTTCCGGTGATGAGTTCTAACAAGATTACGCCGAAGCTGTAGACGTCGTTCTTCTTGGAGACGAGCCCGGTTCGTAAGTAATGAGGATCGGTGTAGCCGGGAGAACCGACGATCATGGCTCGAGTTCTGCGATTGGTGGAGCTCGGAGGGGCGACCATGGCGGAAAACCCTAATTTGGCTGACCCGAAGTCGCAGAGCTTGCAGTCGAGTTTGTCGTCGAGCAAGACGTTGGAGGATTTGATGTCGCCGTGGACGATGTGGAGGGTGCAATTGTCGTGGAGATACTCCATGGCTAGAGCGATTTGGAAAGCTATGGCGGTTCGTTTCCGCCATGGGAGGACTTTCTTGGAGCTCTGATTATGGAGTGCATCTTGGAGAGTGCCGTTGGGAACGTATTCAATTACCAAAATGCCCTTTTCAGTGTCGTGGCAGTGACCGATGAGCTTGACGATGTTGGGGTGATTGAGATGGAGGAGAATTTCGAGTTCTTGCTTGTGGGCAAGATCGATACGCTCGCTGCTGCTGCAGCACTGAATTTTGACGGCGGCGGCGGCGGAATTGGGGAATTGGGCAAGATAGACGGTGCTGAAACCTCCATGGCCGATGACGATGGCGAAATTCATGGTCAATTTTTGAATTTCTTCCCAGGAGAATATAATCGGGAGTCCTTTCGATGTCTTGTTGCAGACAGTGATATGATGATCATCGTCTTCCTCGAAATCAACGACGGCTGCAACTCTGTCGGCCACTCTCCTGCGCTTGATCACCTTAATCTTCACAAACTTGAGAAAATTCACACACCCCATTAGCGTTGATCGATCGATCGATGATGTAATTTAATTTCCACTCACAAATTAATGCTTGCCCACTAAACCCAAAAATCAATTATATATATGTATATACATACAAGAGACGTACGCTCCCAAGAAACGACATGGAAGATGCACAGAGCGAACGAAATTAATAAATAATTAAGAGAATAATTAAATTAAAACGGGAAGAAACCCTTGGGGAGAATGGGAGTCATACGATACACACCACCTCCATTGATCATTGGGCATGGTCCACAGACAAGATTAGGGTTTTTTTTTTGAATCTCCATTATCACACAATATAGATACATCCCCTTCCTTGCCAATTAATCCCCCCCGTACGTGCGGTGGTCTCTGCAAATCATGATTTATAATTAATTAATCGATCAGGGCTGCAAGAAGCTAAGAAGAAGACAACCATGGAATGGAATCCCACATGATTCTTATTTACTTGGGCTTCCAACAAACAGTGATGTTGACGTTCCTAGATTGCCAGCGATGGATCGATGATTCATGGCTTTCAACAAACTTATTTTAATTTAATTTAGGGATAAAAAATGAGGAATAAATTTAGGGTTAAGAAGAGGGGTTCCCCACCAGCTAACCCAGCCGAGACAGTGTGTTCGGAGGTGGCCGGCTGAGCCACCTACTCGGCGGTGGGCCACCATCTTGTTGCCTTGTCTTTCTCAATACTTAAAAAAAAAAATAAAAAAAATAAAAAGTAATTAAATCAAATCAAATCACAGATGTTCCCATTTGAAAGGTTTGTAAGATACGTATATATATATATATATATATATTTTTTTTTTTGGTATAGAACAAGTACAAGTGATTATGACTTTTGCTATTGTGTAAGAGGAATGTTTAGTCTGTATCCGAGGATAGTGAACTATGGTGACAAAAACTAAATACAGTTTGTATTTGAACTTTATTTTTACGAAAAACAGAATGATTAATTCATAACTCTACAAATTCTACTCTTTTGTCTTTTATGGTTCTTCTTACTAAAATATTTTAATGATATATATATATTTTATAACTTGAAAATTTTATTCTTCCTACTCTCCCTACCAAACAAACCCCGAATTGTCGCTGCGGAATAATTCCAAGTACTTAAAAATAATAAACAAATATATGAAATCATTGAGTTTGAATGTTTGAATAATGCTTGACATTACTCATTTTATAATTGACTTGTTAAAAATAATAAATAAACCAGCCTAAATATAATGGACGTGGTCCAATATCCGTACACCATTATAGCCCAATAAGGCCCACATAAACGTAGCCTCTATTAAAGAAATACAAGCTAGTGGAGCCCAAACATAATGGGCCTATATCGATATGTATGCACAAAACAGGCCCAATAAAGCCCTTAGAAAATCCAGCCTTAGTCCATCAAAGAAATATAAACAAATAGCAGCCCTACCATTTCTAACGGCAGCTATTAACGCCGTCGTGGGCTCCGTGACTCATATCGTCAAATCCGTGCGGTTTCGGTGGAGGCGTCCGTTTGGGCAACTTTAGGTGGTGTTATAGAATTATTGGAATTTATTTGGCATGTTATATAATACTATAAATATATAAAATATATTTCCTACTAATTTAAAAATTATGTACCAATGTTGTGAATGATTAGAGAGATTTGGGGACATATTGTAGCCTATTACGTCGATTTTGAAGATTTACTTTAAGCCCTAATAAGCCCATTACACTTTTTGACGTATATACAGAAATGGTAAAAATTTTCAAAATTATACAGTTTTCATTAATGTATTTTATCTCTCAATGTAGTTACTGTTTAATATACGCGTATACATACATACATATATATATATTAATGTATATATTATAGTGAAGGTGGTAAGATGATTTGTGGTGGGAAAGCTTAAAATTGAGAAATGTGTGTGGAGCCAAGATTACTCAAATGATATGGAATATATGATAAGATGTGAAATGTGATAGATAGAATGAGTTGAATGGCATAGAAATAATTAAAAAAGGATAGAAGAGAATAGAAAGAAGGGTACAAATACAATGAAAACTCAACGGTCCACTACTGTATATTAGCACGGGGGAAGGGAACGCAGGACCATATATTTTCATCAATATATAAATTATTTAGGAGGATGAGGAATAAATAATTGAGTGGTGGGTGGGTATATATATATACATATATCTATGTGTGGGTGGGGTGAGGTGAGGTGAGGTGGGGGCAAGAAAATAAATAAATAAAGAAGAATTAGTAATATATATATATATATATATTTGATGTAAAAGTCTACAATCGCTATCCGAAGATACGCATAGTCCGAAAAAACAAATTATACTAGGTAAACTATGTGTGATAAGTGACGTTGGTGTTTGAGCTTATGATCGGTTACAAGTTTACTCTCTACACATAATATTATTAATTAATATTTATGTGGTTGATGTAAATTATGAAGAGGTAGGAATTAGGCAGGTACGAGGCCCATAATCATTCATCAGCTCAGATTAAGACAACTCCTCACTGTCTCTTGCCCTTGGCGGGGACCTCTACACATCCACTCCACTCCATTTACATACACTACTACTCTCTCTCTCTCTCTCTCTCTCTCTCTCTCTATATATATATATATATATATATACATATATTCTTCAATATATACCGGATACATACATACATACACAATGCAGTTGCAAAATTGAGGGAATAGAGAATTTAATTAATTAGTGGTAGCGTATGCTGTTACTATTATTATTATTATTATTATTATAGATATAAAAATTAAAAATGGTAAGGAACAGAGAGAAGAATGAAGGGATATGTGGGATTGATGCCATGCATGCAAAATCAGGAAACCTGTTTCTGCTTCTTCTCCTGCTACCGTAGCTGCCCTGCACTGCCCTGCCCTGCCCTACTTTCTTTATATATAATATGTATGTATATGTGTGAGTGTATTAGGTAGCACAATCAATGACACATAGGGGTTGCAGCATTAAATGAGGGAGGGAAAATAAAAGCTGCATGCTATATTTTGTTTGGACAGTGGGATTACGACAAATCAGTCGGTCCATTGGTGTTTTTATCAATGGTGGAGTTTGTGAATCATCATCATCATCATCATCATCATTTACACTTATATATTGAAATTCATTTCCAGAATGAATGAATTAATTAAAGAACATCAATTGGGTTGGTTTGTTGATATGATCAGAAATACATCAGCACCTTTACGGCTGTTATGGGAGATTGTGCATTTGCATTGCAACCCCATGACACGTTGCTTTCTCCCATTACCCTACCTATAACACACATACATACATTGATAGATACAGACTTCGTTATTGCAGCTGGGTTGTTTTCTGGGATCTGCTGCCACATCTTTCCACTGCCATATGCAAACTTATATAATTAAACAGAAAGAAACACAACACCTACCCACCTAGCTACTTCAAACCATTTTTTTTTATTTTTCTATAGAGAGCATTATGCAATAAAATTATTTCCTTGTTGCTGTTCCTAATTATCTTCTTTATTGGGTTTTCCAGTCCACTGTGATGATAATGGGGATTAAGCTACAAATAGAGAGAATTAAGAGTAGAGGAAGGGGAATGAAGATGAATATAAAAATAGGATTGATAAAAATAAAGATAGTAAAGGTTGGGATGGGGATATAGGTGCAGATATATAGATGGTGCATCAAAATCAGGAAAAATTGAACCTTATATCAAACGTGGTCCATGCATCCCACAAATTAATTAATAAATTATTTACTGATATATACATATATATATATATATATATAGAAAGAGAGAGAATACTCCAATCTTTAAAGAAAATAATTTCATTAATGTGATTTATCTTCTCGGATCTATTATAATATATATATATATGCACATGCACCCCATATGAAAAGGTCGTCTCCTTTATTTAATTAATTAATAATAATAACTACAAATGATTAAGCACATTATGAACACTCACTCATCACATCACTTATACATTATCCCATGGATACTTACCCATCTCATTATGCATAAACCCCCTGTTATATTATATAATAAGATCATCCAATGCATCATTAAAAAAAAAAAAAAGTGACAAAGAAAAAGCTGTAATTTAGACATGGGAATGGTTCCACGAAAAAAGATTTCATTACAGTTGACTTAATTATACTATACATGTGGGAAGCTAGCTAACTGTATTGTTGCTTTCTTAGGCCCTAGGCAGGTTCAGTCCTCTAAATGATGTTTTCTCTTTCTTTTTATCTTTTTCACTCTACTAATAACTCAATTGCATGTGGTTCTTCCAGCTTTATAAATCATCTTTAATTAATTAAGTCATGCCAACATATTAAAACACGAAGATAGAAAATAATAATAAATCTTGAAACTCAATTTCTTGTTTCTCTGTTTATACATACACACATACACACACACACACAGTCACACATGTATATAAATAGATGGGTGGTTCCGTTAAATTTGTCTGCTGATAAATACACAGTATGAATATATCTCTGCCTCTGCAGCCACTTTCTTTTTTTTCTCTTTTGGAAAATTTCTTTCTTGCAATCCCTTCATCAACATTTTGGGTATAAACTTAAATTTTTTTTGGTGAGTGAATGCTTTTTAAAATAGGAGCAGCACTGCACTGCCCATTTATATATATGTATGGTAATGGTATGAATTACATTGCATTACTGACTCAGTCAGTACATTAACCCTACTACATCATATAGATAGATAGATATACATACACACTGTATGTATGTATGTATATATATATATGTGTGTGTGAGGAGAAGGAAAAGGGAAGAAGGGTGAAAACCCTACAAGGAAGAAAGGGTATAGGCTATAGGTAGCACTTGTACAGGCCTAATGGCCTATTTAAGTATGGCATTGGCAATGGCTTTGAGAAAAAGACATGTCTATAAATATGTAAAATTAATATGTATGTATATGCCTACCTGCCTAGCTAGCTACCTTTGATATTCACAAATTAGTACTAGTATTTACAATCTTGTAGTTATAGGTCCTTACTCGTTTGCATTTTTGCCACATTCACTACATATTTAATCTATTCTGTTTTATTAGGTAAAAAATTGAACTGCCAATTTGTTTATATGGGGTTATGAGATATAATTAGGGTGATCATATTTGGTTTGATTTGTTCTTTAAAAGATATTGCAAATTAGGACAATAAAACTTAATAGATGCATTAGGGCTCTATAACCTAAGTTGCAGTTTCTGATTACCATGACACACACGTATGTACTAAACACAGTTAATAATATCAACTCTATTTACTTGTGAAGTTTTTGAACATTTTTATTATATAATACCGATTTTTATAGAAATATATTATTTTAGTATATAAAACATTAAATCAAAAAATAAACTAGAGTAAAAATATATTGCAATCAATTAAACCACAGTAAGAGATGATGTAGTGGAGTTGAGATGGAATTAATGAACATACAAATTCACATGATTGTCCCATTGATATGTATGCTTGTATACATAATATCTCCATGCTGTACTCGAAGATATTTATAGCTATTGTCCAAGCAACTTCTTATATACATAAAAAGCATATGTATATATATAGTGATTATATTATTATATCAGCGACCACAATGCATATGTACGGTACGGCACGGCACACACAGAGAGATCAGTACTTATCATCAAAGGTAAATAAATAAATAAATAAATTCAGTATTGTATGTGAGGGAGTACCTAACATATTTTGACAAAACCCAACTAGTCATCATTACATAAGTCAACAATATTAAACGAGTCTTGAAAGTATAAAAGACATGTAGATCTAGGTAAGGCCTATCATGCATCAACACAGATTGATCAAGTAACGAGATACATAGTTTTACATATATATATATATATATATAATGTGATCTATCGAAATCCATCCACTGAAAGAATGCAATTCTGTGCAGACAAGACATTAGATGCATGATTCAAATGATGAAATCCTGGAACCCATTAAGTTCTTTATTTCCTCCATTAATTCATCATCTCATGTTTCATTTTCAAAGATGACAGATAGTGCAACATCAAATTAAAATTTATGTTAACACACAGATTAGCCAATTTATTTATTTCTTTATACCAAAATCAAGATCAACTGATATTTTGTAGTAGACAAGATCAGCCAACTCACAATCTAACATAGTTTAATCATATTGTCTGACAAACTAAGGAAGAAGAAGAAGAACAGACATGTTTAAACCCATACCTATGCATCATTCACGAAAACGACACTTCGTTGCTCATTGTATCTCTATACAACATATATATAGATATAGACAAAAAGGCCAAGTTGCCTGCAACACAATCACCACAATTAATTAATTAATTTAAAGAATCATCCAAATCACATATGCAGTGTGTGTGTGTGTGTGAATGTATATCTCAGTGTTCATTTCACCAAAAAGGATATTCTCTTATTCATCACGTTACAACGCAGCATACTCCTCACTAATAACAAAACAATTCCAATGAGACTATGACAGCCAAACTTAGTGATTCAGTAGCAAAGTTAGAATACAATTCTTGAAGTTACCATATGCATCTATACATATATATGATAGGAATGATCTACAGTGAATATATTTTTGTCTGTATACGGCCCACTAATTAGCTAGGTTACTACAACAAGTTATCAAGCTAAATCTCAAATTGGATTGATGCAGTCTTTGTCCAATTCAAATGATCACGTTTGATTCTAAATATTGGCATATTCAATGTACAAATCACTGCTATATATATATATATGTGTGTGTGTGTGTGTGTACAAATCACTGCTATATATATATGTGTGTGTGTGTGTGTGTGTTCATATGCATTTTTATGTGTTCCTAGTTTGAGAGTTTGAAAAATCTTACAAGTAACCTTATTCAACTGTAAGAATCTTGCCAACTCAAATTTTCCTTTCTTTAGACACTTTAAAAGCATCTTAATAATTAGGACCACAAACTACAATGATAAAAGATGAAGAGCTAGAAAAGAAGTGCAAATTCAGTCTGAGGGGTAAAATAGGATACACAAAAGACATATATGCATGAATAGTTTTCTACATCCTAATTGACAATTTCAACATATTATATATATACATATAGATACACATGGAGAAGGATCTATTTTCATCTTTGGGGACCAAACTTATAAAGGCATCAATGCTCCTATGACTAATCAAACCTAATAATGCAATGAGTATATGGCTTTATTTATATAATTTTCTTCCCTCTTTCCTCAAATGAAAATCTGTTCTTTTCAAGAAATCTTTCCAAAATCTACATTGAATACCAATGAATTCCCTTTACCTTTGCAGCAATTCATCCATGCAGTGAACAATCATCCATCAATGTATTTATATTCGAATTACCTGCAAAAAAGATCCATATTTCAAACACTTCTTTTGATTCCTTCCCCAATATAAATCTGCAACTCTACATGGTGGTAAGATTCTCTTCATTCTTCTTCTTTGAAAAGCAACTATAATAGGCTAATGCCTTTAGGGCATTATCAAGAATATAGTCATGATCGATGTTAAATGGATAATCTGCAATAATGCAATTAATGACCACATCACATAGGTCACAAAAGTGATCAACAAGCTGCCCTTCAACGAGTTTATGAATTCTTAACCAATATACACCTACTAATGCGAAACTCAAGATTGACGATGCCTCGGTGAAAACATGTTTTTTCAAAATTTTTATTTCAGAGACTTCCCTTTCATGTGACTGCTGAACTATAAATTTCCCAGCAGCAAACCAGAAACTCCTACATTAATAGCAATGTTACATGTTGACATAATGAAAAAAGATAGCATGTAGTTACATTGGCATATTGATCTTTTATTTTTGCATTATAATGAAATAATTACCTTCGAATCCTAAATTGTGATTACTGAAGAGTTGCATAACCAAACTTCATCTGTATACGAAAAGATGAATGATACATTGTTTAGTTCTCAAAAGTATGAGCAATATAGAAGGGGGAAGCTAACAAGAAGTAATATATCCTTCCATTTTAAGAGAATACATCTAATTAAGCAGAAAATTTCATATTTAAAATAAGAACTTCATTGCATCAAGGGAAAGTAAAAATTTCATCAATGGTTAAGAAATTTTCCATATTATTAACCATCTCAAGAAATGGATGAAAACGGTTGGCAAATTGAAATTAGCCAACAGTCTGCAGCAGTCAGAAGATTTATAATGTATGTGTAGTGTTGTTCCCTCTGAAGAATATAACAGTAAATGATCAACATATATGTATATAGGTATTGCCACTTTTCCCAAGTAAATCTGGAAATGTAGACGAAGTGCTGTAATATATTATTACTTCTAAAGACAAGAGCAGCAGCAATGAGGACAAGAAGACAGGTAAAACAGGAAAGAGTTCAGTGATAAATGCAAGCACATAAAGAAGAGATTATTATACCTTTTAAAGCTCTGGCAAAACCTGGCCATGGATGTACCTACCGGCGGGCGTGACCATCAAAGCAGCCACTGCAGCAGCGACAGCAAACAACAACCCACAGAGCCAAATAAAAACAAAAGTGCCAAAAGATGATTTTCGATACATACTGTCTTCTCTCCCTCGATCAGGCGTATAATTTGCCATGCATCTGCCCCAAAGTCAGCTGCGTCCAGATAAAGATGACAATAATTCAAGACAGAAAAAGATGAGTGAGTAATAATTCATATGCAAAGTATTGAGAAGAAAACAAAAACCATGCATATACGGATCTGTAGTCGTCGTCGTCGACTGAATTATTGAATGAATTAATTAATTAATTAAAGTATCTGAATGACAAGAATTTTGCGAAAGGTTTATAATTGTCGCGTGGATACATAATGTGGGTGGGAAGGGAAGGATCTGATCTTCCAGACCTGATCACATTATAAGGAAAAAGCATAAAATAACGGGCAAGAAGGATCTACAGAATTATATGTCATCTATCATCTATGGATATACACAGAGTACTCAAAACCCAAGTGCCAATCTCCGATTCAATTTTTTTTTCAGCTGTTCATCACTCGTGTAATCATATCAAACCTCTTCACATTCTGTGCCCCCCGTTTTAAGTTCATATATATATGTAAAAAAAACGTAACCTCACATATCCAAATCCAAAGACATCGATGAACCCTTGCCCTTGTCGTCGTTCTGATTGTACTGCCTTAGCTGGAGACAATCAGGACCGGAGGAATTCATGGAAGGAGGAGTTTCAAAAGGGGGAGGAGGAGGGAGCAAGTGGTGAATAAATGGCATTGAGGAATTATCACATAATTCATGATCTGAGTCGTCAGAGATGGGACAGTCCATGTTCACGCCGAACAGCCTGAGCCTCTTTGCTGCAGCCTTACCTTGGACCACCGGCACCGACTCGAATACCACTTGCTCAACCCCAATCCCACCCCCTTGCGCCTGTCTTAATTCTCCTGCAGCGGCCTCTTGATGATGAGGACCTGAAAATCCAGATCTAGGGTAGACGACGGAGGGCGGGGGGCAAGGGTTTCCGTTGAACAAAGTGGTGGCGGTGGCGGAGTAGGGGTAATGGGCGGCGCCGGCGCCGGGGGTGTAGGTTGTGTATTGATGCTGAAATTGAGGGTGGATGCCGCCGTTGGGTTGGTGCAGCAAGTGTGAATGCGGCAAAAAGAGGGGATGATTCCAAGAGTGAATGGACCTGTGGAAAGAGAATTGGTGTGGGACTGACAATGTGGGAATGGGCGGCGGCAGCTCTGCCACGTCTGGGCGGCGCCTCCAGTCGATGTAAAGTCGATCCCTCCCCAACTCGCCGACTCCTCTCTGGAAGGAGACGATGTCGCCGGCGTCCAATTTTTTGTCCTTGACGAACCGGCTCCAGCCCTTGGTCATCACGTAGCTCTGGCTGCTGTTCCAGTACGAGTACCTGAACCGCCATGGCTTCCCGTTCCGGTCCTCGAAATTCAACAGTAGCCCCTTCTCGTTTGTTGTCGAATCCAACGGGAAGTATTTCTCGGCGTACTGCTTAGGGATTACCAGCCGGTTTAGCTTCCCGACATCGCTGGGAGTGACCACTTTATCGAACATATGCTCCTTTTCTATGGCCGTACTGTAAGATGCGCCGCTGCTGCTCCCAGCCTCTCCGCCGCCTCTCCTGGCGAACATCATGTGATCATCTGAATCGTCGTCCCCGCCGCTACCATTGGTGGTCGGGGAGGAGTCGGGCTGGTGAGAAGCTCCGGCGGCGTAGTTGTAGAGGCCGGGAAGGGCTCTGAGCTGGAGAGAAGAGGAGAAGGAAGACGACGGGGAGGAGGAAGACGACGGCATACCCCCAGTCGTCATACTCATGTCCTCGTAAAACCCTGCAGCCCTACCCGACATGAAATTCAAGACCCAGAACTTGTCAAATCAACTGAAATCCAGACAGATCTAATCGGCGAGAGGTACGGAAACGAAGATTTCACAGCAATTATCACCGCCAAGAGCAAGAATCAACAAGGCAAAAAGGTTACCCACATATCTGGAGACATATGTATTTGTATCTATATATATTGCTGTGCAGCTAGATTTGCTCCTCAATCAATACTGTTGTTCGGGTCGGTGCAGAAAAAAAAAAAAAAAAATTAGGATGACGAAGAAGAAGCAAAATTGTAAAGCGTTTGGAGGATTAATTTGTGTACAATTGTGGGCAAGCAAAAGCAAAGAAAGCATATCAGTAGGTAGCTAGGGTTATGAGGCAAAAACCAATTCATATAAAATAGTACTCCCAAGAACTGGATTGGATCGATATATGTTGTATGTATGTCAACAAAATCATGAAAGAGGGTGGGCGGGTTCTTCTACCTCTCTTTCTCCTAATAATTTGACCCACAAAATCATCCACGACAATTCAAATGCAAGATTACACCAATGATATATCATCAATCTGTATGTATGTATGTATTGTATATACACCTATTGCGTATTATACACATTCTTGACCTTTTGAGAGAGAGAGAGAGAGAAAGCACCTAATACCTACTTATATATATATACATAGAGAGAGAGAGAGAGAGAGAGAGAGAGAGAGAGAGAGAGAGAGAGAGAGAGAGAGAGAGAGAGAGTATAAATGTGTATGTATTTGGAGAAGGGTAACTTTCAGTGGGGTGCCTCCCGGGAAGCTTCTCAAGTTAGGCCATTTTCTCTGAATTTATTCTGTCAATTCTTCCATTTACTTCTTTTTCATTTTAGAGAGAGAGAATAGAAAGGTGTGTGAGTGGAGAGAGGAAGGGTAATCGGGAGCTAGGGATCGATGGGCCATCAATTATCGATCGGCCGAGTTCATGTGAACTCGTCCTTGTCATCTACCTGGGTGGGGCGGGGTGGGGTGGGTCGATCTCGTATCGTATATATAATTTCTCATGTATACGTATACGTATATGTATATACAAACTAGTTCTTATTTATATGATTGTATTACCACCTGGACCGCATACAAAACCCTTGTCTACGTACGGACATACTTAATCTCCCCTTTCTTTTACTTTAATTAATTTCCTACTTGTCTTTAATTTGCATGTACAACCACTATCATTACTTCCATTTATTTTACTTACTTAATATTATAATGAATGGATAAAAAGTTGGTACTAACCATAAGTATACATACATATACATATATATATAACATATTTAATAAAATATATATATTCTTAATAATAATAATATACTCTTCTATTTCTTAATTTAAAAACTATTCCTAATACTAATCTGATTTGTAATTAAGCAACGTGGGACGTGGGCTACCCCTACACACACATAAATATATATATATATATATATACATACATACAAGTAGCAATCAATATTTAAATTAATGTGTGCAGTTGCCTTATTCATTAGACATCATCATTTTTATTTGTATCATTCAGACAGCTACAAGTATTAAATGCACAAAGCTAAGCCAGAAAAATAATTTACTGCAGAATATATAAACAATACTAATAATTAAAAAGTCTACGTTTTATAATTATTAATTTAGCTGTGTCTATTAAGCAGACAGTACTGGAGTGGTTAATTAGATATTAATTATTGATTTGCTGGCCTAATTAGATTAATTATGTTAGTCCGTACACAGAGACCCTAATACTATAATGCAATATTTTTTGTGGAGTAATATAACTTAATTATCAGGTAATTAATTCGCATAATATATACTTCGCGTCATTACATGACACGTTTCACTGTGCACAATTATTCGCATCTTAATTAATTAGTGTTTAATTATCCGTATCATTATTATTCATTTTATTCTGCTTAATAAATTTAAAGTTAGGCAGTGCCTCTTGTTTTTTGGACCATATATAACACGCACTTCTCTTTTAGATGTATTATATTTTATTTATTAGCGGTATTTTGTTATTAATTGTAAATATAAATCTATTATAATGTATACTTATTTTTTTCTTTTTTTTTTTCTTTTTTTTTGGGGTTTGAATATGTTATTACAGCAAGTTCAACTGAAAATTGGTTCAAGATAATTTTGGAACATTCCTTCTTTTTGGTCTTTTTTTTTTTTCTAAAAAAAAAAAAATCAAATTTGATTATGGATTCTTACATTTTAATATTTTAGGATGCAAGCAAATTATTCACTTTTGCAACAAAATTAACATTAAATAAAATATTACAAATGGCAATAAGCATCTGATGCCCTTATTCTAATATATATATATATATATTTATACGTATAATTCAAAGATGCATTGTAAGCATAACATGAAGAAAAAAATTAAGACAAACATTATATGAGATATAAATCATTATTTATTTTATTACAGTTTACTTTGCCCATGTGCATAACCAATCATTTCACTAACCCTGAATCCCCTGTACTAATTTTAATATTAACATATACTCCCTTCCTCTAAAGTAATATTAGTATTATATTTGAATATAGTAAAAAAATAAAAAAATTAAATTATTTTTATTAATATTGTATAATATAAATGCAATAATATTTGTATAATATATATAAATTAGAAGGGTATTTGTAAAATTAGGTAAATAGTACAATTACTAGAAAGGAAATCGATATTTTATTATGGGACAGACGAAAATGAAGAAATGGATAAATTGTTAAAGCACGGAAACAGTAGAACTTTTTTCTTTTTTGTAAAATTATGTCATTATTTTGTGGCTTGTATTAAATTTATACATAATTTATTTATAATAAACAATTTTATTCACTAATAAATTTATATTCTTATTTTAATAAATAATAATCATCAATTTGCTACTATTTTTTTTTACTTACTATACTATTTTTTTTTTATCAAAATATACTTTAGTAGTTTTTCTATTATATTTTCACTTTACTTTTCTATCTATCTCATTTAATTAAAATACTATTATTTATTTAATCTCAATGCCCAATCAAATTTATATTCATTCCGTTTCATATCTATATATCCGTTTGTTTTTTATAAGAAGTTTTTAAAATATTAATATTATATTGAAATATAGTAAGAATAACGTAAAAATAACTAAATTAACTTTATTAGTATTGTATGATATAAATATAAAATATTATAAGTTGTAAGAGTATTTGTAATACTAGGTAGATAATACAATTACTAAAAAAATATAATAAATATTTTGTTACGAGACATACCAAAATAAAAAAAAAATAATAATTTGTTAAGAGACTGAGTATATTTTTTCCAAGGGTCAATTGAATATATTATTAATACAACTACTTTTAATAATCTTTCAAATATATATATACTAAATAAATAAATAAATAACAAGAATACAATATGACAATTTATTAATCTTGGAAAGTATGGATGAAAAGAAATCCCTAGGATCGTTTCACGTGGGACCAAAAAGTCTTTTCACTAAAACATATACATTCATAAATATATAAGTATATAATATTTCATATTCAAATATTGTCCTAATAAATTATAAATATAATTTCATTTTCTTTTCGAAATATGTCCCTAACTAAGTTAGCTGATTGCTTAAGGAAGCACATTTCTCCAGGACCACCCCAAATCTTGACCCAATATATATATATTATTATATTAACATAACAATATATATGATGTGTCTTTGTTAGGGACCATTTATATATGTATATTATAATTTCTAGCTTCCAAAGAAAAAGTGTCCAATTTGGACACCTCTTTTTAAGAATTTAATTAATTACAACCTCATTTGTCGTCCCCAAATACTTGCTTAATTATTCATAAATCTCATCTAATAATAAGTACGTACAATACAATACAATAAAATAAAATAAAATTTTAGTATTTAGGTAATTAAATGGATGGAGTTGGATAATCGACCAAAAGCAATGATTTATTACAGATGAATAAAATCCAGCCGACATTTTCGACTTATGTGCATTATATTCTCCGGACCCGACCCGACCCGACCCGGGTGTGGATAATTGGATATGATGTCCACGTTTAAAAAAAAAAAAAAAAAAAAAAAATCAAGTGCAATTTTAATTATCTTTGTGACTGCCAATGTATGTAGGTTATCGACATTAACTCCAGGTCCCTTTCTGCTATTAATTTTATTTATTTCGATATGTACTTTCCTGTGTTTCATTTTCTCCATTTGCTTGTAATTCAACCTATTAATAAAGAATATTTCCATTATTGCTGACTTCTTTATTATTATTTTTTTTTATTAAAAAAATTAAATAATAAAAAAAAGGGTAATGAATTATATATGCAGACATGCATGCATTTAGGGACCCATAAATATGACAAGCGCAGAAACCCTACTTTTTGAAGCACGTATATATAATAAATATATCATATATATGGGCTGGATTTTTATACTGCTTTAATTTCTATAATTAGTCCTTTTTTTTTTTTTTTAATCTTAGTCATGGACTTAATTATCTAATATTAATTGATTATTTTTTTAATTTACCAGTGTTTTATTTAAATTGGTGGCCCCATCTATACAATATTAAGTATCAATAAATTGAATTTTATGTGCAAGAAATTATTATTTTTTTTTTTTATTAGTATGAATAATTTAATTGGGCAATAATGGTAATTAAAATTGCACATGAAGCTAGGTTGCTAGGTAGCTAGTGTGTAGCTAATTCAATTCAGTGCCTCGTGCACTAATCCCTTTCCCCTAGCTACCTCAATCATTCCTTTTCATTAATTCATACTACTACACGTACTACTATTTATTGCACCCCCCAACTTAAATTAAATTAACTTTTATTGCCATTTAATTTAAATAAAAACTTTTGTCACCCACATAACAGTAACTAAATCAATTATACATTTGATTCCTGCTCTGCCAGTGCCAATACCTTCTTGATTGAGTATGTTATTCGTTACTTATCTAATTATTATTATTATTATTATTTTTATTTTATTTTTTTTAATTCTATTATATTCAATGCTTAATTTCCATTCAAAATAAGAAAACATCGAATTTCACTAATCTATATATATATATACAACTGGAATGGCGGTATTTATAATAGGCATGTGGGATATCATTTTCACAAGCCATATATTATTTAATAATTTCTTTGTCATTTTTTTTTATAACGTGAAAATATGTCGCCGCTATCCGAAAGTGCACATTGGGTAAACCTCCGATCGAACTTAATATTATACAAATTAGGTTCGACAAGACAAGTTACAGGCGTCGAAATTTGAAATAACCAGTCATAAGTTGACTCTCCAGTACCACCAGATCATCCTTTACGAGACTTGTTATGTAAAATTATACTTAGTTGATTGGACACATGTTTTAAAAAAAGTAAATAAAAGAAAAAAAAAAAATCTTTTTACAACTATGAAAAAAATAAAAAGTACAAAATAATATTTTTGGATGACAACCAAAAAAATAAAATTAGACATCAGTTTAGATATGGCAGAGATAAGTAAAATAATTATGCTCATATACAAGGTGGTGTATAAATTATAGAGTACTCTCTTCATTGTATTTAATATTAAAAATATTATTATATTTGTATAATTTTTTTTACAAATGTATTTTTATTAGCACTAATAGAAATATTTTTGTAATTTTTTAAAATTTGTAATATAATAATTAATATTTAAAGATTATTACGCAAAAAAGTACATGAGATCCTTAGAGTCGGACGAATGTAGTAGAATTTACAAAATGATACTCCCTCCGTCCACAAAATAAGTATACATTTACTTTTGGCGCGGAGATTAAGGAATAATAGTATTTTAATTATAGTGGGTAGGTAAAAGTAGTGAAATGATATTTTTGCCCTTACTTTTTTGGTATAAAAGTAATGATGTGATGTAAAGTAGGAGTATTTATGAAAAAAAATAGGATATTTAATAAAATGATTACTTTGTAATTGAACGTCCCAAAATAGAAAAATATATATTTTTTAGCTGGACGGAGGGAGTATACGTTATATACCAGTAATATAAAACTTTGTAGGATACTGGAGACTCTGCATGAGACATGGAATGATGGATTGAGTTTACCTACCCAATCTTGCATGCAGATAGGGATGGATACCTTCAATTTCAAACACATGTCGCAAAATATAAATATAAAAAAAATATATATATATTATAATTTATATATATTGTTTATACACGTAAATTATATTACTACATATATTTTGGGGTAATAACTAATTGTCCCAAATCAAGACCAGACGTGTAATCAGCACGTGACAATTATTACGAAATGGATTTGAAAAGAATATTTTATATGTGTAGATTGACGATGGGTTGAGTGACTGTGAGGCTACTGAAACACGGAATTGTGTGTAGTTTTCAAATTTTCCGAAACATTGAAATTGCATACGCTAAACGACACCGTTTTCATAATGCCCCCACCCCCCCTCCCGGTCAAAATTAAAACGACATCGTAAGGAGCACGCACTGGACACAACGCAAACTGCTCGAATCTAAGGTTTATTTTATTACATAACTATATCATTAATTTAACTATTTACTGATGATTAATTACAAGTCAATTAATGCTAATCTCGTCACCGAGAGGGACCACTGTGACGTCACTACTATGCAGTATATTTTGCACATTATATAAGACTATATAATTAATTATGACTGCCAAAAATATTTCAATTTATGGAAAATTAATTAATTTCAAGGGGGTTTGTTTCTTTGCAGTCATGTCTCTGTTTATTTATTTTTAGTATAATTTTTATTTTTATTTTAAAAAAAACCTATCAATTAAAAATTATTTTAATACAATAACCTTTTTATTGTATCCTTGGATTAAAGGTCATCAAGTATAATTATTGTGTAAGCATGGGTGGATTTGATGTGCATATATGGCGCATGCATGCCCTTTTTCTGCATAGATCCTGGACCACTCTACCCCTAGGGACAGCTATTTCCTAGCCTGTTTCTCTTCTTTATTTATTTATTATTTATAAATTATATATCCACACATAATTAATATATATATTTTTAAATTTCTTCTATTTTATCGTGATCCGTTGGGATTAATTAATGATCTCTTAAGAGCGAGTGTACGCTCCAAATCAATGCTTATTTGGAATTGGGCCTGCCCAAATAATTGGGCGGCCCGAATTCAGCGCATGAATTTAGGGCGTGGTTGAAGGTTGGGAGAAGAATGGACTCCTACTGAACAGCGTCGTCGTTGTCAATCTGTCATTGAAGATCTGATCTGCTTCGTCCGTTCCCCGAGGTATGAGTTTCTACAGGTGATGTTTTAAGAGGAAATGTTGCTGCGCAATGGCCGATACGTGTTTTCTTCTTAATTTAGACGGATTTGGGCTTCTTGTTGATAAATTTTGGGGATGTGGCGGTGTTGTAGCATTCGAATTTGTGGAATGTGGTGCGTGAGCTTTCTGTTAGTTATTGTTTTGGTTGTTGTAGGAAAGTAGGAATCGTTTTGTGAAGTTAGTCGTACAAGAGTGGATGCATCCATATCTATCTATGGTAGGGTTAAAGATTTGCAAATCAAAAGATGCTTTAGTGTTCTTGATTATGGCCATTCGTTCACCGCCACCGACATCCCTGCCTTAATCTTCACGTATAACTGTTAGCTCTTCTACATAGATCATAAGTGAAGTTATCTTTTAAGTCTAGTATTGCATGAGAATGAATGGATGGAATCAGTTCTACATTATTCCTAGCACTCGTCTTCAAATCTTTAATCAGGTCTTCAAAAATTAAAATGCCTAGGTCAGGAATATGATTAAGTTAGATATATACTATGAATTTTGCGGGTTTGACTTAATTTTCGCATTAAGCCATGAAAACTTGGACTCAAAACACTCCAATTTCGAGTTAGGTTTATGGTATTTTCGTGTCAGGTCAGAAATGGCAGACGAAAGATTGCGAGGCATTTATTCTTTACCAGTCTCATGAGAAGGCCCTGCCCATATGCCTTTAACTTCACACCCATGCCATCTACACTCTTGTTAACCTCACCACTGTAACTACTTTAAATTCCCTTCCTATGTTTTATAAAAGTTCTGATAACTGTTTCAAAATATTTACAAGATTAAAAGCGAGAATGCGTCAAATTGTTCATTTAAATTATTAATTATTTGTCTCTGGACAACAGGGACCACAGATACGGACCATATCACCAAAAGCACAAAAAATACATGCTAATAAAATACAGGTCTATGACGAGCAAATCAAGGCTACAGAAGAATCTATAGTAAACTTTTCTTTTACTAAATGAAAAAAGGAGTTCTACCATACCCACACTTGAAAAAGAAATATTTTCCTTAATTGCTTATATGTTATTTATGTTTTGGTTATTTGTTTTTCTTATCATGAAATTTGCTTGAGTACTTTGTCGTAGCCTTTTTTAAACTCTTTTCAATACATTTTCAGCTAGTTCATAGCCACCATTAAAAACTGGGTAGAGTGGACTGGTTGATGGTAGAGTAAAGTGCTCTTAAAAAGGCTACTCTTTGAGCTTAGAATTCCTTCCATTTAAATTTACAGAATGCGTGGTGGAATATTAAGAACCCTAGATCTTTTCAAAACCCATCAGATGTGACAACAAACCTATGCCATCATTTGGGGTTCACAATTTCCTTTGTCATTCTTTAGATATTTGGATGGTTCATCCAACAGGCCAGGGATAGGACTTAAAAAAGAAGTTCTATTGATTGTAACTGAAAGAAAGAATAATTATGGGGTAAGCGTGTCCCCAGCCAAAATGCTGTCCGAAACACGATGGCGCCGAATGAATATTCACTAACCCTAGATACTCCTTAAAACTGAGTTGACAATAATAGAAAGTAACAGGTAATATTCTAAGGAAATAGTGACCACCAAGGAACTAGGAGCAGAACTGCATTTGTTTGGGTGTCTTTTTTGTGGAACATTCTAACACCTTTCCAGAAGATCAAAGCTTTTAAAATCAAGGACTAGTCCCATATATCAACAAGGATCCTTTCCAGAGCATTTTGTGCTCAGTAGTGTGTACCTTCAAAACTCCTCACCCCTCAGATTAAGTAATTTGTCCAAAGCTACTCATTTTGAAACTACCAACGAATGCAACACCCTTGTCTAAACCTTAATACAATGGCCCCAAGATTTTTTGCAACATGCAATTGTGGATTTACTCTAATACAGTCTATAATACTACGGCTTCACTGTGGCAAACTGAAGGCCTTTGCGATCAAAGACTAAACCACATGTCAACGTAAATCCTTTTTGTTTTACTGGTCATTACTCATGCTTTCTTTGGAAAACTTCCTAGTCAATTGCACAAATTGGAACCTTTCTTACGATACAGTACTTATCTTTGAAGTTGTTATAGGAGAGCTTTCTAAAAATATTTGCACATTATTGACATAAATGATAATATCAAACTGTTACGGATCACTCAGCTCTTTATATGTGATTTGTGACATCAAGTAGTATTGGCTCCTGAATTACATTCATCAGAGAGAACCCTCAACTATTTGTTTGGGTATTAATGAATGGTTTGAGAAGGTTGTTCACAGTAGAAGCATAATCTGTTAGCACAGGAATCATTGCTACAACTCTCTTTAACCAATGTTGAAATCGGCTTAACTGGTTGGGTTGTTGCTTTGGTGGAGTTTCAGTGTATGCTATATATAACACTTGATGTAAGAGTTCATAGAAGAATACCATGTTATCGAGCCTAAACTCTAGTTGTCAATTGTTATTGAAGAAATGTCAATTATATAAGGATATCAATTTTAGCCACATAAATGATATGGCATGTAAATGATATCTGCAAGACCCTGAATTCCTCTGTATTTTTTTTTTTTTTTTAAATAATTATATATCTCTCTAGTTGTCAATTGTTATTGTAGAAAATGTCAATTATATAAGGATATCAAGTTTAGCCACATAAATGATATGGCACATTAGTGTTGTGAGGTATTATGCACTGCATCTGTTGTTTTCCTACTTTGATGTCTGCTGCTATTATGTGATCTTTTTCCAATAACTTACTTTTTTGCTTAAAATTTTCATAGAAATTATAACATGGCTCTTATAGATGCTTAAATCTGTATATACAAATATGATGTTTTATCATAATTATGAACAAAGCTTGTCACAAACTATTAAGTATTAGAACAGTGTTGCACAGGCATAGCAAATACCCAGTAGGGTAACTATTGCAGTCACTGCTGATAATATGTTAGCTGATGACTCCTCTTGCTCATTCCTCCATTTCAGTTCATTTTTCAGTTTGTAGAATTGCTGGTAGCCCAATTCCACCAGGCAGTGATTTATACTTCGGGTACAGTTAGTCGCCTGCTTCATGACGACCATGCTTCGCTCCCCATTAAGATGTGACCCATCTATTTGTTTAATCACTAGTGTGATCTCCTTCCATTTTATGCATCCTTGCTTGATCATCAAATTGCATTTAGCGGTTATCACACACTCTGCCACTGGTTGAGTTAGTATATTGTCGTCATCAATGGGTATTATGCACCCAAAACAAAGTACATAGCCATTAGCAGAAGGGTTGCTCCGGTAAATAGATCTTGCTTTCCAACTTGAGATATTGACAGCCTTTCCTTGTCTCTTGTCAAACAGAATCCAGCTTAGTCGGAGGTCTTGAAGAAGCTCTTTGCATGCATCTTCTCTGTCTTCATAACCCTTGAAGGCATCCGGAGGTAACTTTGTATAATCCTCCAAGCTGCCAAAATCTTGATAATAATTGCTTGAATCTTTTGGACTATGAACACTGTGCAAGTCTAATTTAAACGGGTAGCACAAAAACCTTTTGACATTGTCGTTGCAATTACCATATGTACTTTCCATTATGCCATCAACGACCTTGGAACAAATAATGCTCCCCTTGAAATATATGTCAACTAACGACATGAAATCCCAGGGAGATGGCTCTGTGTCATTTGCAGAACCTGCAGGAATGTTTTCCAAAGCTTCTCTTGTTGCCTTATACAAGATCAGTGGAAAGGCATTCGCATAGAAACTCTTGAAACCTCCTTGGTTAGAAGATGCAATCTGGACCCGAAGCAGTCGATTCGAGGTTGAAGGCCATGTGTCGCCGCATATCTTCTGCCACAACCTATCTTCCCTCGCAGCATCCGACAGACAAGTACATGTCGAAGCCATGGCTGCAAGTGTACAGCCATCAAGCCTCGACATTATATCTAATACAAGATCTTGATCCAGGGACCTGAAATGATCATGTTCCGACTCCATATCGACACGCCTTCAAGACTCCGGACTCAGGTACCGAAAACTTTTTAAATCAGCGATCTCTTTGAAGCAAGTGTGGATGTACTAATAGAACTCCATTCTCCATTAGTCAAAGATTGTGCATTCAAGCAATAGCTACTCGGAAGGGACTTAGCAGTAGGAGCTTAGGACGGTTCTCATAAAATCAGGTACGATCTCTGCCCCGATTTATCAACTATCCCATTTAATCTGCCTGCCTCAACACACTCACACTCTTTTTAGTATACATTCTCATTCATTGTGTATGTTTGACATTGCCTAGTTCTGGTAGCCCACAATAGTTTTTAAACAAGTAGCATTAGCCCCTAGTCTCGAAAGCAGGCCATTCATTCGTTGACTTTTTATAGGTCTGTTTTGCTTAGAGGATCTCCAATGCTCTGTTCTTAACATTGGAGAATGAACCCAGTCCATGTGCCACATGGAAAAATTTTCAAAAATAAAAAACACAACCCAGGAACCGTTATCTTGCCTTGCAAGAACAGCAAAAGAATGGGCACATGAGAAAATAAAATTAAAAATAAAGTATTTCTTTTTTTTTTTCATGTTATTACAAAATATTTTAATTCTTTTTAATAAAAACATATTAGCTTCTTTTTTTTTTTTTACTATAAAAAGAAAAAAAAATAGTTATATTATTATTTTTATAAAACTCAAGAATAGTTCTCCTGCAAGAAGGGCAGGTTCCAACCTTATATTTATACCATATAATTATATTATAATTTTTATTTAATATTTTTTTTGTTAGCCAAATTTAAAGATATTTTTCTTTGTAAAATTGAATATAGAAATATTAAATAATATATAAAATTATAAATTTTGTTTTTTATTTTATAAATTTAAATATTTTATACTCCTTTCGTTCCACTTAAATTGTCAGTATAATTACCTAGAAATATATTAATAAAAATAATTATAATTTAATAAAAATAATTATAGATTAAATTGGATGGAGGGAATAATATTTTTTGAATAATTATAATGTATACATAATGTATTTATATTAAATGAAATAATAAATTTGTTGATTTGAAAAAGAAAGAAATTTGGAGAACCCTAAGTTTAGTTATGTAAGTAAGAAATTGAATTGGTTCTTGATGAATTTTTGAGATGACGTGACTGAAAAAGAGGAGACTGAAGAACCCATTGTTTATGGTCTTAGGTATAACTTGAAGACGAGGGCATAGGTAGACATGCTTAACCCTAGCCTTTTCTGCACTTGCACTTTGCCCCTCCCTCTCTCTCCCTCTCTCTCTCTGTATAGTGACGTATATCTAATAATCTATCTATCCCATGAGGAGGAAAGAATTGGTAATGTGTTAGGCAATTTTTAGCGGTTAGGAATAGTGGTGATGGCTGCCCTGCCGCCCCTCTATTTTGTCACCCATAGCCATAGGCATAGGCATAGATAGCATCGGATTTTATTCAATTTCTCATAAAGGGGTGGCTCATTTACCCATTTAATGCTTTGCCTTTTAAGTGTTTGTTTTTGGTGTACATTTAACAATATATTTATGTCTGTTTAGCAAGACTAGAGGACCAAATAGCAGAATATGTAATTCTGTTATGGGCGATAAGCTATTTTATTGTTAGGGTTGATAGCACTATTTTATTTATGGGGTGTTTACTGGTGTTTTGGATTTGAAAAGATTTTTGATTGAAAATTAAGTTTAGGATGTTGCGTTTTAAATTAATAAATGTTATATTTTGAATAAAAAATAGATATTTGATGTAATGATTTTAAGATATACATATATAGTTCAATTGTTGTGTAAAAATAGTCTATATATATATATCACATATAAATTTGAATATGGTATCTTAATTAAGTTTGAATATTTTGGATTAATCTATTTAGGCTGTCTGACTGAATATGTTGATAATTATTCTGATAATTTTTTTTACAAAATTTATATTATTAACTAAAACTTTTATTTCTAAATATATCAAATCAATCGCCTACTTTTTACTCTTTATATTATACTATAAATTAATTTTATATTCAAAATATCGCATCAATACGTATATAAATAACATTCTACAATTATTCAAATTCAAAGTTTTTTACTAATTCAAATCCAAAATCCAAAATCCAAATCTCCAATTATCTTGACACTACTTTTAACTACTTATTACAATTAAAATACTATTATTTTTAAACTTTCGCGTCAAAAATAAATGTTACCTTTCAAAATGGACGAAGTATAATACTGAGAAAGTAGAAATTTTATAATATAAGATTACAATTATTACTCCCTTGTCCCTTCGTTCCTCATATTAGGTTACAATTTTCATTTATATTCATCTCATATCCTATGTCATTTTCGCATTTTAAAAAATGATTATATACTTTAATTATATTTTAAATTTTATAATTTATAATTTTTTAAAATTTTAATTAGGCTAATTAGTTATCTTACTTTATAATTATTTATATTATATTTTAATTAATTTTACTAATATATTTTTAATTATATATTAATAATATCTCTCTTAAATTTTCATATTTACAGTGGCGTTATATTCTGGACAGAAATATTTGGTAATAGAAGATGAATATGAAGAAGAAGAATATTTATACAAAAGGTGAGGATGGTGAACATGAGGATTTTTTTTTTTTTAATCTGATTAGCTTTGATATCTTACTATCAAACAATAGTGATCTAACTATTTTTGTTTATACAACTATTTAAGAGCTGCCATCATATCTTTTTTGTTGACTTTTTATTACTTTGAATGATGATTATGAAATTTATTTTGTAGATTGTTCTTATGTGTTTTTGTTGTTATTTTTTTATATATATTCTTAAATATTTAAATAGAGTCATACTTTTCATCGCTATTCTGCTATAGCATTTTAGAGGTTGTACATTACGTACAATTATCCGAGATTGATAACTATGTGTTGTATACACCTATGTAATATATATGTTGATAATATTTTGTTAGATGAGATCTGTGCTCCATCCAAGCTTGTTGGTGAGAAAAGTATGGGAGAAAGCAGCAGAATGGGCAATCATTAAAAGTTGGTCCATGCATCAACAACCATGGTATGTTATGCTAAAATCATTTTATTGCATTTTTTCCTAACACCTCCAATAAACACTGATAAGAGATTTGATATAAATTCTCACTGAAATAATAATGCATCCATCCCATTTTGTTTGCTGCTTTTGTTTTTGGTTCGGTATTTAGGTGGTGTAATTTTGATAGTTCTTTTTCCTTTTTTAAATAAAAATAGAAAATTATCTTGTGGAATATAGTAAACTATACCCCAAAACCACATAAATATGAACAGAATCAATGTGGAAAACTAACCTTTCCATTAAGAATCAAATTGTATGTATTTGACTAACCAAATGTAGCTGTAGCTGTATATATTCCATTCCTTCCAAGTTACAACTCCTACTATTCATTACTAATTAAATTTACTTCTTCTTCAATGTCTGCAGAATGTACTCAGCATAAAGGTCCCTGCAATAATCACCAGTATGCACCATTACATTCTCTATGACTAGTTAATTACTAAACTTGAAACTCACATGGAATATTGAACGGCGTCGACAGCGTTGTTTGAAGGCAAAAAGTTGTTTACTGCCACCTCTTTGTTCTCATTCTTCTTGTCTGAAATATTTTATGCTTGTTAAGGTAAAAACACACCACTGGTTTTGTTGAATTTAAAAGCACTTTTTTTGAAGGATACAGTCTTCGAAGAAGTGCCGGATTTCAGTGAGACGATGGGGTGGGAGTTGGCTAATGTCTGTGTAGTGGCGATACTCGGGGTCATCAGCATGTACTGAAATGATCTTGTCGTCTTTCTCTCCCTATTTGATACAAATTCACCTCATGCATCATATTTATTTCTTGTTGTATGATGTTTGATCTAGCTAATTAAGCTGATTTGTTGTTTCATTACCTGATCGATCATTGGCATTAGCCCTATTGGCTCAAGTAGGTCAAGCTGAGTCAAGTCAGAGAAAATAGACCAGTAATAAGTCGGACCTTCCTTATTTAAGAATTATGAAGAAAACACCCGGGAACAACTGGTTCCGGCCATGGAAATGTAAGCAAGGGCAATCCAATCCTTGTATGTGTACATATATACAAATATATGTGTATATGTTTTAATCATTTTTTTTGTTCATAATTACAGGTACCTGCATGAGAACTAGCACGTCCATAGGGTCGTTGTCCTCGCATAGAGAACGAGGAATGAATCCGTAGTTGTCAGGATATACCACGGAAGAATAGAGGATGCGATCAACCTGTACGTACATGTATGTATGTATGTATATATATGTGTCTATTAAGTGTTTTGCCTATGCATAATGTTGTGCAGTAGTAGTAGTAGTACCATGATGAGACTGGTTTTCTTGTCGAGCTCATACTTTACTTTGCTGCCTTTCGATATCTCAAATCACCTAAGCTCAAAGAGCAACAACACTTAGGGAACTTAATAGTGTGATCGTTTGTGTATGATGAAGTAAGAATCTATCAAGAATGGTAGATGTGTATATATAGATAGATATAGATAATAAAATTACGTACAACATTAAAGATGTGGGGAGCCTCGGGTCCTGCAAGGGGGACGAATAAGGATCAAGAGGAGCCGAGGATTAGAAAATGTGTGCATCGATGGATTCATACACGAGATGTGTTTTGTATATCTATATAAGTAATAATAGCTTGTGAATTTGAGATGGATCGATATCAAGACCGTGCCAAGGGTGGCCTGCGATTGTCGTTTAGGCGAGGTGTCTTGGCTCCGGTTTCATCATCCATTGTATTTTTTTACGATCAAATATATAGAATTCCCACGTCATTAAAAAAAATAATAATAAAATAGATGTATAACTAAAAATCAGCATGCTAATAAATCGTAAGTTTCATTCCGTAGCTGAGCAACGACGACAATGACAGCAACGGCGCAATGCCAGTAAAGCACAAAATGCAGACGCCAGAAGAAAAATCGAAACTTACATAAGCCAACTACGGGATAACGTACCATAGGCTATAGTTTCTACTACTAACTCAGGTCAGTCATACTCTACTTACTCCCTTTCTATCTGAATTGTTACATGGCTGATGTTGTGTTCCCTCTTGATATAGTCGATGACTTTGTCGAGCATCAAATCTGCATCAGCTTCGGGCTTAATCTGCACATGGCAAGCTAACAACACTTTCCCGACAGTAATCGCCCAAATATGGAGTTCATGAACAGCAACAACCTCATCCATCTCGCACAGACCCTTTTCAAGCTTCGTTGCATCGATCTCCCTCGGCGTGCTCTCCATTAGAACCTCAAGAATGTTCCTCAACATTCTAATAGTTGTGACCAGAACAATTACTGAAAAAATTAAGGTACAGATCAAATCGATAATTTTCCATTCTGGTCTGTACCAAATGATGCCTCCGCCAATCATAACCCCAATGCTCTGAATAGAATCTCCGAGTACGTGAAGATAAGCACCCTGGATGTTTATGTTCATTTGCTGCTTCTTTTGCCGCAACCTATTTTCATTTTCGTTGAGCAAAGGCTGGCTGAGGCTCCCATCGATTCCATGATCGTGTTCATTGTGGTCAGTATTTCCCAGGCTGTGGGAATGGGACCTGACGACGACACTAACTCCATTTCCATGCGTGTGATTGTCCTCGGAGCTATGATCATGGCTCCCGTGTTCATGATGCCCATGGCTATGGTCATGACCGTGATGACTATGCCCGTGATCGTGTCCCAACAAGATGGCCATGACAATGTTTACCAATAACCCAAATGCAGAGACCAGAAACATCAAGAAGCCTTGAACTTCGCCCTCATCATGGATGAGTCGAACAATAGCCTCGTAGACTAGGATCCCAGTTAGCAGCCAGATCATTTGAATCGAGACCAGTGCACCCAGTATTTCGATCCTGAAAAATCCATAACTTTGGCGTGGAGTAGCTTCCCATCCAGAAGCCCATATCGAAAATAGAGAGATGGCGAAAGCAGCAACATCCGAGAGTAGATGAGCTGCATCGGTCAATATTGCAAGACTGTTGGCTTTGATCCCCCCGGTAACTTCAACGGTCATGAAAATAACACACAGAACAACTGCGGTCAAGAGTTTTCTAATGGATGTCGACCGTTCCTGTGCATCCTGAGAACTGGCCTTGGAATCAGAGAAACCACACGATCCTCCGGCACATGCCTTGCTTCCAGCAAAGGCCCTCTCCATAGATTGTACCCTATTTTCGATATCTGAACTACAAGCTTCCATCTGAATATATACAAGAAAAACATCAGTGTAAACTACTCCACATATTGGATTTAGGGAAATAATAAAACCATAGATTCATTCATATACATCTTGACAAGTTATCTCTGTAAATCATTTCGTATGCAGGCTTACCACTTACCAGGGATGATGAATTTAACAATAACACCAACAAAAGATCTAGCACAGAAAGAATAAAAGGATGCTCCAATTATACATCCATGGCAATGGGGAAGAAGAAACTCAAACCTATTATCAAAGTTCAATACCAGTTGAACAGAGACATATGATCATGAATCAACTAATATACAGACATGCTTCAATAGCACCATGGAACGATTTTAAATATCCCTAACAGCATCAAAGAACATAAAAAATTTTATATCCAATGTTGGAAACAGAAATTGAAGTGATCGCCATCGAACCAATAAGAACAGAACCATACACTCAATCCCCAAATAACATACATAAACAGTTTCATCGCAATGGCATTCTTTGGTTTTTCTTCTCGAAATCACAATAATATATATATTGCACAATGCATGGATAGAATATGATGGAAACACAGAAAACGATCAAAACAATACGAAAGTAGAACCGATCGAAAATCAACAAAAACATAAAAATTAGATCTTCCATTTCCCCAGCAGCCGAATGAGAAATCAATCAATCGAAGAAAACAGTTTCGCACATTACACCGACCGACGGACATTAATTACAAACGAACGAATAAGAACAGTTCCAATCATCAGAAACTCTTACATCTCGAAGGTATCGATCAATCCCAACGGAAGAGGAGGTTCCCGGAACTTCTGCGCCTCAAAAACGTCACCAGATTCTTATGACTGCGCCGTTCCAACAATAATGCAAAACAGAAACACGATGGAACGTTCACGCCAACTCACCACTTTTCGCCTGCCAGCGCAGCTCTTTGATGAACGATGATGGATGATGCATTCAATTTTCCCCCTTTTTGTTTAAAAAGAAATTAGGGTTTCTCTCTCCTGGCGTACTATAATTTTGCTGAAGAAATTTTTCCTTGAAATTATGAACATACAATTCGGAACTCGGTTTTGATTTTGTTTTTAAATTTATTTATAGTGACATGGACACTGCTGATGTTGTTTTCCTTTTAGATAGATTATAGGAATATTCCGGAAGTGGATAAGAATCTTATAAAGATTATAATTTGTTAAAATAACTGGCCTTAGGCCCCCGGAAAAGGACGGGTCGCCAGGCCCAATCTAAATTGCGGTCGTTATTAATTTATATTATATATAAAATACTATATATAAATTATTTAGGTGCAGTATAGTTTAGGTCAAAACTTATGTGGAGTCACTGATAACCCGGGTTTAGGTGTTAAACCGGGCCGCTTTTGCTGCCCCCGACAACCTTTGTGCAAGCTGACATGTTTTTCTTTTTTTTTTTTTTTTATAATTTAAATTATAAATATAAATTTATAATAAAATTTTGTATAGGATAAGTTTTTTTATAATATAGATAAAAATTTAGAAATATATATATAAATATAATATAAAGTTATAATTAAATTATATAAATTAATACACATTTATATTATTATATTTATTACTCGCCAAATCAATTTTATCAAAATTTTTCAAATTTCACACAAAACCTAAATACAAAAGAAACATCGAAATTCAAATTAACTCATAATTCAAATAAAAACTAAATTCAAACTCAAATTTTTTAAAACCCCTGAAGAAACACAGCCTTAATTCTAATTGTACATACGAGTATGACTTGTGGAAGGTACATGGGCTACTTATCGTTCGTGTAACAATATAGTCGTGTATATTGTATATGACTGTGTTGTTTCAGGTCAATTGTCACGTTACCTGTTAGTCAACGTCATGAATTTTTATTAATTTTTGAATTATAAGACAAAAATTGATTAAAATCACTTATAATGAAACTAAAATGGATGAATTTTTTATATTGATATCAAAATCGATATATTTGAGTTATATTGGTAAAAAAAATTTTCCTAATTATTAAAATAGAAATAATAAATTATAAACTAAAAAAGTCAATAACTTTTTTACTATATATAAATTAATTGGACAATAAAAAATAATTATTATTGTGAACAAAAAGAGGATTTTATATGAATTTTAATGTCAACCACACCTACAAGCAGTTACAAAATTTCTTTTAAATGAAGTTTGAAGTAGCAGTAGCACTTTATTATGTCAGCTACTGACTTTGATATTTTTATTTATATTTATATATAAAAAATTTGGATGTTTGGATTCATTGTACTTGTTGGAATTACAGTACTATGAAATGTTTTATATTCTTAATATGGCAAATATGTTCTCTATCAAACGAATATTTATGGAAAGTAGCCAACATCTATTTACAGGGTACTTACACTTTATTTCATTTTCTTTTATTATACATTTATAATTATTAATAAAAACATGTTATCTATTTTTATAAATATTATATTTAAATAATAAACTATATCATGAATATCAAATAATAAGATTAATGGCAATTAAAATCATGGCGACCTAATAATAAAAGTTGTTAAACGACAAAAGTAAACAGGACAAAGTTGCCATTTATTTATTATATTATAATGCTATATAATTGTACAGAACTGCAGGCTAAGTCACTGTACAGAAACAGAACAGCCATTTGGCCTTCGGCCTTTGGCATTTGCACACAAAACTCTCTCTCTCTCTCTCTTCATTGATTCCATCTTCTTCCCTTGATATTCTCCCATCTCGTTGCATCGCAGACGCAGTTAGTTTCGCGATGGGTTTTCTCTACCTCGCCATCAGAATTCCAAGCATCGTCACCGCCTCCTTCTTCTTCAATGTAGTTACACGGGCCAGATTCCTTCTCATTGGCGTGCTTACCCATCTCGGCCTCTACAAGCCTCCTCCCGAAGAGGACCCTAATTCCGGGGACAATTCCAACGACTATATCCTTATATTGGACGGTTCGTCTCCTTCTCTTGTCCCCATCCCAGTGCGTGTTGTGACCGCAGCCATCAAGAGCAGAGTTCCCGTTGTTCAGTACCGAGATTTGGCCCTCCTCCGCGGGCGGGAAGAGTGCGAGGAGGAGGAGTTGTGTGGGCTGAAGATTTGCAGCATTTGCTTGGAGTGTATAGAGTGGGAGCATGAGGTCCGGGAGCTTTGTAATTGTGATCATGTGTTCCACAGGGGGTGTCTGGACACCTGGATGGATGAGGGACAAGTTACTTGTCCTTTGTGTAGATCTATGCTTTTACCCCCCAAAACAAATCTTACCAGATGCAATGGAATTCGGCCAGGTTTGCTGCAGGACGGTGCCCACTTGGTTGCTGGTTGAGTCCCTGTCATACTACTGTAATTGTTTTGTCACCAACTGGCATGCATTTGCGATGATTTTGAGCTTTGCATTTGCTTGTGCCCTGTCTCTCTCTGTGTATGTTTTCTTTTCCTTTTTTGTAATTTCTATCTTGTTCTTTGGGAATTGCTGCCTGAATTCCGTACGAGCTAATTACTGATTCTATGATCTGCCTAATCATCTTTCGAACGGTTGGTTCCTTATTGTATAATTAGGTGTTGTTCGGTGGCTGTTCTTATCACCAGGAAGCCCCAAAGCAGTGATCCACTTGTGACTATTTAAAATTTGTGGTGCTTGCTGAGTGATCTGTGCAACTTTATTATAGTGTTAGTGACAGAAGCTGGAGGAACTGGCTACTTGTCTTGTCTTAAATGCGCAGAGGAAATTTTATATGATTATGCATCTGAATTCTTGAGAACCATTAGTATCATTTGTGACCTCTATTTGATTATTTTGGATCCACTCTGTCTTCTTTTAGATATATCCAAAAGAATGAGGTGTTAATTACCTTGGTTTTTGAGCTCATTTGTTGTCCTGCTGTCTGAATCTTAATTGCCACATTTCTTGAGTCTTAACCAGTTGAAGAAATTAGCCCAGATATTGTATTTAGCTTTCTAACCTTTTGGCTTCTATCCTTAACCTTTTTTCTTCAAAATCTCAAGGATACCAGTCTTTTCTGCTTTTGATTTCTGTGTGATCCTGCCTCTAAACTATGGTTAATTATTTTCTGCATCACGAATGACACATTATGTACTTACAGCCTGAGAAGGATTGTAATTAGCTTGTATGGCATGTGTAATATGATAATGATGGAATGGTATGAATTGCTGTTACTTATTAATACTTGTGCCCTGAAAATTTGATAGTTTTTCTCTGATCAGCTTAATGCATTAGTTTGTGAAAGATAACAGCAATGATAGGTATCAACACATAATTTGGGGAAGCACAATCTTCAAATGGCTGTGGCATGACGTTGAGGCATGGCAGTTCTCACGGCAATGGGGCTTCTGACATCATGTACCCCATCAGTCCAGATTAGGCTCCCAAAATAGTATCCTGCAGTTAGCTGATGCATTGAAATGATTGTCACTTCGAAGGTGATTTTCTTGACCTTGGAGTTGAAGATCAGTATGGGAGGGTTGACGAATACAAATGTCCCGGTGGGAGGTTTTATTATGACATGGTATATGGAGTTTACAGGTCCAACATTAGTCACTGTCCTGGTAAGTGTAGTTGAGTTTCTGAGATATGGAATAGTTATGGAAGGTAAGTTTACATCTAGAATTGACGAGGTTTTTGGACATGTTATAGTTCTCCCTGTTAACCGAGAGATAGCAGAATTGTCATACTCCATGCTGCAAAGGTAACTAATATAGTCTGATGTGTCCATGTCGTATACCAGCCCTGGACAGGCAGCTCTATTTGGGTTCACAATTCCTCCTCCATAATCGAAAGGATCAGCAAGCTTCTGTGTGTCACCCTCAGCGAAGATTGGAATGCCGTATTGATCAGTAGTCCAAGCTTCAGTAACAATTTTGTTAGATGGTAATAGGCAGGGGCTACATTGGTTATGCATAAATTGTTTTTGGAATAGAAATGTTTACCTGTAGTTGTGAGTGCAGATCTGATTGCAGCTGGGGACCATTCTATGTGTAGCGCCCTGAGAAGTGCCACAATGCCGGCAATATGAGGAGTTGACATGGATGTCCCTGTGAGCATAGTGAAACCTCTTTCTGCAGATCCATCGCGATCAGAGGTTGCAGCTATTATTTGCACTCCTGGGGCAGCTATATCTGGCTGTTGGGTGGGAGAACAGGATTGTGAAAATGGATTTGAGAGACATCTTTATATTGCAAATGCATTGGTAAATGAGATTGCAGCTATGCCTTTTTAAGATCAAATCGAAGGAATGCTGTGGTTATACGAAGGTTTCCATTATGACCTTGAGTATTGCAGCTGCTATACTGTTAGGGCCGCGTGATGAGAAAGCTGGGATCCTGGCTGCAACAGCTTTGCTTACCAAAGTTGTTGAGCGGCTTAGTTTAGCCGATGGATTGCTGATCAGGGCAGATATAGAAAGGATTATGGAGTCTATAAGTATGATGATCGAATTCAGCATGAAATCACCAAAATGCACTACCTGGAGGACCGCATATAGTAAAGGATCGAGGTGCCAACCTCATAATCAACCTCTGCACAGGGTACGCCATCACACTGTCCTGCAATGGCACTGGGAGCCTTGGCAACGATTACACCAACACCACCTGCTGCTCTAACTAGCAATGATGCCAATTGTGTAACTATTGGACTGGATATTGTGGTGAAACAGAGAACTATCTTTCCAGCAGTACGACGCTGCGAGAGGAGGAGAGCTTCACAGACGCTGTAGAAATGAATGTGGAAGTGTTAAATTTGCAAACATGATTGACTTTGGTTCTCAAACTCGGAATAAGAACTTCCTCTAAAGCTACCCTGCTGATAACCGCCCATCAACATCGCCAGGGTAGTACAGGCCTCTGGCGCTAGTTTCATTACTGGTGTGGATAGCCTGACCCTGCAAGGCTCATATGTCACCTGGGGGTTCAGTAATTATATTCTACTGCAAAATCAGCGTCACGAGGTATCATCTACACTGCAATTAATCACCTGAAAGGTCTTGTTGTTTCCTAGAGTGATTTGTGCTACAAATGATCTATCCATGGTGCTAGCTGCAACAGTTATTATCCATGGTGCCGTGTTCTTGACAGACTGTGATGAAGGACCTTCATTGCCTGCTCCACACACGACAGTGATTCCTCTTTGAACAGCATGGAAGGAGCCTATGGCAATGGCATCACGCCCGTCCACTTCAGAGAACAGAGGAATTGAAGAAGCTGCAATAGACAGACTTAAAACATGGACTCCATCCTTGATGGCCTCATCTAAACCTTTGAGAATATCAGCTGCTGCACACTGTCCCGATGGCAACTTCCAGCACACCTTGTAGATGGCCAGCCGAGCGCGGGGTGCACCCCCTCTTGCAGTCCCTAGACCAACAGTGTTATAGCTGACATTGGCCACATAACCACCAGCCGCTGTGCTGGAAACGTGAGTGCCATGTCCATCTGCATCTCTGGCAGATACAAATTCTCCTTCTTGTGTCAAGTTAACTTGCCGTCCGATTGCATCTAGAATCCCGTCAACAAACCATCTCGCTCCAATAACCTTTTTGTTGCAATGCTTAGCAGGGTTGAATTGATCACCGGACTGGCAGAAACCCTTCCAGCTTGGAGGAATTGTTCCCAGCCCTTCATCACTGAAAGCCTTCGACTCTGGCCATATCCCTGCAGGTACACAACCCTCTCTAACTGTAACTTGCCTTCATGAAGCAGCAATAGACTTACAAGGGGTACTTCTACATAACTTCTTACCTGTATCTAGGACACCGATGATAATGCCATCGCCCATATTACTTTTATCCAGAATATTATCCGGTGACTGTGAAGACAGACCTAAATAATCCCAGCTTCTGGTTGTCTGTAGCTTGTAGAGAGAGTTTGGCATTACTCCTATTACATCAGGATGTTCTGCGGACATATATATGCATTAGAAACCAATTTTTCCAGCTAGAAAACTAGGTTCCTCTAGCGAAATTTGATGTCATACATATGTGTGAGATCCTTAAGCTAATAGCTCTGTCGAATTGGGGAACATACTGTTGTAGTTTTGGTATCTTACCTGATAACTGCTGTGCTTGAGGCCTTGTTAGTTTAGCTGCAAATCCTGAAAAGCCATGTCTGTAACTGTACACCATGGACTCTTGTGCCAATTCCTTGCTACACATTATTAAATAAAACGATCACAGTATGATTTCAGTTTCTGATAACCTCAGATGCCATTATGTCTAACAAATTTGCTGATTTATCTTTCTTGATTACCTCTCCATCACTGCAGCAAGCATATCATAATGTGATTCTGTAGTATGATTTGGGTCATCGTGCTGTCGGGCTCCTAGATAAACAATGTAGACCTGTGGTTTGCACATAATCAGCATGCTATAGACCACTCTCCTTGCCCTTACCGCTGAATTACAGTGGAGAAGGAACAATCAAAAGGAAAGAACATTACATTACTGGGTTCTTGAGCATAGGCGTTCTCGAGCATACTGAGGCGGGCAACAAGCAGCAGATGAACAACCTGCAGTGCAACAAAGAAGGAGAATGGTTTGATACTCATTTTCATCTGTGTCAACACTTAATAATGTACTTTGGTTTAATTTGCTCCAGATATGGTTTCCATTTTATAGACGAATGATTTGATCTATGTCCGAAAACAGCAAGGCTTGTGCATGGTGGTTGGATGAAGTTTTGCAGTGAAGGATTCCCTTTACGATTCTAACCAAGCAACAGATTATTACACTCCAAGCTTTCAGCAGCATTTAAGGTACGTCCCTTTACAGTTTAGGTTTTTGCTGTTTATCTTCTACTATTTATCAATCTATCACTTATATTTCTGTTCAAGCACGTTATCTTATAAATACATAAGAAATGCATACACCATTACCTTATTGGAATCAGCTTGAAAATATTGGAACTGGAAACCATTAACCTAAACCGTAAACCCATTACCTAATACTATCTTTGCATCTTTGCTAGTTTTTATTAGTTCTAGTCATTAAAAAAGATGAAAAATTGGAATCAGAATTAGAATTCATTACTAGTATGCTTTACTTGCTGTATTGTGTTGTTAAAAATGAAAATAATATGAATTTGTGTTTTTAAAATTTAATTTTATGTATTCATATTCAAATTTGGGAGAAAATTGCAAAAAATAAAATAAAATTAATTCTCCACGTATACTCAAATCACTTTTGTCTTTATATCCCACACATTTGCAAATGTTTATTTCTGTTATTAGGTCTCACGTGAATAGGTAAACGTGTAAAATATATTTTTTCAGTGATAATTGAGTATAAATAGAGGAAATTTTTTTTTTGCAATTTTCCTCAAATTTGATCATAGTTAAGAAGGTATGGAAGTAAATTAATGAAATCTATAATTTAAACTATTAAGTTAATTTGAGTTAATATCAAGGCCAAACGTATAGAGCATAGTATTTCAATGTCTTTGATGTTATTGTTAGTATTTAAATTTATTTCATAAATGTATGTTAAAAAAAAAAAAGAGAAGTTTACCATATTTTGTTTGTTTAGTTATGATTTGAAATCACGACTATTTATCTCCAATAAAATTAAATTACTCTCTTTTATAAAACATCACGGAAAAATATAAATAAAAATTCGAATTAATATTCTATTACAAATCAAATCTAAATCACAACCAAACCAACCTTTTGATGTAAATGTATCAAATGATTACGTGTTGAATGGCAACAAAATACATCAAATTAAATACAAATCATTAAACTAACTATATATTCACGAAAAAAAAAAATAACTCACTGTAATAAGTAGGCAGATGATGCAACCAAAATAAATGTCAGATTGCAATGTATATACACATGAAAATTTCTGTGTGCGCGATATCTAAATTAAAATTGGTAATAATTATTTGATGGCCGGTGGGTTGAATATAATGCACACACTAAATTAACAGTTAAAAGTCGTTGAAATAAGTGTTCCGCGCTTTTCATACTTTTTGAGTTTTGACCATTCATCATGTCTCTAGTCTCTGACCATAATCTAATTTAATTTCTCTATGTCATTTCAAAATCACCTACGCAAAGTGTTAGCCGACTAAAATTGCAATGCCACATTTTACGCAATCTGATTAAGTTTTAATCTTGTAACTACTTTTATTACTTTCGTTTCAGTAAATTTTTCATTCTTTTTTTTTTATGTTTTTTTTTTTTTTTTATATTTTTCCGAAGCCGCTACCCGAAAATACGCAATGAGTAAACTTGGTAAACTTTCGGTCGAACCTAATACCCTGCAAATCAGACCCGATGGAAAAGTCACACTAGACGAACCATATGTGACAGGTGACCTAAGACATCGAAATTTGCATGATCTCACAGTTACAAGTCCAACCCTACACTACCAGGTCATCGTTTACCACATAATTTCAATTGGTGTGGCAGTGAATGTATGGATGTCCTAGTCATTGAAAAATTTTGGTACAAATCAACCACACAAAATCAGTATATATATAATATAATATAATATAATATTGCGTGATGAGTGAGGAGTGGGTCCCCACTTGTAACTTAATCATGTGAACGTCATGTTAGAATTTGGCTAATTAAGTTTGTTTTTATACGTAAATTAAAAGATAATAGTAATATTTTAATATTAAATCAGAATAGATAAAAAATCAAGAGTATTTTGAAAATATATTAAGGGTGTGGTTGTTTGGGGGTTTGGATTTTGAATTGGGATTTGAACAGTAAAAATTTTGAATTTGAATAGTTGTATGATGTGATATAAATAGGTGTTGATGTGATGTTTTGAATGTAAAATTGATTTTTAATATAATATAAAAAATAAAAAATAGGTATTTGATTTGATGTTTTTGGGGGTAAAAATTGGATGAATAGTATAAATCCAATCCAATTTCCCAAACAAACACACCCTAAAAATATTAATGAAGATATGATGGAATAAAAAAAAAAAAATGATAAATTGATTATTATTTGTAAAATTTGAATAATAAAACTATAAATAAACAAAATTATTTTTTATAAATAAAATAGACATAAGTTTAATGGACAAAAAAAAGTAGTGATATATTTTTAGCAGAATGATGAAAGAAGTATTATTCATGCCGCACGGTTTTAAATAAAAAAATTAACCTCAAATAAAAATCTAGAAAACTAAACAAGCCCTTGACTTCCATTCATTGTCTCGTAAGGGATGTCTTGGTGGTGTGGGGGGTTCGACGTGTGACTGTGAAGTCATGGGTTTAAACCATCGATGTCTCATGTCATCTGCTACACATGGTTTGCCTAATGTGACTTGTCTGTCGAGCCTAGTTTGCAGGATATTAGATTCGACGAGGGTTTACCCAGTGCACACTTTCGGGTAGTAATTACATACGTGCGTGTATAAATATAATTAGTAAGAAGTTAGGTTTGGACAATCAATATTATTATTGTCGTTGTCAAGATGGATGTTTTCTACAAGTTAGGTTTTAACCGTTGGCCCTTTTTGATCTTTGAAAAACCAACCTAAGAACATGTAAATGATGTAATGTAATTTAAGAACATCTTTAAAGACCCATACATAAATATAGATATTTATCTCCGACCTTGTAATTAAATACTCCTTTCATCCTCGTTACGGTTCCTCCGCCGTAGATAAGATAATTTAGGAAGGGTATAATTAGTAAATAATTAATAATATATTAGTAAAAATTAATTTTTAATATAATAAAAATAATTTTAGATTAATTAATTTAATTAAAAATAAAAATTATAAACTAAAAAGAGATTAAAGTGTTCTTTTCTGAAAAAGTGGACCGTGAGACGAAGAGAGTATATTATTCAAATTCAGAAGTTTCCCTCCCTTTTTAAATTTTCATTTAATTAATTCATTTTTCTGAAGATCTTTTTATTAATAACTTTAATGATGGTGTTTATCAATTCAACATCTACTTAGTACTTACAACTGATAGCTCTTGTTGAAATTTTGTAATGACATGCAATAGTCAATAATTAAGCTATGTGTGTGTGTTTGTACGTGAAATTCATGTAATTTTGTATTAAAAAAAAATAGTATGATTAGATTTAATATCTTGTATGATTATTATTATTATTATTATTTTTAATATCAACATGGACAAATCCTGAATTAAAAGATCATATAAGAATTATACGAATATTGTATTTTCAAAATTAAAGATTCATTTGTTAATTAAGTTAGCCCAGGTGTGGCCTAATATCTGGCCAGAAATGGAAATGGAAAGTTGTCCTAGAAAGAAATAGATAAACACACGTGCAATACATACTTAGATTATTTTATTTTCAAATTGTTAGATTAGGGTGGACTATGTAATTAGTTTTTATTTACTTTGTTTGTTTTTACAGTATTTTATTTATTTTCTTTATTGATTGGATAAAAAAGTATTTCTTGTGTTACAAATAGGGATGAAAATGGGGTGGTGTAAACTCTATACTCATTTTTGCTTGCATCTTTTTATTGTGTGTAACAAATCCAATTTAATATAATAAATTAAATGAAATTTCTAATTACAAGTTATATAAATAAATCATCAATTTGAAATAGTAAAAAATAAAATTTAATGAATCTATTTAAATATTATTTCAAAACAATGAAAATGAAATATTTAAAATTTTATTTTCAGACTAAGTCCAATTGAGTTTAAAGTATTGTAAGATGTTGAATCTCATATTTTAGAAATATATTGAAAATAAATCTTTAATTCTGTATTCACTAAAAATCAACATATTTAAGTAAAACAGACATGCTTGATAGGATGAGATAATATAGGAGTATACAAATACTTTTACGAATCAATATGATATATAATTTATACATATTGTGTTATATAAATAAAAATCATTAAGCTTGCTTCATTTCCTAGGCACCGACGAACCACACTGACAGCCCATCTGCACAATCTTACATCATCCTCGTCCTCATTTTCTTCTTTCTTCCTCAATTTCAGAAAAAAAAAACAGTGTAATAATTGCAAATCCATAGTCAACATTAACGAAATCTTATTAATCAGTCCATAAAAAACGTGACGGAAAGAAATCACCATAACGCGGCTGCCTGCCACACAGACCACCCCATCCACGTCCCCAACCCCCTCTGCGTGTATATATATATACATACATATACGAATAATCAATAGATTCCAACCACCCAATTCTGACTGACTCATTCGTTCGTCATCTATAGTTCGATCTTCTCCTTCCTCTCTAGGTTTTGCAGAAGAACTTGGGGGAATTATTAATTTCGTGGATCTGGGTTTTGAGGAAATCGATTTAAGAATCTAGGGTTCTGGTTTGTTTGTTTGTTTGTTTGTTTGTTCGTTAGATCGATTGGGTGCAAATGCAATTTGCGTGAGGTGAGGAGAGTCGATCGAACCCAAAAAATAAAAAATAAAAATAACTGGTCCTACGGCAATCCGAGCAAAACGCTCGACTACCGCTTATCTCTAACATCCTTATCCTATCCGCCTCCATCTCTCGCCATATTTAGATCTTCTTCCTCACGATTTTCCCTTTTGGATTTATTATCCCTACCCTTTCTCTTTGTCTCTTTTGGATTTATCCTAACCCCACAATCGTATTTCTTTCTGCATTTCTCTAACCCTATCTTTTACTCTTCTCCTTTTTTTTTTTTTTTTTTTTTTTGTGGGGGAACAGGCCCTCGAGTAATCGAGGCTGAATCTTTATCTGGTTGGTATCTTTGCCCTAAATAGGCTGTGGTTTGTAAATATGGCGTTAATTGCTGCCTTTCTGGAAATCCTGCAAAAACCCACAATCGGAGATGTGGTGATTGAGCTGATTGTGTTCATGTTGCCCATCTGGATTTCAATTTTTTTGGGCGTTTTGGTTGGGTGGGTATGGAAGCCTAAATGGGCTAACAATTTCAATGTCGATGGCTGTAATTTGGATTCCTCTGCCAAGTCTGGAGACCCCATCAAATCCATTTTAAGCTTCACCTCCTTCAAGCTGCCCTTCTCCTGGATTGACAAGAACCATTCGTCACTCCCCTCAGCTCCCACTCCTCATTACAGGTTTGCTGCAAAAAGATTCGAATTTAGTGTTAAAATTTTAATTTTCTTCTGATGATTGATTAATAAGCTGATTTGTGTATATCTGTTCAGTTCGACGGAGACGATATTGTCGGGCCTGGTGAATGACGATGACCTGAGACATCTGCACAGATTAGCCGAGGAGAAAGACGGCGGCCCGGCGTGGATACAAATGATGGACAGGTCTACTTCCGGTATGAGCTACCAGGCCTGGAGAAGAGATCCTGTGGTACAATTTTGATCACAAATCGATGTTTTTAATGTTCGAATTGTGCAGCTATGTTGTAAGAATGTTTATCGGCTCTGTTTTTGTAGTCGGGACCGCCGCAGTATCGTAGTCGAACTATTTATGAAGATGCCACGCCTGAAATGCTGAGGGACTTCTTTTGGGATGATGAGTTTCGACTGAAGTGGGACGACATGCTCTCGCACTTCGAGGTTCTCGAGGAATGCCGCGCCACCGGGACAATGGTGGTTCAGTGGGTGCGCAAGGTTGGGGGAGCTAGACACTTTTCGATATAAATTTAGGACTTTTGCTGCGATGAAATTGATGGCATTGTTTGTTATCGTTTCGTTGCAGTTCCCCTTCTTTTGCAGCGACAGAGAGTACATTATCGGTCGCCGGATATGGGAGTGCAACCGAACTTATTATTGCGTAACCAAGGTAATACATAGCTAGCTAGCTACCGAATTCGACATTAACGCAAATCTACGTTGTTGTCCTGACTGTAATTCGCGTGACAGGGCGTTCCGTGCTCGTCTGTTCCGCGTCGCGACAAGCCGAGGCGAGTCGATTTGTACTACTCCAGCTGGTGCATTCGTGCAGGTATCGATTTCGTGGACGCGCATTATCGATTTCTTTCGTCGTTGTTATTTACAAAATATATGTTTTTTATTTTTTCAGCTGAATCGAAGAGGGACGGGCGGATGACTGCGTGCGAGGTGCTGCTCTTCCACCACGAAGACATGGGGATTCCGCGGGAGATCGCGAAGCTCGGAATCCGGCAAGGAATGTGGGGTGCGGTGAAAAAGATCGACCCCGGATTGCGGGCCTATCAGAAGCACAGGGCATCGTCATCGTCATCGTCGTCGCTATCGCGCAGCGCTGCCATGGCTCAAATCAACAATAAAGTCAGCGTCGACTATTTGGAATCATCGTCATCGTCAATGTTGTCGGAGGCCCCGATTGTCGCCGGCGTCGAAAGTCCAAAACGGTCGGGAAAAGGCGTGCCGAAGATGCTGATTCTCGGCGGGGCTATCGCTCTCGCCTGCACGCTCGATCGGGGACTCTTGACGAAGGCCGTTGTGTTCGGGGTTGCCCGGCGATTTGCGAACAATGGTAGAAGGTTATGACATGAGACAGGGTTGGGTCAATCGAGAGTTTTCGGATTGTACGAGTTTGTAATTGAATTGTATTCGTCTTTATCCTCCATTGGAAGATGATGACGATGCTTTATTTGCTTCTTTGTTATGGAGATTTGCAGTGCTAAACTCTCACTGTGCTTCGGTAGGGTTGTAATGTCTGTCTCCATGTTGAGCAAAGATTCCTTCAATGATTCTTATATTGCCACGTCATCCTAAGTTAGAGTATACCAACTATTTGAACTTATTATTACAATGTTCGAACCCAGTTTGTGGATTGAAGGCCCAAATTAACTTCATAAAATGCATATACTTGTTTTAGTTACCTAATTAATTTTCATCTGTTTCTGTGTTCGGCTATGGATTGGATTCAAATTGGCACTTTACTCTTTGATTATTATACTCCCTCACTCCCATTGATCGAAATGTTGTCATTTTTCATTTTAGTCGGTACTCAAAACAAGGTTATCATTTTCTAATTTAGTAATTATATTATCTATTTTATATAATAAAAAAAGCAAACGCCACACTTGTTCCCGACGGAGGGACTATTTTTCTTTGCAAATTACATTATGGATAGTTTTTTTTTTTTTTTTTTTTTAATATCAAACTTCTTCAAATTTCTATTATTCAAAAAAATTTTGATCAAATACTTATTTTTTATTTTTTATATTATACTAAAAATTAATTTTTTATTCAAAATATTATCTCAACACTTAATGAAAAAAATTCAAACTTCAAACAAATACACCCTATATAAATTTACTTGAAATCAATTATTTATATTTATTTTTTAATAAATAAATATATTTATATACATTAATAATTATTTATTTTTTTATAGATGTATTTTATCTCAAAACATAAATAATATCTATATTTTATTTATTTATTTGTATTATATAAAATTTTATTATTTATAAAAATAATATTCATATGTTATACTCCATTTTTGTTTTCATTCATATACTAACAATATGTATATATTTTTAAAAAATTCGATCACAATGCATTACAAGGCAAAAAATTGTTTTTACAAAAAAAAAAAAATATCATCAATTACCATTTAAATATTAGTAGCATTAATTTATAATTTTCGTACAAAAAACAAATATACATATTTTAAGTGGACAACAAAAATATATTTTATTATTGAAATATAATTTTTTTAAAAATACTTAAATATATATTTTTAAAACTTCTAATATTATTCATTGAAACTAATTTTAAAATATCATATTAAATATCTATTTTTAATTTAAAACATTATAATCTCTCGGCCGCACATGAATGTATTCTTTAATTGGATCCTTGTAGTATACGAAAAAGTAATAATATTTTATTAGTTAGAGAAAAAATATATAAAATAATTTTGATATTTTTAATTTTATATTTATATAAAAATTAAAAGGTATTTTAATTGTAATATATAATTTTTTTATTTAGATTTTCAATAAAATATTTATTTTTATTAATCTTCTTAGCGGACTCAAATATTCAAAATTTAATTAGGGGTATTTATTCTTGTTTTAAGATTTTAGAAACTTCAATAACTGATGCATTATTGTTTTAATAAAATATCATATCAAATCATCAGTTAACAAAACTCAAACCACACACTTACACATTAATCCAAACCAAACAATTCTTTGTAAATAACATATATTTACGTCCGCATCAAATACTTTTAACTATTTTAAAACTTCTTTTAATTTTTTTTATAAAAAGAAAACACCCTTCAAAAACTCCTACATAACTCAATTTCATCTTAAAGTAGTTAGTTTAGATGTGATAGTAATAATAATAATAATAATAATAATGCCATAAGTTAAGTTTGTTTTTTTAGATCAATTTTTTCGAATTTTACTATTTGGACTCTGTATTTAAAAAAAATATATTATTTTTTTCTCTTACAAAACATTCAATCAAATATTATTTTTTCAAATTCAATCAAATGAAACACACATCCGGATAATATGTACGTATTGATTATAATTTAATAAGTAGTTTGACTTTACAAAGACTGTCGATGTCTCTTTAGACCGATTTTTGTAGATTTTACTATTTGAATTTTGCTGCGTTTTTCAATAAAAAAATATTTTTTCTTCTAACAGAATTATTAAATATTATTTTAATACTAAACTCAAACAAATATTTTTCAAACTTAACCCCAAGAAACACATCTGCCGAGATTTCAGCTTAACGTATACATACATACAGATAATATGTATGTATTGATTATAATTTAATAAGTAATTTGACTTTACAAAGACTGTCCACGTCATTATAAATGACTACTGTGTATCTATACAAGTCTACACTTAACAAAGTAAACTCACTTTTTATGTCCTAATAACTAAATTTACCATTGCGCCAAAAACATATCAACATATGTTATACTCTCTCCCTCCAAATAAAATGTGTATATATTTATATTTTGAAACATCCAATTACAAAGTAAATATTTTATTTTTTTCACAAAATTTTTTACTTTATATCACATTATTACTTTTACACCAAAAAAATAAGGGCAAAAATATCATTTAAATATTTACTTTGCGTGTGAATGAAGGAAATATGTGTTTTTAAATTTATTTTTAACATTATTCATCATTTTTTTATTTTTTAAATATTAATTTTAACATTTATTTTTCTTTGAAAATAATATATCAGAAATACATTTTTCTTTATAAAATAATATATCCAACATTCATTACTTTACATTAAATATATATCTTAATTAATTCAACTTTTTATAGCTTTTAACAATTTTTAATATAATATTTTAATATGATATTTTATAAAAAATAATAATAATATTTTTTTATTAAAAATTATATATATAAAAAAAATAATGTTAATTTTAATTTCAAATCATATTTAAAACATACTCACACATCTTTCAAAATTTCTTTTAGTTTGTATTTTATTTTTATTTATATATAAAAAATAATATATATGATGATATTTTGTTAAAAAATCAATATTACTACATAAAATAGTTTCAAAAAATAAAAATGAATGTTACTCGGCCGTCACCTAAAAATATGCTAAAATTTTTTGGTACAAATTCTAGTGTGAAATATATCTTTTAGTATTATTGTTTACTTTTTATGACAAAATTAAAAAAAAAAAAAAAAAATTGTACTTCCTTCGTCCAATTAGAAGAGTAACTTTTGGTTTTTGCACGAATATTTTTAAATATTAATATTATATTAGATTGTAGTAAAAAAAAAATAAAAATATCCCTATTAGTATAGTGTAATATAAAAGTAATGAAACTTGTGTAATATATTGTAAGTTGAAAAGATATTTATTATTTGAAGTAGGTAGTACAATTACCAAATTAAAAAATGATAACCTTGTTTTGGGACGGACGAAAATGAAAAATGATAACCTTTCAATTGAACGGTGGGAGTATAATTTTTTTATTAACAAAGAAAATAAAAATGTTTTTAGATTACTGATACTAAAGAAAAATAATTGTAAATTTAAGTGATGAGAAAAAGTAAAATTTTTATACAAGAAAAGAAAAAAACTCTAAAAACATCTTCAATAAAATAAATTGCTATATATTTTTATAACTTTGAAAATCTGTTTATTTGAACTATCACCTAATACATGCTCGCGGGGACAAATGAATTTATTTATTTATTTATTATTATTATTTTTATGTGAGAATTCACCATTGCTATATGAAAATATATGATATATTTTTGATCGAATTTAATATTTTGCAAATTAGATCTAATAAGGCAAGTTATACTAAACGGCCTCGAAAGGGGTAAATTTTCGGCTAAACCTAATACCTTGCAAATTAGGTCCGACAAACAAATCACATTAGACAAACCATGTGTGACAAGTGATCTAAAACGTAAAAGAATTTGAACCATAAAACCAGATCATCCATTGCGCACAATAAATATCTATTTTGAATGTAGCGGGTGTTGCCAAGTTTGCAATTGGACAGTCAGAGAAATCATAGCCACCGTGAGCATTTAGTGCCACGTGTCAAATGTTGATCCAGACAATATAAGGCAATGGCCCATACTATAGGATATTCGACGATTTTTAGGTGCAGTTGCGCACTCCGTTATATTAAATTCAAAATATATTTTAAGAACTTTATTTAATAAAATAGATTTAATGTATATACTACTTTATACAAATATCTCTATATAATATAAATAAATAAATAAATAAAATTATATTATCCATAATTAATATAAAGTAGTTTATAAAAATAGAAATATTTAAATATATACATATATATTGTTATTCACAAAAAAGTAGAAATAAAAAATCCTAAATGATCTCCAATTTAAAAATACCGAGGAAATAATTGAAAATATAATGTCGATTTTTAATTAAAATTACTTATAACTGAACAAATATTTGTCTCTATTCCATTTTAATATTAAATACTCCAAGTAAGTTTGTAGAAGTCGGACCACTTTATCTAAGTTGCTCGATCGACTACAAGGTGGGCAGACCATCCAATAATTAACGACAATTTTTGAATAATAATAATAATAATAATAATAATAATAATAATAAATGTGTTTGGAATCAGTCCATAATAAAAACGTGAAAAGGTACAAAAATAGTTGATGTATTGTATGTCAACTGAAAGTCAAATACTCTTTTATCACGTATTGATATCAAGTGAAAATTTCTTACATCATTAGGATTTAGATTATGGCGTAATAAATGTTGCAAAGTAAAATAAATGATACTGTATTAAAGTTTTTGTTTAGTTGTGTTGAGAAAATGTTTGGAAAATAATAAAATCTGAACAAACAGAGTTTGTTTAAATATATTTTTTGAGAATAAATGTGTTGTTTTGTGTTTTAATTTGAAAGAATATTTTTTATGTGAAGTATAAATTTTATCCTCCTCAGCGACCCTTTTCAATCCAACAATTTTTGGTCGCGTTTCGTGACTGTTGCGAAGAAACTCCAAATCAACCTTCTTCGCGTTCACTACTCCACATCCACTCGTATTCGAGTTATGATGTTTGGTCCCAACATTGTGAAGATTGAATTTTTAATTGTGTCGATAATATAAAAAATAATACTATTTTATATTGAATATTGATATTTGTGAAAGGATACAATATATATATTACATATAGTATTGGAAAAAAAATATAGGCAAACAAATCCACTATTTTTTATATATAAACTAAAATATACTCCATCCGTCCACACACA